CCTATCAAGAACACCTACTACCCAAGCTCAATACTAGTGACAGACAAGGATCTGCAGCAGTATGATAAAGATACACCGCAGCAACTTAAACGAAGTCGTAAGACCAAAGCGAAACTTTAACCTGAAGGAGGATCTTTGCAATTTGTCATTTGCTCTCCCATCTTTGGTCAGAGATTGCATCTAATCATTATCTGAATACATAGAATAAGGTACCTCAAAGAATTTATTGCACGATGAGTTTGAGTTGGGTAGTTGCGATCTCCAGACGCAGTATTTCTCCATCCGGACCTATACGACCCCCGGATCAGGTCTATCGTGGGAAACACCACGATTTTGGCACACCTCGATATTCGCAGGAAAAGACTGATCGTCGGATCGGGTCTATCGTGGGAAACACCACGATTTTGGCACACACCTAGATATTCGCAGGAATAGACTGATCGTCGGATCAGGTCTTTCGTGGGAAACACCACGATTTTGGCACACCTAGATATTCGCAGGAATAGACTGATCGTCGGATCGGGTCTTTCGTGGGAAACACCACGGTTTTGGCACACCTAGATATTCGCAGGAATAGACTGATCGTCGGATCGGGTCTTTCGTGGGAAACACCACGATTTTGGCACACCTAGATATTCGCAGGAATAGACTGATCGTCGGATCGGGTCTATCGTGGGAAACACCACGATTTTGGCACACCTAGATATTCGCAGGAATAGTCTGATCGTCGGATCAGGTCTATCGTTGGAACTACCACGATTTTGGTCATCTGTATCTGGAAGTTGACATCTGCGCCTTTTGAGAGAAGGATTCTTTTATAGAATTCGTGGTCTGTCGTAGGAAGCGAAGCATCGGACGATTCCTGACTAAAGAAGCTAGTCGGCCAGCTCTAGCCACTTTGTTCCGGGTTACTTGAAGATCCTGTTCGAGATTCATGCATGCTGTCACCCTTCCTTCTTTTTCATCTTGGGTCTAGCACCGACGGACCTGATCCAGTATGCATTCAAAACACACCTGACGCTTGCTAGCTTATAACTTTGCGGTTTCTTTATTCTCAATCTGTTGGTTTACACTCTTCCGAAATCCAGGCCACCTTGATGACTTCTTGGTGAATACAGTGAAAGAAGAATACACCCTTTTATCTCCGGCGCATGTTGGAGACACGACTGGTTTGACAATTGAAAGAGAAAGGACCGTGAATAACCTCTCATGTTTGTGCTCCTTCCAGGAGGGATGGAAGGTCTTTTTTACCCCGAACGCCAGGAATGGGGAAGGAAGAGCTTCATAGAAGGCCATTGTTACTACGTGACCCGACTCGGCCCAATTGCCTTACTATAATTCCGTGATACCCATCTTTGAACACCATCAGAATGCAAGTTACTATTCGTAGCCATTCAAAGTAGACGATAGTCTAGAACAAGTATCATTGCTAAGCCAGGAATGTTTCCGAGAGGTCTACAATCAATCTAACGAACTCCATCAAAATGTACGAACAAAAAGAATCATCCCCAAGGCCACAAATCACTAGGCCCGTAATCGCTTTGACCGACGTGGCATATTCCTAATACTAGACGCTTTCGATTTGCCTGGCCGTCCTTTACCCTTCTGCTGCCCCCCGGGCTGCTCTTCTGGGCGCCGAATTTTTCGAGACGAGCGCGTCGCATGCTGTGATGGAGATTCCAGCTTAGGACCTGGTTCTATATTTGCCGCCTTCGCTGTTCCCCTCGTGACTCGCCGTGCAGAAATCTCCGCCAAATTTGAGTCAGTGGTCGTCACTGTGCATCCAAAGGAGGAGACGGAAATGTCTGTTTTTGACGGGCAGGCTGGTGGCTTCACAGCGTTGATAGGGCCAGGTCTCATCAATCGAGGATCAATATTTGTCATATCAAAATCGACAGAGGATGCGGGAGTTTCGGTGCCTTGCCGATCCTCTGATTCCATTGAAGTTTCTCTGGAAGAGCCGTCACCGTGGCTAACCCGTGGGCCCTCAGTGAGATGACATAGTTTAATATTGATATTATATTTGTGTTCTTTATTAGCATGGGCTAAAAATTCGGTGGTTTTGGCAAACTTGGGAAGGGTTCGACATGCTTCCCAGTTGCAGCTGATCCCGTCATGTGCATGAAGTAGATGGGAGTCGATGAGATGACGACGAAGTGAGTCCGGTCGCTTGGAAGGAAATTTATGCGCAGGAGGGTTCGAGGCCCAGCGACGAGATTCACCAAAGCAGATGATGCAAACATCTGTTGGACATATTTGTGTATGATCATCAGACGCTAGTTGCTCGGGCTGTTCAATAGGTATGTTTTCCTCTTCATCGAGATCCCAATTAACACGGTTGCCTCGCCTGTTCGGCTCGCAAAGCAGTAGAAGCGCAACCATATCCTTGGTAACCTGGATGCGTCGAGCAAGTAATTTGTCCTCATGAAAGTCTTCTGCGTCAGGACCGTAAAAGTTCTCCACAAGCCGAGCTCGTTCAGGAAATACGTAGTCCGGGATAGGGAGCTCCCAGTCTTCTTCTTCAGCGAAACTATTAGCATCGTGTTCCACATCATCAGGTTCGCCAAGAAGCATTTGCTTGATCTGCCTGTCAACTTCAAGCACGGGGGCGTTATTGAAATGGTCCTTTCTTGCTGTCTCGCGAGTTTCGATCGCCAATGTTTTCCGAAGTTTGGCGAGGTCTTTCTTGACGGTCTCATGCCTTTGGAAGAGGTGTGGAAAGAGGACACGGGCGTTCTTGATTGTACCAGCCAAGGACCGCATCTCCGCCCCGACTTCTCTTCTCTCGCGCCTGAGTTGCAGAATCCCGGGGTTTTGACATATAGCACGTTTATGCGCTTTGGTAAGATCAGATGGCGCCGATAGATCTCTCTTCCTGAGCATACTCCCAGCGAAGCGTACGAGACCTTCTTGGGAGGGCCGAAGAAGAACAACATGCTGAAGGTCGCGCGCAATAAATTGTGATTGGTAATGCTTTTCAAAAACTGCGTCGCCAGACTGACCAAGCACCCTTTGTCGCTCCTGGCTTGTAAAATTTTCTGCGAGTAGATGTCAGCCTCGTTGTGAGAGATCCAATATATCATAGCGAAGGTGTATCCATCATATCGCGTTCAGCAAATAACATACTGTTGACTTCATTTGCCGTCCAGCGGCGGAAATTGTAATGCCCAATGTCGTCTTCGAATCTAGCATCTCGACCCAACTCCTTGAGCGCCTGCCGACTTGAATCATAGGTCATCGGCAAAGAACCATCGAGTCCGTAGCCGTATGGGGTGCGTTCGAGACGTCGAAGGAGGGGTACATTAAGAACCTCGGGCTTCCAACGGAGGGGAAGAGATGGAATGCCCCTTGGAACTCGGAGCCGCCAAATGAGCTCTGGTGTGAGGTCGGTATTGGCAAAAGCCCCATCGCGGAAAGCGAAGGCAATTATTTGAGCTATCGGGCAATATGCCAGTTGATAGTCGCCGTGCATGAAGAATTTGGTTCTGTTGGCAAGGATCAGTATTGACGTTGCTCCATGAGAAATTCAAACCAAAATTTAAGCTTACCCGTCCGCACCTTCCGGTCGACCTTTGAGATTGCGAAACTCGATGATGGCACAGAGCACATCACGTTTACTTTGAGGGTCTTTCAAGTAGAAAAGTTCAATATCGCGATAGCAGACCGAGTCCGGAAGATCTTTCAGGGAAATGTGCTTTGGAAGATCACTCTGGAAGGTGTCATCCCGTTTGCGTTTGCCCAAAACTGGATTGCCCGGCGACGAAGTGTCTTGAGGAAGCAAGACGCCAGGTCGCGTGCCTGTAATGGCGGACCACAGCTGGACTGTAGCAAATTGAACAATCATGCTCCCGTGACGAAAGAATCTCGAATGGACCCAGTGATGCCGGTAAATCACACCAAAAGCGTCTACATCTAGAGTGTTTTTGTCCTTTGTTCGTCGGGGTATTCTGCGCTCGGCTGGAAATATACCTGCGAGAAACTTTTCAAATTAGCATACTCTGTTAGGGACGTAAGGGACATTACTTACTCGTCGCATCTGTTTACGAGCATTCTCACCGACGCGGCGGCGGGCGAACAGCTCGAAGTATTGGCAAAGGCGGCGCCAGTATTCATCGTACGACTGGAGCAGTTTCTCTCGTGATGTTTTGGATATCCACTCAAAGAAATTCATGTAGATCGTCTGATCTTCCAAAAGGAGATAATCCACGTAGTCCTCGTTCGATTGAATGCAAAATCTAGTTTCCTTTGTTATTTCCCAATTACCAAGTTTGTTTCGAGGAATTATACACTTACTTTCGCCAGTAGCGTTCGATGACAGCAATACCTAACAGCGTCTTTGGCTTGAAATTTGGAGGGAGCCATCCAAGACTGCGAAAATGTTCCAATCTGGCTCGAGTTTCTTCGCAAAGAATGGGATCGGTCCAGTATTTGTGCTCATCGGTTTGAGCCGGATGTACAGGCGCAGGTGCCATGGAGGAGTGCTGAGCAAAGATTGTGGTGCGAAAGTTATGTGGTGGGAAATGACAAAGTCGAGGTCGTCTCGAGGTGTGGATAAGGACGATGAGAGAATGGGAGTTGCAAGGACACAGTAGGTGAGGGAAGGCGGAGCATCTTATAGGCGCTCAAACGGACCGGGCGAAAAGGCAGGGGACTTGGATTCGCCTGGAACGGAGCCATTTTCGGCGTCGTTTTGGTCGCCAGTGGAAACGAGGGGAAGAAGTGTGCAAGTCGAGCGCCAACATCAGGACAGGATGATGACTAAAAGTGCTGGGCGGGTGCAGAATAGAGGTGTTACGAGGCAGTGGGCGGTCAAGGGGAGGCTGGACGTCCAAAGTTACGGGTGGAAATGCAGCCGTTTCTGGCCTCAAAAGCGGTCATTTTCGGCGTCAATCCCACAGGTCCTCATATTCTAGTTGTAAACCGTATGTCGAACTTTATGCGGAATTTATGCGAATTTACGCAATAACCTTGGAATACGTACCACCAAATAGTCGAGACGATTAATGTTCATCTGGCGTGATTGTAAACCGCTGCTCCGGGCTGCCATTATTCTCAGCAGGGATGATCCTTCCACCGGAAGCAGTCCAAACGAGTCCAGTGGATGGGTTTAGGACAATGTGAGTGAAGTCCTGTTGTTGCACATTGAAGACTGTGGGATTCGCAGCACTCTTACAGGACTCCTCGTCACAAGAGATGAAGGTGTTGGTGCCCTCGTTCTTCATAACATAACCGCCGTCTTGTGGGGTAATGGTCCATCGTTCATACAAGGACGCGAAATTATTGTCCAAGACCAACGGGGCGCCTTCACCAGGGAACGTTTTCAGCCAAGTGTCTGACTCAACTGCAGTGATACGATAGTATTGGTATTGAGCAGACGCGGCGCTCGCAAAAGCAAATGTGATGATAGTCGAGAGCTTCATAGTGATTTTGGTACGGAGTAGAGGTAACAAGATGTAGTTGTGATGATGGTGGTGTGAGGTGTTTGACGAAGGCGCAATGGATGATTGTGGTAATTGTGAGGAAGGTAGAAGTTAGCAGAAGTAATCCCTTGACGGTGCTGTCAAGGTATTTATCCTCAGCCAAATAGTGCCATGCCTTTATTTGTGTAAGGGTGAATAGTAGATCGACATCACTATCGGTCTAAGTTCAGAAGATCTGCAAGATCTACGTACGAATATCGCTGCGTGCTCCTGCCACTATTGAATCGAACCCCACTAGAACTTCTCAGCCGCGCCACAATGGATTGTCACTGAGTATCGCCATGCTTCATTAGTATGCACACCCCACTGCTTTGGAAGCCCGTGACCTATCACTTTTCTGCCAAGAGAAAATTTCAATAACTATTGAATACTTTCAGCACCCATTCCGCTGACCATTGTGGATCTCATATACGCTCGAGAATGACGGTGAGAGTTCAAGAACCCGTGCCATAATAGGACAGGATATGAATACTCCGTACAGTTAAAGGGTCGAAAGTAGAGAAACATAAGGGAGTAGTAGCTTCTATACTTGCGTCATGCGTGTAAAGTTACGACTTCACCCAGCGAGCGCGCAGACCGTGTACACTATGTAGGTAAGCGGTATGGTAAGGGTAGACTGCAATATTGGTGGCCGGTAGGTAATAGTAATGCAAAAGCTGGACTTGCGTAGAAGGCTGAATCCATGTACTGTGTATTTTCACACATATCATCAATCGGAGACATCACAGAAGAGACGGCGTGCAGATGATACACGTGACACGTGGTTTATTGTTCTATCTCTGCCTTTATCTTAAGGCCCGTAATCTGTGCGCTCAATAAGTGCAGCCTGAGTATTCAGTGATCACTGAGCATACGGAGTACCCTGAGCGCCGTCATAAAGCGGTGGCACCCCGATCAGGAACTTCGCATCTGCGGCCTAAAATCCAGTAGAGCTACATATAAATGCAATGCTGAGACGGCCATAAGCTCCTCTGGTGTTTTTGTAAGTAACTTTCAATTCGGCCATTCGTCAAGGAATCAAGGACGAGTCAAGCCGATCAAAACAATGACCCTATTCTGTCAATTCTTCACTGTGAATGGAATCTCGGCATCAGGAGCATGTTCTAACCTCTGGAATTGACTTTCCGTGACCAGCATTGTCGGACTCTCGGCGCAAAAGGAAAAGAACGCGAGAAAAATGGGCCTTCGAGATGTTTTAACGTGACATTGCGATTTGCGGCCACGGCTATCCCCGGTGCACGTGCTCCTGAGACATTGCCAAGATTTACGCCTCAGGTGTCGAATGAAACCCCGCTGCGGCAGTTCTGCCTGGGCCGGGGTTAATGGGCTAATCATTTGGACCGAGGCCCATAGCAAGGTTGTGACCACCGAGGCTTTGCTTTATAGGCCGCCTCTTCTTCCCCAGATTTTTCTTCCTTTGATCATCTTCATTCTCTGAACATCCACATATTCACAATGGCTTCTCCTCGTAAGTGATGCCCTCTTTTATTCTAATCACCTATGTCACTATGTCCACTCTTCACATGTGTCCCGCCCGCTGTTATGAATGTTATCACATGGGCCGCCACGTCTCAACACGGACGCTAACCATGAACGTCGAACAGAGCAAATCCGTACTCCTCTCACCGATCTTCTTAAGATCAACCACCCCGTCCTGCTGGCAGGCATGAACGTGGCTGCTGGCCCCAAGCTGGCCGCCGCTGTCACCAACGCTGGTGGTCTCGGTGTCATCGGTGGCGTTGGTTACACTCCTGATATGCTCCGCGAGCAAATCGCCGAGCTCAAGAGCTACCTGACCGATAAGAGCGCCCCCTTCGGCGTTGACCTCCTCCTGCCCCAGGTTGGCGGCAGTGCCCGCAAGACCAAGTAAGATACCCGATCGCAACGATACTTTTGCGCTCATGGACAACTGGCTAATCGCGTTCTGTTCTTGAAAACAGCTACGATTACACCAAGGGCAAGCTCGGTGAGCTCGTCGATATCATCATCAGCGAGAAGGCCAGCCTTTTCGTGTCCGCCGTCGGTGTTCCCCCCAAGGCCGTTGTCGAGAAGCTCCACAGTGCCGGCATTCTGTGCATGAACATGATTGGACACCCCAAGCACGTTCAGAAGGCCCTCGATGTTGGTGTTGATATCATCTGCGCCCAGGGTGGTGAGGGCGGTGGCCACACCGGTGATGTCCCCACCACTGTTTTGATCCCCACCGTTGCCAAGTTGGTCCAGGGCAAGAAGAGCCCTCTGACCGGCCAGCCCGTGCAGGTCGTCGCGGCTGGTGGTCTCTTCAACGGTAACTCCGTTGCCGCTGCTCTGATGCTCGGCGCTTCCGCTGTTTGGATCGGTACTCGCTTCATTCTGTCGGATGAGGCTGGTGCCCCCGAAGCTCACCAGGAGGCTGTCCGCACCGCTGGCTTCGAGGACAACATCCGTACTATCATCTTCACTGTAAGAATTTTCTGACTTGGGTGTTTTTGAGATGACCATTTTACTGACCAAGCGATATAGGGTCGCCCCCTCCGTGTTCGCAAGAACCCTTACATCGTTAACTGGGAGGAGAACCGCGCCGAGGAGATCAAGCAGCTCACCTCCAAGGGTATCATCCCCGTCGAGCACGACATGGAGAACCTTCCCGATGACGTCGACGATGACACTTTGGACAACGCCCGTCCCTTCCTGATGGGCAAGGTTTCCGCCGTTGTCAACGAGAAGAAGTCTGCCAAGGCTATCGTTGATGAGCTCGTTGGAGATGCCGCTAAGCTCATCCAGCAGGGCCACAAGATGCTTGCCAAGCTGTAATAAAGTATATCCTATAGTCTTCTTCAGCGTGAATTATCAACTAAGGTAGGCGGGTGATACTCCAGCCGTCATTTGGACTTGTCAACATCTGAATATACGTTCAACATGAAAATTCCTTGATTTGTTTTGGCCGAAAGATTGTATTCCGATATTTTTCAGGCAGCACTGTGATACTGTAAGCAATGGATACTTCCATGGTTGGAATACATGTACGGAGTACCATACCGGTAGATCAAATAGTAAACAAGTAGTCAACTGGCGGCAAGTGACCCGGTCACTACCTACAACACACAGATCGGCATAACACGTGCATCCTCCCTCTCCCCAATCTCTCCCCCCACACGTCGGGTAGGTGGGCCGCAACGCTTAACCATTCAGGATAGTCAATTCCATAGACCAGACTGCCTCTGGGAAGGAAGTCAAGTCAATGACCTAACCATGGGTGGTGGGTTCCATGTTCTTTCCAGGTCATCTATTACATTGCACTCTACATGACTATCAAATTCAATATAGAGATGTGAAGAATGGGCGGGAGACTTCCCGCCCAGCCGTTCCCGTCCACTTGGGCCACACGCCGATCAGTTACCGGATCCACGTCCACGAAGTACCTACATAACGTGGTTTCTATATTAGGCATTCTTGAGTCTTGACATGTCCAATTGATCGAGGTCATTTTCAGTGTCCTTCAGGTCTTTGGTATTACACTTCCCTCATGGTGACTTCCATCATCATCCATGGTTGTTGCTTCCTTTTTGTTTACATTTCGTGTTGTTGTTCTAGGTACTTCTTGCAGGAGCAAAAATGGAAGGAACTACTCGTCGCAACTGTGGAAGGCTGGTTAGGAGATATGATTGGATGGGAGGTTTGGTTGAGCGGGTCGATCGAGGACCATGGGAAGTGAACGGGAGCCAGTAGAGCTACATAGTGGTGCGATGTAGGTTGTGTCCCGTCCTATGTATAGAATACCTGGTAACCTGAGCTCTATACTAGGTAGTTATAGAGCATTCCCGTCTCTCTGTAACCTGACAGGACTCCCGGCTGAGATCGTTGCTCCAGGTGGGCCACCGGGATCACTGTATGTTGGGTTACTGGTCGTGACCCCGGACTAGACAGACACTGATTGAGGATTTGGCGGTTTAGCCCTATTCCCGTCCAGAGTATCTTGGGGCGTGGACATTCAGTTAAAGCCATTCTAATGATAAATTGTTCATAGTACCTACATGTATGCATATTTGATATGATGTCATCCAGTTTTTATCTGATCTGGTCTGGATCAGTCACACTGATTGTCCAGGTGAACACCTTGACTCAATTCCGTTATCTTCAACTGTCCAGAAGAGAGGACGTCGAGCCATTACCTGTAAAGCACTTAGCTAGTACTAAGATGCAAAGGGAAAGACCTCAGCAAGAGGTATATATAGCCCTATGAGCTCGATAGTCGTCTAGGAACTGCATTGGAATACTTGGAATACCCACGGGCCTTGTCCAACTCTAAATAAAGAACTGCAAGCGCCGTGGCGGGGAAAGAACGACGAGTGACAGGGGCCTCCGCACGGTGACCACCAATAGATGATTCTCCGCATAGACCACATTCAGGAAGAGGTAAACCGTCCGAACTATCGAATGTGACAAGTACAAGAATAGAGTCAAATTGAACCTTGGACGATGGAGAAAGTTAAGTTTCAGTGTCACCGATCATGATATGTGCTCTAGTAAATCTGCCCACTCACAGGCTCGGCGACATTGGGAAAGTCCATCTACGCGATCTTATTGATCCCAACTTGCATAATTGCTGCAGCAGAGCGGGTTATTTTGGTCCCATCATCCTCTCCTGGCGCTTTTTCTGTCCGGTCTAGCCTCTAACTACGCACAGTAGCTCCTCTTCCCCCCCCCTGCCCCTCGGTGTACCCCTCTGCAGGTCTCCAGGCTTTAGGGTCTTCTTTGCTTTTTTTTGGATTTTTTTTTTCTCTTCCCCTGTAATCAACCTTAGTTCTTTTCTTTTCTTTTCTTTTTTCATCCCTCTTTTCCTCACTGTTTTCCCTATTCACTAACCCAGAGTGCGTTCTTCTCATGGGGTCCAAATTGCCGGGCCGACCCCCTCACCACCGCACCGTGATCGGACGTTAAATCTGCTCGCCAATCCCACTGGCCAGGGCATATTGAGTGATATTCTATAAATAAATTTCAACTACTACCGACTTCTAATCTCGCGTGGGAGGTCCACACTTCGATATCACTCGGGATTACTCGTTGGAACCCGCCACCAACCCCCGGTCCTCTCCCCGCAACTCGCTTCTCCCTATCGATCAGATAGGTTCTGCCCCTTGAACCTAAGGTTTCCTTCGTCACACCGACAGAATCTCTGGCCATTGAGCCGACGGGCGACAATTATAATCCTTGCTTTTCCCGGGTTGCGAGCTTCGACCAGCCTCGGACGGGTGGGCTTACAACTAGCCGATATCAACCGCTGGTAACCTTGGAACATCTCGTACCTAGCGAGTTCGATGGGAAGCAGTGCTTGAATGCCTTCTATTTCCCCTGTCTATATCATCTAGACACAGCAGAGTCGGACGATCAGCTCGCTGCTGGACCCTGAATGATGTCGCTTAAGCAAGTAAGGCCGTCTGATATTGGTTTGGGAGGTCGAGCGCGCTGACCTTCTGATCGAAAAGGAAATCGAAAAATGGGTGGAGGCTCTTGATGCCTACGACAATCAGGAATTTGAAGAGGCCCTGCGGTGCTTCGTTCAGATTGCCGATACGTCGAAGATATTGTTCAATTGCGGGGTGATCTATGCGACCCTAGGCGAGCACCATAAAGCAGTAAGTGGACTGGTGATCGTATGTCGCTCAGTGGCCAACTAAACCTCGGCAATAGGTAGAATGCTATCAACGGGCTGTCAGCCTGGACCAATATCTGGCAATTGCCTATTTCCAACAAGGTGTATCCAACTTCTTACTCGGGGACTTTGAAGAAGCATTGGCCAACTTTAATGATACCTTGCTCTATCTGCGAGGGAATACTTCAATTGATTACGAACAGTTGGGTCTTCTATTCCGCCTCTACTCATGTGAAGTTCTATTCAATAGAGGCCTCTGCTATATCTACCTCCGACAAATGAACCCGGGCATCCAGGACCTGGAGTATGCGGCCAAGGAAAAGGTCACCCCAGATCACGATGTGATTGATGATGCAATTCGTGAGAATGCAGACGTACGCGAGTCCAGCCGTCCTGTTGTGATACCAGCTAACCCAAATATAGGGCTATACAGTTTTCTCAATTCCCGTAGGAGTTCTCTATCGACCCAATGCAGCTAAGGTCAAGAACCTCAAGACAAAGGACTACCTTGGGAAGGCCCGACTGGTCGCCGCATCAGATCGCAACCAGTCATCAGATCACCAATGGAACCCACTACTCATTGAGAAAGACGCTCACAAAGGACGCGAAGGTGTCCCATTTGCCACGTCCAACTTGGTCCGCCAAAACCTCAGCAGTCGTACTCGCCAGCAGTCCGAACCACCCCTGAACCGCACCGTATTCCCTCCAACACCACCGCCAGATGATCGATCGACCAGCGCGGCATCCGGTCACCATCGTGCATCATCCCTCCGGGGCGCCCGCCCGCCACGTCTAGACCTGGATCGCGCAGGCGCCAGTCTGGACCGTCGACCAAGCATGCAAGACCTAGCCCCCGCAGAGAGACCGCGTATAGGCACCACGCGGACTGCATCAGAGCCCCGCGGCCCCTCCTCACGCTCAAACAACATGCGTGGACACGGACAAGAGTCCAGCCGAAGCGGCTGGACCCGCGAGCAAACAAGCCACCGCAGGAACCTCAGTGACACCAACACCACCCCCACCATGTCACCGGAAGCCGACTACGGCCACACAGGCACCTACGACCCTTACTCCAGTCAGCGCAACCTCGCACAGCACCCGAGCTGGGGCCGCGGTTCGCGCCACCAGCCACCGCAATACATCGACGAGGAGGAAGAATATGGCGATGACGCATGCGACATCAACGACGGCGCATTTGAGCTTGTCGGTGCTGCGCCCGGTCCGAGCCACTCCCAACGGCGTACGCGGTCTCCAGCACGGTATTCCCGCCATGCAAACGCGCGCAGACCGGAGATTCAAAAGTTTAGAACGAAAGTTCATGCCCCAGACGATACACGGTATATCATGATTGGGCCGACGATCGCGTTCGCGGAGTTTGAAAAACGTATTCGTGAGAAGTTCGGGTTCAAGTGTCCGCTAAAGATGAAGGTGCAAGATGATGGGGACATGATCACGATGGTCGACCAGGAGGATTTGGATTTGTTGGTCAGTTCAGCGAAGGAAGTTGCTCGAAGGGAGGGGGAGTGAAATGGGGAAGATCGAAGTGAGTGCCGATATTCCTTTGTGATCAATGATCAAGTACTGACCTTGTTTAGATATGGGTAGAAGAGCGCGCAATGATTTGATGCATGGCGACTGGTTTTATTCTCTGTGGATATTAGCATTGTGAATTTGTCTATACCCTGTTTTGCGTTATGGAGATACGATGCATGAGAAATAGTAAGAATTAACTACTTTCGATATAGCCTTGGCTCTTCGGGATGAGTTCCTCCAACTGTTGTACAGTAAGGAAAATAATTCAAGATATGAAGCTCAGAAGAACCTACAGAAACCCCGGAGGATACCTGCCGTTTCCCATAAGCCCAGGCCCAGGCCCAGGCCCAGGTCCCAGATCAGGCCTTCAACGATGAGAGGCTAAGGTTTCTTTGCCTATCAGCCCCAAGATTGCCACCCGACGCTTAATTCCCCTTTCGAACAATCGAAGAAAAAAAGAACAATTGCCCCTGTCGCGACCAAGTTGCCATACTGTGTAGAAGAAAACTCAGCTCCTTGGCTATGGCCATGTGTGGAAGGGGAAGGCTTCTCTATCCGCAAATGAGAGGTCGAGTTCGCATCTCGAACGCGATCCGCAGGGTTTGACAGGACTCGGCAGGACCCAGTCGGCAATGTTGCCACCAATCAGCAATTATTCTGGCTTGTTTATTCTTGGTAATGGAATGGAACATTGGAAGGAATACGCCCGCAGTAAGAGATTTCGGGTGTAAGAGATCAAGGTTCGGACGGTGACGAAAGTGTGGAGACACTTTTCCAGGGTTCATCACAAGCTTTACCATCTCCACCGTCGCATTCAAATATGGAGATGCCGCTGAATACTGAATGGCATACTTTCTGATTCTATTGCATTTGCATTTACTGCGTACTCTTTAATCATGGGCTCAGATAAGCTCTCAGATATGGATTCCTCCAGTGGCAGTGGTCAATCTGGTGAAGTCAAAGGTACCTAAGATCTTCGTACTACATTCCTTCGGGCCCTTCCCCGGATAAACCCAAACCGAAAAGAACCAACCCTAACACCTGATCAAACAGACACCGTCCAAACCCCCGAACGCGAAGCCAAAAACAGCACCCGCGAAGAAGGCAGCAAACGCAAAAACCTCGGCTCAAACCCAACTTACAGTCTCGCCGGCGACGGCGCACCAAACCCAGCCAACAGCAAGGGACCCTTCCTAGACAAGGATTACCAGTCCTACAACCCGCAATATGGAAAACCAGATGAGAATCCAACATGGAGTCTGGCATCGCCATTACCACACATTATGCGTCCTGGTATGCGCCATGGCGCATTACCCGAAGACAGAAGCGAGGACGCGGAAGCCAAGGCTATCGGACAGGATGACGACTTGTCTCCTGAAGCGAAGCAACAGCGTTCGCGGGAGGCTCGGCAGAATAGGATTAATGGGCCTCAGGAAGATGGGTTCTTTAACGCTTGGTCGAAGATTAGACATAAGTTTCGGGAGCCGTTGGCTGAATGGTTAGGTGTAAGTCATTGCATTAACTATTCATATACAAGCCAAACCAAAAGACCAGTTGCTAATAAAAATACAGACAACAATGGCAATGACCCTCGGCCTCTGCGCCACCTTCTCCAACTTCACATCCGGCGGCCAAGCAGGATCCTACGCAACAACCGCCGCAGCCTGGGGCTTCGGCTTCATGGTCGCCATCTACACGACCGGTGGTATCTCCGGAGGTCACTTGAACCCAGCCATCTCGATCTCAATGTCCGTCTGGCGTGGTTTCCCAGCCCGGAAGTGTCTGATATACATTACGGCGCAACTCCTCGGCGCCATTACCGCCGGCGGCATCGCATACGCCATCTACCACGATGCCATCGTGCAGGTCTCGACTGCGGCCAAGGTACCGCAGAACCAGAGTGTGGCGGCGCAGGCGTTGATCACGCAGCCGAAACCGTTTGTCAATCCGGCCACGGCGTTTTTCACTGAGTTCCTCGGTAGCGCCATCTTGTTTGGTGTTGTGCTTGCGCTGGGTGATGATTCGAATGCGCCTCCTGGGGCTGGTATGCAGGCGTTTATACTTGGGATTCTGATTTCGGTTATTGTTCTTGCTTTGGGGTATAATACTGGAGGGTATGTTGGCAACTTTCTTTATTTTCTCATTAAAGTAGGTTAATGCTAACATCTATGATAGTTGCTTCAATTGCGCTCGCGACTTTGGCCCTCGACTCGTTGCCGTCATGGCCGGGTGGGGTGGACAGCTCTTCCGTGAGACTCATGCTTGGTGGGTCTGGGGCCCGTGGATGGCGGATATCAGTGGTGCCTTGTTCGGTGCTTTCGTGTACGACATGGCTATCTTCACTGGCGGCGAGAGTCCAGTCAACTATCCTCCGCGACGACGCAAGCGCGCGTACCGTGTGCGGATGTTGAACCTCAGGAAGAAGCTACGGTTTGGAAAGCATAAAATCGGGGATCTGGAGAGGTCTGTGGATGAGACGGAGGAATGATGCAGTTGTAATTAGATATTGTTTTTGTCGCGATAGAAAAAAGCATGGCGTTTCGGTTCGTTTCATTCGTTTATTCGTTTTTTTTTTTTCGTTCGTTTCCATCCTTCGGAGTTCCATCATTCCCTTGACGATAGCAGCTACAGCATCATCTGCCGCTTGGTAGTAGAATTGAGCGAGTGTCTCCGTTGTTTCCGCATATCATGCTCATTATCCAGTAGGGCCTTCTGCACACATCGACTTCCATCCGGATTGTGCTTCACTCGGTCGTCATTGAGGATGTCGGTGAGGGTTGCCTTGATTTGGTGCTGGCATTCGAGGACTTGGTCATCGGCGTTGCCAGAGTCGGCCGGTTGGTTTTCCTTTTCCTTTTGCTGAGGCAGTGTGGATGAGGTGACCGAACGAGTCAAGGAGGGATTCGACTTTGGATTCGAGTTTAGGGTGGGTAGCTTGATAGCCGTGGCCGTTGGTTTGTTCTGAGGACGTGCCATTTTGGATATGTTGATGGCAGTGGTAGGCCGTAGGAGTGATTGAAGCGATGGGTTTGACTTGATCGGAGATGAGTGGAAGTTGTAGTCTTGTAGATTGTAAAGGGCAGATAGTTGAGAAAGCAAGGTCATTAAAGATCATTAATATAGTACGTAGTCAGCCCTGGAAATACCTGGAACAAAGAGGACATGTCGCTAAGGTGACGACAGACCTGAAACTGGGATTTCCTGTAAGGCTGTAACAGACAGTAACACCAGTATTGATATTTACTGATTCCACCAATCATCAAATGTTATTCTGTTGATTTAGTTCTGGCCTTTTTTTGCAATTCAATATTGCCTGGTTCAACTGACTGTTGATGGCCTATCAAATTATTGATCTCCCATCTCCACTGAGTCCACTCTGAGTCCACTCTGAGTCTATGGGGTTTTCGCCACTTGAGGACCCTGAGACGGCGAGATCAGGCTAAGTTGGCTGATATCTGCATTCTGCTTGACAGTGCTGGTCACTTAATAGACAGTAGATTGAGTAGAAGGCAGTTAGATAATAGATACTGAGGCCATAAGCCATTCCTCCATAGGTAACCTCTGACTCGGACTTCGTTACCGCCTGTTTCCAAAGCAGTAGAGCTCCTGGCCAGGATTTAACTGCCATCCGTGTCAGCGTCATGTGGGGAAAGAGTGGCCTGGATCAAGTATTCTTCCGGATCCACATCTACTGGCCTTGGCCCTCCCCTATGTTTATCTCTGCTCTTGAAATACTGTACAGTAAGTAGTAAGGGTTCCTACAGAACTCCTTCGCTTCATACTATGATACTCCTAGAGTTTCCGGTCAACAGTGTTACAGTGGAGAGGGTACAAAGCAGTACTCCAACCTTTGCACAGATCATTCGGACGCGCCTTCTATTCCGGTCCAGGGTACTCGGATTCCCGAATGTAGCAAATCAACCGACTTGATCGGAACCAGGGTCTTCAGTTCCCCCGCCCATGCCTACATTCTAGATCTCTAGTCCAAGTTCCAGGTTTACATGCCCGATTCTTTGTCCACGGAGTCCATGACTTAGCTGATTGGGATATCTCAATTCTCGACCCATGGGCCATCCTTTGTGTTAGCCTTTTTCTCTAGACTTGATAATTCTTCAGCATTCAAGACAATCTGAACTGGACTACCAGTCTAAGCGGGACAATTACAGCCGACACATTCACCAGAAGCTGTCTGAGCGGTACTATGGGTACCCTGCGGAGACAATCATCCAAGAAGGAACAATGAGGTTTACCCATCACGCGCAAATCCACTACTTTCCTCACATGTTGAACTTCGTTATGAAAACTATCTTGAAGTCTGGCAACGTCTTCAAGGAGATCAAAGGCTTCTTTATGCGAACTAGCGTAGAAAGTCTTCATGATAGGTTTCACTTTTCACCCCAAGTTTAGGATGTGAACAAAGCAGCGGATTTGGGAGTGACGGGTGAACTTCATTGTGCCCTCTTGGATGATTGTCTCAGCCAGGTACTGATCGTACCTCCACTCAGACAATTTTTGGTGAAGGTACCAGGGGGCTTTGGGCGGCCCCCCCCCCCCCCCCCGGACCCCCAGCCTTAATTGCTGAGCGTTAGCTTTATCCAAATCTTTTAAATGCCAGTCTTGTGACCGACCAGGAGATGGCATGCCCCAAGTGCAAAGCGCAGAAGAAGCGCTGCACCCACCTCACCAATCCTGCAGCTGTACCAACCCCGGCTATCAAAATCATGATAGCCTGGTGCGCCCGCGGCCCAATATTTCTTGAATTGACGATTATTAGTGGGACCAGCAGATCTCACAGGCTATCATGATTTAGATAGCCGGGGTTGGTACAGCTGCAGGATTGGTGAGGTGGGTGCAGCGCTTCTTCTGCGCTTTGCACTTGGGGCATGCCATCTCCTGGTCGGTCACTGTTGACGTGTGCTTGGTCAGTTGTAATGGTTTCTCGATGGAAAAATAAGAAGTGATGGACAGGGGAGATTTACTAATGGTGGATGTGATGAGAGATTGCTTGAAAGGTTTTAAAACGGGTCGTCGCGACGGCGTAATGAGGTGCACGTATTGAGATCGTTGCAAGGGGGTTTCGAGAGAGAGAGAGAGCAAAAGAGGAAGAAGTTGATTGTGGGAAGCAAGCGTCGACGTTATATACGACGACCTCGACAATCAAAGGGAAGTCATGAGACTAGGCAAGGCTCTCACAATGCTCTTACACTCAGAAACTGCATCCCTCACACAATAGCCAGTAATCAGTTACGATTCGTTACGAAACTCATTGACCACTGGGCAGATTCAGGAGCAGCAATACAACAACGTTCTTTCCAGACTAGTGTGTACAAATTATGGCCACAGTTCCGTCTGGTTCCATTCAGCATCCTCATTACAGCTACCTCCCGTTTAACTTTCAACTCCATCTCTGGCCATCTTCCTGATCGGTAAGGTCTAGAGACTAGACGTTAGCAGAGGGGTGGTCATGTGACTTATGACATGACCCACATGTTTGACAGCTTTCCTTTCTTAGCCAGCGCTTACACCGCCTATATTCTGCCACCCCAGGTTCCTAAACGGGAAGTCTATTTTCCTCTCCCATGTAAATGTTCGGCTATATTTAGCAAATTACGTGAATCAGATATCCCCAGTCAAGTGGTCGACTGGGGAAGTCGTGAGGTCGCCGAAAATCTGACTTCGCGATGTCTCGAGTTCGAAACCGACATGCGAGACAAAAATACCAGTCCCGGTCAACTGGGGAAGTCGCGAGGACGAGGTCGCCGAAAATCTGACCTTGCGACGTCTCGAGTTCGAAACCGACATGCGAGACAAAAATGCCAGTCCCGACGAACTCCCGTGATGACCACGACCTGATCTCCCTCTTCTCTCACTTCTCCTTGAGACCTCAATCTTATAACAGTCCGAGAGAGAATTGATATCATTGAGTCATTGACCTCCCCTATTAGGGGAAATGTGCTGCCAGATGTGTACGGCCGTTATTTTACATCACGGTCCATGATTGTGCGGTACTGCCAACTATGTCAGGCGGTCTAGTCTATGGTCGTTGTCGCGTTGTAATCCCTAGATTTCAATCTCCTTTTTGATGTTTCTAGGTGATTATGTTTTTGTGGATTAACACTCACCCCCCGTCGTACAGCATGGCCAGTCTAGACGGAATCACCCACTGGTAGTCGAATATGTTCACACTTGGCATAGGTATTTGCCCGCCTTCTGTATTGCTTACTCTGTTGGATAATTAGGTTGCTTCGTGCTTCCTCCCTCAAAGAGCTTCATATCAATGACGGATCAGTGCAGCAGCGCTCACCTGTTTGCTAGTCACGTTTGCATCGTTTACAGAAGTGGGCTACATCAAGCTCTCCGTCTCCTACTTCTCTTCCTCCTTCTTCCACTTCTCTCAGGATGCTCGTTCAAATGCATATTATCATTATAAGGCTCTTCATGTACATCTATTCCTCCTTCTTTCCCTTCTCCCAATATTCAAAATACTCATGCACTTCCAGAGTTATCTGCCTCATAGGTCCCACGGTGACTGATACTGACTCATAGTATATAAAGCTCTCCGTCTCCTGCTTCCGGTCTTGCTCCTTCCACTTCCATCTCTCTCCAATACTCTCATTTGATGCCACTCCGTCCATTTGACTGGGACTTGGTGGAAGCCAACTTGATTGACAATCTTCACGCAGACTTGTCATGAGGAACGAGTTGAGTGGATGCAAGAACAGCGACAAGGTCCAGACCCCAACACATCATGCGACAGTTCCCGATCTCGGGTCATCACTCATCATTATGAAACAAACTTGTCGCGCGAAGTTATATACGGACAATCCCAGTCATTGACCTCTTTGCCTCTTATACGCTGATTCATCGGTGTCATTCAACCTCGTAAAACTGAACAATCAGTCACATCCTCGGCTCTTATAAACTCATTCATCAATGGCCCTCTTATAAATTCATCACTGTCGTTTTATTGGCACTGAGCTCGCTGCATATACGGTGGCCACTTCGACTGCTCCCCTCAGTAGCCCTATTTATACTGGGCTCGGAGACTACAACATAGCGGCCGGGATATCAATCGACAATGAAAGCCAGCACATAGTGGAAGCCTGTTCAGATTGCCGGGATCCACTCAAGGGGCGCTCAAGACGGCCGAGGCTTCCCTTTGATCGTCGTCGTCGTATATAACGTCGTTGATGTTTGTTCAACTTCTTCCTCTTTTGCTCTCTCTCTCTCGAAGTCAACGCCCACCCTTGCAACGATTCCAATATGTGCAAGCGCATGGTCGAATTTGACAAGCGAGTATAGAAGTCCAGGTCAAACCGGAGAACATTCTTCCAAGGTTGCACTGCCTGTGACGCCTGGCAAGGTTTGGAGGAAGGAACTTGCTGGAATAAGTCTCGTGACTTGAGGGGAACGAGTGTGCAGGACTGGCATAAAAGGTTCTCTCACAGCTGTTCTTCTTCTTCTTTTCCTCCTCTAGTTCTGTTACTTTCGTTAGCGCACAGGCTACAGGAATTCCAGCTTACTTTTCCTACTGGCCGTCACATTGCCGGGATCACACAAACATGGCACACCAGGCGAGTGCAGTCGTTGCAAAAGCAGCACATGTCCCCCGCGTGTCGGAAGCGCGAAAAAACAACTTTGAGTTTGGGAACCCCACGTCGTCCTAGTTCCAACCTTGCGCAACTCAGTCACAAGACAGTGGCCCCTGCTCTACCTCCTATACCAACGTCACATGCTCAGCCACCGGAGGGCGGAACCCGTCTCATTTACGTCCTGGGTACGAGGCAGCCCATGGAGATCGGTCTTAATGGTACATATTGACCTCTCATACTGGCCTCTCCTTGTTGGACAAAACAAACACTCTACAGAAAAGCGTCCATACATCAGCCATAGTATGTCCTTTAATGCTATGGTTAGAGCGCATACCACACCAACCGAAAAGAGGGCAACTATCTCATACTTCCGGAAAGCACTCGGCTGGCATTACCTTCGCTGGTATCATCATAGGGGCCCGCCAAGGCCAGCGATAAGATTCAATACCAGACATAGGCTCCAACGGGCGGCGGTGACTTGGTACAAAGCTATACGGGGAGCTGAAGATGAAGGCCAACGATGACTTCAATTCGTTCTACGCGGAATTCTCCCGTCTTGCTCTGGAGTCGAAGCGCGACGAGGAGCTGCAGAAGGATGGTCTGTTCGAGAGACTCCCGTACCAGTTGCAGACGTTGGTGGCTGGAGAGGTGTACAAGGACGACGTGACCATGCAAGATTTTGTTGACTCCTGTCGACGCGGTGCGATCGCCATGACTCGCATGCAACTCCCGAACCGCTTCAAAAAGTCGGAATCAAGCACTCACCAGGCACCTGTGGATTCCAGGCTTTCGACGCCTGCACCTATGACCTCGGACCCTTGCGACGGACCTATTTGCTTCCCTCGCCTGCGACCAACCACCCTCCAACCCTGACGATCCCTACTCTGATGCCGCTGTCTGTTCCTCCGTGCCTTGAACGAAGTCGGTTTGACTTATTGGAATTGGATTTCCTTGCGATTGTGACGGTTAACGAGTACCTGAGGCAAGTGCTCAGGCAAGTGCTCAGGCAAGTGAAGCAGACAGGGCCACTTCTATAGAACGAGCGTCCACTCCAGAGGCCGATTCCGTTCAGGCTCTAAGATAAACGAAAAAGAATTCCTACTCCTAGAAGCTATCTGTCCCAGGGTACCAGCAATCGACATATTCCAGGTTCACACGCGGCTGGGAATGGATGCCCAGTTCCGCATAGCCACTGAGCATCTGGAGGGTGACCAATCATTCAAGGACTACCTAACGTGGCTTCAAAACAAAACCTCGCCAAGAGGTATTGCACGAGAGCCCTTCTGGTATCCTTACGAACAACAATGTCGAGTGTACCAGTTGATAGACTCAGAACCCAGGGAAGGGGAGAGGGCCTATGTTTGCAACGAGGAACTTGTCAATGCCTCACTCCTAAGTTTCTTGCAAGCAATATGTGCGACACACCCTAATGTGGATAGTGATTGGAACCCGGCTCGTGTGCATCTAACTAGGACCGTTTTGAGATTCTCACGGACCATCAGTCCCTGGAATATTTCATCGCGGCAAGGCAGATGAACCAGCGACAGGCTCGCTGGAGCGAATTCCTGTCCCAATTCCACTTCCTCATCCGATATCAACCAGGTAAACAGAACATTATTGCTGATGTCCTGTCCCGAAAAGACACGCCATGTACTGACAACGGACGGTACCTCACGTTGCTACCCAGGACTTGCTTCGAGGGGGAATCAACAGCACTGGCTCCCTTGGATTTCGGGGACGTCAAGAAGGGCAAGGAAACCGGATATCTCCGCCACGTTTCTAGCCTGTCCTGCCAGGTAGCGAGGAAGAGTTTTGTTGATTGTTTACCTCCTGCTCTTCTCTTTCCAGACTTGTTACCCTGTATGCAGTACGGCAACAAATGATCTTATTTTTGTTTCTTTCTCTTCACGAGCCAGCCATCGACCGTAACAGCGATGACATCCCAGTATTCGATTATCAATGCAGCTATCTCTCCAAGGCAAAGGCGTCAAACGATGCCTCACAGAGGTGGTTGACGGTCTGGGAGTCACGCTCACAGAGTGCTGTGATTATAGGACATTAGACGGCCCAAAAAAGGCGATATCTACTCATCTGGAGGTATGTATAAGCTAGAATATCTACAATTACCTTTAAAAGGTCCTTTTTGAGGGTGGCATGATGGGTCTAAATGGACTGGTTGAAGGAAAATCATGAGTTCAGGAAGTTCAGGTCGCCACGTCGTATTCCCCAATGATACTCACAAAGCCTTGAGTGTAAAAGATCTCGCGTTCTAGAACTTGTGGTAAATGTAAAATAATAGAAAATAAATATTTCACTTCGTATCTATACTCAAAGCAAGCCCGAAGGATGGTCAGGAGTGTGGTTGTTGAGATACTTGACGGCAAAATGTTCGCGCTGATGGTGAGGTCGTTTCCAGCTAACCGAATCTTAGCCAATATACCTCAGACGGAACTTCTGAGCTGACCAAACTTGGTTAGGTAGGTCATGTGAGCATGAGCCAGCGAATCATGTTCCGTCTGAGCATGCTGAGGTATGTAGCTAGGTGTGTCCATGACCCTGACAATACTTGCATTTGATGCTGATGTAGATATGGCCCATTTGCTATGCACGCGATAGACCGAGCTGACCAAACTTGGTTATGTTCCGTCTGAGCATGCTGAGGTAACCCGGTGCCGGCCACATTACTGACGAGGGCTTTGGCTTTGGCTACCAAATAACTGAAATAAGGCAGGTTTCCACTCCTGTGGGTATTTCCCCTCGCCATGGAATGGGCAGCTGTCAGGGCAGTGAAAGCTTATTCCGATTCGGCTTCACTGTCCGTTGCGCCTGTCAAGGCCAACTTGCCTTCTGGCTCTGTTAGGTGCGTCGGCAGAGACTGAGGAGGTCGCCACCACTAGCACCGCGAGATTCCCCGCCAGGTCTTGGTCGCAATCATGTCTGCAGAGGTGCCAACGGCAGGCACAGTAATCGCACTGAACAATGGGCCGGCCACCTTATGTCGTGCTGGCACACCACGGCGGTCGTCACGGCCTCTTAGCAGCGAGGTGGAGGACTGTGATCCTCCTGTAGGCCAAGGACGGTTATACCTATCGCGAGCTGTCATGCGGCTCATTGACTTCGCAGCCGCTTGGCCGGCGGCCCTAAGTTTGCGAGGCATTTTGGATATGCCTTGATCGGTACTGGAGCGCAAATGGAGCGCAAATGGAGAGGGACAGTTCATGTTGTTCCGGTTCAGATGGGTATAGATAACGTACGGAGGCGTTCGGTCGGGTCCATAGTCCATACATCACTTGGTCGACTATATCGCAGGGTTTCAGCAACCAGGGCGCCCGGTGGCTCTCCCATCTTAACCTCCTCGGGCTGGAAGCCACGAGAGGTCATGGCGGGGGTTCCCAGACGCAGACCGCCGGGCTTGAGGGCGGCCTTGTCACCAGACACGGTTTTCTTGTTGCTAGCAACTCCGCAGAGCTCGAGAACCCGCTCCACGCGAGCACCATCGACGCCGCGGTTCTTCGGGTCCACAAGCACAAGGTAGTTATCCCGCCAGACACAATGTTATAGCCAAGTCCACCGTTGTTGGTGGAAGTACCCAGGCGCTCAGCCAGAGCAGAGGCATTAAGGAGAACTGTCTTCTGGGAGGCCTCGAAGTCGGGTGACTGAGCCTACTTGAGGGCCACAGGGAGTGCGGTAATAGTGTGGTTGTGAGGGCGACCCCGGTAGCCCGGGAAAACGGATGCGTTGTTCTCCAGATCGTACATCGGAAGAATAGCCTGGGAGCAATCTAAGTGAATGATCAGCTCGGAAACTTGCTTCTGGTTCGGACGTGGATAGGGTACGCACTTGTTTGCATGACGATGCCGTTCGCCGTATTGATGGCAGCATCGGCGATGGCCGAGATGATGGCCACGCCATCGTGGATCAACGGTGCTCATGAGCATGATGATCCACGAGGGACGGATCTCCAGTTGCTCGCAGCTCAAAGATCGGCGTCTCAGACAATCTCCAATGGAGGTCGACCTAGACTTGGTGATAACAGTTCCTCATAAGTGATCTTTGACTTTTGTCAGGCAACTTGCTCCAAGTGGAGGAGGAGTGTCTTTGAGTTCCATAGTCGGAGAGAAGGCGATGCCTCCTGTGTCTCCATGTCGTGAATCAACGGTGCTCATGAGCAAGACTATGGAACTCAAAGACACTCCTCCGCCACTTGAGCAAGTTGCCTGACAGAAAGGCAAAGATCACTTGTGACGAACTGTTGTCACCAGATCTAGGTCGACCTCCATTGGAGATTGTCTGAGACGCCTATCTTTGAGCTGCGAGCAACTGGAGATCCGTCCCTCGTGGATCATCGGAGAGAAAGTGATGCCTCCTCTGTCTCCATGTCGTCTGCAGTCGTCAGTATCAACTTTCGTCATGGAGATGGTCTGCAGGGTGATGCATAAGAGATGGAGGAGATGGAAGAGGTGGAAGAGGTGGAAGAGGTGGAAGAGGTGGAAGAGGTGGAAGAGATCCTTACAGAGTGAAGAGTGAGACGAGGGGTGGAGCGCCCCTCGAGGCAGCGAGGCCGCCGACGCCGAGGCCGCCAACGTCGAGGCCGCTGACGTCGAGGCCGCTGACGTCGAGGCAGTGAGCCAGCCGAGGGAAGGACGCGCTTGGGGCCCTTGATTTCCTACTCGGACGTCATGAGGCGCCTCGTCAACCGATTCCGCAGACCAGATCAACCAGGAACTTCGTTGTGGCAGGTATATTGACTGGTCTGGGGATGAAGGTTGATGGGGAATCAATTGAGAAAGGGGAAGATGAAGTAAGAGAGAGGGAGGGCACGACTAATCACGCGAGCATATGACCTACAGCTTTGGAACGACATAAGCGCTTGCTATACCTGGACCTTGGACATGAACAGATCGTTTAAGGCGAGCGCATTGGAGGGACGTGTCACATTGTGCTTTTGTGAGGTTGCGTTGCCGCTCACACTTCACCACGACATCATGCCCACTGATATTCGTGTCTGGACAACCCACCTGCTTCCTTTTCTCAAACGGTTGATCTTCACCCATGTTCAGTCCAGTATCTACTTACACGGCTGTGCGACACATGGGATTGTGTAGTGTCCTGCGTTGACTGGTAGGTTTGCTAATCGATTGAGACCAACTACAAGAGCCATGGATGGTTCGGTCAACCCTGAGTTATGACAAAGTGAAACGTGTTCCGATGAGTCGTGGGGTGCACTTCTCGTACTGGCATCCATCTCAAAGCCAAAGCAGAAGCCGAAAGATGGCCTGGCAGAGAACTGAGAGTAGCCGCAGGCCGAAGGGGAAAATCTGTCGTTTGATCGATGATGCACGCATCAAACGACATTCTACGCGCTGCAGGGGCCAATGGCTCGTATAACCCCTCTTTGGTTCCTCGCCGACTGATATATACCCAGTTCGGCCATATTACTCGCCTGGTGGACGCTTTACTTGAAGTAAGTTATATTCTGCATTCCCCGCGAAATGCAAAACGACCAACGAAGCCAAAACCTGTCACACCAACCTATATCCCATCCATCTGGCGTAATTTGCGGATAACCGCCCTTTCAACTGAGTATGCGCATTACGCCCGGACAGCATACTTGAATGTCTTTCCGAACCTTGGCCAGCCCTTCGTTATCAACAGGAAAAGCCATACAGTGGGCTTCCATGTAAGTCTTCGTCTTGTAATTCGTCAGATTTTGCGCCTCATTTTCATTCTACCTACACGGTTGCACGCATATTCCAAACCTCCTAGCCCGACTCCCCGTCTATCAAGGCGGGATACTCCCCCTGTTTGGCAGGTGGGTAGCTGATACGCTGTGCCTTGCGTATTATGGAGGCTCCGGGCAGCCGCAGTATTCACTGGAGGGTCTTTGGTGTTGTCAATGTTTTGTTAGAAAAGTAGTAGACTAGGTAGTGAGTAAAGATAACTATAAGTAAGTTCCCAGGGCCCAATGGGAGTGATATCGAGAAGTAATGAGCCGCATGAAGGAACAGAGACATAAAGACAACCCTAGTTAGTTACCACGGGGATAGTTAAGTCCGGATGCCGGAGAGACCAACTGCGCAGTGACGTTGGGTGGATCGACGATGTGTACATAGAAATCAACAACACCTCCACAATTCAGACCATGTCACACCCGCAATGACCGACCTCACACCCACCATCAACGAGCTTCTCACAAAGCAAGGCTCACATATCCCTCCCAGACCTCCCAGTACAGAAACCGCAGATGAGTTCCTAAAGGAGGCATACCGAATTGTAAGCTATTCCCTCCCAGCAACCCCCCACAAACCCCCTTCCCCCCAAGTCTAGAAGCGCCATACCATATCTAACAAACCCCAGAACTCACACATCCACTCCCTCCTCCAATACCTCCACTCCATCCGTCACGCCTACCTCTCAACCCAACCGCAACGGCGCAACGCGCCAACAAAACCCCCCCCAAAACACAACCCAAATCCTCACCGACCCCGAACGCGACGCAATCGACACATCAACAGCCCTCCTCCTCCGCGACCTAGCAACCTCAATCGCAAACCTCTCATCCGCCGAATCCCTCCGCCAAGAAACATCCTCCACCCTCCTCCACCAGAAATACGGCCACTCAGCCGCCGGCGCCCTTCTGCGCCGCTGGGCCGGTGGAAACAGCGCACTTTCCGAAAATGAAGGCAAGTCTGTCGAGCAGGTGCAAGCGGAGGAGAGCGCGCGGGCGCTGGCCGCTGTGCGCGAGAGCGTGCTTTGGTTTCTGCGGCGCGGGCTGGAGGGGGCTGTCGGTGTGCAGCGGGGGATGGTTGAGAAGCGGATTGAGAGGGTGAGGGAGAAGGAGAAGAGTGTGCTCTATAAGGTTGCGGCGGGGAGACCTGCTGGTGGGAATGGTGGTGGTGGGCGGAAGAGTTCTGTATCGTCGGGACAGCAGGTGGGGAGGGGTGGGTTTGATGCTGGTTACCAGGCGCCTGATGCGGTGGTCTTGAGTGAGGCGGATACGGCAAGGATTGAGGCGGAGCTTTCGCCGGAGCAATTGCAGCTTTTTGAGGAGGAGAACGATACTATGTTGAGGCATTATGAGGATACATTGGGGAAGGTCCAGTATGTCCTGACGTGGAGCTGGTTTCCTTTATGGATGGGACTTTGCTAATTTTTGGATTAGGAATGCGGAGAAATCATTACTTGAGATCTCCTCTTTGCAGGAAACTCTTGTCTCTCACCTAGCTACGCAGGAGGAGTTTGTCTTCCAGCTTGTGGCGGATGTGGATACGACGTCGACGAATGTTGGGCAGGGAAATAAGGAGCTGAAGCGTGCTACTGAGCGGCGGAGTACAGCTCAGGCTGTCTTTTGGGGTACTGTTGGGTTATGTACATGGCTTGTGGTCTGGGATTTGGTCTTTTAGTCCGGAGACTCTCCTGGAAGCTGGACTCAGGTTCGATATTCTTATCTTTGCACCGCTAGCCCATTTTCATACGATACCTTTATGTCTATTCCGCATCCAAACGGTTTCTACTCAATTGATGCCATCTGATACCATCAATTCTATTGATATGACATGGAACAAAGTAATCCCGCGATTGAATGCATTGCTCTTATGGTTTACATGTGATGCATGTGACAACAGACCCACAGCAGATAGTCCCGAGATTAAGGCCGAGAAAAAGATAAATCACGATTACATCGTGCCGAAATATCTTTGAAAAGCAAAAAGAAAATAAAACGCCAGGCCAAGTCTCTTCCCCCGAGTATTTCCACTCGGAATTTAAAACCGGGGTATCAGGTAGACAATTCAACTAAGCAGACTCGCGTACAACACTATCGACTGCCTCGGCGAAGTAGTCGATGTTATTCGTGTTGAGGCCAGCCATGGAAATGCGACCATTCTTCGTCTGCAGGAAGACGTTAGCACCAACTCATCAACCAGAACGATAAGAGGGGGAAAGAAACATACCATGTAAACATGCCACTTAGTCCGCAACTTCATAACCTGCTCCTCAGACAAGCCAGTAAAACTAAACATGCCAATCTGGGAGGTAATATGATCCCACGAGCCAGGCGTCCCACGCTTCTCCAACCTCTCCCGCAACCCACTCCTCATCTCCAAGATCCTCCCACTCATCGTCCTCAAATCCGCCTCCCACTCCTTAAACAGCTCCGGATCATTCAGCACGCGACTGGCAATGCGCGCGCCATACGCAGGCGGGTTCGAGATCTCCGAGCGCTGCAGGATAGCCAGCTGCGAAGCAACGTGTGCGGAAGAGAGAGCTGCGTCCGGACCGGGAGCGGAGACGAAGTGGAAAGCACCCGTGCGCTCGCCGTAGAGGCCGAAGTTCTTGGCGAAGGATTGCGCGACGCACAGCTCGAAGCCCTGCTCGACGAAGTAGCGGATGGCCCAAGAGTCGCGGACCAGGTCGCCGGAGGCGAAGCCTTGGTAGGCGGTGTCGAAGAAGGGGAAGTGCGAGCGGGCGCGCATTAGTGTGGCGATCTGCTTCCATTGGTCTTGGGTTGGGTCGACGCCGGTGGGGTTGTGGGCGCAGGCGTGGAGGAGGATGACGGAGCCTTCGGGGGCGGACTGGAGGGCGGAGAGCATGCCGTCGAAGTCAAGACCCTTGGTTTGGACGTGGAAGTAGGGGTACTTGGCGATTTTTAGGCCGACGTTGCTGAAGATTTGGTGGTGGTTGGCCCATGTTGGGTTGGAGAGGTAGATTGTGGGGTTTTGGGGGTGGAATTTGGCGAGGAAGAGGCCGCCGAGGTGGACGGCGCCGGTGCCTGAGATGGTTTGCAGGGAGCAGATTCGCTTCTCGCGGATTGCAGGGCTGTCTGCACCGACGATGAGTTTCTGAGCCGCTGATGTGAACTCGGCGAGACCACCGATTCCGAGGTATTCGTGGTTGACGGTGGGATCGTTGTGGATAGCGTCATCGGCCTATAAATAGATGTCAACAAACTTGTTACACTTAAAAGGAGACACTAGAGAAATCATCACCTTCTTGACAACGGGCAGAATCCAGGGCTTCGCGTTGTTATCCCGGTAGGCGCCAATGCCCAGATCGACCTTCTTATCGGAGGGGTCCTCGCGATAGGCCTTCATAAGACCGAACAAAGGATCTTCGGGGGCGGCCGCCACCCGGGCTGCGGTGAATACTGAAGGACTGGAGGAACCCATGATTTGTGAGGATAGGGAGGAAAGACGGTCTCTTGCAGACATGATGGGAAAACAGATTATATTAAGGCAAAACACGTGAGTTGGGTTCCCCGGAAAATGACACCGGGACGGGATATTCCTGCTTGCGTTCACCGGATGAGGGGGTGGAGATCGAATTGGGGTTTGTAGTAATACAAGGAAAAATAAAAATATAAATATAAAAAATGTATGAAAGATGAAGTTCTAGTCTTTCTCTTATATCGTTCTCTTCTTATATTCAAGTCATATCCTCGGTGCACAAGATACCGAGGAACTTTCCGTATCTACCCTTCTTTCCCCGGAGTGGAGTTCACATGCCTGTCATAGTTATCCAGGCACGATGTACGGAGTCCTCCGTACACCTACAAAATCAATATTTATTATTGTTCTCCTTCAGATCATACCAAGACAAACAGTCAGTCAGTCACTGACACCAGATTGAAATCCGTGTCTCCAATGACTCATTTGCCCCGAATTCAACCTCCGACAGGTCACACTCGCCGACTGGAACCCGTGTGTCATACAACGCCGACGGAAAAAAGACGCACTGTGGAGACCCTTCTGGAAGGCGAAACCAAGATTGCATGACAGAATCTCGGCTCAGGGGTTGTCCTCTACACAGTAGGTTGAGTTCCGAAGGAAAACGCAATAAAGACCGAGAAATGCTACTTCAACATCCATGCTTTCCCCATGCCTAATAGAGTTGACGGGAATATCCGCGGGTAAATTCGGTGCGGAGACAATAGAAGACAAAATATTCTCCCCTTACTTTGAAATTAGGTATCTCCAACAGACTTGGCCCTTCTAGAATACCCGCATAGAGTAGCCATATCCGTGACATAACTGTAAATCCCCCCACACTCGGCCCCAAAATAACTCACCTGATCTTGGGGACTCCGGAAAAGTGGCTACACCGTGCTTCCAAGACGGACTTGCTCCGGCTCCAGCCGTTCCCCACAGATTTGTTATCCGTTGGAGAAGTTTGAGGGCATAATGTTAAGTGCAGATTTTATGAGCATAAGTACTGGAGATGGGCTTGCTAAATACCCCTCATGTGTGGTTTGAGTTTCAAATAAATCAGACCATCGTGGCCAGCCGCTGATGCAATCGTCAGACGATCCCGGGCCAGAACACGACCTGCGGACCGGCGATCTTCATGTTTTTGCTCATGAGCTTTACCTCTGCCCTATGAGCCTGACAAGGTGATCATGATTCATGCGGTGGCTTTAGTGTCTTGGTTTAACCACATTTGGGAAGAATGAGTGGTTCACCATCAAAATAAAGCTGGGCGTGGCCTGCGGTTTCCGTGGTACTGGGATGACCTGCTGACCCCGTGCACAGCCTCATATCTATGCATACGCAGCTCCAAGGTTTATCTCTTCTCCGTAGATGACAAACACGTGGGATGTTAGCGTCTTGATTCGTAAATGGATGATGTGCTGATTTCTCATTTACGAGGACTCTCGGAAATAGAGAGTCAGTCCAAATTGGATGTACAGAATTTTGTGATTCCATCAAATATACGTGACTGCCAGTACATCCTAGTTCCCAAAAATATACATGAAGTATATACAAAGAAGACATAAGTACAGAAATATCAATGAGAGAACCAATCTCTCTTTGCCTCCAAACCCCGTTGTGAAACGCCAATGCTGGTTCGGAAAATATTCATGAAATGGACAAGAGGAAAAGAAAACCCAACCCAAATGGAGAGTCACAAGAACGCCTAGCCTCCAAGGACCTGAAATCATCTGAATCGTAGAGTCGAAAGGGAAAATATGTGCAAGTATAAGGCATGATATGTCAAGATATGCACCATGTGTTCATACATCATGAACTAGATTGCGTAAGATGGGCGGGAGCGGGAGCCGCCGGCGCGGGCGTAGCAGTTTCGGCGTCAGCGGAAGACTCAGCCTCGGAGCCGTGAGCGCGTGTTCGGATACGGAAGCGGTTGCGAAGTCGGGCGGCTAGACTGCGTCGGGCACCTTCTTCGGCGACAGCAGACTCGCCTTGGTTTGCTTCACGGACGCGACGTAGAGCGGCGAGACGCTCTTCCACCGTGGCGTCGCGCATGCGACGCGCGTTCAACGGGCCGTGCAAGTAGTTGGTGAGACGGCGGTGCGTGTGGCGGGCTTGCTGACGGGCTTGTTGGCGGGCTTCTTCCGTGGGCGGGGTTGCTCCGCCTTCGGTGGCTTGTTCAATGTGTTCGGCGTGATCATCGGTTTGCTCTGTGGTTTCGGATTGAGGTGGGTTGAGGTCAATGCGGCTGGGATATGGTTAGTTGGTTTCAGGTATGCGGAGACTGACGGGTTGGTATGGGAGACGTAGAACGTACCAAAGGGGACAGGTGCCAGAGACGTTCATCAGCCAGGGGTCAATGCATTCTACATGGAATTGGTGATTGCAGGGCAGTACACGTAGGTCTTGGCCCTTGACGAAATCGTCTGTGCAAATCGGACATGAAGGGTGGCCTGCATCGGGTACGGTTTCCGCCCTAGCTTCTGGGCCTGTGGGGGTGGGGCGTTCGTCCTCGTCTGTGGTGGGCAATTCAGACTCTGGAGCGGTTGAAACGGTAGCGGTCCCATCGCCCTCGGCTGTTGAGTGCTCGCGAGTGGGATCTTCAGAACCCATAGACATCTCGACATCTCGTTTGGCGGCTTCGACATCGTCGTTCCTCTCGTCAAACTTTACAATTGGAATAGTATCCAGCATCGCTCGAGCTATACCTCGGGCTCGGCTCTGTCGCACTCGTCCGGCAATGCGGCGAGGGCCATATCGTTCGGGATGGCGATGAGCTCGGATCGCACCCGTGATAATGATACCCAGGAACAGAGCCGTGATAACTCCCGTGATGCTGTAAAGGATGATCATGGCTAGAGCAGTAGTCAGTAGATAGTCCATGGCAGAGGCATAGGATGCAACCTGCTATTGTTGTGGGATAACGGACCGGTGTTGGGATTGTCACCGGAAGCTCCGGTATCCTCAGTGTCAGTACCGCCAGTTACTAAAGACATTGAGACGATACTGATGAATGGACTGAATGGATTGGATTGATCGAGAGCACGCCGGAGTGCCGAATAGCCGCCTCGTCGTTGGAAGGTGAAGATATTGGGGAATCGATCAGCTGTCTGGGCATCGGACGTGAAGTTGCAGTGTGTTGCTGATTTGCTATAGAGAATCACGGCCGCTGGATGAGCTAAGGTGACGTATTCAATTGTTTGGCCGACCCCGAGATAACCCTCGTTGTAGTCGTCCTGATCGCAGGATATAAAAGCGATCTCTGTGTCTTTTAAGTCGAGAGAATGGCCTGGGATGATTGAGGCAGTGCCAGTCAGATTGAAGGTCTAGTGATGTCAGCTATATTGCGCGTATAATGGATTTGGAATCCCGACCTCGAGAGTAAGGTCGGTCGCTTGAATCAATGCTTGGGTCAACGGGGCGAGGGTCTGACCACTCAGAATGGTGGAACCCCTAATGTGAAAGCCGCTGGACCGAATAGGTTTCTGGGTTATGTTTGATGGCAATGAAACCACATTTGCTTCGACTGATATGAATAAGAGAGAGAAGAGGAATAGCCTCATGAGGGAAAAGCACAAAATATGTGGGGGAGTTTATTAGTCAAAATGTGGATGATGCATATGAGAGAAACCGAAAAACCAGAAAATGAGGGGAGAGGATCGGCCCTAAACCGGGGGATCAAAGCGGATGACGATAAGAGTTGGATTTGAATTATTCTCTTCCATGGGACGGTTAAAGACTTATTACTCAACTCGATTATTTACATTACTCTGTTGAGTCTGTTCTACTTATAGCAGTTGTTCTCTACATAGCAATACAATCGATAACCACGTTGGTTCCAGGGTTGGCCTCCATTGACTTTCAAATCCCCCATGGCACGACGATCCGCACATATCACAATACCTATCACACTTCTATGGACACATCGATCGCCCGACCTCCGAAAATCCTCCGTCATCACAGGTAGATCCAGCTCAAAAAGGTGATCCGAATGTCATTGTGCGGCTGCCTATGAGCGAGTCGTTTTCGTATTCGGTCGCTCAACTTGCTGGATGTTGATCAAGCTCGGACTCCTGTCAACCGTCTTACCCGACACTGTGGACGTTGAATCCTGTGCTAACCTACTGTGTACCAAAGACTTCCGCATTTCTCGGGAAGTCCGAGCAATCACTCTAATCATCCCCATTCCCCAGATCCCCATGCTTTTGACGTGGTCCGGTACGGAGTACACTCGATAAGTTTCTTCAGGTGTAAGATATGATCGTTGCGCAATCAACGCTCCCCCGCAGATTAACCAACCCCGGGTTGGTTATTAAATTGACGATCCACCCGATGGCCCGTGTTAGTATCTCTGACACTCCCAAGGTAAGGGAGATACATAGAAATGGAAAAGCACAAGGAGAGGGTCGTGAACTGGACCGAAACCTTAATATCGTTTGCCCGAAAGTGAAATCCGGAGATTCTAAGTCAGCCGAATCCCCGCAAAACCGCTCGTCTTTTTATTGGCGTCAATGAGAGGGGATAGCCGTGGGATAATGGCCTCTCATATGGGATATACTTTCATAGCTCTATATTTTATAACCAAACATCTTCCATACTTTTGCATACTATATTTCCCTATCTACTCGATGTACTCTCGTATCCTTCGATAGTATTCACATTCCCTAGAAGAAGGTGGAGAGTAGCCAGGGCCTCGGCTCTCATCGACCAGCCCAAAGTACTGTTAGTTACCAATACTGTGTGAAAAGGGAAAAAATACACCGTGAGACGGAAAATAACCACAGTAAAAAAGGTGAAAATAAACTCAGATTAAGACATGCTCTAGAACATATCAAGATCATACTAGGGTATGGAAATAAACAAGAAACCAGAAGGTATTAATAGAAATCTTCAAAAATTAACTTTGAAACTATCTTCCTCTTGCTCTGTTCTCTTCTCTCCCACTCCCTCTCTCTCTCTCTCGTTCTTCTTTTCGTTCTAGCTTCGTCAGCCCCCCCTCCCCCCTTCTCCCCTCTCCTCCCTGACCGGCAAAACCCACCCTTCAGATGCAAAGTTTAATTCTTTGCATCCTTTCTCACTGACTTTCTTCTTTTCCCTCCTGTGGATCGACAACTTGCATCTCCACTCCTTTCTGGGACATGTCGTGACATTCCAAACTGCTTTGTCTTGAAGTGCTTGGGTCGCATCATGACCGAGACCGCCATCCCGAGCCGGGATGCCTGGGAACACCGCTTTGACGGGAAGCCAATCTCGCCGTAAGCCACGAAGAACCGATGACACCGATCGAGAGAACCCCTGCCAAGTTCCTTCCTTTAACCTCGTGTCCCTCCAGGAACTCCGCCATCGCCGAACTCGATATCGAACGCAATGAGTTAGCCCACACATGGAAACGCTTTATCAGCCTACTCCTACCACAGGATCAGGTACAATGGGAGGAGCGGCCACAGACTGTGGACGACGTAAAAATACTGCTAGGCAAGATCAAGTCCTTTTGGCAGTCCCGCCCCCGACAACAGGTGTTCAGCGACTCGATGGACTTGTGTGACCGACTCCTCCCGACCATGGATGCTCACGCGATCCTTCTTTCTACCCTCCCGGACCCCCTCTCCTATACCCCTCTATTTTATGGAGTCTTGCAATCAGTGATCAAGGTGCGTGCGATGGATGTGCTGGCAAGTCTCGTTGTATCGCTAATACTCGGGTATAGGCGTCGTCTCATTACCCACGAGTAATGGAAGGCTTAGCAACCGCTCTGCTAAACATTTACGAAGCCCTAGGGCTTCCCAGCGATCCCAGCACCCTTCCCAACGCCGTCGAACATATCACAAAAACCTACGCTCTAATATTTTTCTTCCTGACCGAGTTTATGGACTGGTATGTCCGGCGGTCCACATGCCAGTTGCTGAATATTCACAGCCAAGACGTCTACTCGGAGTTCCACCACTTGGTTATCTACATAGAACGTCAAGCACAAAACCTGCCTTGGCTGCACTCGGCGATGCACGTCGATGAGGATGAGGAGGACCCATACAGCCCTCGGGCACTTTGGGAAGAGTCTCGACTCAGTCAAGTAGGTCTTCGGGAAAAGGAGCGCCGTGTAGCGGCACAAAACACCATCACACGCCGGCTCATCTGGGAAATACAACAAGACGCAGAGGAGCGTGCCCGGTACAGGGAAGGCCGAGAGCGACTGTTGGCAGAGACGTTGAGTTCTGTGCGCGAGCAATTAGAGCCGATCAGCGTAAAGAGCAGTGACATTGTTTGCATGACCACACCCCCGGCTCCAAATATAGGTATGGTGTTATATGTACCCTACCGCTCGGTCACTCTCTAACCATCTGACAGACACATCCTCGTTTGAATGGTCGAGGGGATCCAAACGCCGCCTCGCAAGACTGGAAATTCAAAGTTCATCGAGACACCTTCAAGACTTCTTTGACAGTGATGATCAGATTTGCGAGTATGAGCCTGAGGCTAAAGTCGTCACTGAGAGCAGTATCGTTTCCTCGCTACAACAATGGGCCACCAGTCCACGGTCTCAAGCCCTCGCCGTGGGCGGATTCCAGCCGGCCGACTCGCCCAATCCCGTGGCTCTTATCTCCGCCTGCTATGCCTCGTTCGCCCGCCAAGCACGATTACCCGTGGTCTCTCACTTTTGTGTTCTTCCCAGCCAAGACGTCAAAGGGCTCAATCGTCACGAGCGAGGATTGATCGCTCTCACCTACAGTTTGATCCGGCAGTTGATTGACTGGCTTCCTCCGGTAGTTGACAGTGACGCCGTGCTGGATCTCAGCGCGGAGCGTTTCCGCCAGCTAGACGGCACATTGACCAGCTGGAAAGCCGCCCTATCGCTAATCGACACCCTGTTGCAATCCGCCCCACCACTCCTAGTCTTTATCATCGACGGAATAGATGCCATTGACCACCAGTCTACCGACGGAGCAATTCGCGAGCTCGTTCGCGTGCTGCTCACTCACACTCGCCGTCAACCCCAAGGTGGTCTCAACGGGCAAGGTCCAACGCTCCTTCTGAAGGTCCTATTCACTGTTGCCGGGCGACCGAGTGCCCTGGTTGAGACGATGGCTGAACACCAACACATCCTCAGTGATTCCAACCAGACCAACCAACCCACTCAGGCCGAGCCGGCCCTGGCATCGGACATCGGGGCGGTCATGATGAATGCATGAATTGTCACGGGTGCCCTGAGCCCAGTCACGCACCGTTTACGAAACTCTTATCCTGCTTTCTTTTTGTTGGTTTTGGGATTAAAAAAGACATTTGGTTTGCACTTCAAGCATAGATTTGCGTGGGTTGGGAATATTTGGATCTTATGAAACAGGCACATGTGCCACTTTTATGTATGGGTTTTGTTTTATTATTCCCTTCTGTTATCTGCTTAAGCACATTGACCTGCTAAGGTCTTCATCGGTGTTCTCCTAACTTTTGGCGTGTTGGCCTTTCTTATGCTTCAGCGGCTAGTAGACCTGTACTATACTGCTTCATAGCTGTGATACCCATCTAGGTCTAGAATGGACTATTTGTTCTCTTCTTTCTGGTGGTTCCTTTGACATATTACCATCGGAAACCCGATTCCGACTCACATATCGTCAAAACCCAAATATAGGTCTGTGGAACCTGAAGTAGGGAGTAGATGGAGATTGGTTTCCGCTTGCCCACTTAAATAGCCAGCGCTACCTACCAGAACTTATCCTCCGGGGCTGCTTCCATCTACTCGAGCCAGATAACAGATCATGAACGGACACTCCAAAGTTACTTCCCGACTTTACTCGTCCCCTCAACTCACCGAGTTCCAAGAGATCTGCTCGCAAACCACAGACCCAACAACCTACCCACTAGCCAACGACATCCAATCCAACATCCCCATCTACGATCTCCCCGCCCTCGAATCCACCCTAACAGCCACCCTACTCACCCGACTTCAAGATGAATGGCACCACATCCTACACAAAGGCCCAGGCGTCTACATCCTCCGTTCCATGTACCCCTCCCCAAAATACACCCAAACCCTAACCTCCACCAACGAAGCCTTCAACGCAATAATCGCCCGCGAACGCACCCACCCAACCAAAAAGGGCGACCACTTCGCCGCAGCCAACACAAACGACCGCATCTGGAACGCCTTCTCCAAACACGCCCTCCAAGACCCATCCTCCTTCCTATCCTACTACTCGAATCCCTGGCTAGCAGCCGTCGCCGAAGCCTGGCTGGGCCCGGGATACCGCCTGACAGCCCAGGTCAACGCCGTGCACCCGGGCGGCGCAGCGCAGAACCCCCATCGCGATTACCACCTCGGGTTCGCGGACGAGGAAGTCTGCAGGCGCTATCCGGCTGCTACGCAGCTCGCATCACAGTTCCTGACGCTGCAGGGGGCTGTCGCACATAGCGAGATGCCGCTGGATAGCGGGCCGACCAGGTTCCTGCCTTTTAGTCAATTGTATGGGGTGGGGTATTTGGGTTGGCGGAGACAAGAGTTTAGGGAGTTTTTTGAGGAGAGGTTTGTGGCATTGCCGATGGAGTTGGGAGATGGGGTGTTTTTTAATCCGGGGTTGTTTCATGCTGCTGGGGCCAATGAGATGGGGGAGGGGGCTTCCGGCGTGTTGCGAATTTGCTGCAGATTAGTTGTGCGTTTGGGAAGAGTATGGAGAGTGTTGATTGTTTGCCGATTGTTGACGTGACGTGGGATTTGTTGGTTGAGAGGTATCGGGGTGCTGGGGGTATGGCGGGGGATCTTGATCTGGAGAGATATTCGGTGGAGCAGAGGGAAATTAGGGCTTTTGTCAAGGCTGTTGCTGAGGGGTACCCTTTTCCTACGAATTTGGATCGCAGGCCACCTGGGGTGGGTGGGATGGCGCCGGAGTCGGAGCAGGATGTTATTATGCGGGGATTGGAGGAGGGTTGGGATAGGAAGCAGGTTGTCGATGCTTTGGAGCAGATGCGTGTTGACTCGCGGGCATAAGACTCGGATCGGGGATTGTGCCGAGTTTCAATTCATACTGCGTGTTACGTTGGAGCTACAACAGTGTAGTACTGTGTAGACAAGACACAGTCGAAGAGGTCTTGATTGCGCAGTCATGATCTTAAGCCACCCGCTGGCTGATGCTTGATTGGATCATCGGACTTATCGACAGGTGGAGTCCAGGTGGATCTGGGTGTCAGAAGGGGAACTGATGGTCGTCGTACGTACGGAGTACGGAGTGCTGTGTACGGAGTACGTAGTCGTCTATCCTTGATCGAGGTGTGGTGATCTGTCATGGCGTGAATACGGAGAAGAGGGGACAGCCTAATGTAGAGTCGATCAGCAAACAGAGTCGGAGAATAGCGACGAATAACCAGCGAGGAAAGAAATTCCACAAGGGGCGGCGATGGCGGTCTCACATTTTTGACTGTTTCCCCCAACGGTGGCTGAAACACGACAGATTTTTTGATCGCGTTGTTTGGTTTGGAACTTTCTCTTCTTCGGTTCTTCCTTTCTTTCAACATTCATTTCCAGTCATTCGTTTATTCCATTTACTGAGTACAGACAGACAGTTGGACGACTCCACCCTCTTGGCCATTGAGCCATTGACATTCCAACGATCAGCTTCTAGCGTTGAAGGTGGTCCACGAAACATAACCAGCGGTCCAGCACTACGGACCATTGAACACGACTGTACGACTATTTTTTCGCTGTCTCCACAGATACCTGAGCTCCCTCCCAATCACAAGCGATTTAGGGGCTGATCGACGCCGAGGCCCGAGACAATCAATAAAAGCCCTACCCTCCCCAGCTCTGCGATGGGGCATCCGAGTCTTTCATCCAGAAGACTGACGGCACATCGATTCGAGCAGTTGCACGACATGCCCGAATATGGCAACAAGATGTCAAATCCCAACGACGTGACCATTGATATTCCACTGACGGAGACAACCTCCCGCGGCCAGACCGGTGCCCGCAAATGGGCCGGCTCCGATGAATTCAACCCAAGGGCCGGGGAGAAAGAGCCCGTCGTCCATCACCACCACCGGGGTCCTGGGCGTAGGCGTCGCACGGATACCGGGATCAATGACAGGACTGGCAAGCCGGCGGAGTCTCCTGAGGACGGAACCCTCAATCGCATGGGCCGCATCTACCAGGCTGTGCTGAATTACTCCATTGTCACTCGTTACCTAATCTATGTTCTTCCCGTTGCGATCCTGATCGCGATTCCGATCATTGTCGGCGCGACGGCTGCGCCGTACGCCAAAATCGGCGGTGTCCATCTTTACTGGTTCTTTACTTGGATCGAGATCGTTTGGTTCAGTCTGTGGACATCCAAGATCTTCGCTCGTTACATTCCTTACGTCTTTCAATTCCTGTGCGGTATCGTTAGCTCCGGTACCCGCAAGTATGCGCTTATTCTGCGCGCCCTCGAGACTCCCATTGCTCTTGTGCTGTGGGCTGTTATATCCCTCGTGACTTTCTTGCCGGTTATGACGTTGACTCCCACAAAGAAGGCAACTGGCGATACTGGGGTCAAGAGCTGGGAGAAGAGTGTCAAGAACATTCTGTTTGCGCTGCTTGTCTGCAGCCTCATCTATCTGGCTGAGAAAGCTCTTGTGCAGCTCATCTCGATCAGTTACCACCGCAAGCAGTTCGACTCTAAGATCAAGCGTTCCAAGCGCAACGTGTACTTACTCACGCTCCTCTTCGAGGCTTCGCGTAACATGTTCCCCGTGTACTGCCCGGAGTTCAAGGAGGAAGACTCGCTTATTTTCGACTCTCTCCTGGCTCAGGCTGGTGTTAAGGACGGCAAGCGGTCATCCGCTATGCCTCTGCGCATGCTTCGCCAGGTCGGCAAGAATGTCGGTCGTATGGGCGACAAAGTCACTGCCGCTTTTGGCAACGTCGCGTCCGAGCTTGCTGGCAAGCAAGTATTCAACCCGACTTCTACCCACGCCATGGTCACCGAGGCCCTTGAACGCCAACGCCACGCTGCTGCGCTGGCTCGCCGCATCTGGATGTCGTTTGTGGTCGAGGGCCGGGAGGCTTTGTACATGGAGGATATTGTTGAGGTTCTGGGTCCCGAGCATGTGGCTGAGGCTGAGGAATGCTTCCTGGCTCTTGACAAGGATGGCAACGGTGATGTTAGTCTCGACGAGATGGTCCTGGCCGTCACCGAATTTGGACGCATGCGAAAGGCCCTCAACCACAGCATGCACGACGTTGACCAGGCTATCCGTGTGCTGGACAACCTGCTCATGTGCGTTGCTGCTCTGGTTGGTGTACTTGTCTTCATCTCTTTCGTCACTACTGGATTCGGCACGGTCATCGCGGCTGGTGCCACCTCCCTGCTCTCCCTCAGTTTCGTCTTCTCTGTCACTGCTCAAGAAGTTCTCGGTTCTTGTATCTTCCTGTTCGTCAAGCATCCATTCGATATCGGCGACCGTGTGGAGGTCAACGAGGTGCCTTTCGTTGTTGAACGTATCTCGCTTCTCTTCACTGTGTTCCGCAATGTCAAGGATCACCGTGTCACGCAGGTGCCCAATAACATTCTGAACAGCCTCTGGGTTGACAACTTCACTCGTGCCGATGCTATGCACGAACAGCTTACTATTCCCGTCGCCTTCGACACCACGTTCGCCGAGGTTCAGCTGCTCCGACAGGAGATGGAGAACTTCGTCCGCGACAAGGACAATAACCGTGACTTCCAGCCGGACGTTAACATCGAACTCGGTGGCGTTGGCGACATGGACAAGCTCCAGCTGTGTGTTGATATCCGCCACAAGTCCAACTGGTCCAACGAGACCATTCGCGCTGCTCGGCGATCCAAGTTCATGTGCGCTTTGGTCCTAGCCGTCCGCAAGGTTCAGGTCCGCGGCCCTGGCGTTGCTCGTCCAGAAGAAGAGACAGCCGACGCTGCAGCTGGCGATGACGACGACGACACTTCCGGTGCCGGTCTCCGCAAGTCAACTCAAGACGGAGTTAGCCCCTCCAAGCCCGATCCCGGCGTCGCTGCCGCCGCCGCAGGCATTCTAGACTACGGCAACACAGCCCAGTCAACAGGATACGACCAACGCCACTCAGGGACAATCACCCACCGCGGCTCCTCCCAGACAAACGCCGAGCGCGAGGCCGCCATCGTCGAAATGCTGAACGCCCGCCCTCCAGCCGTCGACATCAGCCGCGACGATGAAGAGAACACTCTACACCGCACAACAACCAACGCCTCCAACCAAGCAAGCGTGCACAACGGCGCAACCAACACCATCTCCCGCGGCCTATCAACCGGCCACCGCAAACAGGGCGACCGCGTCTCCTACCACGAGCAAGCGCCACCCCCTTTCCCCCAAGTCGCCCCTCTCTCCCCGGTGGCCGCCGGCATGACCCCATCTTCCAGCCAGGTCCCCATCCTCGAGACCCCCAAACCAGGCTCCCGCGGCAGCACACGTTACGAACCCCGCCCCCACTCAAGCCACGGCCAATTCCAAAGCCAAAACCCGTCCCAGATGTCCACCATCCAGACCGTCGGCTCTCCCGATCCCAACGCCTTCCAGGGTCCTTACGGCCACGACACTGGGTATGACCCGGTTCCCCTTGCCGGGTACAGTGCGGAGAATACCCCGGGTCGTGACCGCCGCGACTCGAACCCGGATATCTCGGGCGTGACGGCCAGCAGCAATTACGAGCTGACGGATCGGTATGACCCTGTCTCGCCGCCGACGGACTATTTCCCTGGTGTACCCGGGGAGGAGTCTCATCGTCGAAGACCTTCGTTTTTGGATAAGGCGTTGAGGAGGGGATAAATCATGGTGATGAGGCGTGATCTGTTTTTCTCTCCTTTTGTTCGATCTGTTCATATTACGTGTATACTGTGGATAGATTATTTTTGCGTTTTTGAGCCGTTGCATGACATGATCTGTGGTGCATAGCTATGAGATATGTTGATCTTGATCTTTGGTGATCAGATAAAAATCTATTTTCTTTTTTCTTCAAGACTTCAGTGATACTTGTAGGTACATGTAGGTACACGTACTTCTACCAAGGTTGTTAATGCTCACAACTTAAGTAGAGAGACAGAAATATCACAAACACATATCCAAATCCAAAGCTATAATACAAGTCTGATCTCGTCTAGACAAGTTCTTCACCAAGGCTCGACCAGATTGAATCTATTTACCACTCTCCTTCCACGGGTATCCAACAGGATCGTCCTTCCGAATCCAGATCTTAGTCTTCCTCTTATTAACGACATGCTCCACAAATACCTCGCGCGTGTACTTCGCCTTGTACTTGCGGATCCAGCGCGGGTCCCACAGTTCACTCGCAATGCCGAGGTCCTTGCAGCAGCGCACGAGCGCGTTCGATCGGCAGCCTTCTGTAGCAGTGGGAATGCCATCCGGGGAGAAGTAGTCCTGTTCACCGCGGGCGACAGAGACAAGGCTGAAACAATACATATTAGTTGGATATTTTCTTCAGACGATATAGATAGCGTGTGGGGGACATTGTTTCTTACCGTCCATTACAAACAAGAGCATACTCCCTCGTCACCGTCTTAGGCGTAACAATACTCTCACTCCTCGGCACAAGACCCCACCCACCAGGCCCAAAGGCTCGGTTCAGAATCCGGCGATACTTGATCTCTGGCAGGTAAAGGATACCATCAGGCTTGATCTCGACCTCATCGGGGTCCGTCTCCGCAAGCAGGATATCAGCCGCTTCCTTGGGGAACGGCGCTGCCGATAGACCGTGGAAAGATCTTGTCCAGTCGATTCTCTCTTCAGCTGGGTGCTCGAGCTCGAGGGGCTTATCGGAGAGCCCGCTCTTGGAGATGTTTTCCGTCGTTGCGCGGTTGGGGGTAGGGTCTGAGACGCGGGCTGCGGGGCTGCCTGTGGGGATTGGAGTTGAGGCTGGTGGAGCGGGCTTTGTGGGAGTTGCGGGGGTGGGTTTGGGTGCGGTTTGGTTGTTGCGGTTTTGGGTGGTGTAGCTGATTGCCCTTTTCGTCGTTGGGGTGGAGAGCTGGCTCAGACGTAGACTGGGTGTCCGCGATGAGCGTGGAACATGTGTCGCGTGTTGCAGGGCCTCAATTGCCCACCGGGACCGGGTGCGAATAGGAATCGACATTGTGGCTTTGGAGGGTTGATGGTGGAAGGAGGAGTGAAGTCACATCGAGGTTGATAGATGAGGTCACGTGATACAGACTTGATAGCTTCGATTTCTGGATTGGGAGTGAGAACAACAGGAAAACTTGACTAAGATTGGGAAATGGCTACAGGCTAGTTAAGCAGGCTAGTGGTATGAATGAAAACAAACTATGCTGCTATGCATCTTTAGTCTGCGTCCGCTGGTCGTTGCCCTGGCGCTTCCAGCATTCCCGGAAAGCTTCCATCTGTGGCCAGTTAGTATGGTCTCTCTCGAAGCCGTCTGGTAGTTGGATCAATTAGGCATTAGGAGATGTAGCAGTGTTGTCGGTGTAGAAACAGTCCCTCAATGGCTCCCAGTGCAGTCAACTATGATCTAGCAGGCTCATAGCTCACCTCTTTTTTACATTGGCGCCAGTCCTTCTTTGCATAGTAGCAGTCGTTCATCTTATCCTGCTCGGCTGCCATATGTCAGTATAGCAACTAAGGCTCCAATGGAAACATAACGTACTGTGGCAGCCGGTGCTGAAGATTCGCTTGTCCCTGCCAATATAGTCAGCGTCTCCCAGACCTAACAGTTAACACCTAGCACTGCCTCACCAATCATCCGGCTCATCATCATCTGGGACAACGGCTGTTTTCTCGACGTTGTTCGACATGGTTGAAGACGAAGTATGGGTCTGAGGAAAGTTGGAGAAAGGCGGTACGGACTACGGTAGCCGCCATGCTTGACTTTGATCCTATTGGCTCAAAAAACCGGCAGAATTTTGGGATCGTGTGACGCATATAGTCTGAGGATACTGAGGTAAAAAGTGATATTTTCATTTTGTTACTTTGTACTGTGTGTACCCTATCGTTTTGCACATTCTATTGCCCAAGTACCTGTAGGTAGGTTCAGCTGAGATGTTTGGTCTGGGGCCTGGACTTATCGGGCCGTATCCAGTACGGCCTGACCCACATGTGGATGTCGAGGCGACATACACATTTGTTTCGGGCGCAGGCGGTCAGGAAAGCGGTAGAAGTCCTTAAGCCAATAGGATCAAAGTTAAGCATGGCGGCTACCGGCGTCCGTAGGTGGCCCCGGCGGAACGAACTATCTTATCGCACCCATCTCCCCCATCGCAACAAACAACAATGGCGACGCCAACGAGCAACGCCAATTTCGCCGGCAAAAAGCTGAATATCCTCGTTTATTCCGGTTCGCTTACTTATTCCGCGACCCAACTGAGCCGTTTTCTGACCACCGACTTCTCGACAGGAAATGGAACCACCGTTGACTCAGTCCGGCACTGCCTCTACACCCTCCGCCGCCTGCTCGCCCACCGCTATGCCGTCATCCCCGTGACGGGAGATATGCTGCTCAAAGAGCCATGGATGACTACGTGTGCCATGTTGGTTATGCCCGGCGGCGCAGACATGGGATACTGTCGCACACTCAACGGTGCGGGGAATCGGCGCATTGCGCAGTATGTCCACAATGGCGGGAAATACCTGGGTCTTTGTGCTGGCGGCTACTACGGATGCAAGAGATGCGAGTTTGAAGTGGGTGATAAAACAATGGAGGTTGTCGGCGACCGCGAATTGGGATTCTACCCGGGCATCTGTCGGGGCGGGGCATTTCCGGGCTTCGTTTACCATAGCGAGGCGGGGGCACGCGCTGCGGGGCTTGAGGTGGCTAAGGAGGCTTTGAGTATTGGCACTGTGCCGACGAGCTTCCGTTCGTACTACAATGGTGGCGGTGTTTTCGTTGATGCGCCATTGCTTGCGGACAAGGGCGTGGAGGTCCTTGCGAGTTATACCGACGCATTGAATGTCGATGCGGGGGAGGGCGCGGCTGCTGTTGTTTATTGTGAAGTCGGCAGTGGAGCAGCAATCTTGACGGGGCCTCATCCTGAGTATGTCTAAGTGTCAGATTCCAGGATTGTGTTGCTGACCTGCGAATTAGGTTTGCTGCTGCTAATCTCGACGCGAAGGCTGGTGGACCTGAATATGCAGACATGGTGGCGGCACTCGCCGCTGATGACAAGGAACGTACAGACTTCTTGAAGGCTTGTTTGTCTAAGATTGGTCTTGAGGTCGCCCAAGATACGACGACAGTGCCTTCACTGTCGTCCTTACACATGTCTGGAATTGATGCCGATGGCCCCATGGATATTCTGTCGGGCCTTGGGGCTTCGTTCACGCAGGACGGTCAGACGGAATGTCTCAAGGACGATCACGATACATTCCGCATTGAGCGCCCTGGAACATGGAATCTTGGTGATATAGAAGAATCGCTTCACGAAGTACCCTCGGAGCCCGAGGGTATCATTGATTACCAGTCGATCACGAAACGCCTTGTGTTTCATGATGACATACCGTCTGCGAAGCTAACTCCATATTTTAACCATAATTCGTTCTATTCCCACCTCCGCCAATACCAAACCGAGTCTAAGGGAGATGCCTCGACATTTGGGTCTAATATCTTATATGGCGAGGTAGTGACCAGCACGAACACGATGCTTGAAAAGTAAGCATCACATCTACTATGTACGCTCGTGGCATGTGCTAACCATTCAAAGGAACATCAAATTGCTTCGTCAGTTACCTCAAGGATTCACGGCTACCGCTACAGTGCAGATCGCTGGACGCGGACGTGGATCCAATGTCTGGGTTTCCCCAATGGGCTCTCTCATGTTCTCGACGGTGCTGCGACACCCTATGGACAAAATGCAATCTGCACCAATCGTCTTCCTTCAATACATAGCAGCCATGGCTGTAGTTAGAGGAATCAAGAACTACGCCAAAGGCTACGAGCAAATACCGGTCAAAATGAAGTGGCCGAACGACATTTGTACGTATAGAAGCTTACAATCTTACAAAACTCAGCAATGGCTTTTCTGACCAATTCCCACAGATGCACTGGACCCAGATGATCCCGAACAAAAACGATACACAAAGATCTGCGGCATCCTAATCAACTCCCATTTCATGTCAAACGAGTACATCTCCGTCGTCGGTATCGGGCTTAATGCCACCAACGCTTCCCCGACAACCGCATTAACCACCCTCGCCGCACGCTACGCCCCAGGCGCTGCCACCGCTTCACCTATCACGCTCGAGAGACTCCTCGCCCGTATTTTGACTACGTTCGAGAGCTTGTATACCCGCTTCTTGCGCACAGGCTTCGACCGCGGCTTCGAAGAAATGTATTATGCGGACTGGTTGCATATGCACCAGGTTGTTACGCTTGAAGAGGAGGGCGGCGCCCGCGCTCGCATTCAGGGTATCACCCGTGATTTTGGTCTCCTGCTAGCTGAGGAGCTGGGGTGGAATGATCGTCCGACGGGACGTGTATGGCAGCTGCAGAGTGATAGCAATAGCTTCGATTTCTTCCGTGGGCTGGTTAAGCGGAAGGTATAGACACGAAGTATATAGACTAAATAGGTTTTCCCATGTCTATAGCCATTGACCTGAAATATACGGCATGGCATCCAGAATACGTGCAATGCTTGCACGTCTAATATAAGAGGCATGGATGAGGACCTCCAGTAGTCTCCGGTAATATACAAAGTCAAGCCATAGACTCAGCCCAAGAAACCCACCGTCGAATACACTCATCCACCTTCCGGAGCGACTCCTTCGCCGCCTCAACCTCAAACCACTCCCGATGCTCCTTCCCACACTCAGAACACTGACCCAAATCCCGCGCCCGCAGAGCCGCCAGCTCAAGATGAACCAACCTTTCCACACGATGCACATGCGGGACTTTTCTTCCCGGCAATGCCGTCCTATCCCGACTACCACGTGCAGGGGAAGATGCCGACGAAGAAGAAGCGTAAGGATAGTAACGGATCAAAGTCAGATCGTACGAGCACTGACGAGTCCACTCAGCGAGTCGCCGGTGCACATTGCTCGTGCGTCCGATTTTCAGCCTGAGCGTTCCAGGCGTACTCGGTGTTGGGTTGGAGGTTAGGGCGTTGAGGTCTTGTGCTGTGTGGAGTGCGTCGCTGATGCTGCGCGACTGTGTCGGTGGGCGTAGGTTGTTGCTACTCTGTGCGACTTGCGGGAACAGGGAGGATGCTAGGTCCCTTGGGATTGGGGGACCGGGTTCGAGGCTTCGGTGGGTGGATGCGGGTGGGGGCGTCACCCAGAACATGTAGATGTAGCCTTCTTCGTCGGCGTTGGATATGGGTTTGGCTAGTTCTGTGAGGAGGAGTGAGGTTGTTTGTGGGTCCAGTGTGGATGGGATCCACGAGAGTAAGGTTTTTGTTTGTGAGGGAGATGTCTTCGTGTTTGGTCGGGATGTTGGAGTGGATGACACTCGTCCATCTTGAGGTTTTCCGGCTGAGGCAGGTAATTGTATCTTTTGGTTTGGGTATGGAGAAGATGAGACGTTTGTCGGACGAGAGGGTCTAGGACGCTGAACTGGTCTCGGCTTCTCATCCCCGTCGTCTTCCACAATGTAGAAGCAGCAGAATGTCCTTGTCTTCCTTGGTCGACGCTTTTCACTAGGTCGCTTCTGATTTGGCCGAGGTCTCTGATGAGGGTGCCGCTTCTGAGAGGGTGGTTTAGAGCTTGGTTTATCGTTTATTTCGAGCACACCCAGTCGATCCATTAATGTATCAATACTCGTTCTGGGCTTCACCGGTGTGATTGCAGCTGTGCTGTGGTCGACTGAGGGCTCTTGGTCTCTGTGCTGCCAGCAGTACAGAGACGCCACTTCTATAGCTTCTTGTCGAGCATCCCTCTTTCGGGGTGTAGAAGCGCCTGACGGATGTGGAGAGGCCAAGGAGCGGCGACAGGGCCGGCCTTGGGCGGTCATGCCTCTACATGTTGTTGCTGGGTTTCTTGAATCTGAGCGGGGGAGCAAAGATTCTGGAGTGTTTGCAATATGAGGCATATATAGTATGAATATAAGGGATCAAATGGTGAAGATTGGCGCGATGCGAACCTATTTGAAGAAACTCGAGGCATTTAAAAAGAAACTAGACTGCATTGACCATAAGGCGGTGCGGTGAGCCTCCTGCAGGCGACATATTCCCCACTTGAACTTGGCGTCAGACTCAGCGGTGCAACCCTCAACTGTACACAGTACGCGCGAAGGGAATGTTGTTGGCTGTTGTTTTGTTTTTCTTCGGGGTGGCACAGCCACATTATGGCGGTGCAGTAGTGGCTGGGGCTGTGTACTATGAGACTGGCGTTTAAGGAAAGTGGATGGAGCTAACGCTCAGCAATTGAGCCTGGAGGTCGGGGGCGCGTCCAAAGCCCCCTGGACCTGATATAACATGGCATCAAATAATGCTCCAACACTGAACAGCTCAATATTTCTCAAACCACGCCAGAGCCTGATTCTCCGCTTCGTCGGCCTGTTTACTCGCGTCATCCAGAACAAAATCAGCTCTGACGCAAAAGCCATGGCCAGCGCCTTCGTATACAACCACTTCTCCTTTTCCAGCACCGGCTTCGCTCGCAAAGATCTTTTGAATCTGCCCGATCTGTGGAGGCTTCAGAACCACATCCTTGTCACCAAGCGCAAAGCTAACAGGAACCGAGATCTTCTCAATCTCAGTAGGGATCTCGAGGAGACTGGGGTGCCCCGTAAAGCCAGCATTTAGGAGCGGCTTCCCGTTCGACGCAGTATCCACGCCGGCAGCTAGATTGACGATGTGCTTCCCTCCCCAGCAGAATCCGGCTCCGTAGATGGGAACTTCGGCGCCCTCGTTCTCGCGCACGGACTTGAAGAAGTCCTTGACAATAGGCCAAGATGCCTCAAATGTGTTCCAATATATGAAGGGTATTGCGTCTTTTAACACGGAAGCTATGTAGTATCTGTGGCTTTGTTCAGTGGTCACTTGACACGAACGCTATGAGGGCTTCTTCCAATGACTTACGGCTTCATGAGCCAGGTTATGATTCCACTCGTATTGAGCACCTCTTTCGTGGAAGTCATCATACTAATTGGGGCAGCGTGCCCTGGCATATTGCTCAGCGAACCACCTCTAAGCCGCAACTGACTTGGACAGTCACATACCTTTCATGAAGTCGGGGAGATAAACGAGATACGTCCCCTTTTCCGCATAGTTGTCAGCTAAAATTCTGTTGTTGACGAACTCCCATCCAAATGCATCGGGTACTATGATGATAATGCCCCGATGAGGTACATCGTCCAGCGGCTTGGTCATGTAGGTCGGTAAGCCATGGATCGAAGTCACTTCACCGCGAGGAGTGCCTTCATGGATGTGACCACTAAAACAGTTCGGGCAGGCCATTTTGCAGTGAGAATCTGTGCGGTGAGAATTAGATGATATCTGGTAGTTAGAGAGAGACGGATTAACCTTAAATACACTCTCCGACTCTCGAGTCTCACATGTCTTCCCCGCACCCATTTCGGACGCCGCTTCCACGGTTGGGGCCGTGCGTTCTTCGACTCGTCTCGTATACTCATTCTGCCCTAACTAGTGGAAATTGTGAGTCAGTGCCAGTTGACTATTACCTAGGCCACTATGATGGCTCGGGTCTCCATACAGAATGACGAAGATCAGACATAGGACGGAACCTCGAAGCTCGGTAGCGTTATATTAGTTTGTGCAATCTGAATTATTCTGCCGGACTTTGCTTTCCATCCCCCTGACATGTCAAGCGTCAACCATGGTCCATCCCATCTCATCCTGGCTTGACCAATCAGATCACTCCATTCTATTTATATTTACTCTCTGTTATGCAGTCGGACGGGATGTGTCGATGCTTAGAGGTGTACACAGTAAATACTACAAGAGACAGGTATTTCCGGGTCATTCTTTCATTCTACTTATTATCTACACCGCTTGTAGGTGTGATCAACAGTCATTCCAAGCTGAGATTAGTGTCATCAGCTGCCGCATTTTTAGTTTACCCGTTCAATACCAAGCGTTTTTCGCCAAGACGCATGGGTATCCACTCTCTACAGGGCTGAAATGATCCTTGGAACATCCACGGGATAATTTCATTCCCATGGATCGGAGGACAAGCTCAAACCCGAAGTGCAATCGGAACATGAACCATAGCCATTAGCCACGGCCTTGAATACTATAACTACCAACAAATATAGGAACTGGTCCAGCCGATACCCACCACCAGCAAAGCCTCACTTGTGATGTGGCCCTAGCCGCAGTCAGCAGGCAGCATCGTTCCAGACTTCTGATTAGTCCCACTAAACTTAGCACAGGACCTCATTCGTAAGTGGAGAATGCGCCTGTATTCCAACGCGTTGTACTCAGTGTACTCCGTAATCGCCCTGTAATAATCCCAGCTAGGTGGGCGCTAAGCCATTCCAATAATCGGAAGAAAAGTACATATACCCGCTTCTCCCCTTTTCTTTCGTTCCCTTCTTATCTCCATCTTGTATTCAGATACTCATACCACCAACCTACTTCACTACCACCCGTACCCTATATTGTACCACCATGTTCAACTTCAACTTCTTCAAGTCTACCCCGACTGAGTCCGCCACCGAGCAGGCCACGTGGAACGCCAACACCGTCACCATGCAGCCGACCAGCCCCGCCGCCCCTTCAAGCAACAAGGACGTCATCACTGAGCAGCCGGTATGTTGATTTTGGATATCCTAGCTGATGCTGGAAACAAGTGGTATATTGTCGGGAACCCGGGATCGCAAACTAATCTTTGTTACTTGTAGGCTAGTCAAGAACAAATGCAGCTGCGTGGAGGTGGCGGCGGTGGTTTCTGCTGCGGAATGTACGTATATCTACCCTCGTCGATACTCTCAAGCATGTTCGGTCATGTGGGCAGAAAGAACATGAAGAGGATTGCCAGAAGCTAACGTAAATCCAGTTGCGCCGGCCTCGCCTGCTTCGAGTGCTGCGAGATTTGCTGCTAGACGATCGCGTCCGTTCGAGACTGATTGCTGATATGCGTTCGCCGCGGACACTAACGCCATGCTGGCGTTCATCTTGTTGGGTTTGAACGATAGTCTACCGGGCGTGTGGCGTCGGCCGTTTGTGATGTCGTTGATGGATTTCTTTTCTTTTTTATACAACTGGAATGTTACTATGTTATACCCCAGAACAATGCAAGTGATGCAGTTCAAGTCTCTTGGTTTCAATTTGGCTCGCTTTCAAAAGTAGAACTTGGTCGTTGTATTCGTGGCACATGAAAACAATCATTATCTGAAATGACGCCTATTTGTCGGCCTCGGTATCTTTGGCTACATCTAGCCAAAGGGGCGACGAGAAATGGCTGCCCGCAACGCTGTGTCAACATCCCACACCCGAAAGCCTGGTGCGCGGCCAAGGATTCTAAGATTTGCTAAGAGAACTGCCACACATCAGTTATGATGAGAACAGAGGATTCAGGGCCAAAAGCATGGAGGGTCAACTCACGATCAAAGAAACACTCAACATCAAGTGTATATTCCGATATCGTAGATTCCGACCCCGTCATATCAACATACGTAGCCTCAGACGAAGCATACATACTCGAAACAGTCGATCGACCGGGCGAAACTCCATACAAATCACGCACCAACGACTCAGGAACGCCGAGCCTCAGCGCCGACCCCTCAAGCACAAGCCCACGGTGCAACAAATACCCCTGCACATCATGGCAATCAAACCACTCGCCATCGAGATCAAGCGAACGAGTAATATCCTCCTGGCTCATGTGCACCTGACTCTGCTCCGGAGACGCAGGCTCCCGATCCCCACTCCAGTCCTCATCCCAATCCTGAATCCCACCCCGCTGCAAAATCCGCACCATCCGCCGCAGGATCTTTCCCGGTCTACGGATGTTCTGCGGATAGACGGGGGTCCCCTCTGGACTCACACGCGGGAAGTGCTTTCCCGCGCCGCCGAGCGTGTAGAAAGGCATCTTGCTGAATTCGAGCGTGCTCCCGATTTCAGATTGCAGCGTCTTGCGGTAATGGCGTCTTATGCCAGGCATGTCATGAATGCAGGGGACTAGCCCGAAGACTCGGCCTAGGAAGGCTGGCTCGGTGCGTGCATCTGTTAGCCAGCGGTAGGTGTGCTCGAGGCAGAATCTGTGCAGGCGACGAGCGAGACAGGATTCTTGGTGGCTGTATGTGTAGATTGTTGCTGCTGGCAGGAGGCGGTTTATAAGCGGGGAGGGGGACCGCGCTCGGTTTGAGGCTCGGTAGGTGGAGGATGAGTTGCGGTTCTTCTTTTGGGGTCGTGCTGTGTTTCGCGCGTGCGAGACTTGATAGCCGAATGCTGCCTTCGAGGGGCCCGGGACGTGCTCGGACTGAGGGTCAGTTCCATCCTCATCGGTGAATCTGGTCTTGTCGATCTCGGCGAGGATAAGTTCTCGTGTGCGAGCGAGGTAATCGATGCTTGGCTGGGTTGAGTCGCTGGTAAGGGTATCGGCTGCGTCTCGGTGGGTGGCACTCAGTATGCCAGTCACGTTGTCTAGCGCCTTTTCTAATGTGTCAACGCGAGATCTAAGGGTCTGGATAGTGAACTCCTTTTTGAGACGATAGGTGCGTTGCGCCCGTCGGATCTGCAGACGACGCTCCTGTGGAAGTGGTCAACAATGTTTCCATCACAGGTCGACCTTTGGGGATCTACGAAGTACCTCGATCGCAGTAGCGTCTTTGGTCGTCTCCAATCTCGGCCGGCCTCTTTTCCGCACGGGACGATCCGCGGCCGTTGCATTCGTGCCCTCGGCCATTTGAGCGGGGATCTCTGGTGCTTTCGAGGCTGTACGCTTCTTTCGAGGCCTCAGTTGGCGCTCTGGCTCATTTTTTATCTCAGGACTTAATTCACTGGACACTGGGGTGGTTATCAATGTCTCTGCTGTGTCTTGTCCTTCTGGCAACAGCTCGAGATAGGACCTTGAGGACAGCATGTCCATGATCGGGGGATCTCCAGGTCCCTGCATCTGGCTGTAGCTGTTTTTTTTCAGGCCGAAAATTGTTCTTGTAAATTGCTACGACTCAGCAGAGTCCAGATAGCCAGAAATGGCTGGGCTCATGTTCCACGCCATTGACATCAATGACCGTGAGTCCGTGACAGTTGATTAAATCGATCACTCATCAGTAAATCGGCCTCGGTTCAAATCAGCGGGCCAATCAGCGGCCAACCGGCAACTTCCCCTGTACACTCCGTCAACAGGGATCGAATGCATCAAAAGTACGGATTTTAGATGCCTGTCTAAATTCCAGCTAGGATTAACAAGCCACAACGGCTTTTCTAGTCCGGATCACAATCACTGAAACGATCTGCGATGTCATGAAGGAACCGGGGTCAATGTAGTTACCTAGTTATTGACCAAGAAGCAGTTGGAGATGCTTTCGATGGCTGCTTACTGCTATGCCCACTGGAAAAGGTTATCACAGCTGGGGGTCCAGCCGGGCCAGCCCTGTCTATAGTTAGATTTATCGCATCGCATCCATGGACCATCAATGTATTTGCATATTTAAGGTTCCATGGATGTAACATACTGTGAAAAAAACAGTAATTTTGATCATAACCGGTCGGCGGTGGGCATAGCCTAATGCGAGACCCGCTTCCCGCTTTCCATGACTCTGTGCATATTTTTTAACCCAGATCTTCACAATTATGAACGGAGTACGGAGTACGGAGTACGGAGCAATATGTTACCTACTCAAACCCGAATCCCGCTCTCGATCTCTTGCCAGGGCCCACCACACTGACCTCCAAGTAGGCTCCAACCTTTGACTTCGTGCAGCGCGTCTGTACCAGGTGATACTTTTGAATGACGCCGTTGAGTTCGTGTCAGCATAGATTAGCCGAGTCTGACCCGAACCACTAAACATAATGAGAAGATTATTTGATCATTTTGTGGAACACAAACGCCAAAGGATCAAAGGATTAGAAACACGAAGCGTCGAAGAATAACATCGGAGGCACCGAGGGAGACGAACAAACACTGGCGGACTATAACAAAACCGAGTAACAGCGCCGAGATCCAGATCGGCTTGGAAATTGCTTGCAGTGCGAACTCCGACGAAACGATCAGACTTGACATCTGCAGCGATTGCCATTGGTTGTGGATTCCTTAGCTCTGCGACGATCCTACCTGATCCTTACGTCGGATATTTTCCCCACTTGTCTCATCGACCGAAGCTGCGTTCCATATAAACCATGTGCGTTTCCACGTTCTCCTGGACTCTGAATTCCATGACCTGATTACCCAGAAGAGAACGGAATCATGACTCTGTTGTTCATCTTGGGCTTTGCCGCCGCGGCCATCGTGCTGCAGGCCATCCGTATGGTGGTCAACAGATGGCAGCATGCGCGGAATGCTAAAAAGCTCGGCTGTGGAAGTGTACCAATGTACCCTTGCAAAGATCCTCTGGGAATCGACAACCTCAAACAGTCCCTGGCTGCAGACAAGGCGAAAGCCATCCCGGATCTGGCTGAGAAGCGAATGGAAGTTATCAGCAAGCAAGAGGGTCGCTACGTTACTACATATGCTATTCAGAACCTCGGTCGCACTCACCTCCTCACTGTCGATCCTAAGAATATTCAGGCTCTCCTGGCTACTCAGTTCAAGGACTTCGAGCTTGGTCCTAATCGACGGGCTAGTTTGCACCCTCTGTTGGGCACAGGAATCGTCAGTTACATGCCAAACCTGCTCGTTTCCCGCTATCTTGTACTGACTGTTTTCTAGTTCACCGCTGATGGCGAAGAATGGTCCCGGTCTCGTGGTTTACTCCGGCCTCAGTTCACTCGCGAGCAAATCAGTCAATTGGAATTAGAGGAAGAGCATGTGCAAAAGGCTATGCAGGCTCTGCCCGTCGCAGCCAACGGATGGACCGCCGCAACCGACATCCAGACCATCTTCTTCCGCTTGACCATCGACTCCGCTACTGAATTCCTCTTCGGCGAGAGTGTCGAGAGCCAACTCGGCGCCATCAACGGCCTTCAGAGACCCGAAGATTCCTTCGCCGCCTACTTTGACAAGGCCCAGTGGGTCTGCGCCCAGCGCGGCCGTTTCGAAAAACTCGGCTTCTTAGCCGAGAACAAGGAAACCCGATTCAACGACAACCAAGTGCATGCCTTTGTCGACAAGGTCGTCTCCACTGCCCTGGCAGCCTCGCAATCCGAAAAGAAGACCACCGACGAAAAACACCCCTACGTCTTCCTCGAGGCCCTCCTCGAGGTAACCCGCGACCCAGTCGAGCTCCGCTCCCAACTCCTCAACATCCTCCTCGCCGGCCGCGACACAACCGCCTCCCTCCTCAGCTGGACAACCCTCATGCTGGCCCGCAACCCGGAGATCTTCGCCAAACTCCGCGAAACCGTTATCTCCACCTTCGGCACCTACTCCAACCCACAGAACATCACCTTCGCCACCCTCAAATCCTGCCAGTACCTGCAGTACGTGATGAACGAAGTCCTGCGTCTGTACCCCGTCGTCCCTTTCAACCGTCGTAGCGCAACCCGTGACACGACCCTCCCGCGCGGCGGCGGTCCGGACGGCCAGGACCCCGTGTATGTCCGCAAGGGCCAGTCTGTCATGTACACGACGCATGTTATGCACCGTCGCAAGGATCTCTGGGGTCCGGATGCGGACCAGTTCAGGCCTGATCGGTGGGCGAATCGGAAGGCTGGATGGGAGTATATTCCTTTCAATGGCGGGCCGAGAATCTGTATTGGTCAGCAGTTTGCGCTTACCGAGGCTGGTTATGTGATTGTTCGGCTTTTGCAGCGCTTTGATCAGATTGAGGATGTTAATCCCGATCAGAAGATTCGCTATGGTGTTACTTTGACCAGTGCGCCTGCTGATTTGGTTACGGTGCGCTTGCACCAGGCTGAGGAGGCTTGAGTTGTGTGATGGGTGTAAGGTATTTTGCCTTTTTGGTTTCTCTCTTGGTTTGAGAGGGATCATTTGGCTATGTACATATCTTTCTTTCTGCGGTTCCAGGGATTCTGGATGGGTGTTCCCCGGTCTGGGATCGGGATCTGCTTCGTCCATTTTTTTATCGGCCTTTTACTGTGGACGGCTGGGAGGATTATTCTTTGGACTACTTGCGCAATATGATGAGAATGACATTGTTTATGAACATCTATTATCTTGATCTCTCTGGGGGCGGGTAGTGGAAATGTACTGTGTAGGATACAAAAAGCAAAATACCAAATTAAATCGACTTCTGCCGGTTTCGAACCCCCATCATCTACGTATGGACTTGCACACAGTCATTGTCTTCACACCTCCAATATCGATCTGTAAGGAAGAAAAAAAATAGGTAGCTTCTCTTTGATTGAGCGTGTCATCCTTAGTGCAGGGGCCATGCTAATCTTCTCTGTATATTTTCATTTGACCATATGCCCCTAAGGGCATCAGAAACTTGATAAAAGTTCATTATAACCCCTGTTTGATGGCAGAAAACTACCGCCTACCAGCACATGGCCTGTCACGTGATTCCAGCCTTCGTCCAAAGTCTTTCCCTACTCAAAATATGGATGAGTTTCCATAACTAGTGCTGCGTGCATTCATCAATCAAAGGACCTAAATAACTATGTGGGAATTGGAAGTTTAAGTGCTGATGTTGAACTCGAATGAATGATCACCTTGCCCAGTGGGCACAGCCTTGGCATCATTGTCATACAAAGTCCGTTCAAAATAACGCACACGTCCATCCGGGCGTGCCAAGAGGACAGTCTGCCTCTGAGTCCCATAGGGTCCACTGGTGTAACTCTGACAGGGTGGTTCGTTTGTCGCAGTTTCCATCTCATCCTCAACCTGGGCTGCAGCGAGTTTCTCTTCCACTTGACCACGGTCGTTTGCCTTGCCGATAATGGGAACGAAGATGCTCTTGCGCAGGTGGTGGACGTAAGTTTCAATTGTGTCATGCTCTTCTGGCAGGCGTGGCAGAGTATCGGTGCTTAGGACTTGCAGTAGACGATCAATCAAAGCGTCCTCGTCTTCGTCTTCATGCTGTACGTGCTCCTTAATAGCCGCCGCCGTGAGCTTCTCTCCATCGATGATCTTTGGCCAGCTCCTGTCATCAAAGGTGGTATTGCTAAGCCCGCGGGTTTCGTTCTTCTCTGTGGCGACCCAGCTGATGTGGTCCATGTCTGAGGAGCGGTTGGAAACAATGGCTAATGGCTCGTTGATGTGTCCACACACTAGACTGAAGCCTCCCACTTGCTTGGCCTCTGCGCTGGTCACGATAGATTGAACAAAGTCGCGAGTGGTCTCTTGCTTATCCGTTGGGCCAGTCAACCAGCTGTTCACTATGACACCACGACTATAGTATCCGATAGCTTCGCTGGTTGTGTCCTCACGGTAGTTGGTGAGAACGGCAAGCTTGCCTTGCTTGGTAACGCCCATCCAAGTGCCGCGTGTAGCTCGGGCTAGGTCTCGGGAGCCAAGAACGTGCGAAGACGGCTCCGGCCACCAGTCCGGCGGGGAAGTCGGGCGATGAAGGAATTCCTAGATATTGTTAGGTCTGTCTCCCATGGCTCGAAGTGAAAGTGAGCTCTCACATCCCGGTTGTTGATAATTATCAACGAGTAGGAAGGGTGGGCGGTAGAAATCAGAGCAATACACATTGTTGTGATTGGGTCCGAGGATCCCCGGATTCTCTGTGGCGTGCGGGGGAATGAGATCAGGTCTCACGTTGAAAGACACAATCACAGATTCCACAATGGAATGTAGGATGGTCTGTAGAAGCAAGAATTCAAAGAAGAAAAAGGGATGGGAGAGGAAAAGAAGGCCAGTCATGCGCCGAAGTACCAAGCCATCGGGTGATTGGGGGTTGGGCCGCTCAGAGAATCATGTACCTGACTGATGGGAACCCATTTCTAGTCAAGATGGAAACGTTGAACGTAGGTTATATCTACGTGGAATATCTTTTGTCATGAGAAACAATTCAAACAAAAACCAAAAAGACAAAGAGACAACTGTATTGTCTAAAACAGATATGAAGCTATTTAACGCAGTTCTCCGTGACGTCAAGACACTTGGAGAAGGGCGGTCACGTCTCCAAGAGGTACATGATGTGACTTTACTCCGTACATAGTCTTCAGCTTCTATATTTTCTCTCCTTTCATCCCCTATACCCCTGAGACGTTGCAACCGTCTTTGTAGTTGCCTGCTATATTGGACCCAGTTTTTTTCCCTTTTCTTTTTTGTTGTCTCAAAACGGAGTCTCAGAGACAGCGGGGCTGATTGACGACTAAAAAAAGTACTGCAGTGATCCCCTTCTGGACTCCTTTTCAATTCACCTTCACGATGTTTGGAATCTTTGCGGACTTGATGTCGTAAGTGCTTCTAAGTATCTAGTTTTTCAGAAAAGACCGATCAGGGAATGAATACGTCCAACTGGAAGCTAACGCAGATCTATCGTATAGCTCGGTCCTCACAATCCTTTTCCCCGTGTTCGCTTCCTACAAAGCCCTTCGCTCATCCGATCCCTCACAACTTGCACCATGGCTGATGTATTGGGTGGTACTCTCAGTCATCCTGCTGGCTGAGTCCTGGACGGTATTCATCATTGGATGGTATGCTGCAGCCCGTTTCATCCTCTCAGTTCAGGTATTATAAGCTGACCGTGACTCGATAACTATATAGGTTCCCATTCTATAGCTGGATCCGCCTCGGTTTCATGGCTTATCTCGTTCTTCCCCAGACGCAAGGAGCCCGCGTTTTGTACCAAGACTATGTGGACCCGTTCCTGACGCACCATGAGCGGGAGATCGAGGAGATGATCGGCCGCACTCACGAGCGGGCGAAGGCACTGGGCCTGCAATACTTTTACAAAGCAGTCGATCTGATTCGGGTCAAAGTCTTAGGTCTACCTCAGCAGCGCCCCGCAACACCTCCTCAGCCCGGTGCCGCATCCTACGCGCAGTCGCTGCTATCGCGGTTCAATATCCCCATGCCCGGTGGATCCGGGGGCCCGGAGCGTCCGGCAACGCCAACGATTGGTACTCTGTCCTCAGTGCTGCCGTGGGCTCGGTTACGGCGGGTGGCAAGTCCCAAGAAGCGCGGGAGGAAGAGCTCTCTGCTAGTGGCAATCTCCTCCAGCGCCAGATGCAGTCGATGTCGGGGACGGAAAAGGCACAGTTCATTTCTACCCAACGAGAACTGCTAGACCACCTTCGATCCACCCTGGCACGCGAAGAGCAGGGCAGTTCTCGAGGCGAGCTCGATACTGACGACCTTGTTTACGGTATACCGTTGCGTAAGAATCGCAGCGAGAATTCTTTTGAGGTGGTGGATGACGAGGATCTGGGACGTCGCCCCGAGCGAACCACCAGTGGCGGATGGTCCTCTGGTTGGTTCAGCCACGAGCAGGATTCCTCGGGCTCATCTGGTACTGATTTCGCCGCGCGGGCTATCGATGAAATCAGTAGGGCGCGCACAACTGGATACGACCGTTCCTGAGTTCTACCGCAGAGTCTTCAGTATAACAAGTGGAAGGTAACCCAGGGACTGAAACAAAATAGATGTTCGTCACTTTGCTCTTGGTGAGAGAACTGGAGGCATTAGTTAGGAGGTTCGCTTTGCTGGAAGATAACGGCTTAGACCGATTTTGAATGGACTGAATACGAGAAGAATGACTCCGTACATAGTAGAAAATATCAAGCCTCCCGGAGAAATGGTCTTTGTTTTGGGAGGGTTCATGCAGACGCACTGCAAGGAGCCAAGGACGGGGATTATTTTGATATGGTATGTATACGGTATCAGGTGACAATATCTACTCTGTGTAGTGAAACATGCTTATATTAAGGAGCTGTACGCAGGTCCTACATAGTATCATAGTATGATAGTAGTATCATCGTTAGTATGGGGTCACAGTGGCAACGGGGAAGATGGGGGGGATCCATCCGTTCCAGATGGGGAAGAGTATCTGTATAGCAACTCAGTAATACTTTGTCACTTTCCTCGTACTTATCTGTTGAGAATGACTCATGAGAGTGCTATGTGTATAGTTTATGTACTCCGTAGACCCTAAGCTAAGAGATCTGAGAGCACATGTCATGGGTGGCGGAAGTACGGAGTAGAGAGAGTAGACATAATCAAATCTCCAACCTCCAGCGCTTCTCTCCCTCCTCGAGATTTTTCCCTCAAACAACTATCCCATCTCTTTAGGGATTCACCTCAGTAAAAAAAAACACTCCGAATCTCTTTCAAAGGTACGTTGGTCCTCCGAACACCACACAGTTCGTTGTTCTGCCCTCTTGGAATTTTTCCACAAACCCGAATATTTTTTTCCACTCCGAGAGAACTTGAGTTTTCCCTCCCACCACTCCTCCATTTTTTTTAATCATCATCAAATTACTCGCACGTCGACCAAAACGCTGCTTTTATTGCTGCGTACCTGGTCTTCCGTGTGACCCCTTTTTACCTTAGCCTTTCATCCCTTTGACACCTGCGCTAGGTTTTGGATGTGGCCTTGTCACGCCTCCGACTGACATCACCTCGCCTTCGATTTTTCGAACTTCCTGCTCTCTCTCGCCTTCTTCGCGCGTTAAAACGACACCAACCTGTCTAATGAGCTCGAACCTTCCTCAGTCGGGCACTCAAGGACAAAGCACCGCTACTCCCGCCGCTTCGACCCAGCCCGCATCCTCTAACCCCCTGGCTGCCACTCAGGCGCCGGCCAAATCCTACGCCAACGCTACTAAAAAGTCCGCGACGGACTCTACCGCCGCACCCGTCACCGTGGGTGGTTCAGCGCAACATGGGCAGTCGAGCTCCGTATCTACTGTGAACGGCAAACCCATGCAACCCCAATCTCAGCAGTCGTCCTCTTCGGGAGTGACCATCGTCAATGGAGCACCCGCCGCTCCTGCTGCTTCCTCCGATCACTCTCGCAAACCCTCTGTGACCATCACTTCCAGCGGTACCTCCGGATACATTCCCAACGGCGGCGGCCCGGCTAGTCGGCCCAACAGTCTTCAGTTCGGATTCCAGCAGAGTTCTCCCAGCATGGGTGCTCCTGCAGTGCCTGCCCAGGCCCAGGCTGGACTTGGTGCTCCTTCGGTTAACCCGCGTGTGACGTCTCCTCAGACTTCTCCCTCGCCTATTCCTCAGCCCGCTTCCAGCGGCGGTCGTCCCCCTCCATCGACTTACCAGGCGCAAGGAAATGTGCCGAACTTTGGTAGCTTCGGAGAATCTGGCGATGCCGTAAGTAATTTCCGTTTCCTGTTTTTTTGGGGAGTGAACTTGAAGCACAAATGTGTCCCGAGGATGGCACATTTGTTCGTGACTTGATCAAGTTTTCGTGATTGTTGGGTCGTTTTTTTACCCTCTCTTGGTTTTATTTCCCTACCTCTATGAATCTTGATTTGCTCACATATCTGCTCTCGTTTCGCAGGCTTCTCTTGCACACGGTTCTCAGCACTTGCGTCGCGAGTCCTCCCAGTCTACTCACAGCGATATGAGCAACCACATGGGCAACGGCCCCGGACGCGGGGGCTACCCTCACCAGGGTGGTCGCGGTCGCGGATACTCTCAGTCCGGTTACCAGGGACAGCAGATCCCCTACTCTCCTAACCCCGGTTTCCGCCAGACCAACCAGCCCCGAGGCGGTCCTAACATGGGTCCTCAGTTCCACGGTCCCAACCAGGGCCGTCCGCTGGCCCCTTACCCGAACTCGCCTCACCAGGCTAACCGCAGCCCTGCCTTGACTCATGTCAACCCGACAACTCCTCAGATGAACCCTGTCCCGATGGCACACCCCCAGATGGCCCCGCAGGGCTACGCCTACGGCCAACACATGGGCCCGCAAGCTGTGAGACATCCCCCAAATCATTCTTCCCGGAATGATCCCCGACGTGGCACCCGAAGGAACTTAAACGGCAACTGGAGGCGCAGAGAAGAACCGATATACTCACCCGAGTATCCCGTGGATCTTGCGCCCGAAAGTGGTAATTTTGAACAATGGCTGACGATGGTGAAAACTCGACAGACTTACCCCGGTGGCTATGATCCCAACTACGCCGGTTACTACAACCAGGCCGGTACCTACTACATGACCCCGCCATCGCCTCAGCCTCGTTCTGCTGGCATGCCCTACACTCCTCAGTACATGGGACAGCAATTCCCCGGTCCCATGCCTCAGGCTACCCCCTCTCGCGCACCCCTTCTCAGGTATCTACTGATCGTCCAGGTTCGAGCCTCGGCCAGGGACCCGCACCGACTGGCCCTGCTGCCCCCAACCATACACACAGTGGCAGCAGGCCATCCAACAGCCCTGCTCCCAAGCCTCACTTCATTATTCCATCCGCCAAGAAGAGCCCGATCATCATCAAGGACCCTAACAGCGGCTCAGTCAAGACCTTTGAGAAGAACCCGGCATCCCCCGCACGCGCCACTCCTTCGCCTGTGAAATTCACTCCTCCTCCCACATCCACTCCCCCGCCCCGCACTGGCAGCGCCACTGAGCACACTCGTACCGAGAGCAAGCCGAGTGCCACCAAGACCGACGAGGAGAAGAAGCAGGAGTTGAAGGACGCCGTGCGTCTCAAGATTCAGCAAGATGAGGCCGAACAGAAGCAGCGTCTTGCCGAGGAAGCCTCTCGCAAGGCTGCCGAAGCCGCGCCGACCGATGCCAAGAAGGACGATACTGAGTCTGCCCGGGCCGCCATCGAGAACCTCAGCATCAAGGACAACGCTGCTCCCGCTGAGGATACCAAGAAGGATACTCCCGCCAATGAAAACAAGGCCGCCGCCCCCGCTGAAGAGCCAAAGAAGGCTCCTGCCCCTGCCCCTGCTCCTGAGGAGGAGGAAATTGATTTCGATGCTATCGAGCGTGAAATGATGGAATTGGAGGCCAAGGAACGTGAGGCCGAGGAGGCCTACTACAAGGCAAAGGAGGAGAAGAAGGCGGAGGCCGAACGCAAGGAGCGCGAGGAACGTGAGAACTACGAGGCCAACATGAAGAAGGCCGAAGCCGAGGCAGAGGCCCGCGAGCTTGCCCGCGAGGCCGCTCGCGCCCAAGGAGAGACCGGCCAGGACGACAACAAGGAATTGTTCGCCGCGCTGAAGAAGGGTGGACTCAGCGCCACAGAGACTTCCACGCCTGGTGACAGCGGTGCTGCCACCCCTGTTTCTGACATGGGTCCCCCAGCCAAGCCCGCCAGTGCTGCGCCCAAGAAGCCCGCTGGCCTCAAGCTCGATACCCCGAAGCCGACCGAGCCCCTGCAGCCCACTCCTGGTATGAAGTCTTTGCAAAATGCTAAGTTCTTGAAGGACCTCAGCAAAATTACCTACCCAGACTCCATCAAGCCTCCTAGCGCTGCTTTGAACGAAGCTGCACCAGAGGGCCGAAAATTCCACTACGACCGGGACTTTTTGCTGCAGTTCCAGGCCGCCTTCAAGGACAAGATCTCCGTGGATTGGGACCTCCGTCTGCGGGACACAGTTGGCGATGCCACTGACTCTTCCCGTCCCCAGTCAGCCCGTACCCCCAGCATGGGTAGCCGCGCTGGCTCTCGCGCCGGCGGCGCTATGGGTCCCTTCCCCAACGTCTCCATGGGCAATTTCAACGCCACTGGCCGACCCGGTCAAATGCCGCCTATGGGCAGCCGCCAACCATCCGCCTTCGGGTTCGGACGGGGCGGCCCTGGTGGCATGGGTCCTATTGGCAACATTCGCCAAAACTCTGCTGGCGTTCCTCCTCGTGGTAACTCAAGCAAGGGTCCCCGCACCGACAGCCGCCAGAGCAAGAAGCACGGTGGCCGAGGAGACGAAGCACAAAACAAGGCTATGCCTCTTACTGCTGGCATGGATCTTAGGGCAATTCAAACTAGTGCAAATGGTTGGAAGCCTCGTAGCGTTGGTCAAGCCGCTGCTGGGCCCGCCCCTGGTGGTGACAGCGGTTACTTGGCACCGGATGTCGTGCAGCGCAAGGTCAAGGCTGCTCTCAACAAGATGACCCCGGAGAAGTTCGACCGTATCTCTGGTCAGATTCTCGAGATTGTCTCCCAGTCCAAGGATGAGTCCGATGGCCGTACCCTGCGCCAGGTCATCCAGCTCACTTTCGAGAAGGCCACTGATGAGGCTCACTGGGCCCCTATGTACGCCAAGTTCTGTAAGAGCATGCTGGAGAGCATGAGCCCGGAGATCAAGGACGAGAACATCCGCGACCGATCGGGCAACGTCGTTGCTGGTGGAAGCTTGTTCCGCAAGTACTTGCTCAACCGTTGTCAAGAGGAGTTCGAGCGTGGTTGGAAGCTCAACCTGCCTGCGAAGCCCGAGGGCACCACCGAAGAGGTATGTGGATCGATTCCCGAACATTGTTTCTTTTTTTTTCTTCCCTTTTGCATCGTACTAACCATCAGCAATAGATTGCAATGATGTCGGATGAATATTACATCGCTGCCGCCGCTAAGCGTCGTGGTCTTGGTCTCGTCAAGTTCATTGGTGAATTGTACAAGCTTGGCATGCTTACAGAGCGTATCATGCACGAGTGTGTCAAGAAGCTTGTGGATTACGAGGGTGTTCCCGACGAAGCCGAGGTTGAGAGTCTGACCAGTCTGCTGCGCACCATTGGTGCCAGTCTCGATGCCTCCGAGAAGGGCCCTGCTATGATGGACGCCTACTTCGCTCGTATCCACCTCATGATCGACATCCCTGGCTTGCCCAGCCGTCTCCGATTCATGCTTCTCGTAAGTATTTCCATGGGTTGCGGTCTTGCGGAGATAAGAAAATGGCTAATAATTCGTTCAGGATATTATTGATCTCCGTGCAGCACGGTGGAACTCCAAGGATGCCGACAAGGGTCCCCAGACCATCGTTGAGATTCGCGAGGCTGTAAGTATACCTTGCTTCATGTGATTCATTGTATCCTCTATCTAACCCTTAAACAGGCTGCCCGTGCCGCTCAAGCCGCCGAGGCTGAGCGCCAGCGCCAGTCCAGCAACCGCGGCGGTGGTGGCCGCATCCCCATGGGTCGCGGCGACGCTCGTGGCTTCGGATACAACCAGCCCCCTCCTCCGGACTACGCCTCTAGCAAGGTTGGCAGCGACGATCTCCGCCGTCTACGTGCGACTCGCAACACCAACCAGCCCATGTCCTTTGGCCCCTCCAGCCTTCTAGGATCCCGCACCAACAGCGGCCGCAAGAACCTCGGTCCCGGTGGTAACCTGGTCCGTGGTAGCGACGACAGCGCCGCCAGCAGCCGTACTGGAACCCCCCTGCCGGCAAGAAAGAAGATAAAGATACCTCTTCTATGAACGCCTTCAGGTACGCTTCTCCCAAGGAAATCCCGCTCCCCCCGTGGAATCCCGCCCGCTTCGCGCAGCGGAAACCCTCAATTCACACCCACATGCTAATAATCAATGCTCCTAGTGCTCTTGCTGCCCTTGAAGATCGGGACAACATGGCGACCTCGCCTCCGTCCAACCCCACATCCCCGATGCTCACCAAGTCACAGCCTGCAGCGACGGAGCGTCGTCCCTCAAAAACCCCGTCTGTCAAGGACGGCGAATCCGCAGCATAGAAAGACACACCTTAGGAGTTAATGATCAACGCTTTCCCATTTTCTTGGTTCACAAAAAGATTTCTTCATTCTCGTCATATTTTCCATCTCGATTCCGTGGGGAACAAAATTCCCAACCTTGCGCGTTTCCCAAGTCTCAGTCTTCGCTTTGCATTTTCCGACTGGTCGGTTTCCCCCTGTCTGAGACTTGTTTTTCTTCTTATCAAGCTCGTCGACTTCTTTTGAACCCTTTTCGAAAGAGACCTCTTCATAGTGTACAATCTTGACATCTCTTCAATTCTTCCTTTTTCCCTGTTCTTTTTCTCTCTTCCTCTTTCCCCGGTGACTCTTCGCTTGAGAATACATGGTGAAACTGGGTGGTAGTGGTAGTGGTTGAATTTAAAGGACTTTTGCTGCAAACCGGCATTGCTCAAATCAACTATTCATATACGAGTTCTCTCTTCCATCTGTAGTTCCATTCTTCATACAAATCGTAAGCATATTGTCTCTAAGACTGGGTGCTATGTACATGACACTGTTCCACAGAAAGCAACTCCTCCTTTACGGACTCTGTTCATGACCAGTTGACCGTGTTCCTCGCCCCGACATGTAAGCTTCACATGGTGTGAATGTCCAGTGAGAGATGGTGTGAGGCATAAGAACGAAGATCAGACCGCAGACACGACTGGATCAGGTATCTCGTCACATCCATCAGATAGCCTGCTATAGAGCTTGCTAGCATCAAATGGGTAGACACCAGAATCTTTGAAAGATCTCTGAATGGTTCTCGGACCGATGGCCCTCCATCGTACATCCCCGATCGCTCTTAGAAATTGCGCCTTGCGGTCCCTACCCATCGGTCCACCTGCCCAATAAGCTGGATCGTTATTTAGGCTTTGGAAATGTTCTTTATATCTCATAAACGGCTTGCCATCGAGCGGGCGGGTTGCAGATCCAAATGCGAAGGGTATAATATCGTTGTCCTCGCATTTCCGTATGAATTCGACAGTAATGTACGGGGCGCGGCGATCGACGATCAAGACACGCTTCTCACCCGGCTCTGTACGAATGCTAGTACTCTCGATGAAACAATCTAGCCATTGAGTGGCTAATTCATCAGAGTTCCAGCCATTCGGCGGAATTCCAACCGGTGGTAGATAATCGAACCAGACACTACCGTCATCGAACCAGGCGTCCACGAGCTCACCGTCTCTTTTGAATATGTATAGCGGTTCCAGCTGCCACCCATCGGCAGAAACACACTCAAACGCAGTGATGTTCCCGCCTCGCTCAGTCTCAGCAAGATCAGGGCCAGACCTGCTACCGTCCTGGCTATCGACTTCATTCTGATTTCTGTCCTCGGCGGCCCAGAAGCCGCACTCATCGAAGTTGTATATTAGCCTTGCAGGTACACCTTCAAACGCGTCTTTTAGCCGCTTGAACCAGTCGGCTAGTAGCTCTGCATCTTCTTCTGCCTCACTTAGATCCAATTCATGCGTGCGGTGCATCACTATGCCTTGCTGTAGGTCTGGTGGGAGACGCCGAATGAAGCGATACGCCCACATCTTGCTAACCCTCTGCTCGGGTCTACCATTGCGCGCAAGTGAGGAGTTTGCCATTGACTCGATCAGCTTAGGCGTTGGTGGCATATCCCATTCGATCAAATGGCGTATCCAGCCTGTGAGGGTTTCCTCCTGGACACTATCTAGGATCCTACGAGCGTTTCGGTTGCCTGTAAGAGAGCGCACTCCCTTTTTGAAGCGATCGTATAGGGTCCGGTGATGGACGCGATATTGACGCGCAATCCTGCTGAGGTTCGGTTCTTTCTCGCGTCTAGCTGCTTCGCAGGCCGCGTTCAGACGGGTTTCGGCAGGTTGGTCGATTTCAGGCACAGGTTGGTCGGGGTCAGACACAGGTTGGTCGATTTCAGGCGCAGGTTGGTTGGCCTTAGCTATGGTTTGTCGAGGGCGCACACCCTTTTTGACGCGATTGTAGAGGGTCCGGTGAGAGACGCGATATTGACGCGCAATCTTGCTGAGGTTTGGTTTTTGCTCGCGTTTAGCCGCTTCACAGGCCGCGATCATACGCGATTCGGCAGGTTGGTCGAGATCGATTTCAGGCACAGGCTGGTCGACTTCAGGCACAGATTGATCAGTTTTAGCTTTGGGTGGTCGAGGGCGTACACCCTTTTTGACGCGATTGTAGAGGGTCCGGCGAGGGACGCGATATTGACGCGCAATCTTGCTGAGGTTCGGGTTCTCCTCACGTCTAGCCGCTTCGCAGGCCTCAATCATAAGGGATTCGGCAGATTGATCAGTTCTAGGCACAGGTTGGTCGGGCTCAGGCACAGATCGGTTGCTTTCAGACACAGATTGGTTGGTTTCAGGCATAGATTGGTCGGGGTCAGACACAGGTTGGTCGATTTCAGGCAAAGATCGGTTGGCGTTAGCTTTGGGTGGTCGAGGGCGTACACCCTTTTTGACGTGATCGTAGAGGGTCCGGCGAGGGACGCCATAATCACGCGCAATCTTACTGAGGTTCGGCTTTTGCTCGCGTTTAGCCGCTTCACAGGCGGCGATCATACGCGATTCGGCAGGTTGGTCGAGGTCGATTTCAGGCACAGGCTGGTCGACTTCAGGCCCAGATTGATCGGTTTTAGCTTTGGGTGGTCGAGGGCGTACACCCTTTTTGACGTGATCGTAGAGAGTCCGGCGAGGGACGCCATATTCACGCGCAATTTTACTGAGGTTCGGTTTTGTCTCACGTTTGGCCGTTTTGCAGGCCTCGAGCACACGAGAATAGGCAGACTGGTCAGTTTCAGGCATGGTTGGTCGAAGATATTGCTTCCAAAAGTGTAGTGGTGGGAGCTTTGGCGATGTGGTGTGTTGTATGTGGGAGGCGGTTCGTCCGTGGCCCACAGCAGGACGGTGTAGGTGGGCAGAAACTAGAAAGGCAAACAGAAAGACACAGATACCCACGTGACCACCTGTCGATGATGTGGATTCATTCTTGTGAAAGTTGTTGCTTCTCTTCCTATCTGCTATGTTCACTACCTGGGTGTACTTCCAGAAGATTGCGCGTGAATATCGCGTCCCTCGCCGCACCCTCTACGATCACGTCAAAAAGGGTGTGCGCCCTCGACCACCCAAAGCTACGTACAACCGACCAATCCGTGCTTGAAATCGACCAATTTGTGGAATATGTGGCCTTCATCGGTTGCAGGCACAGATTGGTTGATTTCTAGCACAGATTCGTTGATTTCTGGCACAGATTGGTCGGCTATTACTCGTTCTCAACGTACAAGACACACCCGAAGGGGGTGGGAATCTTAAAGGCACAGATACACTTCACATGTGATACACTTGAATGAGAGTCATACTTGAAAGGAGCATCCTATTGATAACTCGACTGACTTGGATTATGGCTTGTGTAGAACTTCATGCAATCAATGTCTATCATTAGATATGAATTCACTGTAGACGTAAAGAGCAATGTCGCTAGACCCGAGACTGATAATAACGAGCAGGGTATCGAGGTGGGTTTAACAGACAACCCCTGAAAGGTACCGACGTGATCGTAATCCCTAGCTTCTAGGTTGCACAGTCGCAAAGCCAGACGCACCGTGGGCGATGAGGTGGGAATTCAAATGATTGGTTCGTATGCATCGTGAATAGTTTCGAGAAAACCTCGGTGGTGTAATGTGTAATGTATGGAGAAACACGAGAAAGTAAGGGTAGATAGGAAGGGCAGAATGCATCAAGGTGCACTAGGGTTTTCGGGATTCGTTGTGGTGTCATGAGTATCATGTCCATCCGACACTTCGATCATGGGGATGGATATAGGGCTTTTGAGTGGTTCCGAGCACTCATCTGGCGCGTCGGGTCTCTCGCCCTCCGTAGTCGACGAGGAGTCAGAATCCGAAGAGTCATCGTCGGATGGGGGAGGCGAAGCCGCAGCCCCACCCTGCGAACGCGAGGCATATGGCTGAGCCGCATCATCAGCAACGATGTTCTCTTGGGAGCTTTCCGCGGAGCTACCGAGCGTTGGACTCTTCCCATTCAGCGAGTTCCGGGCCGGGTAGGTGGCGTCGGAATCATCGTGGCTGATGCTACTTCGATCCGAGACAGAGAGCGAGCTACGCGAGGTCGCGTTCGAGTATGATGCAGGGAGACCAAGTGCCTCGGCCACTGCAGCCTCCTCGTCCGGCAGTTTCGAGGTACTGCTGTCGTTGCTGGAACTGGCGCCGAAAATCTGACTACCGCGCTGCTCGCTCATTTCTAAGATGTGGTTATAGCTGCGCCGCGTTGGGTCTGCGCGACGCTTCTTCTTCTTCTTCTCGCGCTTTGGCGATGGGCGCACGACAATCACGGGGATGGGGGACTGCTGGAGGCAGTATTTGGAGACTGATCCAGGAAGCAGGCTGTGCACTCCTTTCATATTGCGTCCTCGGGTGCCGACAATAAGCATTGCTGGCTGGTATATACGAATCTTGAAAAATATTGTTAAACTGAGAAGAGACATCAAATGGACTTCTGGGGAAGATTTACCATGCGTTGAATGATGCTCTCGACCTTGCCGACGGCAAGTTCTAGGACCAAGCTGATAGCCTTCTCATTATGGCTGTTCTTCTGGATAACTTGTTCGAACAGCTTCTCAGCCTCCTCGCGGTACTTCCTCTCCTCGATCCCGGCATCACTGGCTATGCGCGAATCCTTCTCCACTGCTCGAAGGCAGACGATCTCATCCCCGTCATCCACCAGCTCGTCAATGAGCCATTCGAGAGCGAATTCGGAATAATCGTTCTGGTCAGTACCGCATAAAAAGGTCCTGCTGCGACGTGTGGACTGATAGCCCTTGTGTTTGTAATTCAGAGTGAGGGAGAAATCGGTAGCGTCGAAATTATCGAATGTGTCGAAAGACACGCCTCGTTCATAAGTCCTGTAAATTATCAATATGCGCCCGTGCGAGGAATTTCCTGGGAAATACATACTTCGGCGGTGGGGGAGACGGCCCTCGGTTCAATTTGGCAGCTTTGTGTTCACTTTCTTTTTCTTCCAGTTCCCTCGACGAGAGCCGCTTCTCCTTAAAGCTTGCCGAACGAGTAGGTAGCAGGGCCTCGGATCCTCCGACGCTAAACTGGATTGATCTCCGATGTGGACTTCGTTCTGTTGGCTTTGCGTCACCGGAAAGGCTGCGGTTGTGGCCGGACCCCGCAGCTGGAATCGTATGATCTCTGCATTTGGGTCGCTCCCCGATATCGAATGAGGCTTTGGGGGATGTGGGAGCAGACATTCCGAGGTGAAGTTGTGATGACAATCCGGATGAACAAGAAGCAATCGTTTCGTATTCTGCTAATGTTGCTTGGCCGTGTGTTGACGTAAATGACAATAGCTAGTAGGTATCAGCGGTCATGGGGTTGTTGAAGATTCCACAACCAAGCAAGAATTTGATGGCATGTTTTGAGTGGAGTTCCTGCAGTGAAGTCTTCCAAGTTTGTAAAGCTAATAGTCACGAGGCATGTTGCTTGAGTTTGGAGAATGACGGATGCAGCGAGGGGTTAGGGCAGTTGGTGAGGGCGGTGACTGCTTATCGATAGCGGAGCCCAGTTTGTCCGAACCTGCCCAACCTTGGAGGTTCGATCCACTGATTGACATAGCCCTAATTTGTATACAAAAGCTTCATTGGTGTCATCTACAGTAGGTTGACGGAAATGGCTGTTTGAAATACAGAATGGCTGATGTTTTATTGGCTTCCAGTGCTAATCACACCGAGAGAGCTCAATTCTTCACCTCGTGACTAAGAATGTCACCCCGCCCGGTATGCACGTCTTTATATGTTAACTTTATGAAGTAGGGACAGGAAATCGAAGTCAACCAATGTATCTGCTATGTATTACTGCGTCACTAGTTATGGAACTAGATTTACCTAGTTAATGTCAGTACAATTTGCGCAAAAGCCCTAATTACAATGACATCAACAGATGCAACCCTGCAATGGTGCAGAAACAAGTTTTATTCAACAGCACGCGAGAGATGAAGAGACTAGACTCGAATCCAACATCAACATGAAACAAAACCTACAAAACGAGTGAAATACCCCATAACTACCCAACATACACCATTGACCAATGTGATCTCAATCTGTAATAAGATACCGGGCAAAGCGCGCCTCCGGCGCCGGACGAACCGAGCCATGCGCAAACGACAGCAAGCCTCAAAGAAACCAGACCCACCAAGTCTTGAATGCGATTTTATGCATATCGATGACTAACTACTGTGCATCTTTCAGGGTCCGAGCCAAGAATCTGTCAGGTGTCAATGCCGAGTCCCGATCACAACGCGAAGATAGGGGCATATCGGAGGAACAAAGCCAGCAACGAAGCCAACCATTTCCAAACGTATAAAAAGGGTAAACAACCAACGAAAACACCCGAAAGACACACACACACACATTGACTCACTCACACCCCTCAGCCCCTCGAGTGATTTCCAACACTAATCCCAATCCGTATCCCGCCTCGTTTGTACCTTACCTAGCGTACTAGCGCGTAGATCGGGCACCCACCAAAAGAACCAGAAGTGAAGAAAAAACCAAAAAAGGCAGCAAAATTCTTTCATAACCCACTTTATTCCCACTTTATTTACACTGCCCGATCACAAAGTAAATGTTGATTATTGAACTAGTCAACCCCCTTTAGCAGACTATCAATTCCATAGCGCCATATCCGCGATGATCGCTATCTTGCTCTGATCTATCTACCAGTTATCCGGCGGTGAAGAAGATCGCGTGCTGGCCCCCTGCACTTCCATTCGATTGATTTGGCGCTCGGGGCCCGGGATCGACCGGTCACATGCGCCGTTGGCAAGTGGGGGTGGGTTCAATGGAGGATTCTGCCGGTTTTTCTTTTTCTACACAGGAGATTATTTGTGTACGGAGTATGATAGCATAGTTATGGTTACTGTACGACATAAGGCATTGGATGTATTTCGAATTTTTGTTTTGATTTTGAATTTTTTCAGAGAATTGAAAGACACATGTTTCGGGTATGTACATTCCAGTTGGGATCAGTATGTCTGTTCCCTCGTGTATCAATGCTCCAATGCACAGTCTCGGCCTCTTGGGAGAACTGGCTTGTTGCTATCACAGATAGCAAGAGATGAGAGGGGTATGTAAGTATATGAAAAATGAATATGAAATATCCAAAATGGAGAGTCGGATATGCGACCGACCAAAAGAAACGCCGGAAAATAAAGATGAGAGGCTTGTAGATGCGCTCTAAGAACATGGACCAAAATAGAAAAATCATCGTCATGAAAGCATCAGGGTATCACAGTATAATCGCTGGATGATGGTACACAAGGCAGAGAGGGGAGGTGAGAGGGTATAGTCGGAATCGTAACAAGGTGGATATGTATAGTGGGAGGAGAGGCTCATTCAATAAGCCTCGATGATGCTCTGCTCTCGTGTATCAAAATACCCTGGCTCAAAGAGATGGGGTTGGTCAGAGCCTGCCAAGGCAATCGCCGTGGTAGTAGGCTCTTTTTCATTGAACGCCTCCAGCGTAGGCTGAGGTGGAGATGGCGGCGTTGCTTCGTCTTCAGATTCGCCGTCTGAATCAGAGAGTAGCTCGGGCGGGGACTGGCGCGACGGTGAGCGAGTCAAGCTCAGCTCGTCAAGGTCTTCCTCATCGTCGTATTCAAAGTCGGAATCTGTGTCTTCGCCCTCGTCTTCCTCTAGCAGGTCATTCTCGTGGTGGGGAGCCACGGGTGAGGGAGAGCGGCGGCGGACGGGAGTGTTGATGACGAAGTCGGACTCGTCGAAGTCGGAGTCGTCGCTGTCACTGAGGTCGGAGTCCATGTCGGACGCATCCTCCGCGTCCCAGTCTTCCTCGGGCTCTTCGACCACGGTGGAGGCCCATTGAATGTGTTGGCGGGAGGACGAGGAAGCCTTGGTGGCTCCCTTGACGGTCTGGTTGAACCAACGTTCTTGTTCACGCTCGGCGTCGGCGAGGTCGAACATCAGTGAATCGAGGAGGTTGGCGTGGCCGACGAGCAGGCGCAGATTGTGGTCAGCCCGCGAAGCTTCACGAGTGAGCTTCTTGCGGGCGGTGTGGGCGAGGTAGTATGTTTGTGTGATGCTCATCTTCTTTTGTTGGCGGCGCCGGAGGAGGGAGTCGAAATAGGGAGAGGACTCAGAGGACTCAGAGGAGGGGGATTTGGAGGTAGTGGAAGGACAGTCCATGGTGGGCTAGAAGATCTTTTTGAAGATTTCGGGGTATGACTCTTTGCTGGTGACTCAATTAGGCGTCATCCAGTCACAGTGGATCGCCGAGGGGCGGTGTGGTGATAAAGGGCCAAAGGGATAACAGGGCGTGAGCAGGGTATCGGATCAACCTGTTGTACAGATAGTCGAGATATGATAGATCAGGTTTGGTGTCTTCTTAATTTCCCAAGGGGAAGATAGTGTAACGGTGGATATTGGAGAATCCTAGATTGAAGATCAGATCAAAACTCGGCGAGCAGACAGCTTTATTTAATGTGATCAGGCTTCTGTATTTTTTTCGCTTTTCCTTTTTCTTTTTCGTTTTTGGTTTTTAATCCGATCGCCCCGAACCGGACTTTACGGATGATTTGAGCTCCACCGGACATAAAATGGAGAATCGCCGAGCCCGAGTCATCCAGTTTGAGTAATTATCGTATTTCTAATACTGAATAATGCACTGTCCGCTTTTCCCATAGGCTTTCAAGGTTTCCTAATCTCACCGCTACATTTTGTACTGCCTGCATGTAATTTGAGTAGTTAAGATACATCCCTGCAATTCAATTGATTCTTGCCAGACCTACTTTTCCCTCTTGATCTGCAGATTGTACTGTGTAATATTCAGTCTCATACTCCGTAGTTCTCATAGTGAGTCACAACTCTGGAACGATGACCAATACGCCGTGTGTGCCGTGTGGAGCGAAATACCGAATCGGATAGTCGGCTACTCTTAGCTCCGATTATTCAACTTTTCCTTACTTTCCACTGACTTCCTTAATTCCTTAATTCCTTCATTCTAGAATGCTCTGCTCCGTACTGCGTATATGCTTAATGCCTTTTACCAGTGTAGATGACAATTATAACTTAAGGTTCCTCAGCTCCCAAGGTCCATCTGCGGGATTGCAAGATGATTACTCAGTGGATTAGATTTCCAATCCATCATGATTGCCAATCAAATCACCTCATTCATGCTAAACTACTTCCGTATTGCATAGCTTCCGTGGTTGATAGCTGACAATTATGAACTTAACTACTCCGTACATATCTCCGCAATCCGCATCGGCAGAAGGGCTATCTGGGTAAATCATGAGCTGGCTGGTCAGCAGAATGATATTGAGCAAGATAGCGAGCAATCTTACTATCCATGCACACAAGGTACCTAAGGTATCCTGCAGCCTCAACACTTTCACCAATTGCCTACCCCCTCGCCTGTATCACCAGTGCCCAGCTTCTTGGCAGGAATTACTTCGTACAACGTCCATCGTATATCGCGACCGACTAGCATTCCCCAGAAATTCTGAGATTGACCAGGAACCTATACATAAGGAGGCTGTGTTGTGGGGAACGCCCAACACGATTAGACTATTGATTGGTATGCACTGACCCTCATGAGGCCATGAGGCAGCGTAGTTTCAAATCCCTGTCAGAACCTAGTGGCTTATCATGATTTTCATCTGTATGATGCAGTTCATTCCGTACACCGGTGCCTATCCATCGCACATCGCAGACCTCATTTAACCCTCCTTGCAGGGCGCAGTGTCAGACTCTCTCGTTCTCTCTCTCTTGAGAGCATATTCAATGTGGGGACCAATGGGATCCACCAATGGCTCGTTATGTTTCACCTGTGGAATGGTAGTTGTATGTGCATTTTCCCGTTTCATCCTGTCCAACAGCACATGTTTCTGATAGACACCTTGCTGGCGACATAGGCGCATACCTTGGGCGCATAATGTAAGATGTTACTGTATGTACGCAGTACACGGTAGAGTACACCAGAAACCCCCTCCCCACCCCCGGCTTGTTGATGATCCGAGTGTTTGTTCAGGAGAATGACAGCCTTGGCATAGAAGATTATGTCAGGCGCGGTTATCGCCGCGCCAAGCCCGGGCCCCGGTACTTAGAACCCTGCGGCTGAGAGCAAGAAAATTTTTAAAGTGGTTCGCAGAGCTTTCCCGTTCATAAAATTGCCCTTGTAATCTCCACTTAGCCCCGTCCCAGCCCTACGAAATACCAAATGTCTCAAGCTAACTCCCGAGGTCCGTCTTTGCCGAACCTGCTGATGACAAGTAGAATTTAGATCCTTATCTAAAGGTCGAAAGTGGTTCCATGCAATCTTCTTTCCAATCTTCCATGGTCGATAATCAATCTAGTTCTTCGTTCTCCGTGCGGGATACGCATATTGCCACATCAGGAACTTACGAGGTAATGGAAGCCCAGATGCAGGCCAGAACAATCGAATTCAAGAACTGCGCGGAGATAAGAATATAAACATCAACCTTGAACCTTCATTGCAAATCATCGAGTAATAAACGCCATGGCTTACTTAGCTCTATCATCGTCCAATCATATCCTGGGGATCCACTGCGTGTTGATGGGTATGACATCAAGAGATCTGTTTCGGGCCCTCGGCCATGTGATCTGGCTCCCGAGGTCTAATGGATCGAAGATAGATCGTGGTCCGGAGAGAGGTAGTTGATGAGGTAGGTGGAAAATGTATGCCGTAAGTGCTTGGATTGATAATGTGCAGAGATCTAGAGAACAATTAGATGAGACGGTCATACTCATACTTCTAACGTGCAGCCTTAGATGCGGCTGAAAGTGATCATCAATGATACGTAGCCTCAAAGTTATCGCCGTAAGCCGAAGAACCAAAGACCAAACCAAAGTCTATCCGAGCCACCAACCGGGGTCTGCTTCATACCTCTTTAGGTAAAGCTCGTACCATCCATGGGTGGTCGGTGTAACTGATCTCCGACCCCCGATACCCGTCTCCGACCCACTGTATGAAAATACTACAGTACTAGCATGAAAATAACCCGTGGAATCCCGTGCTTTATGCACATCCGCAAGTGTCTATGCTCATATCCAAGCGCTATCGCTATCGCGGGTGATCGCCGCGAAAACTCCTTGATACATAGGCTATGCGGACATCGGGAAGTCCGGAGGACTTGGTGATTGTTCCGCAGGCATAGGGCGGATGCGGGTATGCTGGGTATCCGGCACCCGGACACGTGTGACGGGGCTGGTGTGACGAGTGACGACTGACGAGACTCCGGCTTCTTTCGTGACCGTATATCCGTACACTGGATACAGACTGATGCGTTCCGATATCCATTGAGATACAGAGTACTTTTTGCATCATGATTGTGTCTTAAGATTTGATGCTCTTGGCCAAAGTTCGTCCGTCGCCAAGTTCAAAATTCTTGTACACAGTATAGACTTCGTCAACGGTCAAGTTGCATTGCCCACCTGCAGATCGCTGGTTATCTGATCATCGGCTTATTGACTTATAGATCGTGGGATTAGGCTGGTCACCTCTGCAAGGCTCAATATGAGTTCTACGTCAAGCAAGCTGGTGCACGGTTGACTAGGCTGGAAGTCAAATAACTCAAAGATGCAACTGCCTTCTTGATAAACATCCATCTGTAATGGAGATCAAGCATCATGGTAGCGTCGTTCATCGTCACTCGCCGCGTCACATAATATGCCAATCAACCCGAATACCTATCGAACATATCCAGACGGATTAAAAGACAAGTCGCTCCCAGCCAGTGTTAAGTGATGCTAGCCTACAGCCAACAATAAAGATCCTCACACCTGATTCCCAAGATAATCAATAAAACCCACCGAATCCTTCGGATCCGCCAACCTCAAATCAGCATACGCCAAAGCCCTAGCAACAAGCATCTCAACATCCCCAATCCACCGCGCATACCCATGAGCCCTAAGCTTACAAAGCGCCACCTTGGTCCAAGTAACACAGCTCTGTTCCGGCACAGCGCCCTTAACCGGCAACGGCACAGATTGAAGCAAACCCTTGATAATCTCTGGACCAAGACCAGCCCTGACCTCGCCAATCGTCATGCGAACAAGGCGCGACTCGCAGGTGTCCGGGTCGACGTCGTTCCTGGCGCGGTAGGTCCACTCGTGGTCTGGCTTTGGCTCGCGGGTTACACAGTCCGGGGAGGAGCCGTCGGTTACGTCGTAGACGTGGAAGTGCTTGTTTTCTTTGTCGGAGAGCAGGATGGTCCAGTGGTAGGCGGAGAAACCGAGGCGGCGACGGCTGTCGCCGAGGGATAGCTCGTTGCGGTTGTGGACTTCTAGATAGAGAGTGTAGGTGCTTGGTTGGATTGGGGTGGTGGGTGGGTGGGTGGCCGAAGTGCCGTTTACGGGGGTTTCCCGCTTCTGTTTGGGTGGATTTTGTTAGGTTGTTGATGGTGGGTTGAGGAGAGATGATACTTACACCGCGGAACATCTTGAGAAGGTATTTCGATATCTTGATGGTAGCTGGGGGGGCTTTGTGGTCAGGTGGGATGGGAGAGCTTGGGTGTTTACTGCTTTGCTCTGATCCGGGTCCTGGGTAAAGAGGTGTGAGCAGCTTTTGATTGCTCTTTCTGGGTTATTATCTGAGCGGTGTCTCTTGTGGTAGTTTAGACACAATGCTTGACTTTGGGCGGGGAGAATTCCTGCCCATCTTCACAGGCCACAGAAAGGCCATACTTGGTGCTATACATGCCCGTGACCATCCTGGCGTTCAACTCGCAGGCACGGCCAAGTCCGGTCTGATTGGGAAACAACGACCCTGCCTCACTATATCGCGATAGTCATAGTTGATGCTTGAAATTGCACAAAATATTGCTCATATATTTTCCCTCGAGCTCCTGGCTACCTGATAGGTAGTCTTAACCTAAGCATATGCCTCGTTGGCAAAATAGAAGACCAGATCAATGACCTGTTGCCTGTACTTATATACATATCTCACGGCAAAGACAGCAACAGTTTCTTCAGCTTAGGATAGTTGGGTGTGCCCAATCCAGTGGCAGGATCCCATCTGCATCATATGTCAGTAAAAAACACCCCTACGCTACTTGGAGATATCGCACTTACCCAGGAATAGCACTGAATCCCTCAGATCCACAACCAACATTGGTACCATTGGTAATATCATTAAGCACCTCCGGGTGAGCATAAAGCACAGGGTTGACGAATCCAACCGGACCCTTACCCTTAGCAAGACGTTCCTCGTTGATCTACGACGGAAAAAAGCCACATTAGCACCAGTACCCAAACCTATCCAATGATGTACACCAGGGATCCAACATACCAAGTTTAGCACAGACGCAAACAACGGCGACGCCAAGCTGGCACCGTAGTAGTGATGCACAGTCCCACCCGTATACGCAGGGAACATAGCGCCATTAGCCGCGACATCAGGATAAGCGCGACCAATGCGATTGAAAAGACCCTTTGTCGTGTTCAGATTGACGTTCATCCCCGAGTAGTGCGGGTAGCTCAGCTTAGCCTTTTTGAAGTACTTTTCGACAGCAGCCTTCTGGTATAGTGGCTGGGGGAAGTAATTGGAGAAGCCGCCGGAGCTGCTGAAGTTTGCCGCGGTGCCGCCCAGGTCGGCGTGCATGACGCTCTCGGCGTCGTGGACGGTCTGGTCTTCGTAGAGCATCGTACCGCCGACGGAGGTCACGTAGGGGCAGTTGGAGGGGTACTGGGGGTTGAAGATCTTGCCTTCGGGGCCGAGGCAGCCGTTCGGGGTGCCGTCGCCTGGGAAGGAGGCGACGCCGTAGTCGCCGGAGGCGAAGAGGATTGAGTGGCCTTGCAGACCTAGCTTGAGGAACTCGTTGCATTGGCGTTTTGTGTAGGCGGCGGGGAGGTCGGCTTCGGCTTGGCCGTAGGAGGCGCTGATTACGTTTGTTGGCTTGTAGACGCCACATTGGAGTTTGCCTGTTGGGGTGTGAGTTATCAGATATATTTGGCTTATTGGCAGGGACCGCAGGGTATTCTACCTTTGTAGCCAGCAGGGTCTGGGTTCGGATAGACTGGGTCGATGTCCGGGTTGTTGCCTGTTTCACCATAGGCACTGTATGTGCAGTAAGACTGAGGATGTCAGCTTGATGTACTTTTTTGTAGAGAAATCACGACTTACACCATCGAGGGCATCGAGGAAAGTGTTGAACAAGTTGGTGGTCGCAACCTCGACCGGCTCATAAACCTGGTCGTCGACCTGGTAGAGAGTCACTTCCTGGGGGTAGATAAGCGCATAACTAGCGCCGTTAGCCGAAGTCAGAGGGAGAACTGGATGAAGACATTGTACTCACGCCATGTCAATGTCAATATCCGATTCACCGCTGTTGAGTGCGCTATAATCAGGCACGGAGTAGTTGGCTCCATCGATCAAGGCGGGAATAGGGTAGGTGCCCTGCGGGATCCAAGGAGCATAATCCTTGTAGTAGAGGTCAAGGTCAGACTTGGCAAAGTAATCACCCTGCTCGTAGAGACCGAGCGAGTTACCCTTCTTAGCCTTAGTAGCATCAGGGATCTTGTACAAGGCCTTGATGCAGGCCGGGGTCATGTCAGAACCACAGTTCTGGAGCTCTGCAGGCAGTCCCTTAGCCTTGGGAGGAACGACCTTGGGTTTGGAGATATCGGATGCAATTTCGCCCTTGGAATGGGCCAAGTGTGACGCTCGCTTTGCCTTGGTGCTCTTCTTCACAATGGGGCTAAGCTTGACTCCGGGTGTGATGTAGTCAATGTGGTGCTGGATGTGCTCGGGGACATGGTACCTGGTTCCGTCAATTCGAGAGGCCAGGTGGAATACTTCAAGGTGGTATGGTTCTTACTCTTCGCAACCAATCTTCAAGCTGGCAGTGTGAGAATGCTCGTGCTCGTAGAACTCAGTCATGAACAATTTCTCCACTTCATGGGCATAGGCATCAAAGGCCAGCCACCCCTTGTTGTCCGAGTGCACAACCCGGGACTTATCAATACCCGAGGACTCGAGCCACTGACGGACAGAGTCAACAGACTCCTTGGGGGGAGCAAACATATCATGAACCTCCTCTGCCGACCAGTACTGTCCATACTTAGGCGAGGTAGGGTCAGAGCTACGCAACGATTAGTTGACCGAACAGCAAACCCACTCACAAGCATACACATCTACTTACACAGTCATGAGAAGCTCCTCACCCTTCTCCAAATTGTTCTGGGTGAGACCAATGCGCACAGGCAGCACGGAATCGCGCTTAACGCGCTCACCCTTGACCCAGTCAACATGCTGATCACGCTTCTCGTGCAAAACATGCTTCACGGGAGCCGGGACCGCCCCAGAAAGAGCCGCGATCGCCAGCGCAACACAGACCTGAAGCACCAACATCTTGAAATAAGAATGGAGAGGTGCTAATCTTTAGCCATCGTCCAGGGGCAGGGGACTGGCCCCCTTGATATACATGCGGGGGACGCAAACGCGATGTTTTGATTGCAACCCTAATCTCCCATGCGAGATGGAGGATCAAAGACCAAACAAGTCTGGCAAATCTGATTGGATGTACTGGGTAGTATCTGCAGGATTGAGATATCGAACCCGGCACTTAGTCCGGCACTAGAGCCCAACATCTCTAGCGGCGGGGAGGTGATGGACATTGAATATTTCCGTATGGAATATTTAGTCCGGTTGCGCAGTTGACTGTTGCAGATGCTTAATCGGCAGTTGCTGCATCTTTTGAAAGTGTATATTGCCAATATATGTGGGTCATTGCTTGGTGAATGCTTGGTGTTTGCCAATTTTCTTGTGTTGAGGGCCCAGCTGGTTATCGCAGGAGGCCGGTGCTAGTCCTATCAGCACGCCCTCGCGACAGCGGAGCTCCGACGGAGGAATCCACCGCAACCATGGATTCATTCTGGCGGCAGAGTTGGACTTTAAGCGAGAAGCCAGGGGATCGAATTTGGCAAGGAATATATAGGCATAAAGCTGCTTGCAAGAGAGGCTTGACCCAGTGGTACCCAGTGAGAGGGGGAGGGGGATCATCAACGAAACGAGTCGAAATAAGACGTTGTCCCACGTGGAAACAAGCCATCGCGGCTAAAAGGCCAACATCTGTACAATCACCAACCCTACATGCAAAAAATGGAATACAAGAATATATGTATAGATTTCTAAATCATAAACAAGAAGCTGACATCATCATCATATCGAATACTCATCACAGTGAAAGCACACGGATGGCATCTTTTTTTTTAACGTGGGACGAGGAATCGGGGAATAGGGGGAGGAGGGAAAAAGAAGACGAAGACGATGACCATCTAGAACAATCTAGTGGTGGAAAAGACGGATGCCCTGCTCGACGAAGGTAATACCCAACTTCTCGGCAGTCTCAAAGACGGGGGTGTCGTTCTGGCTGCCAGTGGGGGCGGCAATGTACTTGACACCTGAGCGGGCAGCGCGGAAGACGTTGTCGATGAAGGGGAACTTAAGGAAACGGGTTAGCATTTACCGATACAGAACGGCGATAAAGGATAACTTACGAAAGCATCGGAGGAGACAGCGACCTCGCTGAGCTTCTCGAGCCAAGCCTCACGCTCCTCCGAGGTGAAGGGAGCGGGGACCTCCTCGAAGACACGCTCGTACTCGGCCGTCTCGGCCTCGGTGCGGGGGGTCTGGCCCGAGCAGAGCAGGTCAATGGCGTTGGACTTGTCAGCACGCTTGGTACCCTGCTTCCACTTGATGTTGATGACGCGCTCGTGGAAGCGCATCCACCAGTTGTCGGCCTTGTCACCGGCCAGACGGGTGCAGTGGATACGGCTCTGCTGGCCGGCACCGAGACCGATGATTTGACCGTTCAGAGCGTAGCAGACGGAGTTGGACTGGGTGTACTTGAGGGCAATGGTGGCAACAGTCATGTCACGGAGAGCAGAGTCGGGGAGAGAGGTGGTGTTCTTGGGTGTGATGACGGTGTTGAAGGTCTTGCTGGGGGAGATGACGACGTCGTTGCGGTGCTGGTTCAGGGTGACACCGTACAGAGTGCGGGTCTCCTCGGGGGCGGGGGTGTAGTCCTCGTCCATCTGGAGGACAAGGTACTTGCCGCCCTTCTTCTTGGAGAGAATGGCCAGAGCCTCGGGTTCGTAGCCAGCGGCGATGACACCGTCGGACACCTCACGCGAGATGATCTTGGCGGTGGGGACATCGCAGACGTCACTGAGGGCCAAGATATCACCGAAGCTGGACATGCGGTCAGCACCACGGGCACGAGCGTAAGCCTGAGCCAGGCCGGAGGTCTCGATGTCCTTGATGTCATCCACCATGTACACCTTGCGCTCCTTCTCGTTCAGAGGAACACCGATAGCAGCACCAGCGGGGGAAACGTGCTTGAAGCTGGCAGCAGCGGGGAAGCCAAGAGCCTGCTTGAGCTCCTTAACCAGGGGCCAGGCGTTCAGAGCATCGAGCAGGTTGACGTAGCCAGGAGATCCGTTGAGGACCTTGAAGGGCAGCTTGCCTTGAGCCATGTGGGCAGAGGCGGGCTTCTGGTGGGGGTTGGTACCGTAGCGGAGCGAGAGCTGCTGCACACCACTGCCAGCGTACTCCTTGCGGAAGAAACCGGAGATGGCGGAGTCGTAGTCGGCAGTCTGCTCGAAGGCCTTGAGAGCATACTGCTTACGGCTGGCCTCGGTGATCTCGCCGGCCTCGAGCTCATTGAGGAACTCCGGGTAATCGGAGGGGTCGGACAGAATGGTCACACGCTTGTGGTTCTTGGCCGCAGCGCGGAGCAGAGTCACACCGCCGATATCGATCTCCTCCACAGCCTCATCGATGGTGACATTGACCTTGGCGACGGTCTCCTTGAAGGGGTACAGGTTGCAAACGACGTAGTCGACCTTGGAGATCTTCTGCTCAGCGAGATCGTTCTGGTCGGACTCGATATCACGGGCGAGGATACCACCGTGCACGGCGGGGTGGAGGGTCTTAACACGGCCACCGAGCATCTCGGGGGCGTGGGTGATGGCGGAGACATCCCTGAGAATCCATTGTCAGTGTCTGTAATGCTGTACCATTGACGATAAGGGCTACTCACTCGACAGGGAATCCGGCCTCACGGATCATCTTAGCGGTACCGCCAGACGCAAGAAGACGGACATCCTGCTTGACCAGACCCTTGGCCAGGTCAAGCAGACCAGTCTTGTCATAGACGGAGATAATAGCTATCAAAGACCAAGGATAAGAAAGTTAGCATTGCTGCCCCAAAAAATCCCATAGTCTGGGGAATGCTCGATCTATGAGGGAGGCCAAGAGCGACCTACCGGACTTTTGAGTCATGATGGATCCGACTAATTCTGTTAGCGTTGCTGTCTAACAATTGAATACACACAATTGGATCCAATTGATGTATAAAAGGTCCAAAAACATACCTAGAAGCAGAGGGGCGTAACAGATGACGAACAGAAGAAAAAGAAGAAGAATTATGACCCGCGGGGTCGGACCGATTGCGGCGGAGGGGCTCGAAACCGCCTAGCTTAATTACGTGATGACCTCTTGCCCCGCACTTTGAGCTCCAGCCAATACAAAGCCAGAATTTGAAAAATAGACTTAGCGTGGCACGTGACTACCAATTATAAAAGGATTTTCTGTGCGGCGGCATCTTCTCTTTCTTTTTTTCTTCTTCATGAACAACGCAAAACTCACATTCTGCTCAAAAAGCGTTCCTACGAAGACTCGTCTAATGAAGTACGGAAATCGTATAGAGAATGGAGACCAAGTGCCAATGGCAAAGGTGTCGATCTTGGGTGCAGTGCCTGCTGACCACTGGTCATGTAGTAGGGATTGCAATGATTGATTCTACATCCCAATATAATAGTCAAATATCATTGAATTTTACATATATCAGTCCACATCGTACTTCCAAGAAGCCTAATTGTACGGAGCACTCCGTACAACTCTCCGTAACCCTTGGACCGTCATTTCACGCGGTGATAATTTGGAGCGGAGCTGATGTCTATTACATTGCTGTATTACTAGACTTAAATAGTTTCAGTGTACATAAGGCCATTCATTCCGTCGAGAAGCCTTGAGTCATTCAACAAACACGAGAAATCTCTGGCGCTTTTTGTGCCTCAGGGCTTCAGAACATCTCTGGCCCCGGCTCCAATGGCAAGCTGGCGTCCCACGTTTCCGAAGCAGACGCAGGCGCAGAAAATGACACTGGCGACCCAAGTCCGCACCGCAATGCTCTCCTGTGTGATGCCTGCTCCCAGCGCATTCTCCAGCCCTGTTCCATTCAGAAGACTGTTGCCAAATGTCGGGCCTGTCGATGCGGGTACAAGTTCGGGCTTGAGACCAAGCACAACTCCCATGCCGCCCAACCCAACTACGGTTGACAGGACAAAGCCAGTTGTAGTGCGATCAATCAGGTACCAGAGAACGGGATTGGCGAGGGCGAGGGTAAGTGATGCTTGTGTGGTAGATTCCCATGGAAGTCTCCGCTATAAGAGGAAAAGCGAAAAGTCAGCGATGTCCCAGAGGGAAAGGAAAAGGGGAAAGAAGTAAGCATTTAGCATTTAGCAACATACCATAGCAAATGCAATTCCAACAAAGGCTCCAACACTGCGAGCAACAGCAACCCAAGACGGGGTGCGTTCCTCGCTCTCCTCCTCATTGCCACCCGCATGCTTCAATTCAGTCTGCTCAAGCTCACCCTCGCGCCAGTTATCCAGCCAAGGGAGCAGATTACCCAAGGCAATTCCCGCCAATCCCCAGAAACCCAAGTACTGCCCTGAGTCGTAGTAATGGATATTCTCCAGCTTAACGGGGGTAATCCAGTGGTTCTCATGAAGATGAACGGTAATCACTCCGTAAGCAACTCCAAAGCCAAATAGCAGTACACTGCTCAACGCCTGGGGCAAGATCACGCCACGGAACAGCCCCTGACTCAATCGAGACCGACTCCTCCGTAGGGCCATCCGCCGTGGCTCGATGGCTGATTTCTCTGCTTCGCGCTGCGATGGCTCGGGCGGGAACTCTGAGGCCGGGCTGTTCGCCTCCGTGCCCCACGGGCTGGACTCGTCTCGGAGCCCGTCAAATGCCGTCGGCGAGTAGATCCCGTACAGCGTCGATGAGGTCAGATTCATCACTGATCCCGTGCGGCTCACGCTGGTCGAGTTCGAAGCTGTGTCCGGTGCATGCGGGTTTAGGAACTCGGTGCTCGTTGACTCGGCGGGCGTTGGGGGGCCAGAGGACTCCGTGGAGGCGGGCGTTACCTCGAATGGTCGTCTCGGGCGCGGGCGCAAGATGCGAGGCTGTTCGGCCATGATGGGTAGAGGTGGGGGTGAAGCTTTGATTATATGTTGAACTCGTGGTTCTTCGGACCTGAGTGAAAATCCGGAGCTCTTGATTGTGGGCGTAGACCCAGACTTGATCGGATATCTCACGCGTCTAAAGATTGTTTCGAGAATCTGCTGTATTGTGTACTAATGTTGTACCCTCTGAGAGAAAACACGTCAGAAGTGAAAATGTGGGAGATATGAAAAGGAGGCCGGGGAGAGATTAGGGCGGAGGGCGGGATATGACGCCTACCAAATAATAACACGGCAAAATATAAACTTCCCTCGGTATCAATTGGGTCAGCAATAGTGTGATCCCTCAATGAAAATATGCAGAGAGCCCTCCAGATGTGCAGGGGATTTAGCTCTCTACTAATACGCAACAACTGGTCTCAACAAATTTCCGCTCCGTCCCGTTTGCCGTATCCACTCGGGGTCTGTGCCGTGACTTGTACTTCGTACTCCGTACGCTGATCCGATTTTCTCTGAGCCCTTCGGTGTTGACTTGACTGATGTCATGTAATGATATTGGAAGATTGTCCAGGTGTACATACTAGAAATGACGATCCAGAGCTATGAGAAGAAGAAGAAGAAAGAGGAAAAGAGGGGGGCATTATCACATGCAGTCCGTAGTCCACAGCTGGCATCAAAATGTCCACGATCATGCAATCCACCAGAGAGGCGGGGGGCCGGACCTCTCTAGCCCACTTATGTCCAAAGGTACAGACCGAATGGAAAGTGAAGTTGAGAAATTGAGAAATTGAAATACAAACCACAGCCATGTCCGAGAACAAGAAAAGGCGACTCCAGGGCTTGGGAATAGGGAGACAAATGTAAAAAGAAGAGCAAAGTAGATCATGATACACCATATTTTGAGAAGAGAAACATAAGAAAAAGAGAAACGCCGAGCCTATTAGTCTTCCATCATGTCTCCATAGCCTTCCCCGCGCTGATCAACTGGACCCCTCGGGGCAGGCGACGAGGGTTCATGTCGTGCATAACCATTAGCACCGTCGTAGGCGGAGGAATTTTCGTCCGCTTCATCTTCTTCCTCTTGGTCGTCAGAAAACTCTCCTTGGGCACCTCCTTCATCGTCGTCACCAGAACCTTCGCCAAGGAGTTCACGGTCAAGCTCGTCTAGCTCTCCTTCAATGTAGTCATCGGGTCCGTGCTCTGCACCCCAGCTTGGGGTACCCATAGCTGAGGCCCCCGCTCCATGGCTCTCAGGATGATTGTGGCTGACCTTGGCTTGAGTTGCCGTGGCTTTCCTGGCCGTGCTGGGAGTGCCCGTGACACCTGCAGACTTGCGCTTGGCAGCAGCACTGGGGCGAGAACGGGGACGAGATCGGTTGTTGGAGGTTCGCATTTCGGCTTCCAGGGCCGCTTTGGCTTGGTGTCGCTCTTCGCGCTCCCTCTTGCGATCTTTCTTGGGGCCATTGGCTTCTGTGTAATCCCAGCGATCGAGTCTGCGTGCGGCTTTGCGCACTACAGAGAGGTAGAAACTTGCACACTCTCCAAAGTCGTCCTCTTCCTCTGGGTTCGAGAAGAGACCACCCTTGCCCCATGAGATATCTTCATCATCTGTGTCGTAACCCTCGGGCAAACCTTGAAGCAAGCGACCGTAGCGGGCGAACGGAATCTCGCTCTCCCTTTTCGCCCGGAGAACGCGGTATGCGTTAGATTTACGTTTGGCAAGAAGATAGTCAATCCGCTGCCGACGATTTTGCTCAACGGCAATCTGGTGCTGCGTGAGTGGCCGTAGCCGACGCATAGAAGGCGCCGAAGAAAGTGAAGGCTCGGCGATAAAACGGTTCATGACAGGGTGGTTGGAGCCGGGAGCGGGTGAGGCATCAGGAGTATGCTCCATCCTGGTTTTCAAGATGAGTCGCTGTTGGCCCACTCCGTTGATTGATGATTCTCGTTTGGCTTGCTTGGGGCGCGGACGAGAATTACCCGGTGTCAGATCATCTTCGTCGTCATCCAGGCTCCGCTTGGCAGAGGGGTGAAGAGGGGTGGACATAGCAGAGCCACGGCCACCCATACCAGAGTAGTCCCCTGCGAATGAGTCTTCGTCAAAGCCGTATTCTGCAGTTGAACAATGTTAGCGTTCTGATGGCACGTATGAACAACAAAATTCCAGAACACTCGAGCTTACCTTTCTTGGGCCGCTTGGGAATGCGCGGCAGTGGTTCCTCTTCTTCCAAGATTCCTACACCCGCTGTCAGCCAAATTCATCATCAATATAACCAGAACTCAGGCACACATACGCTTGCGTTCTAGTCTTTTGGACTCTCCGTACTCCTGTTCCTCGGGCGTATCCACGTTCTCCTCAGTGGCTTGTTCCTCGGTTAGAATATCAAAAGCCGGCACTTTCAGAGGTAAGCCCTCGGCACCCTCGCCCTCCAGACCCGGGCCGAATGGATTGTTCAGTGCAGCCTCTCGAGTGAAATCACTCTCCAAGTACCACCACATCAGCCAGAGGAATGCCCTTGCGCGGCTTTGACTGCTGAGTGTGGATCGCATAACGAGATCGAAGAAGTCTCGAGGAGGAAAGAAGTGTGTCTCCGACACTTTGGGGGCGTATTGCGCTAGAACGAAAATCAAGTTCACCGGGTTGGTTCTGGGTATGCTTTGTCGCTTTATTTTTTCCAACGTATTCGGCTGGTCGACATCTTCTGAAGCACCCTTTAGAATGGACTTGAGGCGGGGAGCATCCTGCAACTGCTTGTAGGCATTGGAATCCTGGTGCGCTTGTAGTGAGGGAATTGAGTGATAGGTCCGAAGTTGGGCACGCATCTCGGGGAAGACTAGAAACAGGATGGTTAGCACTTAGTATGATAGGGAGAGATGGTATGAAAGAGCTGCAGGGCATACAGTTCAGAGTAGTGTTCATGCGACCGAAATTGACCAGCAAACAGACCATGGCCATATTGATAGCTGCAGGTTTGTCGTTCTGCAGCTTATCCTTCAGGATCTTGCTGGTCTTGCTGCTCCGGGCCATTGCATCGATGTACAGATCCGCAAAGTCCATTCCCTTTTGTCCATCGGGGTATCGCGTGAAAACAGGTGTCTTGTCCTCAAAGACCAGCTTCAGGAATTGGTACTGGATATCTTTGCGCCAAAGAGGAATGCCGTCCTCTTTCTTCAGGTGTCGAATCTTGTTGCCCGAGTAGACTGAGCCAATTGTACCGTTTGCCTGCCGCCTTGTACCGACAGTTGCGCTGGCGGTTAGGCCGTGAGACTGGTCGTCCGCAGCTTCGGATGCCGCAAATGACTCGTCCACCATGCTGTTTTCCACATCAGCCATTATGGAGGGTGGTAGTGGAAGCGAAGGCACGTCGCAGATTTTGACGGAGAATCGCAAGTTGAGATTAATGAGGTTGCCCCCTAGGAGGCGCGGGCCTATAAAGAGTCAAGAAGAAGTAGAGCAAAAGAACTGAGACAGAACGAATAATGAGAGAAGGAAATGAGCAGGGGTGAGAAGTTGCCAAGTAAGAAGGAACAAGGGAAAACGAGGTTCAAAGCGGAAAATTGAGGAAGAAAGCAATGCCGAGCCCATGAGGGTATAGCTGTGTGATATCTACCCGTATCGTAGAGCCTACACGCGTTTAATATATCCGCTAATGCCACGCATCCCAGGATGACACTGAAGAGGATAAATTGGATAAATCGGTATTGATGAAATGGATGAATCAAATTGCAAGTCAAGTATAATACGTATCATTAACTACTGTGTACTTCAATAAGCTAGGTACCTATCCTCGTACCTAAAGTTATCTACTGCTCCGTAGTTACGTGCATTGTCGCCTTCTATCCAACCAATCTACACTACTCGGAGTGATAATGATAATGTTTTATGGATAATTGCATTGGATATGACTTTCCTTCTCGTGAATATCTTAAGGTCCTTTTTGGTTCATAACTTTTTCCCTCCCAAATCGAACCCATGCGAGAAATCCGTAAGTATATGCATTCATTCATTGTGCGGCGGCGACAATCCTTCGAGGTCCGAAAAAAATGATCAGAACAGACAAGGAAATTGAAGCGGAATGCTCCCATTCGAAAACAATCAGCCTCCACGGACCCGAAAGCACAGGACATGCGGTTGCAGGTCAAGCCAACGCCATATAGAATGCAAAGAATACCATTTTTGTTCCGAGAACCACCAGCTCACCGTGACGAGCAACGGCGAGATGATCGGTGTTCGAAAAAAAGAACCGGAGAAAGAAAGCTTTTTTCTCAAAATCGACCGCAGAACGCACGAGGGCAGCAAACAGAAAGAAATGTCCGCCATAAGATACCGACGCTGTAAAAAGTCTATGCTGCATATGATGAATGCAGCCATAACAACACCGAAGAAGATGCAAATAAAATGAGAACTTTTCGAGATGATGAAAAGTCACCATTCACTGCTCGGCGCACGCGCGTCACTCGAACGTATCCCCGGCGGGGACGCTCGAACATAAGGGGTATCTGACGAGAGCGGACATAGGAAAAAATGAAAAAAGGACAACGCAATCTATGATGTTCATGCAGATTCGACCACACATTGCCCGAAGAAAAAAGCAGCAACTCCGGAAGCAAGGGAAGAGAGCCGAACTGCGCGAAGGCCTCGTGTCTATGCAAGGCAATACTGGAAAGCCGAGGATAGAACAGCGATGAGGCCAGAGAGGAACAACACGGGGAAACAGATTAAAGAATAACACAAACGGGAAACGATGAATCTAAAACAAGCATAGGAAAGTCGTGGCAGTCATGACAAAGCCGTCCCTGAGAGACAGCAAAGGGTAAAAAGAACTCAGGGACTCAATCTGATCGTATCCGTCGAAGACAAAGGAAATAGAGCAAGGGAGCCAATCAGACCCGGGGGCCTCGTCAAAAGACCACGACTGATTTACCACCAAGAAGAGGGACCGGAGGCACCGGAGGGGTTGCCGTAACCGCCACCACCGCCGTAGGAGGGAGCAGCAGCAGCACCACCATAGCCGCCACCGTAAGAGGGAGCAGCAGCGCCACCGTAGCCAGAGCCGCCGAAACCACCGCCCATGCCCATGCCACCAGGGGTGCGACGAACATCACGGGTGGCAGCAGCGCCACGACCACGACCACCACCACCACGGCCACGGCCACCACCACCAAATCCGCTACCTTCGCGGGCAATGCTCTCCAGGAAAGAGGGAACGTCCTGGTGGGCCTCCTTCAGGAGCTCAAGCAAGTCGCGAACGACACCGCGGTTGCCGCGGTTGAAGAAAGCAGTGGCGATACCGGTGTTACCGGCACGACCGGTACGACCAATGCGGTGGACGTAGTCATCAATGTCAGTGGGGAGATCGTAGTTGATGACGTGAGTGACGTTAGGGATATCAAGACCACGGGCAGCAACGGCAGTGGCAACCAGGATGGGGCAGCGGCCGTTACGGAAAAGCTCCAGAGCACGCTCACGCTCACGCTGAGTGCGATCACCGTGAATAGCAGTAGCAGGGAAACGCTGGTTGATGAGGAAGTCGGAGAGCGAATCGGCCATACGCTTGGTCTCAACGAAAATCAGAGTAAGACCGGTGCTGCCATGGGTGTGGAGAATATCGAGCAGAACGGAGCGCTTGTCAGCATCTTCGACATATTCAACTCTTTGAGTGATGTTCTCCGAAGTACTTCCGACACGGCCAACGGACAAGAAGATGTAGTCCTTGAGGAAGTCACGTGCAAGCATCTGAATGTCGCGGGGGAAGGTGGCGGAGAACATGAGGGTTTGACGGTTATCGACAGTGGGCATATCCTCACCCTCGACAATGCGACGAATTTGGGGCTCGAAACCCATGTCCAGCATGCGATCAGCCTCGTCGAGAACGAGGTACTTGATGTTAGCCAGGGAAATACGGCCACGCTCAATCAGATCCACAAGACGACCAGGGGTGGCAACGAGAAGATCACAGCCGCGCTCGATTTGGCGAAGCTGGGAGCCAATGTCGGCACCACCGTACACGACACAAGGGCGGACCCATGAGCGGTAAGCGAACTTGCGGGCCTCGTCGAAAATCTGCGAGACCAACTCACGCGTGGGAGCAAGGATGAGGGAAGTGGGGTAAGCCTTGCGTTGGCGGCCGTAGAACTGACCACCACCGGCACCACCCTGGGCAGGGGCGGCCGAGGGACCGTTCTGGAAGGCCTGAGAAAGAATAGGGAAGAGGAAACCACCAGTCTTTCCGGAACCGGTCTGGGCACAAGCCATAAGATCACGGCCGTTCATCACAATGGGAACCGAGTACTTCTGGACAGGAGTAGGAATGATATAGCTGGCGAGCTTGATGTTGGCAATCAGGTGGTCATCCAGAGGGGGGTTGGTGAATTGGGTAACGGGCTCGGGGACGTCATTTCCGGAGGCTTCAACGGGAATGTCATCGTAGTTGCCGAAGTTGATTCCAGTCTGTTGCTTGGAAGGATCGTTGGGAACACCAAAGAGTTCGCGCTCAACGCGAGCATTGGCGGGTCCGGGAATGTGCTTGCCGTCACGCCACTGGCCATCACCTGAGCCACGAGCTTGCTGAGAGCCACCACCACTGTAACCACCGCTGTGAGAAGATCCTGGGTATCCGTAAGCTTTGGGATTGAAGGGTCGGAGTTGTCCGTCGGGAGTCCAGCTGGTCATACCGGTTGCGGGGCCACGAGGGCTGAAGTTGGGAGCGTTAGCGTTAGCCCAGTTGCCACCACTAAACGAACAAGGTGAGGTCAGTTGGTGCTTGATGCGAGATCCAGTGTTTTTGGGGTCATACCGAGGACCACCGAAGCCAGGTCCGGAGGGAGCAGCATCGGCATCACCACTGGGGGCGGGGCCGGGGCCGCGCTGGCGAAGGTGAGGAGGAATGTATGCGGCACGGCCAACAGGGGCGTTACCCTGGGGGGCGTGCTGAGACTCGTTGAGGGAAAGGTTTCCCATTTGCAAACCGTCGGCCATCTTTGCGGTTGGTTTTGAAGAAAATTTCTAATTCCACGTAGAGTTAGAAGCTGCACGATAGACCAAAGTGAACGATATGCAGATAGATTTGCCTTATTCACCGAAAAAGTTTCGTTGGTAGATAAGGCCCAAGATATCTGGAGAAGATGCTTGGGGGAAGAGAGGGAAAGAGAAAGAGAAAGAGAGAGGGAGAGGGAGGAGAAGTCGATGGATACAATACCTTTTTTTAAGGTCAAGGGAGAGACTGTGAAAAGACGAAGTTGCTTTTCTGTTTCACTCGATAAGAAAAAAAGATCGAGTGGACAATAAAGCACGAGAAAACCACAGAGAGGATGGAAAATGCAAATCTCCCGAATCTAAAAGCTCTAAAGCAGAAAGAAGAAAAGAGAGAGAGAGAGAGATGAGTGGAAAAAAGGGATGATGGGGGGTTAAGTCAAGAGAGAAGAGTGGATGAAGACTGTGGGAAGGAGGCAACAAAAGTTGGAGTTGCGGCGCTGTGTGGCCGGAGGCGGTACCTTCAAGCGACTTTGATTTTGTATGTGATATGCCTATCCCCACAGGTACCAATTAGGTATCTACGCCACTGAAGAAATTTCTATTCGCCAGTTGTCCGTAGGCGGTCTGCCCAGCACCTGGATGACTAAAAGAAGAGGCGAGTGACCTCACTGGCCCTTAACTAGAAGTTAGAGGACGATCTTCCAGGCCAGTGCGTTGTATCGAGGCTCCACCAATATCACCACCTACGTGACTGATTTACATGATCTGCCAACTAATGATGATAGGAGTCATCGACCATGGGTAGAATTCAAGTCGATATGAAAACCGCCCCATAAATAGACAGATTGTAGTTGATCTAAATACATCACTTACGCACCATACTGTCCTTTCTCTTGCTGTTCTTGCTGCTGGCCTCGTCGACGGCGAATCAAAACACCTACCACAGCAACCAAAACGAAGAAAATAATGGCCTGCTGCATGAAGTAGGATGGTGTAGCGGCCATGAGAGCCTCATTCGTGACACTCGGCTCTTGGGCGAGTTCTTAAGCTTCCAACATGATCAGTCACTTCCGACCGGTAGCAAAAGGACGTCGCACAGACAGTCACCTGTCTAGAGCTCATCGCGGCTACCTTTGTCCTCGGTCTCGGAGTCTACTTCAAGCTCGCCACTCTTGACGATCTTGACAGCCTGCTTGGGCCTGTCGCCGGAGCCCTTGGGGACGTTCTGGATCTTGTCAACAACCTCGTAGCCCTCAAGGACCTCGCCGAACACGACGTGGCGGCCATCCAGCCATCTACATAATGTCAGTCAGGCATGGTACTGAATAATGGATGCAACAGTGGATACGAACGAGGTGATAGCGGTGGTGATGAAGAACTGGGAGCCGTTGGTATCCTTGCCGGCATTGGCCATGCCTACAGACGGTCAGATACATGTGAAATTTAGACCAAGACGAGTTGATCTCCTTACTCAGTAGGCCCTTCTTGGTGTGGCGCAGCTTGAAGTTCTCATCCTTGAACTTGTTGCCGTAGATCGATTTTCCGCCAGTACCTGTACAGGTTTAGTGATGCAACTAACCGGCTTCGAGGTTCACGAACCATCGCCCTTGGTGAAATCACCACCCTGGATCATGAAATCTTTGATAACACGGTGGAATGTCGAGTCCTGGTAACCAAAGCCCTTCTCGCCAGTAGCCAGAGCGCTGGAGGTGGGAAGGTCAGCATGTCGGAATAAACGTTGGACATATCGACTCAGCTGGTAAGCCATACCGGAAGTTCTCAGCGGTCTATACACCGAAAGATGTCAGCGATGATCCTCAATTGATTCGATGAGGATATAGCTCTACGAACCTCGGGGACGGTCTTGCCGTACAAGCCCATTACAATGCGACCAAGAGGCTGATCACCATGCTGAATGTCGAAGTAGACCTGTCACAACCCAATCAGCACCGCCTACATCTCATAGCCATTGTTTTAGTTTTAATCACCTTGCTAGTGATCTTGGGACCACGAGGCTGGTTAGCTTCCTCAGCTTGGACCAGCGCAAAACCGGCGGCAAAGACCAAGAAAAGAGACAAGAAAAGATTCTTGAAAAACATGATTGCCAATTGACACTGTTCTAGAAGGATACAGTGAAAAGTGAAGATGAAGCAATTGAGAGGGGAAGAAGGCCAGCTTGCAAACAATGGCGTGCGGAGAAGGGACGGGTTAATGCCAGAAAAGTCAGGCATAAATCAACCACGGAAAAACGTTAACGGAGGAAATCTCCCGGAGTCAACGAGAGCCAAAGTAACGGCTCCATTCAATTGTCAAGACACTAGCCAGCCAACACAATCCAAAATGGTATGATAGCCATTGTTGCTATGGAATCCATATCTGCAGAGCTCCTCGACTAACGATTCTCCGACAGGTTTTCATCCTGGGTGTTAACTTTCCCGAGCGGAACCTGCTCAAGGCAAGCCGAACCCTCACGGTTGCGCCCGCAACCTCGATGCCTTGAACTAATTGATCCTCGACTAACAAGCAATCTGGGCAACAGAAATCCCTCGAGACATTCTTCGGAATCGGCAACAACACCTCGGCTCGCCTCATGTCCCGCTTCAACATCCACCCGACCTGCCGCGTCGGCGAGCTCGCCAACAAGCAGGTCCTTGACCTCACAGCCGTGCTATCGGAGATGAAAATCGAGAACGACTTGCGCAGAGAGGTTCTGAATGATATCAAGCGTATGAAGGAGACTGGAACTTATCGCGGCCGACGTCATGCGCTGGGCTTGCCTGTGAGGGGACAGCGGACTCGCACTCAGGTGGGTATTCTTTTTCTCCTTGTGCTTCCTTGTTATGTCGGCTTTCGCTGCTCTTGGGGTTCTATGGCAGTTCGCCGCTAACGAAACTCCAACAGATCAAAACTCCTGTCAAGCTGAACCGCATGGAGCGCAGGCTATAAACTTGGTGGTATCATGTTGGACTATTGCTATTATTTATGGGATTGTCTCACAGTTTTGTGAGAGGCATGGATTTGGCGTTTTCTTGATTCCTGGCACTCGATATATGCCAGCTTGTATGTGAATGGGACTGCGGATGTATTATAGGCTAGACACAAAACCTAGGGTGAATGGACGGTTTAAGCAAAAGACTAAATAGCGACTTCGTAGCGACACTTAATTGAATCTTTGGTGTATATCCAATTCAGAGTCAAAAGAAAATAATAGTACGTGAAGATAGAATAGATAGTAAAGGGGGAAACAATATGTAAGTCTAAACTTTTGCCCTCAACCAAGTGTTAAACGCCAGGCCCATATGTGCACTTATGCCTTTGAAGACAGTACGCCTTCACCACGGTTGATTTGAATACTCTTATCCTCACCAGCGCTGACAATGCCCACCGTCTTGTCCCAGCACACACTGAAGACCTTCACACCTTCACCTCCGACCCGCTTGCTATCCGACTTGCCCTCCTCCTCGAGGCTCTTGCGAGTAATCGAGTAGACACTCTCACCAACAACACCTTCCTTGTCGGTCTTGGTGGATCGAATGTCCCAGATTCTGCACGTACCATCGTGGCTACCACTGATGAGACCATATGTGCTGTGGGGGTCACGAGCCAAGCTGACAACAGCATTAGTGTGACCACGGAGAGTCATGGCAGCCACGGTCGTAGCAGATGCACGGGGGTCAATCAGAGTAATGTGGCGGGCGGCAGTACCAGCAGCCAAAAGGCTGAGCTCGGGCAGGTGTTCGAGGGAGAGGAGCGAGTGTGATGTGGTGCGAGTGTCGACCAAAGCGCTAGTGACCAAATCCCAGGTCCGCAACGAGTGGTCCCATGAGGCAGAGTAACCAACAGTAGCATCCTTTCCATCGAAGATAGCGGCGGAGACGGGTGCTGTGTGGGCCGAAAGAAGGGCCAAAGGACCACGCTGTGGCGTGCTGACTGATGTGTTCAACTTTCGGCGCTTTGTGTTCCGAGCATTGCTGGATGGGAGCAAGTTTTCCGGTGCTGCCGGGGCATCGGCCTTCTTGGTCGACCAGTATCCAACAGTGTGGTCTGCGGAACCAGTCAACAGACGGTTGGACTTGGCATGAACTGCTAGTGACTCAATGCCACCCTTGTGACCGTACAACTCCAACTGGGGAGAAATCTTTCCAGCAAAGCCACCCTCACCCTCGGTATACTTCCACAGACGGACCGTGCGATCAAGACCAGCCGATGCGATCTGGTTCGGGGAAACAAACTTGGCGGCTCTGATGGACGCAGTGTGGCCTCCGTCGGCGGCGGCAGGGGAGGTCGCAATAGTCTCAGATGACATGTTCCAGATCCGAAGTAGACCATCATAACTTCCTGATAGGATTCTTTCCTGGCCCTTGGTGAAAGTCGCACCTGATGCCCAGGATGCAGCAGATGAAGTACTAGAAAGGACGTCTGTCGCGCTAACCCAGTCATCGTGCTGGAATGAGGCGATGTGCAGAGGCGGAATCAAGGCCCGAACATACTCAATCTCGAGCGTCGTCTCAGCAGAGATGCCGTTGGAGACCAGGTATTCATCAATCGAAGTCTTCAAGAACGTTCCATTGATCAAAAACTCGAACGGAATGGGCTTTTCGTTTGAGAGCAGGTTGTTCACTAGTGTGGACAGAGCATAACGTCGGAGACCTGGTTGAAATCAAAGTCAGGTTCTGATGCTACCAAATTCTTGTGATCGACAATCGGTCTCTTACCAGTAGGAACGAGAATTGGGCCGGTGCTTTCAGGTAGAGCAATATCTTCCTGTTGGCTGGTAAGCTGCACTCGAACCTGCCTCTGCGCAGACTCTGCGGCAGCAGTCATCAGATCGTCACTCATTGTAGAATCGAGTTCTAATTGTTTCCGATGTTGCAGATGGAATCTTTTCTTGGTGGCTGTCGCATTTTCGGCGGGTGAGGAAAAAATACGGTGACCCGTGCGGCACACTTGCGCAGAGCGCGGAGATGGTTCCACACTGTTTACATGCATGAATACTGATTGCAGGTTCTTCGGGCTTTCTCTGGATAAATCATGATTCTAATATATACATAAGGTCTACCTTCTAGCCGCTCTTCGAATCTCTGAAATAGCACGTCGCCGGTGATCAGACTCTGCAAACAAGGCCTCGATCAGGTCAATCACTTCTTCAGCAGAGAACTCCAAGCCCAGTTCGCCTTCGAGCCAAAGGAATTTGATATCAGCGAGAGAGCTCTCAAGGATGTTGACCAGATACTGGAAACGGAGCCAGTTAGGAACATATATAGCGGTGACGGGCATTGCCTCAGGGCCACCCGCCTCGGGCGCAAAGAGGTCCTCCAATTTAGAGATTTGGTTGCAGAAGGAGACCAGTTGCCGGGACTGATCCTCCGAAATGTCACCTAGATCCTCGACATCGATGACCACTTTATTGATCACTGTGGACAAGAGAGATCCGACGGACTGCAGCAGCGCAGAGTGAGACAGTATAGGCTGCCATTCCTTGTAAACATCGCGGATCCGGTCCACTGTGACGCTTACAGATGTCTCACAATCCGATTGGAATGGCTGCTCAGAGCACTGTACGAATCCCTGGGCCCCATCCAGCAGATCGGTAACTATCGTGCGTTGTGTCTGCATCTCTTTGCTGTACGCAAGTTTGCCAAATCTTTCCAGAGCATCCACATCAGACTGAAGTCTCGAGAATTCGTGTTCCTCCATTAATTTCCGAAGCTCATCGGCAAGGTACAAACTATCATTGTACAGGTACATCTGCCCTGAGTTCAGCTTCAGCGTGTAGAATGTCGATGATGTAGCCTTAAACATAGCCAAGATTAAGGTTGGTAATGCAAGAAGACCAGCACCAGAAGAAGCGACACGGGATTTGGCATGTCTGGGCTCTCGTTAGTTTGACGCACACAAAAGCTGTGGTAGGAGGGCTTACGCAGGCTGTGAGATATCCTTTGAATCGGTGATTTGCTGCTGCACAATTCTGAGAACTGACTCGGGGATGTCGGTGATGGTAAACACTTCTTTTAGTGTGACCTCTTTGGGTGATGCAGATCCAACTAAGCTCTTTTTGCCGGCTTCGTTTGCTGTTGTCGTGCTGTGGGGTTGTGAGGGCGTCTTATCGAGCCCTTTGTCATCTTCATCATCATCACCCCAACCCCAGGCGTCATCGGCATCGTCTTCTTCCATAGAAGGAGGTTCATCTGGTTTGGCCTGATCTGAAGTCTCCTCAGTATCCTCGTCATCAAGACCCCACGCACTGACGTCCTCCTCTTCATCATGTTTCGTTGTTTTCTCAGACGTGTCTTCTTCATTTTCATCCCAGTTTGCGTCCCAGTCATCCTGGACGACATTTTCCAAAAGAGCGCCGTCAGCCTGAGAGACCTTTTCCTTTTCGATTCGTTCGACCTGTTTCGTTGTCCCCTGGCTGGCAGCAAGAACTTTGCGAACGCTATCGAGCGAGTCGACTCTACGCCGAGTCAACCACAGCCGCGGGGCTTGGTTGACCCAGGAAACGAGTTCTTCTTGGCCAGTCCAGCCCCAAGAGTCTATCTGCTTCGTGAACTGTAGAACATGGTCCAGAATGCCTTCGAAATCGGCGAGTCCATCTAGATCAGTGGGGATGGCAGAAGACAGCCACTCTGATATCGCTTTCGAGGAGATTGTTGGAATGAAGGATTCACAGAGAGTTACAGATACCGACGACGGGAGATTTTGCCGCAAGTAGCCCAGAACACTAGATAGACGATCCAATGTCTCTTCAGCAGTCGTCTCTGAGGCCTCAGGCTTAATGCGAATGCCTGTGTCCGTGACAACTACCCCATGGCTTGCCCTAGTCCCCGGAGGGTAAGGTAGCAGGATTGGATTGACAATCACCGACAACAAGTCCTTTTGGAGTTTCTCATTGGCAGATGCGAATATATCGAGTCGGGCGAGGGACGTGATGGTGCTCTCGAGAGAATCTGCATCTGCACTGGAAACCCGGAATTCGCCTTGTTGAGAATCAACCTTCAATTGATCCGCCCAGCGCAAACGGAGCGCATCCACGATCTCACCTCGCAGCCGTGACACCTCGTCAGCGAGTATACTCATCACATTCGTATTGGTGAAGAACGCATCCTTTCCAATAGCCGCGTCGGTGGACTCCAATTGTTCAATGGCGGTGGTAATCTGGCCATTTTTGAGGGCAGTTCGTCCAATCTCTAGCTCCTGGCAAAGTCGTTGCACCTCTTCCAGTGTGTCTGCTACGGCCTGGTTGAAAGCAATCTCTGTTTCAACCAAATCAACTTTTGCCCTGGCATCTTCAACCTTCGCCTGCAGAGGTCCGGTCTGCTCATGCTGCGCGACAATTTCTCGCGCGGTCAATCTCGAGCGCTCAATATCAGCGTGCAGTTGCTTCGCTTGAATAATCCAGTCGTCGGCATCGAAGGTGTTCTCGCGACTCAGGGAGCTGATCTCATTCTGTCCGTACACAGAAGCACTAAAGTCAGTAACAGTAAACGTGCCGTGAGTCAGGCATTGGAATTACATACCTCCACCTGAATACGCGCCTTCGAGATAAGCTCCAATTCCCTAGCGAGAGCAGTTGCGGGGAACTTGCCGGCAACTACATTGTCCTCAGGATACGTGCCTTCAGCGACGAAGCCTAGCACCGCCTGGCATAGCTGCTCGTCTCCAGTAGTTCCTGCCATCGCACAAACGTCTCCAGCTTGACTGAAGCACAAATTGTCAAACAGGGAACACGAGCCTCGGAGCGGATGTTGATGAAGAAGGGAAGGTAGAGCTGTCAACAACCCGTGACTTTAGGCGTCACCGCCCCACGTGGTGTATGCCTCAAGATCTCTACTGTGTAAATCTTTAGAAAGTAAAAAGTCCTACAATATCCTAATATCCTGATAATCCTTGAATGTGACTGGTTCGATGAGATAAATATTTTCCTAAGTTCCTTTGTTCTATAACTTCTTTCAACCTTGGAATCGTCCGTCGCTTTGTAAGAGAACTGGGTCCCCCGACCTTGGACACTCCGCCTGGGTCCAACACCTTTTATCAAGACTCACCGTGCCTCGAATTCTCCCAAGCCTGAGTCGGGCAAAATACACTTCTCTGTAAGTCAAGAGCGTGACGGTGAAACGTTTTCTCGTCTATGGAGGGGCATCAGCCCTCTATCTCCCAAAACTCTGCCCTCCCCCACCGTTGTCACTTTTCCTTGGCGACATGCGAGCCAGCTGGATACATCCTTCGACATCATTCGGATGAAGACCCTTTCTTTTTTGCTGTTGTTTTTGGTCTCTTCGAGCTTATACTGGGCCTGATCGATATCCGAGTCTCTTCCAATTCGTGGTTGTACTTGATATCAGAGTGCTCGATGAACGTGCTTACAATCGTATCCAATGCCTACTACCTGAGAGACGAGAATCGCTAATGCAATTCGCCCAGACTGTCAAACTTCCGGCGAAATTTCTTCACTGGGTCTTCTGCCCCATTGATCAATATGTCGCCTTCAGTGCAGAACAGTCACTTCAAACTGCTCCAGCAGTTCAAGCCTGATTACTCGCCGAGCGAGTTCACTCAGTATGAATCACAGCGCACTGGCATGAGAGTGGTCATCATCGACCAGCCAGGTCCTAAGGTGAATGGTTACTTTGTTCTTGCAACCGAAATTCACGATGATTCGGGTGCTCCTCACACTCTAGAGCACTTGTGCTTCATGGGTTCTCGCAACTACCGCTATAAGGGCTTTTTGGACAAGCTAGCTACCCGTGTATACTCCAGTACCAATGCTTGGACAGCAACTGATCACACTGCGTATACACTGGATACTGCAGGCTGGGAAGGCTTTGCTCGCATTCTGCCAGTCTACTTGGAGCATGTGATTGCGCCAACTTTGACTGACGAAGGCTGCTACACTGAAGTCCACCACATTGACGGCTCTGGAAACGATGCCGGTGTCGTGTACTCTGAAATGCAGGGTGTGCAAAACAATGCCGCCGAGCTGATCGATCTGGCCGCCCGGCGACTGATGTACGCGCCCGGTATAGGCTTCCGCTATGAGACAGGAGGTATGATGGAGCAGCTTCGTAAACTGCCCGCGGAGCGCATTCGCGAGTTCCACCGTGAGATGTACCAGCCCAAGAACTTGTGCTTGATCATTACCGGCGAAGTCGACCAGAACAACATGTTAGAGATCTTGGATAAATTCGAAGATACAATCTTAGATGTCATTCCTAGCCCAGACGCACCCTTCAAGAGACCTTGGGTGGATTCCAAGCAGGCTGCCTACTTGACAGAATCGGCGATTCAGACAGTTGAGTTCCCTGAGGAGGATGAATCATTCGGTGAAATCGAAATTCGATTCATGGGACCTGACTGCACAGATCCTATCCTATGTGAGTTTCTGTTCACTAATTTGCGAGGTCAAAAACTTACTGTGTCATAGCCGGGGCTCTTAATGTGTCTCTCTTGTATCTGGCCGGTTCATCTGCAGCCCTGCTAGAGAACATCATTGTAGAGAAGGAACAGCTTGCCAGTGCCGTCTACTACGCAACTGAAGACCACCCCAGTATGGAGGTTCGTTTCACTTTGACCAGCGTCGAGACCGAGAAGTTGCAGCAGGTTGAGAAGAGATTCTTCGAAATTCTCCAAGATGCGATGGCCAAGGCACTAGACATGCAATATTTGAAGGAGTGCATTGCCCGTCAGCGCCGGACCTGGAAGTTCTCCACCGAGAGTTCTGCCTCCTCCTTCGCAGAGTACGTTATCTCTGATTTCCTCTTCGGGAAGCGCGATGGCTCGACTCTGATGGACGTCGCAACTCTGAAGGAATATGAAGTCCTTGAGACCTGGTCTGAGGACCAATGGCGTGCTTTCATGAAGAAATGGATTTCCGATGCAGCCCACGTCACTATCTTGGGTGTCCCGTCCAGGAAGATGTCTGAGACCTTGAAAAAGGATGAAGAGGCTCGGGCTGCTGCGCAGAAGGAGCGTCTTGGCGAGAAGGGCCTGAAGGAGCTTGCCGACAAGCTCGAAAGGACCAAGGCAGAGAACGACAAGGAGATCCCACAGGAGCTGCTAGAACGGTTCGCTATCCCCGGCACCGAGTCCATCCACTTTATGGAGACCGCCACCGCTCGTTCAGGTGCTGCCCTGAAGGCTGGACGCCCCGACAACAAGATTCAAACTGTTGTCGATGCCGACAAGCTTGACCAGTCCCTTTTCATCCACTTCGAGCATATCCCCAGTAGCTTTGTCCAGCTTTCCGTTCTCATCTCAGCTGATGCTGTGCCTGTCCAGCTGCGTCCATTGCTGTCCATCTACACCGAAGCGTTCTTCAACATTCCGGTGCAGCGCGATGGCAAGACAATCGACTTTGAGCAGGTTGTTGTGGAATTAGAGCGGGATACCGTGGGATACTCGATGGAGACTGCTCGCGGTCTTGGAAACTCGGAGATGCTCCGTGTCTCTTTCCAGGTTGAGCTGGAGAAGTACGAGAACGCCATCGCCTGGCTGCAGGAGCTGTGCTGGAAGTCTGTCTTCGACGTGGAGAGACTAAAGGCGATCAACTCCCGTCTCTTGGCCGACGTGCCTGACTCCAAACGCAGCGGCGACGACATGCTTGCTGCCGTGCATGTGATGGTTCACTACGCAGAGGAGTCGATTGTCCGCGCTCGTTCCACCTTGGTCAAGGCTCGCTATCTCAAGCGCGTCAAGCGTCTGCTCGCCGAGAGCCCCGAGAAAGTCGTGAACCGCATGGAGGAGATTCGCAATTCGCTATTCCAGCCCGACAACGTCCGTGTAATCGTCATTGCCGATATCGAGAAGCTCCAAAACCCAGTCTCGGCCTGGAAGCCCTTCGCCGAGACTCTCGGCACCAGCACTGAGTTGCGGCCGATCACCAACCGACGCGCTCGACTGAGCGATGCCGGCAAGAACATTGGCGGCAAGTCATACATTGTCCCCATGCCGACTATCGACTCGTCCTTCGCCTACGCCACCGGCCGTGGTCTGGACTCGTACGATGCTCCCGAGCTTCCCGCGCTGCTAGTCGCAATCTCATACATGAACGCCGTTGAGGGTCCCCTCTGGGTTGCCGTCCGCGGCACCGGTCTGGCATACGGCACCAACTTCAGCTACAACATCGACACTGGCTTTGTCAACTTCGACGTGTACCGGTCCCCGAACGCCCACAAGGCGTTCGAGTCTAGCAAGCTGATCGTTGAGAACTATCTGAACGGTGTTACGCCTTTCGATCCGTTGATGCTCGAGGGCGCTATCAGCAGCATCGTGGTCAACTTCGCTAATGAGCAGATGACTGCCGCCGGTGCTGCTCAGGGCAGTTTCATCCGCCAGGTCGTGCGCAACTTGCCCAGCGACTACAAGGAGAAGATGCTCAAGAATGTGCGCGCTATCACCACTGACCAGATCAGGGGTGCTCTGCGTGATATCATCTTGCCCATGTTCGATCCGAAGAAGGCGAACTTGGTTGTCACCTGTGCAACTGTGTTGGAAGAGGTGAGTTGGCTTTTCTTATCTTTTATTTTTCAGGCATCGATTGCTAATTGTCTACAATCAGACCATCAAGCAGGGCTTCGAGGCTTGCGGTTTCACTCCCACAGTCCAGCCCCTCAAGGAATTCGAGGATGACTATGGTCTGAAGGTCGGCGATGAGGAAGAGGACGATGAAGATGAAGATGATGACGAGGACTATGAGACCGGATCCGAGGATGATGACGATGAGAGTGACGAAGAGTGATATGACTGATGAACTAAAGGTCTGTACATGAATATAGCAAAGTAGATCACATAAAGGACGGGAAGTGTGACCTCTACATAGCCTCGACAGTGAATCTACTCTATTACTTGCTACGAATGCGCTGCACCTATAATTTTCCCAAATGTAGAAACACCAAGCTCATAAATGAACCAAACAAAGCTTTAAAATTCACACTAGTTATATGAAATGTAATCACACACATCCTCCCAGGGGAGGTAAATATGGTACACGCCAGACAAGACACCATCTTGACTGAACCCGGAACCCATCCTCGAAGAACTATGTCCCCAAGAATGGACTCTCGGTAATTGCCCCCTTCAATCTTTCTTCCTATAACCGCCCGTAGCACAATATGAGTTCCAGTTCCATGCAACCCATACCCTCCACTTCGGTGATAATCCCGCGCTTCCCCAACCCTTCACAGGTCAGGCTCGAGAACGAAAATCACCAACTCAACTCCTTCCGCCCCTTCAACGTCCTCCGAATAAGAGTCTTACGCCCATTCCTATCCTTCTTGCGCGCCAGGTACCCATGGCGACGCTTCTGCACCCGTCGTGAGGGCCGGAACGTCACGCGGCGCACGCCGAGAGAAGCACTGGCCGAGAACGAGCGGGTCTGCTGCGGAGCAGGAGCAGAACCCCGGGAGAGGAGTGATGACAGCGGCGAGAAGGCGGATGCGGTTGGCGTGGGAAAGCGGGCGCCGAGTGTTTGCGAGGGTTGGAAGCGGGTTGGCGTGGAGAGGAGGGAGAAGGAGCGGGATGAGGGTGTGGACTGTGTGCTTGGTAGTTGCGGAATTCGGGCAAATCTAGTCAGGGTCAGCAGCAGTCCGGTTTGGTTGGTTTCGAAGCTGGAATGAGTTCTGGGGTCTGGGTTGGGACTTTGCGTACCTGTTCAACGGAGTTCGCATGGCCGATGTGGTGGCCCGGACGGCTGAGGGAATGGCCCTGGAGCGGAGACAGAACATTTTTGAGGACCCTGCGATTTATTGTAGGGCGATTGAGGTTCAGGTGGGAGGCTTTGTTGGACTTGGAGGGCTCGAGTTGAGGGCTTGGAGGACAAGACGCGGGCGTCGGACAGAAAATTAAGCGCGGAGCCGCCGAAGCACGGACCCGCGTTGAGATGGGTGTTTTGTTACGACGTGCACTATACTTGGGGAGGGTTAGAAGAGGTGGAATTGTGTCAATTGTTGAATTTACAATCTTCTAACTATCTACAATTTCTGGGAGCTATCAACATGAGAAGTACAGTTGCAGCGTAAAGTCGACCTACCCGATCGGGCCTAGCGTCTCCGAACTTTTTTGATCTCGAGATGCGACTGAATATCGCCCATACACTTCTCTCTCTGTCTCTCTCTCTTGGTCGCAACTACACTGAACTCAGGAGATCCTTTGATTCCAACTCTCTCAATCCTACCACCGGGCCACCTTATCTTCGACCGCAATCCCAATTCCACCAAACCCGAACAATACCAATTCCACCAAAATGGCAACCCAAGGCCCCCAAGCCCTGCCCCCGGTCACAATTCAAAACACACAAACAATCAGCCAATCCGCCGCGCAAGAATTCCTAGCCGCCTATCTGGACCGCGCCGCAACAGACCCATCACTGCAACCCAACGCCAGCATCAGCGAGCATGGCCCCGTCTCGCGCACAACCGCCGCAGCACCGAACCTGATACTGCACAACCTGAAGCGCGTGCAAGCAGGTCTTGCCGGCGAGGTCCTCGGCCGCGACTTGACTGTCGCGAAGCAGAATCCTGGAGAGGAGTACCTGGATGTTGCTGCCGGAATTGTGCCGAGCAACAATCAGGAGCAGCTGGAGGATGGCGATGATCTCGTTATGAATGATGCGGAGTTTGAGACTGAGGCGGAGGCGTTTGCGGAGCAGGAGGCTGGGCTTGATAAGGAGGAGCGTAAGCGGAAGAAGAAGGAGAGGAGGTTGGCGGAGAAGAAGGAGAAGGCGAGGGCGAAGGCTGAGGAGTCTGATTGAGTGTGTGGAATATATATGGTTGTGGGCGTTGCTGCATTGGGTTGGAGTCTTCTTTGCTTCTTTCATTATTTCGATCTGAAGGTTTACTCTGGGCTGGGTCTGGTTTTGGACGTACAAAAGTACAATTTGCATTTCATTGCACAAACAGTGAGGTTTAGAGCTTAGACGAATTGCTATAATTCAATCAATACTATGGATCATGGAACATCTCCACCGCTGGGTATAGTCAGTCCAGCTGTCTTGCCGTACAAAGCTCAGAACCAAAAAGGCTCGAAAATCGCAGATATGGCAAGAATCTACTTTACAGCTCGCGGTCCGCGGCCTTGATGGGCTTTTCACTGTCCTCCTCCTTGCTGCTAGTTACCTTGCCACCCTTCCAGCCAAGCGCAGCGAGCCGCTCAGTAAGAATGGGGTGAGAGTAGTGGTAGCTAGCATAGATCGGGTCAGCATCCATGGTGCTCAGATTCTGGATCTGGAGCTTCAAGAGCGAAGAAGCAAGCTTGTCTGAGTAACCGAGGTTCTGGGCAAATTCATCTGTACGAAAAACATTAGTATCGTTGAAGGTACACGGGAGCCTTATTGGGAACATACCAGCCTCGAATTCGAACTTCCGGCTGAGGATGTTCATGAGAAGTTTCACGATAGCATCCATGGGAGCCAGAGCATCGGAGAAGAGCAGGAAACCAATCATGATGGGCTGCTCCTTGATGAATCCAAAGGACTGGTACAGCGACTTGTTGTTGACAAAGACAGAGAAGAGAGCGAAGATGTAGAACATGTGGGCCTAAACCAAATGATTAGTGCTAATTCATAACCAAGGGCAACCCAGAAAATTCGTACCTGAGCAATGCCGAACAGCTTGGTGGTGTGGCTAAGGCTCCAGTGGCCGAGCTCGTGGCCCAGCACAGCGACAACCTCCTCGGGCTCGGTCTTTTCAATCAGGGTATCGTAGATTACAATGTGCTTCTTCCATGGCAACCCGTAGAAGTAAGCATTGCTGTGGGCGCTGCGCTTGCTGCCGTCAATAACGTGCAACTCAGAGAGAGGGAAGCTGAGTCTCTTGGCCAGGTCTTCGACACCAGTCTTGAGTTCACCGGGTTGAAGGGGCGAGAGCTTGTTGAACAATGGCAGGATAGCAATAGGGTAGATTGTAATGGCGAAGACCTGAAGGAAGACTCCGAAGAGCCAGAGGTAGTAGAAGAAAGAATTGTCGAACTTCTGGACGATCTTGAGGACAGCAGTGATGATAGGAGCTCCCAAAACAATTCCAAGCATCTGACCCTTGAGCATATCCGTGACCCAAAGCTTGACCGTCTGCTTGTTGAAGCCGAATTTCTCTTCGAGCACAAACGTGTTGTAGTACGAGACGGGCAGCGAGAGGATAGTGCTTATAATGTTGAAACCGAAGAAGAATACCAATGTTTGACAGATTTCGCCCTGGAAACGACCAGGAAGGTAACGTGCCAATACGAGGCCGCTGAGGCCCCAAATCTTGGGCAGGACATCACCGTAGATGAATGCGAGGTTTTGGATTTGACCGTAGAGACCAGAAACGAAGCCGAACTTGGCCTTAGCGCGACCGTATGCCTGTATTAAACCCTCAATAAGCTTCTGCACGAGAGAGAATGGGCAGTTATTGATCATACCTGACTTTGATCGAACACCTTCTGAGTAACCTCCCCTTCGAGGACTTGGGGAGGCTTTGTCCGTTGCAGAAACTTGTACTGACGAAGTGAGAGGAAGCCCTCAAGGACGAACTGGCCCAGTGAGAAGCCCACGAGCACGTTCTTCCAGGGGAAGAGCGGCCTGTCGAGCAGGCGCGCCAATTGCTGGAGAAGGATGGACATTAGCAACGTGTTCACGCAGATAAACATTATCACCATGGAAAGGTAACGATAAATCAGTCAAATTGACTTACCTCGAGGATATACATGGTTGGAATCTCGCAACTAGGCGAAGAAAGAGGCGTTGTTCCAGGCAGAAGATGCTACTTTGTTATTATCGGCAGCCTTAGTCAGATCCTATGCATGACGTCCCCTCAGAGCTTATCACATGATCCAAAATTTTTGCCAGACTTTTAACACGCTAGACCTGATCAGATCGGTTCCTGATCTAAGGACCAGTCAGCATCGCTGGACGCCGCGGGCGGTGAATGGCCAAAACCCACCGCCTTTTTCAGGTGGACGGCTGAGCCCGGGCACCAGGACTCCCGCACTGAGGTAAGATCTCAACCAGGCTTGCGCCTCTGACTTAAGCGTCTACCTTACGGACGAGAAACATCAACAATACAGTGCCTTCATATTTGGGAAGGCGCGAGCTCCGGTATTATCAGCTATGACGACATTTGCGCGCGCCCCATATTGTGATCCGCCTAACGTCCTCCGCTGCAAACTTGCAAAGTCCAGTGGACTCCTCTAGGGTGGCTACCTTGAAGGTATTTAGGTCATCACTCATCAGTACAGGAGGAAGCCTTTTGGGACAAGATGGGCGAAGACGCCAAACCGATCTTCCATGAGCATGAGCAGAGGATCGGATACGCTGATGACCTAAATACCTTCAAGATAGCCGGCACCCTAGAGGAGCCCACTCGACTTGCAGCGGAGGGCGTCAGGCGAGTCACAGGATGGGGCGCGCGCAATAAGATTGTGTTCGCTCCTGAGAAGTTCGGGATCATGCACTTCTCGAGACGGAGAGGACAAGACGCCCCCCTCAGCCGAGATCGAGGAAGGTCTCACTATCCACCCGCCACAGGCGCTGGGCAAAGAGCAGGCAGCGGTTAGATGGTTAGGAATGTGGTTCGACCGGAAGATGACGTGGAAGAGACATGTCTCGATCCGCGCCAAGAAAGCCCGGGCTGTAGCAAATCACATCCGCAACCTGGGGAGAACCGCACACGGCCCTCCGGCCTCATCACTGAGAAGGGCGATTATCACCTGCGTGATGCCAACCCTCCTCTATGGGGGGGAAGTCTGGTACGGAGGTCGACTCAGACCAGCCAGCAATGCCCGACAAGGCATGGTTAGCGCCAGAAACGACTGGCACATCCAGACCGTCGACAGGACCCTGGCACTGAATAAAGAAAAAAGAGCGCGCCCGCGCCGAGACACTCTCAAAGGGATGGAAACCAGCCCGTCGACACAACACCACGAGAAGTCCACAGGCCGGGCGAGGAACGTGGGAAACCATCATATAGAACGAGTTGCTTTCTGAGGAACGGGGCCGCGTAACTAATGATACTATAGTAAACGTAGTTCACCACCGAGCTGGCCAACCCACCGAGCTGACCACCCCCCCCCCCCCCCCCCCCCCAAAACCCATAGTAAATGCGATTTTATATCTCAACAACCATGAGGTTAGTTCAAAGCATATCCGTCGGCCCTTCTTCCTGTCTACATGGGCGCGGGCAGCCTAGTGCTCATCTACAGGCTGGGCACTATTCTGCTCTTCTGCCTTTTCTGCCGCTCCCACGCGGGCAATGCCCACTTCACCATATACTCATACCCCAGGAGTTGGTCCGCTGTAGGTCGTTCCGCCGGTTCAAACGTCATCATAGCTCTGAGGAAGTCCTCCAACGCACGTAGTTCTCCACCTGCAACGTCCCATTCACACGTCTGCGCTGTCTCACCACGGCCCATCTCCCAGAGGCGCTGGGGTAGACGTCGGAAGACTGGGGTGCTGATACGGCGGAAGTCATCGACCCATGACCCATCCTCCTTGAAGAATTCGGAACGTTTAAGCCAAGAGTTCCACCATCTCACGGGCGGTCGGCCCAGCGTATTGATCATTTCGCCGATAATATCATCTCGGTCCCAGGAAAATGTTTCGAAGAGTGGACGCTCGCCTAAGACCTCGTACATGTTGACACCTAGGGTCCATATATCAGCTGCGGTGGGATGGATGATGGGTTCGTTGAGTAAGTCTTCTGGTGGAGAGTAGAGAGCCGGGGTATGGAGAGTCGGTATGGGTGTGTCTGCCACAATAAAGGACGTTCCGTAGTCCGAGATGATGATTTCCGGATTATCCATCTCGTTAGCAGGCATGCTCAAATTCATGGAATAGATGGCATGCGGCGGCGCGTGGGGTCCACCGGGCTTTCCATCCACTCGCCTGATAGGAACCTCAACGGGTTTACCGAAGCGCTTGTATAGCTCAGATGTGCTTAGATCGTCAAAGTGCGGCATGCGTAAGAGAAAGTTGCGCAAATGGAGATCTGCGTGCGATTAGGACGTGGGATCAGTAAACAGATATGCAGAGCCTGATTATCCTCACCTCCGTGGCATACGTCGTTTGCATGCAAGTAAGACAACCCTAAGAGGAGCTGGGCGGCAGCGGATCTTGCAGCGTCCAGTGGAAACATGAAGTTTGTGCTGTTCTCCTTGGACTCGGCAATATTACTGCCAGCAGGCTCTCCAACCAAGCACCGATGATGTCCGTTTGGGCCGTGAAACGAGAATTGGTCCAGTAGCGAGGCAATGAATTGCTTCCCAGAATGAGTATGGTCACCCCTCTTAAGGTGATGCAGGATTTCCCCCTCGTGACTATCTGGCGATTCACTCGCAGTCAGTATCTTTAGCGATACGTAGCACCGGCGTTGCTGATCCCAGGCTAGCCAAATTGTTGAATATCCACCAAAACCGAGCTTGTGAACAACGGTGTAGCGGCCACTACAGAAGGTATCTCCGATAAGGGTTGGGTGGTATCCACCGGGCACATAGTTCTCGAAGTCTTCGACATCTACCCCAGGATGGTATATATCTTCCACTTGTAGATATGACGAGTCAGCCATGGTATAAAGGCATCGAAATGGATGCGACTCAAAGGCATTGTGATGGCAGATCTTTGGTGTGAATGGAAGGCGCGAGAGTGTCTGATTAGACTGATTTCGTCGAATCATGAGCTGGCAGAATGAGCGAGAGAGTCTCCACCCAAGGTTCATGTTCATGTTCTTGTTGGAGAGTTGATCGAGTGGTTTTTATTGGTGGCAGTCGAGAACTGTAGTCACCAGGCACCTGCAGGGGTAGTGGGAATAACAAGCCCCTTAAACCCCCTTCGCAGTACTGTACCACTGAGAACCATCCACGCACGAATATCCAAATATTGATTTCACCATGATTGACCCGCAAGACAGATTACTCTCGGAGGGCCAGGGCTATTTTGGCCCGAGGGAAAACCCAGCAACCCAAACTCACTGCAACGTCTGGGACTGGGATCAGCTGCGATTGATCAAAGTCAAAGGAACTGCCAAGCTGTTTCCACCCCAAGAAGACGTTGAGACCTCGATCCTTGCTCAATTTGCCGATTATCTTTCCCCGGAGGTTCGTGCAATTACAGTCGACGATGACGGGCTTCTCACTGGAGTTTCGACAGACCGGAAAAAGATGATACAGGCTTTCTGGATATCTCCCCTTATCACTCTGTCCATCACTCGCAGATTGCCCTACCGTCCACTTCTCTCAACTTCGAGAGCTTGATCGCCTTGGACCAGGTGTCGATCTTGTGTCATATAATGATCAGAGGGTTGCATTCAAATTCAACCCTTTAGACAAGCCTCGAAGGCTAAAGATGTCCTGGAAGGAGACGAATCTGCTCAGCAAGCTGCCGCCACATCCTAATCTTATACTGTTCGACCGCATTGTTCTCGAGGACGTGGAATCTCGAGTGATTGGGTTCACAACGAAGTACATCCCAGGCGGAATGCTAGCCGATGATCCAAAAAGACCATTCCGATTTGAATGGCTACAGCAGCTTACTCAACTGGTGGATTTTCTGAACCTAGAATTAGGGATTATGCACCAAGACATTGCACCACGCAATTTGCTTATTGACCCCGACACAGACAAGATTATTCTCTTTGATTTTGATTGGGCCGCCAATGGGAAGGAAGGTCTAATGGATGGTCGAGACGATGTGTCCGGTGTTGTCTTTACACTACACGAGATCATCACGAATGATACACATCCCACAAGCATTCCTCACTGGGAGCGAAATACAGATATGGTACAGAATATTGAATGGACTTGTCGCCGCGAACTAGACTCGGATGTTTCAAAGTTCCGCAACTTTCTGGATGAATGGATAGCGTCGAGAACGGAGAAAGCCACAGAGCAACATCTCAATGCACCCAAGCGGCTTACATGGCCGGATCTCCCAACCCCTCCAGACTACAGTGTGCCCTTTGAGCTAGGTTGGACAGAGGAAGGAGAAACTGTTTGGCAAACGGGTGGGCGTTCAAGACGCATTGCACTAGAGAAGGGGCAATACTGCTTTCGGTGGCAAAGACCACCACAAAGCCGGAAGAAAGCTGAAAGCATTAATGGCTGATTCTTAAGATCAGGTAGCTCGAAGAACAATCATTGGTCAGATAACAATACGAAATGGAACACACCTATTCTCACCCAACAACCAGGTTATGTTTACCTACTTGTATACACATTTTGATATATCCCTGGCTCTCTCCAGTGGCTCGTGGCATATGATCTGATCAAAATGTCTACCTACCTACAGTGGTGTTTGATAAGTATTTAACCTCCGGTACATAGGTCCCCACTTTTACTTTTGACCGCTATCTAGACCGCTTACTTTATCAGCTAATTGAAACTCGCACGTCACCAACTATTGGATGAATTCGAATTCCCGAGGTTTCTGTCCGGCAGTATTAAAGTGGGTCATAGGCCCCCAATGTACCGGAGGTTAAATACTTATCAGACACCACTGTACTATCGGGGGTTTACTGTAATAGCCTTACCAGGCATTAGGCCGCATTACCACGACACGGCGACCTGGCGACCCCCCCTATTCGCTCTTTCCTGCCCTCGCTCTTTCCTCTTGAACATTCGCACCTCCCCCTCTCCTTAACTCAACTCTTTCATTCCTTGATCCATCTCCTCCGCCTCTTCAAAATGGACCAGATTGAAAAGATCCGAACAAGTTCAGCAACCGACTCGGCTTCGTCGGACTCTGAAATCTTACCACGTGAATCAGTGTTCTCGCTTTCTGGGTATACCAACTTGTCGGAAGCTCTGAAATTTATCGCAAGCGAAGCAACCCCCGAGTATGCCCTTTTCGTCGATATCCCATTGAAGTGGGGCCAACGAATCCTTGAACGGCTGGAGAAGGACGATGGTAAGATCTTTGGCCGAAAGTATAGGTATACTTGGAACTCTCACGAAAGAACACTTCGGCTCTCGATGCCTTCACCCATCCACGAAGCAGTGACTTCTTGGTATATCGATATGATGCTTAGATGGGTTAGCAATGGGAGTATCACCATCGCAGAAGCAGAAGAGATTGAGCCATTATCAAATACTCCATTCACCATGCCAGCATTCCCGTACCAACAATCTACCAAGATCCCAGATGTCGCCGTCACGCCCGATGACGGTCAGAGCTTACCCTCATTTGTCATAGAGGTAGGGTGGACCGAACCCATGACGGCACTGCAAGCCGACATGGAGCTCCTGCTGCGCGGGAGCGAAGGACTAATCCAGAGGGGGCTTGTCATCAAGTGGTACCTCCAGAGGCGGACCGGAACTGTACGAGGGACTGCATGCCTTTGGGCGTTAGATGCTTATGGACGACTGACGAAACAACAGGAGGAGGTATGTACACAGCAGACCTGGACATATGTACTTTCGTGTATAGGTAACTACTCCATGCTATGTTACTAATAACATCTTTCAGACCATCTTCCCACGACATCAAAGTGGGCCTCAGGTGCTCAGCCTCACTCGAGGCCAGTTGTGGCGGGGGTCTTTGGACGCGATGCGTAACCCGGACGAGGTTGTCAACCTCGATCTCGACCGCCTGAGGGTTCGAGCCTCGAAGGCTCTTGCTAAGATGGGGCTTGCGCCCACAACGTGACTCCTGCGGGCCTAAGCTGACTGTCTACAGAGCAATGTCTCTGCGTCTCCTCCTCGGCGTCTCCCCCGTGTGGGCCTCGTGGGTCCAAGTGCCACCGCCCTCTAATTCCCTTGCGAGCCTATATTCGCTCAGTCGTCCCAGGTTGAAGAACCAGGTTGCCAGCCGCTGAGCCGAGCCGTCCCGTGAAAGCGCTGCCCCCAGAGAGTGCCCGTCGAGTAGTTCCAGGTCGAGACGTGTATTGTGGGCAGTGGAGCGTGAGGTGTGCGAACGTCTCTGGTGCGCAGTCCTCTTGGCAGAGCGGGGATTCGATGTCTGGGACTCTCCTGCGGTGGAGGAACGCATTCAGCCCGATAGCTCCTGTGCGAGCTTGGGCGAGGAGCGAGCTCTTCGCCTTGGTGAGCCCCCAGTGTAGCTTGAGGGGGTTTAGCAGCGGGTCGAGATCGTATTCGTCCGCCGCTTTCCCATTGCGGCTTCGTCGTTCCCTCACGTCTTCTAATCTCCGCCGCCTTCTGGACTTCCACTCCCGCAACGTCGGGTCGTCCACGTCCACGTCCATCCACTGCATAGGGCTGGATGCCTGTGAAGTAGGCATACCATCTGTATCCGCATCTGGTGCTACCCATTGCTCGGCCCAAACCCGTCTCCACAAGACGCTCCCTGGTGTGGCGGTGCGGGCTGGTCTCCTACCTCGTCGCGTTCTCACCTTCGTTGCCACCCCTGCGCATACGGTGCGAAGGAGGTGGGCCATCCCGGTCTGCTCGAGTCGTTGTTCAGCCTTCGCCACCCATCGCGAGAGGTAGAGGTCTAGTGGAGGGCACCGCGCTTCGGACTCGACATTATGCACCGGGGTTGCCTTGTAGGCCCCAGTGACAGCCCGTAGTCTGGGCCGTGAGCAGGGCCTTGGCGGGGCCCCGAGGATTGCCGCTCCTCGATGTGGGGGTGTGCCACGCACTAGCACCGTATGCCATAACGCTCCTGATGACCTTGGTGTAAATTTCCCTGGCCTTAGAGACACGAACACCCCAGGTTTTGCCGCAAAGCCGGGTAAGCGCCAGGGATTGGGTCTCCAATTTGACGCGGACCCTTTTGGCTTCTTTGAAGGAGAGCTTCCGATCGAGCCAAACTCCGAGAAACCGAGCAGATTCAACAGTGGCTAGGGTAGCCCGGCCCTCATCAAGGATGCAGACTCCTTCCGCTCGGGGAAGGCGCGTCCTGGTGAAATGAATCCGTTCGCTCTTCTTTGGCCCAAATCTCATACCTCTTTCCCTGGCCCACTCGTCACAGATCCCGTAAGCGTGTTCCAAGATCATGCAAGTGTCCTTCGCAAACGCCAGAAGGTTCGTGTCGTCTGCAAAACTAATAGTGGCCAAGCCGCTGATGTTACCAAGTCTCCTGTAGAGCGATGTCGCAAAAAGAATCAAGAGGACGGGCGACAGCGGGGATCCTTGGGGCGTGCCTTGTGTAATCCTCTGTCTTGCTGAGGTGCCCCGTCGAACCGGAGACATGCAGTTCGCCCTGCGAAGTAGCTTGCTAGCCATTTCACAAGACGTCTCGGGAGACCTAGGTCTCGGAGCGTCGAAAGCAGCCACGACCAATCTACCGTGTCGAATGCACCGGCTAGATCGAGTTGCAGCAGCGAGGCACAGGCTTTGTGTTGCCACGCCGTGCGCACGGCGTCTGTGACGACTCTGACTGCTACCTCCGTAAATCTGTGTCTCAGGAAACCCATCTGTAGGTCGGGGAGTAGTCCGTGTGTCTCAGCGGCATCCGAAAGTTTTCTCGCCAGGATCGCTTCAATGACCTTCCCTACGGCGCTGAGGAGTGCAATCGGTCAATAGGCGCCCGTATCTCGTTGTTGTTCTACTGTCTTACCGGGTTTTCGAAGTACTACCACGACCGCGCTGCGAAAGCACCTCGGAAAATGCTCTAGCTGGAAGCTTGCTCGGGTCATAACGGAGAGGATTTCCGCCAGCCTGCCTTCTCTGTTGCACGCCTTGAGCAGGGCGATCGAGATTTCATCTTCACCGGTGGCTTTGGACGAGCCAACACCTGCAATGGCTCCGCTCACATCTAGCGCCGACACGTCCCAATCTAGGTCTGCCGAGCTCCGAAAGGATGCTTCATACCAATCGAGGTCAGATAGAGTGCTGGTGTCGGCACTAGCGGCAGGAAAGAATCGTTCCCCCAGGGCTCTGGCTTTCTCCTCGTGTGTCTTAGCAAATTGTCTCACCCCTGCGCAGACCTATGCTTTGGCATAAAGCCCTTCTAAACATTTGTAACTGGCATGCCGAAGCTTTTGAATTGCTAGTGATCTCCCTGCACTTTTTACAACAGACCTGGATAGGCTCTATCTACATAGGTAGGACCCCGATGATGCGGGAATAACATGAGCAATGAAAAGGAAACCTTTTAAACAACTCCTCCCTAAGATTTAAACATAAAGCACATATCCTATTTGCTGTCACCTGCATCCAGTTCGTCATCCATCCCTCATATCAAACCCTGACCCGCAACCGCAGACCAAAGTGGTCGCTGATATACAGTAGGGAAAACCGATTGAGGTGGCGACAATGCAGGATTGCATATCTCCGTTCCCATCCTCTTTATGCAGCCGGGGGAATCTATTCGTGACCGTAGACTTTTTCTGCGAAGATATATCGCAAGACTCGTGTTCGAGGGTTGGTGGGCTGAGATCGTCGGCCGCAGACATAGCAAGCTTCAGGTGCAGTTTCTCCGATATAACAAACCTCATTCCCTTCCCTCCCTTCGAACTGGGACATCATTCAAGAAATTGCTTTACTGCTGAATAGGCTCGAGGGTGTTACCACTAGAAAGTGAGATAGTCAGCATATGTCATCAAAGTGTTACGTGACCTGTAAACTTACGCAACAATGTTGGCCCATCCGATAAGACGCCAGTGCTTCTCGATTCTGCGACTGATGGCAATCTTCTCGCCGACTTCCGTGCAAGCAGGGCTGGTCAAGCTGAGCTTGGCAGCATCGGCCTTGACACCCAGGACCTTAGCACCAGTGGCGGTGGAACCAATGTTGACCATCAGGACTTCGTTCTTAGCAAGCTTGGCAACCTTAGCTTGCTTGCCATCGGCGGTCTTGACACCCAGCAGGCGACGGAGCAGGAAGTAGTTGACCTCGATCTCGGTGTAAATAGCGGGGAGACGGCCGCGGTGGCCCAGGACGAAACCGACAAGACGATCGGCACGGCAAAGAGTGGGGTCGACACGAGTACCAACACCGATCAAACCACCAGGAACGGCAAACTTGAGGTCGTTGTGCTCGGCGAAGAGAGAGACGATGCGGGAGAAGATGGGACGGCACTGGATCTTCCCCTGCTCGTCCTTGGTGACGAGACCGGGGCGAATCTCGATCTCATCATTCAGCTTTACAACACCGGTCAAGATGGAACCACCGGCAACACCACCCTTGAGCTCATCGATCTCAGCACCGGGCTTGTTGACATCGAAAGAACGAATGATCATCATGTGAGGAGTAGCCTCGAAGTTGCGAGGAGGGATAGGAATAGTGTGCACAAGCGCCTCGTTGACAGCATCAATGTTGTACTTAAGCTGCGCGGAGATGGGAATAACAGGCGAGCCATCGGCAACAGTACCACGGATGAACTTGAGGATAGACTGGTAGTGCTCGAGGGCGTTATCGCTGCGCATGAGGTCGACTATAATACGAGCGAAAGTCAGTCTCGTTCTTCATCAAGGCAGTCGCGGCGTAATTCAAATTACCCTTATTTTGGAGAATAATGATGTGGTTCAACTTCATGATCTCAATGGCGGCCAAGTGCTCCGAAGTTTGAGGCTGAGGGCAAGTTTCATTTCCGGCAATAAGAAGAAGAGCGGCGTCCTAGAAACATGAATTAGTATATTTCCGACTTTGCTTTGCTATAATGAAGCATGGAACTTACCATGACCGCAGCTCCTGAAAGCATGGTGCTCATCTGCACAAAGCTGGTTAGCATCAGGTCTCAAAGAGAAGCCAAGAAACCCCGAAAGATAACCGTGGACTCCAAAATGCGCAGAAATATGGATACTAACAAGAATATCGTGACCTAAAACAGGCAATTAGCAGTGTTCCAAGTTCAGGCAGACATGGGACTGTGCGAACGTACCAGGGCAATCGACGAAACTTTTGTACGGGACAAAAAGTTAGCTTTTAACTCAAGAAGGTAGGACACTGAAGTTGGGATTATAGGACGGGGGCTGATGTACCTGACGTGGCGCTATATCAAAAGTTAGCTTCAAGTTCATATTCGACAACTGATTTGGACCCAAGGGGAGAAGCAGTAGTACGTACCAGCAACCGGTAACGGCCTGTGCATCCATCGCGCTCACATGGCGGATCGATTTCCTTCTCACTTTTGAAACTCTTGTAGCATGTCGGCCGAGGGCATTCCGGGCTGTCACACTTGTAAATCTTCGCATTGGCGTAACCAAGCTTAATGGTAATGTTGCGCTCCAATTCGTTCTTGAAGCGGACGGTCTGCACCTCGGAAATGGCCTTGACCACGGTAGATTTGCCGCTAAAAAGATATTAGTATGCTTATGGGGACGAAGGTGCGAGTGAGGGGTGTCTAACTGAGCGACGTGACCGATTGTGCCTAAAAATTTACGTTAGCCAAGTTATTGTCAAAAATCGAGAATTCAAGAAATGATGCGCATCCGGCAACAAAAGGCTCCATTTGTTAAAATCACACATACCAATGTTCTGAGTAGCTTGTCTGGCAATGATCTCAGGCGTGAGAGGCGTCAATTTCGACAGATCGAGGGTCTCCGGGTTGGGCTGCTCGGGAAGTTCGGGGCGCTTCGGTTGAGGGGCCGGTGCGGACTTCTTCATTGCGGACTTGAGAGGCTTCTCCTCCTGCTCGAGGGGCTCCTGGTCCTCAATCTCGCCGCGGGCGTTGTGGGCATCGAGCAAAGGCGAGCCGGGCTGGGATCCCTCATCGGAGAAATCGCCGTTGGAAGCCATGGTTGCGAAGGGAAATAAAAATTCAGTTCGCGATCAGCAGCGTAACACGGAAACCGAAGGTGGTTTAGAGAAGCTGTGGGGGAGACGGTGGTAGATGGAAGGTCGGATGAAAATTGCTTCCTGCGGGCGATATGATAATCGAAGTAGGTGGGGGGTTGTGTGGCCGGGCGGTGTCTAGATGGCAACTCTACTGTGAGTACAATTCAACCACGCTATTCTAATGCAGCCTGGCAAATGAATACTAAGCAATCTATTCATTTCAGCTTTCTCTTTCGCCTTTGAGATTTTGAAATGTGTCTGGGGTTTGATGTGGGTGACTCCTTTACATCCGTCAATGGCCACACAATCACAAAGAATTATGGACTCGAGACATTTTCATACTCATAATACATTGGTTGCCACTCGTCTATCTCACAGTAAAAAGGGTATAACAGTTGAAAGCAACGGGAATTCTGGAATCTACTCATCGTCGCTATCGCTTGATGATTCCGCTTCATCCTCGTCGTCTTCAGAATCTATCAAGGTGGAAGGATCCTCCGCCGGCAACATGACAAAAGCTACTAAGCATGTAATGCGGTTACCAGTCTCGTTGGTGGTCAAGAGCTTTCCAAGCTGAACCGTATCCTGCTTTGCTTGCTTTGCTGCTGCAAGGTCCTTTCCAGCAACCTTCCATACGCGGACAACGCCTTCACTGTTGCCGGTGACGATGAGAGAGTCGTTGCGGAATTCCTTCGCTTGGTTTTCAAGAGTGAGGACTTCGAAATCCTTGATACGACCCGGGAATCCAGCTTGCTTTCCACCAATCTGAGCAACGGGAGTAGCATGGGGGATTGAACATTCGGTATCATCCTCCGCTTCCTTCAAATCTTTAGTCGAGTAGAGAATCACTCGTCCATCCTCCGTAGAGATGGCTAGGAAATCTTCCTTTGTATCACCCTTCAGAGGCAAAGAGACAAACTTCATCTGATGAACTTTGCTCCGCGGGCTGGGAAGAACTCTGCATCGTGGAATCGAGTCCTGTTGAGACAGTTAATAGTTGGTCAAAAGTGTGGAGTCCAAGTAACTTACAATCCCGAATACGACGGCTCCCCATTCAAAGGCAACGGCAAATTCATCTCCCGCAGAGTCCCATGCAATACGTCGACCTTCGCCAGTGCTCCATCTCGACTCCTTCACACCTTGGAGGACCTCCCTGGTGAAGTTCAACACACCTGCCTTTCTGCCAGTCACGAGATTCCACAATCTCATGCATCTCTCTCCACGCCCAACACTCAGCATCAGCTTCATACTGGGATGCACCGCAAAGTGGTTCACTCCGGACGGGGCAGCCCCAGGAGGCGCTGTGTCACCACTTGGTCGACCTTGAACTTTAGGGTTTGGCGCTTTGATAGTTGACACAACGGTCCAGTCACGTGTCTTGGAAATGGAGATCGTGTTATCCTCTCCAGCTGCGAGCAGCTTGCTTCGCGAAGGGAAGCTCAATGAAGTAATGCTGGCGGTGTGATGCAACAATGCTCCTAGCTCACGGTTCCGGGGATTTTCGAGGATCTTGTTTCCGGCGAAGGTCGGCACTGACGGATAGTCTTCGTTCACGGCAGGCGGTGCGGCGGAGATCTGGTACAGGTTGATTCGCTCGTCGGTACTACCAGTAGCTAACATCACCTTCTGCGCATCGGCAGAGTCGGTGGGTTTGGGTAGTGGTGACAACGCCAGACAACGAATTGCAGATCCATGGGCCTCGAACAAGAAGGTGTCCGAGCATTGAATATTCGGAGAGTCAGTTTCGGTCTTAGCTTTCAGGCTGGAGGCTGGGAACCCGGCCGTGAAGCCATGAAGAACCCGCTCATATGAGCCAGTGATCACTTGGATGGTGAGAGCTGCATCGGGAGTCTCTGCGGGAACCGGGGCGGATTTGGTAGTCTTGGGAGGACTACCAGAGGTCTTGTCCTCATTGGCAGCGTCGGTTCTCTTGCGTTTCACCATGATGATCTGAACAATGGATGTAGTCTGTGTAAAGTAAATGTCAAAGCTAGATTTGGAGGGCGGACAACTTTTTTTCTTGCTTTTCTGCCGGCTGTTTTTTTATCGGGACCGCCTTGATAGGAAATTGTTGCCTTAGTACCTTATCGCCTTAACGCCTTAACGCCTTGCTGCCTTAATGCCATAACTGCAAGGCGTCAATGAGATGTCACTGCCTCAGGCTCACATACGCAAGCGGAGAATGCACGAACATTTTAAATACAGTGCATTACCAGTTGATGAAGGCGGCCTTTTTGAAACACAAGTCTTTCACCATATTATGATAGCTCATTAAAGTCAGATGTATCCTTACATCCATAGTGGTAGAAGCAGTCTTTAATGTCCCCCAAGCTATCAAAGAGACTTTTTATGAAGTACCAGGTACATGGCCAAGCCGTGTATTTTTCATAGCAAGAGCGAGTATCTGGTTGTACCTAAACCAACATCTTCCCGTTCTTCCACATTTTTCATACCGCCCTGTAACCTCATTTTCACCCCCTTCAAAAAGATCCTGCTCCAGGTGCTTTCCATCGCCTACAGCCCTTCACCCATCATTTTCATCTTGTTCGAGCGATTTTTTCCATCTGGATGACCTCGCTCGATTTGATTCTCTTGTCCCCGCGTTAATCGGATGCTGCGTTCCGAAGCTAGACTCCATGCTCCGCGACGAGCTTCTACGATCTAAGAACGATGAGATCGCGTATGTAACAATTTTTCCCTGACGTGTTTTTGATGGGAATACTCTTGGAAGGACGAAATGGGGCTAATTTTTGGGCTAGAAACTGTTTGTCGCGCAGAAAGCGCAAGCTCAGCGCATTATATCTAGCCACGGTCGGGTTTGGCGCGACCGAGGACGCTCATTACCGTCAGAAAGAGCAGGCTTTCCTTGACGCCAACGATCTCACCAAGTAAGTCCCGTCACATCATTACTCCAACGCGCTTGTCACAATCCATTTTGTTATTTCTTTCAATGCTAATTCCGAATGTAGGGGGCGTTACTTTAATGAAGCTACTCTTCCGCCGCCAGCCCATGTGCGCGTGCGTTCACCAACTAGAGAAGCGGTTCCCCAGGCAACAGCGACTGGCATCGACGACAAAGCCGTCGGTATCAGCTCGCCCTCAACTGCCCTCGTCGATGGAGGCCTTCCGCATGCGACCGAGCTCGGACAGCGCGCATCACCCGTTCTAGACCAACCTGAGACTGCGATACCTAATATTTCACCTACCCCGGTCGATCCGACCGGATCACGTCGGCCATCCGTGCCAACCAATACCACAAAGCCGCTGCATGATCCTACTCCATTGCAGACCACCGCCGAATCACCCGAAGCAGTGCGCGCCGACGAGAAAGACAGTGTACTGGTTCCAAAAACACTGCCTGGTGCTCACGATCGCGATGGAGATTTGGCAAAGCTCTCCCCTCGCCTGTCGAAGTCAACTACCACCGGAGTCGCATCACTGGAGATCCCTTCCGACCCTCTCCGAAAGAAACGCGACGCACGACCATCTCTTACGTTAGGGCTTTCTCAAGGCGAACAACCACTATCGCCCGCTTCTTCAACCGACCCCTATAATACTAATACACCTATTCCTGTTGGCGCATCACCCGATACAAGCCCCGCAGAGGAAGTGACGGAGGATGTTGCGACAATCGATCGCCAAAAACATAAGCATGACCGGTCTGGCCGTCCTCAGCCAAGCTTGATTCCTTCGACAGCAGACGAGCAGTTGCGCTTCGAAGAAGCTCAGTCAAGAATAACTCAGCCCTCTAATGGCGTGACCCATGATTTGCCCACTTCGAAGGAGGTAATTCAGGAGGACGTGGACGTTGAAGCCGACGCAGATCGAATGGTTGTCGATCAGGAACCTACCGCTGTGTCTCCTGAAGCCAAATCGCGGCAAGCAGCTGACGCTCCGGCCAGAGACTCGTTGTCACCGTCCGCACGTGTTGAAGCTGTCCCAGACTCTGCTGTTGAAACTGCCACGACTAGAAAGTCCGTCTCTATCCCGCCTACCCAGCCCGGATTGTCACAACCGGAACGCATGACCACACGAGTATCATCAGGAGCTATCCGCCACAAGTCTGTTTCTGAGATCCTTGGGGAGACCCCTAAGAGTGTCAATCATGACAGGAGCCACCCTGCTACTCCCTCTGACCAGGCCTCTCCTGATTCCGTCGCAAGAATGCGCTTCAAGGACCGGAAAGAACGGGAGAAAGAAAGAAGCCGACTTTCTACCGTTGTGTTCCCCAAACAGCCAGCTGCTCAGCAGGAGAAGGCTGACTCCATGGAATTGACACCCAGAGACATGGACGCGGTGGCCAAGCTGAATGAGGAGCAAGACTATCTTTTCACTTTGTTCTTGAACCGAGCATACGCTCCTCCCCGGGGAACGAATCTCAACACGCTATTAGCATCTGCACACAAGACTCTGAGCACGAACAGTCATCTGCTTGAATACAAAGAGCAAATGGATTGCCGAACACTTCGGCGCATCTACGCCCTTCAGAATGCTAACCGATGGCCACTGCGACAACTGAAACGGTCTGTTGAACCACCCCGTCAAGGGTCGCATTGGGATGTTGTGTTAGATCATATGAAGTGGATGCGCACCGACTTCCGGGAGGAGAGAAAATGGAAGATTGCTGCTGCGAAGAGCTGTGCCGATTGGTGCGCAGAGTATGTCAACAGTGATGAAGAACATCGGGCTTTGCTTCGTGTTCAAGTAAAGATTCCAATGTCAACTCCGGCAGAGAAGGATGCCCCCAAGCCGGTCCTCAGCCCACCCTCCGAGGACAACGGCGACGAAGTGTTCGGTGTCTCCCATCCCACCCCGGATCTCGTTCCATCTGCCGAGGAGGAATCGGTCAGCGAGTTCAACGATGAGCCCCGACACGACATCCATGACACAGTCGCCCCTGCTGCTATCTTCTCCCTGGGTCCTGATGAGTTTAACTTCTCAATTGACATGAACCCCGCTGCCGAGAAGCTGCTCGACGAACTGCCGATATACAGTCCTCTTCAGATTGCTCCGGCGACCAATTTGCCTGCTTTCAAAACTCCCCCGGACTCTGTCTGGAAGACGGAACTCCTACCGGTGTCAAAGTTCGCCTCAGCGAAGATTAGCTTCCGTGATGACGAGCCGCCTCGCAAACAGAGTCGATACGATTACTCCCAGTATCGCAATAATTCGGATACTCACATCACCGAGTTGGCACCTGAGCAGACTAACGTTGCCCTCTTTCGACCAGAGAATAAGCCTATTCGTGATCGAATCCACCCCGGCCATCAGTTCCGGCCTCCGACTGAACACCCCATGCCGTCTGTTGGTTTCTTCGAATCACGCTCGTCCTCGCAGTGGACTTATGCCGAGGATGACGAACTTAGACGCCTGGTCAAGGAGTACTCTTACAATTGGTCTCTAATCTCCAGTTGCCTTACCCCTTCATCACTTTTCACTTCCGGGGCCGAGAGACGGACGCCATGGGAGTGCTTTGAGCGATGGGTGGGGCTGGAAGGTCTTCCTGCGGATATGTCCAAAACTCAATATTTCCGAGCTTATCACCAGAGGCTTGAGACTGCCCAGCGTACTGTGTTGGCACAGCAGCAGGCCGCTCAGCAGCAGCAGCAGCAACAACAGCAACAGCAAGGTGCTAACGCTCAGCCTCAGCCCCCTGTTCGTCGGAGGACCACTCAGCCTCTTCGGGTTGACCGAAGACGATCTTCGAAACATCTTGCTTTGCTTGACGCGATGCGCAAGCTGGCCAAGAAACGGGAAACTATGCTTCAGAAACAGCAGCATGGTATGTTGGGAATATAACGGGATCACATAAGTCCAAGGACTCCACTGACAATTCCTTGCTTAGCTTCTCATCTTGCATCATTGCGAAAAGCCAATGAGGCTAACCAACCCAAGCCTCCAATCTCATCTCCTGCTGAATTCAGTCGACTGAAGTATGACAGAGAGATGAAGCTGCAGGAAAGACAGGAGCAGTATCGGCAGCAAATGATTGCGCAGCAACGAGTGAGTGGTCTATGATGCTACCATGGTACGACTTCGTACTGATCTCCCATCTAGGCAAGTCTCGCGGCTCAACGTTCTGGCCAAGTGCCTAACCAGCCGCAAATGATGAACGTGGCCGGGCGCAGCAACATGGGCCCCACGTCTAATCCTAGCCTGCCGGGTGGAACCCCTAATGGAATGAGCAATGGGCTGCCTCCCAATGCTGGCGCAACCCAAGGTCGTGCCCTTCCAATGCAGAATATGCCTAATGGTGCACAACCCAATGGCCAAATGCCCAATGGCATGACCATGAAAATAATGCCACAAGCTCAATTGCAGCAAACACCAGGTACACGCCCAGGTCTAGCGATGCAAGCCTCCCCCGACAACGCACGCGTCATTCGAGAAGCCAATCGCCTGCAGGAGCAGCAGCGTGTTCTCCAGTCTCGGCAACAACATCCCCAGCAAGGCCAGCAAGGCCAGCAATTCCATAACCAGCCGTTCGGGTCGCAGGGATCGCCGAATCTCAACATGTCCAATGCCAATGGCACTCCTAATAACCCCGCTTTGATGGCTGCCCTCCAAAATGGGGGAATGCAGAGCCCGTCGTTCCACGCTGGGACCCCGCAAGGCGTGTCAACTCCGTCGCCACGTATGGGCCAACCCAATCCCCTTTCGAGCGGTGTTGTGCCTCAAATCAGCACTATTCAGAGCCAGATACAGCGCACCAATCCCAATATGCCACCGGAGCAAGTGACCAAGCTGGCGACGGACCGACTCAACCTATACCAGCAACAGCAACAGCAGCGCTTGTCCCAACAAGCTGCAATGAATGCTGCTGCTGGTAGCATCAACGCAAATGCCGTCCAGGCTAATTACCAGGTTCCCCATGAGGCCAGTTTCCAGACTCCGAACGGGGGGTCTTCAATGCAGGTTCCTCAAAACCAAGGGTTTTCCCCAATGATGCGGGTCCCTCAGGCTGGACAGCATAACCGCGTCGGTCCGACTAGTTCTCCTGCCCTGAATGGTGCTGTGGTCCAACCCAGCCGCAGTGCTACTCCTCAAACCCAACGCAGCGGCAGTTCCCAAGCTGGCGCCGCTCAAGGCTCTAGCAAGAGTCCTCATGCCCCGGCAGCCCAGACAGCGAGCAGTTAAAGCTTGCTAACAGTCTCACCCTGCAACCTCTTCTTAACCACTTCCCCCACTTCGTCCTTACCTTCTTCCATTCGTCTGTACATACTTACTCCCACCCTTACGCTGATTTATTCCACCTTGACTTTCATCTCCCGTTGATTCGGACTATCGCGCTACACCTACGACATCTACCTTACACCATTCCATGTTTGAATCCCCTACCGCCTGAGTGCTTTTGTTTTGACTGATTGAAACCTCGACGTTCATCTTGAACTGGTTTGCACTGGCTATTCTTACACCTCTGTGCTGCTTTATGTTTTCTGAGCCTGTGCTTGTATTATTGATGGGAACTGGCGAAAACTCCTGGATGGACGTTGTCCTTAGGAATTTGATATGAATTGTATGATTAGTTTTGAGCTTAACTTCCTTTCAAACGTTCCTCTTCATGTATCTACACTCATAGAGAGTAAGACAGAAATGTGAACTTCTTCGAGGCCGACGTGTTACATGAATCATGTCTGATCAACACCAGCATCTGTTGATTTTCAACTCAGATTGCCGTCTTTTCAGAGTCAAGTTTCCTTGACGCGTGAAGGACATTACGGACAAGCCATAGCTAGTCCTGGAGAGACCTGATCATCTACTGAGGTGGGAGGGTCCACTGGGTATGATATCTGGGCACTAGGGTCGCCCATCGACATCTAGCGGGAGAAAAAGCAAGAAAGGTGATTTCAACTATGGACTATGATGGCCGACTATCAGCTGTTGAGGTTCAGAATCGCCCTATGAATCTGTCTGGCTTTGGCCGACCTGTCGTTGATCACTTCGTTTCATACATCAACCACCCAGACGCCGGTTGGATTGTATTAAGTTCACGCCTGCGAGTCCCAGCAGTTGGCTGGCCGGACACTGTATCGATGGTTCTCAAGGTCTCATTGATCGGCCACTCCTCAAGCTGCTCCTCAAGACACTCTAGCCTTCCTCCGCTTGAGGTGGCTTGGATGCCGATGGACCCCGCCAACATCTTAGCTTTATACTCACGCCCATTGTCATCGACAGTGACCGGCATGGTAGAATAGCCCGCTGGTACCGAACATAATCTGACGCGCCTCAGCAAAGGGTGAAAAATACTAAATTCTGCCTCGGCATCCTGGAAGACTTGAGAGGATGGGGCATGGATCTCTTCCGGGTACAGCATCTTCCCATCTTTGTCCCAGAAGCAGAAGACCGTTATCCAACCCTTCAGGCAAGATTGACCATCTTCATCAAGTTCTGTAACCACACATCTCCTCCAGAATCTATGCACTTCGCGGCTGTTGTGGGGATTGAGACACTCCACGAAGTTATTAAGCACTGGCTGAAGAAGCTGCGCAAACCGACTAGGTTCATCCCCAAGCGTCTTTAGATAGTTGACTTTCCTCGCTAAGAGTGCCCAGTCCTCTTTCTTGCCAAGCAGAGTCACAGACGGAATCCCACAGTTACAATCCAAGGTAGACGAACAAGAGAAATACTGTTGCATACTCCCCATCATCAAGACAGCTGCTACGATGGTGTCCGAAGCAGTCGTGGTGCTGAAATCCGGCATGGCCCAGTTCCGCAGCTCTGGGTCGATCACCTCCTGTTGTATAAGCCGCGTCATCGCCAACGCCAGTTTTCCGAAATCGGTGAAGTCGATCACCCCAAATTCGTCGATATGCAGCTCTCTTGTACCGTCGTGGGAGACAAACAAATGTCGTAGTTGCTCGGCATGCGAGCTGATGTAGAAGCCGATCTGCACTAGGATGGCAAACCATACATCTTCGGGCCGGAGCTTGAGTTTGTGATGGTGGTTGTAGGCATAGACCACGGCCCAGAGGAGCCCATTTTGTGATGCGGAGATGTGGGTGGTACTGAAGAAGTTTCTGGGGAATGAGCTTTGGATCAGAGTCGTGTTGGGCTTTTTGTCGGCGTACTCCTCTGAACAGGAGCTGGCGAGGAGCTGTTCGCTGCCATATACCTTGCTGCGGGTCCAAGCAGTTGGTGGATGACCAGCGGTGGTGAAAGTTTTGGTCATGGTATGGTTGGCCGCGGGACGGCCTTGAGAATGAGGAGGCAATGGAGGAGTGTAACGCGTGGATGAGGTTCAACTCAGCAGTAAACAGTTTGATAAGTTCAGAAGAGCAGGGATGAAAAGGAAGAAGGGACTGAGTTGTGTTGTGCTTTCAAAAGAGAACTCATATCATCTGACCAGCTACTCGACAACGGTGTGGCTCTTTGCTAGGGCAAGCTAAAAGAAGACTAGATGTAGGTACAACCCTGGGATTTGGAAACATGGCCAATTCTCCACCGAAAGCGCTGGCTATAAGACAATCTTATAACAACCTAACAATGATAAATACTGTCAGCATCCAAGAGCGGTCACTTGGTTGATAAGTGCTGTCCCATCTCATAGTCAGTTAAGAGCACATGCGCAGAATTCCCATTCTCAAGAGGCTGGTCGAACATACCAGTCTTGGTGAGACGACGAGCCTTCTTGATCAAACGACCCGGATGATAAACCAACAAGACAAGCATAGCAAAAAACATCAAAAACGCATCAAACACATAGATATAAGCCTCCTTGGTATTGACATCAGCAGTCCTCGCTGCTCCAAACTGAATAGTCCGCACCAAGTTGCGAAGCATCAGCGCAAAGCAGGAAATGTAGATTGCCCACATGTACCTGTGCCATGGCAGATCAGGATTTTGGATAAGGAGCGGCGTGGGCATTTTCTTCAGCCTTCGATGGAACTTGGCCGCAATCAGGACGAAGAAGGTGAAAACAACCAACGAGAAGATCAAGCCGGCCAGAACAACTTTCTTGCCGATGTTCATCACCTGCTCATCGCCCGTCATCTGAACGCCTGCACCCCCCAGCTGGGTACAGAAGCAAAGTACATCGTTCATTACAAAGACGAAGGTGAGCATCTTGGGGCGCATGCTTGAGAGATGTTCGGCGCCGAAGGAGCGGATTATGCGGCCGAGGACCATGTAGACGGTGGCTGCTACAAGGGGTGGTGCACATAGAATCAGCATCTCCTGCAAAGCCCAGGATTTGATCTCGAATCTGGACTCGTGGGACCATGCTCTGCCGTAGTAGCCGAATGTCTCGCCTGGTTTTGGCCATCGTTAGCGGTAGTGGTTTAGGTGTTTCCTAGTTTGTAGGGGACATACAAACTCCGCCCAGTATTAGAGGAATAAAGTAGGCAGCACGAAAAGGAAACATTGCCACGATGTGGGCGAGGGTTGAGACCCCGAAGATTCCCATGAAGGCATAGCCAGCTGTGGCTGATGGGGTGTAAGGGTAGAATTCCACCCAGGGATCAGTTCCATTTTGGCCAGGATGAAACACGATGTCCATATTGAGTAGTGAGAGTAAAGACCATGCAACTGAGCCTCTTTCATTTTTCGATGAGGCAAGTACTGCGTTTATATAAGAGACTGTTAAATATCCCAAGTGTAATCGAATCCATGTCTAGATACCTAATCGGGCAATATCTGAACGAATACGCTTCGAGTGGGGACATCTCGGCCCACTTACTGCGCAGATCAGTTAGTTAAGTAGTAACTACTAACTAGTTATGCTTCTTTTTAGATCGTTGGGCTGCCTATCTGGCATATTTTTAGACCTGAGAGAGGGAAGAGATGGAACAGTATCCGCAATAATTGGGAAATCTTGAAACGGTTGCACATACACAAGTTGGCGAGTCGCACACCGGACTACTCACAAGAAATTGATTAAGGTGCAGCCTAACGATACATTGATGTAAACCCAAACCAGCCGTAAGATCTGAGTGTTGTATCTTGGAATATAGTGAACTTATTGAACGAGGACAGTCGAGGTTAGGGCTAGCTGATGACCCCAAAGGGGAAATTATTACGAACACGTAGGAATTCCCCCAATAGGACTAGATCATCCTCAGTACCATCACATGATCACTTTGTCCCTCTACATGTATCTCGCTCCTGGGTTTGGACCGCTAGGCTGCCAGATAATCTTTGTGTTTGATCATATGAAATCTCTATACACTGATACAGGCTGACTTAAATCATTTCACTTACCAATGTTAGACAATTCAACATTCCTACTCCGTACTGTACAGCACTTGCCATTACCGCGCTTGCCGCTAGATCCCCAACTTAGCCGAGCGCTTACGATTTTGCCACCGCCAACTATGAGCTCTCGACTCGCTCAGTTGCTCTCGAGCTCTCTGATCCCCGCTAAACATTCCACTCGTTTATAAATCGCACACTGCTGACATGTCTTCACACGAAGATAGCGAGGGCGGGCAATCGCTGCCCAAACCAATCTCCCTGTCTTTATCCGGTCCAAAGGGTCCCTCAAAAAAGACCGGGTTCAGCCTCCAACCTGCAAATCGCGGTCCTCAAACCAAAATTCCAGCAAACGGCCGATCCCTCCCTCGGAGACCTCACCAACTCGACCATGGCGATGAATCAGACGAAGATGAGGCCGCTCCGATCCTCGAGGAAGTCCGAGGCTTCAACACACTTACTGGTGGCGCGATCACCGCGGAAGGGCAGGCAGTCGAGGACAAGAACAAGCCACTGATCATTCCTGTCACAAGCAAAAATAACTGGCGCGATCGAGCGGGTGTCAATACGAGGAAACGCAAGAACCTACTGCCCGCCGAAGTGCAAGCTATGCAGGAGGCGCAAAAAAACGGACAAGCACCCGGGGAATCTACAATGGAGACTGATGCACCGAGCATGGCGCACGGGTTGAGCTTTGCACAGCAGCCCGCAGAGCAGGCACAGGAAGGCAAGGCCGCCGATGAAGATCAGGCCATGCCTGATGCGACACCAGTCGAGTCCAAACCATTCACCGATGACCAGATTGCCATGCAGGCGTTGATCCGGGAAAGTAAAGGCGATGTTGAAAGGAGGTCGGACCTTGTCATTGAGGCTGCTAGAAAAGCCGAAGAGGAAGACGAACCTGCCCAATACAGCGAGATCGGCTCCTTCCGAAATGATGTGGCATCTCGGCCCGACCCTGCCAGTTTAGACGCCTACAACGCCATCCCCGTTGAGGAGTTTGGTGCCGCCTTACTACGAGGAATGGGGTGGAAGGATGGTCAGTCCATTGGGCGAGGCGACTATAGCAGTGCCACAGCCGCAGAGAGGGCGAATAAGCCTCGTATTCCAGAACGACGACCTGGGTTCCTAGGCATTGGCGCAAAGGATTCTGCCGGCGGCAAAGGCGCTGAAGCCGAGCTCGGAGCTTGGGGAAAGTCAGCTATGCGCAAGGCATCGAGGAAACAGGGCGAGGAGAACGACAAGGCTGAGGGCGTCTACATGCCTATTACAATGAGGAACAAGAAAACCGGCGAGCTCCTCACCGAAGAGGAACTCGCTAATCTACAAAAGGAGGCCAAGTCAAAGCCTGCCAAGGAAGACGACTGGCGCGAGCGACGGGACCGTAACCTCGAGAAGAGTGGACGGGACAAGGATCGAGAGCTGGATTACCGCAAACACGACTATGATGATGTAGAAGATCGTTCTCGTCGGAAGACTGGATCCTCGCGACGCGACCGCAGCCGGTCTGCTGACCGCCACTCTTCTAGTCGTTCTTCACGATATGACGACGACAAAAGCAAACGGGAAGACCGTTCTTATCGTTCTCGAGATTATGACCGGGATCGTCGTCGCGACCGTGATGATGATAGGGACCGAAGAAGAGACGGAGATAGAGACCGGGACCGCAGCCATCGATCCCGAGATGAGAAATACAGCAGCTCACGGCATTCGTCACACTCGTCTCGGAATGACCGAGATCGAGACCGCGATCGTGACTCTCGTCGTCGACGAGATGATTGAGGGACAAAGAACTGGATTGGAGCAATTTCCCAGGCATATTCGAGGCCGCTCACTGTACATACAACACCACTACTTTCTGGAGCTAACCCGTTCCAGTCCCTCCATCTACACTTCTACCTCAAACCAACATAAAACAAGAGATACCCTGAGCAATGAAAGCTTGTAGCTATATCAATCATACTTCAATTCTATAAAGAGATGGCTTTTATCCTTCCCATCCATGGTACTCCAACGAAAGCGCCAAATTCAATGTACAAGGGCAAAAAGACTTAAAGTCAGACTATGCTTCCAACATGATAACGTCCTTCTCATGCTCTTCCTCACTCACATCACCCACAGTCAAATCACGCAGTCCACCTAGTCCAACACCACCATCCATCTCACCGAGCACCCACTCAACCAGATAGCTGTCATCGACAAGCTCTTCAACCCGGCGATAGTGTCTCTCCGTATAAGCAGCCAGCGCCTGCAGGATATCCTTCATACCCGCCGCAGCACGACCGTCCTTTCCACGGACCGACTGGGTCGCCAGCTCCACGAAAGTAGAAGCAGGGTACGAGCGGAACAGAGCGAACAGGATGCGCTGTGAGACGCGCGAGGTGCGCGCATTGGTATTCCAGTCCCGGAGACGGAGCAGGAGAGTACGCAGATTCGCGGGATCAAGGCTCTGCAGCACCTCGTCGATGGACTTATTACCGGACAGACTGGCTTTAGCCTGCTCTCGGTCTTCGGCGGGAAGGGCGGGGTCATCGGCGGCGTTGATGGCAGACGTGAAGAGTGAGAGGAGACGGCCCGGGTGGTTGAGTTGCAGGGCCAAAGTGATGGCTTCGCGGTAGGCGCCGGCGCGGATGTAGTTCTGCAGCTCCTGGTCCTGCTCGATGCGGGCGGAGTTGGCGGTCACTGCGGCGCTGTAGGTGGCGGAGGTGGTGTCGGTCCAGAAGGTTACTGTTGCGTCGGCGGAGCCGGAGGCAATGGCGTAGGGGGTGGAGTTGAGCTTGGAGGTGGATGGTTTCACGTCTGAGCGGGAGCCGGAGGGGGTTGGGCTGGCTAGTGCCCAGACTCGGTCGGTGTGGTTGTCCAGGGTTGTTTCGACTTCGCCGGTGTAAGGAGACCAGATCTTGACTAGACCGTCTGCGGCGGCGGAGGCGATGAGGGGGCGGTCTTGGATGGCGTTTTTGCGGGCTGCTGCTGATTCTTCGTCCTCGTCGTCGTCTTGGACGTTGGAGACCTGGGGAGGAGGGAGCCAGAGGACTTTGAGAACGCTGTTGGTGTGGCCCTCGAATGTCAGGAGACAGCTGTAGTCAGATAGACTCCATAGCTTCACGGTCTTGTCACCCGAGCCTGTGACTACCAGGCCACGGCTTGTGCTGGTACGTTGGTCTGAATTGACGATGGGTGTGCCTTGCGGAGCGAAACGCACTGACCAAACACCTCGCTTGTGGCCACGGAGGACACCGACGGCTGAGCCCTCGTCGGCGGCCCAGACCTTCACGGTGCGATCTTGTGATGCGGAGGCAAACAGCTCAGATGTAGAATCGATATCGATGGCGTTGATGTCTTTCTCGTGAGCCTTGCGGGTATAGATTGCCTTGGGCGTATGTGGCTTTTCGCCTGTCAAGGGGCCCAACTTGCTTGTATCCCATCGCTTGATTGTGCGATCCTGCGAGCCGGTGATTAGGAATGAGGGTGGGTGGTTCACAGGATCGTTATATGCAGCGCTGCCAACAGGCGGTGGCACCCGAGGAAGGGCAATTGCTCCCAATGACTCGGCGTGGCCAGTGAATACGGCAAAGCAGGTATAAGAGGACGTCTGCGCGTCAATACGCCAAAGACGGGCTATGTTATCTTTAGCGCCAGTTGCTAGCCAGTGTCCTGACCAGTCAACATCAATGCAAATGATGATATCGTCGTGCCCTTCGAGGTGCGTGACATCAGCGCCGAAGTATTCCTCTCCTTGATCCGATGGTCGATGTTCCGAGGGAGCAACCGAGACAACGCGGATACTCTCAGTGTTGGTGGCCAAAGCAAGCATGGATCGATCAGATCCGACGTAAGCCAAATCAATGATCTCATCATCATTGCCGGAAATACGGCGAATAACCGCCAAGGGCTCCAGGCGTGACCCTGGCTTATAATCGGACAACGACTCGAGCGAGTGGAGTCGGAGAGTCTGGTCTGCATGGACGGTGAGGACGAAAGGTAGACCAGGGGAATACTGGATAGCGACGACACTCTCATATTCCTCTCCAGCCTCTTGCTCCTCTGTAACCTCGCTTCCCCGATTGCAGTCCCACACACGCAGTTTGCCATTTTCTCCACCAATAACGCAGATTCCACTATCTGCAATGAAAGCCGCGGCTTCCACACTCTCCAAGACCGGGATGATTCTGCGGGTCTTCCAAGTACGCGCATCCCAGACTATGACAGTCTTGTCTCGACTGGCAGAGATCAATGCATTCTCTGACGGGGAAAACGATAAACTGCGGACAAGGGAAACATGTGATTCAAGCGACGCAATGGGTTTTCTCTTGTGCAAATCCCATACGCGCATTTTGCCGTCTTCACTGCCAGATGCTAGGCGGAATCCTGCAGTAGATCCTGCAGTAGACTCCTCCATATCTTCATCCCCATCCGTAGCCTGTCGCTTGGACTTGTTTTTCTTAGCCGACTTGGCCTCGTTGTCGCCTGTAGGGACCTCGAAAAAGCAAAGCGCAGAAATGACACCACCATGACCGTGGAAAGTGTGGGTGACAAAGCCGCCCCTGATATCCCAGACCTTGATTGAGCCATCAGCACCACCCGTGGCAAGCAATGTACCGGTGGGATCGACAGAAATGGTCACGACTGGGGCTGTGTGAGGCTTGAGGGTTCGGAGAAGTTTTGCTTCAATGGTCTGGGAAGTCTCGTCGAAAGTTGAGAGACCGTAGATTCGCATTGACATTGAGCGCGAGCAGACAATGGCGTGTGAGGCATTCGGCGTTACTATGCGAAATGTCAGCATTTGCTCTCCATCGCGAGGGCATACCAAGCTTACTGGCCAGTCCGGTGACTATTTCTCCATCCTGCAGTGTTCATGTGGTTAGCGCTCTGAAATTGAAATTGACGACAGCTCCAATGTGACGGAACATACCCCTTCAAGACTAGCAAGCTGGTTACCAGTCTCCAAATCGACGATCAAGGCATCTTCACCAACGCAGCTCAGCAAGATGCGCCCACTGGCATCCAGCGCCGTGCTGCCGCCAGTGTAAATGGGGCGCAGCGTGCGGGACGCCTCGAACGTGGTTTTGACAATGGCTTTCGACATGACTCTGTAATATCTCGGCGTAAAATAGAGAATTTAGCACGCCATTGCCTCGAAGTACCGTAGAGATTGGACGATCGCAAAAAACGGCAGCTCGAGCGGGCAACTTTTTTTGATGTTTGCATTGTTTGGTTGGTGATAAGATACGGCTGTTGCCTCAGGCCAAAATATACGCTTGACGACTGACTACACGACCGTTTTGCTCTTGTCACACTTGTTCATCGGCGCATGTTTCCTCTGAATCCGCTGATTTAATCCTGATTTATACTGTCAGCGTACTACAAGGCGATGTAGCTTCGCTACTCGCCCAGTGATCTTGCGCGACATGGGCCGACAAGCTTATTTGACCCGGCTCGCTTTGGTAAGCTCCATATTCTCCCTTGCGAACCCTTCCATGTATTTGCAGAGAGGATCGCATGTCTTTGGGCTACTTGAAAATGGAATGTGCTTTACTGCATAAGTACAGAAGCCGACTGGGGCTTAACGTCTTCTCACTTGGTCCCGCTTCGTCGTTTCCTATCTTGATATACAAACATGCCCTAACCGCCTCTCGCCATGCAAATATGATGCCTGTTTGGTTTTATAAGAACTGGAATGATAAGTCATATTAACTGTCTCCAAGGGCCGGTCACCATACGAAGCTCCCGATCATGCGGAGGTTGACCCCTCAAATCCAGTCCGACGGATTTCCAACATTCATGCAGATAATTACATGCAGCAGTATGATATTCGAGGGCATCCAGTAAATCCCGAGTCAAGGAGTCTCGGGAGAGATCTCCGGAGAGCCAAGAACGACATACTTTCAACCATGGGAATCGTCGTCAGCAGAGAAAACCGAAAGCCCACTAGTCCCGTCGAACAGCAAAAGATCGATCAGGTCGAGAATGAAACTGACTTCGGATTGGTCATAACAACTTTCGATCAAGTGTTCGTCTTTCTAGGTAGCTGGTGGACCTCATCACTCACTGGCCGAATACAGGTACATCAATGCAATCCGGTTCACTTTTATCGAGCGCTAACATCTGACATTTGCTGTTCAGACCTACAAGCATTATGCGCATTCTGCCTTACTCGATGTCATAAAATTCGAAAGAGACACTATGGGATTTTTCAGGTTCCATTTCGCAGGTATCCCTGCCTGGGCAATGTCAAGTGGATTGGCTCTAGCTCGTGAAAATCCCCTGAGGCGTGTTTTTATTCCTCTCCGAGACTATGTCCAGTCTTTGACAGGTAACTCACAAGCGGTTCGCCGTATTTTCGGCTTGGTGTACACAGTGTGAGTGCATCCTTCGTCTATTTGAAACGACTCGAAATACTGACTATCAATGAAGGGCGAGACAATTCGTGCTGATGTTGTCTGTCGAGTTTTACATGTATTCTACACTGCAATCGCTTGCCCTTGTGTCTCCTGTTTCCATCCCCGGTATCCACCTTCTGCTTCCTTTTGGTAGGGAATCTTTGCTGCAACTACCGCAGCTTCCCACTGATTTCTCCCCTCACTCACTGGGTACGTGGGCGGTGGGTTTGTTGACCTCACCTGGTGTTTTGGTGTATCTCTATGGATACTACTTGCGGCCAGGGCTTGAAGAGCGAATTTATCGATTGATTAGACGACATCTCCCAAAGCCCGCTCTCCCAGATGAGCTTTCGGTCCGGATTGCCTACGAAGACAATCTGATAGAGTGGGTGGTGCCGACGCTGGGCCGCAGGTCAGACGAAGAATTGCATCGTGCCAAACTCACACTGTTGGAAGATATCAAGTATGAACTGGCAGTTTTCCGGAGGTGGGTGTCGTCAATTTTCGGACTGAGATCGACTATAGTGGCGGACGATCCAGCTCGCCAGCTCACTACAGACGAACGAATTGAAAATCTCCGCAATTCGATTCGGCAGTTACAAAATGAACTTGATGGAGTTCACATCGACCTTGGTGAACAAGCACCGAGTGATCCTGTGGCTCGTCCGCCGGGTGTCACTCCCGAAACTCAGCTGGCGGACGATCAAGCTCCCCGGATCATGACGGTTGAAGAACGAATGCAGCTGCTCCGCCGTTCGACTGAGTGGTTTCCGCCTCCGCCTCCTGATGGACTTCCCACCGACCTTGGTGAACAAGCACCGAGTGATCCTGTGGCTCGGTCGCCCAGTGTCACTCCTGATACCCAGCTTGCCGCCACTGCAGCTCGACCACGACCACGACCACGACCACAGGATTCAGTCGAATCCACCCATTCCCGAGGCAATTCGGTCTTTGGGTTAAACCAAGTGCTTACAAATGAGGATCGCATGTCTGAGTCCCCTGGGGAAATGAGCAATGACTACTTCTCCGGGATCGCGACTGCTGGGCCAACAAGGAACGGAGAGGCCATCTCGAACATGCATGACCCGCAGCACCCAACAGATCACTTGCAAAATGGCGAACCTTTTGCGGTGGATCGACAGCTTTCGCGATCTAATACTTTGTTTTCTCGCTCATCATCACCAGAATCATCGCCTCCTACTTCCCCCCGTGTCAGAGCGTCCTTGATCCACCAGAGCTCCGACGTCATCACGATGCAGCTCGAGTTGCTGGGCAATCGCAATCTCAGCCCGCAACAACAAGCCTCAACCCTTGCCCGGCTCAATGCGCTGACCGGCAATAATGTACCGAACGCAACTCCAGATCCCACGGATAGAGGATCTATTGCCGAGTCCCTCGAGGCATTCTTAATAAGCCAAGCCCAGGCTGAACTTGAGCGGCGGCGGCAGCAGCAGCTACAGCCGACAGCAGGTATCGATACCGATGGCCTCACAAGTACGGCTGCCGGACCATCTACAATGTCCTCCCAAGTGGCAGCGCGATATCCGGCCCAAGCCACTCAAGACACTGGCCTTCCAACATTAGCACCTATCGGGGAGGCACTGCCATCATTAGAATCCATCGAGGAGGCATTGCAGTCCCTTATTCCACCTAACCCCCCAGTCCCGGAGGAATCAAATCATGAGGACCCTCATGATGAACCACTCCCGGTCACAAACGCAAACCAAGATGACCCTGTCGAGTCAGCGCTACCCCCTCTTACCTCTGGAGAAGTGGCGACGCCCTTCCACCGCGTGACCCTTCTTTCGACATACCCAGTGGACTCTCTCGCGTCCCATCTCTCCGCCACAATCACCGGCATTCTACTTGCTCCTCTTGAAGCACTTTATCTCCGTTCATTAACCCGATCTTGGGTCATGTCGCATCCTTCTTGTGTTTCTTCTGCTTCGAACCTTCATCCAGTGGGTCTTTGGTTTGGTGGGAGGTCTTGGTCAGACATGGGCGCCTACTCTTACCGACTTGTTCTCATGAGGGGGATGCAAGTCGCAGTTAGAGTAGGAGTTTGGTGGTTCCTGGTGGGCTCGACAATGAGAATCGGAAGGAAGTTCTGTGGTTGGGGAACCTTGTGATGAGCTGCAACCTATCGCTTTGGGTCTCGTTGATTCATCGCTTGTATTTCTAGCCAACCGCGTGTCTCGTGGAACATTTTGCACTGTTTACTCTAGTGGTCTCGTGGTTTTGACTTACGGCAGGAAATATGAACATAATTTCGTCATTAGTTGATGGTACATTGAATCTACATATAGTCCAGTCCCATATGATGAAGAGACCGAAGTGAATAGCAAGTTTGATGTAGAGCTTATAGCGACTTCGTCCCGAGCTCAGATTGAACCAGCTCTCATGCACGACCCTTTGCCTTCTGCCCTGGTGCCTTGCGACGCTCCCAAACCATGAGGTATCCCTCGCGCGTGAAAAGAGTCTCACTTTCCGCACTCTTGACAAACAGATCCTGGATCTCGAGCCATTCCGGGCCCCGCTCCTGCTTTTCAGAGCCGCCGGTTTGTGTGCGACCATTCTGGGCCGACATTGCTTTGTCGTGGAGTTGGACAAGCCATGAGACCTTCTCGCTACCGCCACCGGCTCCAGAGGAACCGCCAGCTCCCGATGCGGCGTTGACGCCCTTGTCAACAGCATCGTCCATTGCACCAGGTGCGGCAATAGCAGGGTCAAGGATAATGTTTGCGACGAGATCGTAGAGAATTGGCTCGCTGGGTGGGCAGATGTCGGTGTTTGGCTCAACATAGGGGGACATATCCAATGAGTGGGGAGAGGGGAAGGTAACGATGGTTGGGTTTCTCTCGGAGACGAAACGGTTCTTGCTGAAACGCTTGATGTGGAAAAAGAGGTAGGGAGGAAGAGGGTGGAGGAGACGGTGGCGAACACGGTGGGCCAGCTTTTCTGACGCTGTGTAACCGTTATATTTGCTCAGCAGGGTGGTCAAGGGAACCTGTGGGATGATCGATTCCCGGTTGGCAGATTGGAAGAGGGGTGTAGGGGGTAGGTCCAGAGTTAGGATGAGGAAAGGAGTGATCTGGCTATTGATCGTGCCAGATTCAGTGAATACCAAACGGGCATTTTGAGTGTCGGAGTGAGCTGTGATAGCTTGACTTTCAATTCGTACACGGCCTTGAAACGCTGCGTGCACGACACTCGTGGGTGTTAGTGAGGGCTTCTTTGACCCCCCCAAGGCGAGATGCAGGGTGTTCAGGAACCAAGACAGGAACTCCACGGGATCTGCCTGTTTTGTGAGCGTGAAACGCTTCGAGGATCGGATAGCAATCTCCTGGAGCAACTCATGCGGTGAGACATGTGATCGAAACGCCTTCGGGTTCCATAGCTTGCGGACTAAAGTGCTGAAACGGAGAACTATTTCAGGTGTGCCAGGAGTGGGGAACTCGTGAAGGAGGAAGAAATTGCGGATTGGGAAAACGTGTGCCAATAGTTGAGCTACCACGTTAACATAGTCGTTGGCCTTGATGTTGTTCATGCCAACGAATCCTGCAGATCAAATATGTTAGCCTCAAAAGCCATGGTCTCATCATGTCGCGGGCTCTTACCAGGTCTATACTTGGACCCAGAAAGGTCCCAAGCATCGTGCACTTCCTTATCGAGCTTGATCACCTCGCTTTTCGTGTAGTGTGGGTCAACCACATACTTGATGTCGTCCAAACTCTTATTCTTGACTTCATACCCCTCGGGCAAAACATAGACCTTTTTGGTGCCAATGTTGATATAAACGTGGTGTCCGACTTCAAGCGCGTGATAATATGCATGCGATTTGGGACCACGGCCCTGGAAGTATTTGCCACAGACGAGACATGCGTACACATTGATGTTGGAAAGACTGATAGAACACAGCTTTTCGAAATCGAAATCCAAGATCTCGCGATTGATTGTGTCGAGGTACAGGTCGCCGTAGCCTTCCATAGGAGCGCTTTGCCGCTTTGGGGCGCTGAGCGCTGGCGCATCTTCGTCGATATCTGAGAGCCCAGAAGGATCCTGCTCACCCTCTTCAAGTTCCTCCGCTTCTATTTCGTTTGCTCCTCGGATGTCGACTCCATTGCGATCGTTCTGCTTCAGCTCTGTGCCGCTCGTTCGGTCTCCGAGGACCGCGCCAGGGTGGGAATCATGCTGGTTTTCGTCCTCGACTCTAGCCTTTTTCGAGGCAGGAGAGCCGGAGAAATCTTGCTCCAAGGGAAGCTCTGCGTGTCTCTTTGACATTTTGAGATGGGGTTGCGATAGAGACAAAAGTTGGAGATCGCGGCAGTTCTTGGCCTTCCGAGAGCTTAGGGATGCGATGCCGGTTGCAAACAAGTCAAACATTCGCCAGGAGCCCAACACGGTGTACTACAACAACGCGATGGATTCATTTACAGTCTATCTCAAGCAATGTCTTGAATTTGTCGATTATGTATTTGAGACCAATTAAAGATCTACTCGTTACTTGACTCGTTACAGCCTGAATCATGTTGACTGTTCAACTACCTCGGAATCAAAGAAAACGTCATAAGATGTGATGCAAACGCCGTCTGTGGACCTTCAAGCACTCCGAACTACTTTATCGTTATCAACCGCAATTTCTTGCACGCCATCCTTCGTCACGACCTTCACGAGAACCTATAGAATATTGAGTCAGAATGACAGTCTTTTGAGAATGGCTTCTAGACAACTTACCCCCTTGTAGTCAATTGGTAGCCTGCGCTTCAGCTCATCTGTACACAGGGTCAGGAGCTTGAGGCCCTCCTCGAGTGAGATGTCGGGATGGTGATGTTTGTCAAGGATTGAGAGGCAGTAGTATCTAGCAGAGTCAGCATCACGGTCTTAGACAGTCATCTGGACCTTCGTATCATCCGTTATCAAAGTGCCACGGGACATACTGAGCATAGCCATGAGCCGCATATGGTAGGGGCGCCAGTGACGCTAGGTAATCAATCCAGTACAAGTGAGGCTTCTCAGTGACCGGATCTAATCCACCAAGCAACAGGTTTACTGTGTAGGGACTCCGTGACCGCAGGCTGCGCGCCAATTCTCCTCGAACGAAGTTGGCAACGGCAGAAGGGCTTAGCTCGGTATCGTTGCGCATACTGTAGAGGGCAGCGTTGGCTTGGATGTATTCGGCAAATTGGACTAATGAAACCATATCATTAGCAACTTATTTAGCTCATCGGAAGGAGCTACATACCGGTATCTCCAGATTCGCCGGAGAAAGCCATCAATGTGTGCTTGTTCAGCTGTCGTGTCTTATCATCTTCGGCCTTCAGGACTGTCGGGCCTCTCATTGCGGCCTTAGATGCGGCAAGAATGACGAAGTCCTTGCCGGCGATACCCAAAAGAACCTCCCTAGCGCGCTGTCAGTGAACAATTCTGAATATAGGAAAGCAATGATCGTACATGTTTGCGATATAAAAGGTGAATATGAAAGAACAAGCAAGTAGATGATTGGAAAATACGGAGGGGAGTAGTGGTCGAGTGAGGATGGCGGATGGCCGCGCGGTGAGCTTGACGCCTGGAGCTTCGGTCAGCTCCAACCCGCTGAGTCAGCCGCCGCTTAGCGCTTTTTTTTCTGCCGAAAAAAGTTGAAGTTTTGATCTCCGCAGTCCAAGGCTTTCGAGAACGCCAATCTTTCGATATTTTCTACGGAGATCAAGAAGCGACGGGCCTCACAATACGCTGCCATGTCGTCTTTTTTCACTGTACCCAACTCCCAGCGCAAGCGGAAGAGAGACGACCGCGCCGCAGCCCCAGGAGCAAAAAAGCGAGGCGTAGATGCCAAACCCGACGGTGGTCGACGCACCAGGGAGAGAGAAGAATCCATTTCAGGCAGTGACCTAGACGATGACGCCGCGATTGACACCGCAGAATCGGGCGACGAGAGTGGTTCGGACTCAGATGACGGCGAAACCGCAGCGGATCGACGGTTGAAACTCGCTGAACGCTACCTGAGTAACATTCAAGAAGAAGTCGACGAAGCTGGATTCGATGCAGCAGACATTGATCGAGACTTGATTGCGGAGCGATTGAAGAAGGATGTGGATGAATTTAAGGGACGGACGTTCCGTCAAATCGCTTCGAAATTATCAGTTCTCTCGGCACCCCATTCGTTTTTCCGTTCAGATACCCAGTCAACCACTGCCATCGCAGTCCACCCGCCATACGTTTACACCGTTTCCAAGGATAAAGTCTTGACCAAGTGGGAATTGGCTGAACCCAGTGTACCAGCTTCCACCGAAGTGAATGGCGATAATGATACTTCCACGCGGCCCCCGCGTCCCCAGCGCAAGAAGCCCAAGCGTGTAAAGTATGCTCGGGGTATGCGCAAGGTTGGTGAATCGGACGAGGATCAAGGGCACACAAAGAACATCCTATCCATTGCTGTTTCGCCTTCTGGAAAATTCGTGGCCACCGGTGGAGAGGACAACAAGCTCATTATTTGGGATGCAGAGACTTTGACGCCCATGAAGACCTTCTTGCACCATAGGGACTCGGTCTGCAGTTTGTCTTTCGCACGCCATATCTCAACAATGAGTTCCGGAGAGCAGTTGTTCTCCGGCTCATACGATCGTACAATTAAGACATGGTCCATCAGTGGAGCGGGCCACGCCTACGTCGAAACACTCTTCGGTCATCAGGATCATGTCACTGGAGTGGCTGCCATGACCATCGACGAATGTGTCAGTGTTGGTGCGCGTGATCGCACCGCTCGTTTGTGGAAGGTCGTCGACGAAACACAGCTCGTGTTCCGCGGCGGTGCCTCAAGGAATGCCCCTTACCACGAAAGCAACATCGACTGTATTGCTCCGCTTCCGCCCACCCACTTTGTCACCGGTTCAGACTCTGGCTCCCTCTGCCTTTGGTCCGTTCACAAGAAGAAGCCCCTCTACACAGTCCGTTTGGCTCATGGCGTGGACCCAATTCCCCCACTGAATGTGCTATCCCCTGAGACAGACGAGGCGACTGCCGCCCACAACACACGGCACATGCGCCCCATGCCGCGCTGGATTACCGCACTCGCTACTCTACCGGGTACCGACGTTGTCCTCAGTGGCAGCTGGGACGGATATATCCGCGCATGGCGCGTATCAGAAGATAAGAAGACACTGGTTCCTCTCGGCCCCATTGGTGCAGGCTCTCTTAGCACCTCAGCACCAGACACTCCCTCGAAACAACTCAACCAGACCCTTGTCCCTGATTCTACCCCTGAGTCAGAACAGAAAGACCCAGAACCCTTGATTAAGGGAGTCATCAACGATATTGCGGTCTTTGAACGACGCCCTGACTCTGATATCCCAGGTGGTGAAGGAAAATCCAAGGCTGAGACCGCAAACGAACCTCGTGGTCTCTCCATTGTCGCTGCTGTCGGCAAGGAGCACCGATTGGCTCGTTGGAAATGCTTTAACAACAACTTCTATGAGGGTACCACTCCGGGAGGCCGCAATGGCGCTGTCGTCTTTGAGGTTCCGTTTGTTAATGACGCGAGGGCTGATGTATAAACTTTCATAATTCATCTTCTGTCTCGATCTTGGTCATCGGTCGAGAATAAAATGGGGAGCGCTGCTCGGGATCTGGTGTATTTGGAGTCAGAGTCGTGTATTTCTACCTTTTTCTTGCATATAATGCCTGGCACTACCTAGAAACATTTCCCTTTCCGTTTTGATGCTCATCTCTTGCCGCTTTTCGATCACTGAGTAAAACCGCCCTGGGTACGCGGACTTGGACACTGAACACTGTACATAATAGATATGCTCTGCCCAATGCAACACGCTACCTAGCCCTATCATCAGCGGGTCAATCAGACGGGAAAGTAACAGGCTTAGCCATTAAGTCCACCATCATCTACCTACGGTTAGCAATCTAGACTGTTTCGCCATCCCGATATCAGCCCCATTGGCTCAATGGCCCTGAGCATGATTCAACAGCTTCCTAGAGATTAGGCAACCGGCTACTACTAGCGGTGCTGCCAAAAGGTGCCCCCGCCGGCTCCTAAGTTTCCCAGCTCTACATCGACATATGGGAGAAACCCTTTCCACTAACATTTTATGTGCACTAACATACTCCTACATGGATACATTGGCCAGAACATGTAGAACTCAGTATACGATCGATCTCTCACTGTACCACCAACCCCATACATTCAGCTCCCATACGGGGCCATACGGTGCCCATACCTGGTAGTAGCTACCGACCTACTATGTGATGGAGGCTACGGCTACGATGATGGAAGGTGATGAGGATGATCAACTGATGCCGAATTTCCGATGGAGTGATGATAATTGATAACTATTAACTGATGACTATCTAGGAGAAAAAGGGAGAAGAGAGAAGGAGAAGAAGAAGAAGCAATCATGGAGGTGCAAGCATGGTCACATGACCACTGCGTCCATCACTATGTCAGAATTGAGAGAGATGGCCATGTAGTACCTTCCATCTGTCATCGTCCCTGAGTAGGTAGTTCCTTCCCTGAGTAGTTCCTTTCTCGAATAGTTCCTTCCTCGCATAGTTCCTTTCCCGAATATACCGTGGTTACTTATTGCCTCTGTCTATCCTTGTTACCTCTCATCTCTCTCTCTTTCATCATTATTGCTTCTCCTCCGTGGCCCCAAGATACCCTTCGACACATCTCTTCACCCGTTTTCTCTCACTGAGTCACTTGAATCGCTCGAGCTATGAATCCAGTCCAGGAAGATAGACCGTTCCGTCTCCTCGATGCAGCTGCCAAGGCAACAACAGTTGCTCTCACTCGCGCCAACATTCGCCATGGGTTCATTGGCGGATATGCAACGTCTCTTATTGGCGGATCGAGAATGACTGAGGTTTGGTTTCCCTGTATCGTCTTAGCATGATTTATGAAGCTGATCTGACTCAGGACATTGATGTCATCGTGGATTCGGATGCAAGCGACGCCCGCAGCGTGCTTCTCCGGGCCGACGCCCGCTTCACAATGACCCCCAGCAGCAGACTTGTGTTTTCGGGAGGGGGTGATGGGCCCATCGCAGTTGAGCTTTTTCGTGGAGGAAAAGACAAACAGATGAAGTTGCCTGACGCAAATGCAGTTTCTCTTCTTTTCGTCACTGCCAATGACCTGCCGGGGCGTGTTGAGGAGATCCCAAGTAAGTACCTGTTCATCCTACTAGATCCACTTTTTGCGGTCACTCATCGTGCGCAAGTCCCCATCATTGCACCCTCGGTCCTCGTCTTCACCAAGCTCAAGAGATGGGCATTTATCGCCGACTCCACCCGTCCCGCAAGTATCAGAAAAGCAGGCGCGGACATCAAAGATATTCATGTAATCCTGACCTGGCTGCGTAACAATGACGGTCTACTCGATTTCGAGGGTTATCCGGAGAAGCCCAGGCATGAGTTAATCGCCTTGGTTCGCAAGCTCTACCAGATGCACACAACAACTCGCCCTTTGCTTGCGGTCACCTTGAGCGCAGATGACTTGACGCTCATCAGCAATTAGAAAGCCGGGTTGACGAGTCACCACTACTGCCCTGCTGCCTTGACCCCTCGAGCATCATAGGCATTCGCGTGAATCCAATTCTTCTCGTTTCTGCTTCCTCCCAACCTTCTCCCCGGATGCTGAGATATTTCATCGAATACTAGGGAGTTTGATGGAAAGTTAATGCAATGGATTTAGCTGTAGCCGCGACGAATCCAAAACCTGCCCCCATTGACATATTATTTTATTGATATCCTTCCAGCGTGTGCCCGGGTCCTCCCAGCCGGTCAATAGATCGACAGTCTCGGAGAACAGATTCAGAAATGCGCAGGTAGGCCTTTCCATCGGCGCCCCAATCCCAAGTTCCCATTTTCTTCAATGCTTCTCCGACTCTGTTTTGGTAATCTTCTTCGCTCTCATCGTCGTCGCATTCCCCATGCTTCGTACTCAGTGGCTTTTGGCGTAGAATGTAAAAGCATATAAAAGACAGCAAATCATCTTTTACTCGAAGTCTGAAAGTATCGTCAGGCAGGTGATTGAGGAGATGACGAAGCAACGACACCATATATTTGTTAGGTTTAGGCGTCAAGATCTTCAACGAGCGGTCAAAGGTGGATGTGACTTCGCAGGTGTCCTGAAGCTCAAGGCCGACAAAAGACAGCGGGTAAAGATAAACGGGACAGTCCTTGCCCAGCCTGTGGATAATGCAAGCTCGGTCCCATTCTCCGTAGTCCACAGCAGTTCCTGTGGACGGGGGCACACGAGGGAATCCTAGGTTTGATAAAATTTCCGACGCAAGCGAGAGTAGTCCATCGGGGACTGCCCACTCCACACGCTAGAATTCAACACGTTAAGAAGACGAGTTGACTAGTCAATGCTATAAAGACTGTTCAATGCTTACTAGAAGGACCACGGGGTCTCCGTAACGCCACTGTATCTGCTCCCCATACTCCACGACGGGAATATTCTGCTCCGCCAGAGCTTTCACGGCTACGCTGATAATGGGCGCATGATGCTGTGTCCACAATGTCTCCTCCTCCGGTGGCGATGTCTCTTCTTTGCTTAGTGAGGTTGCTTCCTGGTGAGGTAGTGATATCTCGTCCTGCGGTAGTGATATCTCCTGCGGCGGTAATGATTTCTCGCCCCGTGGCAGCGGTGATGTATCCTCCTGCGCCGTTGGAGTCTTCTTCTGGGGCGGCGATGTCTCTTTCTGGGGTGGTGATATCAATTCCTGTAGTGGTGATCCCATCTTTCAACCACCGAAAATAAACTCGAAACGGGAAGAATCTCGGAAAGTTCGGTAGTCTGTTGAATGTAGTTATCACGAAGAATGCCGATCTTACCTCAATTGGGTTGGTCTTCTGACTTTATCAAGGATTCTGCCAGATTTTTGACCCGCTAAAGCTAATCGGATTGCTTCCTCTAGAGGCAGCAGGCGGTGTATGCAAATCCACCGCTTTTTTCCGGGGAGGGCTGATGGAACTGAGGTATCCAGATCGTAGTTCGAGCTAACTATTTGTCTAAAACTGTGCTTTCAGCTTCCAAAACACCATGAGTGAGCCTGGGCCTCAGCCTTATAGAAGCGGCGGCAGAGTAGATGGGAAAGCCCCACACGCCAGGGAAATTCCGGCACATACCTAAAAGCAATCCGCTAGACTCATCTTCATCGCACATACGCAGTACTTGGCACTTGCCATGGAAGAAATATAGATGTGGCAGAGCCTGGTGGTGTGTTCTATAGGTTGTCTGGGGTGGATTTGACAGCCACGTTAATTTTATGATTCTAAATCGCAGCCTTGGAAGTAACAACCCAAGGCCGGTAACTGAATCCGAGTAAAGATAAGTAGGGGTATTCGCGAGCTATTTGAAGGAAAAGAGGATAGAAGGCAACAAACGGAAACATGAACATATAGAATCCAGCCGTAACCCTTTGAAGCAACGGACAAGAAAACAAACCCATGAAGACGGAAATGCCCGTAACACCAAGCATGCCCTCTTAGTTTCACCCAAGCGCCACGCTGAAATCAAAAACAGAACATTAAACAGATCGATAGACGGCCAAGCAAGTATCGCCGCGGTGGATGGCAAATTCGTTTTAATATGGTGAGAATCTGGCACGCCGCCTTTGCGTGGCTCTTCGCATCGGTCCGACTGGCTGATCTTCGTCGGAATCATCGAGAGTTATCGCATTGCGAGGATTGTTGCCGTGCTGCGTGGGCCGGCGCCCAATGATTCTGCCAGTTCTGATAGGCGGCGAAGACGCCGATGCTTCAGATGGCTCGACGAGGTCATCAGAGTCCGGTATCAGTGTAGAAGGCCTCGCTGAAAGCCAGGTAGCTTCGCTGGGCGCTTGCAACCAAGGAGGCCGCTGTGAATGTTGGGGAAAGGCTCGACGAGGCGGTGCAGTTTGAATTGTGTCTTCCTGTTCATCTGAAGCCTCCTCGTCCTCTTCCCCGTCGCTTGTTTCACCTGACACATCTTCGTCTTCCTGCTCGTCGTCGGATCCCCCGTTGTCAGATGCCTCGTCGAGAAAGTACCCTGAATTGGTTCTATAGTCGAGACCAATGGGCCTGGGAGGAACATCACTGTGATCGTCATCCACGACAGTCCCGGTGTCACGTTCTGATTCCGAGGCGCTTCCGATATAATGGCCTTCAGTGTGGACGAAAGAACTTGTGGGTACATGATCATCTTCAGCATCAATGAATGAGTCTGACTCGTCATATTCGTTTTCCTCTTCGTCTTCTTCGTCATATTCACTCCCATTGGTGTTACCCGAAGGGGGAAAGCCGCCTGGAACGAGGGAAAGGTTCAGGTTATTGGATCCACCGAGCAATCTTCCGAGCTCGCTGAAAATATTCCGCTCGCCGTAAATATCCAGGCCTGGATCAATATATCGCCCAGCATAACCATGGCTGTCATCTTCGTCATAGTCATCTTCGTCATAGCCATCTTCTCCATAATCATCTTCTCCATAGCCATCTTCTCTATAACTACCCTCCAGAATGTCTTCGACAGGCGTGCCCTCCATACCATCAAGTGAGTCCAGGTCGGAATCGCTGTAGTCGGCTGAATCATCTGTTCCTTCGGAATGCGGCCGATATCGATAACCACACCCTGCACAGTTTACTCCATCTTCGAGCTCCCATGTGCAATGCGGACATCGAGCCACACCATCATCGATATCAATCACCGGTTGGAGTGGAGGAGGTTTGGGCTTGAACAGTCCACCGAACAGACCTCCTTCCGTTGGATGATTGTTCGTCCTGTCTCTCTCCAGTCTTTCCGCTTCCTCTATTTGATGCTTCTTGTGCTCGGTGGTCGTTTCGCCTTTGTCCAGCAGTTCTGCTCGACCTGTGAATATTTGTACAACTGCGCGAACCTGTACAACAAGATAAAAGTTAACCAGAGAAGACAGGTTAGAGCTTGTCAAAAACTTACCAGATAGGCTGGTGTCGGTTGTACCTTAACAGGCGCGCGGCAGTCTGGGCAGGTCCGCTTTGATCTTCCTCCGGCAAACCATGACGACAGACACTGCGGAGGATTCCGGTCAGCGCATGCGCGGTGAACAAGAAATCATGAAAGGACTCACAGAATAGCAGAATGTGTGCCCGCAAGCCATAGTATACGGTTCGTAGAGGGGCCGAATGCAAATTCCACACTGTATCAAAGTGCGAATGTCATCAACGTGGCTCTGGAGGGTGTTGACAAGCTAGACATTACGCGTCAGTTGTGGTTTCTCAGTCATGTCGCGGGTTGTGACTTACTCCGGAAGCCTCATCCCTGGAAGAACTTGGAGATGACATTTTGATGTTTTGGGACTGATAAGACTCAATTTTTCCACACTCAGCGTGTGGCACATCAAACGGAGTGTGTTTGCGGCGTCTTGAGGCGAGGGCGCGAGTGCCAACAGGATGCGGTGGGGTCCCGGCGGATAAGAAAAGTTTCGTGAGGTGGCAAGGTGTCGTCAACAAGCTTTGGCAGAGCCAATGCCGGTGAGGAAGAGCAAACAGTGCGGACAGCCAGGACAGCCTGAGTCCGAAAGAGTGTCAAAGGTAGGTGTAGAGGAGAGAAACATGACCCAAATTCTTCGACTGAGGGCAGATGTTGTTCCGGCCTCAGGCATCAGGATATCACATGTTCAAGGGACATCGTCGCATCGACAACAACAATGAAACTGACGAGTCACTTCTGGCTTCTTGATGACTATTCTTCTGCATGCGGTTGGGCTTATTGATCGACTGTGTAGTGTTTATTTGTTACTGCGATTGCTGAATTCATTAAAGAAGATCGTGAGATTCGTGACGGTGTGGGTATTTGAACAAAGGTCTTTGATGGCCACCAAGCTGCCCCTGTCTTTCGACTCATTGTACCCTACATAGACTACAGTTCTTACTGCTAAGGCTCTCTCGGGCGTTGAGAGTCATAGATCAGCCTACAAGGCTATAGGTTACAGCAGCGCTATTCCTTCTACTCTTCTCGGGCACTCTTCTGATCTGCTATACTTCGTAACGTCGGAGTGTCTGTGTCGACTGAATTGGAAAATGATTTGTCAAAGCAATCGGTTGAAGGACAAATTTATCGAGTACGACGTTAGCACAAGGTGGAACTCAACATATCGCATGATTAGCGACGTGGTGGATTAACACCCAGTCCGACCTTCCGCCCTTAGTCTCGATGAGTAGGTACCTATGGGTACAACTGTACAATATATAGCTCAGCCAAACCTAGCGGGAGTCGTAGGTATGATAATGTAAGGTACCTATTCTGCCCAGGTGTTTGGACCTACGCCCTTGACAAGCCAGGGGTAAGAAGATAATTGATCTATTTATCTATTCTAGACAGCACCTAACGAATCGAATCAGTTAACCTGTACTAGAGAGTCACAGCCCTATGTGGAATTAGTGGAAGTTGGCCGATCTCCACGCCAAGACTGCGGATCCCCAATTCTCCCTGCCTGCAACGCTAACCTCTGCTCCAATCAACCTCCAGCTGACCTCCAATACAAACCATCACCGCTTGGACCAACCTGCTGTAGTTCCTCTCATCAAGGTACCTGTCTTAGCAATCTTGGGACAAAGGAGATACACCCACACCCACACACGAAGTCACCAGTTATGGCGGCCGAGTCAACGCAAGATGACAGCCACGCCAAGGCGTGGGAGAAAGCGGAGAAAAAGTTCACACAGTATGTCCCATGTCTCTTCATTTGCCTGAGTTAGGAGTGCTTGCTTTATGGTCTTGCCAAACATGAGATGGCATCTCCAAAGCTATCCGTCGTCAAGGATGCGGTTCATGGGATGCTCGTTACAGGAGCACTCTATGGCATCTTTACAGGAAGACACACATAGCAACACTCGTTCAGCAGATATTCCACTATTTATAGAGCAATGCATGCGCTGCCTGCTATACTGATAGCTGACTCCAGGGTTTAGTAAACATGCTAGCGAATACTACGATCCATGCCAAGACTTCGCTGATCGGAGTCTTAAATGTATGAAGCGGAATGCCTATGACCGTGAATTGTGCCACGATTACTTCCAGTATGTTCCAGACATTCCCGCCAGCTTTGATCATTATCATGACTCGTCCTCGTTGGGTTTCTGATCTTTGGCACCTACTGGCCAGCTCATACACTACGTTATGATTCATCGCAGGCCATGGCATACTAACTGACTATTTTCCCTATCCAGAGCTTATCGTGATTGCAAAAAGAACTGGGTAAGAGCCTCTCTGAATATTTCAAACCTCCTGCCTTGGAGGTGCCTTGTATACCATCTGCAAATCTTGTTACCACATCGCGATATGTTCGGTCGCTAACAACAGCCACAGCTCACCCAGAAAAAAGCCTCTTTGACTCCTCAATCCAAATGATGACTTGATTGACTTCCTGTCACTCTGGACCATGCTTATCGACGACATCGACAGCCGATGTGGCTGGCCCAAATCCCCGATTGTTATCTTGTACGGAGTACAAGTGTAATCTCTCACTTGAATTGATGCTTAAAATGGGCGATGTGACTGCTTCTGGAACTCAGACCAGAGCATGTATAGCTAGAACAGAATGTGTACTTCTAAATTGTGTCTCAGTCCTCTTGTTGGCAACCTACATCCATTTCATTACCCTCTCTGCCCTCCACGTGACACACATCACCGAGCTGCCGCATCCTCAACGCTCATTTATCGCCGGCAGTATGTTGCGGAGACGGACTGACCGCCCGTCTTTGATGTCGTTCCCCGCCAAATAATAAAAAAGGCTAGAGCTGATCACTCTACTTTATCTCGGATCCTCGTATCTGCTCAGTGCATGCTGTGCTTTGCGCAGCGACTACAAATTTATCCGAAGAACATATATCGAGTCGCCTCATTGTCCATTGGGCAAGATCACCAAAATGAGTTCCAACAATGATGCAGTGTTTCTGCGCCGCAATAACCAAATCCAAGATGCCATTGATTCGCAGAACATGAAGCAGGCCTTGCAACTGATCGAGAAGCGCATGAAAAAAGGCGAAAACACTCAATTCCTGAAGGCGAGTACATGACTTAGCCCCATTTGTCTCAAAATTAGTACAGCCGTAATGCTATTGAAAACCAACTAACATGTTCACGAATAGGCCTGGAAAGCAAACATACTTTTTAGTCATACGGACGAAGTTCACAAAAAGCGTGGCATTACAGAAACCCTCGAGCTGTGCAACACGGAGCCAGCCATAGCCGATATCGATACTCTCGATATACTCTATCGAACACTGCTGAAGTTGGATGATCATACCGAGCTGCGAAGTACCATATGGGAAAGAGCAGCGAAAGCAAAGCCACAGGATCGTTCGCTTCAGATGAGGTGGTTCACGTTTGGATATAAGGCTATGGACTGGAAGTCAGCGCAGAAGGTGAGTTGGGAAGGAACCTGTGCAGCGCTGGCATTGTATACAAGCATCAGATTGCTAACGAGTGGCTTCGATCCTCTCACAACAGGCTGCCATGTGTCTCCAAAAGAATTTCCCTCGGGAGCGAAAGTATTACTTCTGGGCCATCTTCCTTTGCCATCGCATTGCAAGTGACCCGTCTAGCTCGGAAATGGACCGCAAGCTTTTTGGGACACTTGCCTATCGCATGATCTCGAAGGCAGTCACCGATGTTCCTTCTAACCCGGTATGTGATCCTCCAAGTTGTAGCTTTGCATGCGGGCTTGGATCTGAGATTGGAATATGAATGACTGACTGGACATCATTGCGATGGTGCACAACAGACCGAGCTGTTAAGCCCCCCGAGAGCCGTACAAACCGCCGAGGAACTGCTCTTGCTCGTTCGCATTTTCGAATCAGAGGGTCGTAGCACCGAGATTTTGCAGATTCTGGATAGCGAAAATGCGGGTCTTAGCTCTCGCATCGTCAATAACGACCGGACCTTCATGTCGATAAAAGTCTCTTGCTTGAAGGCTGCCGGCCTCTGGGAGGATGGGCATTCATACGCCAAAAGCCTGCTTGCCGTGCCGGAAGACGAAGAAGAGCGCAAGACTCTGCATGAGCGTGACCATTGGAAATACTGGGACTTGCTCACTGCAGCCGCGCGTCAACTTGATAGAACCCCGACGTATGTGTTCGAATAAGTCATGCCTACGTCCAGACAACTAATCACATCTCGCTTGCTCCGTAGGCTGCTTTCCGAGACACAACAACATATCGAGAAATTTATCGACTTCATCCCCAAGTCTCGCAATGCGCATCTCGCTCTCATGGACACCATTCTGATCGGCTTGGAACGCGGCGAGCGGACAGAAGATGATTTGGTTGCTACGTGTCAAAGATACTTTGACCAACACAAGAACAAACTTTACACTTTCAACGACTTACGAGGGATTTTGCAGACCCGCGAGGATAGCTTGGTGCAACGTGTAGTTCAATACTGCATAAATAGCATTGACGGAACATCCGTAAGTGCAAAGCCCACTAACTCCTCAGAACGTGAGGCTTATCAACTTGCAGGACGATGCCATTCCATTGATCAATGTTTACAAGCTGCAGTACTGCAGCCAGATTTCGGGCAACAGCAAAGCATCGAAAAGCAGCATCGAAACTCTTGTCCGCAACTGCCTCCAATCTTACAACACATTCAACCTTTCAGCGAAAGCCCAAAACACCAAGAAAAATGGCCCACCGGATACTGCTTCCGCGATGGAATGTCGGCCTATAGACGACTTTTGCCTCATTGCCGCCATGGCGCTTGTCAGGCCCAGCCAAGCTGGTGAGGTGTCTGGGACCGTGAGCAACACTGCTCTCATTCGTGCCGCCGGGGTTCTGGAGTGCCTCTTGATTGATTCACCACATAATTACGAGGCCGTTCTTTTCTTAATCCGCATCTACCTCCTGCTCGGTGCTGCTTCTCTTGCCTTGAGGTTATTCGGCAAACTGTCTGTCAAACAAGTACAGTATGAATCTGTTGCCCATAACCTGTTCACCCGCTTTGCCACCATCCACCCTCTTTCCGCACCTCCTATCGAAGGCGCAGAATACAAGGACTTTGATCCGCTAGCCTTGTTTGTCGCTGCTCTTGACTTCTATCGTTCCGCGAACTTCACCATCAAGAACAGTTTGATGAAGGGGCTCGACGATGGGACTTATGTCAATTTAGATGACTCGATTGAACTTCAAAAGCGTCTGAACAACAGCGTCTGCCGGAGGATGTGGGCTCTTGACTGCCGGCGTATGCAAAGGATCCGCAATGGAAACCACTTGGTTCTGAATGAGAATATTGGTCAGTGGTTATCATGGTCTGAAACCCCCTTTCGTACTTGAGTACTAACTCTGCTGAAGCCCAAGATACCTCACCGGCGGAAGACCAGCGGAAATATGCTGGATTTATGAACCTGGAACGCAATGACCAACCTACATTCGAGCAGCGATTGCGCGTGGGACCTATCCCTGGGGTACGTATTTGTTCCTGAGTGACTTCCGACACCGACTAATGTTAGTGCAGGAAAACTGGTTGGCATCTGCCCGGCTAACTGACCGACTTTTCTGTGTTCTTGATAGCATCGGCAATCAGAAGCCAGTCACTCTAGGTCTAGAGCTGCCCAACCTTGGCGATCTATCACTCTCCCAGAAAGACACGGATCAGACTGATGCCGAGAAGGATGTGGCCCGAATTCACTTGCAACTGTTCAAGGTGGCTTCGTTCATGGCGGGATCCAAGGCATATACCTCTGCTCAAATTGAGGCTGCCCTTGGTGAGGTGGAAGGTTGGTTGCAGACCAAGAAACATGAACTAGCCCTAAAAGATACCAACAAGTCTTCTGTGCTTGCGAAGACGGCCATTGAAATTACTCAAGATACCCCAGGAGCACCAACGTGGGAGTTTTTCCACTTTGTTTGGACCCTCGTGGAAACTCTCAGGGCTTTATGGAAAATCTCTGATCTGAATTCACGAAAGGCTGTGAAAGCTACCAAGCTCCCTGCTGAAGGAATGGAGCGAATTCATACTCTGATCTGTGAGGTTTTCGAGGGTGTTCGTTCAAACACACGAGTCTTGAAGAAGGGCCTTACCGAATCAGCCACTCTTAGTACACTAATCGACATGGTGCACCATGGAGATTCGGCAGATGAGTACGAAAAGTCACTTCAAGAGGTGTTGGAAACGGTGATGGACGAGTCTGCGCTCGAAGTGTTCTGCGGAGAGCTGAGGGAGAGCTGGGAGGAGGCACTTGATGGGGTACTGTCTGCTAGGCTTTGATGCTGATCATTGAGAAGTGCAGGAGAGTCTTCATGTGTCCATGAAACCATGTTTACAATATAGAATATATGATAACTATTTCCATACAAATTGGTGAATTGCCGGCCCAAGTCAGATGTAGGTTGTAGACTTGTAGTCCACGGAGCAACAGCTCGATCTATGAGGGTAAACACACGTCACGTGAAGGAGCCAAGATACTTTTGTGTTTATGCCTGAGGTGTCAACTAAATGCACGCTAGTCCCGATCCACCCAGCCCTAGCCCTAGTCACTCGCCTACCGCACCAACGCCAAGGCCCCATTTTTGCGGTTCCAGGCAAAAGACCAGGCGATTTTCACACGGCTCCCTCACCTCCTCTTCGACAACCTCCGCCAACCCCTTCAGTCAACAACCGTCGAGATGGCTGCCGAACGCTCCGGAATTGTGGTCGGTCTTAACGCGGGCCGGGTACGTTTATCACTCTCTTTTACCTGATCTCGTTCGACCGTTGAAGGTCTCCAATGTCTCTTCTTTCCGCTCGGTCTGTCAGTCTACGGGTCAGGGTTTATCGCGGGCTATCACTGCAATACTGGAAATATTACGACATGGAGGATCGCGATTGTCACTTGGGAAAATGAACTTGTTGGGGAATTTTCGATGTGACGGAGAGATTTCTTGGAATTCGACTTTTTGGCATCGAAACCACCATTCACATTGCACACACTACGGATTCGATCACCCTTGGACCAAACCGACAGACAGACAGCACGCGCGAACAGAAGAGATACTGGAACCTACGGCCGATACGTTATGACTCGGCGAAATAGACATACTGACTGGGCTTCGATATAGAAAACCACCGCCCTGAACACCCCCAAGACCCGCATCTCCCGCACCAAGGGCAAGTCTTCCCGCCGCACCGCTTTCGTCCGCGAAATCGCCCAGGAGGTCGTTGGTCTCGCTCCCTACGAGCGCCGCATCATTGAGTTGCTGCGCAACGCCCAGGACAAGCGTGCCCGCAAGCTCGCTAAGAAGCGCGTACGTCTATACTCGTCTTTTTTCCCCGTCTTCGTTTGGTCTAGCTCTGCTCCGTGGATTGTTTTCGACTTGGAGGATAAGGTTGAGGTCTCTATATGGCAAGATGGTATTGCATGGGCACGCAACTCAGCTCCGCAAAGGAGCTTGATTTATGTTGTCATTTGACAAGCCCATGCTATAACTTCTTTGCTTCAGAGACCGGGATCTACACTCGAAACTCAAAACATCCTCGAGATCAGAGCTTGGCTGGGCGATTCACTTGCATCTACAATTTTACTAACTTGAGTTTTAGCTCGGTACTTTCGGCCGCGGCAAGGCCAAGGTTGAGTCCATGCAGAAGGTCATCGCTGAGTCTCGCCGCACCCAGGCTCACTAAATTTCCCGACCCGTTCCTGTTTTTATTTCGTTTTAACGACTCGACGCAAAACAAAAGCGTGATTCTCAGATCGGAAAGGGGGGGTTATGTGACTGGGTGTGCATGGAGGGGAAGGCAACTATGGTGTTCCTTCTCTGTTATAAGGAGTGAAACCATAATGAAAACAATTATTCCACCATTTCACGCATGATACTTGCAATTGAGCTTCTTTTTAAACGATCAAGCTACTTCGTCTACGAGACGTTTACAACGTAGATCGGGAAGTCATGCTTTGAAGGCAGGATCATCGAGATCGTGTCTCAATTGTATGCTGAATTGGAAGCATCACGGTAGTCTTCATGAGCATGCACTCTTCGTACGATGTCAGGTCCCGACATCTGAATGTAATGAGTAGGACTAAACAGGTGATATGGAGAGACGCGATTGCGAACGCGGCAGCTTAGCCGGCCACTAAAACCTACTCGACAGTCAACGTAGTGAACGCGGCTGAGCATCATCCATCACGCACGCTCCATACTCGTTATGTCTTCGAGGTCATAGAGACCATGCCTTGACGACGATGCTAAAAATAGGTAGTATGCATGGATGTGAGGAAGTGGAGTCTGAATATGGGAACGGATATTTAGTCGACGCTGAAGCATCCAAGGTTCGCTAAGCCTTTGAAAGAGGGCGGAAGCTAGAGCCAGAGAGCAAGCACGCAGTATCATACTGAGGTTACGAGATGCACAGCCTTGAAAGGTACGTATGTTATTTAAGGGTCTATCGACTATCCCAAGGTTTTGCAATGGTTACATTGTTGCGGCAGACATGATACCGGCAAGACGCACCACATAATAAAGTCATGATCATCAAGAGCAACACGTTCACTCATTTGACCTCATTGCATACATATCTTCGCCTTTCATTTCTTGCCTGGTAGCTTCAGCCACTTGGGCATAGAGCCGGGCTTGCGTGCCCCGCTGGGCTTATCGCCTTGGGCTTTACTTGGACCTTGCTGTGAAGGACCCGACACGTCTTCTTCGTCCCTCAGCTCCGGTAATTGCTCCACCTTGAGCTGTTGAGCCTGGCTTCGCAGCTCGGGGCGTAGAGTTTCTGCACGGCGTTCATGAACAAAGGAGGCAGCAGTATCTGCCCAAGAGAAATTGACAAGTACACGTCCAGCGAGCCCGAGGTCTTTGATCAGACGCTTCTTATCCGAGACAGGTATAATGCTCGGATGTTGGGAACGAGACACACCGTGGACAGTAATGTTGAACTTTTCACTGGCGAACGGCGGAGCAAGACACCCGCGCACAAAGTCATACAACGACTGTCCTGTGTCTGATGGGCCAAATTTGGCCACCACTTGGCTTTGATCTGGAAAACGGATTTTCACATCGACCTCATGTATCGCTGCCTTCCTCGCCGCTTCTGCCTCTGCTTTGGCGGCGATTTCGGCATCCGTTGGCAGTCGCTTGGGACGAGAGGATTCATTGAGTAATCGCTGGTGCAGCTTTGCGTGCTCGATAGTGGGTATGTAGTCACTCTCATTATAGGCTATTCTTGCTGACGATGGAGTGTCTTCCGATGGAGGAGAGAAGACAGTAATATGCCGGCCGGGATCGATTGTAGGAGCCGCCGATTCGGGGACAGGTAGGGGAGGAGCAGCCTCGTCCGCGGCCGCGGAAACGTTTGAGGATCCAGGCTGCAATGCGCTGGATGACTGCGGAACTGGGACGGGCTCCTCAATTGCGCTAGCAGCGGGTGTCGCTGCAGGTGCTGCGTTTGGAGCCTGCGCTGAGGGAGTCTCGTCCTCCGAAGACTTGAAGAACTCGCCAATTTTAGCCATGGCTTCTTCAATAGGCTCTTCTGTTCGTCGGAAACTAAGACGAATAAGCACGCTGCCACTGTTGAAGCCTAGCTGGGCTAGGGTCTTTTGTAGATCTGTGAAGCTCGATATTTCACGTTCCATGATCTGGAGCACAGGAGTCTCATAGTACAGTCGGCCGGCGACATCTCCGTCGGCTGAGGGCACTGCGCGTGATGTGAAGTTCCGTGCCGGACCACTCCCCGCAACTCCCGCTTCGAATTTCCGTAGTACTAACCAGAGGGTGGTTGTACTTGGGAACTTGTCGAGTATGCGGCCGTTTGGAGCACCACGAGCCTCGGATTCGGGCAGTTGCAAGCCAACAGTGACAACCGATGGAGAGCGGGAAAGTTGAACAAGCTCGAGCTTGGCGCCAGAACTGAGACCAGACAAGCGGAAGGAAAGAGAAAGGTCGAGCTGTTTACGGTTATGTCTGCGATGTAGAAAAGACTTGGTCAGTATTGTGTTCGGGACAAGGAATAGAACGTCCACTTACTTCAGGGAGTATTGACTAGCATTATATCCAAGCTTCGAGCATGCTTCCTGTAGGATATCGGTCAAATGTTTGGAGGGGGTAGTCTTGATTGTTGCCCGCCTGGCTGTCGCATCGATCACCACGACATGGGCACTCATGGTGTATTGAAGAACACCAGCTTTATAAAGAAGAGGAAAAGATAGTGCGAAAAGGTCAAGTGTAGAAGAAGAACATAGAAGTGTTGGAGTGAGGAAATCTAATGCGGGGAGTAAGAGGCAGAAAGTAGTCGAAAGGCCGTGGACGAAACAGGCAGCGGTGCGGGCGTCATCTGAGCTCTCGCGTACTCTCAGAGCTTCCCCGTCATCAACTCACCTCCATCACCCCCAAGCCGCCCCCTTCTCAACCTCCTTTTCTCCTCTTTTTTTCTGTCGGACTAGCTCTGGAATCTCTGTGTCATATTGAACTGCATTGAAAGAATACAATAATGGTAAGAATGCGCCCTTTCTCTCAATCCATGGATTCTGGACCTCAAAGCTGACCGACTTCTCCCATCATAGTCCAACCCCTTCGATATCAGTACGCCGGAACCTTCTCCCTCATGAATAATCCACCGTTATACTGACCGTTCTCCAGATGGCGGTGCCTGTGTCGCCATGGTGGGCAAGGACTGCGTCGCTATCGCCTGTGACCTTCGCCTGGGCATGCAGTCCCTGACCATCTCCAACAACTTCCCTAAGATTTTCAACTACGCCCCCTCCACCTATCTGGGCCTGACTGGCCTGGCCACCGATGTCAATACCGTCTCCGATCTTTTCCGCTACAAGGTCAACATGTATCGGCTGCGCGAGGAGCGCGATATCGCACCGCAGACCCTCGCCAACTTAGTGAGCTCATCGCTCTACGAGAAGCGCTTCGGCCCCTACTTCGTCAGTCCCGTGTTGGCTGGTATCAACCCAACAACGGGGAAGCCGTTCATCTGCGGCTTTGACAGCATTGGCTGTATCGATTTCGCCAAGGACTTCATTGTCAGCGGAACGGCAAGTGACCAGCTTTTCGGTACTTGCGAGGGTCTGTGGGAGCCTGATCTGGTATGTATCAACGATAGTATTGATTTCCTGGCGGATATGCTGCTAACGTGCTATGTTATTGCAGGCCCCCGAGGATCTCTTCGAGACGATCTCACAAGCGCTGCTCAGCGCCGTGGACCGAGATGCTCTCTCCGGTTGGGGTGCCCAGGTGTACATTATAGAGAAGGACAAGGTCACCCAGCGGTTATTGAAGGGACGACAGGATTAGATTTGGGGAAGTAGTTGTTTTGGGCTTTGGTTCGAGGGCGAATCCCGGCGTCTACGGTCTTCACTGGGTGCCGTGTACGGTCAATCAATGACGGGATAGCACAAGAGCAAGGCGAGAGCGGTCGATACCTGAGCCGAAAGGCATTGTTCTTTGACTCCATGTTTCTCTTACTCTATCACGATAATAAAAGGCCCTTGTCACGTCATGGCAGTCTCCCATTATGAAATTCCCATTAACCGGCAGATACTAAAGTCAATTCCTACTTGATTTTCATTTTCTATTGGTAACCTGACCAATTTTCTGACTGTTTCTCTGGAGGAATATACCTACAGCAGAATTTGGTGGTTTGATAGGGCTTATTGGTGGACCCTCGGCTTAATTGGGAAGTATTCTCATCAGCTCCTAGTAAAAGATAACTAATCACACAAGTTCCTAGCAGTAGTTAAATCATCATAGAGCGTCAGCTCGTTGGCTGTTTTTCTCTTGGCTAGATTGTCAACTGAAGTCCTAACTACCAAAGGGCGGTTGCGTTCTGCAGGCAGTTTCAATGTGCAATGACGAGGATAGTCATATGTAGGCACCAATATGACTCCTGTGCAGGTGAAGAGAAAGAGCGGAACAGGAAGAAGTAAGAGACCGATACCGCCTTCAACAGGTCAGGTCAAAAGTGGCAATCCAGCACAAGCCTCCCCTCTCATATGCCACCATCACTTGGGATGTACTAATGACCCGTACCTTCCAAATCCTATCAACACCGTCCAAAATGGAGGCACAGAAGTCGATCCGCTTGTCAACCAGCCATACAGAGCCATTTGCCATGGCCAACACCACCACAGGTCCTTTGTTATCCAAAGCTACCACAGCGCTGCAACCAACGTGAATGGTGGTGAATTGATGGCTCCTCAGGTGCCAAATTGACACCAGCCCATCCTCACGGACAGAGACTGAATAGCCGCTGGCTAGCCTCAGGTGAGTCGTGGGTTCGGGTGCGGCGTCATATCCATGGTATAAACTGACATTCATGTTAGCTGTGCGTCACTTCGAACGGGGGAGACATGAATACGTACCCTTGAATCCCCAGGTCATTGGGCCGCAAACGCCAGTGGGTAATGTTCGATCCCGTTCCCCTGCCGGTACCCACTGTCACGAAATCGAGCCCCTCCAAGCATACGAAATGGATTGGCAGCGAATAGCCTGGGAGCACATGCGTGCATACACCGGTCTGGAGCTCCCAGCACCGGACTGTCTTATCCTCACCGCCGCTGATCAGAATGCCATATTTGGATTGGAGGCAGTGAACGGCACCGTCGTGGCCTCTCATGACCTTTCGCGGGTAGTCTGTATACTGGACTACAAGGTTCCAGACACAGATCGCTCCACCGTGACTGCCAGCAATTGCTGTGTTACCATCCACTTCAAGACATGTGGTGCCAGAAATGCCCGTAAGCCGACGAACGAGTTGGCTGCAGTCATTAGCACAAACGAGCCGTGATAGAAAAAGGATTCAGACCACTCACCCAGATTCCAGCTTCCAAACGCGCAAGATGCCATTGTCATGGCCAGTGATGAGGGACTGTGCCATTTCATATGGGGCATATGAGGCCATGGCGCGAACGGGTCCATCGTCCACCGGGCCCCATCTCATGGGCAGCGCTTTGAGTGCGCCGATGGTCACATCGAAGGCGAACAGGTCCCTGTGGTTGCCAGGAAAGACATCCCGCTCCCGCTCGCAGAGAACGAGATAGCCCTTTTGCCATTCAACAATGTCTGCGCCCAGTGGCAAGTCTAGGGGTGCTGCTTGGGGATACCATTCATAAACACGTTCCTCGATCTCCATCTCTGCCTGCTGGCCTTCGGGCAAGCCAGGAACAGATGAAATCTGTGGTCTTTGGGGAATGAACTAATGAAAACAGCACAAGTCAGTACAAACCATTTCAGTGGCAGAAGCGGCAGTGCGAGATGCCCGGGATTTCGAACAAGTTACTTACAGAGGGTTGATGTCGGAATATCTGCCGTGAATCGGCGTCGGTATCCTATGTGTTGGTATGCCGATTCAGTGAGTTGAAGAAAGGAGCAGCGAGAGATAGTTGTACCTTAATATCTTGGAAGCAGTGATGGAACTGCAATCAGGTGCTCGGTTGAAAAGATGAAGGATTTGACCGATCTGAGAAGGAAGGATATAGGCAGCGATTGATTGCGTTCCTAACGCCCGAGCCGGCGTTGTCGCCGTCGCCGTCGACGACGACGTGGACAACATCACTGCTTCCAAGATATTCACACCAACTACGGCTCTCTCTGGCCGCTTCTTCTTTCATTCACTGAATCGGCATACCAAGACATAGGATACCCACGCCGATTCACGGCAGATATCCCGACATGAACCCTCTGTACCGGGCATCTAACACTGCCGTTTCCGCCATTGAAATGGTTTATACTGACTTGTGCTGTTTTCATTCGTTCATTCCCGAAGATCACCGATTTCATCTGTTCCTGGCTTGCCCGAAGGCCAGCAGGCAGAGATGGAGACCGAGGAACGTGTTTATGAATGGTATCCCCAAGCAGCACCCCTAGACTTGCCACTGGGCGCAGACATTGTTGAATGGCAAAAGGGCTATCTCATTCTCTGCGAGCGGGAGCGGGAAGGCCAGCAGGCAGAGATGGAGAACAGGGAACGTGCTTATGCATGGTATCCCCAAGCAGCACCCCTAGACGACATCGACGACAGCATTGATATGTCGGATCCGGACGCCGAACCAATCTGCAGAGTCACTAGCGAATTGGGCAACTGATATCTTCCACGAGTAGGCCCAACATCGGCACACCTAATGCATGGCTATTTCAGAAGCTCCAAGTTGGCCTACAGCAGTACAGATATATCGATTGGTCGCTGGGCTGTAGGTAGCAATCAAACACCTGGAACCTTCCATGGATATAACCATAAAAACTCTTCACATAGAGCTTTCAAATCTGATGCGTGCGGTAGTACATTTTCTCTGGACATACAGCAGATTAGGCCCTTCTCGGCTTTGCTTTCTCTCAACTACGAAAACGAGGGCTCCCAAGCCCGCTAGCGGACGTCTCTAAAGCAGAATTGTAGAAGGGTACCGTCTGTATGGCATACTTCGTGTGTACAGCCAGTATGGGCCTGGTTTCATAACTCGAGATGATATCCATTATACGGGTCCGATGGCCTGGCTACAGCAGCACCAGGCTATAACCAAAAATCATAAAACAAGCAACGTCCCAACCAGGCCTTAATACCCATCTCGGTCAGTTACTGCTCCATAAGCCGGTCCCTTATTGCCCAGGAACTTCTTCAAATCCGCCGCGAGCAACTCAGGCACTTCCCAAGCTGCAAAATGGCCACCACGATCAAACTCGGTTTCCTGCACGACATTTCCAATAGCCCGGTACCAAGGCATAGGCCACTGAATAATCTCCTCTCGGAATTGCGCCACTGCGAAGCGCACATTGTGTGGTGCTGTAACCGCGAGGACTTTGTCGAGCGCCATGTATTTCAAGTCTCCCTTAGCCTCATTGTCATCGCGCTTTGGCGCTGAAGCCTCGTGATAGATCCTCGTGGACGCCATTGGGCCAGCGGTGGAGAAATAGTATACGCTCACCCAGGTCAGGATCTCCTCGTCCGTCCAGGGGTACTTGTCAGTCCAAGTGTGCATTTTGTCGTAGATCCAGGCCAGTAATCCGACGGGACTATCGTGGAGCCCGTATCCCAAAGTCTGGGGTCGAGTTTCTTGCTGCTTCATGTATGCGTTGCCGTGAGTGATATATCCCACTGTCCGGGCGATGAAAGCACGGTCTTTTGCCGAGAAAGGCACAGATAGCACTGATTTGAAGAACTGGAATGGACTTCGCCATGGGTAGGGCGGAACGACGGGGATGAAGTTCAGGTGGATGGCTTGGGTGTGTTGAGGATAGAATTGAGACATGGTGCGAGCGATCATGCTGCCCCAGTCGCCTCCTTGGATCACTGCTTGGGGATTAGCTGGTTCACTTTCGTAGAGACAGATGAGTCTTGCCGTATTCTTCGTAGCCTAGCGCGATCATCACTTTGTGCATAGCCTCGGCGTATTGTGCCAGTCCGAACCCTCTCTGGTTTGATTGTCAGGATGTATTTGACAGCGTTCATAGAAGGGAATTGATATACCTTCTTCACCCCCTGTGAGAATCCAAAATTGGGCAACGAAGGCGCTACAACATCGAATGCGGGACCATCCCCGTCGTTCTTGGTGAGCAGTGGGATCAGCTTGGTGGATTCAAGGAAGCTGCCAGGCCCTAGAGTGGGAACAACCGATTAGCAGGCGTAACTGATACAATTGAAAAGGAGGTTCGCGGGGATAGATACAGCCATGGATGAATAGCAATGGAACTGCTTTCGAATGTCCGCTCCGATGATGCACAGTATGTATATCAAGCTCCCCGAAGCCATCCACTTCTATCCGGACAGTGAATTGCGTGAGTTGTTCATTCAGCTTCGCCTCTTGTGCGCGCCAATCATATTTCTCGCGCCATACGCCGACCAGTCTTTTGATATCTTGCAGTGGAACTCCCATATCCCAGCCGGAAGCATCGAGCTCGTCAGGGAAGCTGGCGTTCTCAAGCTTCTGGTGAAGCTGCTGGAGCTTCTCGTCCGAGACGGCAATGTTGTATGGAGTGACTGAACTCATTGTGTGAAATACCTAGGTAGCAACCTATGGAAGGTTGTTGGGTTGGATATAGTCCCAAGGTTCGCTTTTATGCAATATAGTTAAGTCGCGCTCGGACCAGCCACGAAGGTTGGGATTATTTACCTCGGTTTCACGGTTGACACCTGATTACACACAGATTCAGTGTGGAAGTGGCATCAGGCATGGGGTAGGTATGTCATTACTCATTTTTGCTTTGGTATATAGGTATTACCTGCCGTATGACCACGGAACAGAAGCTTCCAATGTACATCTAAGTTCGTATGTACGGAGTACACTTATCCAAGCATCCATGGATACTGTGGCTGCATATAACTGTACTTTAATCCACATATTGCGTATAGGTAGTGCAGTCCTGGTAGATACCTTAGATTAAAACCTATAGGTACCTATGAGGTTTACCCTCCAGACTTAATTGTCGTGTTGTTTCCATTGATGTTGGTGCCCATACATATTCTGGGATTTGAAGAGCGATTGCTGGATCTGCCATACTTACCTAGGTTCCATTCATGTTCGATTCCTCCGATAGTATTGTGCTAGTCCAAGATCAACAAAATGGATAGAAATGAATATCATCAGAATATGGAGATTGCCCTATGTACTGAGAGCCCGGTTGTTGTTGTCCTCGATCGATGTACCCAGTACTCGACGTCTGCCTAGTATTGCATAGTTCAGACGGGTACTCGGTACTTGCTGGTCCATGCTGGTCCATTTCTGGTCTAGATCCCGCTGATCGTGCAGCACGACCTCCGTGCACCTTCACAGGCGTCGAGGAAAAACCACCACACAAAGAAAAAGAACGTCTAGGAAAAGAAATTTCAAGCCTCCAAAGGCCTTCACTTTCCTATGTTTACAATATCAAGAATTCGACATACAAATCAGCGACTGACCGACTCGCTCATGTCTCAGGCCGCCCGTGTCTAGACCGCCCGGCCCCCCATCGAACTAACGGAAAATCCCCTCTCCCCTCCTTCTGGCCTTTCTCGTTCAATATTCCATTTTCTGGTGGATGTTCGTCGAAGTCCCCTCGATCAATCCACCATATCCGATTCCTGCAATTGAAAGAGATGATCGTTGTCTTCCCCGGATAACCTACGCGAGAGCTTCCACCCCGGAAAAGAAAAAAAGGAACTATCCTCGAACCCACCCCTTCACTTGCCACATGGACTATGCCTGACACGCCCGAGCCAGATGTCTCTCATGTCGTGCAACCCTGTCCCACCATGCCATTTCCCTCCTGCAAGTCCGAATGCATCCCAGACGGTGTAAACACCGTTCGTGACGGAGATGTGCCCCGTAACTCGGGAACCTGGAATGATGATGCCCAGACCGCTGCTATCGAGCATCTGGTCACACTCAAACAGGGGTTACGGACAGCCGAACTCGAGCCGTTCTGGAAACGGCTCATGGAGGACATCACAACGATAACAAATGCCCAGTATGCGTTTGTTGCCCGCAGGGTACACGGGAATGAACACTTGCCAGAAGTAGGCGGGCGGCGCCCATCGCTTTTTGGTGCAGCTTTTTATTATAATGATGGTTACCAGACCGTTGGTTTGCAGCGAAACAGGTATTTCGCGGGCGGGAACCCCTTGTTGCATATGGACCACGAACGGCCTTGTTTGATCCCCGAAAATCTCAGCTCACTGGTGTCGTTCGGTGATGATCAATTACCGTTTGGCGCCGATGGCTATTTGGCGATTCCCCTATTTTCGGCTGGAAAGTGCCTGGCGCACCTTGGGTTGATGTGGTCGAAAGATGGTCTCCGAAATAGAACGCTATCCTGGTCCTTTCTGGAGATGATCCTCCATTCGCTCGAAGATTTGATTGTACAGCGGCTTCAATCAGAACTCGAGACTTTCGATGCAATGTCAGACGCTCCAACGACAAATACCTTCTCCGACTTCCACAACCCCCAGTCTACCGCCTTCCACGAAGCTTCCGATTTCAATTCCCACCCCCTCAAACCCTACGCCCGAAGCTTATCCCACGAACTCCGGACTCCGATGCAAGGTGTGGTGGGTATGCTTGATGTCATGCACGCTACTGTGCGTGAAGCCATTGAGAGCAACACTCCTCTCAAATCCGGAGGCATTTTCGAATCTCTCAAGGAGGGGATCGAGATGGTTCAAGATAGCGCGCGACGCGCCGTTGAAGCGGCCGACAATGTCGTCCATGCATATGATCTCAATATGCAAGTTCCCAAAACACCACTTGAGGAGAAGTTTGAGATACTGGGCGGTGCCGCAATCCCATTCGCTTCATCCGAAACCCGTCCGAGCATTTTCATCGAAGGGAACAATGTCGCCGTAAATCCGTACAAGCGGCGACGAAGCCTGCCGCCGGACATAAGCACCCGGCCGGTACGCAAACAAAGACTTCGTGCGGCTTCCTCGCGACAAGAGCTTTCGCCTCGTAGCGAAGAGGTCAAAAATGCTGTTCACGAAAGTGATCAGATCGTCCATGCTATCCCGGCTGCTCAGATCGAAGCCGTCATGGCTGAGATGGTTGATCCGCGCCCATCACTCGCAGTTCGACGATCGGCACCTCATCTACTCCTCGAGGGGATCAATGGGAATCTGAAAAATTCTGCTTTGCGTTTTACCAAATTACGAGACCTTCTCCGTTTGGTTATCAATGAGTCTCTCCACGTTGGCGGTCGACCTGACTCTGCTGTTTCCAATGCAACCGAACTTGGCGAGAGGATTGAGATTCGGTCGCGGTCCTCCAATGGCGAATTCTTCACTAAGGTCGTGGACTGGTCTGTGGATCCAGCACTGCCTGACACACTGCTTGCCGATGATCGTGATCTGGCTAAATTGATTTCATGTGTTTTTCTCAATGCGATCAAATTCACCAACAACGGCATGATCACTGTATACGCTACTGTCGATTCCAAGAGGAATGACGTTCTCATTCTCATCCGCGACACGGGCCCGGGCATTCCCGCTGCATTCATACCCAAACTCTTCAAACCATTCGCCCGCGAAGATGCATCGACCACTCGGAGCAAAGATGGCCTAGGACTTGGTCTCCTTGTAGCCAAGGGCCTTTCACGCAAAATGGGCGGCGACTTGACCTGTGTTCGTTCGTCGACTTCTGGTCCTGATCGTGGTTCAGAATTTCGGATCCGGATCCCTGTCAACCAACCCGAGGCTGAACCTCGTCCTGGAACCCCCGGCGAGAGGATCCTGACCCCGTCAACTACATGTACCGACCAAACACGCCATAGCAGCACCAGTAGCTTCCTCTCTGACCCCTCTTCCTCTGCCTCCCCATTCATCCTCCCCGAAAGTCGGCTGCAACAGCCCACCCCGTGCACCAGCGACGAAAACATGTCAGAGAGCCCACCACCGCGGCCACCAGCACAAATTCGGCTGCACCAAACACATATCTCTGGGGATGCTTACGATAAGAAGCTTGGGGATAAATATCCGCTGCGCTTCCTCGTCGCCGAAGACAATCGCATTAACCGGCGCGTACTGGTGAACATGTTACGCAAACTTGGCTACCGTGATGTCCTTGAAGCGGCTAATGGCAGAGAGGCCGTCCAGATCGTTGAAGGTATCCTAGCCGCGTCGCATCCCATCAAAGCGCGTGACATCGATCTCGATTCAGCGAATGGAGCACAAGGCGTCACCAAGAAGCCACTTTCGAATACACGAATGAAACCGATCGATGTGGTCTTGATGGATCTCTGGATGCCCGAAATGGACGGATACGAAGCCACCTCACGGATTCTTCGCATGGTTGACAAGCACCGGGATGGACATGTGGCTTTCAAGCAACCGCACTCCAGTAGCCCGGATTACATGGAGATGGACCCAGCGCCCGACGCTATTTCTGCACCTCCACCTCCCACAGTCCTTGCTGTGAGTGCCGACGTTACCGATGAGGCATTGAATCGTGCCTCTAGGGTAGGCATCAAGGGTTATATGACGAAACCCTACAAACTCTCCGACCTCGAACGACTGATCCTCGAGTTCTGCGGCGGTACCCGCAACCACAGTGTCTAATTATCGAGATATCCGCTCGAATGCATCATGATGCTTTGTCCGATGTTCACTCCAAACCCATTTTATACCCATTGGATGTGGATATTCCTTCCATGTACAAACCCCACTTGATATTTCCTTCGGCGCGGGGGCGTCCCAAGATAGGATATGCATTGACTCGGTGGATCCTTTTGCTGGGTGTTTCGCATCCTTGGTCTCTTGTTCATCTTCTGCCATATACCATGTCATCTTTCAACGCCTTTCATGTTTATTACCCCCATTTTGATATAATGATTGATGATACATCTTGCAAATGATTACTTCTCACCACATCCATGCGCTGGACATGTAGTAGAGACCAACTGATATTTCACCTTGAGCCGTAAGCCATGAGGCGTATTCCACATAGGTTGTATACGGAGCGTAGAAAGTAGGAAGTAGCTTATTTTCCTACGAAAAACAAGAAAAGAATAGAGAAGTTATCATTACATCCATTAATAAAATCGACATCTGACTACGTTCTAAGCGCCCCGCAACCTTTCTCTCGTCAAAACACTGGCCGCGTGCCAGTCCTAGTAATCCCATAAGAGACCCATGAATCTGAAATGGGCAGTATAAGAATATATGCCATTCGCCACAAGAACAGTACAACAGATGCAAGAACCAATCATCAATATTCACGTAAACCGGCATGCGTGACCTAGAGCAAATGTATAAGGCAGATGCCAAGGCATACAAAACGACGCTATGCTGTAGGAAATAAGACAACGTAGCATTTAGGTCAACTTTTGCTTGATGAAGAACGAGCGCAAGTGCGAGAGCTGCCAGGCACATGCGGCGGACAAAACGGCCAGCTGGATGAGAGTCCAGCGCACAACTCGGGAGTTGGTCGTCTCAGACTGGTCACGGAATTCAGACTCGCGTTCCTGGATAGAAAAAACCTATTAGTATATTGAATTTCGAAGAAACGCCAGCATCCTGGCCATGCTTTGAAACGCGGTAAATACTTACCCGCTGGTACACTTGCTCCCGACGGATATCGTGCAAGCGGCTGTTCAGATCCTTGACTCGCTGCACGATGTCCTTGATTTTATCCTTATCCTCGGTCTCGATCTTGCTGGTCTCGCCAATGGCAAGATCAACGGTGAGTCTTACGGCGCCCCGAGAGTTGGACAACCAGCCGGAGGTCACATCAGTCTCGGGTGTGAAGCAGATTCGGTGCTGGCCTGCATCTGCGGCGGAGAAGTGGAAGCGGCCTGTGTGGCCGTCCCGCTTGGAAACGACGCGGTGATCGTTGTCGAAGGTCTCCTCGACGGTGATGTGTACCTTCAAGTTCTGGTCGATCGCGTAGGCGCCGGTCTGGGGGTTGACGACTTCTGTCTCGAAGCGGCCTATTCATCGTTCAAATATATATTAGTTTTGGGAATATGCAGGCTCCTGATATTTCGCGCATACCGGCGACTAGAGTGTCCTTGGGTAGATCCTCGAAGAAGCACTTTGTTTGGCGGCCTTCCATGTAGAAGTACAGGGCATTAGCGGGGAGGAGGAGAGAAAAGAAGGAGAGGAGTGTCAATGCTGACACCAGCCATGATGAGGATGTCCCAGAGAAAGCCATGATGAGGAATGGGCAATTCAAGAGTCGCACGACCAAGTGTTCATCTCCGTGAAGGTGTCAACATCCAGGATCGCGGTCCCTCACCGCCTTCGCTATCGGGGAGCCTCTCCCTTTCAAACTGCGAGTCTCCGCGAACGTGATCTTCAAACTTGACTTCACTGGTCTTGATATCATCAAACACACCCCTGATTCATCTTTCTATTCGTCGGCTATTGTCTATTTCATTGCCTAATTGCCCATCACTTCATCCTTGTCGTTGCAGAATACTCCGATCGAACCGCCATCATGGCCGCGGCCGCCGATGTTCGCGACATGCTGGATTTGCCCGCAGAAGGGCAGCCCAGACCACTCAAAAAACAGAAGGTCGTCGAAAAGCGACCAGGTAAGTGCTCTATGTATCGTCAGGCCCAAGAAAAAAGACTGACAGCTTCGGTCGCAGAGGGTATCACTCGCGAATTGTACGCGCTGCTGGGCGAAAGGGCGCCACCGATCGCGATTAATGAGAACAAGTACAAGGGTCGTCCAAAATGGATGAACAAGCTACGCGTCCGGCCATGGTATGTTCACAGTGCAGCTATTCTACTACCCTACAGGGGAGGCTGACGAGGGATCGTGTATAGGAGCATGGCACCATTCACAAACAACGCCCGTTCCGATGGCCTGGTCCTACATCACTGGCAGAGAACGCACGAGTCAGCGCGACCGCCTGTGCCTACCACTACAGCCGCCCCAGAAGATTCGCAGATGGAGGTGGACCGGCCAAAGGAAGATGGAAAGGAGGAGGGGCCCAAGGTACACGAGCAGGAATATGCCTTTGCCAAGTACAACGTGAAACCGCGCTTGCCCAAGAGATATACAGACGACGAGTACAATCGACATCTCAGAAGTGATGACTGGTCACGCGAGGAAACGGACTATTTAGTGGATCTCGTCACTGAATACGACCTTCGTTGGGTGGTTATCGCCGATCGATATGATTACCAACCACAGATGGACATGGAGCCAGATGCGAATGCCCTTGTGCCGGCAAGGAAGCATCGAACAATGGAACAGATGAAGGCGCGATACTATTACATTGCTGCAACGATGCTCTCGTTAGAGCACCCACCCTCAGAGATGTCCGAGGCAGAGTTTGATCTACATGAAAAGATGCTCAAGTTTGACCCCGATCGAGAGCGCGACCGCAAAGAACTAGCCGCCCTCCAACTCAATCGCACAGCCGACGAGGTGCGCGAGGAGGCGATGCTACTCGAGGAGCTGAAGCGCATTACAACCAACGAGCAGAACTTCATCACCGAACGCCGAGAACTCTACTCCCGCCTCGAAGTTCCCATCAGCGTCGGCAACACAGCCATGTATCAATCCAGCGCGGGTCTTTCCCAACTCCTGCAGACTTTGCTGCAAGCCGACAAAAGCAAGAAGCGCCGCTCCATACTCGGCGACGGTGCTCTTCCCAGTCCCGCCGGTCAGACCCCAACCGCAACCGGTGGCCTAGGCCGAGCCGAGACACCCGTCACACAAGGTGTCGGCAACAAGAAAGGATCTATCGCCAAGGAAACGAACCAAGTTGTGCGTGTGCTTACCCCTGCCGAGGAAGCGAGATACGGTGTCCAGCACCACGAGCGTGTCTCAGCAGGCGTACAATTCCGCAGCGACCGTGCCCAGCGACTCACTCAAGCCAAATCCAACGTGCAGACCCAGAAACTGGCCAATGCCCTATCCGAACTTGAGATCCCAGTGCGCCTTTTCATGCCCACAGAACGCGTGTGCAAGGACTTCGAGAAACTCATCCAGTCTGTCAACATGCTTCTTGATGCCCGCAAGGTCTCTGAAAAGGTGGAGAGCGAGATTCGTGTTCTCGAGGCCGCGAAGAGTGAGCGCGAACGCAAAATGAGAGAAGCTGCTGGTACTTCGGGGCAAACTGCGGCCGATCATCCACAAGTGAAGAAGGAGGCCCAAGACGGGGAGTCAGGCGTCGGGGATCCTGCTAATGGAGCGGGCGGTCCCCAGGCCGGGCAACAGCAAGGGGATGGTAATCACAAGCGATCTGCTAGTGTGCTCAGTGCCTCAAGTGACAAGAGCAGCAAGCGGCAGCGGCGGTAGATGATATGCTACGCTAATGGTGATAAAAGCACGTCTTGTGAAGTGTAAGATACATTCGGGACTGATTACCCTTATTTCTGTACGATTAATGACATTCGGTTGGGAAGCATACTCATAATTAAACCAATTCCATCCCCACAGGTAATAATAACATCACTGGCCCAAGCATCTGCGATAATACTAGTCTTTTGCTTCCGCATCCAACCTTGTTCCAACATCTCTCGGTCATTGACAACTGCTGTGTATCCTCATTCCTCTGCCTCTACCACCAGACTGGTTCGGCTAGCCCATCCGCTGCCATGGAAGGCCCCCGGCATATGGATACATTCCTGATATGAACTCGCCAGTTCCTCTGCCCAATCACTTCTGGTAGAATCCGCTCGTTCAAGGCTGCACGCCCCGTCCTCCTGGTGATACACCGCAGATTCCCCGGGTTGTTCTTTTGGAGAAAGGTTTGAGCGTCTCTTGCTTTCCCTTCTAGAGAATCTCAAGAGCCAGCGTCCACTCCGAGAGCGGGATGGCTCTTTGTTCAATTTCTGCACACTCTTGTTGTTCAGCGGATCAACGCATGCAGAGAACCGACGATTCGCTTGATCTATCGAGAAGCGACGTTCAATAACTGGGGACGTGTTTGGGCTGTAGACATGGCGGCCATGGGTTTGCATATCCCCTCGGGCTGGCTGTGCTCGCTCGATTGTCGAGCGGGTCGGGCTTGGCCACGGTTCCAGGAATGCTTCGTCCGTGTCTTCGACATAGTCGACATTTGCAGACATGGGCGAGCCACTGTGTTCCACGTGAACTGCATTATGGGCTTTGCCTGTGGATACTTGTTCGCCCGCCAGATCGACAGCTAACGGTGCGTGAGCATTGGCTCTTAGGGATTGGCTTTTCAATTTGGCCCACATCGTGGGTGTCAAGACAGCTTCATCTTCGGTATTGACGCCATTTGGGCGCCGGCTGTGAACCTTGTTGGGCTCTTGTTCAGGAGTGAAAGGTATGCCTGCTGATGCAAGGGCGTTCTGGTGCTTGGTTGCTGTGCTTAATTCAGGCCGAGCGAACTGACCAGACACAGGCCCAGTGACATCTCTGTGCCTACCCCCGTTTTGGTGTGAACTGCCGCTCCATTCGACTGTTTGTGGGTGGTCTTCAGCATTGTCCACCAGGCTATAACCATAGCCCATACGCCGACCACCGGTCATCCACCCGGGACTCACTTTGCGTTGTGGCCCGACACCATTGGCACCGCTGGACATGCCGTGGCTCTTGGGCGATTGGTCAAGCTGTTCAATAAACCTGCTTTTGAAGACTTCGGGGCTTGGCTCCAGTCCATTCTGGACCATGCCAGTCCCGCCAACCATTTGTGTCTGAATATTGGGTAATCCATCCATTGCATTTGCAGAATGAAGTCTCAGCGACGGAATGGCAGGAGACACGCCCCCGGAAGGGTTATCGCTTTGGCGTGAATAGACCGAGGACACATGTCGTGGGTGGCGCGTATCTTGCTTTTGGGGATCGCTGTCTACGAGTGTTAAAGCTCCAGAGTTGTCACTTGATTGGAGATTCTCTTGAGATACCATCTGGAATCCATATCTGTTCGCAGGTGGTAGTTCTAACATAGATGGATTAGTCGAAGGCGGTCCGGATGCCATGCTGGCCAGTCTGTGCGGAGGGACCAATTCGCCAGGATGGGGGACTCGAGCCTCGGAGTGTGTCTTGGATGGGCTGGTAGGCGGTTGTCTTTTGGGAATCATGATATCTTGAGCCTGTCTGGCTAGTGACGTCGAAGATCCTGTACGATAGTCATTGGGATCCGTTTCCATATAACGGGCCCAGTCAACCGTCATATTCTGGAGGTTCTCACTGCTATCTCCAATGAAAGCTTGTTGCGAGAGACCTTGATGTGGTGGGACTTGTCGTTCTCTGCTGGCTCTGAAACTTGGATGAGATTCCATGAATGCGGAATACCCATCCACACGCTCATTTCTCAATAAAACCTGACTTCCTGTGCCATCTGCTGAGTCGACGTTCGTCCTGGAAGCCACACGCAGTCTGAGGCTTTCTGGTGGAGCGGGGATGGAGTATATCCCACCTGGAGTTTCCCGGATGTCAGATCGATCACAGCCTTGGGCCTCCGCCTGGAGATCTGAGTTGTTTCGCTCACGACTGCGTTCTATCAGATCATGCAATCCCGTCCTGCGAAGCCCTGGAGCTCTGGGGGACGCTTTCATGCGATCGGCAAAACGTGGGCTCCCAATACACTGGGCATCGCTGTCATATCCCCGGACACTCATCAAGCTGCTCCCCATGCCTTGGAGTACCGACAATTTTCCGTTTGCGTTTGGTTGTCTTGGCTTGTTCTTGAGCACAAAGGGGAAGTTGACTCGAGTCTCGGACGACTGTCTGGATTCTCTCGAGAGTTTACGTCGAATCCGACGTGAAAGGCTTGCAGATCTCCGTCTTGCACCTTGGATCGGGGCTCCATCTGGTCTTGACAAAGGCCCTATGGTATCTCATGTCAGTCGAATTGTACTTCAAAGTGATTTCTCGGTTTGAGGCTTGCCATGAGCTTGCTCCCCCGGACCATCCACATTCCCCATTCGAGGATCTTGATATGTTTGGGCGAACTCAGTTGGTGATTCAACTTGGTATCTCCATCGGAGACGAGGACATATATCGATATACATACTGTACTTGGAAGATATACTGTGTACAGGATGAGGTTCTACTGTGTAGGTGGCCGAATGGGGCGGTTCTTTTTCGAGGGCATTGTGAGGAAGGTGCTATCATCAATATAAACAAGTGATCTGCCTTCCACTTTTAGGTGCATCGCTCTTGCTGTATATGGTCCGCTGCGTAACAACATAGGATCCATGGATCGCTTATATCTTCATTACATTTGAGGCAGGCGGGACAGGGAAGGAATGATGAATTGGCTCAACGGACAACCCCCATCCATAGGCAGTTGGGCCAGCGGTTCACGACAGCCTTAGAAGCATGCATCTTCGCTCTCAAAGGAATCGTTCAGTCCCTGGCCTTGTTGATAGCTGCATTACAGACCAAAGGTGTAATCGTCGCCTCACGCTTCCCAGGTGTTACGGGTAGATGAACAATGGCCTTGCCGGCAAGATGCCTGCGTAGCCTCTAGCACCCTCACGGAGAACCTTGCGACGGTAAACTTGAATCAATTTTGAATTTCTCAGCCAGTTATAACGGAGCTTCTTTGGATTGAAGTAGTCAGCCATAAGTGCTCCGTAGCGGTGCAAGATGTCTTTATGAAGTGCAGTATTTCCAAAGCTGCTCAGAATCTATCAGACACATACTGAAATGATAGTTCTCGTCATCGGGCATGTCGCATGATATTCGCATTTCGCAGGATTCAGCCGATCGCACACTAGCACATATTGTGCAGATGCAGAATTGATGCAGAACCCGTTATTCGGCCACGTGGGATTGGTGCGATGTACACTAGCGGCTCCGTTTCCGCTATCTTCAGACTAAGTCAGACAGCAGACTGTCAGTGCAGATGTCAAGTGAACGACATAATAACCTTGGTGGGCCTGACTAGTGATTACTATACCGTGACCTTGGCCTCTTACCTGTGTTTTGTAGCACAGTACCTAGCATTATCCGTCTCACTATGTAGAAAGTGATCGAAGACAACATCTCCTTCAGGAAAGGATGAACAAAATAAAGGTTTTAAGTTAAAGATGTGCTTTCCGGCAAAGTGGATCACCTTCTGATTCGCCAATTTCAGTATCGGAAAAGCGGGGAATGAGAAACCTTGATCAGCGTTGTTTCAATGACATGTCCACGGGCACGTGCATTCATCAATTGGCTGTGGAATTTCTGCTTCTGCTGTCTAGGTAGATTGCAGTCACAACAAAACTGGATTGAGGGATAATTCCTGGACTTGGCGCTAATCTCTTAGATTTCTCACTATTCCGACACGACGATAAGAATATGCAGAAGCTGACCACGCGGACGGAAGCACTCCGTGGCTTCCTCGGTATACCGTGGCGCCAAGTGCCTAGATACTAGGTGATGTAATATCCCTATCTGGATTAAAGGCTACTATGTGAGGTCTGGGAATTCAGATTGGTTTGAGGAAGGGTGAACAAACATTTGGTTAAGCGTTTGGAGCGTTGTTGTACTTTGGGATCGTTTTGGCAAGGTATCTCTTCCAAGGTGGATATATGATCACTCGATACCGACGCCACATACGCCGAACCTTGGGAATCATCTCACATAGGCCCGCCTAGTCTTGGGAGATAAGACAGTGGGGTCCCTGGAAACCCAAAAACCAAGGAATTCCAGCGCCGAGCTAATGTTGAGAGGTAACTAGTATTGAGGTCCAGCGTCGCTAATTAAAATCGAGCAAACGTCGTAGCTCCCCCGTTTCTTCTGTCACATTTGACTGGGACCCATCGACGCCGGACATAGAGCATATTTGATGTCACCAAATCTGAAGAACTCGCGCTCGATGCGCTTGGTTATCGCCCTCGTCATTCCATTTGTGCTCTTTTGTTTCATCTACACCTTGAGGCCCACCTCCATATTTGTTCTTGGTCCTAAGGAACTCCCATATCTGCCCTCGGAGACGACTTTGACTGGTACCGGTGATTCAGCTTCAGTTGTGCCGACCACCACCGCTGCGCCTAGTTACAGTTATACGCTCCCACACAAGGTCTGGCACTCGGCAAAATCCGACAACATAACACGAGACCAGCGTGAATGGATCGGCAGCTGGACAAGAAAGAATCCCTCTATCCGCCAAGAATTGTTGACCGATCTATCCGCCGAAGCATTCGTTCGAGCTCGTTTCTACAACACGCGACCAGACATCGTCGAGGTCTATGAAGGGCTCCAGATTGCAATTCTACGTGCAGATCTTTTTCGATACTTAGTCGTGCTCGCCGAAGGAGGCATTTGGGGCGATCTAGATGTCAGCTGTGAGAAAGAAGTCGCCGAATGGGTTCCCTATGAATATCGGAACCAGACAATCGACATGATTGTCGGACTGGAGTTCGACTTCGAATGGCGAGGTCCGGGCACGGGTGTTGCTTCCCAGTTCTGCAATTGGATTTTTGTCGCGCGCCAGTCTTCGCGCAATCTTCAGATTGTCGTTGACTTTGTCATCAAGAAGCTGAAGGAGATTGCACAGGAAAACGCCGTGGGAATCGAAGGTGTTACACTCGATATGATTTCGGATGTGGTCGACGTGACTGGACCCAAAATGATGACTGTTGCGATTCTGGACAGTCTTGGACAATTGCTCGGCAGGACTGTCGATGACCGTGATTTCTCGGGCATCAAACGGCCTAAGCTAGTCGGTGATGTTCTGATTATGCCAGGCGTCTCTTTTGCTGCGCTTCAGAACGGCAATCCTACAGACCAAGGCGATGCCCTTGTATCACATCATTATGAGGGCTCGTGGAAGAAGGAAGCCGATGCAGCGAGGGAAAGAAAGAAGCAGGAAGAATTGCAACGGCAACAGCAGCAACAACCCCAAGTACCGCCACCTGCTGAGACAGAATTGGCACTACAATGACAAAAGATGTGTGCTCTGCTTGTCTTTCCTTTTAGACGCTCATCTTTCAGGCTTAATTGAAAGAAAACCAATGCTCGCAACATCCGAAATGTAAAGATCAGTAGCGTGTGGGTCACAACTTTGGAAGCTCGGATCTTGCCGAGCATGGCCCGAGGTGAGGTGGAGCTACGACTCCACCTGTACATACTGTATGTAACTAGTACTGGGCCGTGGATATGGTTTATTTACTCTCTTTAATGACTTAAGAAGAAGGCTCAGCAATGCGAGGCATAATCTTACAGTTATCAAGCTCTTCTACCAGTCTCGGGGTCCTTTGAGTGTGCTAATAAGGAAGCCCTAATTCGGTATCCCAAAGTCTCAAGTTGGATGCGAGGCAGAAATTCGCCGCCTCGTTCCTTCCTCTTTGGATACCTTCCACCGGTATCATGTCAAAGGCACGTGAGAGGAGGTGTATCACCTTCGCTGCTTTTTTGATCGTTTTCTTGTTTGCCTTTGCCTTCATTAACAACACGTCCACAAACTGTTACACAAGCCCCTCAAGTGTTTGATCGTCGACTTCCGTTATATCTACCTACCCTTGTATTCATCAGAGCAGTGAAGAGTGCTCATTATCATTTAGCTGAAATGAGAATCTTCCTTGTTGTCGCAGGGTTCTTCCTGCTGTTGGCTGGTGCCATCGCCAGTGTGCCGCAAATTGAGATCAAGGCAAGTGTTCACTTACAGCTTGAAAGGATCCGGCCAACTGACAGAATCACTGAATAGGGCTCCAAGTTCTTTTACGCAAACAATGGAACCCAATTGTAAGATTTGACATACGATGCCCAACTGCCCAGGATGCTAATACAGAGACTAGTTACATTCGAGGCATTGCATACCAGGGTATGTTAGAGCATTCACCATTTCACTGAGCACAAGCTAATTATCATTCAGAGGACTACAACTCTGGAGGAGCTACTGGAACCGGACAGTCAAATGAGACTCGTTACGTAGACCCGCTGACGGATGAGTCGCATTGCAAACGGGATATCCCATATCTCACGCAACTACGGACGAATGTGATTCGAACCTACGCCGTCGACCCAGCCAAGAACCATGATAATTGCATGCAACAGCTGGCAGATGCGGGGATCTATGTCATCGCCGACCTCGCATCCCCCGACTTGTCTATCACTTCGGATATGCCATCATGGACTGTGGATCAGTATGCTCGGTACACCGCCGTGATTGATACCTTCCACAAGTATGACAATGTCATTGGTTTCTTTGCTGGTAATGAGGTTGTCAATCATGCAAATCAGTCGGCGGGTGCAGCATTTGTCAAAGCCGCGGTCCGCGATATGAAAGCCTATATCAAGACGAAAGGATATAGAACATCACTAGCCTTTGGCTATGCGACTACCGACCGCCCAGAGTTTCGCAGGGAACTCTCAGACTATCTTAGCTGTGGTGATCACTCTACCGCAATTGATTTCTTTGGTTACAACATTTATGAATGGTGTGGAGACAACACCTTCAAGGGCTCTGGGTACTCGAACCTCACAGAGCAATACAAAGACTACTCGATTCCAATCTTCTTTTCCGAGTACGGATGCAATACAGTGAGGCCGCGTAAGTTCGGTGACATCGCTGCAATCTTTGGACCTGATATGGAGAATGTTTGGAGCGGTGGAATTGTCTATCAGTACTTCCAGAGTACCAACGACTACGGGCTTGTCTCTGTCGATGGAGATTCCGTCAGCACTGAGCCTGATTTCAGCTACTATTCCAAAGCCATGCAGACCGCAACACCCTCGGGGATTAATAGTGGCAGTTACTCTGTTACGAAATCTCCACATGCGTGTCCTACAGTCGATAGTAACTGGTTGGCCAAATCGAGCCCCTTGCCACCTTCGCCAAACAAGGACTTGTGCTCCTGCATGGTAGACAGTCTATCATGCGTGGTCAGCGACTCAATGCATGCGAATCAATACGGTGACTTGTTTGGTACAGTCTGTGGATCTGACAAGAGTGCCTGCGATGGGATTTCTGGGAATGCAACCACAGGGCAGTACGGAACCTTTGGTGTCTGCTCCAGCAAAGACAAGCTCTCCTATGTTTTTGACCAGTACTACCAGAGCCAGAAGAAAGACCAGTCAGCCTGTGACTTCAAGGGAGCTGCGTCCGTCCAGTCTGCAAAGAGTTCTTCTGCAAGCTGCAAGTCAATCCTCAGCCAGGCTGGAGTTGGCCAGGCCACTGGCGCAGCCACGTCCACATCGAAAGGGGCTGCTGTGAGCACGGTGGTACCAGTTGCCGTCAGAGTCGATAACTTGTTTGTAGCAATGTCCTTCGCTGCAGCCATTATGGCCGGATTTTTTATGGTCTATCTTTAGCCCCTTGGCCGAAACGAGATCGGGGTTTCTACAGATAGCATCATAGCAGATGGGCCATGGACCATGGACCCATGGAGACACATTCGTTAGCGACTGGAACAGTTGAATTCAAATCAATACTTGAATGATCAAGATCATCAATGAATCATACCTGACATACCATGTGCCTAAGTATAAAAGCAATGATTGGGACAACAAATGTTGGTTAAATGGACTACTATGGACTACAGTTGCGAATACTTCGTACAGTGTGGGCAAAAAGTACATGTAGTGCAAAACAAACAAACAAACACCCCGCCACCGGTAGATTTTTAGTCATCAAGAATGTCGGGCCGGCCCCACGTGCCCAGGTGGGCCTCTAGAAGACCGGGGCTTACAATTTTTTTACGAAAAATTACAGATCTTCCTCACGCCCTCCAAGCACATACACTCTTTGAATCTCCCTCGTTTTAGACTCCGAGTCAAATACCGCAAAAATGGGCAATGTAAGAGAAAACCCCACCAGTCTTCAGGCAACGCCATATCCCTCTGCGCCAGGTGTTTTGATCCTACTCAACGTACAGTAGACTGATGATACTCGACAGGGAGCCAAGGCAAACATGAAGCGTGAGCGCAACGCGAAGGACACCAAGACCGCCAAGTCGCAAATCAAGACCGTATGTCACTGTTATTGTCTGTCCTCATATGTCACACCAAGCTGACCCACATTGTTGTCTAGAACGAGAAGGCCATGACCATTCAGTGCCAGACCTGCAGACAAACCTTCCTCCAGACCACCAAGGCCCCTGCGTAAGTGAATCAACACTGATCTCCGATCTGAGCAAGCCTCGGTGCTTGTTCCACCAGTATATGTAACTCTTTGCTAACAGATCGCATGCAGCCTGCTCGAGCACGCCTCCAACAAGCACAACAAGGGTCTCGCTGATTGCTTCCCCGGTGTCAGCGCATAGGACAACAGCCCCTACGGAACCAAAACCGAAACCAATCTTCTTTACGATACCACGGGTTAGCATGGCTTCAGGAGTTTTGATCGAAAGCAAATATATCTAGGAACTGGATTTTGGAGAGTGGGCATTCTGCGTAGGCAACTACGTATGTGTAGTGGATGCTGCAGCATATCTAGTCTTCAATACGTAGTCAACCTAACGCTAACCGTTCTGTGTCTATATCCCTTTGCACTCTACTGATTGTGTCTTGCAGTATGGATAGAGTGGGTTATCCGTGGCGAGCATATAACTTGCGAGATACTGAAGGAATTAGGTATGAGAGATGATTCTCTCGTTACCGATGCCAGGAATCCCATAGAGCCTAACATGGTCCACTGACATAGGCATATTATAAGCAGGAGTCGGCTGAAGATCCGGGCATGAGGTGGTTGACCAGGCTCTGTGGCTTATCAAGTGATTTGCAACTTGGGAAGGAGCGTTCGTCTTAGTATCGCCTTCCGGTAGGTTGTGTCCTTGGTGTATACATTCCCGTTCAGGAAGGTACCTCGACGCAAAGGATATAAATAAGTGTCTCCCATCTTCTGCTTATTTTCTTTTCCTTCCTCCTTCACATCTCTTCCTTCTTCACTTCTCATCCTCCTCCTCTCTCTCTCTCTCGCTTCCTCCTCTCTCTCTCTCTCTCTTTCTCGTCCTCCTCTCTCTCTCTCTCTCTTTCTCGTCCTCCTCTCTCTCTCTCTCTCTTTCTCGTCCTCCTCTCTCTCTCTCTCTTTCTCGTCCTCCTCCCTCGTCCTCTCTCCTCCTCTACAGCGTGTCTTCCTCTTTCCTTCTCCCTCCACTCCTCCTACCCTCGCATATGTCCTCGACCATAACCAGCCTTACCGTGGCGGGCCTCACGGCTTCAGGGCAATCGGAAGGTTGGATATGGTAAACTCGTTCCCTCAACCACGTCCGTCAACCATCCAACTATATCCAGCCTTGCCGTGGCGGGCTTCACGGCTTCAGGGCAATCGGGAGGCTGGATGTGGTAACGACTCCGCTAACAACCTCCATCCGCTCAACCACACCACAATATCCAGCCTTGCCGTGGCGGGCCTCACGGCTTCAGGGCAATCGGAAGGCTGGATGTGGTAACGACCTCCGCTCAACGACCTTCGCTCAATCAACTCCGTTTAACCGCATTCGCTCCACTACCTTATATCCAGCCTTGCCGTGGCGGGCCTCACGGCTTCAGGACAATCGGAAGGTTGGATATGGTAAACTCATTCTCCCAACCAAGTCCGCCCAATCAAGTCCGTCTAATACACTCGCTCCACCATGTTCAGCCTTGCCGTGAACATCGACCCAGGTCCTTCCTGTCTGCCCCAAGTCTTTGCAAGTCTTTGCAAGTCTTTGCATCTCTAACATCCAACCATCTAAGATCACCACCGCTCACCTTGGCCTCGCTGTCCACCGTGCCCAATTGCCCAATTGCCCAATTGCCCATCATCCGTGAATTATATCAACCAACCACTATGCAACCATGAGCCTTACCTGAGGAAAGTCCACACAAGAGGCGTGCTCCTGCTCATTGTCAGCCCATTCAACAAAAGACCTCGATCGTTAGGTCTTTCCAATTGACCGACCATAAAGCCCCTGCCACTACACACTCTCATCTTATACCACTCGCCATCTGCCATTATTCACGACGAAAAGATCATTCTGACGAGTCTTCTCATCTTCGCGATCTGCCACAAAACACCTCCTTCCCCTTGCAATCCTTTCAACTTGACAACATATCCATCAAAACTACATATCCTCTTCCCAAATGACCCTTTCTTTCCTACAATCCCTTTACCTACAAAAGGTTTCTCCTTCTTGATTTTCAACATCATCATACAACAGTCACCACACCATACTATGCCATCTACCACGTCGTACATCTATCGCAATACATCCACGGCAAACCAACCAGCATTCATCATAAATTCCACTCACCGCACGCCAATCACCCAGCGGGCCTTTCCATGCTGCAATTACTTCTTTCCACCTGCTATGATCTTTCTACTTGCCCATGCACCATCCACCGCTCCATATGGCCATATCAATCAATGCATCCCATCACAACCATTCTTCCAACATTGATATCCATCCACTCCGACCACCGAGCCTCCATCATACAGCGTGACGGCCATGGCAACATCTACAACAAATGTCTGAAGGCCAGCCGTGTTGGCCTTCTCTTGCGAACCACTCAGCGTTCACTGTGAGAACTTTGGCATCAAACTTGAAAACTACACAGACCATTCGGCGTCTATCATGGCAGCCATAGCTCGAGCTCCCTACAACCTACGAATCGTGACTCTTCCTATTTGGCTATGGATTATGCATTCATCAGATCTCCATGGCAATCATGACATTTGTCCACCACAGACCACTCAGCGTCACCACGACAACCATGAGTAAATCCATTACAAATTACGCATCTCAGACTCTCTGCCTTATCAGTCCATATGGTATGCATCATACTGTCGAACATGAGGATATGAAACCATCTACCGCACCCACCCAATGGCTAATGTGACAACAATTCATCATATGCCCCCATTGTGCTCTCAATCACCTCTTCGGTCATCGTCCCTTGTCAGGCATTGTGAATTACACTGAAACAGCATCGAGAGATAGCTGGATCCAACTTTTCAGTCACACAGCCCTTTACCCGCTTCCACCCTGGGAGCCAATGTCATGATCCATCAGTGTCATCTGATCTTTCTATCGAGACGCCCGGTCTGTCTGTTCTACGAGGCTCTGACAGCCAATACGCAACAAGCAAGCAGCTTTGAACGATGCTTATCGAAGCAAACGCACAAATGATCACTACAAGGCCCAGTGACTCGGCAGATACGAGATCATCTATCGCTATTGCTGGTCTAAGGAAGGGAAACAACAACAACCATCTAACCTATCCATGGCCTCGACTGTGCTGTTTCAGCGACTCTTAAAAATAATGCACTTGAATAGTCCAGGCCTCCCAGCGATGGTGTCAGTTTTCTACACATCGCGCCGGGATATGCGGTTTTCTTACTTCTTACTTCATCACATCAACACACTTGACATACGAGTTTACACTTGTGGATGCTCCCTGCAGAATGTGTCCTTTCAGACACCCGACACAGTCACTGATTCGGAAAAATGGATGGTGATGCTTCGAGCGCTCCTCAACGACAATGCAGATGATAGACTTCTCCGGCACTTCTCCCCAGCTTCTTACACTATGTACCACTTAGGCATTCAATCAAAAATACATATGGCAATAGGTTTCTCAATTTCATTATGTTCTTTGGTAGTTAGCGATTTTGGTCTTACAATACTTAGTAGGCCAGCATCACCACTTGACTTTGTTAAACAACGAGCTAGTTACGTGAGACGGTGAGAGTTACTATCTTCATATAGTCTTCTGAAGTTCTTCAGTGAGTCAGTTCAGTTCAATGTCTCTGGTGTCGAGGTTAAGGCTTTATGCTTCCTGCCTCAGGCACCCAGCATGTGACGTCAACCCATATATCTCCCCAGCCACTTCAGGGAATCAGGACGAGAGTGCCAGCATGATACTTGATCTTAGTTGAGTGGAAGCAGGTCTTCCTTTCTCACTTGCTCTTGGTCGAATCAATGTTTGTCTCGATGTATCAACAGTAAAAAGGCCCTTTCAAATCGCATATAACATGACTCCGACTTATAGACCTACTGGACATTCATTCCCCTGGAGAACCAACAATGATCTTAAATAAGAGCTCCTCCCCGCCAACTGGGACGAGCCATGTGTCTATCTTCTCATCTCAGCCACCTATCTTCATTCTGCCAACCCATCTCTCCTTGGAAGAGTTGGACGAGACAGAAGGCCGACTGATCGACCATGGTGGGAAGGTGACGTATGACATTTCCGAAGCTGGCCTGATCCTGGGGAAGATTGAGCGGCCCAAACGTGCGGCACTGGAACTGCGCTCTCGCGGTATCTGGACAGAAGAGGTTATTCCGGACCCAACTCCGAAAAGAACTGCCAGTGATATGGAGCCTCCTGTTAAGCGCAGGCGCACGGGGGAACACCATGGGACCAAGGACATCCCGATCGAGATTATCGATCTCGATTCAGACACTCAGAGCGAGAAGAACGAGGTTGCAAGTCAACTCAGCTCTCCGCAACACCTGGCCCAAGTGCAAAAGCCAGAACTGGATAAGAAATTGGTCACTGTCCTGAAGCTCGAGTGGCTGCAGGCATCTATTGCATCCGGAGAAATGGTCTCTCAGGATCCATACGTTGTCTACCGTGGACGAAAGATCCCCACCCCGACCAAGTCAACACCGGCTACACGAAAGGAACTGGAGCTCAAATCAAGCCAAATCCTCGAGCGTGCAAAGCAAGATGCCGGCTCACAGGCACCTTCATCATCAGATTACATGCGCTCACGGCGCTCAAAAGAACCCGACCGTCCCCGACCAGCCCTCTACCGACATACAACCTCCGAGCAAGAGGAGCAGAACCCACCACCTCAACCAGACTGGGTGCGCGAGCAAGTCATGTACGCATGCATGCGCTCTGCACCCCTGCACCCGCCAAACGAAGACTTCATCGGCCAATTGGTCAAAATCCGACGTATCCGAGAACTGACACTTGATCAAATCGGCGTGCGGGCCTACAGTACCTCCATCGCCGCTATAGCGGCATACCCACATCGCCTCCGACGTCCAGGTGAGGTCCTCACTCTACCGGGTTGCGATGTCAAAATCGCAGACCTATTCGCACAGTTTCAGCAGGACGGCGGCTGCAGCCACACCGACGACGACGGCAACGTTGCCGCTGCCGATGCATTAGAAACGGATCCCATGCTGCGCGTCTTGAACAGCTTCTACCAGATCTGGGGTGTTGGCGCCAAGACCGCGCGCGACTTTTACCAGCGTGGCTGGCGTGATCTCGACGATATCGTCGAGCACGGGTGGAATACGCTGTCGCGCGTGCAGCAGATTGGGCTGAAGTACTACGAGGAGTTTCTGGAGGGGATTCCTCGGGCTGAGAGTGAGAAGATTGCAGATGTCATTCGGGATCATGCTGGTCGGGTCCGGGCTGGGGGAGGCATGGAGTGCATTATTGTTGGCGGATACCGTCGCGGAAAGGAATTGAGCGGTGATGTTGATATCGTTGTGACGCATCGTGATGATGCCGTTACTTACAACCTCGTTGTGGATCTTGTGGCGAGTCTTGAGGCGGAACACTATATCACTCATACGCTTGCCTTGCATTTGACTAATTCGCATCGGGAGCAGCAGACTTTACCGCTGCATCATGATGATACGAGGGGTTTTGATACTTTGGATAAGGCTTTGGTTGTCTGGCAGGACCCGGACTTTGATGCTAAAGCTATGGATGGGGATGATAAGAAGAAGAATCCTAATATTCATCGTCGTGTCGATATCATTATATCGCCATGGCGCACAGTCGGTTGTGCTGTACTTGGTTGGTCGGGTGATACGACGTTCCAGCGAGATTTACGGCGGTATGCGAAGAAATCACGCTCGTGGAAGTTTGATTCCAGTGGTGTGCGAGATCGTGTCACTGGGAATACGATTGACCTGGAACATGGTGGAGAGACTTGGGAGGAGAGGGAGAAACTCGTCTTGGAAGGACTGGGGGTTGGCTGGAGGCCAGCGGATGAACGGTGTTCGGGATAGCCACTTCAGTGCAGAGAAGCTGAGCAGACCTCGGGAGTCTCGCCATGGCATTATACACTCAAGGCATATAGAGATGTGGATACTTGTATCAGCGATGTGATGTTCCAAGTTTACCAGGATATGCATAGTATTTTGAGCATCTACAAAGATGAATAAGTGTTGGAAGTGTTAAGTCACTGCCTCGTATCATGTCCGAGGTCCAAAAAAGTTCAACTACTAAGACATCCACATCAGAATAACGGGAAAAGAAAGCAGTATGGCACAGCCTCATTCACGCCAATCGCATGGATACAAGGACAATCAAAGAAAAGAAAACATAAGGTACACAAAGATACAAGTCTACCAATTTCTTGGTATAGATGCAGGCAAAAGTGAAGAAAAAAGAGCACAAAAAACAACCGCCACCGCAAATGCACTATGCATCATCAACCCACAGCGAATCAATCATCACGCCATAGGCCTGGAACTAGCCATCTCACCATACCGTCCACGACTCCGGGTGGTGTCGTAAGCATTGAGAACACGCATCTGACCACCATCATCGGCCTGAGAGAAGGCGTAACCGCGCTGCTTGCGCATGCGCTGGACCTGGCGAACCTTCCGGATGGCTTTTTGGAACTGCTCCATGCGTGGACGATAATCCTGGACATTGTATTTCTGGATTTCCTGCACGTGATGGTAGTTCTGCGGGTAGTACATGCGCTTGGCATACTTCCAGGCATAGTCGCGTAGCAGGCATATACAAGGCAGGACGATGGCCATCAGGTAGAAAATGGGGGACTTGAAGAGGACGGGGATAGTGCCGTAGTATTCGTTTGAGAATCCCAGGGCCGGGGCGGCGAAACCGTACGCCGGAAGGAAGATCAGCCACAGGGCCATCGACCCTGGGATGGCGATGAAGGTGTATTTCGTCCAGACGTTGGTGATCAGAGCGGCTTTACCGAGAACCGTGGCGAGCACGGCGGTGTATAGAGATTCGCCCCAGACCCAGTGGCCGGCGACTTGGCCGTCGGCCGTGGGGAGGTCCCAGAAGTAGATCAGTTGGGAGACAATGTAGAGCAGGAGAGAATGGAAAAATCCGTTCAGAACCCAGGCCCAGAAGCTGTGCTTCTTGAAGAAGACGCCTTTCTGGCCCAACTGGTACAACTGTGGGTAGCGGTCAAGCAACCGGGCAGAGATGTACTGGTCAAAGATACCCATCGCGAATGGAGGTAGGACAGTGAAGAGCACGTTGTAGAAGGAGAGGGTCCATGATTCGTAAATTACCTCTCCGGAGAAAGCGTTTTGGAAAGAATACTGTGACAAGTCAGATACCGCTGACTATACTGCATCGAAGTTGGACTTACCCAGAATTGAGTCATGTACAGCGTAATGTTCTTGTAGAACGAGTACAAAATGACTCGACTAATGCGAGAGTAACTCCACGCTCCGTGAACGAGGAGCAACTTCCGGAGGAATCGGAACTGGCCAATGGCCACATCAGCAGAGCGTGCGGCCTGGAGGCCTTCAACACCGCTGATGCCGACGCCGACGTGGGCGGCTTGGATCATAGACACATCATTGGCGCCGTCGCCGATAGCCAACAAAAGAGCCTTCTTGTGACGCTTGACAAGCTTAACGACCAACGCCTTTTGAAGGGGAGAGACACGACTAAAGAACATGTCAGTAAATGCCTAGGAAAAAGAAAAGGGACTGAGCACACTTACCAACAAACAACAGCTTTGCAAATCACTGCCAGATCCAAGAACAGCTTCTCCATATCCTTTTCCAGAGCGAAAGTCAATGATCGTCCATCAATGATCAAGGCCAAAGGATCGGCGTCCCCAGAGGCGATTTGGCTCATGACAGCATCCATCTTCTTCTGCAAGCTCGCACGAGTCGCTTCTGCGGACTCTTCGTTGACGATAAGGAGTGTCATGTCTTCCGAGATGAGCTTGCAGGACATGCCGATATTGATCGCAGTCTCCTGCCGGTCACCAGTCAAGACCCAGATTTTGATGCCTGCGGCCTGGAGCGTGTGGATGGTATCCGGAACACCATCCTGCAAGCGATCCTCAATAGCCGTAGCGCCGAGAAGGTAGAAGTCCTTCTCAATCAGTTCAGCCGCCTTATCAAGTTCATCCGCACGGTTGCCACCGACGGTGGTAGAAGCCTTGTCAAAGATCTGGTACCATTGCTGGAACTCGTCTTCGGGGACTTCCCGCATAGCCAGACACAGCGTCCGCAGTCCATCCGAGGCATACTCCTCCAAGTGTTGCAGAGTCGCCTCAACGGTGGGATTATCGGGGTGAAGCCGCTCAAGAATGACCGTATCGGCACCCTTGCAATAAACGCGGACCTTTCCATCGGGGCATCGGAAGATAGTCGACATTCGCTTGCGAGTAGAGTTGAACTCGCACACTGCGAGCAGCTCGTACTCGAGCTGCTGTCCTTCAGTCTCGAAGAGCACAGATCTCGGTTTTCGGTTGGTGAAGCGGAAGCCCAGCGATGCGGCTCCGTCTACCAAAGCACCCTCATCGGGTGAGGCGGCTTGGTACTTGATCACATCGGGATCACTGGCATTTCGCTCGGGAATGACCGTGTGACAGGTGGCAAGAAGGGTGAGGAGCTCACGAATGGCGTTCTGGCTTGGATGCGACTTGAGATTTTCTTTAAGTTGTTTGAAGTCGTGAATACCAACATCGGCGCCATCCTCCGCGGCAGCACGTCGATCTTCAGGAACATCGTCACCATATTGGATGCCCGCAATAGAGACTTGTTTGAATTCCATCATATTGCAGGTCAGGGTGCCAGTTTTGTCAGAGAAAATGTACTCGATCTGGCCAAGCTCTTCGACGAGTGAAGATGTCCGGCAGGTGGCCGGCGTGTCGGTCTTATCGTAGTATATGTCGAGATCGGAATTGATGAGGAATGCCTGGAAATACTTCACAATTTCAATGGTGACGAAGAGGGAGATCGGAACCAAGTTCGAATATAGCACCCAGTAGGTGAAAATGTCCATGATGAACTGCTTGCCCGTGTTGACCGATCCGTAGTCAAGGTATGCAAGTGTATCAGACCTAGTTTTCCGAATAACGAGGTCGCCAACAGAACTGACAACACTCAGAGCGATGAGAATGCTGACAAGCATCAGAATTTGTATGTTGACGGTGCGCTCCACGGCTGTCCGCTTGATTGGGGTTGCTGTCGCATTCCGCATCAATTTTGTCTCGTGGCCACTGAATACCACGATGCCATGAATCCAAGGGGTATTGCGCAAAGTTGCACCACGAAGCAGCAATTGGTCAGGGGCCAAGGGCAACTCTTTCTCGCCGCCTCCAGCATTCATGGTCAAAGTAGCTTCGTAGGTATACAGACTGCTGTTTGGCTGTTCTGACCGAACACGTCCACTCAGACGACTCAGATCACTAGGGCTGACCAGATGCGCGGTCTCCGGAATAGCTTGCTTGATCTTCAGATTGGTTTCGCCATCCAAGTTTGCCGTCTCAATGTAACATAGACCCTCTGGCTCGGATGATGCAAGTAGAACCAGATCAGCTGGGAAAGGCTGCTCGGACTCAACCCGAACTATATCACCAACCACAACATCCACCCACTTTGTATCATGGAAGGAAGATCCCTTGAGAACTTGAGTTTTGGAGAAATTGAGTCCTCTGTCTGACATTCTCCGTTTATAGTCCTCCACCAATTCCTTGATCGCAGACACCGCCAGCACAATAGCCAGCGGGACGATAGTCGTGTATCTGTTCGTCGGCGATACATTGGGGATTTGTTGCAGGACAGCGGTAAACAAGAAGAACAAGTTGGCATACTTGGAGAATTGTTCGAAGAGGAATTTGGGAATAAAGGTAACGATGTTGTACTTGGCCGTCGAGACGTGATTGCTGACGAACCGGTGGACGGAATTTGCAGGCGGGTTGTTGAGCTGGATCATGCGTGGGCCCATTGTCGAAGGATCGGCCTTGCGTCGTCCGAAGATGTTGAGGTCAGATGCGCGGAACTTCTTGCGTTGCTTCGGGGGCGGCACCGGAGAAGCATTACTATCGATCGGTCCCATTCTTGCGCCGCCCTCTGTTAATGGGAGATCCATCTCCGAATATTGCGAGGTTCCCATGCCAAACATGTATTTCGCCCTGCCCATCAATCCACCCCCGAGTCCGAGGACGCTGTTGCGCTGATTTGCCTGGCGAACGCGGTGTGAACTAGCAATCCGGTCTTCATCCGCGTCGAGGTCATAATAACCCGAATGCCCGTCGTCAAAATCGTCCGCGGAGTACCGTCGATAATTGTCGAGTCCAGAGGTCTGGGAGTAGCTCCGATCACGCGCGGAGTAGGGGTCATTAAAATGAAACCCAGGGTTGACAGGCGGATGCGCCGATCCAGAAGCAGCACTGTGTTGCGTGCTGCCCTGGGGCGCACGAGATCCGACAAAATTGTCATAGGAAACGGAAGGACGTGGCTGCGTTTGGGTATACGGTTGCTCGGAGTCGTCGATGTTATAGCGTTGTAGTAGGTGCTCGTCATTCACCGGGGGTCCCTGGCCACTGTTGTACGTGGGTTCGGAATCCAGCAGGAGGTCGTCATCGCGACCAGCGGCTGGATGTGACCCGGGAGGCCTACCGCTGGCCATGATGCCGCGGGGAAGCTGACAGCCTCACTGTTGTAGCACAGTAGCGATGCCCCTGAGGCATTGATCGCAAAAGCAGATCGACGGGAGGCGCGTCGCTCAACCTGCCAAAGTAACGAAGAGGAGAAACGAATGTATGATAAGCAAGTGAATGAATTCGAGGGATTTGGATTGGAAAATGCGGAAGTTGAGGAAGAACGGGGTGGCTTAGCGCGTGAAGGCAACAATTAAGCTATGTTGATTTGATCCGCGGGTAGGCGGTAAAGCGCTTCACGACGATCAAGGAGATCCAGCTACTTGGGGAGATGTTTATGTTAACTACAAAATGGTCTTTATTGCGTTGGTAATTATTGTCTTTATTGGCTCTAATAGTAGTGATATGTTACTCTACACAGTACAGCCCTGAAATGTTGTTGGTTTTGTTGGTCACGTTCAGACAACGAGGTGCAATAAATTGAGCTAATAATAGGGGCCACCTTAGCGCTGTTAGGCCATCTTAGCGCGGGCTGAAACTGCTTCCACGTCTGATTCACAAATACTGTGTATACTGAAACTGTAGTAGAACAGTGTCAGATGGACACGTTTGAAGGCTTCCGAAGCGGAGAATTGCGCTACCAATTAACCTACTGTGTACACATCCACGTCTACACCTACGACAGCACCAGAAAAGTACGTATCCGACCATCTACGAGCTAGTGTGGAGTATTTTCCCAGTCATGAGGATGTCAAATATCTCAGATTGTTGGTCCGGGACACCCATGGTATCATTGATGCAAACGCCATGCAAAACTCCAGTCCCCAGATCATGAAAGTAGTGGTAGTACATGCCGTTCACTCGGGTTGAATCAAGCGGTCATTCGCTGCCCGGGACTCATCAGCCATGCCAAAGTCCGCCCGCTTAGACAGGTCGGCCTGAAGAGCCTTGTCAACGATAGCATTGAGCACCTTGACCTTTTCCCACGCAAGATTTGTCTTGGTAACAATGAGCATAGCATCAATCGGAGCACCGGCGTGCTTCGAGATGTAGCAGACATCACCTGCACTATTGATGCCAATGACAAGGTCTCCCTCCGCTGCCTGTTCCTCCTTCCTAGTAGCATCGACAATGACCTGCTTGCTGTCATTGAAACACTGGAAAGTGACTGCAAGGGGGTTTGTGGGTGATATTGAGTGGCACGGGGACACGCTGCTCCAAGCCGTAGACTATGACACGACCATCTTTGACAACAGAGTCCGGCCGGCGGAAGTGTTGCAGTCCGGCCATGACTCCGATACAGGCTGCATCGGTGATGTTTCCATCAAAATCGATAACGTGAATGTCAGCCCGAATAGCCCAGCAGCTCACACCCTTCAATATGCAAAGGGATTCAGTGTCAAGAGCGTTCGAATGGCGAATGATGCGATCAAGCGCCTCGAGGACGTAAGGCTCGAGATCGTTAGATCTGCAGAGAGGTATGTTAGAAATCGAACCCAGCATTCAATCTGGATGCTGGAATGTCCTTACCGTCCATTTTCCCAGGCGGGGGAGCCCATATTACTTAGCTCCATGTTGATGTTGAAGGAACCATCGAAAGGCCTGTCTTCAAATGGCTTGGTAATTTCGGCGGAAATCCGAACAATGATGCTAGAAGATGCAGTTAGTGACTTCGATGTGCTATGGATCAAACAACGATACCGTACTCACCTCGTCTTCCCAAGCTGCAACTTCACATGTCCGTATTCTTCACCAAAGGAAATGTTCAGAGGACGATACTCATCGAATTGGCGGCCATCAAGACGTAGGTTCTGACCCAGCGCCTCAAGAATGAAGTCGCGCTCCGGAATGGAGAGCGGCTCTTCCCTCGACGACATACTTGGCTGTGGTCTGGCGGGTTCGATAAAGTTGGTTGGCTTTTGAGCCGCCTCTTTTGGGTGTGCAGGCCGCATTTTGCCGTTTCGGAAATGAGTTAGTCCGTAAGTTGCGCCAATGGGCGTAAGGATTGGTGGGCGGTGGGGAAAAAGCTGCGGGGCCCGGCGCCTGAGGCGACAATCTTATCAAAAGCAGGAAGAGACCGCCTTGGAAACCGCCTCGGAGACCAGCTCGGAAACTGCCAATCTCCTAGGACTTCCTTCCACAAAGCAATCCGCACCACAAAATGACTACCGGTATGCTACTGAAATTGAGGCCTGGGATCTAGAAATTGCATAGCTAACAGTTTCCAGCTCACCGACCTACCTTTGACCCGGTACGACAGCTTATCTTAATCCAATGCTTCAAGACTAACTGAATACAACAGGCGCAAGGCAAAGAAGCCCTTCGCGGCCCGGCTTACCACCAGCGACTTCTGCCTGCGCATAAACATCTGAAAGTTCGGTATGCAGAACGATGATTCGCAAGGCCGTACATATCATTGACCCTCTATTAGGCAACCTGGACAAGGCGGCGACGCCGACCCATCGCCCCGTGACCTTCGCGCCGAGCTTCTCCAGGCTGAAGCAGCACACTTTGCCAAGAAGAATGGCATTCCAGTCGATCAGCCGACTATCGCCGACTCAGTCCCCAAGCGACAGCTCGAAGCTGCACCCCAGGATGGAACCGATGGCGACATCCAGGAAGAAGACCCAGAGGCCAAGCGCCGGCGCATATTGGAGGAGACGCGCGACATAGACGCCGATTCAGATGCCTCAGAAGAAGACAGCAGTGATGAGGATAGGTGGGTCGAGTCCAGTCTATCCTTTCCCTGAGGCGACAGAACTGACAAAGTACAGCGACGAGGAAGATGAAGCAGCCGAGTTAATGCGCGAGCTTGAAAAGATCAAGAAAGAGAGATTAGAGCAAAAGGAGAAAGAGGTACTTCGCGCTTCGCATCTACATTTCAATAACGGCGGCTAATATACAGTAGGAGCGTGAACGGGCAGCAGAGGAAGAGGAGAAACGAGAGGTAGACATTGCACGCGGCAATCCTCTATTGAATTCCCAAGATTTCAACATGAAGCGACGCTGGGATGACGATGTCGTATTCAAGAATCAGGCTCGAGGCACTGAGAACAGAGATGGCAAGGAATTTGTCAACGTATGCTGATCCGCTATACTTTGCTTTGAGGCCTGGACTAATCTTCTTGCAGGACCTCCTTCGTTCTGACTTCCACAAACGTTTCATGGTATGTCCTGTATTCACTACTCTTGATATACATTCACTGACCAGGTTTTTAAGGGCAAATACGTGCGGTAAACGCTCCTAGGACACATGGCCATCAATTACACAGATATTTCAATTTAGCGAATGGATGTTATTTTCCCCCTCTCCGTTTTACCAAAGCCACGCAGTCTTCCGTACCGACCATATCTACCACGTACGATCTGCATATTGCGCTCAAAACTGAACGACTTTGACTTCAATGCTGTGTCCACTGGTCTGCGCAAAAGGAGCTCCACATTGACGATGGAATGGATGCACTAGTTGCAGGGCAGTAAAGATACCTGCTCAACCCGGGTCTTATGGAAATTCACCGATCAGCCAAGGTGACTGATGGAAAGAGAGATCAAGTCTCTGGGGAGGACCCAGTGACCCCGGGATCAAGCCTGACTAGGAGGACAGGGGACGCACCAATTTCCTAGAAATGGCCATCAAACTTCAAAGTCCAAAGGATGAATTTATGAAAATTCATGAAGCTGGAATCAAGACTAGAGTGGGAGCATGAATCTACCTAACGCATCGAACCCATTTTCTTCTACTGTGTATGTACTGTGTAGACTGTAGACCGTGCCTTGAAGTGGCAGAATTATTTCAGCGGCAGAACATCAAGGTAGCCCTAAAGTAGGGATCGCGGTGCCTTATTGTCAGCTCACAGTTTATATTTCGTATTATTTTGTAAAACTTGATTATAATTATTCCCTTATGCTGTATGACACCCTTTTCACAAGTTGATTGCAATTTTGACACTAGAAGGGTGATCCCAGGAAGGTCGGACTTCACCTGACTCCTACTGTGTACGTAAAAGAAACATACCTGTTTGTAGTAGGCGGTCAAAGAAAAGCTTTGTCTATCACACTATTTAATTGGTCACACGAGAGAGCGGTCACCCATCACTGTCCAATACTTTTCCTCCTCGCGCCACCGCCTACGATAGCCACCCTTGAACGTTATCGGTTCTAATCAAGATGAAGCAGAAGCCATCCTCCGAAGCTCGGAAGCATTCACCTTCGAGTCCAAAGCGCAACGTAGTTCCAACTATAGAAACCGAAGCCGATATGACCGACACATCACTGACTCCCCAGGTGATGCACAGTATGTATCGTCCAAATTGGCCCACCATGACGACGTTGTATTCATGGCCGCTAACAAACGCTTTCATCAGATCGGATCAACGCCAATATCTCGCAATTGCTCCAACGCTTCGAGAACATCATCGCTACTGCGGCTGTAAGCTTTGCCTCAGAACTTGGAGACACTGCAATATTAACACCTTGAAACAGGCCGAGAATACCAGCCACACGTCCACCGCAGTTGAGTCCTACCAGATGGATGTTGACACCTCCGCCTTGGTAAGTTAATACGCAAAGTACCCTTTCCACGCGGTCGCCTACGGGAAACTCCAGAGACTTGTCAAGTTGTATGAACGAACAAGACTAACATGTACATTTTGCTACCTTAGATCCACGCAGCTGAGGACCTGCATGCCTTGACCCGCACCATGAAAGAGCTCTGGCTCTTCGGTAAACTCGATACTCTCGGTGAAGACGAGCGCGACGTTCAGCGCCGTGAGCAGATGCAGGAGAATGTGCGCGTACTTCAGGAAAAACTGGCCGAGGCGATGTCGAAGATCGTGGAGGATAAGTAAGAACAGATCTCCCGAGGTTGTTCCATTGTGTAGCTTCCATATTTTTGTCTTGAAGCTGTTTTCGCGTGTGATACCCACAGGTTCTTTGCGTCTGGCGTTTGACTGGTGTTACGGCGACTCGGCGAGCTCAGTTTACTTGCGATATCTCGAATTCAAAGTCTTCAATTTTCCTTTCTTGTTTCTTCTCTCCAATTAATCGCAAGCGATGACGTTCATCCTATTGGATCTTCACGAGCCTTGGAAATACCTTCGCAATTGAAAGCAAACTAAAATAACCCACCATCTTCAAGCCAAAGCTGTTAAGCGCGGGGCGATAAGCATCCGACAGATAAGCATCTCGACCCCCGCGACGCGACGCGAATCCTCCGAACATTCATCCCCCAAAGTCCACTTGAACCACCTCAAAAGAACCTCTTTACACCAAAACCCCAATCTCAAATAAACCAGCACAATCCACCAAAATGCCACCACACAACCCACCGCCCCTCCCTCCCCCTGACCCTAGTGGTAGCAACAACCCCAATCCGCACCGCGTCGACAACAACCAAAGACGAAACAACACGCCTAGGCATCGGCCTAAAAGGCACCCTCCCCTGGCCACGCATAAAAACCGACATGTCCTTCTTCGCGCGTGTAACATCTCGCCCGCCCACCCCGGGTACCACCAACGCAATCATCATGGGCCGGAAGACCTACGACTCGGTCCCCGCATCACTGCGTCCGCTCGCGAAGCGCATCAACGTCGTCATCACCCGCGACACGACCGGGTCCGTGCGTGAGGGCGTAGTGGCCGAATTAGAGAAAAGGAAGGCTAAAATCGCTGCTAAGGCTGTTGAGGCTAGGGCGCTGGCTCAGGCGACGAGTGCGGAGAAGGAGGCGTTAGAGCCTAAGGGGGCTGGGGGTGATTTGTCGGAGCCGGTGACGGATGCGATTGTGACGCCGAGTTTGGGGAAGGCGTTGGAGACTTTGGATTCTGTTTATGGGGCGAAGGGGACGTTGGGGAAGATTTTTGTCATTGGTGGTGCGGAGATTTATAATGCTACGATTAATATGCAGGCGGAGGAGCTAAGGGGAAGGGCTGTTAGGGTTGTTATGACGAATGTGGTGAGGAAGCGGGAGGAAGGTGTGCCTGTTTCTTTTGAGTGTGATACTTTCTTTCCGTTGGATGGGCTTGATGAGGGGAATGGTTGGCGGGCTGCGAGCCCTAAGGAGGTTTCTGAGTGGGTTGGGGAGGAGGTTGATGGGGAGTGGAAGGTGGAGGGGGATGTTGAGGTCCAGATGGTTGGATTTGAGAAAGTGGTTTAGTTTAGGGGACCTCAATTCTGTGGATATTGGAAGATGGAGTTGGATATTCAATTCGGATTCCACGCGCTTAGCGAACAAAGGATTCATGAGCAACAAGGACATGGGAAAATGTACAATGCCAATGGTAGATGAGTGAGCGCATAAATAGATGAATATAGAATGAGAGCACATGCAAGGCTATGCAAAACAGTTGAATTAGAGTGTGTCGAAAACGCCCGAGAATGCGAATCAAAAACATCGCAACGGATGATGAATGTTCATCACCTAGTCACTATTCTCCTTCATGAATTTGACGAACGACTTCTTGTGCACCAAGCCGGCATATTTTCCGTCCTGGGTAACGCACAGGTAGCGAAGGCCCAATTTGGCAAAGCATTGGTAGACCAAGTCGATAGGGGAGTGCACATCAAGAGCAATGGGAGCCTAAACCTCGTTAATAACACTCAATATGTTGGGTAGATTGTCCAGACTTACCGGGTCAATGTACCTACTGAAATCTACATGCTCGAGATCCTCGTTCTCGCTGTCATAAACGGCCATGGAAGCGTCCATGTTCATCAGACAGAGTGTATTCTCCTCCTCCTCGCCCAGCGTATCAAGAGCGTACTCAAGATCAGGTGCTGGGATCAAACCGGTTAGAACCCCATCACGTAAGATGGGAAGTCCGCTATCCAGCTCGCCGGCCATGAGCAGATGTTCCAGTTTCGCGCGAAGTTCTGGGGCTGGCAGGAACGGCGAAGCAGAGATATCGATCATGCGCTTCTTTTGCACGGGGCGGACAATGTCTCCCAGCTCGGCATCCGTAGTAGGTTGGAGTTTGCTATCCAAAAAGGGGTAGGAGTTCATGTCGGTCAAGAGGTCCTAGTTTCATTAGCGTCTGATTTGGGGATCAGATAGGAGGGCAATACTTACATAGATACTGCGAGGCTCGATAGCATCTGCAGTCCACTTTGCGCAAAGCACCGACAGGGAGAAGGGAAGGACGTGATCGAGACTTCCAGTCAGTTCAAATAGAATCACAGGCAAAGTGACTGACAGTCGGGTAACGCCACACATCGTTGCTCCGGCGGCAATCAACGCGTATACTCCTGGAGTCACGCATGACTCGATGCCGGGACCCGCAGGACATGATTCAAAGAAGAAAAAGGTGGGATGTCTAAGGGCCCAGTACTGGATCAAGTGCCCGACAATCCGGCCCATCAGGCCACCAACCACCATGGATGGCACATAGATACCCGCAGGAACTTTGATGCCGAACGTGATAATGGTCAGGAAACTCTTGATAACGAATGCCACCAGAAGTTCCTGGACAATTTCGAGAATGCCATCGGCCCGGGCACAAAGCCCTGTGCTCTCCACGTCCGCTTCACATGGGCTAGCTAGTTCAAACAGAAGCTCTGTGACAGGAAGCCTGGTGTATCGGTTCCAGAAGCTGACCAGACCTGTCACCAATGCAACGAGGAAAACTTCAAACATTGGTCCCTGCTTAATGGCCGGGATGCGACGGAACGATCTTGCCCACAGGCTCGAAGCTTTGATGAAGAGTGCACCGGCGGCGCCACCCATGATACCAAGGATTATGAACACGGAGATCTCGAAGAATCGCCAGTCAGACAGGTATCGGACTTCAAACAGCACGACCTTTCCTGTTCCATACGGATTGAGGAACTTGAGAGACAGGGTAGCTGCAATGCAGCAGAAAAACGTTCGGAATAGGGTCTTCGGCGGGAAGTAATAGCTGACTTCTTCCAAGCTGAAGAGCACGCCGCCAATCGGAGCACCAAAGGCAACAGCCACACCGCTAGCAGCACTGGCACTCAAGACCTCTCGTCGTTTTCCGTCGTTCTGATTATACTTGGCAAACAGACGACAGCAGATGTTGCCGACGCAGGTGGCAATGTGAACGTACGGGCCCTCCTTGCCTAAACTCAAACCAGAAGACACACTAAAGACCAGTGCAATCGTCTTAACGATGAGCGTCTTGAGTCCCATATATCCATGAAGAACAAAGCCGCTGTTAATGACCTTGACCTCTGCCACTCCACTGCCAGCAGCAGAGTAAAACACCATAGCTGGACGCGGTGGGCGGTTGGGTAAACTTCCATGCGGCGGAGTCACCTCTGCATCGTCCGAAAGAGGAGAAGTCGAGGCATCGAATGTGTTTCCAGATTTCGAGCCATTAGAGTCGGCCCCCAGGTTCTCATCAAGTGTAGCAAGAGAAACGGACGATGGCACCACAGTCTTCGTGAGCATAGTCAAAGCACATGATATAAGCGCCAGTGATATAACCCAAAAGATAAACATGAAAAAGTCCACCCATTGGGTGTCATCGGATGCACCGAAGATCCTGGACCAGGGCCGCCATTCATCGCACATAGCCAGCCCCTCGCAGCAGCTCCGTCGATTACGCAAGGATTTAGTCGTGCAGAAGCCTTCTTTAAGATCAAACACTGATCCCTCGGTGACATCGACGAAATAGGCAATAGATGCTGTGATGCATCCAATAAGCGCAACCAGAATCCACCCTTGTGCACCGTCGAAGGCCGCCAGCAGTCGCCCTCGCACATCTTTCCGCTGGCGCAGTAGACGAAGCCTGGCTCCGTCGGCGATGCTATCATGCACCCAGTCCGTAGAAGTGAACTGATCGTACCACGTCCGCTCATCCAGAAACGCAGAGGCGGTCAAATTGTCCTTCGTGGACGGGGGCAGGCTGGCGGGTCGACTATCGCCATCTATGCTCCCGCGTCGACTTAACCGCTTGTGTGTGGAGTTGGCACGACTATGGTTTCGAGTGCGCCGCAGGCTGCCGGCTGCCAGAAGGTGTCGGAAGGAGTCTGGGCCTGCACCCGATACCCCAGAAGTGCTGGTATAGGACCGTCGGGGAGCTCGTCGCCGTGCATCCTGGGCCGACCCGAGGAGGCTCGTTGTCTCTGTGATTTCCAAGGGCGCATCGAGCGACTGATACTCGGTGTGTGTTTCGGAGAGGTAGCTTTGTGATCGTCTGTAGGCATTCGGAGACGGGGGCGCTGTTCGGGTTGTGGGTGTGTTATCGGTATCCCCTTGCTCGCGCGAGGCAAAGCTGGGCTTAGGAAGAGACCGAGGCATGTCGCCGAGAAGCGTTTATGCTTCTGTTCTGTGCAGTTGGGCTAGGAATGGTCAGTTCAATAGGACTTGGAGATATGGCAGATCAGATCGACATAAGCTGCGGTGAAACAAAGCTCATACGAGCAAACAAAGCAACGTGCTCGACTTACTGAGTAACATATCTCTATCCCTCTTCGATATTATTTCTCGGTCCCCGTCGATGCAAATAAAAGGAAGAAACAGGAAGCAAGAGAAAGGAAACCAGGAGGTGAGAGAAGCCGAGTTTAAGGTGTGACTATCCCAGATGATCGCCCAAATGGCGGAACGCGTCAGGTGCCAACACTGACCCCCTCTTGCAACTGATCGATGACTTCAATCTTGGGATCATCTTGCCTGTCTTTAATCTATTCTACGACTATATATATATCTCCATAAATGCTTCGCTGATGATTTGTTGATTTAGCCTCGTCATTGTCGCATTCCTCAGATGATCCCCGCGTTTTCCGCCGATCAACTCGTACGGCCGGGACAAAGCGTCCGGGACTTGTCGCTGCAGTGGATGCAGCGGAAGGCAAAGTTTTGGGCGCCTCAACGGCGTGTGGAATGCACATTCTTGATTTGACAGGATGCAGCCACTTCAGGTGCAGCAACCTTGTTCGCTGTGCGTTTGGATCGAAAGGTCCATGCCATAGTAAAGCAAAGGCATCGGAAGAACGCCTTCGTTTGACTGGAGAAGGGTGTCGGAGACATGTGTCTGCGTCGTCTTCCCGGCCTCTTATGCCAAACACAGCGCCAAGAGCATCTGTAGCATCTGAGTCACTGAGCTACAGTTGCCCACAGATGGAACTTGGAAGGGGACCTTGCACCAAATGCCGTCCACTTTGATCGTCATCCGACGCTGATCTCTTGGCATATTTGGTGAAGTTTGACTACCGCACGGCACTCTCTAAGGTCCGGTTGTTTGAATAGGAGCAAGTTGCCAGGGGAGAGTAGACATCGCTGGTCCCTGCCCAGTGACTGCAATTCTCCAGCATACAAGCCACATTAAGCGAAGCCCTGTATCGAGACTCAATACACAATAAGCTTTCAATGCTGTCGCACGGTAAGGCCGCCTAAGGCGTGCAGAGATCGCTCGGTATGTTCCGATCTCGATCTCACAGGGTCCCAGGGTCCCCCCGCCAACATTTCCAGAAGGTTAACCATAATCTCATCGCGCAAATAACCAGAGGAAGTCAGGATTTGTCTCAGTCCTTGTTGATTAGTCTGATGCCTCGATATAAGGCCAGTAGATTCCTCTGAAGGGATCAGAGACAGTTCCTTAGAATTGGGAGGATGAAGTATGCAGCATGCAAATCCATGAGGCTCTTCTCTATAACTGCTAGGAGGAAAGGATGACAAGATGAATATCTTCAATCAGCAATACAGAGAATGGCATACCCGAGATTGAGAAAAGCTCCAAAGAGAGTCATGTGACTATCAAGAGTGTTCTAGTAAGGTACGTTCTCTGTTGTGTTGTGTTCCTCTTTGGGCGCGGGGTTAGGGTGGAGCTGCCGTCCACAATCAAAGTGGATAAAAAGGATAAATGAGGATGTCTACCCAGTGTTCTTCTACCATCTTACTTCTTCTTACTTCTCACCTTCCATCGTCTCATCTGTTCCAAACTCGACTACTCCAGCTGCCTACTCCAGCTGCCTACACCAAACAAATAACACAAACTATCTTCCAAACTGACCATCACCGCATCATGACCGCCAAAACCCAGGGAATCGAGGATGCATTCAAACCGTACGACCAGTTCATTCTCTTCGGAGACTCGATCACACAGATGAGCTGCAACCAAGATCTGGGTTTCGCATTCCATGCAGCCGTTCAAGACTGTGCGTCAGACACCTAGTAACTTCCGGTCGGATATACGTGTCAACAAACTGATAGAAACACAGCCTATAGTCGAAGATTGGATGTGGTCAATCGTGGCCTATCGTAAGTCCATCCAGTCATACCGGAGGGAACCATGCTAAAAAATTTCATAGTGGCTACAACTCTGCTCATGCAGTCAAGGTGTTCGATAAGTTCTTCCCTGCGCCGCAGACAGCTACTGTGCGGTTCATGGTAAGCCCCCTGTATTGACAGCCCAATTTGAAATCTCCGTACGAAAAGGACCAATCGACTGACCCGGTGTAGACCATCTTTTTTGGCGCCAACGATGCTTGTGTTCCAGGCCTCAGCCAGCATGTCCCCTTGGACCAATATGAAAAGAACCTCAAAACAATTATCCAGCACCCAGCAACGCGTGCACAGAACCCGCGGCTCATTCTAATCACCCCGCCGCCTGTCAATGAACACCAACTGGAGGGTTTCGATGCTTCTAAAGACACCCCATTCCCAAGCAGAACTGCTATCTTGACCAAGTCATATGCAGCAGCTGCGCGAGAACTCGGTGTATCGCTCAACATTCCGGTAGTAGATTTGTGGTCGGCTTTCATGAAACCCGCTGGTTGGAAAGAAGGAGAGCCCTTGATTGGGTCTCACGAAGTGCCTAATAACGAGACATTCGCCAGTCTTTTCACCGATGGTGAGTCAGAAACTATTTATCGTTTTGCCTCGTGCTTACTTGTCATACAGGGCTGCATTTAGCACCGGCTGGAAACCGTATCGTCTACGAAGAATTGATGAAGGTAATCCACGCCAATTGGCCGGATCAGACTCCGGAAGCTCTTCCGATGGTGTTCCCCTCATGGGAGGTTGCCCCGAAATGAGAGTACAGTAAATCGCAGGTTGTGCCTGTGGCATTATAGGTATATACCAATGTGGTGAAATCTTAAACCAGTGATTGGTACGATATCATGAATTACCTAGGTAGACGTATGAACTGCACTCAACATATATGGGAAAACACGCAAATAGAGTACAAATACAGTGGCGGTTGACTCGTGTGGAGTACATAGTAGGTATTAAGGCCGTAGAGCCCGTGCGGGCGGGCGGTCTAGCCCTTCGTCCCTCCTCAATCCTCTTCTCCGCAAACTACTTACTTCTTCATCCATCACGACCCCCCTTCCATAGCTTCCTTCTTTACTCCGTCTACTCCTTCTACTCTTTCTTCACTAGCAGCGTCCTCCTTTCTTGCTAGTCCTTGATCAAAAATATCCCTCGATAACAAGGAACCTCGCAATCACGCGTTACGCGCAATTTGGCTAGCAGTTCGATCATCGACTGCCGGTTATTCACGACTGGTGACTAGCACACCACAAACCCTACGCCACCGAATACTTTATCGCATCAAAAAAAATATTCGGGCGCGCGTGTGTTCTTCATAAATAAAAGCATTGAAATATCCGACGCGATACCCTGCCTCCGATCTCGACCGTCTTGAAACGCGTTCCTCATCTGTATCAACGTTTCCAATCTTGCACCAACTGCTGGATGTTTTAAGAAGGTCCCCGATAAGTGCCCTTCGCAGACAGGGTGGACGGCCGGTGGGCCGTCTCACGGATTGCAGGCGGGCGGAGATCATTGGAGAAAGTGTGCTGTAAAAGTGACTCTTTCCTGCTCTTAGGGCACGAGTAACGACCGCCGTCAGTTCAACTAGCCACGTGACTTACATTCAATTACACTTTTTGTCTTGAAGCTCCATTACTACATTGGCGATGGATGCCCAATATCCTTTTGCTTCCCGTGACGACATTTGGCGTGTCTTTGACGAACTGAAAGAGCTACACATCACCCTGTACGAGCAAAGCGAACGGATCTCACAGCTAGAGCGTCGTCGTGACGAGGATGCCCGCTTGAGAAATCTTTGGGGACCTGTCTCGCCGTTCCCGACCCCGGCTGCACCAATCACTCCAGGAAGTCCCCCTCTACCTTCCCGGATCAGCTCTCCACTCACCAAGGCAGCCAATCCGGATCCCGTTTTTCATGCCCCCCCTGACGCTTTTAAGGGATTCGATCAGGGTCATCATTCGGCGATGGCCACCTCTGCAGTGGGATTTGATGGCGAGGAGGAGCCTAGACGGGGTGCATCTCGAGCCAACAGCGTCCGTTTTGACGAAAGCGCTATTCACGGGTACGGCCAAGCCAGCCGTCCCGGCACTGAACTTCCTGTCCGTACTGGTAGTGGATTGAGCACCCACCCGCTTCTTGAGCGGACATTCTCTCACCAATCTGATGGACGCTTGAGCTCATCTGGTCATTCACACCATTCTGCTCGGACCAATAGCCTGCGTCTGATCACCCGGCTGTCAGGTACCACACCAATTGAGTCTCCCTTGATTCCTCCTCCTGGCCTCTTTTTGCTGGGACCGGTTCCGTCAATTGTTCGATGCTGGTTGACCGACAATTTTACCAACGGCTCACTTTTGTATGCAGCCGTCTGTTCGGGCTCTTATATCTCAACTTTGAGCCTCTCCATGGTCCGCAATGTTGGTATGGAGAACATGATTGTGCAGGAGGACGATATCCAGTACATCAAACTTCCGCTCTATCTTCCGGAAGCCCTAATTCATCCTTCATCGTCACGCCCTGGAACTCCAACTCACCAAGTCCCTGCTGTGACCATCCGTTTCGTGGTTCGTGATACAGAGGTCGGCAGCAATTCGATTCAGATAATCATTGGAAGCGACGTGATGCGCGCTCACAATGCCGACATCTTATTTTCACAAGATAAGTTGGTCATGGTAGATGATGAGCACAACCGTATTTCTGTGCCTCTGGTGCGTCCTGAGCAGGATTCGGTCTTCAAATCCCTATGCACTTCTGGTACTCCTGATTCCGGAGATTCACTCGAACCTCCTACTAACGGACAATCGTCCGTTGGAATCATTGGACGGCCTTCCAACACTCAGCGGAAGCTGACACCAGCGATTCCGGTAGCTCCGCGACCCGGCAAGGAGAATAAAGACCCCGAAAAGCATGACTTGCCGAATAACCACACTCAAGATCATGGTTCAATTAGCACGCGTCCAGCCACCACTCAGGCGCCGACTTCTGAAACTGCCACCACTGGCGGAATCCCCGCTTGGAGCACTTGGCGTCGCGATTTTAAGAAACCCACTGCAACTACCCCCCAAAAACACGCTGAAAAGCGAGAGATGAAAGTATTCCGAAAGTCTGCTAGTCGTGCGAACTCGACTGCTTCGTCCGCCCCTGGTACTGCCAACTCTGAGCAGGCTGACAGATCGTCTCTGCTAACAAGTTCAACCTATCAGCCAACCACTCCCTCTGACAAGAATGGGGCGGCTAACCCTGTTGGCGGTGCATCGGCGTTTGGATGGCTCCACTCGGCCGCTTCTCAGAATGCCTCGTCCTAGATGGAACAAACTAGGACTGAGTTTTATGTATGGTTACAACCGGATCTGAAACGATCTCGTGGCAAATCAAGCAATATGGACCAGATCAGGTGCTGAGTTCAACGCTGCCAACTGGGAGAAAGGCCCAGTGTCAGCTTGCAACATGTTATGATGAACAAATTCCATAGCAGCGGGAAATGAGACCGCATACTTTAAACAAATGAAAAAGAAGCAATATTGCTCAATTCACATGGCCACAGCCAGAACTGATTATAAGACCGTATTCCACATGATGTAGACAAGACCTACAAACCGTACAGTCGAGCAAGCCCACTTCCACCCAATAAACCCCCCAAAGCCTCTGCAAATTAAATCTTACAAAAAGCCCCCAAAGCCTTCTTAGTACTCTCCTTCGTCTCCTTAACAAGCCCACTAATAGTCCTGAAAGCCTCATGCTCCGCACCCCCAATAATCTCAAAAAGCACACTCTCACTACTCGTCACAACAGCCCCCGCATCCCTCAGTCTAGCAAGCGCAACACCCCTCTCCTCAGGGTTAATACTACTAACGCCATCAACGAGGACGTAAACACGGTGTCCGCGCTCCAGAAGATCGAGCGTCGTCTGCGTTACGCAAATATGCGTCTCAAGCCCAACGATAATCGCGTCCAGCGGCGGCGAGCCGGCAGCTGGAAGCAGGTTCTCGATTTCTGGAGTGATCATTGAGAACAGGCCTTTGTCGATGTCGGCGCGGATGTGTGGGCCGGTTAGGTGTTGTTGCAGCTCGGAGACGGTATTGCCGAGTTTGGCGCGCTTTTGGGTTGTTGCGTAGACGGGCATTTTTAGGGCTGTTGCGGCGCGGAGCATCTTTTCGCTTGTTGAGACGCTGTGGATTTCTTGGTTAGGGTTGGGTTTTGGATGATTGGGGGTGGGATGGGAGGGGAGGGAGGTTTTACAGTTTGGGGAACTCGTAGATGTCATTGCGGAATTTTTCTTGGATATCGCAGATGCTGGTTGAAATGATATGTTAGTGCTTGGGTTTTCTTCTTGGGTTGCATGTTGGTTTTGTGCATACAAGAGTGCGGGATTGCCTGGTGGAAGGGTTGGTTAGTGGGTTGCATTGTGGATGTGGGAATCTGGGGATCTCACGGATTCGAGAGGCACGAGTGAGGGCAGCCATGATTGCAGTTGTTCTGGAGGTAATTACTGTGTGAGGATTGAGGGTTAGACGAGGACGAGGAAGAAAGTTGAAGTAGAGCAGAGCGGGGGACGCCGCGGGGAATCGGAGTCGGAGATGCGGGGAAGGAGCCGGCCGAGAGAATCACCCGCGGTTGGTCTGAGAGGCCTCAGTGGGTTTGGTCGTTGTGCATCTCCCTTTAGAGGTAATGACTTTCAAATTTAAAGCTTTTCATCGGATATGTACATAATGCTTCTCTATTGATCTAAGACTTTTACAGCTTCACCTCATGCACCTTAGCCCGGCCGACAAACCAGCTGTCGTCGCCTTTTGCCGCTGCTGTGCGGATGGCGTACAACTCGTCGAGGAATGCCGGCACAAAGCTGCCTGGACCACGAACATACTCTTTGGATGCTGCATTTTCCGCTGCGATCTCGTACATGAGAATGCCGGATAGCACGGCCAGGAGTCTGTCAGAGCGATGGGCAGCCAGGAAACAGCCGGAGATTGTGCCAATGGCACAGCCAGTCTGTGGAACCATGTTAGCTATAGTCTGGGGAAAGTTAGGGGAGGTCTCGTACTCCGGTGACCTGGCCCAAGTATGGGTGGCCATTCTTCACGGCAATGACCCGCTCGCCATCGCTGAGGTAGTCTGTCGCTCCGGTAAGGAGCACGATATTTCCTAAGTGATGTTAGAACGGAACAATTAGAGCAAAAAGGCACTGGAGGTACTCACGCTCCCTGCGGGCCAGGTCCCGAGCCAAAGTGGCTTTCTGGTTGCCGTCAAGAGTGCTCGGCCCGCTGTCGACACCGCGCTGCTGCACAGCGTTGCTACCCCAAACTTGGCGAATCTCGCCCTCGTTGCCCTTGATCAAATCAAAGTAACCACCGGCCATGAGCTGGTTCACTGCATTGCGGCGAATTTTCGTCGCAGCCGCACCGACTGGGTCGTATACCACTGGGTTGCCTCGCAAATTGTATGCAGCCATAGCTTTCAGATAGTTGGAGACACTTTCGCTGGTCAGGGTTCCCATATTGATTAGAAGAGAGCCATCAAAGTTGCACAAATCTGTGGCTTCATCGCCGTATGGAGACATGATGGGAGATGCGCCGCTATGTATAATCAGTATAAGGAAATGGCGCGGCTCGGAGCAATGAACTTACATGGAAAGGGCAACGTTGGCCACAAAGTTCATAACTACGGAATTGATCATGTTGTGTACGAGGGGATGCACCTCGACCATCTTGCGGACGATTTTGGGCACATCATTTAACAGAGCCTCGGCCTCATTAACTCGAGGGGAGTTGGAAGTCAGAGCGAACCGGGGAGGATTTTTGATGAGCTCGACAAACTTCTCGGCGGACGCTTTGGGGTCGTCTGCTGCTATTATAGCACTGACAATCGCCACTCCATCCAAGCCTTTCTTTGCTGACTGAGACTGGTAGATCACTCGCTGCACGTTGGAGTGGTTGATCCCACCAATGGACACAGTGCCCACACCAGAGTCTTTAATGGCATCTAGAATAGCTTGAGTACCTGCCGTGCCAATGACATTCTTGGTATTCGTTTTACTATGAGTGGTCAGCATCGACGGCCGCAGGTGTAGGCTACTAGACTTGCAAACTTACGTGGCGGTGGCAAACATAGTTCCAATTCCGAGATAGTCGGCGCCATCTGCGACAGCTTTTTGAGCCTCTTCTATTGTGGATGCCGAGATACCAATGATGGCGTCCTTGGGGAGAAGCCTTTTGGCTTGCTCAAACACTGAATCTGATGTCAGCGCATGAAACTTCCATTAGATCGAGGCAACGAACACATGTCATCTTGACCTAAGTGCACGCCTTCAGCTCCGATGGCAAGAGCCACGTCAACCCGGTCATTGATTAGAAGAGGCACATTGAATTTCTTGGTGATCTGGTGTAGTTTCCGGGCAATTTCTATCTGGACTCCAGTGTCATTGAATTTGTCCCGATATTGCACCACCGTCACGCCTAACGGAGAAATTAGTCAAGTGCTTAACAGGCCGGGAACAAGACTGACCTCCTTCGAGAGCACTTTCCACTACTTCACATAGGTCTCGTCCCTTGAGAATGGCCGGGGTCGCATCCGTGACCAAATAGAGTGACAGATCTACGGGCATGATGTCCTGGCCTTCCGGAGAAAGGTAGAACCGTAGAGTTAAAGGTCGGAGTAATCGGCCGTCGTTCAATCAGATTGAGACAAGTACCAGATTCGACGAGGTCAGCAGGCTATTGTACGACACAAATGACCAGTTACTGAAGGAGATTGCCGGTTGTGTGTCCGTAGTGGGGTTGCAGGTTCGGCCTGGGACTCATGATTCATCCGGTGGACGGAGTACTGCGTAGGTACATTTCCTTTACATTTCACTACTCCCATATGTTCATTGTTCATTGTTGCCAGTTGCTTTGAAAGACTTATTGGAACAATTCGAAATTCAATTCGGAGATTACTCCCCTGAAACAGCCAGGATCTTGCATTCAAATGTGGTCCATTACCCGTAACTCCGAGTTATCTCCAGCACGTGATAGCTGACATAACCCTGATTTGTCACTTATTTCTGCCGGGTTTTTCCTTTTCTTCTTCTTTTTAACAACACACACACAAACACTCACGGGCATCGAATTATTCTTCGACGCCATCACTTTACTGCGTGGACTCACAGTTCTACGCTCTTCATTTCCCCATCACTGGTTAGTTCGGCATCGCCATCATCACTTTTCACCATCCGCCAAAAGGTCTCCGACCTCTGACTCGGATTTTTCAAAGAACTTGGAACTTTTCCAGAAATTCACACGCCCAGGAGTTTCTTGCGAACTTGTCTATGTATTCGTCCTCCGTCCAAAATTTCGAACATCACCTGCCGCTCAAGCTGCAAACGTTTCGCGCGCCGAAACCTTGCAGCATACACCTTAGATCTTGTGGCTGAAATTCCCGGATCTTTCCTCTACCCTCTGTGACGACTCCCTGAGAAATCACTCCGTATACACCAAACCAAAAAGAGAAACTTGACACGCATGTCTTGTTCCGTCAACAAAAATCTCATCCAGAATCCCTCCAGCTTTCTTTTAAGCAATCTCACTGTTCCCTTCTCGTGAAACAATCGCTCAATTAAACCGTCACCATGGCTACCGTTAACATTCGCCGGGATGTCACCGATCCCTTCTACCGCTACAAGATGGAGAAGCTCCAGGCCAAGGTCGAGGGCAAAGGTAATGGCATCAAGACCGTTGTCGTCAACCTGAACTCGGTTGCTCAGTCTCTCAGCCGTCCTCCTGCGTATCTCATCAAGTACTTCGGCTTTGAACTGGGTGCCCAGGCTAATGCTAAGCCCTCCGACGACCGTTGGATCATCAACGGTTCTCACGACGCACCTAAGCTCCAGGATTACCTCGATGGATTCATCGCTAAGTTCGTGCTTTGCAAGAAGTGCAAGAACCCCGAAACCGATGTCTCCATCAAGGATGAGAAGATCACCCTGGACTGCAAGGCCTGTGGTCAGCGCTCCGATGTTGACCCTCGCCTCAAACTGAGCACCTTCATTGTCCGCAACCAGCCCAAGGGTGGCAAGAAGGAGAAGAAGAAGTCCCGCCGTGAGCGAGAGAAGGAGAGAGCTGCCAACGGCGAGGATGCCAGCCCCGGTGACAGCAACAACTCCGAGAATGGCGAGGATGGCGATGAACTCATCGAGGCGCACAGCGACGACGAGGTGACCCGCCAGGCCCAGGCCATCGAGGCTGAGGCTGAGATCAAGGATGATGAATGGGCTGTCGACGTTTCCGAGGAAGCTGTGAAGGCCCGCGCCAAGGAACTCCCCGATGATCTCAAGCGTGCCCTTGTCATTGAGGATGAGGATGAGGGTGCCGATGGTCCCTCGTCCTACGAACAGCTGGGAAGCTGGATCGTGGATACTGCTGCTGAGAAGGGCGGTGTTACCAATGTGACTGACGTTGAGATCTATCTGAAGGCCAAGGAGTTCGGCATCGACAGCAAGCACAAGACCGTTGCTGTGCTGGCCCAGAGCATTTTCGATGAGGGAATCGCCAAACAGATCGAAGCCCGCGCTGGTTTGCTCAAGAAGCTGATCACCTCCGAGCGTCACGAGAAGGCTTTCCTTGGCGGTACCGAGCGTTTCGTTGGTCAGGACCACCCGGCTCTCATCGCTCAGGTCCCTGCAATCTTGCTGGGCTATTACCAGAACGATATCGTGTCTGAGGAGACCCTCAAGGCATGGGGTGCTAAGACCAGCAAGAAATACGTCGACATCTCGACCAGCAAGAAGATCCACAAGGCTGCGAAGCCCTTCATTGAGTGGCTTGAGACAGCCGAGAGCGATGAAGAAGAGAGTGGCGAGGAGAGCGAGTAATTGCTTGAGGACGTGTACGTTTCCATATACCCTTCGCTATTGAATTGTCAGTCAAGCTCCATGCATCCACTCCTTGCTGAAAAACGAGAGATTTTGGATTTTGCTCTGGATTAGTCCATCTCGCATGGACTGGTTTGATTCAGTTGTCAGATTAGTTTTAGCTCAACAGTCGCCGCTCTTTTATAGTCAATAGCAATAACTTGACATCAGAACTTCACCAATGCGTAGATTGTAATAGTGAGTAAGATTCAATAAATACTTCTCTGTGCATACATACAAGCAGAGCGAAAAGGTTACATGGCCATTCGTGATAACAAACAGGCGGACTAAAATGTCAGCTCTGCAAGCACAATCTGCTCCCCATCGCCATTGGCAGTGGAGCCATTCTGACCAACGTCTTTAACATCACCCGTAGTAACTGAACTCGCTCTCACACGATGCCGCATGAAAACAAACCACGTCAAATCCACATTCCAAGCCTCCATCGCCCGAATCGCATCCTCAACCGACACCATAACCTCACCAAACGCAGCACTATCCACAGCCGTAGAACCCCTCGAAGATATAAAGTAATACTCCGGTCCAACAAACAACGCAATCCACCCACTAAGCATTTCGCAAATCCGATCTCCAACCTCCAACGGCAAGCGAACATGCGACAGAACCGTGACAAATAGAGAAATCAACGCACGCCATAGACGGTGATGGGGCGTGAAAAATCTCGATCCCGGCGCGGATGGCGAAAGCGAAAGCGACGAAGAAAGCGCCAGTTGCATAGCGGACTCTAGATCACCCGCCTTGGCGGTGCTATCCGTTGTATTTGGCTTGGATCTAGCACGACGTTCATTGGCGGTCTCGGCGTCGACGCGAACTTTGTCCCACACACGGCGGTAGAGTCGGTCCCAGCGGGGAAATTCGGTTTCGACACGGGTGGCCATGAAGTCGCCTGCGCCTTTGCACATGGCTTCGATGGCTTCGCAGGCTGTCACTGTGACGAAGGTTTCTTCTTGGTGGTCTGGGGTTTCCGGGTTGCGGGGGGTTTCTGTGGATGGGGTTGTGATGAGGGATTTGGAGGTGCTGGTTGGTTGTGAGGAGGGGAAGATTATTCGACTGGCTACTGTTGGCCAGAGGTCGTTTATTAAGGGGAGGAAGCTGGTTTCGTTTTGGGAGAGGGCGGGGAGAATTTCGATTAGGATTGAGAGGAGGGAGCGGCGGAGGTAGGGGGATGGTGAGGTCAGGTGAGACGGGATGGATTTGACGATGTGGAGGAGGAGGGAGTGCGTTTTGCTCAGTGGCTTCTCGGCGTCTTCGGGTTCTTTTGGGGGTGGGAGCGGTTCGTCTGATTCGGCTTGGTCTAGAAGCTCTTCGATGGTCGGCTCTGGGGGAGGCTTGTCGTATGTTTCGGACCAGGGCTTTTTCGGATGCGGGATTTTGCCATCGGCGTCCATCAGCTCTGCGTCAGCAAGGCGTTTGGCTTTGCGGTTGGCCATGTTCGCGGCAATACTTGAGATTGAGAGATGCTGGTATTGGGACTTGCGGGTATCGTGGGTGCCATTCTCTTTGCCCTCGTCTATCGTGAGCAAGGATGGCTTCTTTGCTCCTTCTTCAACGATCGCAGCTAGGGTCTTGAACATCATCTCGACGAGCTTGGGATAACCGTGGTATAGATCCAAGATACCAAAGACTGAGTCGATCAGATCGTCCAAATATGGGATCAATCGTGCGCCACAAAGTTTGACCATCATAAACAGGACCTGTGGCGGATAAGGTGATACATCGAATGTGTTGAGTTTCAAGGCCACTGAGTTCACCAAATAGTCCACGTTCTCAATGATCATAGCGCTCGTGTCTGGGTAATTGCAGGCATTGGTCAGGATATTGAGGCATGTCATGGCATGGCGTTGGAGATTGGGGTTTTGTGACGCCAACAACTGTAGAGTCGGATAGAGCGCATCCATAAGTTCAGGTCGGAAAGCTTCGCCTAGTTGCTGAGCTTGAAGAGCCACTGATTCTAGAGCGAGTGCTGAGGTACGCCAGTCACCCGATCCGTCGGCTGGCAGTTCGTTCAATATATTCAATGAGACATAATACAATTCCTCGATCATTCCGGCACGGCCAGTTGACGATACGGACGCTCCGACATGTTCGAAAGAAATGAATTCGTCAAAGACGGCTGTTGACGTGGTGTTGTCCCGTAAGAAAGCCATCGCCAACCAGAAGGGAGCAATGGCGGAATCGCTTGATGTCGTGTGCATACGGTTGACAATGAACCGAGTGATTTCATTTCCAAACTCGGACAAATTCAGCCTTGTGATCATTGACCAGAGATCTTTCAGGGTTTGCTGCTGGCTTTGGTGTTGCAAAATGATTGGCGGGAATACTTCAGATCTAGCATCTGTGCTGATCACCTCCCAGTTGAAGTCAGCATCCATCGAGGCCAACGGCTGGAGAGCGTTGCTGCTTTGTTTTACGACAGCCCCAACGCTATCACATAGACCGGATGCCAAGCCACTGGTAAGCAAATCGGATCCGGACTGGACTTGGGATAAGACCTGGAAGACAGTGGAGATCTGACGAAGACCCCATTGCTTAGCTGTTTCATCGTTGCCTTGCATGATCCGAGGGAAGGATGTAAGCCAGGCGTGCAGTGACTCTTTCAAAGAGTCCAGCACTATAGGATATGTTGTGGCAAGGTGAATGAGGTTCTTGTATGCCTCGTTCGCTCCTTCATCCTCTTTATCCGCCAGAACAACAACCGTTTCCACCATCATAGGCACAGACTCTGCAAGTGTGATCTGACACTCTTCGATGACCATCAGAGACAGCTCGAGAACGGCAGACTGAACCTCCACTCGCTGATGACGGCGAACTTGGATGACATTGGCCAGCGCCAGCTTGATCTGTGTTACAGTGGCCTTCAGCCACGAGTCGTCTAGTGTCATCTTGTCGCTTCCTAGCTCGGGCGGTGCAGCTTCTGAGGCGACACGGTCATTGAGAACGGCTCTCAAAAGTTCCGTAAGTATCTCCAAGCAAGTGTGGAGCAGTTTGTACGACCTGCGAGTTTGAGTTGTGGGCCTCAGAACTTTAGCCAGTGCTGATACAGTCCGCGGCATAATGCTGGCAAGCACTACGCGGTCTGTGACCCGAGCATAAAGCGCTTGCAAAGCGTTAGCGGCTGCCAGACAAAGCTCATCTGATCTATCATCGACGATTCCTTCGAGCAGAATATATACTGTCTGGTCAACGACCGTCGCCGTGCCAATTTCATGATAGATTGTCTTTTCAGCGACTGATCCTCCCAAGACCGCGAAGATAGCAGTGAGACAGTCGAACCCAGCAATGCATAGCTCTTCTGAGACCTTGTGCTTCGGTAGTTGCTTTTCTTCCGCCTTATTCGGAGACCCTCCCACGATTAATGTCAACAGTATTATCAGTTGTTTGCCCATTGCGGGAGACAGCCGTTGCCGCCATCCATCTGCGACCAATATCCGTAAACATTGGACAGCGGACTCCAGACATCGTGCGGGTAATCTTTGGGTCTCGTTGAAGATATGTGATAGCGGGAAGAAAGCATATTCGGCTAGCTTCTCGTCAAGGGCATTGTTGGCCGCAAGCTTCTTTAAACAGTTGTGTACCGGCTCAAGGACCCGAGACACATCGGAGGCAGAGGCTTGGTTTCCTCGGTAGCGAAGACCTACTGAGCTGAGCTCGACGCATGGCGCTCGAAGCTATTTGTAATCAGCACTGTAGCATGAATAGCCAAATACGTAGTCAGTCATACCTGCTTGAAGGATTCCTGCCGGAGGTTGTCCATTGCAGCCGGTCAACGGTGGGAAGCGGCAACAATGACTGGAAACCGAGCGAGCTTGTACTTGCACTAATTCAGTTGAATATCAAGAACTCCATTGTACTGCGTAAACACTGTCCAGTGGACCCATCGCGATGAACCACCAGCGGGACAGTGTCGCAAAATCCCACCGCCTGATTGCCATCTGCCGGCATAATAAAGCGGTGCGATCAGTTAATCCCGAACAGGCAAAATAGCACTGCACGTGATACGTTAGCGCGTCTCAACGCGTGGGAATCCCGATAGCTGCCTTCGACTCATAGAGCGAGAACCAAGTGTTGCCTTGGTACTTCAATTGCGGCTCTAGTCTGCTCAGACTATATACTGGGTCATCTTTTATATTTTCTGATCTCGAGAGTAACGCTTATGCGGTATTCGAGGATCTCTAACCTCGCGCCTGTATCGCTTTCGCGCTTGAAACCTAGAACCTGCATACAATCTGCAGGACAACGCGACTTTTGGACAACATCAGTCTTACGGATACCTTCAGTCCTGATCTCTCCCACTACGGTGGTCCGTCAACACCTTCATTTGAACAAATCAGCGTTACCATCACCACGGACCATGGCGGAGGATAAGAACAGGAAACAAGCTACTCTGGGGTATGTACGAGATGGGCAGCAGACCATTGGGTGCGTCGCAAACTTCGAATGGCGCATGCGCCCTTTGACTCTGTCCTCTTCCGGCTTATGCCTTGATTCGTCCTGCTAATACATGCTATTCCATCTTATAGGAGGTTTTTTGGATCGAACGCCAACCAACCACCGAAGAAGCAAACAACACTGTCCTTTGGTGGAAAGAGAAAGGAATCAAGCAGTGATACCATTGACGCGGAAACTAAGGAAAACACCGCCGATGTTGACATTGAAGACGTCGCCGATCCAGCACCTGCTGCTTCCCGGGGTGAAACAGAGCCAGCAAAAGGATTGAAGCGGGAAAAGAGCGCCGAAGCTGAAGAAAGTGATGGCTCTGATATTCAACCAGTGACAAAAAGGCGACGGAAGGCGTCAGCTAGCCCCTCACCAGCTGCCAAAAAGCCATCAGCATCTCCGGAAAAGCCCAAAACTACAAAACCGAAACGTGAATCGCCATCACCAAAATCACCTACGAAGAAAGCATCGGATGTCACTCCCGAAGAGAAGACCCCATCAGTAGAAGAAGAGGAGGACCCACTGGAAAGCGAAGATGAAGACGACCTCAAGCCAGAGCTCACCAAGAAATCGATTGAGAAGTTCCAAGCGAAACTGCAAGGAAGTGGTAAAGATCCGTACCCAGATTGGAAAGTAGGCGATCCTGTTCCGTACGCCGCGCTATGTACCACATTTTCTTTGGTTGAAATGACTAGGAAACGCTTGGAGATCACGGATCATTGTTCGCTTTTCCTTCGACAGGTTCTCCGCCTGACTCCTGCCGACTTCCTGCCCACTGTTCAACTGATGATCAACAAGCTGGCTGCTGATTACGCCGGTATTGAACTAGGCATTGGAGAATCATTGATCATGAAAGCCATTGGTGAATGTACCGGTCGCAGTCTTGCGGTCATCAAAGCTGACCAACGGGAAATTGGAGATCTGGGATTGGTTGCTGCTAAGAGTCGTTCAAATCAGCCTACCATGTTCAAGCCCAAGCCTTTGACAGTTCGAGGTGTGCACGAGGGCCTTCTTGGGATCGCCCAGGTCCAAGGCCATGGATCCCAGGACAAGAAGATCTCAGGTATCAAGAAACTATTGTCTGCAGCCGACGCCGACCTCGCTGGAAAGGGAAGCAAAGGAGTGGATATCACTAAGGACAAGGGCGGCCCCAGCGAAGCCAAGTTCATTGTTCGCTTTTTGGAAGGCAAGCTGAGACTAGGACTCGCAGAGAAGACAGTACTTGTTGCTGTTTCTCGGGCAGTCCAGGCCCACGAGGCTGAATTAAGCGGCAACAAGATTCCTTCTCCAGAGAAAATGCTCGAAGGCGAGAACATCTTCAAAAGTGTTTACAGTGAGCTTCCTGCTTACGAAGTAATCATTCCTGCCATGCTCGAGCACGGTCTCTTCAAGCTGCCCGAAGTCTGCAAGCTATCTCCTGGAATTCCCATCAAGCCTATGCTTGCCAAACCGACAAAGTCTATCACCGAGGTGCTCGATAGGTTCGAAGGGAAGGAATTCACTTGCGAATACAAATACGATGGTGAAAGAGCACAAATCCATTTCGTGTCCCCAGATTCTATCCACCACTATCCCGGGGCCTTGACCACATTACAAAAGGACAAGCAAGGGCTCTCATCGATTTTCTCTCGGAACTCGGAAGATCTTTCCAAGAAATATCCTGATGTTCTAGGCAAGCTTCATACCTGGGTTAAAGAGGACGTGAAGAGCTTTGTTCTTGACTGCGAGACTGTTGCGTGGGACGTGGAAGCCAAAAGAGTTCTGCCGTTCCAGCAATTGATGACTCGTAAACGCAAGGATGTAAAAGCGGAAGACGTCAAGGTCAAGGTCTGCGTTTATGCTTTCGATTTGCTTTTCTTCAATGGAGAGGTAAGATAGTGCCTTCTATCGCCATTACAAGTTGTCATTGCTAACTCTTCAAACAGCCTTGCGTGAGAAAGTCCCTACGGGAACGCCGGGAACTTATGCATCAATGCTTCCAACCGGTCGAGGGCGAGTTCCAGTTTGCCCAGTATGGCAACTCTAATGTCCTCGATGAAATCCAGGAATTGCTCGAGGCTAGTGTGAAGGCTTCTTGTGAGGGTCTCATGGTGAAGATGTTGGATACAGCTGAAAGTGGCTACGAGCCAAGTAAGCGCAGTCGTAACTGGCTGAAGGTACGGTTCCTTTGCTCACTACTATCATCGACATTGGCTAATTTCCGTGTAGGTCAAAAAAGACTACCTCGCTGGTGTGGGTGATTCCCTCGATCTTGTTGTACTTGGGGCCTACTATGGTCGAGGAAAACGTACTTCAGTGTATGGCGCATTCCTCCTCGCTGCCTACAACCCCAACAGCGACACATACGAGACCATTTGTAATATTGGAACGGGATTCTCGGAGGCGCTCCTTGAGGAGCTCCACCAGACGCTAGTTCCTCTAGTTATTGACCGCCCCAAGCCCTTTTACACTCACTCAAACGTCCCTAAGGATCAGCCGGATGTTTGGTTTGAGCCGAGATTGGTGTGGGAAGTCAAAACAGCCGATTTGACGCTCAGCCCACGCTATCAAGCCGCTGTGGATGAGTTCCAAGGAACAACCGATGCTGGAAAGGGCGTATCTCTTCGTTTCCCGCGGTATATCAAGTCCCGCGATGACAAGAAGCCAGACGAGGCCACTACCACCCGTGCGGTGGCTGAGATGTATCGGAAACAGGAGGCGGTCACCAAGGAGACCTCGAGCAAGGGAGGCGTGGATGATGACTTTGAATATTGAAGCGATTTCGTCAGAAGCACTAAAGCGAGTGCAATTCAATTCCTTTAATTTCGGAAATCGGCATCCTAATCTCCCCAGTCGGATCTATTACCTAACTAGTGTCAATGCCTTCATTGTGCATTGTTTAGGGCTACCGATGGTCCCACTTGTAGAACATGAGCCTCAAGTACGTGTAAGATCTGAAGGTAATGACCCCCAAATAGCAGCATTCCCTATTTGCTCTTATTCTGAATGCCCCTTCTCTTTGAAGAGAAAGCTCTTGTGGATACGCAATACCGTGATCTTATTCCGCAATGCCGGGCATCAGCCGCCAAGCAGGAATAAGAGCGGACTCCGTGATGCTTGGCGCTGCAACCCAAGCAGCCGGACCCTGCCCGGGTCCTACAGCGGGTTCGTGTACCCGCGTTGGTTCGTCGGAGCACCTTACTAGTGCTTAGGCTAATAGACACTGGCCGATTGAACAAGTTATCAAAATGCATATCAGTCTTGGCACCGAGGAATGTAACATGCCCCCCCTTCAACAGGGAAACTGCCATGGCTGTTAGCTTCCAACGCGTGCGGAGTCACGGCACTCATATAGCGGAGTCGGTCCGGTGTACAGACTCGTCCCCTGCACGTTTGTCTCGAGCTACGTGGGCGTCTACTGACTGTCAATATGCGTGTGTTTCAATTGACGGCCTTCGGGTCGATCGTTGCTCTTGCCGCGGCTCTTACTCCAGAGTAAGCGCTGATCTTTCCCATCCTGACTCAAATTCCTCTTTTGGTCAATTGCTGATTCAATTCTACAATAGACAGCTTATCACAGCTCCCAGACGGGGTGAAGCTATTCCTAATCCTTCAGGAGTGAGTTACGCCGTTACTGAATTTACCGACCAACTTCATTGACCAAATATAGGAAGTCGCACTTTTCTCAACCTCTCAATACTCCTTCGAGACCCATAAGACAACCTCCTGGTGGAGTTTGCTGGATTTGGAGACTGGAAAAGTCAGCCAACTCACTAATGACAGCAATGTCTCCGAGTTGATCTGGCTGGGGTCTACTGACTCCGGTCTCCTGTACATCAATGGCACTAACGCTGATATCCCCGGGGGTGCCGAGATCTGGGTATCAGATACGTCCGACTTCGCGAACTCGTGAGTTTACCTGCATATAGTGCAGTTTCCGATGATAGATACTAACCATGGGTAGTGCCTATAAGGCAGCTTCACTGCCGGCGCCGCTGTCTGGTCTCAAGACGGCCATCACCAAGTCTGGCAACATCAACTACTTGGTGTACGGAGATTCCTATGCCAATGGAACGGCATACAACGCAGAGCTAGCTGCCACACCTCTGAGCACGGCTCGAATCTATGATAGCCTCTATGTTCGCCACTGGGATACCTGGCTCACGACGAGGTTCAATGCCATCTTCTCTGGGACTCTGGAGAAGAAGAAATCTGGACAGGGAGCTACATCTCGCTACACTGCTAAAGGGTCTCTCAAGAACCTCGTTGCAGGAGTCAAAAACCTCGAGTCACCCTACCCGCCGTTCGGCGATTCTTCGGACTATGACCTTTCTGCCGATGGAAAATGGGTTGCCTTCAAGAGCAAGGCTCCGGAACTGCCACGTGCAAACAACACCGCATCGTACATCTATCTTGCCCCTCATGATGGATCCAAGAAGGCCAAGGCCATCAACGGCCCAGACAGTCCCGGCACACCCAAGAACATCAAGGGTGACTCGAGCAGCCCTGTGTTCTCCCCGGATAGTCGTCGCATTGCATACCTCCAGATGGAGGAGATCAACTATGAGTCCGATCGCCGCATCGTCTACGTCTATACTCTTGACTCCAAGGACACTATCCGCACCTTGGCCAAAAATTGGGACCGGTCACCTAGTGGAATCAAGTGGACTGCCGACGGGAAGAACCTGGTTCTGAACACCGAGGATTCTGCACGCTCTCGGCTTTTCCTGATGCCCGCAAATGCTGGCAAAGATTACAAGCCCAAGAATTTCACCGATGGCGGCGCTGTGGCTGCCTACCATGGCCTGCCCAACGGGGAATACCTGGTCTCTGGTTCTACTATCTGGTCTAGCCGGACAGTCTACACCGCGAAGCCTGGAAAGGGCGTTACCGGTACGGTCTTCTCTGCTAACTCGGTTGATCCGGCTTTGAAGGGCCTGGGCCCGTCCGATATTGGCGAGTTCTACTTCAAGGGCAACTGGACAGATGTGAGTGTGTCAAGTCCCAGCCAACTGGCGAGACTCTAACGGTTATAGATTCATGCCTGGCTTGTTTACCCCGAGAACTTTGACAAGTCGAAGAAATACCCGCTCATGTTCCTCGTTCACGGCGGTCCTCAAGGCTCCTGGGCTGACTCTTGGAGCACTCGCTGGAACCCCAAGGTCTTTGCTGACCAAGGATATGTGGTTGTCGCACCGAACCCAACTGGCAGCACTGGCTTCGGCGATGAACTCACCGATATGATCGCAAATAACTGGGGTATGTCACTCCTACCAACCATTCTCCTGTTTTTTTACAATCTAACTAGCAACAGGAAGCTACCCTTACGACGACTTGGTAAAATGCTGGGAGTATGTCCGCGATAACTTTGACTTCATTGATACAGACCACGGCGTGGCAGCTGGCGCCAGTTACGGTGGCTTCATGATGAATTGGATTCAGGGTAACCCTCTGGGACGCAAATTCAAAGCGCTGGCCAGTCACGACGGCACATTTGTGGCCGATGCCAAGATCTCCACTGAGGAACTGTGGTTCATGGAGCATGAGGTATGCATCTTCTTGAGTATATTCTCTCTCTTCTCGTATACTGATTCTTCCGTAGTTCAATGGCACCTTCTGGGACGACCGAGAGAACTATCGTCGCTGGGACCCTTCCGCTCCTGAGCACATCAAGCAGTTCTCTACCCCCAGCTCGTGATCCACAGTGACAAAGATTTCCGACTTGCTGTCTCTGAGGGTTTGGCACTTTTCAATGTCTTGCAAGAGCGCGGTGTGCCAAGTCGGCTGCTGAACTTCCCAGATGAGAATCATTGGTAAGTACATTGTCTTTCTGGTGTGAATGGGTTTGTTATAAAGCCACATTGCTGACTCTTTATCACTTTAACAGGGTCATCAACAATGAGAACAGTCTTGTTTGGCATCAGCAGGTCCTCGGATGGCTCAACAAATATGCCGGCGTGAACAAGAAGGGCTCTGTCAGCTTGAATGACACAACAGTCCCTGTTGTAGATTATAACCCTTAGTTTCGTCCTGACTTTCTGTCCATGAAGGTCCCTGTACAGGCCTGGAGGCACGAGGGGTCTCCGGTCGATGGTTCGGGATATGGCTATGCTTACATACCTTAGGTAGTAGAGCCTCGCTACAATGTATATTGCCAGGCTATGCCAGCCACAACATATCAAACATGACCAACTAGGTACCTGTAGTAGGTATTCCTTCATCTAGAACCCGTTTAGACTATTCTGTGCCTTGATAACCTCCCCCTTATCCACAAAATCCGCCAAAACCACATTCGGCGCACGTCCATACAAACCAGCACACAGCGCCGCCTGAGCCCCAATACTCCCAGGCCCCGTCGCCGCGTTAGTAGTGTCTGCCTTATCCCGAGCTGGGATCAAGACTCCGAAAAGGTCTATATCGAGAAAATGGTTGACAATACCCATGCGACCTTCACCGGCGGCGCCGGAGGGCCGGTCAATGCTGCAGCTCGAGAAAGAGGAATCTGTGATGTCGTAGGCTGTCTCGAAATAATAGGCAAATTCATCTAGAATATAGTCTACTTTAGAAGGATCGGCGCCATAGTCTGAGAATAACTAGTCAGTATGAAATTCAATGCAGATAGTAGCGGGGTGAAAACTACTGCGTTTATCGCAGAGTAGCTCGTACCTAAGAATACGACCAGTCTCTTTCCGCTGGAGATCAAATCACCCAGTGTAGGCCAGTCTGCAATGAGCAGTGGGTTTGCAGAGGGTGTATATGCATAATCTGCAATTCCACTGCTGGCGAAGGTGTCCCCGAACTCGGTGACCGGTACCGAGTCTCCGTTGGTCAAGAGAAGAGTAACGACTTCGTCTGGATGGGCATCTAGCCACTTTTTGATAGTCTTCAGGAAGGACTTGAGGGAGCCTGCATCTTCAAGAAAGCAAGATGTGTGGCACAGCTCTATTGTGGTATTCACTAAGACAGAGCGGTGCGTTTGTCCTTGCAGATACCGGATACCCATGTCGAGTTGGGCTTCTATATCGATGTTTTGGTTGTGTTGGGGTAGGGGCCCGACAAAGGGGAGAGTCATGGGCCCCTACAAATGTAATGTTCGAGTATGACCGCGTGCAGTACTCTGAGCGCCCGTTGCAGGTTGTTGCAGCCTGTGTTGACATCGACAAAGGGGTCGAGGACGGAGACACTGCCAGGGACGTAGATGCTCTAGATACCGACGAGGACGGAGATACCCGGGGTAGCAGTGTCCCTGGTCTTCTCACAGCTAATACTGGCTGAAGAAGTAGAAGGGCACTCAGAACCACACGCATCAGTCTATGGTGGAGTGGAGCCATGTCGTTGGACTCGTTGTAGCTATAGTTCGTTTCGCAGTAAGAAGGCGCAAGGGGGCGCTGTGGTTTTTAATACTGGAAAGTTTTTAGACTCGCAGACATCGTGATGTTCTTTCGGTCACTTGTCACGCAGGAACAGCAGCTGCCCTCGCGAGGGTGATCGGCTCATGCGGGTTTCTGCATTCCTAAAGCCCACGCGTCCTCCGTGACTGATTGAGGTCTGGAAATGACTTGGGTCCCCTGAAACAAAGCATAAGTGACTGTAACCACGTGAGATATATTGCTGGTTGTCGAGCGAAGAGTGAGCATGACCGACGGGCGCGACTGCGTACATCCTGGTCTCCTTGTGACTTGCGATGTAACAGCACGCCCGGTCCGCACTGATAGCAGGGCTCTTAAGGGCCATTCATTTTATTGGAGTGCTGCAGATCAATCCTTCTGTTTCAAGTTTCGATGGTGCTCTCACCATCCGTAGAAGTGACTGGGCGAGCTTTTTTTGATGTTGGCCCCTGGCCAACTGCAAATGTAATTTGAAGTACGAAGAACACAAAGACGTACGACTCTCGATGTGTCCGCCGTCGCCTAGACCATTCAAGACGAAGATAGAAGAAAACCGAAGGAAGACATACTGACATAGACATCAAATAACTACAGCATAAAGTTATGAACATTGTTGTGTTTGTAGATGTCGTACCTGACCGCCACCTGTGGCTGGTGCCCCTAAAACGGCCCCGACCCAGACAAATGGAGCTCTGCTCGTTCTCCACTGTTCATACCCCTCGAGCTCGGCACTCCACGCTTCCAATTACGTATATTTGGCTTCCTCCGCATATCTCTCCTATTCTTGAATTCTTGGACAGCTACCCCAAAATCTCATAATACCCGGCCTACCCACGCCGTCGCTGACTCGGCCTTGATTCCACCCAAGCTACACCTCGGAAGCAATGGTCATTCGGAGATCTCGCTCATGAGCTCGATGGCTGAGGGCAATGAGGGTCGGTCGCGCGAGGACGAGCTTGATCTAGGGCAAGAAAACGATCCCCAACAACCCGACGATGGTGCCCTCGACCAAACATCAGCTTCCCCGCAGGCATCAGCGGAAGAAGAATTGGACACGATAGTGGAATCGGAGGACAACGATTCAGAGAAGACAGCGGATCCAAAGGATTTCCGCTTTCCAGAAACACCTCCGCCGCGACATGCGGAGTGGAATGGGAGCGAGTGTCTGGATGGAACAGGGTCCAACCCCGATGATTCCCCGTCATTACATGTCAGTAGTATAACAGGCGCGCAGGCTGAATAACTCTCTGATTTATCACAGGGCTCTATTCCATCTTCCCTAAGCAGCAGTGCCCTCGCACTCCGAGGCTCTCCGCGAGTCAGCCCAAGCCCGGCCCGTCGCCCGTTTGACTTGCGATTCCAGTCCCGGTTATCTTCGTCGCCGCAAAGCGTCCCGAGAACCGGCTCACCATTTCTAGCGCATCTTCACTCCCGACAGTCTTCGATCACTAGCCATGCGTCCCCGACGCCCGAAACGGAAGCTGAACCGCAACAGGGACCTTGGGATGTCGTGCGATGGACAAAGTTGCGGAAGATCACTGGGCAGGCATTTTCAGAAATTGGGAAGCGCAACTTCGGGCGACCAACCTGTCTCGCGGTGTCCACATCTATTGTGATAGGTACATCCAAGGGCATAATACTCGTGTTCGACTATCAGCAAAGCCTGAAGGCCATCGTCGGGACTGGTACACCAGGTGAGTCAAAATCAGTCTACAATCTGGGAATTATTATGCTTACAATACCCTAGCGGTCGAATGCGGCGCTGTTACCTCTCTCGCAATTTCTGCAGATCATTCAACCATTGCAGGGGGCCATGAATCGGGCGACATATTTACCTGGGAGATCACGCGCTCAGCAAAGCCTTTCCTCCATATACCACCAACCCCAGCCAACCTTGTCGACACTCGAACCTCCGATGGCCACCTTTCAGGGTCTTCTGTCATCCATATCGGGTTTCTTGGCACCAGGCGGACCGCATTGGTTTCCGCCGACACACGGGGCATGTCATTTTCGCACCTGGCTACGAGGGGCATGGGCGCAATGGGACGAACGGTCAAGACAACTCGGATACTGGGTCGATATCCCTCAACATCGATAGAGACCAAGGCGCGGAGACCTAGCTCGGTCCTTGCCTTTTCTCCTCTGCCACTGGGCAATGTGGAGCAATCGACTGATTCTCTGGGTCTTGTCGCTATGCTGACGCCATATCTTTTGGTCATTGTGTCCACGACACCGGTGGCGCAAACCCAGCACAAAGCACCGCGACCTAAAGAAGTTCCTGCTCATAGTGCCATGACTGGCGCCTTGGCGTGGTTCCCAGCTATTCGTTTGAAGGGCAAAGATACCCAAACCTCGAATACAAAGCTTGTCTACTGTTGGTCAAACGTTCTGACCGTGCTCGAAGTCACAGAGGTCAATACAGATGAACCTGCAGACAAAGATAAGCCTCCCAGCCTTGATTTCAGAGCACGTAGCAGATGGAGGGCCGATGAAGCCATTGTGGCCGTGCAGTGGCTCAGTCGCTCGGTACTCGCGGTGTTTACAATCACGCAACGACTTTTGATCATCGAGGATTACTCCATGCATGTGACCGATTCAATAGACCTCGCCAACAGACACATATACCACGTCGATCTCTTCTCGTCACAGCTTCATTCGCTAGTTGAACAACTTGACGAAGAGGACGAATCGATGCACGGAGTAGTAGCCGATGCATTTCACATGAGTTTTCGATCTTATAAAGGCCGTTTGTTCTTGCTGGGTTATAATGAAGCCTTGGTAGGCAATCTGTCGAACTGGGCTGATCGACTACTCGCACTTATGGAGGCAGGTGACTTCATTGGCGCCATTCGACTAGCGACTTCATATTATACGGGAGAGTCAGAGAAGTTGACGGTTGGGCTTCCCGAAGAGGATAGTTTAAGACAACCTATTGTGCAAGAGAAGCTTCTGGAAATGATCTCTGCATCCCTCAAGTACGCATTTGGTCGGAATGCCGAAGCCAGCAGTGACCGACTTGAGACTCAGCAGCTGGAAGAGCTTGCAGATGTGTCCATTGCGGCCTGTATTTTCATGGCAGACGAAGAGTTTCTCTGGGAGGAAGTCTTCAACTGGTATGAAGAACACGATTCAGCGGGCATCTTCCTGGATGCCCTTGAACCTCGCATCGTCGATGGAACTCTGCGATCGCTGCCTCCAACCGCGGTCAAGGCCTTAATCAATCATTTCATTGGAACCCACTCAGCTGGTCACTTGGAAGAGATCATCTGCCTTCTCGATACTACCACAATGGATATCGATCAGGTTACAACGCTCTGCAAACAGCACAATCTATACGATGCTTTCATCTATGTATGGAACCAATGTTTGATGGACTATGTCGGACCGCTGGAAGAGCTACTACGTCTCATTCCCTCTAACTCGGCGCCCTTGGTCAACGGTGACTATGCGAATGAAATGAGACGGCAAAACAATGCTATGAAGATGTTCCCTTACTTGTCTTTCATCTTGACGGGCCGCGTCTATCCTATCGGAGACGATATGGATGAGGCCGTTGCCTCACGAGCCAAGACTGACTTGTATCAATTCATTTTCTCGGGAAGCGGGTCCGAAACCGCGCCTGGGAATACGGAAGGGGCAGACTCCTTCTCTCAGCTTCGAGCTATGCTCAAATTTGATTCTTCCAGCTTCATGAGCATGCTGAACGAGGCCTTCGAGGACAGTTTTCTGAACGAGCCCGAAAACGACGCTGTTGCCGCTTCGGGCGTATCAATCAATCGACAGTACCTCATCAGCATCTTGCTCCAGGTCATGGCCAGCTCTTTCTTCACGCCTTTTGAAACCATCTACCTTGATATGTTTGTTGCGCGCAACCTTCCAAAATACCCTCAGTATATTCTCCTTTCTGGCACAACCCTCCATCAGGTTCTGGTGCGCGTATGTCAATACCCCGAGCAGGATATGGCAGACGATTGCGAATTGAGCGCGGAGTATCTGCTGTCTTTCTATCACCCACCGGACATCCAAAGCATGATTCCTTTGTTCAAAGAGGCGCGCTTTTTCCGGATTCTCAAGTCGGTCCACCGTTCAGAGAAGCAATATCCGTTGTTGGTTATGACCTATCTGGAGGACCCGAATGACCGCGACGGTATCTTCACCTGCCTGCACGATTGTCTTCGATCAGGTTCCGGGCTGAGCAAGAAACAGAGACGAGATGTGGTAGATGTGATTAAGGAGCATGCCAAGGATATTGCTGCCATTGACGTGACGCAGGCTGCACAGACAATGCAGGACTTGGCCCCTGAAACTCACTCTACATTCTTGCGGGTTTTGGAAGTTGATCCTCGAAGACTATATGAGTACCTACTGATCCTTGTTGAACCGCATGCGCAAACTGCGGAAACCCGACCTCCGCCGAGTGCTGAAAACTGGATGATTGAGCGCTACGTGCAGCTTCTGTGTAAATACAACCCCACTCATGTCGCAGAATTTGTCGATGGATTACGAGTCGGCGATATCCACCTGGAAGAGTTGCTCCCGTTCATCGAGGAAAGCGGAGCGATCGATGCTGCGGTCATCCTTCTCGCCCGACAGGGCCAAGTTCGCGAGGCCCTGGACCGACTTGTTGCACACTTACGTACCCTCGAGGCCGGCCTGGTGGGCATCCTCCAAAGCGTACGCGACAGTCCCGATTCCGCCAGTACCGCCGAAGCGATCGATGATTTGATCGAGTCTCTCAATAAGTATGCCGGCGTCGGAACCTGGCTCTGTCAGGGTCAAAGCAAAACGGCCAAGCAATCGCACACAGGAAGCGCAAATGGCAAACGCCATGCGCCAACCCTCGATCAGCCTCTAGCCTTTGATGAAACCCTCTGGCTCGACCACATCGAAGCCGTCGTGCGCATCGCAAGCGATGTCTTCGCCTTCATTCAAGGAAACGATACCCCATCAGCCACCTCTCAGCAACCCACAGCCTCCCTCGGCGGCGAAAGCGACCGCCTCACTGCAGCCTTCCGCGCCCTTGTCCAGCAAGTCTTCACAGCCCTGCTAGCAAGCACCGTCAAAGGCAGCCGAACCACAACCGAACGGAACGACATGTCCTTCCTACGCATCCTGCGCGCGTTTCTCACCCGCGCCGCAACCTGGTCCCCCTCCCTCCTGGAACTTCGCGCCGTTCTCGCATCCATCTTCTCCACCTACTCCTACGAGAAATCCCTTCTAAGTCTGGCAAACGGCATGCTCGACCGTGACCTCTTCGTCCACGTGGACGAAGTCTCCCGCCTCCGCCAGCAGGGCTGGCGACCCCGCGGCCACGTCTGCGAGCTCTGTCACAACCGCATCTGGGGCCCTGCAGTCGGCGATGCGCATTGGACGGCGTGGGAAAAGCGACGTGCAGACGCCCACGCGCATCGCATCGCCCGTCGCATCGAAGATAGCTATAATCCCTCCGAGCGGGGGAAGGGTAAAGCCGCTGATATCGGAGTCGGTCACCATGGTGTAAGTGTCGTGTCTGGTGAGAACGTCGACCATGGTCACGAGCATGACCATGATCATAACTCCGATGCTGGGGTTGCCGCTGGATCTGGACCTGGGACTCCAGCGCTTCCGGAGCAGATTGTTGTCTTTGCTTGTCGACATCTTTATCACCGACGTTGCGTGCTGGGCGCTGTCAGTGCGGGCGCCCGACCTGCTGCATCCGCGTTTCGGCGCGACCATTTGCCCGACTGGTCGGGGGCCGAGCTATTTTGTCCGATTTGTATATAGCCTACCGCAGCAGTGGTGATCATTTTCCTTGTGTCTGGGGGTAATTCCTTTTGTTACTTCGTTTCTTATCTCTTTGCTTTTTTCTTCGCACTCTCTCGGACGCTGTTCGGGGATATCTTAGATGAGATATGATTGTCTTGCATATAGCCATTTCTCTTTTCTGGATTTTCTGCTTTATTATGAATACTGTAAGATGATTTCCACCATTCTTCTGTGGGAACATACGCACAGATTTATGTACGTAGCATGCATGGACAGCATGCATAAGGCAGTGTAGTGTCTTATATGATAGCAGATATCTGCTCTCTTTCCATTTGCTTCAGCTGCTCAGTCCAGTCTCCAAGAGACATTCTTGGCATAACCTGTACTCCGGTAGTGTGGTCAATTGGTGATTCCTGCCCCTCCGGGTTATCATTCGGCCTCGTGGAGGGTTCACGCCGTCACGGACACATCACAGGCTCACAGCAGAGATGGTACTGCGTTTGCAGCCACTGTGGTTAGGTTTGTATGTCCGGGTAGATGCCGATGAGATGTACTGACTACTGCGTATTAGGTATGATGGGTAGGTGTTGAGATGATCCGATTTCCAATGCCGAACATCAGTTTTGAGTAGGTCCATGGAGGATTTCCATGGGAACTGCCAACTGGTGACTTGGTGTCACAGATGTGTAGATCTACATAAGAACATGTATACCACCAGGGACCTTGTAGTTACAGGGTACTTGTGCCGAAGTACCTGACGGTCTATGCTGACCACACTGTCCGCGCTATCCATACTATCCAAGCCTGGTGATCACCCATACATGGACACAATAGGGTCAACTCGACCGAGGTAGAGAACCTAAGATGGTGAAACTTTGCCACCTGCTTCAACTTCAGTAGTTTGTCAGATCTTGAATCCAGACACCGTTTCAACGCCGTTTCAACTGCCGAGATATCGCCTGGCTCTACTCCGTACTGTTTAGAGAATAAAATAAAAAAGGGTCTTCGCAAGGAAGAATCAGCCGCAACCTATCATCTGTCGATCTCCCCTTCGCCACCAAAGGCATTCCGGCGCCACCAACTCTAATTTAGCCTTGGTTCGCGCCTTCTCTTTCTCTTCTCCGCCACTCAGCATTGTCTTGGCATCAGACAGTTGTTGGTTCCGGAGCATTAAGGTTTGCTTCAAAATTCAGCGCTTAAGGCATCCGGAGCCTCAGGGAGGTGGTCCAGACTCCAGACTCCAGAGTTTTATACTTGTTTGGGATAACCTCTATGTTAAGCTACTTCACCTAATACGTGTGTATGACAATGATCAAATAGGTACTGATACGGCCACTTGCTTACTATTTGGCTCACAACTGTCCTCTCTCCCCATCGACATCCCAAATACTGTAGGTATCGAATCTTTGCATCCCATTCTAGACCGGTTCGATCGGCAAGATCTCCCGTGGATTGGTGATTGGTTGGTTCTTGGCTCCACAGATCCAGGGTTCGGAGATGTCAGGCTCATGGTTCTGGGGGATTCACTTTGTGTTTCAACTCTTCCCTTCCTTTCCCCTGTTGAACCCGTTTCGCATCACACATGGCTCAGTATCTTCATTGGATCTGGTCTGGTGGGGATTTCACCATGTGCTGCGTGCCATTCTTTCTTTTTTTTTCTTGTCCTTCCTGGGAGAAGGATCTTAAGTATAAAACAGCTGCCCCCGCCTCATGTTTCGTTTGACTCCATTTCGATCTATCAGTCCTTCCTTTGTCCATTGTCTTTCGCTTCTATTGTCTGATTTTTATACCTTCTTTTCATAACTATTCATTCCTTACTATTGTTGCATTTACTCCTGTCAAGGATCTGTTATATACTCTTCGGGCTCTCCAAGTCTTCGATAGACGTCCTCCTTCACTTCTTCGTCCTTTACTTTCGACTATTTTGCGTCTGCAGAAACAATCCAGCAATTAGGTGCAATGCATGTTCTTTCGACCCTCCTGCCTTTGGGCTTTATGGCTCAGCTCACTTCGGCGGCCTATTCCCTGAAAGATGACTACGGTACTTCAGACTCGTTCTTCGACAACTTCAACTTCTTCACTGTATGTAAATCGACATTTGTCCTAACCTTCCCTCTCATCTCATTCATAAACTAATCTCACAAAGGACCACGATCCGACCAATGGGTACGTAAACTACGTGGACCGCGACACCGCCACCAAAAACGGCCTCATCAACACCCACGGAAACGGCGTCTACATCGGCGTCGACAACACCACCGTCTCCAGCGATCCTGGTCGCGCAAGTGTCCGACTAGAGAGCACAAAAACCTACAAGTACGGTCTCATCATTCTGGACCTATCCCACATGCCCGCTAGCACCTGCGGCAGCTGGCCCGCCTTGTAAGTTCTCCAGCATCATCTCATAATTATAGAAAGAACCCCCCCAAACTAACTATTCTCAGCTGGATGCTCGGCAACAACTGGCCCTCCAACGGCGAAATCGACATAATCGAAGGCCTAAACGACCAAACCTCAAACCAAATGGCCCTACACACCTCCGACGGCTGCTCAATCGACACAACCGGTTTCACCGGCCACCTCGACACAAGCAACTGCTACGTCGATGCAGACGGCCAACCCGCCAACAGCGGCTGCGCAATCCGAAGCGACCACACCGAATCCTACGGCACAGGCTTCAACGACAACGGCGGCGGCGTCTACGCAACAGAATGGACCAGCGACGCTATCAATGTCTGGTTCTGGCCTTCTGATAGTGTGCCTCGCGATATTGGCTCCGACTCACCCAGTCCGGTGGATTGGGGAAATCCTACTGCAAAGTTTGCCGGGGATTGCGATATCGATTCGCATTTTGATGAAATGCGCATTGTCTTTGATATCACTTTCTGTGGTGATTGGGCTGGTGAGGTTTGGGGATCTTCGTCTTGTGCCGAGAAGTCTGGGTCTTGCAATGATTATGTCCAGAATAATCCTTCGGCGTTTACCGAGTCGTATTGGCAGGTGCGTTCGTTGAAGGTTTATGATCGTCCGGAGAATGATGATAACCATGACGATGATCATGACGATGACCATGAGAAGGGCCATGGGCGTGGGTATGGACATGGACACGGTGGTGGCCCTGAGAAGCGGGCGGCTGCGCTGAATCGTCGCCAGCAGCACCGTCATGCTCGTGGTCATGGCGGACATTTCTAGATGGGGTTGCTGTGATGGATGAACTGCTTGCGTTGTGAGCGGGGGCGTATGAGAGGCGTTTCGGTCGTTTCATCCATGTTTCATATGATTCGATTCGACTGTGGCTAGGTTTGCATCTTTTGTTTTTTGTTAGTTTGGGCCTTCAACCTGTGCTAGTCTACGGCTGCGGTCCGCAGGGCATTCGATATGCTTCATGTGCGATGCGTTAGGGCAATACCCAGTTCCATTTCGATAGAGAATGAAAATTGAGCATCATGTCCAAACTGTCATATCCACTTTCTTCTAGTAGATATACTCGTAAGGTGACGGAGATATAGATTACTTTTGGAATATATACATTTGACATTAACATTGAACCCCCGACACCAAACCATGCAACCCTCAAAATCAAAATCATGCAAAACCCAGAACATCACGCTGATCATCCGTAAGCCGACCCCACTCCAAAAGCAACCGGAAGAAATAGATCTCCATATCCTCCTTCCTCAACACCGTCTGCGCCCACTTCCGCCCTTCCTCAGCGATCCACTTCCCCTCCTGATCATGCGCCTTCATGCGCATCTGCGCACCACCCTCATCAGCCGCAGGCACACCAGCAAAGTACGCCAGCGTACTCCACAAACCGTGAAGACGGATATCAACGGGAACGAAGTGCAGCCACGAAGTGACGCGAGAGTCAAACCACTGCCGGAACAAGCCGGTCTTGAGTGGTAAGCTGTGACTGTGCAGGAAAGGCAGGAAGCGGCCGCTGAAGCCTGCGCCGTCGAGATCGAAGAGGAAGCGGTGGGACCAGTGTGCTTGGAAGTCGGTCCAGCCGACGGTGCCCAGCTCGGCGGCTTGTTCGGCGCAGTCGTCGCAGCGGACGATTGGGTCGGCGATGTGCACGGAGGTTTGGAGGTGGAGGTCTGTTGTTGGGGCGTTGCCGTCCATTATTTCGTGGCGGAAGGAGTCGGAGCCGGATTGGAGGAGGACGGAGACTTGGTTATCGGTGTTGTTGTTGATTAGGTGGGCGAAGCGTTGGCGTGGCATGCCTTTCCATTCGCCGAAGCGGCTGACGCCTTCGGAGGTGCTGCCGACCCAATAGAGGGAGTTCTTCTTGAGGCTGTAGTCTGGGTCTGGGTGTTCTTCTGTTGGTTGGTACTTCGCTTTGTCTACGTAGTTCCATGGACTTGGGAAGAGGATATCGTTGAATCCAGTGAGAGCGCTTTGGCTGAATACCGGGACAAGTTCTTGCGACACCTTGAATGAGGCCGGGGAAATCAGGAGTCCATGGAGATAAGCGAGGTCGGGCTGGTGGCAGATTTCGGAGGCGGCGTTGAAACTGAGCGGGAACTGGTCCAGAGAATGCGGCGCCACGCATGAATGACAGATGTCGTGGCGATTCCAGATCCGTTGGGAGCGCGCCTTGGATGTAGGTGGACAGACGGCGCTCACGTATGGGTCGAAGACATCCCTCCATGCTCCATCGGTGAACGCGGTGATGTTGGTTTGGTCGGCTGGTTCGATCGGAGCCCAGGCGTCCCCTCGGTCGATGGGCCAAGCCCTCACTACGCGCTCTTCCGGAATCAGTTCTTGCATCTCGGCCTGGCGACTCAGCATTGAGATCTTCTCCCAGGGTACTGCGACGCGTGGTTCGTCGTTCAGATTGAACACCAAGTCCATGTCCGGGAGATATTTCGCAAAGGGTTCCATCATGTCTGCGGCACCCTGGACCATCCACGCGTGAGTAGGTTTGATGCCTTCTTGCACCCTGGCTGTGCCGTTGCGAACGATAATTCCACCAAGATCATTGAAAGGGTTCGTTGCTAGTTCGTGCGTCATTGCCCGTATGTGCTCTGGAGCCAGAGCTCGGAAGGGAAGTAGATCATGGTATATCTGATCGAAATCGTCGATAATAACTGATGATCGGACAGTGGCATACTGATACCACTGGTCAAAGCCCCTAGACAAGGGTTAGTTGGATTGAAGATCGATCATAGCATTTTCAAACTCACGGTGGCGGATGCTGATTATATCGCCTCCTGTATTCTGAAACAGCATCTTCGAGGGTACTGCTATTAGACGCCTGCGCCAGGTAGCTGTCATGCTGAATGCTGCCATTGTGGATGAGCACATCGATCGGGTGAATGTGAACAAGACGATCCTTGCTCACTGCAAAAATGAGACTGATCCCACATAGCAAGGCAAATAGAACTTGTACGGCAATGTTGGTGTGGTGCAATCTTGGCTCTTCGTTATATACGACTCGTGCGAGAAGGAAAAGGAGAGCACCCGTTAAAGATGCGATTAACGGGATAACAGCGTGGATCAGGTATGTGAATGGGAAGGGCGATTGTGCACCGGCGACATTCGATAGAGAGGAGAAGTATAAGGTCATGAAACCGCCTATGATTGATACTCCGAGGATGTCAAAATGCGGCAACTAGAAAAGTTAGTATCAACGACAGAGATCATGAAGAGACAACAGGAGGAACCAACCATATGCCAGGCTGAGAAAATCAGGAGAAGTACCAACACACATTGGTTGAAAGCACTGCGCGAGTACTCCAGATTCAACACTGATGGACCGGCGGATTCACCATAGCTTCCTGTCATTAGCCTAGATATAATAGTCCAGACCAGGGAAATAACCTAGAGTAGCCTGTCAGAATGCGCATCTCGGGTACTTTTTAAGCCGTTCACTTACCAGGAGACCAAACCCGAGGGATGTTAGGGCTCGTTTTCTCCGCGCATCGTCAAAATGCGCGCCAATCCGGCATAACTCGGTGACACCGATAAGTAAGATGGAGTCCGCAAACAAGTTGAAGAGCTTGTATGATTGCAATCGCGATGCGCCATGTAACACAATAGGGCAGATATAGGTTGAGCGGTTTCCAGCTGAAAATGATGAAGCCAGGAGTCCCCCAATGGACAAAAAGGCTGCTGCAATCAGACCTCGAAACCGGCTCTGCGTAAGATAATGGAAGCTTCGACGGGAAAACGAGTAGACCACCTGGAGTGGCAGCTGATCGAATTGTTTTGTAGGAACATATCTTTCCACTTGGCGTAATCGCTGGTTGCGCCAATAGTCGTAGAGCGAAATAACGAAAGGGATGGCATACTGCCAAAAAGCCGTGTCAGTCGCATGCATTATTAAACAAAATTCAGGGCACTCGGCCACTTACGGCATATCCAGCAGGCGCGCATTCTGTGTTTCGGGTAACTTTGCGGAACGACTCAATTCGCAAGCCACATAAACCCAGCAAGAGGCCAACGTTTACCCACCAAGAGCCGACCTTTAAAGATTGGCATTGTAGCCGAGGGCGACTGTCCGAATCGCCAAGGGGGAAAGAAGAGGTCGAGGCCCTGGAGGGAAGCTCAAACTGCTCCGCGAGAGGGATAACTGGCCGTTTACTTGTGGGCGATAATGGCGATGCCGCGACTGATACGAACCGACTCCATATCAAGGAGGTCAATCCTGTGAGGAAACAGACCAGGATAGACGTGCTGACTGGGCGATCTATACCGGCGCAATCGTCAGATAAAGCCCGAGAGCCGTTGAAGTCTATGATGGCGACTTACCAAAAGCGAAGGTGGTGTTGTAGGAGGTGGTCAGGAATAGCGCGCTTAACAAGAAGATTCTGCGTAAGGAATGCGATCGTGAGCCTAGGCATTTTGACGTGACACAGGTCCATGAGTACTTACCCTACACAGAGCTTAAGCCCGAGGTCGGGAGGTAGCTGGACCATGTTGCGCCAATCGTTCTATGATCGTTTCAGGGTATCCCAGGCCATCGCTGTGATCAAAGACTGAACTGAATTGTTCGAGAACACGGAGCGACAAGACTGGAGAAGGTCCAAGGAAGAATAACCTCCTGTGGATCCTCAGGAGATTGACAGTACTATTCGAAACATGGCAAAAAGCAGGGCAGGGAGGGTCGCGAAGGTCCAAAGATCCACTGCCGACTAATCAGAGGCACCCGGAGTGCTGATCCATTGGCGTTGCGTCAATGGGTGGGTTAATTCACGGGTTGATGTTGGGTGCGCACGTAACCACGGGCTTGCTTGTCTGCCATACGGAGTACTTTCTTCTACAGTAATTGGTATCTATGACCAATGATGGATGGTAGAATATTTCAGCCACTGCTGCCCCCATCTTTGTTAGCGCCTGATAGTCAGTTGTTTTGGTCCTAGGGATGCGTGTTGCAAGGGCTGGCAAGCAAGAAATGCTGGGCCGATCAGCGCCCAGAATCAACCTTGAAAAGTCTTGGTCGACCTCGCGACCCACTTATCGCGGTCATGTCGGATGTGGTGGCTCTTTCCCCCACACATATTGAGATCGTCTATCCAATCTCAAAAGAAGACTCTGTGATGGACTCTTCCATGCGTAGTACCAGATCGCAGCCAAGGGATGGTATGGGCGTCATCTAAGCCAGAAACAGTTGTCTAGCTGTACTGTGTACGTCCAAGTTGGCTATCATGAAATAACGGCGGTCCGAGCGATCCATGGTTAGCGTTCAACAAACTAATTTGACTAGGCTCAAAGCAGCTGGTGTGCCTCCAGATTCGACACGGACTACGTCACTGATAGTCAGGTGATTCGGTAAATGTTCAGGGCGGAACTGGCCGGCAGTAAGTTCAGATACGATCATGTGACTGGTTAGCACCATTATGTAATCAGGACAGGCCCCCTGGGCGGTGAGTGGCCTGAAGGCGGAATTGCACAGCAGTATCATTTTTTTCTAGCCGCGAGGAAGTTTTTTGGTCGCAAGACGAGACCAAGTGTTTTTCCAATCAACACCAGTCCGAATTCGCCATGCCCCGCAAGGCGATCGACTCGCGGATTCCCGCTCTCATTCGCAATGGAGTCCAGGAGAAGAAGCGCAGCTTCTTCGTGGTTGTTGGTGACCATGCCAAGGATGTGATCGTGCACCTTCACTACATTATGTCCAGCGTGGACGTGAAGCAGAACAAGTCTGTCCTATGGGCTTACAAGAAGGACCTGCTCGGCTTTACGAGTCACCGCAAGAAGCGCGAAATGAAGATAAAGAAGGAGGTCAAACGCGGCATCCGCGAACCGAACCAAGAAGACCCATTCGAGCTTTTCATCACCCTCAACCAAATCCGATATGTCTACTACAAGGAAACCGAGAAGATTCTGGGTAACACTTACGGCATGTGTGTGTTGCAGGATTTCGAGGCCATGACCCCCAATCTGCTGGCACGAACTGTCGAGACCGTCGAGGGAGGTGGTATGGTCATTCTGCTGTTGAAGAGCATGACCAGTTTGAAGCAGCTGTACACAATGTCCATGGATATTCACTCGCGATACCGCACGGAGGCCCACGATGATGTGGTTGCTCGTTTCAACGAGCGATTCATTCTGTCCTTGGGAGGCTGTGATTCATGTCTGGTAGTCGACGATGAGTTGAACGTGCTGCCCATCTCCGGCGGCAAGTCCGTGAAGCCACTCCCTGCTCCCGAAACAACCGACGAGTCAGCTTTCGGCACGAAGAAGGAGCTGAAGGAAATCAAGGAGAGCTTGGCCGATTCGAAGCCCGTGGGCCCCCTGCTCAACTTGGCCCGCACCGTGGATCAAGCTAAGGCGCTCCTGACATTCGTTGATGCCATTGCCGAGAAGACTCTGAAGAGCACCGTTGCTCTGACTGCGGGTCGTGGACGAGGAAAGTCTGCCGCTCTCGGTGTCGCCATTGCAGCGGCTGTCGCTCACGGCTACAGCAACATCTTCATCACTTCCCCCAGCCCAGAGAACTTGAAGACGCTGTTCGAGTTCATCTTCAAGGGCTTCGATGCACTTGGATACCTTGACCACGTCGATTACACCATCCTGCAGTCGACCAACCCCGACTTCAACAAGGCCGTTGTTCGTGTGAACATTCACCGCAACCACCGCCAAACCATCCAGTACATTCAGCCCCAGGATGCGCATGTCCTTGGACAGGCAGAGCTTCTCGTCATTGATGAGGCTGCCGCCATTCCCCTACCATTGGTGCGCAAGCTGATGGGACCTTACTTGGTCTTCATGTCCTCCACTATCAATGGCTACGAAGGCACGGGCCGGTCCCTGTCTCTGAAGTTGATTCAGCAGCTGCGGGAACAGTCCCGTGTCGGAGTCAAGACAGACGATACCGATGTCGCGGACCGCAGCACAGGCAAGTCCGCTAAGGGCTCAGACAAGAACCTGACCGGCCGAACCTTGAGAGAGATCACCCTCGCGGAGCCCATTCGTTACGCACCAGGCGATTCCGTTGAGAAATGGTTGAACAAGGTTCTGTGCCTTGACGCAACTCTTCCCAAGTCCCGTATGAACACACAAGGCTGCCCTCACCCCTCGCAGTGTCAATTGCTCCAGGTCAACCGTGATACTCTATTCTCTTTCCACCCTGTTTCCGAGAAGTTCTTGCAACAAATGATGGCGCTCTACGTCGCCAGTCACTACAAGAACACACCCAATGATCTCCAGCTCATGAGTGACGCTCCTGCCCACCAGCTCTATGTTCTTGTACCGCCTATTGACGAGGAGGCCACTAAGTTGCCCGAGCCCCTTTGCGTGATTCAAGTCGCGCTCGAGGGTCGCATCAGTCGTCAGAGTGTCCTTAACAGTCTGAGCCGTGGTCAGCGTGCTGGGGGTGATCTCATCCCTTGGTTGGTCAGCCAGCAGTTCCAGGATGAGAACTTCGCCAGTCTTTCCGGTGCTCGTATTGTCCGCATTGCCACTAACCCCGAATATGTGGGTATGGGATACGGATCTCGGGCTATGGAGCTTTTGGTCGACTTCTTCGAGGGCAAGTTCACGAACCTGGAGGAAGGCCACACCGCAGCGGAAGAGGAGATGGTCCGTGTCACAGACGAAGAGCTCGCCAGCTCTAGCCTTTTGGATGACAACGTCCACGTCCGCGATATCCGTTCCATGCCTCCGCTGTTCGGCAAGCTGAGCGAACGTCGCCCGGATGTCCTCGACTACATCGGTGTCAGCTACGGACTCACCCCCTCCCTTCACAAGTTCTGGAAGCGCGGTTCCTTTGTCCCCGTGTATCTGCGTCAAACCCCCAACGAACTCACTGGCGAGCACTCATGCGTGATGGTTCGCACTCTTTCCACCGGCGAGACCGACGATGCCTGGCTGAGCGCCTACGCGCGCGACTTCCACAAGCGATTCCTCGCACTGCTGTCCTACCAATTCGGCCAGTTCCCGTCTGTCCTCTCCCTCAGCATCTGCGAGTCTGCGAACAACGGCGCCAAAAAGGACCCGAAGTTCACTCCTCGTGTCCTAAGCAAGGCCGACCTCGACGCCGCGTTCTCGCCCTTTGATCTCAAGCGTCTGGACAGCTACGCCAACAACCTCCTTGACTACCACGTCATCCTCGACCTGATCCCCACTCTCTCCGAATACTACTTCTCCAACCGTCTCGAGGGCAAGGTCAGCCTGTCCGGTGTGCAGCAGTCCATTCTCCTCGCCATCGGCCTGCAGCACAAGAACCTCGACGACCTGGAGAAGGAGCTGAACCTCCCCTCCTCCCAGCTCCTCGCCATGTTCCTCAAGATCGTCCGCAAGATCTCTACACACTTCCGCAATCTGATTGAATCTCACATCGAGCAATCCCTGCCGGCCCAAAAGGCCCGTCTCGAGACCTCGGAGGCCCACGATGATGACATCGAAAACAAGCTCCAGCCCCTGCCTATCAGTCTCGAGGATGAGCTCCGCGAGGGAGGCAAGCAGATCGATGAGGAGATGCGCGCCAAGCAGCGCGCCCTGGCTGCATCTAACCCGTAAGTTTCCACCAACGTTGTCTCATATACCGAAACAACAATAACTGATTTGCAGCCCACAGTGACGGACTTGATGGCTCGAAGCCGTCTAAGCGCAAGAAGGTCGAGACTGCTCGCGACATTTACGATAAGGAGATTGACTCGAAGAGACAAAAGGTTATCAAGAAGGGCACTGAGAGCCGCAAAAAGCGCTAGATCATTCGAGGGTCTGGACCGTTGTTTCTTTCTGCATTTTTGTACGGTGTTCGGGTTCTGGGTCTAAAAGACTTGTTAGTATTTGTATGTCCTCTTCAGGGTTCATGTTTGCAGGATATTCATCTCCGTATATATGAATCACATGTGTTTACTATGCCGATTAAATTCATAGAGGTAGATATCATATTCCCTAACTGCTTGAGCCATTGGCTAAGCATATGCGATTCGCTATCAAATTAAAACAAATAATGAAGATCAGAAATCAAAATGACATTGATCTCTCGCAGAACTTCATGGATCACAGTTCATCATGCCCCTCGGCCTTAGTCTCAGCCTCGGGCTCGGCTTCAGGTTCAACCTCAGCGTCCGCCTCAGTCTTGATCTCAGCCTCAGGTTCAGTCGGAGCCTCAGCACTGACAATGAGGCCCTCCGGCAACTTCTCCTTAGCACCCTCGCCCAACCGAATACTATCAACCCAAGACTCAACGGCAGTAGCTCCGAAGTGTGCATCGGCACCGTTATAGCGACGCCACCAACCGCGACGCGCATTCAACGCGATAATCTCAACGACCGGGTCATCAGCCAATCCCAATGCCTCACGTAGGTTCTTGGAGCCAGTGTTGATAGCAGGCACTGCATACAGCGGGAAGAGATGCGTTCCGCGCTGGGCATGCTTGTGTGCGATCTCAGCGAGACTGGCGAGCGCCTCAGTAGCTGGCTCAGATACGGCGTCGGGCTCGCTTGTCTCGGGGAGGATAGCGAGGACACAAGTGCCGGATTTTGGTGCGAGACAGGCTGAATCGAGCTCCTCGGGTGTGGAGAGGGTAGGGATGGGGGCTGCGGGAATGGGGACCTGAACCGGTTTGGCGGAGGGGTCTGTTTCATCCTGGTCCTCGGAGGCGGTAGGCTTAAGGTCCTCAGCATCGTCCACGACGGAGGTAGGCTTGGAAGCGGGCTTGGACTTTTGTTTCGGCTTGGGCTTCGATTGCGAGGCAGACGCGTCTGAGTTGGGCGCGGCTGCTTGGCTCAGGAACTCGGTGATGGGCTTTTTCTTCAGCTCGCCGGTGTAGAGCTTGGGCTCGGCGTCGCCGCTGGGAATGAGGACAAGCGACGGGAATTCGGTGACGGCGTACTTCTTCACCGAGGCAGATTCCTTGTTGCGGACTTGAGCGATGTCAATTGCGCCGAGGAAGTCGATTGCCAGTGCGCGGATCAGCGCACTCGTTGTGCCCTTCTCTGTGAATAGGATGGCCTTGGGGCGATCCTCGTTTTGTCCCAGCCATTTGTCTAGGTCCTTATCGGTTGCGCGCTTCACGTGGTTGGGGATGCGGTCGACGACTGCCTCGACGATGGCTTTGGCGCTGCGTGCGCCTTGGTAGTCCTCGACGTGGGGCTTTCCGGGCTTCTTTGACGGTGTCACGATCTTCAGGGTTGGGAAGCCCTGGACGCCCATTTGGCCGCAGAAGGCTTTGTTTTCGTCATCGTCGCAGTTGATCGCGGCGACTTTCGCGAGGCCGTCGAGGTTTTTCGCGGCTTTTTCGTAGGCCGGTTTCAGGTTCTGGCAGTGGCCGCACCATGGCGCGTAGAATCTAAGTTGAAATGTGAGTGAAGGTCGAAGGGGAGAGGCGAAGAGCTATACAGATAGCGATAGGGCGGGAATAGCTTACTCGACGATCTATGGAGCAGCCAATCGTTAGTCAACGCGCAGGCGCAACCTTGAGAAGACGGTCGACTCACCGAGGTATGATTTGATTTCGCAATGAGCGAGTTGTAGGTCTTGGGGTTCAGCTGAATGACTGGCGAATTCTTAGTGTATAGTCCATCGGCGTTGACAGGCAACGCCGCGAAAAGCGCGACAAGCAGAAGGCTAGTGTTGCGCAACATGATGAATACCAAATTTGCAAGGTAAAGACCTGGTACAAGTTCGAGTTGGATCAAGCCAAAGATGAGTAGAGAAAAGACCGACAGAAATGACAGCTTGTCCTCAACTAGGCAAGGTGTCCTGAAGCTCTTGGCATGCGACTGGTGATGTGACAAAAAGTACGGGGGTATCGAGGTAAAACGAAAATAAATCGTCTGAAATCTTTCAATTTTGGGTTCGAGCTAATAATTTTCACTTGCAATGATCTGAAAAAGATAGAAAGTACACGTTTGCATGTTCACAAGGCCAAGCACATAACAAATAAAAATCTATTATCTCAACTTCTCCCTCAAGCTTTGTACGTCTCCCAATGCCCACCCTCAACGGGTTCTTCTACGATGATCGCACAAGATAGCCATGACCTTCACCTAGCAGATCTGCCTCGCGATCTATTCTGGATGGTCCTGGAATATCTAGAACCAGACGAAATAGTCCGCTGTCGCCGCGTCTGCCGTGATTGGAATGAAGCCTTTAGCAATCCTGTCGTTTTACTCTCACTCCTAAAGATCCAGTTTCCATGGACAAAAGAGGCTGAAGACCTGGCCTCAGATACATCGGCTCAAGACCGAAGTCAAGGCCGTCGCCTATACGATCAGGTCGCTTCCCGTTACTCCCACCTAGAGCGAGGCAGGCCCCGCTCTATTCAAAAATTGCCCCTCTGCGAGGACTTTAGCAGCTCCGGAGATCGCGAGTGGTACCAAGTGCAGCCATGGGAAACACATGGGAGTCATGTGAGGCGTCTTGTAGACCGACTGTTCTCCGAGGCTCTATGGACGTTCGAGGAGGGGCTGTTGGTCTACCCCAGCGCGGAGCATCAGTGTCTCGTACTCAGGGATCTAGAGACGGACCGACAGTTCATGGTACCTTTCCTCATCCGTGGGAAGGTCATTCGTCGAGTCCGACTGCAGAGGCGCCTGTTGGTTATTGAATGGGCTGAACCCAATGCCTTCCACTGGTTGAATGACAGCGACGGCGTGCATCGTCACTTCGCGTCCTCATTTGAGGTGACGAAGAGCGAGACCGAAGGGTGGAATATTGCCCCGCGCAATGAATGGAAAATAATGTTCCTGGGCCATCCGCTGAGCGAGCGTGATCGGTTCTTCTCCGCACATAGCAATACGCACTATGTGATCTACATGTGGCAGCCGAATCGAAGCCTCTACACTTCAGACGAGGATGCACCTATCGAATCACTGTTTGTTTGGGACATCTCAAGACCGTCATCATATCGACCTTCGTTGGATCCCACAGGTCGACTGAAAGGCGACTCGCCAGATGATTCTCCTTCCATCGTGGCACGGTTCGGTTTCCGGGATCTGGAATTCTTCGGCATACGACAGCGCGGTTGTCCATTGATTCAGCGTCTGGAAATTACAGACGATTCCCAGGCGGTCGAGATTACAGAGAACGTCTGCATCTGGGCGGAAGACCAACCACCCGATCCTTTCGGACCACCCGATCCTTTCGCATTTCCTCAGTCTGTTACTATCAGCATTCCCTTAGCTGGAAATGGGCCCGCTTGGCGCCGCCCATGCGAGGGTGCTCTACCACCTTACCGGGGAAACTGTGGCTTACAAGCGCAGCCTATGAGCTTCGATGGATTCATGGTCGATCCGTGGTTTGGGGTTATTTCTCATGTGACTGTACTCGACCCTGATCTCGGTTTCTGTCTCCATTTCGATCCGACCAATTGGACCCAGGATCAGATCATCAGTTTAACTGTTCAGACGCCTCGTTCGATTGTGACTTATCCTAATTTTGATTTCATTGGTAGTGGGAAGCTCGCTGGCTGTGAGAAGTATTTGTTGGGGGAGAATTGCAATCGGGAACTGGTGATTTACCGGTTTGATCGATAGATGAATTCAAAGCAGAGAGATGATGGAGGTCTCCATATTCATAATGTTGGGTATTCATTCGACCATGTGCATTTAGAGCGGAGTCCGGTCTTGTAGGCAGATCAAGTAGTCCTAATTCGGTACATCGCTGGGTGATGTTCAAACAGCCATCTGGGCATGAGTCTATTGATATAGGTTTTACGAGTTCCTTAACTAACTAGGTCGCCCTTCCACAACTAACTAACTAGTCATTGCATCCCGACTAATGAAGAATCAGAAAGCTATGAGCGTCGAACAACGAAGCATATCAACCTTGTGTCGGGAGGCTTAGCCAAAATCGATAAACATCACTTTACATTCATTGGAGGACATTTGTGTGATTAAGAAATCAGGTCTCGAGGAATCTGTGGGGACTATAGGAGCTAGGAGAATGTTCAACAAACTGATTCTTAGATCAGCCCCATTTAACCCTCGGGAAGCATTGCATCAAATGATCTAACTCTTAGACGCTTTGGCGTCGAGTTCACTTGGCCATCTGTATCCCGCCGCGTCGAGACGCTAGCGCAGATGGTGGATGGGATGTAGGTTCTTGACGACGCCAATAATGAACTACACGGTAACAAAACAGCCCAAAAGCTGCGAAGCATGCCGGGCGACCGCACTCAAGCGACAGGTATCCAGACGCTCGATGGTGACAACAGCTGTATCATCTCGAAGTAAATCCTTCCATATCGACAGAAGACACGCTCACGGTTTACCGAGCGTCTGGACTTGCCGCTTCAGTTCGGCTGGGATGCCTCACAGATTCCGGGCCGTTTTGTTAGTTTTCCTGCGTGGCCAAGTATCCGGTGCCAAATCTCAGCTGTGGCAGCGGAGACCTGTGGTCTCTCTCGCTCAATATCCGCTAAGTCATATCGAGTCTAGCGTAATTATACGATGCCCACTATGGACCACATTCCTCGAGTTCTCACTTCTCACTGCAGTTGGATGGAGGAGATACCGCCATACGCACTTGGTTTAACTGAAATGGGAATATCATTATCATTATCCTAGCAGACTCAAATTCACAAACATTGGGAACACTAAACCGCGCAGCGCGCTAACAGCATCGAACGGGAACCTCAAGGAATTCGACAAAAAGAACCGTGAAAAGGCACCTAGAAACCAGTGGGCATGTCAACACACGGGTTCACCTCATACTTCAGATACTTGCACTTCAGGCAAGCCTTGAATTGGCACCCTGGGCAAGTAAGAGTGAACAGCGGCATCCAGGTCTCGCAGGCCTCGCACATGGGGTGGCAGAACTCCTTCTTCCAGACGCCAGCGTGGCGGCACTCAGTCGGATCGACCTGAACAGCCGGAATAGGGTGGGCACCCGGGGTCGAAAGGCGGATTTCCTCCAGCCAGCCAGAGTACATCTCTAGCATGATACCGTGGATCTCATTCTCGTAGTCCTTCATGGTGTAACGTCCGAGGGGATCGGCGAGCTTCTTGTTGAAATAAGGGACTAGAGGACGGATTGACTCGGGGTCCACGTTCATAGAGACATTCGGGTTCTTAACAGCTTCTCTCACATCCTTGGTGACAGAGCAGATGTTCGCACAGGCAGCCCGGAATGCCTCGGGGCTGTTTTCGAATGGATTAGTGGCAGAGAAATGCAGTCGAGGAACATGTGAGTGGGGTGAGCTGCTGCTCGAAGTGCTGCCGCTCGAAGTGCTGCCGCTCGAAGTGCTGCTTGCAGACGCGCTGCCAGGGGAATAATTGCCAGCTGAGCCAGAGCTGCTCTCAGGTGAGGGCGCACCACGAGCACTATAACCATGGCTGCTGCCATCAGCAGGACGCGGGCTGCTTGCCGTACATTTGGCTTTGGCGTATGTATGGGTAAATGTAAAGCCATCAAATGTATAGGCCGTGTCCCATGTCCTCGGCACCTTTCCGCGCTTGGAATCTTCAGGGCGACAGGCATTTTCTTCATGGTTGGCCTCAATCTCGTCAATGCCTTTGCGTATTATCCGACTAAGAAGATCCTGGAACTGCTGGCCGCAGTTACCCCCCATCAAGCGAATGATATCGCGCGTCATGCGATTCCGAACGTTTTCATTGCGAGCACGCACGTTCTCCTTGTGAAGCTCCTTGAAAGTATCTTTCCGAGCCGTTTTAGCTTCTTGAGCACAGCCAGCCCGCACCTTCTCCCATTGCTCTTTCCTTCTTTCATGTTGCGCACGCTTGGCCTTGGATTCGGCCGAATTAGGGTGCTTGGGACAGCTGGCCCCGTAGCTGTGCATGTACGGTTTTTGCAGGGGATTGCAGGTGCATTCACGGTGGTACCGCTGGTTGGTCCATGTGCGCTCAAATTGGCTCTGAGATTGGCTCTGAGATTGGCGCTCAGATCGGCGCTCTCTCTTTGCCCGTCGTGTATCATCACGTCCCGCACCGTTGCAGTTGGAAGACGAAGATTCATCGGGAGCACGAGCTCTCTTGCGGTTTACATTCAGCTGGGCATCAAGCCGGCCCCGGCTCTCGGGGTCACGAAGAACTTCGACAGCCTCATTAACCTGTTGACAATGGCTTGTTAGCTATGCCAACTTGACCGAGAAATATTTCTTTCTGGAGGTATACCTCTCTGAACTTTTCATTGGCTGACTCAGTATTGCCAGCATGGTCAGGATGGAGTTTCAGAGCCAGACGCTTGTAGGCAGCGTTGATTTCCTGAAGGCTGGCATCGCGGGCAACGGCCAGGATGGCATAAGCGTCAATGGTTACTTTGAGAGAAGACATTTCGCCGTCACGAAAGTCCTACATTGGATGTCAGTGTTCCGTGTATGTGTACACAGTATGTGCATGTAATTGAATCAAAGATGAACGTCGAATTGAAAGAAGAGAGGGCTATATCATGGAAGAAGACAAGTGTGTAATGGGTACTCGGAATAGGTATATGCACAGACATGAGGTGGAAGGTGTCGGATCAGATAGTTATTGTTGGGGTGACTATAGCTACTTACCAGACCAACGCTGGGATGGAATTGATGTTTGAAAAAAAGATGGTCGAGAAGACCAAATCAAGCTGTTCGCTGTTCGAAGACGATATGAAGAAAAATCAATGAGAAAGAAGGTCAATTACCACGAAGCAACGAGAAATTGAGAAGTCGAGGGGGAGAAGATGGGAAGAAGAAGGGGACAGTTATAGACCGAAGGGAATTTACAAAGTCTTCAGAGTATCGAGGATGTGGATGAATACATTTTACTCAATTGGGATAATGCTATTGACAATAGATGCTATTGTATGTACATCTACATGATAGGACAGAAGAGAACAAAGAGAACGAAGAGGTTGGGGAGAACAAAGAATCAATGAAATAAGTCAAAGTTTATACACCCAGCCATTTTTGAACAAAGACATGTTAGGACTACCGTGTAGTATATCACCGAACAAAGAGAATGAAGAGGTTGAGAAGAACAAAGAATCTATCAAATAGGTAACTCAACGATGTTTATACACAACCTACCAGCCAGCACAAGGACATGTTAGGGCTACTGTGTAATATATCATCGAACAACCTAAGAACAATAACGAATTGAAGGTTATTTAGGGCTGGAGGGTTACTGAACACACCTGATGATCATCCAAGGCTAGGGCTACAGCTAGGGCTACACGGGTAAAGACCATACATAAGAAAATTGGAAATGGATTGACTCTGATTTTACACAAGCTCAAGGTTGATCTAAATATGAACAAGTCTACACTGGAGGCGACTTCGTCCCGAAGAAGGAAACTTCTTCACATGTCCTCACTGGCAGTAGCACCGGTGATAATCTCAACCAGCTCTCCAGTAATGGTGGCCTGGCGTTGACGGTTGTACAAGATCTGGAACCTGGGAAAATGTTAGTCCAAATTCCTTAAGGAACAACATAAGAGGTAGCACGTACTTATTGATCATCTCACCAGCGTTCTTGGAGGCGTTCTCCATGGCGTTGCGACGAGCAGAAATCTCACAGGCGTGGCCCTCGGCCATGGCCCAGAAGAGGTTGTTGGCGAGGGCGTACTCGCGGAGGCTGGACAGAGCCTCGTCAGCAACCTCGTAGGAGGAGATGTTGGCTAATATATGGTATTAATTGCAACTCAATAAACGTTTTCTGAATTATAGAACACTCACCGGACTGAGTAATAGCCTCCTCGGAGTAGGCCTCAATGGAGACAGCCTCGTAGCTCTGAGCGTTGACAAAGGAGTTGTAGATGATGCGAACGCTGGCATAGTTCTCGGGCAAGAGAGCAATCTGGTCAGCAATAGCCTGGGCATCGGCAAAGGTGGGAATATCCTTGCAGACGTTGGCGAAGCTGAGGACGATGTTGTCGGGGGCAGCACGGGACAGCTGAGCCTTGGCCTTCTCACCGAGGATAGCGATGTCGGCGTTGGGGTTCTCGGCCAAGATGCGGCGGGTGGCCTTGGTGAGACCGGAGTGGATACCACCGCAAAGACCCTTGTCGGAGCTGGCGACAACCAAAAGAGTCTTCTTGTCCTCCAGAGGCTTGGTCTCGGCCTGCTCGAAGACAGTGTTGGAGGTCTGACCGTAGACACGGGATTCGTCCATGGCCTTCTGGGCACGGGTAAGACGAGTAGAGGCAACAATCTTCATGGTGTTGGTGATCTTCTCGATGTTCTTGATGGACTTGAGACGACCCTCAATCTCACGCAGAGTCGCGAAAGTGGCGGCATTGGCGGGGGTAGGGCTTGGATTCGCAAGTCAGCAATTGTCCTTCCCATATCTTTTGGTATCCAGTATATCTTCCAATGTCGATGAGTCGAGGTGGTTGCGCCGGAGTACGTCGGGCGAAAGGGCATTGGCACGAGGTATCGGATCAGGACTTACCGAGCGACGGCAGCACCACCAGCCCGCAGGGCTGGGCGGACGGCGCGGGAGAACATTATGCGAGGTATTGAGAAAGGGATTTAGTTAGGCAGACAATGACTGCGGAGGGGAGGGGGTGACGAAGGTTAGACGTGGTTCCTCGCTGGTCGGGAAAGGAAGTTGAGAACCAGGGAGGTTCTGTCTCCGTGCCCCCGCTAAACCCGAAGGGGTAATCATCTACGGCGCACCATTCCGGCTTCTACCGCAGTTGTAAGCCTCAGGCACGCAGTATTTACATAACATCACTTGGCGCCTCAGGCATCAACCTTGTAGTCCCTCAAGGCCTCTTTTCCCATCCATTCCTCCATTCCAATTCCCTCAGCCTCTTTTCCTGCTCTTTCATCTGTTATTTTCTTTTTCTCCTGTGTCTATACTTCCATTCCCACCCACAGGAGCTTCTCTCTAGATGTATCATTGATGCACTAGATCTTTCAACTATATTCTTACTCTTCATTGGTCAGAATTACCTTGCTTTCCTTCTTCTATCAGGCGGCTCGATTTGCCCGACTCGGCGCCCGAGGACGCCCTCCCTTAGCCAAATACCGATTTCTCTCATTTTACCCTCGCCTACCTCTCGCTACACCAAGGATTGTCACTATGAGTTCTTCGGAGGACGATGCACCACTCATGCGCGCCAATGGACGTGGTAAAGGTGAGTTTCTCGGGTCATTCGGCTGCGTTTATCCACCTATACATTTCGTCGCGAGTTTTTGACACCTTTGCATTTTGTCTTCTCCCATCTGTATCTCTTCTACTCCGTCCATCGCTGCACCCTGTCCTCGAAGCTTCGAACGTGTTATTCCACACTTTGACGTCATTTCACCTTCAACGTACTATGAACAACATTCTCACCTAGCGCTTCTCACACTTCTAGTTCCTTCAAATCCCAGCGAGGTCCAGATGGCGGACGCCCCTGCTACGAACGGCCATGTGGATCCTGGAATATCAATCCGATTCGGGCCCGTCGAGGACAAAGACGTGAAAATGGAGGACGCAGAAGGCGATGCGCTGGTTGCTACCAAGCGCAAATCTCGGTCCAGTGTGGGCGAGAAAAAGTCCTATGCGGAAGCGGAAAGTAGCGAAGAAGATGAGCCATTGGTACGCCTACCCCCATTGCGAGATGACATGTCCTTCCCATGCGACCACACCGTCGCTCTCGGTTGAAATCGTCTGACCATTCGACAGAGCAAACGCCGCCGTACGTCCGTGAAGCATGAAGACCCTGAAACCGATGACGATGTGCCCTTGGCGCTCAACGGACGAAAACTCCCCAAGCCTGCGGAAACATCCATCGGAGAAGCGTCCGATTCCGACGTTCCCATTGAACGCAAGCTTGCTGCACAAAAAATGAAAATCGAAAAAACCGCAGAGAAGGAGGCCAAAGTTGCGCGCAAACCTGCTGCGGCCAAGAAACAAGTCAATGGTATCAAAAAGGAGCCAGCTGCCAGCAAAGCTGCCCCTAAGAAGCCAAAGGCTGAACCTGCCACCAAGAAGGGTAAAGCTAAAACCGCGGTGAAGGCTGAAAGCCAGGATGCCGAAGAAAAGGAGGACGAGGAGAATGAGTACCGCTGGTGGGAGGACCACACCAAGAACGATGGAACCATCAAGTGGACCACTTTGGAACATAACGGTGTAGTTTTCCCTCCTGAGTACGAAGTGCTGCCGGAGAACGTCAAGATGAAGTATGATGGGGTTCCGATCTCTCTTCAACCCGAGGCCGAAGAGGTTGCTGGCTTCTTTGGATCCATGCTGAACTCAACTCATAACGTGGAGAACCCTGTATTCCAGAAGAATTTCTTCGGTGATTTCAAGGATATCATCAAGAAGACTGGTGGGGCGAAGGATCCCAAGGGAAACAAGGTGGACATCAAGGAGTTTGCCAAATGCGACTTCAAGCCCATCTTTGAGTACTATGATGCTCAACGTGAAGAGAAAAGGAACCTGCCGCCAGCGGAGAAAAAGGCTGCCAAGGCACTCAAAGATGAGCAAGAAGCCCCCTACCAGTATTGCATATGGGATGGTCGCAAGCAGAAGGTGGGCAACTTCCGCGTGGAACCGCCTTCTTTGTTCCGAGGCCGTGGTGAACACCCCAAAACTGGACGAGTCAAGACGCGCGTACAACCCGAGCAAATCACTATCAATATTGGCAAGGAAGCGACGGTTCCGCCACCTCCCCCCGGTCACAAGTGGAAAGAAGTGAAGCACGACCAAGAAGGCACTTGGCTTGCCATGTGGCAGGAAAACATCAATGGTAACTACAAGTACGTCATGCTGGCTGCCAACTCGGACGTCAAGGGCCAAAGCGACTACAAGAAATTCGAGAAAGCCCGTGAGCTGAAGAAGCACATTGAGAAAATCCGCAAGGATTATCAGAAGAACCTCAAGCACGACATGATGGTGGAACGACAGAAGGCCACAGCTGTCTACCTTATTGATCAATTTGCCCTACGTGCTGGAAACGAGAAAGGCGAAGATGAGGCCGAAACCGTCGGCTGCTGTTCTCTGAAGTACGAGAACGTTACACTGAAGCCCCCCAACACCGTTGTCTTCGATTTCTTGGGTAAAGATAGCATTCGGTTCTATGATGAAGTACAGGTCGATCCACAGGTCTTTAAGAACCTGAAGATCTTCAAAAAGGCTCCCAAGAAGAATGGTGACGAGATTTTCGACCGCCTTACGGTACGTCCTTTGTTTATTTGCAATTCTGATGGTTACTGACAAGTGAAGACTTCTGCCCTCAACAAGCACCTTGCCAACTACATGCCTGGTCTGACGGCCAAGGTTTTCCGTACCTACAACGCGTCTTATACCATGGGTTGCGTTCTCGGCGAGATGACTGCTACTGGTGGCATGACAATCGCTGAGAAGGTGAAGGCGTACAACGATGCCAATCGCAAGGTTGCCATCTTGTGTAATCACAAGCGTACTGTCACTGCCAGCCATGCCAATGCAATGGAAAAGATGGGTGAACGGGTGAGTTCGATGCATTCTCCCATCACGGGCCAAAGGTACAGAGCTAATATGTCACTCGACAGATCAAGGGACTTCGTTATCAGAAGTGGCGGCTGAAGCAGCAGATGCTTGACCTGGAGCCGACTCTGAAGAAGAAGAAGGGCGCGGCATTCTTTGAAATTGATGAGGATCTTGATAAAGAATGGATCGAAGAACACCAGGCCTTCTTGATAGAGGAGCAGCGAACAAAGATCAACAAGAAGTTCGAGAAGGACAACGAAAAGCGCGTTGCCGATGGCGAGAAGGAGATGAAGGCATCCGAACTCGAGGAGCGCCTGCAGGTCATCAAAGAGATGGAAAAGAAATTTAAGAAAGAGAATAAGACTGGCAAGGTTGAGGTTGAAGCCCGCGGCGCCACTGTCGAGAAACTGGAGAATGCCATTGCCAAGATTGACCAGCGGGTCGAAACGATGTCCGTTCAGGCACAGGACAAGGAGGACAACAAGGAGGTTGCCTTGGGTACCTCGAAGATTGTGAGTTTGTTTCGTCTCTCATCTACAAGATCCCAAATTAATCTTTTACACAGAACTACATCGACCCTCGTCTCACTGTCGTCTTCAGCAAGAAGTTCGACGTTCCCATCGAGAAGCTCTTCTCCAAGGCGCTGCGTGAGAAGTTTGAGTGGGCCATCAAGTCCGTTGATGAGGACTGGGAATTCTAGTCTCTCCTTCTCGTGGACTCGATATCTTCCTTGCAACCCTCACATTTCGCGCAAATTACTTTCTCGTACAATATTTTTCGGGCTCAGTCCGTCTGGCTTGGTAAGACGAAATGACTTTGCCTGGTTTTGTTTTCTGCGTGCTTTTGTTTCATCTACATCTAGCATTTGTCCATTCAAGTTCTTGATTGCATTTGCATCCTTGAGAAAGAACTGCCGTTGCTAGTGGCATTTTCATATTTTCGGGGGTGTTTCAACGTTGGCTCCGTGTGAGAGCCTGCATCAGTGGTGGCAGTGGGTACGATAGGCTCAGTATACTATGCCAGTATAATGAGGGGAAAAGCACCAAAACACCCAAAAAAGACTCGTCGATCTGTTTGGTTGGCGACTTGACTAAATGCACCTCATGCATGGCAGTTGGCATACTCTGCACAGTTTCTGTTCTGCCCTCGGTCACTCTGGCCATGGCGGTCAGAAATTTCGAACATAGCAATGCGTTCTGTCATTTGTTTCACATGTTTGTTCGATTTATTTCTAGATATATCGTATGTAGAAGTGAGGTTTATTCTTAGTATGCTGACAAGATCATGTTCAAACCCCGTCTATAACTAGCCCGCCATCAGCCTAGGGAATATCTTGAGCGATGATCAACTCCACCGCGGATTGTGCCTCGATGAGCTAGGTATTGCCCCGCTAGGTGACCGACTGATATCCGCTGGCCGTCGGAGAAACTAGCTGCTCCTCTTGCTTTGTGGGTATAGGTAGGCACCTATAAGTACTTGATGAGATTGTACATAAGGCTGAACGTAGAACGTTGGTTTGATTCGGAGATAGTGGAGAATATAATATTCCAAATGAGAAGGGCGCAAGATGCTACTGATGCAGGAGCCATGCAAGTAAGAGACAGAGAGACAGGGGCAGTAGCAACAAGAGATAGAAAGAAACATATATGCAGAAAAGGAAATGAGAAAACCCCACCATAGGATAGCAACTATCGATTACAGTACAGGATTGACTAACATGTGGCGATGCTCAGCATGTCCGCGGATCGATAGCTCTGAGGTATTCGAAGTAGAGATGATCAAAAGGTAGGATGGTGTTGATAGAGATGGAGATCATGAAAGGGTCGTGTGGGGAATTCAATGCACTCTTTTGCAGTGCGATGCGACATTCGATTTGAGGAATCATGGGACAAAAGAAAGGAAAGGATACAAAGGGAAACAAAAAATCATCGACAGACGGGATATCTTCGAAAGGAGAAAGAAAAGAAAGAAGAAAATGTAAAAAGAAGAGAAGGCAGACGATCTCAGCCTACCAAAGGCCACAGTCATGGCCACCAGCCCATGCGTTTATAGCTGTCGACGATCTCGCGGATGCTGTCAGCGCCGAAGTTGGGATACTTCGGCTTCCAGCCAGTCTCATTCTCGAACTTCGACCCATCGATTGACATATCCTGGTCCTTGAGAATATCCCGCTCAAGGAACGGACTGATCGGACCCGGCCGCGTGATATTGGCTCTCTCAATGAGCTCCGCCCACGTCTGCAGACTAACCTCATTCATATCATCGACAACATCATCGAGGTTCAGCTTAGCCAGCTGCGAAGCAAGCGAACCAATGAACGTAACCTTCAACCCAAACACCTCCATTAGAGCTTTGGCAACATGTTCCTGTTTCGTGTCATTGTGATCAACGACGTTGAAAGCAATAACCCCCAACTTCGGATCAATGTCACCCTTCGAAGCGCGCCACTTCGCAGCCTCAAACAGGGCACTAGCCGCATCCTTAACGTGCAAGGTATTTATCTTCAAATCCTTAGTGTGCAACAGCGTCAAGTCCTGCTTAAGATCGACATGGACGGCAGACAAACAGATCCCCGTAGCGAAGTAGCCGGGGTCGTAGGCGCCGTACACGTGCGGCAATCGAAGCGCGCAGTACCGCAAGTTCGGGATTTTACGCAGTTCCTCCGAGGCCTTCACTTTCCACTCGGCCAGCTTGTGCCACGGGGCGAGCTTGTCGGTTTCCTTGCGCGGGGTGGAGCCGCCTTTGTAGACGTGTGCGGTGGAGGTCTCGACGTAGGCTGGGATGCCGCGGCGGGCGATTTCCTTGCCGAGGGCGACGGAGAGGGCGCAGCTGCGGACTTCGTAGACGTCGTCAGGTTGGGAGTGGCGGGTTTCGCCGCCGCAGTTGATCACGTAGTCGAATTGTTCGCCATTGGCGCGGTCGAAGATGCGCGGGAAGTGTTCTGTGGAGGGGAAGCGGTGGGTAAGAAGTTGTTACTGTGCCATGGGATGTGTTTGTTCGGGTTACTCACGTTCACGACTGGCATCGGCCTGGACGAACTTGTCCTTGGAGCATGCCTCATCGAATTCGGGGGCTAACCATGCTAATTGGGGGAGGACTTTGTCTACCAAGCGGACTTCGGAGGCTAGGTTGTTTTCGTGGATATAAAGCGCGAGGTGTCGACCAATGAAACCTGGTGAGGGACAGGTTAGTGAATGACTAGATTCTTTTGAAAAAGAAGAACATACCGAGACCACCGACAATTAGAACGGCGGGTTTTTTGGCGTCGGCCATTTTGAATGTGCAAGCCTGAAAAAAAGACTCCCCGCAGGTTCAGGGAAGGGAAAGGGGGGGGGGAAGGCGAAGGACGGGAGAAAGGAGGGGGCGGACTAACTAAACGGACAATCTTGGACTAACAAGAAACGCAACGTTGCCAAAGAATAGAAAATTATATGAGAGAAAAATATAAAATTACAGAGAGAAAATGAAATAAGTTAAGGGGATTATTCGGGAATGCTGTCTCCCCTGCCAAGCCGGTTAATCCACGAGGTTGACATAACTCAGTGGGTTGTAGTGGAACTGCAGCAATTTGGGGAGCATCGAGAGACTAATGTACCTGTGACGTTGAAGAGATCGTGTGATGGTGAAAAAGTACGTAGTTAAGACTTGCATTAGTTGGTTATTTATTCACTACAAATATGTATACTGCTATGTGCATAGCAACTGTGTAGAAGTCTTTACCTACATCCCTGTGCCCGTGGTCCCATGGTACTGGGTTTCCGATCACCCGAACGACCCATGGACAGATGCTAAGCCTCTCCCATGCTTATTTTGACTCTAAATCTTGTTCGATCTTCCTGTCTACTACATATCTTGCACCGATACCGAATGACTAGCTATACTGCTGTTGATCTGGGACGCCTAACAATGGTATAATTAGTTATCGAATTACTACTATGTACCAAAACCACTACTGCCTACTATGTTATCGTCCTGATTGCTGGCTGAGAGTTAAAAGCGAAAAAGGGGTCTCCCCAATGAGCAACATGATCAAGATGCATGATGCGGCATAATGCGGGATTTGCTCTTGCCGCTGCAGGTCCAACATCTGTCGATCGATATCATCCTACAATATGTACTCGACATTGGCCCTTGGACCTTGGTTGTATACCCAGTATGTTGTACTGTGTATAAGAGCAGCTCTCCGCGCTGCAAGTCTAGCCTTGGCGCATCTCAGATAATTATCAGATGAATGTGCTCTGCAGAAGTTCATCAGGCTCGGGACCGATTGTTCACGAAAGTGGGTCTCTACATAGCGGGCCTTTCTTCGCGCGTATCGCATAGTATTCCTCGACAACATCTCCGTATGATGTACGAGCAGGCAAGAGAATCAGTTTCAGAACCTTGAGTGGAGATGCGTCAATATATACACAAGTGACACCCATATGATATATCATTCAATCGAGGCAATTGCAACTGCAGTATTGAGGAATTGGAAGGGAGCGGCTTGTAGCGGGGACACTTCTTCATCGATATCCAACTCTGAACTCTCAGACTCCATTGTGTCCCCACTGAGGGCCGGCGGGTGAATATTACCTGCCAATCTGGCTCACAGTTGTTCGCATTTGGTCCGGGGACCCGCTCCGCTGTCCCCTTTCCCACTCAAGACAGTGCATGACACTTGCAGGAATGACGTGCAAGGGAATAGAGTCTTGTGGTTGGAGGAGATAGCGCAGTGTCAAAGCCCGCTGGTTTAAGGTGGCTGCTGCATGTCGCTGCGGGTCTCTTTTCTCCTATTTGTTGCCCGTGGATACGGAAAATATCACTGCCGGACCTTCAATGGCGTTTGATGGTAATACGCGAAGGGATAGGACGTCAATATTGGTCATTGTGTTCTGAACGTGTGATAATTTCTCGGCAATATCAGGCCCCACCACACTTCTCATACAACTCAGATGATCGTTGCGGTGCGGTGCGGTCCTGATTGTGGAGCCAAACTGTTCAATAATATTGGTCTGATTGATTCTGGTCATTGTCACACTCACAGATCTACGAATCACCTCTTTCGAGAAGACTGACAAAAGCAAGTCCGCGCTAGCAAGGAAGTTGTGCAGGCAAGTTATGAAGAGCTCGCGACACAATTCTATGGACTAGTTACTATGAGTACTACTACTGAACAACAGATAGAATCCTACATGACTCTGAAAAATGACAACGGAAGATAGGAGCTATGAACACAAGAGCGTACTAAGAGCGTACTAAGATAAGGTATATTCATAAAGAGTGCTCTAACAAGTTTGAAAAGCAAGCAAAGACGGCACCATACAAGGCCGTAAAATCATGATGCTCCTAGACATTTCAGCGAATTCCTTAACTCCTTAATAGCCGTCTCAACATCATCAAATGTCAAAGCAGAGACCGCCCAACGAGCATGCTTCTGCGCCATTTGCACCGAACCATCATCTACGCCGTGTGTCGGCTGAGGTGGGACATATGGAGCCTGTGCAGCAGGTACATGCGCAGCCGGGGTTGGGACAAACGGCGGGCCAACCGGAGGCTGCGTAGGAGCACCAGCACTTGGGGTATCGTAGAAAGAAGCCGGATCTGGCGCAGGCATAGAAGGATCGATAGACGGCCGGGGGAAGGAGTGGAATGCAGTCGGTGTATCAGGAAGATTTGGTACTGAGGGTGAGCCGCCAATCGTCGCTGGGGTAGAGGGAAGCTCTAAGCCACCGGAGCTGGAGTTGTCGGCATCCAGCGGTTGTCCAGGCGCGTTGCGAGGAACAGAAGGAATTTCGGGACCAGAGTCGGCGGGTGCACGTGGTGCGGATGATGTGCGTGATGGGTGGAGGGATTCATCCAGGACCGATTTTCGGGCTAGTTCTCGTCCAAGACGGTCAGACTCGTCAGGGACCTCCTCGATGGAAGCTTGTCTTGGCTTGGAGGCCTCCTCCGCCACCGACTCGTCGAATGCCTGCACATCGGGATCGTCGATTGGTTCTTCTTCCTGCTTGGGTGCGGGGTTCGTCGCGTTGGGATCTTCGCCGGCTTTGAAAGCCTTCACAATGCGGACAGCGTGGAATTTGGCGAACTTGATTCGCCCGGCGATTTCTGGGTCTAGGGCTCCCCAGATCGAACATAGTTCGAGGAAGGTGGCTGCTGCCAGGAAGGTATCTGCTGTTTGCCTTTCGGGGCATTAGCCATTTGAAGCTCAAATAGCTTTGGAGAGCTCACTTTGTGACTTTGTTGGCATTCATGGCAGCCTCCGCACGGCTGAAGACCTCCAATCCGAATTGTTCGACATAGGCGCTTGCCGCAGTACTGTCTGTCACTATTTCATTGTTTGGGTTCTCTTGTTTGAACTAGTTCAGGCCAACTCGTTAGCCGCTAGATCTCAGATGCGGAATGCGTGAAGCAGATGCAATGGAGGAGCCCGACTCACCTCCTCTAGCTTGTCAACGAGGTTAGTCGTATAAACCTTAATTTCGTCGTCGGAATTGTGAAGACCTCTTTCAATAATTTGGTTCACGATGTGAAAATTGCCTACAGAAGTAGGACACTATCAGCTTCAATACTCGCTTGTGCAATGCGCGGGGTCTTGCAACTTACACCAGTAGGCAATCACAGGCTTGGCGGTTTCGATTTGAGCAGCTCTGATAGCAAAGCGCCCGATATCTGCAGATCGCAGTCCAGCTGGAATGTTACTCGCCATGATCTAAGAGATCTGTTGTGTTGAGGAGAAGTGGAGGAACAGATGACGTTTGGAGTTTGGGGAATATGCCACCGCCTGGGTGCGGGGGCGCGGAAGAACCGATCTTATCTACGGAATTTCAACTGTTTGGAGCTCCATCATGCTGATTCATGCATAGATTTGTGACTATTTCTTGCCTCGATAAAGATCTTAGATCTCCTGGGTATCATTCGTCTTCAACCACCCATTGGCCAATTTCAACTCTCTCCTCTGCTAATGCCTCGACCTCGAAATGATCTTCCACCTGCCCTCCCGGACCCCCAATGCGCTCAATCACAATCCACACACCGCGTGACTCGGTACTGGGCTGCAAATCAAAGTCATCGACGCGAACCCCTGAAGCACTATCACTGTGTGTTCCATCCTCTGAGCTGGCCAAGATTTCCTTGTAAGGACCCTGGCCTAGTTCCACCGTCATCAGCACGGGAGACGGGGCGACAGGGCGAGACCCGATCATGGACCGCTTGCTCCTGGCAATCAGGCGGATTCGTGTCAGACGCGAGACTCGCAGCGATACCAGCATGCGGTCCTTGCCTGGAGCCAGCACACCCACGTCGGACAAGACGGTACGTCGACCTGCGGACTCGGAAACCAAAGGTTGAACTGTACAGGGAATTGTGGATGAGATCCACAACGTGAACCGACCCAGTTGATCGGGTGCGAATGTAGAGCACACTATGGTATAAGTGCCTCTATCCAGGGATTTGGCTTCGGCCAGCGCGCATCCGCGGCGATAATCGCCACTATCTGCAATGATGTCTCGGCTTCGGACGCGCGATATCCGCTGTCCATTGGACCAAAAGATCTTCACGTGTGTTGCTAGGTCCGCTTCAGTGGTCTCGAGCAATATGGAGACGTCTGTCGATTCGGAAATCCGTATGCTGAACTGTGGATTGGAGTGATATCGAGGTGACTCGGCGTTCCCCCCTGCTGTCATCGCTGTCCAGGAACCACTTGCCTTGGTCAGACAGAGGTACTTGTCTAGCGAAGGCGCCACGGCAACAGGATTCGTTGAAAACGCAGAAAGTGTAAAGTTCTGGCTGACTGATGGGAGTGATTGCTCTGAAATCACTGCGGTGTAGGTCGTATTGGGTGGCATCTCCAGCCTCATAAGTGTGTTTGGGGAGTCGACATACGGTCCGCGATGGAGCGCACCGTCACTGAGCGATACCCTTCGGCCATTCGCTTGGAAGATGTAGATGCTGATGAAGCCTAGTCCACTCTCCAATTCACTGAATTCAGTCTGTTGATCATCTGTCTTGAAATGTTTCCCGAGCAGCAGCCAGACCGTCCCTCCCAGATCACTGGAGATGGAGAACTGAGGATTCTTCACAAAACAGCCAGCGATAACTCGGCCATGTGACAAATCCCAGGTGAAATGAATATCTTCGCGGTACCTGAACAATCCGGGGTTCCAGTTGAGGTAAAGATTTTCGAAATTTTGAAGGACATGCTCGCAGTCCATCCAGAAGGTACCCGGAGACAGCGGGGAGCTACCACTGAGTGTAAGTGAGTCGGGACCGCTTTGTACATGGGGTTCCGCGCCAGCCCACGGGTTCTTCAACAAAAGCCGACGACGGCCCTGGAATTCTTTCATGTCCAGGATAGCATAATCGTGTTCGCCCACTAGCCCCAGCCCTTGTTGTTCGAGTTCGGTTAGCTTTCCAGTGCCGATCGTTAGGACCACATCTCCATGGTAGAAAGCATTGTATAAACGCCCCCATATCTCATCCGAGGTGGCATCGTCATGGTGTAAAAAGACTTGTTCCGGAATCCAGCCAGTCAGCACCCAAAGGTCTGTCCCCGAGTTACTACCTGGGAAATCATATCCCCCGCGAACTTTCAGGTAAGCCTTCTCCACAAGAGCAGGCCACAGGAAATTGGGGTTATTGCGATCAATCACGTGGAGTGAGCGTGTTGTCTTCGACGACGGTAATCGGTCGTCTATTACTACTTTTCGGAAAGACCCATTGAAATAGAAGCGAAATATGTACTTCCCCGACTGCGAAATGATCGGAGCGTTCTCTTCATTGCACGGGTACAGTGTCGGCGATGCATGCTGTCCGAATTAGCTTTCGATAGTCCATGACCTGGAGTCACCTCGAACCGTACCTGTCCTAGGCCTCGTTCGGCTCGAGACGTCGTAGCACAGAGACTCGCGACCACCGAGCAGTCTGTTAAGACGTCCTGCACAAGATCAGTTTGCCCCGAAGCCGACATGGACGGGTCAATTGCATCATGTGTCTGGCTGGTCGCTTTCATTGTCCGTAACAGGTCATGCGGCCGTTTCCAGCCTGCAAAAATATCCCTCTGACACTCAGAGAGGTGCAAGTCCGGCGCATCCCTACGATCAGTCAGTAATCAGTCAGAGAAGGGTGCCGCTGATTCTTCCTCGCCACTTACGTGAAAGGTTCCCCCTCCTGAATGAATTCATCCTGAAGTGGTGCACGACTCCACGGCGGAAAGATGAAACCATTCAACTTGGACCCCTCGAGAACGATGATCTCTTCGCGGGTGGTGAGTTTGCGTGTGGATGTAGGCGGCCGTAAGCTAGGGAAGGCTTTCTGGGGCCCCGCACCCGCTACGGACTGCCAGTCGGCAGCGGCCTTGATCTTTTCGGCCTTTGTAAGTAAGTCCTTGCATTTTTGGTCGAGATGCCTTTTATCTTCGGCGGGCGCCAGGCTCAGCGCTTTCATGTAATACTCCGCGGCATTGATAGCCGCGTCCAATGCTGCCTTCTGCGAGGTGGCTGTGGCTACCGCCTCTTCCGCACTCTATTGCAGTCGTTAGCTTTGACTATTCATGTATCAATACAAAGAAAGTACCAATGCCTGAGATATGTGAGATGGAGGTCTAGACATACTCCGTACTTGCTCGTTGGAGTCGTGGAGTAGTCAGGTAATCAGATCTGACCCGCAAGTTAATTACCAGATTCGGTTGGAGCCAAGACCCCCGCGAAGTTCATTCCGCATGTTCCGATGTATTGGAGTCAAGTACACAGTACTTAGTAACATCCGACTTCTATATACATTGTGAGAGATATTTGCAGATTGTTATTTCCAAAATATACAATATAGCAAATACTCGTAACAGTGAAGTACACTGTAACTACTTCGTAAATGTAAGTGATGTAATAAAACCATGACATAAGCCCATACCTCGCCGAAATGGACCTCGGCTCGCCCTTTAAGGTGAGCGCCGAGGTGCATCTGCAGGAATTCCGGCTCATGAGCTCGGTCTCTCCGACTCTCTCCTTCTTGCTTTCTAACTTGGAAATTCCGGACTCCGGTATGATTGATCGTCGTCTCAGTGCATTTCCTTAACTTCGTTTCTCTCCTCTATTCCTATCTCTCCGTGATTCGGAGCAAAGCAGTGTAGAAAGCCCCGCCTCGGTGTTTCTCCTGTCTACCGGCTCAAGCACTCTCTTAGATCTTGTTCTTGTTGATCTCATTGATTTCGAATACTCTTCACTGGCATTATGGCTGGACAATCCAAACCTGTGCTGTCGCCATGGGGCAGCGCCGTTGCAGGCGCAACAGGTGCCGTCCTTGCTAATGCGCTGGTCTACCCGCTTGACCTGTGAGGCTCCAAATAGAACAATTACAAGAATCCATGAGAACACACCCTCGCTGACTGTATCATTCCCATTCCTAGAGTCAAGACGAAACTACAAGTACAAGTCAAGGAGAAGAATGGACCCGTGCGGGCCGAAGATCTCGAACATTACGAATCGACCGTGGACGCTATCACCAAGATCGCAGAGAAGGAGGGCTTCAGCGGCCTATATGCCGGAATGGCTGGATCTCTTTTGGGTGTCGCCTCTACAAATTTCGCATACTTCTACTGGTACAGCGTCGTAAGGACTCTTTACATGGCCTCGGTCAAATCCCCGACACCCCCCGGCACCGCGATTGAACTCTCCCTGGGTGCCGTTTCGGGCGCTGTGGCTCAGATCTTCACCATCCCGGTGGCTGTCATTACGACCCGGCAACAGACACAACCCAAGAACGACAAGAAGGGATTGATCGATACAGGCCGAGAGGTGGTTGAGAGCGAGGACGGCTGGTCCGGCCTGTGGCGTGGCTTGAAGGCTAGCTTGATTTTGGTCGTCAACCCGGCTATCACTTATGGCGCATATCAGCGCCTCAAGGAAGTTATCTTCCCAGGAAAGAATAACCTCAAGCCTTGGGAGGCCTTCCGTAAGTAACGTCAAATTTAAGGATCTCACAGCGTCTTGCTAACTCATTCCAGTCCTGGGTGCCATGTCTAAGGCTATGGCCACGATTGCAACCCAGCCTCTGATTGTTGCCAAGGTTGGACTGCAGTCTCGCCCCCCTCCTAGCCGCAATGGCAAGCCCTTCAAGTCCTTTGGTGAGGTCATGAAGCACATTGTTGATAATGAGGGTCTCTTTGCCCTCTTTAAGGGTATTGGACCCCAGATCCTAAAGGGTCTGTTGGTCCAGGGTTTGCTCATGATGACCAAGGAGAGGTACGTTCCCCGTTTTCTGAACTATCCGTCGCTTGGGTACTAACCTTACATAGGATGGAGCTTCTGTTCATTCTCCTGTTCGCCTACCTCAAGAACATCAAGAAGGAGAAGCTGAGCAAGGTGGTCGATACGGCAGCAGCAAAGGCCAAGACCAGCATGCCTGCCACCCTGAAATAGATGTTTTATATTTAGACGGCGGAGCTCTCTTTCTCGGTTCCTTGTTGTTTGTCCAGCCGGCGCCCTGGTATGTACACAGTATCTCGTTGGGGATTCTTTTGAATTTGAACAGTGTAGACGTTTCCTGGCATTGGCTTTCTGGAAGTACTTGATATATTAGAACCATATGTTTCTAAAAATCAAATACCATTATAGATCTGTACATGGTTATCGAATGTCTTGTTCCGCCGATGAGTTGCTTATCTGCCTCGTCCTGAATGTAAATTTATCTCGAAGTGCAGTGAATGCAGTGAATGTTGTAAACCTTAAATTCTCAGGGATCTCAACATACATGTATGGACTGGCTCACATCGTTGGTATTGTAGTTGGTGACAAGGGCGGGGGTCTAACGGCTAACCTTGCAGATGGATCGGCCATCGGCCCTTTTGTAAACAGCGTGGATCACGGGCATCTTCTACCCCAACAACGCTCACCCCAAAGCCTTCACACACACCCCAAATATTGCTACAGAAGTAGCATGGGTCATTATGAGATGGCCGCCATGGAGCTCCGAGTCGACCAATGACAAACAAAACCACACATCTAGCACCTGGCAATCCTCCGCGGCAAACACCCCAAGCTCTAGCCTGGACTGGGCAGCATTCACAGAGCCCAGGAGTCTGGTTCCAACTCTCGTCCTAACAAGCGGTATCCTCCTCGCAGTGCGCTTCCACCGCAAATACCTACGCCGCATCCCCGACGCGCCTAGTATCTCGCCCTCATATCTCAGACGGCGCACCATCTTCGGTCCAGTCACCAGCGTCGGCGACGGCGACAACTTCAGAATATTCCACACACCCGGAGGCCGTCTCGCTGGATGGGGCTGGCTACCGTGGAAAAAGGTCCCCACTGCAAAGAAGGATCTGAAGGATAAGACCGTTAGCTACCCTGCACCTACCCTATTCTCCCCAACTCCCCAGCCAAACACAGACATAACGCGACTTCGGCATACCATGCACACCACAAACCCCATACTCGAGAACTAAATCCAGCTTACACGATTTACACTCCAGATACACATCCGTCTAGCCGGCATTGACGCCCCAGAACTAGCCCACTTCGGCCGCCCCGAACAACCCTTCGCGCGCGACGCGCACGCCTGGCTTACATCCTACCTGTCCAATCGGCGAGTTCGCGCCCTCGTCCACCGCCAAGATCAATATTCGCGCGTGGTAGCGAGCGTCTACGTCCGACGCGCCTTCGACTTCCCGCCCTTCCGTCGGCGGGATGTTTCTTATGAAATGCTGAGACGCGGTTTGGCAACTGTCTACGAAGCGAAGGTTGGGTCGGAGTTTGGTGGCGAGAAGATGGAGAAAAAGTATCGCAATGCTGAGTGGTGGGCTAAGAAGCGGGCTAAGGGGCTTTGGAAGGATTATCGTCGGATTGGGTCTGACTGGGAGAGTCCGAGAGCGTATAAGACTCGGATGGGGTTGGAGGATCCTGCTCCTGAGAGTAATGGAAAACCGAAGAATGCGCGGAAATAGGAGGATACTGGCAAGCTGCGCTTGTGATTATGGCTACATGGTATATGAGCGGATATTTTTGAATCACTGAGTTTCTGGTATTTATATTTGCATGGGACGAGACAGCGTGGTTGCAATCCCATTGTACGTTTATGGAAGGGATGCGATGATTATGATCAAGGCGAATATTGGATGCTGAATATGATAAACCATGTTTCGTTAAATTGTACATAGGTTGGAGTGGTGTTGCCCTCAATAAGACGCCAATCGCGAACGGGCATTAGTGCCTTGAAGATTCCTCGTATAATCGAAGAGATGCGAGAAAATGAGTAAATATACAGGCCATGATTGGTTCTTAGCAGAACCGCCGCTCAAATTCAGCAAACAGCTTTGGAGATATCTCGTCAGAGCTGTCGCCCTCCACTCGGAAGAGACACCGCCGACGGTCATAGTGTTCCAGGAGGGCTTGGCTTGTTTCCTCGAACTTTTTTAGGCGCTGCGTCCATGTTTCGAGTGAATCATCTTCTCGCTGGGTCAGCGCCTCGCCCGTGACGTCGTCTTTGCCCTGCACCTTAGGTGGATGGAAATCTGTATTATATACCCGCCCTGAGGGCTCGTGGACCCAGCGCGATGCGATGCGGGCGAGAATCACTGATGGCGGAGTAATAAGGTGCACGACAAAGTTCACTGGCACGAGCTCGTCCAGGCTTGTTGCTTGTGCTGCCGTGCGGGGAAACCCGTCGAGAATGAACGAGGCGGAGGCATCGACTGAGTGAGCCGGTGAGGGGATACCGGCCGGAGAAGAAGATGACAGAGATGCGGAAGATTGTACTGGGGATTCGGATTTCGGAAGGAGCCAGCCCTTGGATTTCATATCGTTGGAGATCAAGTTCAAGATCATCGAGTCCGGGACAAGTTCGCCAGACTGAATTGCGGCCTCGGCTTCCAGGCCTATACTCGAGTTAGATAAATGCACTATGCGCAATTGTTGCACGGATGGTGATGTTTCTTACCGAGGGGTGTGCGTCGGCGCACATTCTCTCTCAACAGATCACCCGAGCTGATTGAAGCTAATTGCGGGAATCGGGCTAGCAGTCGCTCGGACTGTGTGCCTTTTCCTACTCCCGGTGCGCCGATCAGAATGACGCGTGCAGCCTTCCGGAGCTGCTTTGTCACGGTGGACATTATATCTGATGGCAATGCCGGTGACTCGGGTGGAGGGTTTAGGGTTGCTGTTCCTGAGGAACTCAACGGTTCAAATGTTGTGGGGCGGGGAGAACCGCGGGAAAGATATTGGACAGAGGATTCAAGACAGCATAATGGACTTGGGGAGAAGAGAGTGAAACTGGGGTTTAGAGAATAAGCAGTGGCAGTTCCCCGGTGCTAAGACTGTTGAGAATGTGATTCTGTGGGGGAGCTTGATCCTTTCGGTCGTCGGTGAATGCTCCGAGGGCAAAGGTACTAGTACTACCTTATATGTATATGGCAGCACGCAAGTTCGATATGATATGGTAAATAAGACTACAGCATTGACTTGCGAAAGAAGATCAAATGCAACAGCCGTACTCGTATATTCGTTCGGTATGCCCCAGTGAGACTTTCACATGTCTCTGCACATGCAAGATTCAAGACGCTCTGTTCACTCGGGGAAATCATCACCCATGCTCAGGGCACCCCATGAACCGGGTCCGGGGCGGGTCCGCATTATGTAAATAACACGTGATTTTAACTAGATCACGTGTTACGGCGCGTGGCACGCGTTCGCGTTTACCACTTTAGTGATAACGGAGAGATCTTGTACATTCGTGCTTCTCGACCATAATACCTTCAACATGATACGACAAGACGCCCATCGGATCGATCCAAAACGACGAGCTGTTATTGACCCCAAGAAAAGGCAATTTGCTACTCCAACATACAAGCATCAGGACTATGCCCACCGTCTGAACATCTACGAAACACCTCCTACCGCGGAGATCACCCTCGAACAGTTTGAGCAATGGGCAATTGACAGACTTAAGAGTATGCACACTTGCAGCTACGTTGACTTACCACTTACTAATGCCAAACAGTTCTGGCCGAGATCGAAGCATGCTCTTATCGAAATAAAACCCCCGCCGAGACCGCGACCTACATCACACCTCTTCTCCAAAAGTTCCTTCCTCTTTCCTCCAACACCTCCTCGTCACAGGGCGCGGCAGACCCTCGTCTTCAGAATGAGCGTCAAAAGGACCACTACTCGCATTTCATCCTCCGGCTGGCCTTCTCGGCCACCGAGGACCTTCGTCGACGATTTGCTCGCGCGGAGACCATGCTGTTCAAGTTTCGTTTCCAGCAAGATGATTCGAGGGAAAAGCGGGCATTCATTGATAGCTTGAATCTCGATTGGGAACCTGTCGGTGACTTCGAGAAGACAGAGATTGCAGAGAGTTTGATTAGCTCTACGCCAGGACTGCGACGATTAGACGATGAGACTTGGTACAAAGTTGACTGGGAGAAGGTCCCTGAGCTGATCGAACGACGCTCGGTGTTCCTGAAGAAAGGAAAGGCTTACGTTCCCGGTCGGGAGCAGCTAAGCATGATTATGGCCGAGTTCACGGCTCGTTTGGAGCGCGCACTCGAGGTATGTCTGCAGCACTGGCTTGGTGTTTGATTTATCGTCACTAATTGGATTCTAGCTCACAAGCCGTGCCCTCCCCCGGCTGGATGAGGATGATCGTTTGACACCCATTTTGAATCATCTTTCGAAGAATTTCGGCAGCGCCGAGTCTGTATACTCGGAAAGCGAAGGATATGTGGACGGAACTCCGATCACGGCCAGCTCTATCGACCAACTGGCCCAGCAACATTTCCCGCTGTGCATGAAGAGCTTGCACGTGAACCTGCGCAAGAACAACCATTTGAAGCATTTCGGTCGACTACAGTACACTCTCTTCTTGAAGGGCATTGGCTTGTCCTTGGAAGAATGTATTCTGTTCTGGCGTCAGGCGTTCAAGGGCAAAACCGACGACGAATTCAACTCTCAATACAAGTACAACATTCGTCACGCCTATGGTGATGTCGGTGGAGATGCGAACCGCCGTGGAAAGGGTTATACTCCCTATTCATGCCAGAAGATCCTTGGCGATTCAAATCCTGGCATTGGCCAGACTCACGGCTGTCCTTACCGCCATTACTCGGTGGATAACCTGGTGGGCTTCCTTCAAGCCACTGGTGTTAATGACAAAGAGGTCCTGCGCGGTGTGCGCGAGGACGTTGGCAAGATGCGGTACCATATTGCATGCAACCGAGTGTTTGAGGCAACGCACAAGAACGAGATCAAGAGGGTCAAGGATGATGGAACATGGAGTCAGACTGACCTTGACACAATCGTTCATCCGAATACCTACTTCAAGCGCAGCTTCCTCTTGAAACAGATGGCCAATCCTCCAAAGGATGCCTGACCGCGTTGTTCAAATGTTGATTTTTCATGAGGTCATGTCGGGGCTGTTTCTACTTTCACGTGTATCATTTTCATAGTGGGCGTTACAAGGAGCATTGGTCATACGAGCACATTCCGAAGCAGTTTTAGTCACTTTGCAGCACGAAGATAATACATTATTTTATAAACTATGGTATAAAGTGTGGGAGTGTGACCACAGCTGATTCCCAGAGAATCGGAAAGGATCAGAATGACCTCTCAAATCCAGGTGCCCAGCAACGGGTCAAGTCGATCTCCGCTCAACGAGTAGACAACTTTGCCATGGAATGACGGAAGTTGTCGATAATAATATGTTTGCACATATTGTAGGTCGGCGTGAAATTGAAGAAAAGAAAAAGAGAAGAGAAACCGCGGAAGAGCCGAGTTTTAATGATGTTTTTGTCCGGGAGGCGGTAGAGACCAACTGTGCTGCAACCTGGCCTTACTCGCGGACCGGACCTCCACACAACATACTCCTCCATCTCGTTCATTCAATCCCTAGCTATTAACGGGGACTCTGCTGTCTTTTGTGATTGGGTTATGCTCAGGGAGGCTCTCTTGCTTGGTTTATTGGAGTAAATAAACGCCGAGGTTCCTATTTCCCGACTTCTGGCTATCCGCAATACCCCCTCCCTTGGTCAACACAGGACCGAGTACCGCAACACCCGTCAACAAGATGGATTACGAAGCGCTGAAGGACCAATGGAGTGATGTGGAGGATCGCGATGGTATCAGGCTCAGCTGGAACACCTTCCCGAGCACTCGCATGGTTCGTGATTGTGATCGTTCTTTGACCTCCACCGCATCATCCACTGAGACTTGATATAGGAAGCCTCCCGCCTCGTCGTTCCCATTGCCGCCGTCTACACCCCTCTAAAGGAAAAGCCCGATGCTCCATTGCTTCAATATGAGCCCGTTACTTGCAAGCAGCCCTGCCGAGCTGTGCTCAACCCATATGCGTCCGTAACATGATACTCTGATATACACCCCGGGCAAGATGAACTAACTATGGAATAGCACTGTCGATGTCCGCGCACGAATCTGGATCTGCCCCTTCTGTTTGTCGCGTAATCCTCTCCCTCCGCACTACAAGGATATCACGGAGAACACGATACCGCCCGAACTCCACCCTCAAAGCACGACAATCGAGTACCAATTGGCACGACCGGCCCCCGCTCCCCCAATCTTCGTCTTTGTCGTCGATACCTGCCAGGAGGAGGACAGCCTGCAGGCTGTGAAAGACTCGCTCATTATGAGCTTGTCTCTTTTGCCGCCCAATGCGCTGGTTGGTTTGATTACCTTCGGTACAATGGTAGGGAACCAGGATCTTGACGCGGCAGGCGACATGTTGTTAACAATGAAATAGGCTCAAGTTCACGAACTCGGATACACTGAGTGCGCGAAGTCATACGTTTTCAGAGGCGGCAAGGACTACACTGCCAAGCAGGTCCAAGAGATGCTGGGCCTGGCCGGCGGCGTGCGTCCCGGTGTTCCCCCGCAACAGCCTGCCCGCCCTCCCCTTGGCCCGGCTGCTCGTTTCCTCATGCCGGTTCAGCAGGCTGAGTTCCAGATCACCAATGTTCTCGAGCAGCTGCAGCGTGATCCCTGGCCAGTGGCCAACGACAAGCGTCCTCTGCGCTGCACCGGTGTTGCCCTCAGCGTTGCCGTCGGTCTTCTTGAGACCTCCTTCCAGAATGCCGGAGGCCGCATTATGACCTTCACTAGTGGTGCTGCCACTGAAGGCCCCGGCCACGTTGTTTCGCCTGAGCTGAAGGAGCCTATCCGTTCGCACCACGACATCGACCGGGACAATATCAAATACTACAAGAAGGCTGTCAAGGTAGGTTTCTCAAGACACGGGCGTATTTTGTTTTCTTGCTAACTGAAGACTAGTTCTACGATGCCCTTGCCAAGCGCGCTGCCAACAATGGCCACATTGTTGATATCTTCGCTGGTTGTCTCGATCAAGTCGGTCTGCTGGAAATGAAGAACCTCTCTAACTATACTGGAGGTCACATGCTTCTGACAGATAGCTTCACGTCCTCGCAGTTCAAGCAATCGTTCGTGCGCGTGTTTGACAAGGATGCTAATGATAATCTCTTGATGGGCTTCAATGCATCCCTTGAGGTGCTCACAACTAAGGAATTGAAGGTGACTGGTCTGATCGGTCACGCCATCTCCCTGAACAAGAAATCGAGCTCCGTTGGCGAGACAGAGTGCGGCATCGGCAACACCTGCGCGTGGAAGATGTGTGGAATGGACCCATCCTCCAGCTACGGTATTTACTTCGAGATCGCCAACCAGGGTGGTCCAGCTGCTGTGCAGCCCGGTCCTCAGCGGGGTGTGATGCAATTCTTGACATACTATCAGCATTCATCTGGGCATTACCACCTTCGGGTAACCACCACTGCCCGCCCCTTGAGCGGGCCAGCAGGTGACCCGACACTGGCGCAGTCCTTCGATCAGGAGGCTGCCGCTGTCCTTATGGCCCGTATTGCAGTGTTCAAGGCGGAGGTTGATGATGGCCCAGATGTCCTGCGCTGGGTTGACCGCATGTTGATCAGGCTTTGCTCCCGATTCGCCGACTACCGGAAGGATGACCCGACCTCATTCCGGTTGGAAAAGAACTTCACCTTGTATCCTCAGTTCATGTTCCATCTCCGCCGAAGTCAGTTCCTGCAGGTGTTCAACAACTCGCCCGATGAGACTGCCTTCTACCGCCATGTTCTGAACCACGAGGATGCCGGTGATTCTCTCGTCATGATCCAACCCACTCTCGACTCATACTCTTTGGAGCAAGAAGGTGCCCAACCAGTGCTGCTGGACTCTGCTTCTATCCAGCCAGCCCACATTCTCCTCCTCGATACCTTCTTCCACATCCTCATTTTCCACGGTGAGATCATCGCCGAATGGAGAAAGGCCGGATACCATGAGCAAGAAGGCTACGAGAACCTCAAGATGCTCCTTGATCAACCTAAGGAGGACGCAAGGGTTTGTTTCGACCGTCCCTGAGATATATTGCGCTTTTCTCACTGACGAACCATTTAGGATCTCATTGCCGACCGTTTCCCTCTACCCCGTTTCATTGTGTGTGATGCCGGTGGTTCTCAGGCTCGTTTCTTGCTGTCTAAGCTGAACCCGTCTACCACTCACACCACAGGCGGCTACGGTGGCGGTGTCTCATCGCAGACAATCTTCACTGACGACGTGTCACTCCAGACGTTTATGGACCATCTTATGAAGTGAGCTGTCCTTTCATACTGAGTCTAGACTTCCATGCTAACTCTATCTTAGACTTGCTGTATCTGGAACCAGCTAGGCGTGATGAACAATGGCCATGAAAGGGCGGTCTGTCATCGACCCTCGGGTCTTGTGTATCTTTAGCGGTGATTTTAACTCCTTTGACGCGATATAGTAGTAGATTGAATGGATTGATACCATGATATGGAGATTCCGATCATAATCTTGTGCAGCATGTACCTCTTTGTACACAGTAGAAAATGGTGGAGCTCTTCTACATGTACGGAGTAGTGGTGGGGCTTGAGCTGTGACCGCGGGACTCGGGAGCATAAATCAATTGCCGAAACGGGCATGCGTCTGCAATCTCGATAAGGGCTGTTAATATCACGTGATGCGATAATCATACCCTATGTCCCGATTAAGTCACTCGCTTAGTTGAGCAAGTGTGGGCCACGCTAGCGGAGCGAGTGTTCAAGTTAATTTTCTGCTCCTTTCCTTTCTCCTTCTCCAACCATCCTCTTCGGCAACCAAGGAAGATCGACTACCTTTCGCACTCGCCATGCGTAAGTATCATCTACTTGGCTTTATGCAAGATGGCGACTAATATTACCTCTCTGATCAGCTCCCAAGTTCGATCCCAATGAGGTGAAGATCATGTAAGTGAAATTTCTGCAGCTTGTTGGACTCGCTCCAGCAGTATATCGCAATCAAAACCCTAACAATTGTTGTTTCTTAGCCACCTGCGTGTGACTGGTGGTGAGGTCGGCGCTCAGTCCGCCCTGGCCCCCAAGATCGGTCCCCTCGGTCTGTCTCCCAAGAAGATTGGTGAAGACATCGCCAAGAACACTGGCGACTGGAAGGGTCTCCGTGTCACCGTCCGCCTGACCATCCAGAACCGTCAGGCCGCCGTCTCGGTTGTGCCCTCCGCTTCTTCCCTCGTCATCAAGGCCCTCAAGGAGCCTCCCCGTGACCGCAAGAAGGAGAAGAACATCAAGCACTCCAAGTCCATCCCTATGGATGACATCATCGAGATTGCCCGCACCATGCGCTCTCGCTCCATGGCCAAGTCTCTCCAGGGTGTTGTCCTTGAGATCCTCGGTACTGCTTTCTCCGTCGGCTGCCAGGTCGATGGCCGCAGCCCCAAGGATGTCTCCGACGACGTCAAGGCTGGCGAGATAGACAGTGAGTTTCACCAGTACTGTCTAGGGTCGCTTCAATGCTAACAGTGTATGCAGTTCCCGAGGAATAAATTATTCGCTCTTGAATGCTCAAAAAAAGAGGAGGCCTATCTGATTTCTAATGCGTGCTCTCGTAATGCTGAGATGCTGAGATGCTAGTTGCAGAATACGAATGGTTTTCCAGACCAACAAAATATTCATGAGTCATGACCTATGATACCTTTCCTAATTCGCGAGTATCCTGAACAAATTGATCGGCTCGCTGTTCTTTTCTCGTTCTCTCCGGTTGTATTCCTCTCTTTTTCGCGTTCTACTTCCTTTCATGATACTCTTCGCCTTCCCCTATGGCGAGGAGCATACTGGGAGGCTATGCCCGGCGCAGCCGACAGTCCGTCTTTGGATGGAACCCCCACAACACTCTGGCCCTTACTGTTCTTTCCCTACGGGGTTTGATCATATCATAACGTGGTATAGGCTTATTTTAAGTGGGGAAGAGGAAACCAGTCCCATTACTCACCGCGGTATCCTTGGAGCTTGCTCCGTGGGTACAGTGGTCCATACATCGGGTCTACATCTCTTCGCGGATGCTATCTATTTGTCTGCCCTCGTAGGCTGTAGCTCAGTTAGCTATCAATTCAGCACATTTGATCGGTCCACTTCTTTACTTCGTATTCCTGAGTACAGGTTCTACTTTCATATTGACATGTCCATGTACCGACGCCCTGCACTAGTGGTGTATCACCGAAGACTTCGGCGGACAATGTATCAACACCAAGCCAGACCACTTTGCATGCGGGCTGCCAGCACGCATACAGTATGTCCAAATGTACAGGCCATAGTTATCGTTCGATTAGATTCGCTCACTAAGCTGAAGGATGCGTTTGTTCCGGAGGATGGAGGATTATTGTGAAGCGTGATGCTGAGCTTCCATTCTCTGGCACACGGGGCAGGGACGGAAATGTCGTATTGGGTTGCTTACTCGAGAACTTCCTATGGATGTTCCATCTCATGGATACATTCAAATGTTTTATCGGGGTTTCCACATAGATAGACCGAGCGTCCTCCCAATCTAATGCCTTTTTCCCATCATTTTCTAACCAAATGAGGACGTGTATATATACCTCCCGTAAGATGCGGGCATGTCACTCAGGCACATTACAGCCCGGTGGTCAAATGAGGCGGAGATATATATCACCAACCTACATAATGACCAAGTCCGTCCACGACAATGATCTTTGCAAGTACAGTATACAATGGAGGACTGACCATTATCATAAACGATAACCTACTACACAGTACCTGTCACACCGAGTCTGTAAATAGCCAGCCCTGTGATGCATTTGATCCCCCCTCTGCAGTCTGAAACATCGCAACGGCCGCTACACGAAACAGGGGCCCTCGAGCCAACCAGCTCGTATCCTTCCGGGCCCCGGCGCACCAATGAAAATTCGTCCACGAGATGTAAGCTCCATTCGAGAGATGTAATTTCCATTCGAGGGCTTTGAATGGGGATTCAAAAGGGTGTGTTTCATTGCTCACCCAGTGCTACTGGAGATGTCCATGTCGCAGTCACAGACATAACATAAACGATGTACAATTAGTATGTTGTAGTTGGAAAAATGTAGAATGACTCATGAGATTGATGCCTAGCACTGATCTTAGCGGGTAGGGACTCAAGTGCTCCACCGATGATCCTCGTCCGTTGTGATCAAAGGATATGCAGGCTCATCCACACCGAAGTGGGGGCTGATCCATGATGTGCTCTGCTACGAGCTGTGTTTGGTCGACGGGTTTGGAACAAGTGTGAAGTGATATTTGGATCGCATGGGGGGTTGAATGCTAAGTGGGGATATTTAGATATTTTCATTTTCTTACACTGCTGATCTTCGTGTTTCTTTTTTTTGCTGGAGTTTTGTTACAGATCCCAGAGACAAAGGACTGATCTGGTCTAGACATCTCTTGATTATCAGTCTGGTGTGGCTGTACCACCCGAGCCGCAATTGTACAGGAACGTTGTGCAGGCCAAGAAGCCAAGAAAGGATGCGACACACTGGTCGATCTCTGACCTATGACAGGGCGATCGTGGAACTTTACGGAAGAACAAGTCTGAGAGGGTGTGGGTTTGAATATTCCCCAGTGCGACCGTGTCTTTTAGATGTAGGTATGGATGTGCAAAATGAGCTGTACGTTGTAGATATGCTGATGGAAGTTGGAGATCAGGCGTACGATGGCCCCTGGAAACAGTCAATGTACGATGTAGAGAGTATTGCATATCGAATCAAAGTAGGTTCAATAAAAAAAGGAAAAAAAAGAATAGCCAAAAGCTAAGAACTGCAGGGATTGTACGGAGTACTGGGTATGCTGGTGAGCAACCCCAGAATTATCCCAGATAGGCAATGATCGGAGAGATGAGATGAGGCGGCGGAAAATGGGTCTGGCAGGAAGGAACAGAGCAGAAGTGTGCACGCCTGCACGGCGGCTCTACAGTGTGATATACGCAGAGAAGTTGTGACAATCAAAAAACAAAAGGAAGGTTCAGCCAACTTCACCGAACGGGACTCGGGGCGTCACCGATCCATTTAGTCGCCGCGATGGAACCAATGACTCCACAGCTTTTCTGAGTTCCAGAGGGTTCAGCCGTTGGATCGAGTGGGCCAAGTGGAGATAGGAATATGGTCTAGTTTTTTACATTTTACATTTCACATTTCAGAGGAATTGCAGTTTGCAGTGTACACAGTATATCGTGGGCTAATGTACTGCTACTATGTAGAACGCAGTTAATAGAGCGATAGAGATAATCGTTATGTATCGTAGCAAACGCAGAGTATGTTGTACCTTTGACTTTCCTCTTATATTCACATCTTCCCCATTCTCTTTCCCCCCCACCTGAATCCACCCACTGCTACCGTGTCCACCTTTCAGACCTTCAGCTTTGTTCTTCTCAAGTCGATCTCCTTCTCTCTGTGAACCTCTCTAAATTTCTCACATCCCCAATACTGTGTACAATCTACTCCGTACTGTGTACTCCGTACATAAATCAATCTGATATCACCCCTGATCCCATCGATCCAACGCTCCACCCCCCTCGCACTGCCAAGATCCTGTTTTATTGGCCGACCGTCTCGGACACCAGCATCGTGAGCTGGACATTCTACACCTTTTTGCTCTCTCCCTTGCATCTCAGATCTCCCCTTTTCTTTGGATCTTCCCCCTACTTCTACCTCATTACACATTCTTCCACTTGCTCGATGACGATATCCTAAATTCAACTTTTGTTACCCGCAACTGAAGCCACTGGCTGAACTTCATCCAAATTGGCGTCGACTGGCTTCACATAATGAGGTGTAGGAAACGGTTCAAGGATGCTACTTGAATATTTACTCCATCGACCCGTTTGAGCCTTTCTCGGTTACCCCCCTTGTCGCTGGTCGGCCTCGAGGTATTCCGATCCCCGTCCTTGGATCAAGAGAAGAAAAGATGTTTCCGACCGTCGCTCCATTTCCATCGGTCCAACCGCACCACCGCATACACCATCCCACCGAATCCCACAATCACTCCATTTACGATGCCAACGACCCAAATCTCGCCCTTCCTCATGACCCCTCAAAACCCTTCTTTAATCCGACATCACGATCACGCCTCCAATTACCCCATCCCGTCCAACGTCTCGATCCCCGCGATGGCCCCGGTTCCAGATCCAGCGCAAATATCGCGGAACATACGCTGAGGAGGAAAACCCCCAACGGAACTCTGGCTGCTGGGTACGATGGTACCCTTGGCGATACCGTCCAACTACCAGCATCCAAGCACATCTTGGTGTCACCGATGGAATCAGGCCAGTTTATTTCCCCGCAACCGGGGATGCAGTCTGATAGCTGGAAGTCCATGATGGATCAGACAGCCACCAAGCAAATGAACTTCCCTCCAGTCTTCAAGAATGACTCCGCAGGCAATGCATTATCTGGAGAAGTTGTGCAAGATGCAAATGGAACGAGCTGGGTCCGTCCAGTCAACTACCCGCCTGGAGTGGACTCGATGTTGAACCAAAATCTGCCACCACAGGGATCCCAGCGGGTTATATTGCAAAACGGGCAGTACGTGCCCACGGTCTTGCCTGCAACCCTCCAGTCGTACTCGGGACCCACCGCGTCCGCGGGCACAGGGCCTTTCGGTCCATATTGGCCAGATGGAGTGTATATTCCATATCGCCCTGCTGCATTCCGTGATGCGCGTTTCGATACTCCTACACTCTTTGGAAAGCAGCCCACGCAACCGCTTTATGACCTTAACCAGCCCGTCTTCAACCAAGCCCAGGTTCCCCTAGGCGGCCCCTCCGAGCAGGGACCTGCATGGGGCCACTCTATGCCTGGCCTACCTACGCAGGACCCTTTGATGAAACCTCAGTTTCCACCGCGCCACTCTGATCAACTCCCTTTCCACACCCGTGCCAATCGTCCTCCGTCAAACTTTCCGCCGCAGCCACTAGTCACCGAGTCAAATGCTTGGTCAGCTCATCCACCCGTGCATGGATTCCAACAACCTCCGGGCCCCGCGGTAGCAGTCAACACGGAATTCAAGGAGAAAGTCCTGTCTTGGGCTCATGGTGTCTACGTTGACCTCCTCGCAACTATCCATCAGGCCCGGCGCAACAGCGCCTCCAATGGCACTGCTGAGAGCCATCCCCGATTCTTAAAACCGAGCATATACCCCAAGCCCCCACGGCAACCGGGCCTGGACTTTTCACAAGCCCCTGCTCCTGATCTCACCCGCCACAACAGTTACCCATCAAGTCAATATGACCTGCAACGCCAGAAAGCCCATGTCATGGGCAGTCATCGGTCGAATGACCCGACACATCCTACACTTCTTTCCCGTCCCCAGACACGCCGCCCCTCCCTAAACCAGTTCGCCCATAACAGAGGCTCAGACACTCACATGCTTGGAGTGCGAGACACGGGCTACTCTGTGGGCGTGTCCCCTTTTACCAGGGCTCGTGGCTCTTTGTTTAATGAAGGCTCGCCCATGTCTAATGCCGCGTCTGCGTTGGACATGTTGTCCCATCTGTGTGGGGAAAGCCATTGGGAGTGGATCGATGGAATGCTTCTTGGCGGCTGCTTAGCCTATGGCTTAGGTGATTATCACAAGGCCTTGCGATGGAACAACAGGATCATAGCCCGTGACCCGACGTGAGTTTTCATCTTTCATTTTTGTGTCATGATCAGATACTAACGAGACTAGACATGTGGAAGCTATCTCTAACCTCGCAGCCACCCTTTTGGCACTCGATCGCCGAGAGGAGGCGTCGCAACATTGGCTGCGCGCTGTGAAACTACGGCCGAGTTTCTTCGAGGCTGTTGAACACCTGATTGGATTACTCTGCAATGGCCATCGATGCAAGGAAGCCGTCAATATCATTGATTTTGTTCAGAGTGCACTTCGTCATCCAAAAGATGGCGATTGTTTCAAGACGGATGAACTCGCCAGCGAAACCGAAAGTGATGCCGAGAGCAACGTGTCTGATGTGTGCATGTACGACAAAGCCTCTTTCGAGTATGATGATGACATGGGACGAACCCAAGGGACTGAGCCCCGCTCACCGGATGTCAAGCCCCTTGGGTTCGCAAGCAGTGGATATGCAATCCCAGGTGCAGAGAACGGGAGAATGCTTGCTTTGGTTCATGCAAAAGGTAACATGCTCTATGCTCTTGGTGACAATGCAGGTGCCGCCGCCGCCTTCGAGGACGCAGTTCTTATCGCTGCCGGTCGGAGGCGCCATGGCATTCAAAGTATCATCAAACAAATTTTCGCTGCCTTCTCTGGCGCATCGAGCAATGGATACCCGCAAACAGAGCATGAGTCCCAAGAGAGTATTCTACTTTATCCCGACAGAGCGCTGAAGACAGCCCGTCTCGTTTTCCCAGCAGCTGGCATGCCGCCGGGTCTCCAATTCGTCACCGAGGGTATCTCTCGCAATGCAGCCACTTCCACCACCAGCAATGCCCTTCTTTCGCTGGCGAAAATTTACCAGGATGGCATGTCCAACGGGGCCTCGTCAGGAGCACCAAGGTCTTCTTCTCCTGGTGTCCGCGAGATTTTGGCTCTCTATTATCTTTCTCTTTCCTTGCAACCTAGCCCATCCACCGCCAATAATGTGGGTATCCTACTGGCTGGTATTCAAAATAATCGTCCCGCGAGAGGCTTGGTACGTCCGAATGGGGAGACTCAGCATCCTGACGTTCCAGGCGTTGTGCCTGGAAGTGGGATATCCTTGGCCCTGGCATATTACAATTATGGCCTACAGCTCGACTCGCGACATGCCCATCTCTATACCAACCTCGGCAGCCTGCTTAAAGACATTGGACAGCTTCATGCTGCCATCAAAATGTACGAACAGGCGGTTCTTTGTGATGGCAATTTCGACATCGCCCTGGCAAACTTGGCAAATGCCGTCAAGGATAGTGGCAAGGTCAACGATGCCATTGTCTACTACAGACGTGCTGTCAAAGTTAACCCCGAGTTCGCTGAGGCTGTTTGCGGATTAGCCAATGCCTTGAACTCTGTCTGCAACTGGGTGGGCCGGGGTGGCATTTCCAACGCCCGTGGCTTCCGCGACCGATGGCACGTTGACGATAAAGGGGAGCTTCGAGATTCACTTATCACGGACGTTGGCTCTGGGTGGATCAAGCGGGTAGTTGACATTGTCGATCGACAGCTCAAAGAAGGCGAGTATTGGGGCCGTGGCGTATTATCGTCTGGGACCACAGCGGAGCAATTGTGCCTGCAATTAGCTCCCGCTTTGTCTACCCGATTTGCTTCTAACTCAAAGATCTCTCTGGCGAAGCTCTTCGAGTCATGGGCCGGACAGAAATGGGAAGGGTCTCGAATTGTACGGCTTATTGAGCGAGCTATCCGATCGCTTACATGGCAGTGGTATCAAGATCGATATGTCTACGGCAAAGATTATCCTGCTTCCAAGTACCATCGACCCCAACTACCTGGAGGTCTTTCTGCGCCGAACGCTCCTACTGTTTTGCCTTTCCATACCTTTACGTCTCCCCTGTCGGCGAAACAAATCCGTCAGATTTCTCAGCGCAATGGACTACGGATTTCGACATCAACTCTGCGTCTGCCGTGGCTTCCATCTACCGTCTTCCCCCCACCTTCGCCGCCTGCTCCATACCTCCGGGTCGGTTATGTGTCGTCGGACTTCAATAACCATCCTCTTGCACATTTGATGCAGTCTGTGTTTGGATTGCATGATCAGTCCCGGGTCAAGTCATATTGTTACGCTACTACGCCCAGCGACAAATCAGTGCATCGTCACCAAATTGAGAAAGAGGCTCCCGTGTTTCACGATGCGAGTGGGTGGCCAGTTGATCAATTGGTTCAACAGATTGTTGCGGATGGCATCCACATTTTGGTGAACTTGAATGGCTACACACGGGGGGCTCGTAACGAGGTATTCGCTGCACGCCCGGCTCCTATTCACATGTCGTTCATGGGTTTCGCAGGCACCCTCGGTGCTGAGTGGTGCGACTATATTCTGGCTGACCAGCTCTCTATCCCACCGGAGACACTGAGTCCTGGACGACGCACTACACGGATCGAAGACCGTCTCTTGGAACCAGATAATGGTGAGGAACTCGAGGATTGGGTTTACGCAGAGAAGATTGTTTTCACCCGCGATACCTTCTTCTGCTGTGATCACCGACAGAGTGCTCCGGATGCGAGTGAAAAACACGTCACATGGGGAGACGAGAAAATCCGGCGTTGGAAGATGCGCAAAGAGCTGTTCCCCAATCTGAGTGACGATACCATCATCTTGGGAAATTTCAATCAGTTATACAAGGTCAGTTCACGGCCCCTCCTCACCTCGATTTACCTTACTAATCCGCTTCCAGATTGAACCGACGACATTCCGAACATGGCTGCGCATATTGGCGCGAGTCCCCAAGGCTGTTCTCTGGCTCCTCCGCTTCCCGGACACAGGCGAACAAAACCTCCGAGACACCGCCAAAGCCTGGGCCGGCGAAGAAATAGCATCCCGGATCATCTTCACGGATGTAGCCCCAAAGAACACACATATCGCGCGAGCGAAAATCTTAGACTTGTTTCTTGACACGCCAGAATGCAACGCCCACACGACGGCTACAGACGTTCTCTGGAGCGGCACCCCGCTCCTCACCCTACCGCGCTACAAATACAAGATGTGCTCGCGCATGGCGAGCAGTATACTCAGCAGTGCGCTTCCCAATACCGAAGCTGGGCAGCATGCCCGCGAAGATCTCATCGCCTCGTCAGACGAAGACTACGAGAGTAAAGCTATTCGTCTATGTCTGGATCTGCAGCCTGGTCGTCAGGGTCAATCCCATGGCCGGCTGGTAGATATTCGACAGATGCTGTTCGAGGACCGATATAAGAATAAACTCTTTGACACAACGCGCTGGGTGCGTGATTTGGAGAATGCTTATGAGGCTGTTTGGGCGCAGTGGGTCAACGGCGAAGAAGGCGATATCTGGTTATGATGAGCACTGCGAATATACCCCTTGAGCGTTTTTTTCCCCCTCTTGTCCCTTTTCCTACTTCGCTTTTTGTTCTTTCTACATCTTTGCGTTTGGGTCTCATTTACGTTTTCCCTGCTATGCTCAGCCCTAGGTTTCGGGCTGGGCCATTTTTGTACTGAAACAACTTGTTGCATTTGGTGTTTTATCAGTACATTGGGACATATACGAAAGAGAAAGCCTGTCGGATCTCCTGGGCAGGCGTTATCCTCTCTCATTTGTACTTGGGCATTCTCGGTTTCGAGAACATGTAGGCTTTGGATCTCTTCCTCTTGAATAAACTGAACAGCAGAGGGAATCTACCACACAGCATGTGTCCAGTGCTGTTGGCCTACACCGTTTTCATGGTTTCTCTACGATTTGCAATTCAGTTGAACAACGTACGGCGACATTTTACGATGATACAGAGCAGCGCTGCGATCAGTGTGACGAGGCCTGGCAGACTAAGGAAGGTGAGGCCGGAGAATAAGCTACGTAGCGCGGAGAGTGAACACTTGCTACGTAGCTCATTCTCCGCCTCACCTTCACTAGCCTGCCCGGGCTCGTCACAATGATCGCAGCGCTGCTCTGTATCATCAAGGCGAACATGAACCCGTCAATGCTTTCTGGAAGATGGTGCGCTCTATACCCTGTATGTGGAAACAGTGCAGTCTCATCGGGCATATGACCTGGCACCTGCTGCTTACCTGGACAGGAAGCCCCTAATTCCACCATGCTCCAAGGCATATGTGACTGCAGCCCCTATAACCCTGTTGCTGATCTGTACATCATCTCAACATCCAATAGGCTTGCCCGTCCCAGCCCTCACTCGCAACCTAAGACATTCGTCAACACTAAGACAACCAAGGGCAGTATGAAACGAGACCCTACCCTGATGGGTCTGAGCACACGTCTACCTACGTAACCGCTTACCAACAATCATCTCCCGCGTCACACATCTCCTTGATCTTTATCTCAGCTCCGTGTTCGACAACACCCTCTTCCCTACGAAGTCTACCGTTCACAGAGACCAAAGACCAACATCCCGATTCTTAGCCACGGCCCACCAGGCGCCCGTTATAACCTTAAATCCAACTCTAGGTCTAGATCAACGCCTTCAAAGCCCCGAAAACTCACGCGTGACAGAGGATGAACCAGGATATGCGCTCAAAAGCAGCCCACGCCACGCCACGCCTTCGGCCCCGTTACGCATAGCACAGGCCACCGTACTGAAACAGCGACATGGACCGGTAATGATGATTCATGAACCTCGCTCAGACGTCCATCCCTACACTACGTGCTTCAGTGCACGTTGATGTACGTAACTCCTGGTCGATACAGCATGGCAGTAATACCCCGTGAATCAGAGTGCTCGTGCCCCTTGCGGGGAGATAGGAGATGCACGTATCCGGCTTCGTGTCTGCGGGTTGCCAGTCATGTTTTCCACATGGTTTTGTGCGTGGTTTCGGGGTCTGGTCTCGGCTGATGGGTGTTGGTTTGGAAATTTCGGGGGTATGTGTATTACTCAAAGGTGAATCAAGAGAAGTCTGACTCATCAACAGGATTAGATAAATGTAGTAATGTCAAAGCCAAACATCAGGCCTGACAAGTAGCTACATGGTCCGTGAAGAATTATAGTTAGGATAGTTTAGCCGACGAAGATCAGGATGTACAATGCATATGAAGGCGTCGATGATCAACACGAGAACCCTAAATGAGCCCTTCAATTAATTAAGTCAAACAGCCTCATGGCCCTACAGGCAACAATCATAAACTCAGCCCTTTTTCAGCAAAACCCAAAACTTCCAAGGTTCTCAAACCAACAAGGATACCCCCTCGCACCCTCAAACCCGGGGTCACCCCTTCATCAAAACGTGAAAAAGAAACAAAACCAAACAGCCGTTCCCTTGCATCAACGGCCCTGTCTCAACCCGTTGTCAAGTAAGCCCGCTCGCTTCGCAACGCCTGCCAGAGGCAACAGCTTATACGACAAGCACTCACCTGGCACCAGCCCTACGCCGGACCTGACCCGGATCCTGCCCTGTGGCTGCCTATGTGCGGTGTCATATTGATCGGCCCCGCTTGGCACTTGCTAACTATGTATGAAATAAATGTATCTCCGGCTCCGGATCGTGTAGGATGGCTGTGTCGGCTATGGGGCCATGTGACTGGTGTGGCGTACGCCGGTGACGATTTGAGGCGTTGGACCGGTCGATTAGCCGCTGGATGAGTGTGGCTGTTACTATTTACGAGGAGTTTCTTTTGATATCTGCTGGTTTTGTCTGGATTACTGGGTAAGGGGAGATGGATGGTTGTTTTTGACTATCATTAGGTTGTCATGCAGATGCAGAGATAGCTAACTGTATCAAATAGTTAGGCAGTTAACCACCTCACGAAGTTCAAATAGTTACACAATACTGTAGTTATTCAACCTTGAAATTTATCGTATGTTAGATCAGTTCCGATATCTCAATTAGGTATGCAATTCGCTATGAGAAACGAAAATCACCCGTGGAAACATGTTCCTGCTACCGGCGCTAACAACGAGCTAACTTACAACCTTTCGAACCCAAACGTGTCCGGTTCTACGGTCCGGTACCTATTTCCGCAAACACCTGACCAATTGATTATTTGCAGGGATGTGATAGTGATGAGGATCAGACAAACCAAAAGCCACACCCAGGATTTAGTATGTCGGGTACTCAATTTTCAGACTCCTTCCTAAGTTGGATCATGGTTACATGGCATTATTTATTGATTCTGATATGGTCTATTCGGGGAATATAGTAATTAGGTCGTTGTCACTGGAACTATCGGATGGAAGTAATTGGCGACTTGCACATCTCCTCGCTCTAGAAGCTTCAGAATTAGGGATCTTCAAGTTGTCGTGGAGCGGGGCCTTCAGATGGCCCGTACTCATGTCATTCTCTAAACGGATTGTAATCGCTTCACTGTTTTCCTACCTAAGGTTCAAGCTGACGTTTGAGAACATCTGGACGTGCAGATCGTATCACCGATACAACGGAGCAGGTTCCCGTCGATGTGCCCAGGTAGGTTCAACGGTGGACCCGGTACACGTACTGGGTAGTTGGTATTGACATAAGTCGATAACATGGAAGTCAATTCAAGTGGATGTGTGACGGTCTGAGGGGCTAAAACAGTAATGTACATCATCTCGTGTCACAGCATAGGCCCAAACGGTTTCCCACAGATCGGGCTCCATGGGAGTGGTCCCCGAAATCTGAAGCCCGAGATGGTGGCCGACCAATCAGGGCCTAGGCTGTGTCTTGGACCTTGGAATATATCCAAATTCAAATTCAAATTCAAAATAAGAATTCTAATCCACCTTTTCTCCATGCAAGTGCATCACTTCTTCCGTAGTCTATGTACAGCTTGGCTGTACTGTAACCCCGGGAGGGGACGGATTGAGTCCTTAGTCTTCCCTTTTTAACACTACTATGTATTATCTGTCGGTGGATCAGTTGTACTCCCGTCGTATACCATGTACAGTTACTCTGATACTTCTAGATGATGCAACATGTCACAAATGTACCCATTGCCTGACGGGTAAGACCTTTTGGGCTACTAGAGCTAAACATCCTGGTGCTAATGACCAATAATGGAGACCTGGAACAATGGAGATCGTCTTACAACTATACAACAAACATAATAGTCTCTCTATAGTCTTGCTGTAATCGAAGCAATCGAGACCCGAATGCCCATACTACAATATATTGTGAGCCACGTGACTGTCAGAAAGGGGCAGTGCTCGGGCCTTGTCGAAGCCATGCGGCAGGCCCGACAGTCAGGAAGCAGCTGCGAGACCGTTCGCTCCACTTTTGCCGGTACCCCGAGCTTTCACTTGGTCGTTATTTGTCAATTGTGATATTGGGGCTTCTATTGTTCTGTTGTTCTAACATATATACTACAACTGATAGCCTCTCGGCCTATCAATCTCTGTTATCCCCGCTGTCCCTTTCTCCTACTAACTACAACATAAGAGTACGAGACTAGACCACCCGATAAACTCGAGTGCACGGGACTACGTGATCAACGGTGATCCCTGCACACCGACAAGGATTAATCTCAAATACTTGCCGTGTCTTTGATTGGCGAACGACCAGGGGGAGGGGGGCACAATAGTCTGTTCTGAGTAAATGGTAAATAATTTAGAATCGATAAAACAAAGAAAAAACCAAATGACAGGTCCAATCTCGGGTACACCCTAGTCGATGTTGCATCCCAGGACGACGGGTTCATCCTTTCAACAACGGTTTTCCCAGGAGTATGGAAATCCGATCTAGCTGACCACACGAGGACTGTCCACATGGCGACACAAGAGGTCATGGGTGTCTTTCGTTTTGGCATGTTTCACAATCCCTCTCATACTTGGAAAAAGGGGGAATTGATTAAGTCTCCACAGTTTTTCTTTCAATGCTATACAACGTAGAACCTCGTCTAAACTACTTAATCTACGTAGTTGGATACATTGTAGGCATGATTTTTCGAATCAGTCTTCCTCAGTACGGAGTCCATCGTAGAATAATCAAATGATCATAAAATAAAGATTTAGGAGAGACGCCCATACCCGCCTATCCTTAACCGAACTGGCGGTCCCACTAACAATGACAAATACTGGGGGGACCAATCATCTGACTAGCGCATGCATGTAAGGTCTGAAGTATTTATCCTCTATATAAATTGCTGTATTGTAATGCTATTTCACCCTAGACAGCTATTGTTGTGCAGTGTCTCTACTGCCATCTGGTAATAAAAGCAAAAAAAGAGTGTGGCGTGCGTTTTAACGGTTTCCACGGGTGGAGATCCCAGCTGCGACATGCCTAACGAGGTAGTCTGGAGGCTTCGCTTACGTCGATCCCTCCATCGATTCAGATCTCGCCCTCTGATGCATCCGTTTTTACTTGGTACACCAGTGTATAGACTGGGAATAGTCTGTGGGCTGCGTTGAAGAGACGGGATATAGATTGATCTATATTGCTGCTTGTGCCGTTGGGGTCTAGCGGCTGTCGTTCCCAAGTGTATCCCGGTTGCTGGGATGGAGATGTCTTTGCCGATACTTTAGTTACTGGTTGTACAACAGTGGGTAGTCGTACAGTGCTCCCCTTCTCGACGTAAGCAATATGCTTTGACCGTACTATTTGTTTCTTATGCCCCTGTGGCATCATGGAGATCCACGCTCAACTGTCAGTGACAGGTGGCAGGTGGCCCATGCGGGTGCTAACATATTCCTATTTATCCTTAATTGGGTTTTGAATTCTGCCTAAGTCAACTCGATGAGGTCTCCAGGGTAGTTTGAGACCAGGGAAGCAAACATCACGTTCCATGGTTCTAACGGTTCGAACCATATGGCATTGAACCCATGGATATGCTGCAAGGCACCCGTGGGACATAACATAGCTAAAATCTGCAAAAGTCGATAGTATCAAGAGCAAGACAGGGAATATGGAATCTGAAATCCAGGTTAAAGAATAGGAAATAAGAAATAGATCCTCGATCTAGGTCTTCAGGCATAACTCGGTGTTGTTCGGGGTCGACCGAAGCTTCCTGTCAAGCGCATGGAGGCACCGCCTTCCCCATACTATTGAAACCAAAATCAATTTTGTCTATATCTTCTGGCAAAATTTGTCAATGATAACCCCACGGACTCCACTGCAGATCATTAGCAGTGCAAAGTTCGAAGAGGAACCCCGATCGAGCCAATGATATGTCGGAGTTGACCGATTGCACATGGATCGGGAAACCATCGAGCTTGGAAGTGTTGTGCATGGCTGGCTGAGTGGAAACTGGCGACGTCTAACCGCTTGTCACATTTCGGAAGCTAGATCTGCCCCTGGCTGGTTTTGGCTTTGGAGTTGACCCCTTTCTGCCACAGGTGTGCATGGACCATAGAACCATGGTAGGATATCGAAACATCCATGGATTGTCTAGCACGCAAACATCCTTCGTATATAGGACATAGAAGAATGATGAAGGATCTAAGAAGGTCTGCTTTGTTCATGGAGACTAGGATTGTATCTGATGTTTTTCGTTGCTTTCTTCTACCACAACGTTGGGATTCAAACAAAGAGAGACACCTAGAGAACAAAAGAAAATATAAAAAAAATCCAAAAAGCGCTTAGCGTTAGCGCCATGATTTGGAATTCCAGCATCAGGGCTCAGGGTCGATCACTCCGATCGCTGTTTTACGCGTCTTTCCTCAGCCCGAATTCCCGGTACTGAAGATCCCTACGGAGCATTTTTCCACACCCCACGATCTATAGATTACAATAGTCTGTATTTTTATTCATTTGATTTCATATCTAACCTGTATTGTTCCGAACTGTCAGCTCCGAGATCTTGGATCGTGATCTCCATAGCGGGACCTGGTTTTCTTTTCTTTTTCTTTTTTTCTTTTCCTTTTGGACCCGTCCCCCTGGTACTTAAGTTATGAAGTACCTCCAGGGCTAAAACAAGGTGTTATATCATACTTTCGTGAGACTTATAATCTACTTCTCCCTCCCGGATCTGATACTTATACTTCCACCTGGAACCATCCATCTCCTCCTCACTCTTCCTCTACTCTCCAACAATGCCTGCCTCGCACCGTCGTGGTCCTTGGGTCCCAGAGGAAGACCAACTCCTCACCCAACTGGTCCGGGAACAAGGCCCTAACAACTGGGTCCGCATCTCTCAACACATGCACTACCGTTCGCCCAAACAATGCCGCGAACGCTTCCACCAAAACCTCAAGCCATCACTGAACAGGGAGCCCATCTCCGCTGACGAAGGCCTAATGATCGAGCGCATGGTCAGCGAAATGGGAAAGCGCTGGGCAGAGATCGCCCGCCGTCTCGGCAACCGCAGCGACAACGCAGTAAAAAACTGGTGGAATGGAAGCATGAACCGCAAAAAGCGCGGTCTATCCACCCCCACCATCTCTCGCACCTACTCAGGCCGCATCGAGGCACCCTACACCCGCGCCTCAGCAATGAGCCCAATGCGCTCCCGTTTCTCATCCCGCCCCTCATGGACCGAATCAATCGAGTCTGCCATCTCTGAACAATATTCCCACTCTCGCAGGGAGTCTCTGGCTTCTTCCGCCCGCCAGCTCACGCCCATCTACACCCTCCCCTCCATCAATCGTTCCATCGAAACGCCCCTCACCTCCCCGGCTTTCTCGGACGTCTCCCACGCCACCTCCTGCGAACCACCCTCAATGGTCTCAGACCACAACTCCGTCTGCTCTTCTTCGCCCCGCACCCTACCCTCCCCGCAACTCCTGCCTCTGCCTGTCGACTTGCGCTCGCAGTATGAAATCCGCAAGCCTAGTGTGCATGTCCTCGACGACTCGCCCAGTTATCCGGCCCGCTCGCTGGATTCTTTGCCTGAGATTGCTTCTTCACAGCGTTGGATGGGCCACCAGCCTACTTTGGCTTCATGGCACCAACCTGTGGATCTGCCTAAGCCCTGGAGCTCTAGATCTGAGCCTGCTCGTGATACCCGTATGGGTGTGAACAACTTGCTCAACTGAAATAAGGGAACAACCCTTTGCATTTTTACGATTATCACGAGTTTCTTTTCTCGATTCCTTTTTATTTCTTTCTTTTTTGTTATACTCATGATTCCCCTTCGCGCTCGGGTTTGCTGATGGAACCCTTTACGTACATTTGCCAAAAGCTCGACCCTCGCTTTTCTTTGTGTTCTAGGGAGATGTTACGATTTCCTTTTGTATATTCTAATGTGTATTACCATGATTTGATACTAAAACTGTTCTTTGGGCCTTGGGCTCTGTTACGATGATTATTCTCCCATTATTCTATGTTCGGTGTAGACAGTATACGGAGGTGCTGCCTGATATAACTTGGGCTTGCACTTACTATTGGCATGGCATATTACCCGGTCTATAGCAATTTCTTTCATAGTAATACTTAGTGCCTACCTTGTCCTATATCATCCTTGCACACCATGTAAGAACAAAGAGACTGTACCAGCCCTTCACTTGGCACCCAGGAATGTCCAAATACCTTCAAACCGTTACCCCCGTTCCCCATTGCACGGGTCCCCCTGAGGAATGCGCCACCAGACACGCTGTGCTCACGAGGACAGACGCAAGGGATGCAAAGAGCATGAGGCCGTCTACTTTTGGCCAGGGCCTAAGCACGGAAGCAAGGACCCACCGTTTGTCTGACAAGGCAAGGTCTATTCCTTGGGTGTGGAGACACAGTAGGACATGGTTGTAGATGAGGTATATGGACAGACTACCCTTACTCAATGACATAGCCGTAGTCCTAAAGTTGGCTACACATCGAAAGTGGCATGGAGACTAGAATCAGACTAGCGTCTAGCCAAGGGAAGCTAAGGCTACAGGTTCTTTGTTCAAGAGGAAACCGGGAAAGGCAGGATGAAAGCACCTCCACACCGAGGTCGATGCTCATGTTCTTGCATCTAGACCTGGGACCATTACCAGTGACCAGGACCAGGACTGGGAGTTTATCATGAAGAAGTTACATGTAATGCATACATGTACATGTACAGCATGCATTACCCGTGACGGGGCAAGACGAGACCCGGCAGTGGTACTTCGAAGACATGCCATCTCCTCCCCGAAGAGGAAAATGATAAAAAGAAAATAAGAAATAAAACTGAAGTCTGGAGAGGTTCGTCCGCACCTGCAGGAAATCAAACGGTCTGACACTACCGCCCACACACTCTCCGACCAGATCCAGAACATGAATCAGCGAATAGTTAGACACCGGACTTCCCCCCTGAAGCCAAGAGCATACCCAACCCATAACCCTGGAAAGACCCAAGTGGCTACAACTACCTAAAGACCGAAACAAGGAAACTGAGGGGAATCTCAATCTCCGAGAAGAGGGGGAGGCAAACCATACAACTCCCCATCCATATCCATCTATGTAAAAGAGAATCCACGTCACAAAAACCCGACCACTGCGTCTATGTAGTGCTGAATCCGCCTATCCGCCCACATCTAGATTCGAGCGACCTACAAATGTACTGGGTATACATCTAATGAAAAACCATGACTAGCCAGTTACAGCGGGGATTACTGTTCTCGCTCGGATCGCCTGGACGCGGATGAGCGTTGTAGGAACCCGTAGCCAATGGTTGTGATGCATCGGGTAAAGGATTGGTCACCTCCAGTTCTGACGGGATGAACGGCGGGGCTCTGAGTGGAGAGTTTTTGCGTTCTTGCATGGATCGTGGAGGTGTTCGTGCATGCTTCATTCTGTAAATCTTTTGCTTTTCTTTCTAAGGTTCTTTTAAGGTTCGTCGGGTCGTGCGTTCCACTTTCCCCGAAGAGGGACGTGTACTGCGTAGGTTCAGATGTCAAGGTGTTGGCCGTTGAGACTTGAGGGCATTCCTGGGTTGGGTGGAGAGGACTGGGGGTAACGGTGGACGTTTTTACTGGAACCGCGGTTGAGCGGTTTCAGCGTTTCTTTTTGGGTGGCTACCTACCGATGTATGGTGGTTTCGTTCGTTTCAGTTGCCGCTGCACTATGTATACAAGCTAAATGTACGGAGGACTCCGTACAGACAAGGGTATGTTCATGATCGTCTTCGGATTGGATTGTTCCAAGGTTCGACGACATGTAGTCAAATCATTCAGCTACGCTGGTAACAGCCAGCCAGATTCCGTGTTCACACACCATTTCGCTGTATTCGGCTCAAGTCTATCGAAAAGACTATCGAAAAGACCTGGTGCTGTGTACCGTTAGTCGACTGTGGTCTACCGAATCAGAGTGGGGAGATGGGTTTTCAGTGTGATGAGGCGAAAGAACCCAACTGGGAAATTGAGGTACGGAGTACTCCGTACTCCGTCAGTTGTAATAATCGGATATTCTCATCATGTAGAGTCAACCTGGTAGGTAACTAATACATCGACATTGGCATTGTGAAGGATCTGCAGGATCCCAGTATTTGGAATCTTTAGCTTAATTCCCGGTCGGACTGCATGCATACACAGTACGGGACTTGTGTTATTATGTGGATCCAAACGGGATGCGGACCGTGGAACTTATACGGGAGAAATGCGTGATGTCATCTTACTGTCAAGTGTACATTTCAATTCCAGTTACTGTGCAGTCATCGTTCTCGTTCTCTAACGTGCGTAGTACTCCTACAACATCATTCGTATTCCAAAACCCTGTCAAAATTCAAAGAAAGAAACCCGAGTCCCAAACAAGCACACCAAACTCTATTTCTTTGTTCCAAGTCCAAGGAACCCGTAAAAGAAAGTTCAATCGAAATGCCGCTAAAAAACTGCCCTGATCACCACCCGCCACCACCACGCGATGACAGCAGGAAAGGGGGGAAAATGGAAAAAAATGAATAAGACGGCGCCAAGGCTAGATCGGATCGTTTTCTAACTGAAACGAGCCGTTAGAGGTGTTGCTTCTACCTGTGGATCCTGGACTTGCGTGCTGGACTTCGTACCATGGGAGGAGAAGGAGAGGGTCAGGGGTATCTGTATGTACGGAGTATGCATACCAGATACAGCTTTATTTTGATTTAATTGTTGATTTTTCCGTCTTTGAGTTATTGTTTGTGTTTACGCAGATACTGATCGAAGCACCGTTGCACTTCGAACCATGGGTTCGCCCTTCTACCGTTACGTTCCCAAGCCCCCGGGTCTTTCGATCGACAGCCACATCGCCCAAAATGGAGTACGGAAAGTCCAAGACAAATGCAGTGTGGGTCTTAAGCGCTCAGTTCTTCCATAGTGTGCTGTGCGTAAGAGCGATCGAGATCGAGATCTGAGGGTATTCGATACTGCTTGATGTGTTTTTATCATCAACAATTACTTTACAATTAAATCTGATAATGAAAAGTTCGTTAAAAAAATTTACCGTGATCTACCTCGCTCAATATCAAGTCAACGAACCATGGAAGACACGTTAAACAAAGATCAAACCCAATCTCAAAACCAATAACCACACCACCCAATACAGCACGTAATTGGCTCACGGAGAATCTCGGTGCCAATCACATGCCAACCCAAAACAGCCCTAGCGCTAAAAGGTACCCGCCTGTCGGTACGCACGGCGAAAGCATGAACCTTTCTTTTCTTTTTTTTTACGATTTCTGCCGCTCTCCCCTGACCTTACCCGCGGAGTTGGCGAGAAACGATGCAAATCCCCGTTCTTCGGGGGATAGCCGAACGCAAAGCCTCACCATTCCAGCGCTACCAGTTTCCCCCTCCCATGCTATGATGCTACAGTATGAGCGAGGAGCTCCATTTGCTTTTCCGGGAATGCGCCCCGGTAGTGGGCTTGGCGGTTTTTTCAAGGTTCAGTTCTTTCAGGGCTTTGTCAGGGGTGGCAGTGTTAGTCTTGCATGGAACGATTCCTGAGACTCTTTCCTGTTTGGGATTTCGTTTTTCTTTATACTATTTCAGTTATTTCAGAGGATACCTTTTTGGGGTTTGTCTCGTATGGGTTTCAGCATTTGTTTGTGATGTGTTTGTTTCGGATCGGGTATTCGAATTTCCGTGGGCTTAAATCGATGTTGGCACTTCCAATGGTGCTTAAGTGGAGTGCGTGGTGGCTGTCTGGGACGTCTATTGCACAGTACATATCAGGCGTGGAGGACATTGTGTCGTATACAGCATAGGAATACGATGAATCTGCCAGCAGGGAAATAATAACCGTTGTGGGCATGTTTGTAGTGGCATTGACGTTGTCCTTCCTATTGTGTCTAAGGGGCCTTATTTGCGCTGATTGGGTATGCAATTTGCAGGGTCAGCTCGGCAATGGCGGTTGGGCTGGAAGATATCTAGCACGAACTCGGAAGGAGACATGGATATTCCTTTGCCATCTTGTACGGAAAGTGCTAGTTACATTGCGAAACAGGACAAGACACGGGAACGGAAGGAGCTCGTTCATCGAAGACTCCTACTAGTTTGGGATAAGACAGAAGGGGAGTCACCAAGCACCCCGGGATATCGCCCATCGTTGAGCCGCTATATACGGCGAAACACAGGCATGTAATCAATAGGACACCAAACCCCAACATCTTGGCCACCTTCGAATACAATTTCGGGCTTGTCGTGGTCCCAGAGGCTCCACGATACCCCAGCCGGCAGATATACATTGATACTCTGCCGTCCGGGCTCCAAAACAGGCGCAACCAAGATCTCCGACCCAAACATATACTGAGTCTCAACCTCCCAAGCCCGCTTATCATTTGGGAACTCATAGAACAAAGTCCTCATCACCGGCGTTCCCTTCTCATGAGCCTCCCGCATCAACTTCCGCGTATACCCCCGAAGCTCCTCCCGAATCTCAATATACCGTTTACAGATCTCGTAGACCTCATCCCCATACGACCAGATTTCATTATCTGCCCCGCTAGCCGTCGGCTGTCCCTCGGGCTTCGGCTCCCGGTCCCCATGCAACCGCATAACCGGACAGAAAGCTCCCCACTGGAACCATCTCGTGAAAAGCTCACGGAAAGCAGGATCATCCGGGTTCCCGCCGTGGAAACCGCCGATATCAGTCGTCCACCACGGGATACCTGCCAGTCCCATGTTCAGGCCTGCAGCGAGCTGGTTGCGGAACGAGCTCCACGAGGACGCGATATCGCCGCTCCAGACTAGGGCTCCGTATTTCTGGCTGCCGGCCCAGGCACAGCGGAGGAGGTTGACGATGTTTGTTTGGCCTTCGGCGGCCATGCCTTCATAGAATCCGCGCGCGTACTCTTTCGGATAGATGTTGCCGATCTGAAGGTTGCTGCCAGCGTGGTAGCGGTAGATGTCGAAGTCGTAGATCGAGTATTCGGGTTCGGCTTCGTCGAGCCAGAAGACTTTGATGCCTTTGTCGTAGTAGTTTTGCTTGACTTTGTCCCAGATGAAGGTTCGGGCGGCTGGGTTGGTTGCGTCGAAGTGGGTGACGTCGCCGTCGCATTGCATTGCTACGCGCATGCCGCGGTCATGACGGATGAGGAGACCCTGCTCGAGCATTTCAGGAAAGTTCTCGGAGGCGTTCTCGACCGTCGGCCAGATGGAGACCATTAGTTCGACTTTGAGCTCTTTGAGCTCTTTGATCATGGCGTCTGGAATTGGATGTCTTCTATCAATAATAGTTTGGACATCGGTGCATTGTACAACATTATAACTCACCCGGATCTGGCCAGAACTCTGGATCAAAGCTCCATTCTCCTTGATGCTTCCAGTGGAAGAAGTCAACAACAATCAAATCCAGTGGCACCTTGCGACGACGGTACTCGCGCGCAACATTGAGCAGCTGCTCCTGGTTCCAATAGCGGAGCTTGCACTGCCAGAACCCAAGGCCATATTCTGGCATCATTGGGACATAGCCCGTGACTTTAGCGTAAGCTTCTTCAATATCCGCGGGCGTATCACCCGCCACAACCCAGTAGTCCAAAGCTTTAGTCGAGTAGGCCTCGAAACTCATAACATTGGTCCCCAGCACCGCCCTTCCAATACCGGGGTTATTCCACAAAAACCCATAACCACGCGACGACACCGCAAAAGGAACACTAGCTTGGGAGTTCCGGTGTGCCAGCTCGAGATCTGTACCTTTCAAATTCAGATAGGGCTGCTGGTACTGCCCCATGCCGAAGATCTTCTCTTTGTGATCGAGAGACTCGAACCGCATAGTGAGGTGATAGTCGCCGCCTAGTATTGGACGCAGCTCGCGGGCTTCGACTGTCAACGCACTGCATTTGGGATCCATTGGGTCCTGGCGATGGCGAGCATATTCTTCTAGCAGTTTGGTTCCCTTTGAGTCGTAAATAATTACCTTACCTCGCCGGGATACGGTTGCTTTGATGTTGCCATTGGTGATAATCGCTTCCTGGTCAGCGGATATGTCGATACGTGAGCTTGGACTGGGTGGCTTGGAGGAGAGGGCCCAGTCTTCTGCGGGCATTGAGGCTTGTCGCGTTGCACGCACGCGGAAGGCGTTCTCGCCCCATGGTTGGATCCAGAGGATGTGGTCGTCGAAGCGGAAGATGAGCTTGTCTTCTTCGGAGTAGAGCATGTTACTGGCAGTTACTGAAGGCTGTTGGTTTATTCAATGATTTGGGCAACAGTGACACCTTGAGGGGTAAGTCTGCTGGGATCATTGGTCCATTTTAGTTAGGCATAGAGCTGCAGCCGTATTCCAATAGGACTAGCTGGAGAGCCATTTGGGTTACCCCTCAATGATAATCTTGCCAATCGCATTTGATGTATGTTCGATCAGCTCCAGAGTCTTTCATGATATGAATACTTGACTCTGGAGTATAGCAATGCTATAGAACAGTCGAACCTTCTTTGCGCTGTAGCCTGTAGCCTGGAGGCCCTGGCCCACAGGTCTTTGTGCTTCGAGATGGCGACCGCCTTCTGCCGCTTTACCTGATAGACCAGGCAGCTATTGCAGCATTGCTGTCACGTTGACTTGAATCAGTCTTGTTTGCATATTTGGCGTACTCGCAAAGTTATTAGTTCATCTTCTCCTTTCCCATCACTTCAGTTGGTACTTGGTAGATGCGTCAGGCCCGTGATACGTAGCCGGATGACTGATGTTCCCCGGAAAAAGTACGCTATTCTTGATCGGGACAGACAATCAAGCTACCGCGGGCACGGTTTTCACCTTGCATTGCTCACTCACCCCTCCTATCTCCTCAATTCGCTTCGAATCGTAAGCGGACAATTGTTTGAGGTGTCAATTCATACAGTGAAGCCTCAACAATGGCACTCAATGGCGCGGCCCCGGCTCCCGTCGCGGATATGGACATCGACATGGACCTTGACCTAGGCCCCGAGCCAGAGCTCGAGCCAATTCAAATGGTGAGCGTCTCATCTCTATAGTGAAGATGCTTGACCACCGACTTACATATATTGCGCACTAGGAAGCAACCCCAGTTATCGAAAGCAACCTCGAACCCGAACCCCCCAAGGATGAAGCGGTCTACGAGAAAGTGCATGTTCGCGGGGTGGACGACTTGACCACAGACGACATCAAACAATTCGCTCGTGATTGCTCTGGACAGGAACCAGTGCGCATTGAATGGATAGACGACACCTCAGCCAACATCATCTATTCCGACGCCGAGGCCGGCCTCCAAGCCCTCGCAGCTCTCACCCAAGTCGCCGCGGATGAAGATGCGTCAACCTTGCCACCTTTGCGTCTGCGATCCGCGAAACTCATGGCTTCACACCCCGACTCTGTCATCCAAGTGCGATCGGCTGTCAAGTCAGACCGCAAGCTGCCACGCGCTCATGAGAAAAGTCGCTTCTACCTGATGCACCCCGAGCACGATCCCAGAGAACGTCTGCGACAGGAGTTTGCGGATAGAAGACGAAGCGACGATGCAGGTGACGGTGATTACCGGCGACGCAAGTTCGATAACCGGGAGCATCAACGTCGCCGAGATCGCGACGGCGGCGACCTTTTCAACGTCGACATGTACGATGACAATGCTGCACCAGAATCTGCTCGGGCCGAGCGCAGAGGTCGGGGTCATAAGAACAGGGATCTATTCCCGGAACACGAGGACCGATCGACTGGACGTCTCCGGAATCGCAGTGCGTCACCAGGAAGAGACACACTGGAGGAAGATCTCCGAGTTGACCGAAGTGGTCATGATGATAGCAGGCGATTCCGCGAGAGATCACCTCGTCATACTCGCGAAAAACAGACCAGGGAGCTTTTCCCCACTGCAGGCGAGAGCGCGCCAGGAAATCGCGAGCTCTTCCCGAATAAGACCACATCCAGCTACATTAAGAAGGAACTGCTGCCTGGCAAGCCCAGTCATCATCGCAGGTCAGATGCATTTGATGCGACTTCCATCCCAGGCACCGCTGAACGCCGACGCAGCAATATTGAGCTTTTCCCTGATTCCACCCCAAGTGACACCCGCATTCGTGGAGCAGCTACCGAGGATCAAGGCTTTGCCATCCGCGGCGGCGCAGCAGGTGGTCTCTCAATCAAAGGCAAAGGTGCATCTGTACGTGAGCTGTTTCCTTCCAAGTATGATAGCAACACCACCAATGCTGGCAACGATTTGTTCTCCGACACGCTGGAGGGACGCGGTGGTCGGCGACGTCGGGCTCAGGATATGTTCGGCGGGACAGGATAGACTGCCGTGGACTGAAGGTGCTGGGGGACTTATGGCTCGCATTATGGATATCCGGCGTTTCGCGAATGGGATGGGAACGGATTGTCTGATAAAATTCTTTAATGACACATACTCTGCTCTGCTAGTGGGTGAATTACCTGTACATGTTCTTACGAGTATCTGTATCATCGTATGTCTCTGAAAGTTTGATAGACTTGATGTACACAGTAGATGTTAAGTTGTGTATACCCCCACGGCGGACGCCACACTAATCTCTCCCCAACCACAATTTCCCGAGGCACCAAATGCGAGCATGGCTCCCTCCGCAACAGTAGATGCGCTAGCAAGTGCTTTAGTTGCACGTTTTCTGCGCGCGAAGGGCTATTCCGAAACATTGGAAGCTTTTATCCGCGAAGCTGAACTTGCTCCGGACGTGGGGCAGATCTCGGGCGATGATACCAACAACTGGACCATCCACAGCCTGCTTGAGGAAAAAGAAACCTATGATCAAACCGTATCGTTCGAACGATATGGCGCGAATGGTCAACAGGCGGCTCTCTGGACCGAACCTGGTGAGTCCTATCCCTCTGACTTGGCGGTCGAAAATCCCACCAGACTCGGCCTTCCAAGCCATTCTCTATGTGCAATCTCTTTTTACTCGTGATCTAACAACCACTAGCACCATCGAACCCGGTTATTGTCCAAACACCATCATCATCAAATATTCTCGCTGCATCGGTAGAGCAATGGCAAAACCCCAGTGGCGATGCCGCTGAAGCCGCTGCAGATGGCGCACCAGCACAGTCTTATATCGTCTCCACAGGAGCAGATAGACAAGTCCATGTACTCAAAACAGCACAAAACAACGCGGCTGTCACCTCGTTCTCAAGTCTGTCAGATTCACCCGTGCTCTCATTTCTGTCGATCCTGCAGGGTCGGTACATCCTCATGACCAACATGACCGGCCGACTACTTCTCCAGCATGGATCACAAATGCTAGATAGCAGAAAAGATCATGCAAAATACGCAGTCAAAGTGGTAACATACCAAGACAAAGCAGATCCATCCAAGTGGTGGGTTGCTACCGCCGGATGGGACGAGAGTGTTATGTTATATTGTCTCGATATCCCGGACGAAGCAGATGCATCGGCTCTAAAGATTGGTGAACCAGTTGCACGCATCAAGCTCACTTCGAATCCGGAATCACTACTATTCGTTCCGCATGTCGATACCAACGAGCTGCTTCTCTTAGTCTCGCGCAGAGACTCGACTTCTATCTACTATTACGAAGTGGGAGCGGGTTCGGAAGAAGCCGATGCCACTCAAGCAAATGACGGACAGTCTGAACAGTCGCCACGAGAAGCTCGCCTCCTCGGAACTCAGAACCTGGCTCCTCATTCCAATGCTTGGACTACGTTCTCACCGGCGCACATGGCGCTCAGTCCGCACGATTCAGGCCTTCTAGCAGTAGCCACGTCGACGCTGCCCCATCTGAAAGTCATTATCGTGCGTTTACTATTTCCAACAAGAAAGATAGTGGAGCAAAGCAGCCCGGCTGCTTTGGAAGACCGGTTGACTCAGGCTACTCAAGCAATGGCTGCCCTGGACATACAGAACCGCGAGGATGCTGCTATCCTCGTTCAAGCGAACACCTTTGCACCGCAGACTGCTTATTCCTCGCCGCAGGTGGCGTGGCGGCCTAATGGGTCTGGAGTCTGGGTTAATGGAGATGATGGTGTTGTCCGTGGTATTGAGACGAAGACGGGGAAGGTTATCGCTACGTTGAAGGGTGGTCATGAGCCAGGTTGCAAGGTGAGGACTGTTTGGTCCGGGTATGTTAGTGTACCTCAGGAATCGGGAGATCCGATCCAGGAGGAATGGGTTATTAGTGGTGGGTTTGATAAACGACTGGTTGTTTGGAAGGTATGATAGGAGTTGAATGGATCTCTGCAGCGTCGTGGTGTACAGTAAGATGATCGATGTGTGAATGAGAAAGTTCGACGGAGATGATTTGATTGCAGGCTATGTAAAAACGGTGCTACGGTTTACGTGATGTAGGTCTCCTAACCATGAACCCTGTCACGATCGAGAAGAATCAAGACAGGATATATAGCAATCGAGGACTTGGGGGTTTTTCTTGGCACGTTAGAAAAAATCCTTCAGCAATCGCGCATGAGAAGAGCACGCAGCTGTACACACATATGCCGGACGGGAAACTGGGAAGCTGGGAAAAAGGAGCCTAAGTCAAGGGCCGCAACACATAAGTCGAGCCCTCGAGTCTGGAGAAGATGGAAAAGATGGCAGAGATGAATCCGCTTGGGAAAATGGCACCGCTGTGCACATCGAATTAAGCCTGTTGATTTCTCGATATCAAACAACTCGAGGCTCGTCACGCAGAGAATAAGCAAAAACCAGGCCTATTCGAACCAGCGGACCCTCCTTGATCGTCGCAGCACACGTTATGTTCTCCGGATTTCCTGCGCGCTCGAGTTGCAGTTCATGTTTCCCATTTTTTGTAAGACCTAGTTCGTAATCTATGCGATCTCACGCTTGCCCTCCTTGCGCTCCTTCTGTTCAACGGGTCAGTATTCGTTGGGTATTGGTTGGAATCGGATTGTGGTAGAACGTACAAGGGCCTTCATGGTACCCTGGAGAGCGTGACGGTGGTTGCGGCGGAACTTGGGGTCGACACCCTTGAGGGAGGGGTAACGGTTGGTCTTGGGCTTCTTGATACTGTTCGAGGAGATCTATCAGCGATTTGGTTCTGGTTGTGATAGAGTGGCGGATGGTGGATGAATGCTGCGATTGACAGATTGACCGAGCGGGTATTCAAGATTCAACTCCAAAATTATCACACTTGATAAAACCAGTCGCACACAAGCATTTCTTCCCCCACATCCATGAGACCGTATTGAAATTGCCGGGAAAATATAATGGTAGGGCGATCGAGGGGGTTCAGTGGGAAACGTACCCGTTACGGTGAGCCTTCTGGCTGCGGTGGTGCTGGGACGCGTTCTTGGACTCTGTGGGTGAAATTCATGTCAGCGACATGGCGTTCTGATTTTTCTCTCTCGCCAGCTGGCAGACGAGCAGAGGTCATAGATTCGTGGTGAAAACGTACTGGCCATCTTGTCGGATGTTGTCTCTGATTGACGGTGTGATGGATGGGGAGGAGGGTGAACTGAGACGTCAGGCCTAAGAGGCTCGGCTAGGGCTCGTCCCGTTTGTGGGATCTCGCTTATCGGGCGGTGTACATACTAGAGCGTCAATAGATGGGCTTCCGACTTCCTAGACTGCCCCAGACAACGTCATTAAATTGGATACAGCATTGTTTCCTATTGTTATCTCTAGGCTCTCTTTACGGGTTCTAAATTCAACCCTTTCAGGCTTCCTCTAGGGTGTCTTCAATTCGCAGTTAATTTTCTTTCTCATTCTGCCGCTCATCCACGTGATCTGCGAGTACAATGACCACGTGATATTTATACTTCCCCTACTGCAAGCAAAGAACAGTCGACTACATTACAAAATATATGTTGATTTTCAGGATTATGTGTAGGGCTCAAAAGCAATGCGCAACTTAATTTTATTTACAATTACGCTTGATGTCTAAACTGGCGGCCAGACTGTCCAGACAGTCCCTAGAATCAAATTTTCCCTTTGAACAGCACATGTCAGCATGTCCTCCTATCAAAATCCGTAGAGCACTAAGCGAAAAGTACGTGTTCACCTCGTCTGATATCAAGACAGGTAGAAACATGTACAGAATGACCATTTGGACAGTGTTTGTGCTGGCTTGTGCTGGCCATAATCCGGCGGCCCGGCCGTTGAATTTCCGTGCCACGTGACTAGCCGCTAGGGAACAACCGGCATCCGACTTCGACCTTTGCAACGCAACTTCAAGAGGGATTAATCTAGCCTTTGCACGTCATCCACCACTGCAAAATGAGCTCTTTCCGCTTCGCTCGCTCCGCCCTCCGGGCTCGCCCTTCTTTCCTCGGTGCTCCTGTCCAGCGCCGTGGTTACGCTGAGGCCGTCGCCGACAAGATCAAGCTGTCCCTGACTCTCCCTCACCAGGTGCGTGAACCAACTCCGGCCGGCCTCCCAACATCATAGCCGAAGTACTGACATGACAATTGCTCCACAGACTATCTACCGCTCGACTGGCGTGTATGTTATGCTTCCTGTTGCGCCCGTGTCGACGGTGCCTGCGCCCGGTTTCTAAATACTGACGGACCTTCGCGACTACAGTACCCAGGTCAACATTCCCGCCGCCTCCGGTGACATGGGTGTCCTTGCCAACCACGTTCCCTCCATCGAGCAGCTCAGGCCCGGTCTTGTTGAGATCATTGAGGAGAGCGGTTCCACCAAGCAGTACTTCCGTACGTCCGACCTCGCACCCTGTGACGTCCCGCAAATTTGGTCTTTTGCCAATTAGCATCCATGAACTGACAATGGGCTTCCTGTATAGTGTCCGGTGGCTTTGCCGTTGTCCAGCCCGACTCCCAGCTCAGCATCAACGCTGTCGAGGGTTTCCCCCTTGAGGAATTCAGCGCCGACGTATGTCAATTTTCTGCCCGACGTCACAACTCAAAATGACTGACATTTTCTTGCTAGGCCATCCGCGCCCAGGTCGCTGAGGCTCAGAAGATTGCCAGCGGTAGCGGCAGCGAGCAGGATATCGCTGAGGCCAAGATTGAGCTTGAGGTATGGACCCATAGTGACTATTGGACCGGCTGATCACTGACTTACATCGAATAGGTTCTCGAGACCCTGCAGGCTCACGTCAAATAGACTGGATGTACATAACCGTTTCGCCCAACCATGAACCTGTAGAATTATAGCAATTCTGCTTTCCCTCTAATCATACTTGGTTTCATATATTGTTCCTTCTATGTATATTTTCTGTGTGTCGTGGAGGTGGGAAGGCGCCTTCCAAGTTCGGCTGTCGAATACCTGACCGAGCCTTCCATCCCCGGCGACTTTACAACTTCAATCTTTCGCTAATCAATCTTCCGCTAACCTTGCAGTATGACGTTCCCCAACTCATTCAAGTCAGGCCCTCTGGGCATCGTGGATACTCGCATCTCGATGGATGAGATGAAAGACTCGAATATGGATATTGCCTCTCTACCTGATTTTGCACCTCTCACTGGGCTTGATGGATCCGACGAAACACAGCCAGGAAGTCAGACCGAAGCAGAAGCAAGCTCAAACCGAGCGTATCGATTACTCGACTATCGCAAGTCATTCCTTGATGTCAGTTCCAGCCGCAAAGACCCTCGACTTAAGCTGAATGTCCCTCGACTGGAGTTGGACGTTGCTGCGGACAAGTATCATACACTTGACGGCCTCATCGAGCCCTTGAACCCGCAAAATACGCCTGCTTCCGACAGTGGAGGAAGCGTCAAGGAGTCTTCTGAGATGCTCCGTTGTCACAAGACCAGCAACGCACGAACGGGCACGGAATCTCAAAGCGAGGAATTCAACTACGATTGCTTTCACGATTCACCAGAAGCGAGCTGTGATCTTCAAACCGCTGAAAGCCAGTGGCCGGGGTCTCTCAACCTGCTACGCTTCTCCACTCGCCGTTCGCAATCTTTCGACCTTCCGGCCCCTGGACGGGCCAATCATCCGCCTACCACTGACCCCTGTATGCTGAAGGAACCTGACAACCAGGACTCACGATTGCGATCCGTTCGTTTTGCTCCTCCTGTTGCCACCCCAATTCCACCATCTAGTGCGATGAACCGCCATCTACTTCCGGATGGGGATATACAAGGTGATGCTGCTTCGAAGCGGCGTCAGAAACAATCCCTCAACTTGCTGTCCGGCGGGCCCAACTTTCCCAGATGCACGTGCGCCGACTTTGGCCACACCCCTGATCATGATGAGAAGTGCAGGTCCTCTTTCACTCGGCAGGATCGTGAAGGTCAATTCCGGAATTACATGGAATTCCAGTTCAGACCTTGCCAATGCGTGTGCAATAGAACACCCCACACCCTACGGGATCATGGTAAGCGTCTCTGACCTTTTTGCAGTATGTGGCAAAATCCTTACGATGCCTCTTTCACAGCCGTGTCCGAGTTGCCCGATTGTGAAGTATACCACGGTGTGAGCCGTGATTCTCCGATAGTAGGAGCTGATAATGTGACCGACACTCTTCTTACGAATGACTCGGACGTTGCGAAGGATGCCAAGCGCCTCCCTGATTTTGTTCTCATCTCACTTTCGCTCCACAGAGTTCGACGTGTGCCTGATTCGCCCCTCGGCAGCGGATCAACGTACGATCTCAGGCTTCGAATCGTTCAAATATTCCCCCAAGTGTGTTCTCGGAAGTTGAGCCTTTTATTCGATTACATACCTCGCCACACAGTTGTTGATAACTTGCTTTTCAACATCTGCTTCGTCATTCCTGGGTTGGTCGTACTGTTGTACACCACTTTCATCATCTTTGCAGCATCACCCTGGGCCAATACCAGCGCCGGTGCCGTACTACTTCGATTTGGAAAGGCATTACTACGTCTGTGGAAGAAGATCGTCAATCGTGTGTTTGCTAAACTCGGCGTGTCTTTCGGCTTCCAGTGCACTTCGGAAATCAACAATTTGGAATGAGTAGCTATGGCCTCCGTGTTATGGCAACTGAATGGGGTTGGACAGGGACGAGGTGATATGAACACCGGAGAATACCTCATCTGCTTCTTTCATTTCTACGCTGCGTACCCTTCGAGTATCTCTTTGCCGTAAGGGTTGCGTTCCATTGCCTTATGTGATAGTTCGTTACCACAGTGAAACATGCATTAGTCCTACCTAAGATTGAAATACATACATCAGTTTAAGCGAGCCAAGTATCTGACCGTATGTAACTACTTATAATTATTTACTTATCCTCCCTTCTATTGGCCTGAAAAAAAGGAAACTGCGCCACCCGGACGACCCAAAAAAGAGCAAAAATGAAACGACGGCTGCATGATTCGAACATGCGCCTCCGAAGAGAATTGATTTCTAGTCAATCGCCTTAGACCACTCGGCCAAACCGCCTTATTGATGAAGTAGGGCAGAAAATATGGCTACAAGAGAAAAAGCTATTTGTGAGGTCGAGCGCCACGCACAAACCTACAATACCCGTCACTCGAGACAATTACTTCCCCAAAACGCTCATATAGTGGTATTAATGAGATAGAGACTAAGTTCGAATGCAAAGGCTCACTATGAGACCCTTACACAATGAATACCTATGCCCAAGCCACAGTTGCTCATTTCACGTCGTTGAGATGAAGCTTAAAGGTTGTGGCACTCACGAGCCACCAATAGGGTTTTTGCTCTTGTTGTCAAACCTCGACTCTATTTTTATCAATAAGGCGGTTTGGCCGAGTGGTCTAAGGCGATTGACTAGAAATCAATTCTCTTCGGAGGCGCATGTTCGAATCATGCAGCCGTCGTTTCATTTTTGCTCTTTTTTGGGTCGTCCGGGTGGCGCAGTTTCCTTTTTTCAGGCCAATAGAAGGGAGGATAAGTATATGCATTCATTAGTATTGTTAAGATCAAAGATTGAGTTGTGTGGGTGATGTTAGGGCTTGTTCTACAAAAGTTGAAAAGTCGAGCAGTAATATTCTACCAACTTATTTCAAGATCGCCAACAATGCATCTATTGACTACTCCATGTGTTCCATGACACTGGGTTCACAGCGCTTGAACCTCGCTCCGTCCGAGCTTGGTCCACCGCATAAGCAGGTCCTCAAAGCTCTCTGGTAGCGCCATGGACGACTCTGTGGTCAATCCAGCGGGATGAGAGTGTTTCTCTACCTCATCCTGACAATAGTTCTTCTCGGTCACTGGAACATACGTCTCATGGGTGGTTTCAGAGTATAGCCCCTTTCTCTTGAATGGCTTTCGGTCAGAACTGCGAGTCGGTGGCCCGGCTTTTTCAGGTTGCGCTTCGGGGGAGTACGTATCCGCTGATATAGAATAGTGGTTAACAAATTGAACAAGGGATTGGGCTTGTAGCTTATCTGCGGTAGTGGGTAGTCATGAAGACAGAAACACACTTACAAGTCAACTCGTGTGGGGGTAATGCCGGCGAATAATCCGGTGATGCAGGCGAATACCCCGGTGATCCTGGAGAATAGGCCGGTGATCCTGGAGAATAGGCCGGTGATCCTGGAGAATAGGCCGGTGATGTAGGAGCAAGTACTGGCGATGTGGGCGAATAGGCTGGTGATGTAGGTAAACCACCTGGGGATGTAGGTAAACCACCTGGGGCTGGAGGTACACCACCTGGGGCTGGAGGTACACCACCTGGGGCTGGAGGTACACCACCTGGGGCTGGGGGTGCACCACCTGGGGCTGGGGGTGCACCACCTGGGGCTGGGGGTGCACCACCTGGGGCTGGAGGTACACCACCTGGGGCTGGAGGTACACCACCTGGGGCTGGAGGTACACCACCTGGGGCTGGAGGTACACCACCTGGGGCTGGAGGTAAACCGCCAGGTGATCCAGGGGGAAAGCAGGCGCATGGGCCTGTGGTTCAGGACAATAAGTAGCTACCGAGTTTGGTCGCTGGTTAGGGAGTTCGACTTCGGTGAATGTATCGAAGTCAAAGTCAGCAAGTGGTACGTCGCTTCCATCGCCTAACCAATCTAGACTCATTGTAGCCTCGTAAGTCTCGACGGCTTCTGTAGGCCGGTGGCCAGTCCCGCCATCTGGGTAATTTTCGTCCTGTACTTTGTGTTTCCGCGTCATGGCTTGACCTGCGCTGTCCGGTAAGTGCTCTTTGGTCATTGGTACGTGGACGACCTCGTGTAAAATCGTTGGCGGGGCTATTCTAGCCGTTGGAACTTGCGAAGCGTCATTCTCGTCCCTAGCGAGGTGTCAGCACGCTTGCACATGTTCATTATGCTGATATTAAAATTCGGGGCAACTACGCACACCAACAGGGATTTGTCGAAATTCTGGAGTATAGAATGGCCGTGGGTGAGTTGAAATCGAATAACCTCACTGTGGTGTATGCTCAGGACGCCGTTTCTTATTCTCGAGGAGCGGCTGCGTTCGAGTTTCGATTTGCAACGATCAATCTCATGAAGCATTTTATGGATCAAGTTATTGTACTCGTTCACCTCAGCGAACTCGCTTTCTTGCCATGGATTTGCTGGCGAGGAATCACCAGGCAATTCCGGCTGGCTCATATGCTGAATCTGGTCATATTTCGGCGGAGAACTGTTTCCATCCTTCTCGAATCGTTTCTCCTGCAACAGCGCCTCTATCAAGGCACGCTGGTCTCGAAGACTCGGTGAATTGCGGCTAGGATCTGTTTAGAGACACTCGAGGTTCTGGGAATTTAGGGTTCCAAACTTACTTGCGAACCTTCGCAGCAAACATAATAACATTAAGCAAAAGCAACATCGTCGCCTTCAGCCTTTCCAGGTTCGATTTTAGGGGATTCAGGCTCGGTTCAATCAGAGCCAGCCGCACCTTCCCAGCAACTTGCTGTATACGACTTTTACCCGATTGATCGTTCGCATTCACAGCTCTTTCAATTTGCTTCAGCACATCCCGACTTTCGTCCAGGACACGCTTCAGCGTCTGAAACGCCTCATCCGAGCAGAGTTTCGCCGATGGCTCTTCTTTCAGGCTCTCGCCTAGCTCACGCAAAATGGCACTGACGAGTGCCACCTCGTTTGACAGGAGCTGGATGTTTTCATTGGCGGTCTTGACTTGTCGGTAAAAAGCGAAGAGTTGGACTGATAATTTTGCGCCGAAGTCTGCGACCTGGATGACGCTGGCTGCAACACCGAATATTTCGAGGCCAGACATTGCGGCAACTTGACGCCAAGTTATGGGGCAGGGGAGGCTTGAAATAGGCGGTGGTTGAGACTCTGCGGGGCGCGGGATCAGCGCAGGTCTAGCGTCTCGTCAAACCCCACGTGAGCGTCATTGGTTATCGTACCTCCTCTCCAGGGCTGCAGTCAACTGAAGATGCTCGAATTATTGAAATGGGGTAAGGTATTTACCAGATAACAACTAAGTTCAAGGGCAGAGGAGTTCACATCTATGGAACAGAGTCGGAGCTCGCCATTTGTGTGTGTGAGCGGAGATATATATGAGAACCTATGCCCAAAAATCGAAGTCAATTGGAAGCAGAACATGAAGCAGGGCGGTGGACACCTCGCTAGAATCGATTCCAGGTACAGAGATTAATAGCCTCTCAGTCATCGATCAAATCTCAGCTAGGGTAAGCAACTGGTTTTGTCGTGATGGGTTGCATTGAGTGAGAGTACCGGGCTTATGGATGGATCTATGGAGGGAGTCGGGGCCGCGGGGTCTGAAACACAGTAGCGACACAGTGTCATCACAAGATTAGAACCTAAACACCATGTTAGTATCCTAGGTACACATCTTTCGATGAGACATGATGTTTGAACCGGGCCAAGATTAGGTAGGTATTCGCCTTATTAGTGTCATGGTACAATTTAGGCTCATGCCGGACCCCCGGGCACTCCCGCCCGTACACTCCGGAACCACGGTTCCACGATAAGAGACCAACTGCAATCTCGATGTTTAATTCAATCTCACGATCCATTTCTAACTCTATTTTAGTGTTTGTAGTTAATCTTGACTGCAAGCTTTGTAGTAATATAGCAAAGAGTAGCGTTGAGTGAATGTCCACCCGACGTGCATCGAGGATTGCTTCAATCATTAGCCACAGCCACGGATCTAGGTAGTCAGTTGCTTGTTCAGTCCCACTTCTACCGGAGCACTCCACCCATGGTATGCATCAGGAGATGCTCGTAGACATGGAGATTGGAGAAGAAACCATCGGCGAGATAAGTGCCTAATGTGGATGTACTGCTTGGCAGCCAGTGACGCCAGCCCTACTGATCCAGACTGCGTGACGTCTCGGCGGGTTGAGAGATTACATGAGAGATTTTTTGCTGCGTTAAGAATGTCTACTCGGACTGAAAATTGCAGATGGGATAGAAATTTAGAACATGCAAACTGCATGTTACTCGGCTCTAGGTAGAGACTAAAGCGCTAGACCAAGAGGGATCTCAAACAGGATGAGACAGATAGATACCAAAAGGAGGACACCGGCTCAAAGATGAGGATAGAAAGCCCAGCAAAAAGCCAGCCAAATAAAAAACAAACGTTCATAAAATCGCTGGCATCATCAGAAAAGGTATCGAGAAGACAAACAGCTAGCTAGAACAATCATTTCGTCGCCACAAAAGCACGTTCAAAGAAAGAAAAAAATCACATCAGAAAGACATAGTACCGTGACAAGGAAATCGTTCATATCAACACGGTGCTTAAGCACATAAATCGTTTTGTACATGTCGTCAGTTGGTCTGTGGAAGTCGGAAGAGAAATAAAAAGCGGACGTTTTTGGACAGGGCAAGGCACCAATTAGGTAAATTCGACGCCGTGCTGTTGCTGCCGTTCTTGTCGGGTCCGGGCTCGTTCTGCACGTCTACGGCGACGGTTGTTTGCATACGAGCCGCTCATCTCGGTCCCAGTATACGTAGGCGAAGTGATACTGCCCGGTCCGTAGGGCATGCTAGAAGGCGCAGGAACGGGAGGTGGAGGTAAATTACCGAGTTGAGAGGTTGGTGGCACCCACGAAGGTGGAGGCATAGTGCCCGAGGGCGCCAGGGACGCCTGTGGAGGGGGTGCACCGGCGGCGGCAGCAGCAGCAGCTTGCTCACGTCGCATTTGTTCGTCTTGTTGACGTTCGAGCTCTTCGACTCGACGCCAGCGGTCGTAGCCGGTGTCTTCGTTGCCTGATAACGAGCCAGCACTGCTGTTGCGACGACGGGAGTTCCTTCGCTCTCTACGACGGGCTTCACGACTCGCCGCTGCTTCTTCTTCGGTCAGTCGACGGAGTGTTACATGTCGTCCATCGTTGTGCATTTTCACTTTCACAGATACCGGAGGAGAGGCCACGTCCTCTCGGCGCCGGCTACTGCTCCTGTTGCGGCGGGAAGCGGCATCTAGTGCTGCCCCCGCGGCTGCTCCGGCGGCCGCACCTGAGGCAAATTCAGCTCCATCAGGTACGTGAGAATGGCGGGAGTGAGGACGCTCAGGCCTTAAGTCACCGGAAAGCTGCTGATGGCTCGGGGGGATCGGTGGCATATCCGAGACAACGCTATGCAGAGCACCGGACGCAACAGGTGGTTCTGTAGTGAGGAGAGAGTCTCCATGTGATGCATGCCGAGGCGGAGGACGTGATAGTTCGGTCTCGGTCAGGTCGGTTTCACTATATGAACTCGCCCTTCTTCTTGGGTAGAAACTTTCTCCAGCCTGTGGCCGTCTTCTGCTGTTGGCTCTCTGCAGCGCCTCATCTTCTTCTTCTCGGCGCCTGATAACCTCCAAACGCCGTTTCTCTTCGTCGTCTTTTTTGCGACTGAACATCCTCTTCACTGCCGCAAAAGCGCCCGCACCCAGAAGCGCGTCTCTAACGCCATGGGAGGCATTTCGCCTAGGCGGCTCGGTAAAATATGTGCTGTTGTAATAGTACGACGAGCCTGGGCTTTGTGACCTGCTTGGTGCCCGGCTCGGTGGTCGATTTAGTGGCGTGTGATGAGTGGGTTCTGGTCGACCGTCCTCCATCCTGCTCAGAGATTCATCCGTGTGACTCGTACTGCGTGAATGGGCGGGTTTGTAACGACCTGATTCGGCATCATCTTCTCGTTTCTTTCGACGGTCCCAGAACTTCTTGGCCATGAGGCCAGCCCCAGCCAGTGCGCCAATTTTGAGAAGCTTCTTGCCAAAACCACCACCACCACCATCGTGATGCGAAGATTCATCGGAGTATTTCTCATCGGAGATCGAAGTACGGGAGCCTTCGTAAACCTGGCTTGCGTGGCGACTGCGGGGACGTCGTCGAAACATCGAAGCTAAGCCGGCACCCATAGCGCCAGCGGCGAGAGCTTCTCCAGCGTGGTGGCCATGGTGCTCTGAGACCTCTGAAGGCCCGGTGTAATGACTATGACCACCATGGTCACTTCCCATCATGGGATACCCTTCAGTATCATACCGGTAGGAAAGTATAAAGTAAAGGACCAAGTAGCCGAAAGCGGTCAACGCGAATAAGATAAACAGAACCTTTGGCGAGCCGTAGAGCGTGAGTCCCAATGGGATTTGGATAATGCCGAGTAGTACGAGGGCACGGCCAATCCAGCGATGAAACTAAGATAGTTAGAAACTACCCATACTCCTTTGGGTGACATAACTTACCACCAGTTTCAATGGGACTGTAACTCGCTGTCTTTTACTCTCCTTCTTGTGTAAGAACCAGCCCCAGAGTACTTGGAAGATGACCAAGACGTAGATTGCCAGACCAATTCCATGATGGGGATTAGTTAGGCTTCTTTCCGGGCCAACGGCAAACCACCCGAGCACAAACACGACCGTGGTCAAGAGCAAGGTCAGCACCTGACACCAAGCGTGTAATTTGAATGCCCAGTATGGATTCCATCGGGAGTAGTATCGAATTATTAATGTTGAAGTCGGGACGATGCCCAAGAAAACAATGGTTGCAATCACACCGTGCGCGATGATTATGGAATGGTACCCAGCCATATCCTTGAAACGGTTGCCCATGCCTGCAACGTGTCAGTCGATAAGATACTTGCAATAAGGATGCATTTTTTGCACGATAAAACAAATCGATGCGTTAGACTGACCGTTGTATCGCATCGTCTCAAAGTTGACACCCATCAGGTTGGGCAGCAGGAAAGTATCCCGCCCCGAGTCCCAGGTGCCATCTCCAACATGAAGCGTGTTTGAAGCGTATGAGCTGCTCCCCGCAGCGGCAAGCCCTGAGTCTGACATCTTGTAGAAAATTCTCGAAGAACCATGTGATATTTGTTGGAATGTCGGATTTACCGGAGGAGACCTTCTGAGATCTCCCGATCCGAGGAATGCACCATGCGACAGCGGGATCGGGATTTCGACGGGAATGCTCAATGGCAGAGGGCCCACTTGATAGTAGTATGTCCTGTGTATATCAATTAGTCTATGAAGTTGGAATTGACCGTTCCGCAGATTTCGAGTGGACAACAGATCTCGAGACTGAGCGCAAGCGGAGGAGAGGAAGAGTCGTACAATGTCTGAAGATGAAGTCGAGACGGGATTGAAAAAAAGTCCAACAACGCAACTGATCTGGAATAGGAGATTCCAGGTTGCACAAGACCTTGGGCAGAGAATCACAACAAGAGGCTGACCGATCACCCCCGTCATTTGTTTTCCCCCATCACATTACCGGGCCAACCAGCCGCTGACTCAGCGTATGCATTCTGACCGCCTTCCCGGTTAAATACACGCCAAGCCCGTTATCTTATCAGACTTATCTTCAGCTGATCTTATCACAAGATGGCGTGCTGAAGGAGTCCATATCGTCACATCCACCTCTATTCATCTTTCCCCGCCCGACTCTCCGGGATGAAAACCCTCAGCCCACGATGACACCACAAGTAGAAATATTTATAAAGGCTTTGTCCCGGTTTGTGACCTCCTCTGAACCCCGATGCCCCCGGGTGTATGAACATGGCTGACCCACTCTCACCAGCCTGTTAGGATGGGCATAGTAGGTTTACGCGTCAAATTCGAAGTCAGAGATTGATGAGACACTCGGATTGATAACTGACTTCGAGACAGTATGATCTGCTGGTCAGGATCTTTCTATCCGCAACCCATAACCAACTGGAAACGGAAATCCACGGTCGGCTTATCGATTGATCTATCCACCATCAATCCTCTGGGCTTTGTCTGCTATACGATATATACCTCGGCCTTCTTATTTTCACCTGTTATTCGATCGCAGTATGCGGCCCGGTATCCTGCTTCCCCCGAACCAACCGTGCGGTTCAATGACCTCGCATTTGCGGCGCATGCTGCGTTATTGTCCACCATGATGTACACGCAGTTCTGGCCTTTCATCTGGGGGTTGCATGTTTCCCGCGTACAGCGAGTCAGCTGGACAATGGCAGGTCTCTTTTGGGGGTCTATCCTGTTTCCTCTGGTGGTCATGGCGATTGTGCTGGTCCGAAGTCCAGATGGAGGATACGATCCTTCCTCTTGGGCGTGGATTGACGTGGTAGGTGAACGGAAGCTACTCTTCTCTGCTAAGAAACTGGATCCATCGGGATGGTTAGAAAACTAATCTTCCTTCAGATATACTCCTTCTCGTACATCAAGCTCTTGATTACCGTTGTGAAGTACATGCCCCAGGTAGCGTTGAATTATAAGCGCCAATCTACCGTAGGGTGGCATATCGGGACCATTCTCCTGGATCTGGCGGGTGGAGCACTTTCGATGCTTCAACTGGTGCTTGATTCGAGCCTTCAAAGTGACTGGAGCGGTATCACCGGTAACCCAGTCAAGCTACTTTTGGGCAACATTACAATCTTCTTCGATGCGATTTTCTGCATCCAGCATTATGTTTTATACCGAGATCCCCCGGATCTCAAGGGAACGCATGGCGCAGGCGAGCAAACGCCCCTTTTGGTTGAACGAGACCCTTCAGTGTGAGATCAGATCTGGGCCAAGGCGCACAAGACATGATACAACCGGCGATTCTGGGGCGGGATTCAAGACACTGGGGATGTTTCTCTATTTTTGTGAGAGTCGTGCTGTCCGTGCTGTCTCCCGGATCAACCTTGAATCTTTGAGACAATGTGGGGGCGGTCGACTCGACCCGATATCTTACCATAGACTTTGGCGATCTTGATTCTTTGATTTCTCGGCATTTGGTATAAGCCACCAACACGATACATCATACACAGTCTTATTGGTAGTTTGATGTTCTCAGTCCGAGACACGGCTTTCGTATGTTATTCTTAGACCGATGAATCTTGTCTCACAGTTTCAGCTACAAGGCTCAATTCTAGAAAAATCCGGGCTCAACATTCGATACTCTCGAGAAGATCTGTCACATAATGCAATCGTCACAATTCCAAGGGGGGCTGCATACTGGAGCCACAATGAGGCTCACGCCGGTCAGAGACGCCTACCGACGCCGATCAGCGACACCGCTCCTTAGTTTCCAACGGCCCCCATGTTCTCTTCCCCACAAAGCAATATAACTGGTCCACCTCGAGCATAAGCACAATTCAACAATCACCAGCCAATCATGATCACGACACGCTTTGTTCAAATATGCGCCAACGGTGCTAGCCGTCGGTGTCGAGCTAGGAAATGCCGACAAGCCCATGGCTGAAGCACTGAGTTTTCACATCGGTATTCGGCCCTGTTTCATCCCGGGCGCGTGGAATAGCTAGCTTCAGTAGTGATCAACGCTCAACATTCGACACGGACACGCTTCCAATCAACCAAGATAATGCACGGGATGCTACCTTTCACTCTAACGTTACGTTGAATCTGACGCAGTCTTGGCCAGATATCTAATATTTGAAGACTGGAAGGCTCAGAGCCTGCTTGTCATGTTATCATAACTGTTGGGCAGGATGGGTAGAATTACTGTATCTATGGCGATCAGGGACTATGCGGCTCTCGAGCCAGCAGCCACTCTCCACGTATCCACAACGCAACGTGTAAAGGCTAAAGACTATACGAGGCTCCAAGAGAGATCTGCGAAGATTCCGTAGTACTGGCTCCTGGTCACCTCTGCAGCCCTGGGCCGCTTTGGACTGGCCAATGATAGCAATGGTTGGCAGTTACAATGTACACATGCATACCCACAAGAATGTCACGTAATTAGACTAGTTAGTCCATCGTTGGTACATGCCGGTCTCTACGGAGTTAACAGACCCACTTCACCTTTCAGCCCTAATTTCTCATGCCCATAACTGCACACATGGAAATACCTCCGGACAGTCCTGCGTACATACGCTGGGATGCCAAGGGGGGATGGCCCTCCCCGGCCCCCGACTATCCATTTTGGATACCTTGACTCAAAAAATAAATAAAATTTAAATATAAACGGAAATAAGAATGAGAAAAAGAAAAAAAAGGACAAAGGCAACGGTAACAGCAGTCCAGATCAGTCAGTGGGCAGATTGATCGTCATCCTATATCGATTCAATTTCTGCTAAGCGTATAAGCTCAGGTTTTACAGCACTGCCCCATATCTCAAGGGAAAGCCGGAAATACTCCGCATCTGATTACTTTTATTGTAAACGCAAGTTCAGCTTTAAATCAGCTAAAGCTTCATAACGGTCTGGCTTCCCCGGTGTTGAACTAGTTTCCAAGTCGACTTCTGATAAGAAAAGAATCAGAGCAATTGATATGAAGGAACCATTGCCTATAAACTACACTCTTGATTACTCCGACTGGCAGGTTGCCATATCCTTACTGTTTTCAAAAGAACTACCCTTCGACCGAAGCATCTTTGACCTCGTCGACATGTACGAACACTCGAAGAACATGTACAGCACTGCATTGTACAGCAGTAGACCCTCTGAATCCTTCGAAGTTCAACACACCGAAAGCCTGACCGACATGCCCATCAGTGCTCCGATAGACCCCCACATGTCTTCTCTCCATGATATCAGCTATCTGGACCCCCAGCTGGACCCCAGATCCTTCCTAGCCCCAGTGGATTATTCCACCAGCAGAAGAGGGTCCACAGTTGGTTCGACAGTCGGCTCTCAATACGCCTGGTCGACTACATCCAACGCAGACATCCTTTCCAACTCCCCCAACCTCTCTTCATTTGACCCTATCAACCCGGGGACAAGCACACCCTTCGTGCAAAGTTACTGCCCCGAATCCCTCCAACAACTCAGACCCAGCCTCAGCGAGTCAGGCTACACCACCCAGCAAATTGACAAATGGTGCATCGACAGCAACCCCACCGAAGACTTCTACCACTCCCACCCCCAAGCAACCCAAGCCCAAAGCCAGCCCTACCCCATGAACTTCACCCCAGAAATCCAACCAGAGCCCTACCCACTCACCAACCTCAATCCAAACACCCAATGGCTCTCCCCGCCAATACCAGAACCCTTCTTATCACCCCCGCAATCCATGCCAACACAAACCCCAATTTCAACCGCCCCCTCCCCAACACACTCCCACTCCCACTCCTACTCCATCTCAGACCCAGACTCCCCGCCCCAAAGCACGAGTGCCTCCAACGCCGACCTAACAAACTACGGCATCCCCACCGGCGACGGCACCTGGCGCTGCGCATATCCAGGCTGTTCCTCGCAAGCGTCGTTCCGACGAGGCTGCGATCTGAGGAAACATTTCAATCGACACCGCAAGTATCTTGCCTGTCGCTATGAGGGGTGTCCTCAGTCTGTGCGGAGTGGGTTTAGTAGTAAGAAGGATCGGGCGAGACACGAGGCGAAGCATAATCCGGGTGTGTTGTGTGAGTGGGAGGGGTGTGGAAAGGTGTTTAGTCGGGTGGATAATATGAAGGATCATGTTAGAAGGATTCACCGGAAGGGAGAGGTTGGGAGGGGTTGAAGTCTGGATATGGTTGTTTTGATGATTTGATGGCATTATGGGGTGTGGGCATGGTGTATGCAGTATAATACCTACTTTGTTGGATGTGTGGATGTATGACTAGTTACTGGTTGGTATAAAGGGGTTGGCACAACAGGAACCGGGCTTGGGATATGGCGCATTGGAGAAGGACTAGTCTTCTTGGGTTATGATGATGTTACTATAGGTCTCTATGGATTATGACGATACAAGCACTTGAAATGCAATGGATACCTATAGGCTATACGTCCAGGGCTGATTTTAGAACTTCTCGAACTGTTCCTAGAACAGGGAATGAATTTTCAGCTGTCGTTGTCAAATGGACATCTCAAAGGCAACGAGGTAGTCAATCCACGCTTAGGTAGTAGTCTAAGAAAGCCTTGCCCGGATAATACAACCTAACGGACTGATATGAGGAATCATTGCGAACAGGGCTACTGTAAGCTCTTCATGTACGGGTGCCGTTTACACAAAATATGTCAGATGAAACGCCCATCCCTCCAGGATCCTGGATTCTAATTATAGCACAGCATAAGGTACCAATACCTTTGAAATGCCACTATTGTATGATACTACCATGTCAATAGCCCCCGTACGAGCTTTTTGATAGTTTCACCCTCAGAGCCCCAGCCAGTGGTTCAGCCAATGTTCCAGCTGGGCTATTGACTCGAACATTAGCTGGACCACTGGATGGACCACTGAGGGTGAAATTATCTGTGAAAGTGGTGAATACATGGAGTGCGGAGTTGCAAAACGTGATGGGATCTAGTGAAGCCAAGGGGAACCAATCCAAAATGAATGAATGAATTGATAGCAGAAAAGAAGAGACAAAGCGGAGGCGAGGACATAATGTGTTTCTCGCTTAAACGATCCGCTAAGTCGTATGAGGGAGGGGGGAGTAAGTATATCAAAACCCTATAGATAGCTCCCCTCGAGACTCATAAAGCGCTCACAAGAACAGAGGAGACCAACCTCCCGGAGGGCCTTCGTATATCTCAAATAACCCATCACTGAACATTGAAATACATAGTTCAGGTCACTATTACTTTCCCCAAAATAATTCCCAAGAATCCAACTCTCCAACCAAGCCAGACTCCCAACAGGAAGAACCCCCAGACACAACAGAAGACTTATCCACAACCATCCCATTCCCATCCTTACGCGCCTCCTTCATCCACCTCCTAACAATCTCCCGCACAATACCATAACCCTCATCCGCAAAGCCCTCAAACCTCGCCATACCACAATGATCACCCGTAAGACCCAAACTCTCACACCCCCGTAAAACCGCCGCTTCCTCCTCAACAATCTTGCCAACATCATTCACACCCTCCATCTCATAAAAGCAAAACACATTAACAGCCAAATCCCCCCTCCTCAACATCCCCTGAAACTCACCCGCAACACGCTGCAGATCATTTGGTCCGAGATGACGCTCTAGCGCGGCAACATGCATGATATCACCCTTCCTGCGCACACAGTTCACAAGTTTCTCCCCGTAATACGAAAGTGAAGAGCCATAATGTGGCGTCCCCATAAAAACCACACCGATAGCACTCGATGAGATCGCCCATAGTCCGTCGACGCAGTTACTTAGGATGAATGCTTGTTGACAGATGAGTCCGCCGAGACCGTGAGCGATGAATATAATCGGTCTGGCTGAGCAGTCTATGCGTTGGCTGACGAGTGCATAGGATAGGGATTGGGCGTGGTCGTGGAGGCGGTTTGTGGATAAGGTGGATGTTGATGTGAAGTGGAGGAGGTCGAGTTCGTAGCCGAAGGTCATTATGCGGGCATTGGGGATGTCGTTTGCGAGGAGGTCGTTTGGCCAGAAAGTGCCGTTTTGGTGGGTCCATGTTCTTGTGCGGTTGGCTGTGAGGCTGTGGATGAAGATTATGCTGGTTTGTTAATTTCTGGGACAGAAGACTGGAGATGGTGGACTTACTCCAGCTCGGCATTTGGAGGGTCATGTAATACTTCCAAGCCGACTGCGCCTTTAGTAGAGAATCTCGAGATCGTCAGCTTGATACATCCCATGGACAGATTGTGTCTTTTTTACCCAAAGGGGAACTTACAGACCCCATTCTGGATTGTCCGATTTCCTCTTGCTCTTGAATAGTCCCTTGTAGCGAACCATCTGCAGGTTGGGTCTAATGTGAAGTCGAACAGAATTTGACTCGATGCAGCGAGATAAATGATGATACAGATATGAAGAAAGAAGAAAAGACTGCTTACTGAAGAGTTCGTTGGAAAATGCCCCAAACCTTTGCAAGTTAAGGGCCTCCCGTTGAATCCGTAGATCCCTGTCCGGAGCTGACGAACCCCCAATTCGTTGGATATACTTAGCTCACCCTTGTCTGAACACTGTTCAACGGGAGTCAGCAATGGAATCTGGTAGATTGTGTGTGAGTCAGTGTGACACAGAAATTCCCCGGTTAAGATGGCGGCAGATACGCATACACATCCTATGGCATGGATTGAGTCGGCAGGTTGCAGCAATCTAGGCCCAGCTGTATAGGATTTGCTTTTTCGACGGAAGAAGATGTAAGTCCAATTTCTGGCACCTGGGTAGGGATTCTCAGCGGCTTGCCATGTCTTTCGGTTTCTTCTGGAGGCGACCATTCAGCCCTTCACTGACATTATTTCTCATGGTCTGGACGTTCATTAATCACTAGATAAACCCCGGTCAGATTAATGCAATCTATTGAGGTCAGAAGCTTGGCCTAATGGTTAAATTTGGAACAGTCGAGTAAGCAAGATGGCTGGGAGTTCGTTCACTAGGTCGAGATTCTAGGCTGCCAGGTTCTCAAAGTCCATATACTCTAGCTCTTCTGTGTTTAACTTGAAGCTTGGACACGGCGAGAAGGAGTGAGGTTTCTATATTAGACGGTAATGGGGGTTTTCAATGACTTCTGGGTATTCCTCGTTAAAGCAGGAGAATTCGAAGTATGCCGAGGTTATAGAGAAGATAAAGACCGAATAATCTCGAGCGAGCAGGTCATCGCCGACAAGATCTGATTGGGAATTCCGCAAGGTTGATAGAATATGGGATCAAGAGGTTGAATTGATTCTAGCAGAAGATCCCATGAATCATATGTGCTTGAAAAGCGAAGCTGTCGAGCCCGAGTGAGAATTCCAACATGTTCCAAGTCGCCGACAGAATGTATGACTGGAGGATTGAACTCGATGGAATAGTCCAAGGACCTGTACACTGTATATCAAGAGGATTCAACCAATCGAGGTACTTGACCTCAATCGGATTGGCGAGACAAGAAATAAAGAAGGTAATGCGATGATAAGATGCTAGTCCTGACACGAACAAACAACGCTCAATTAACGAATGACCCATGTGACAGCATGAATTTCTAACAATGGACAGGTGGTATCATTGCAGAAGCACCAAAGCAAAACAAGCCAGGAGAAATTAAGAAGAAACAGCAGCAAGGTATCACAGCTGAGAAATTCGTCACGCGTAAAGTTGCGAAGCTGCCTCGAGGAGGGACTCGCCAAGGTAGCCATGTTGTACTGAGGCGCTAATCTGGAACACCCGGGGAACACGGGGTTGACTGTGGTGAGTGGGAGTGGTAGAGGGTACACGCCAGTCGACGGTAAAGTAAATCGGACGAGAACTAGATCGAATAAAGACCCAAGGTATCCAGCGAGAGAAAGGAAGTAGAAGATATAAGAGGTAAGAGGCTAACGGTCATGTATTATTCATTCTTCGTTTTCTGCCGCGAGAGCTACCCATCGGCCTTTGGGCCAGCACCTGTCGGAGAATGGGATCGTCTTTGTTCTTTTCGGGGTGATGTACACGGACATGCCTGTGTGATTCTGGGTTCAGCTGATGTCAGATTAGGTGAGGCTCGAATGTGGTACGAACCGTTGAAGATTGTCGGGCCGCGGGTATTTGTGTTGCTGGTCCGGACAGAAGGGACAGACGTAGCCTGGGGAGTTGTGAACGAGGCCATGGCGCATCATTTCATTTTTGCGCTTGAAGCCTTTCCCGCCGGCTGCGCGTGGACAGCCCTCTACCGGGCAGAAGTGTGGGCGATCTTGTGAGTGCACATTGGCATGAGAGCTACTATTCTGTTAACTGAGGGGTTACTTCGCTTCCAGTCGTTCCTTTGCTCTTACTTGAGGAGATACTGGGTTTGAAAAGGTGGAGCAGTGCATCCGGGATGATCGCACTTGTAACTGCCCACGGGGCCTCCATTGGCCTGGGGTGTGGACGCAGCGAGCGAATGTCGATCGCCTATACCAGCGCCGACTTGTTCCGTGGGCGTAGGATAACTGGTCGCTGGGCTTTTGGCAGTCGCGGGGGAAGACTCGTATGGGGTTTGAATGGACAACATATCCGGATGCGGTGGTCCATGCCAGAAGGACGAGTGCGAGGCTGGAGAAGGGTTGGTAGAGGAATCCTTCATACTCACTGGCGAAAAGTGAGAGAAGGGAGTGGCGGAAACGGAAAATTTGCCCGAGAAAGGGCGGTCGAAGGGAGAATCATTCCCTGAGGTTGTTGATCCAGGACATGAGGAGAACGTGACGGGAGATGAGTAGGTGTTGACCGGTGGGGGGCCAAAGTCTGACAGTGCGCCCAGAGCCTTTCGAATAGACGGCAGTGTTTGGTTGTTACCGCTGCTTTCCGGGGATTTTGTGACGCACGATGCAGATGATGGTTGAAGCAGTTGTAGTGATGGGAGAGAAATGCGAGATTTGAGTTCCGGGGAAGTTTCGAGTTGGGGCAACCCTTGTGAAGGTCGACGACTTGGACCACTGAATGACTGGAGCCGTCCTCTTTGGACGACCTCATTTTTGACCTCAACCCCTGGCTGCACAGGCTGAACTGGCGCCAGGGTCGATGTCAATTCGGAGGGCTTTTCTTCAATCTTTGAGGCTGAGACCGCCTCCTCCTTTGGTGGAGGCTCGTCCTTCGAGATTGGAGCTAATTTCTTTAAGTATCTGGGGTCGAAATCAGGAGGCCGCTGTCTATGATTTTTGGGATTCCCAGGCAATGGTTCCAATGGGGAAGTCTTTGCCGCTGCAGCAATCTCAGGCTGATTCGGAGCTAGATACCCCATCAGCACGCGGTCGCCCTCATGAGTCGAAATCAGAGGTCCGGGCTGGTTGGGCTTACGGGATGAGCCCGCTTCGGCCTCCGTTTCAGAAGGACGGACGAATGGCGGTGGTGACGGTTTGTCTCCATAGTTCGGTTTCATTGCCTCCAAAGGCGGGGACCGATTAAAGGCATCATCCGGATCATACATAGCGGAGGACATTATATAACGGCAGGTGCATTTGGCACCTCGCCTTATGTTCGTTGTTGATCTGACAATTTGAATTGACAATCACACATCAGAACTGGTGGCCTGTGAGACGGTTAGAGATTGGGACTATGTTAATTGAATTTCTTCCGAAGATCGGATTATGGATGAAACAGCGCAGGATCCAATTGCACGGAATATCCAAGCAGGTAAGTCGGGCACTATGCGACTGCCCGTGGTCCTGCTGCAAAACGTCGAGATGGGATATGGAAGATGAGGGGTAAAGTTGGGATGAACCCCGAAGCAAAACAGAAGCAGACAGCTGGATAAACAAGGAAGACCCAAGAGAAACAAGAAAATAAAAAGAAAGAAAAACGCGAAAAAGGTGAAGACCAGTTCGAGGTCTGCAGAAAGAAGGACTTACCTAAGTGGAAAGGTTGACGGGTAGTTGAATGGGTCCCGGGGGATGAGGCTCAACAGGTCCGATTGTCAGCCATCTGCAGATGGAATGATATCACTCGGAAGAAGTAGAAGGGGGAAGCCAACAAGTTTGACTTCCAACGAAGAAAAGAAAAGAAAAGCTAAGGAAGAGGCTGAAAGTGCAAAAGCAAAAGATCTAAGGGAAAGAAATCACCTTCTACACGTGAAAGCAGAAGCCCCAATATCTACCAGTATCATGAAGAAAAGAAAAGGGAAAAGAGGGAAAAAAAAGGAGAATAAACGTCCAAGGAATACCCGGGGGGGAAGAGCAATGAGGCTCTCGACTCGAGGGCTCCATAATAATAGATTACGGGTTAGGTACCGTCATGACCCTGGTTATTTTAGTAACGGGATTAATTTGCAGTTAGCTGTGGCATTAACATCCTTAACGACTGTCTACATGTGCTTATACTACTCCGTACACAGTATTTAGATACTTAAGCACTCACCTACGACCTTTAATCCCTCCAATTCCACACCCCCTGACTACACCAGATGATATCCTATAACTCAACTACCCCCCGCCTCTCTTTTATTCGGAGGATTTGAACCTGGTCGCACATAAGCCAAGACTGCCAAAAGAAGAAATGAAAAAAAAATTGAAAATTGAAAAATAAATAGTTCCCCACCGCTACTCTCACTCATGTTATTCAGGCTCCACCATTATTGGTTTCGCAGTCAACAATCGGGAGGGGGGAAGGAAGTTATTCTCTATCTTCTGAGTTGTTTTCCTCTCCACTCCCCCAGGCTGCCATACCCGGCAAGGGAACCTGCACGATGAGGGGGGAAGGTGGAGGGGTTCCCACCAAGGTTCTTTTCACTGTCCCATTTCCTCCTTTTGTCCCGCCTTTTCCAGTTGTCCATCCATTACGCAGCGGCCCTACTCACCAGCTGCGTTGGCACTATGAGCCTCAGCCGTCAGTCCGAAGGATCTTCAGGATTTCCTGGTTTGGTTGTCAACGCGCTGTCTGCGGCAAGGAGATCGTTCGGCCCACGTTGTTTCAGAGCCTCGTCTCCGGAGTACATCGTTCAGAGGGCAGTCGTTGTATGCTGTATTAATCTATTCTTCTGCAGCTTATACGGCCTTTCTGTACCCTGTTGATACTATAATACTACGCTATACTACCTGCATCGATGTGCTGTCCAACCGGCCACAACCCGAAACTAAAGTATTGGAATATTCATCGTAATTCATAATTCATAATTCCCAGCCGCATCCTCCCAACCCCCCTCGCACTAGTCAGAAAAGGATATAAATATGTCATCATATTGAATATGGAGATACCGCACTATCCACACAGTGACAGCTCTAGTTATCCATAACCATAACTATTGTCAAATTCAAAATAATCAAACCAACCGTGGCAAACAAAGTGGATATTCTTCAACCCCTCAGCCTCATTTACGCGTAGAGCCGCAGAGTTCGAAAAAGCCTCATTTCCTGGTCCATTTCCCCTCTCTTCTCCTGACCAATCATAATTCCTTCTGACCTTCCACCTGGAACGGACATTCCACCATGCGCTTCCCCAGCGCACTGGTCTTCCATACTGTGTACTGTGGAGTCGTGGACTGTGGTACGTAGGTGTTGCCAACTGCCGAGTGCCGACTATCTTTCATTCTTGAAACCCCACATAAACTAGTCGTTTCATCATCCCATCTACTCCGTACTTTCTACAAATGTATTTATATACACACCCGGTGATCCGGGTATCATCCCGTCTACTAGTACTTACTTCTCAGCCATCGGTAGTGATCGGGTGAGATGGCGTACATAAACGTGATGTTCCTCGCAGGATATTCTGATACCATTGTGGACTGCTTATCCTCATCTGACCAAGTGCTTACTTCACACGTCAGGCGTCAAAAAGAACCCCGGGTTCAAGTTGTTCTAGGCTGTGCATGACCTTATTTGGTGGTGTGTACTTCCGGTCTATCAAGCAGCGGGGTAACTGTTTCATGATGGAATGGGATAAGGTCAGTTCTGGACCAGAACGTACAGGGTGAGATTGAAGAGTCGGGTTTAGATTTAGATTTAGAGCCGGTACATGTGTCAAGCTACATGCACTATCTGCATACACGGTACTAGACTTTGGATACATGAGGTCCATATGCCCATGTAGTTGATTGGTAGTATATACAATCGATTCAACGAATAGAGAACTGTGCCGAGGTCAAAGCCATCTATAGATGATGTAGTAGATATGTCTACTCGCTACATAGTATGCAGTAATCTACAACCTCCCCTCACCAGCCCGCTTAACCACCTTAACCCTCTCCCAGGCATACTCAGCAAACGGCTTCGCCCTCTTTGCATAGTCCCCAGCCCGCGCACTACTAGCCTGCCTAGCAGCATACCGGGCCGCAATGCCCTGCATAATCACGGATCCCCGGAATGCAAAGAACGCATCGCCCCACGTCACGTCCGAGCTCGTATCGTACCCGGACGCCTCGGCGTACCACTGAATGCACTCCTCGCGCCGCGGCAGCCCTGCGACTGCACCGGGGGCAAACAGCGCCAGCTGACTGTCCGCGTTGTCCATGACATACGGGCCCGTGAGATTACAGAAGTCGGAGAGAGGGTGTCCTACGGTCGCCATCTCCCAGTCCAGCACGCCAATCACCCGCGGCTCCGTCTTATGGAACATCAGGTTGTCGATTTTGTAGTCGCCGTGGACGAGGGTGCCGCGGTCGAGCGGTTGCATGCTCTTCTGCGAGAAGAAGGCGACCATGTCGTTGAAGTGGGGGAGTTCGCCGACGGGCTCTTTGGTGTCGACGTCGACGACGGCCGCTTGCGCTTTGGAGATGGTCGTGAAGGTCTTGATCTGCCGGTCGAAGAAGCCTGTCGGCTTGCCGAAGGTATCAAGCCCCACGCTCTTGGGGTCTACGTTGTGGAACTTGGCGAGCGTTCGCACTGCATCTTTCCACCTGGTGTGCTTGTCAGTAATGCAACACTTTCCCGCTGGCTAGTCGAGCCTCAATTGATTCATACAGTGCTGTCCTCTCCTCCGGGCTCACGCCTGGCATCGATGGGTCGGTGAAATGCCGCCCGTCGAGGAACTCCATGATGTAAAAGGCGGTTCCAATCACGTTGACATCTTCGCAGAGACAGTACGCCTTCGGGACTGGTACGTCGGTACCTCCCAATGCACGGATGATCTTGTACTCGCGCTCGACCATATGGGCTGTCTTCGAGAGCAGCTTGCCAGGGGGCTTCTTACGCAGAACGACCTGTGTGCCATCGGCGGTCTTAAGCAGGTAGGTAGGGTTCGATTGACCGAAGCCAAACTACATGAACAGCGCATTAGTCGACATATGTTTGCTATAGCACATTGATTTCCCGGGTCCAGACTCACCTGCTTCACATCGAGTGGAGTCTTGAGCTCCGGCACATTCTGGTCAATGTACCGTTCCAAAGCGGGAATATCTATGGGCTGGCGTACTTCGCCCGCCATAATCGCGATGTGATAGGGAAGATAAACAAGAGCGGCAAAGGAAAAAATTAATGTATTCTGCAAAGTGACCACAGATTCGTTCCAGTATGTACAAGAGGGGGAGCGAAAGCAATAAATGCCTTCGTACTAGCTGGTTACCGGGGAACCTCGGTCCCTGCCCCCAGTTGTACGTCCTCGGCGTCACCGCTCTGGAGCGGGGCGAAACAAACAGCGCAAACAGCTTTCGCGCGCGCGTCCCGGAGAACGCGCCGAAGCGGGCGAGCGTGGAGCTTCACCGCAATTTTTGTTGCAAGCTAGGGGCTTCATTACTTGCATTAGCCAGATCAATTGCGCATACCTTTTCTTCCCTAGCAATTGACTATCTCGCACTCGTTTTCTCCATCAATCCTCACCCTATTTTGCATTTCACCTACCATGACCAAAGAGACCACTCCTCCGCCACAAGAGAAATCCAACTCCCTCCCCGCTCACAACCCGCCTTCCCTGCCCGCTTCGCCGCTGCCCAAACGCTCAAAGCCTGACACAATGACTGCCACCGCTGTCACATCCATCCAGCAGCCGCTGCCCCCGCTGCTCGTGAAAAAGCTTGTCGAGTCTGCCCAGGCTCCGACTCGGGGTTCAGCTTTCGCGGCTGGATACGATATCTACGCTGCGAAGGAGACTGTTATTCCGGCCAAGGGGAAGGGTACTGTCGATACTGGTATCGCTATCGCCGTGCCTGAGGGAACTTGTATGTGATTACCTGGTTTCGGGATAGGGATTCCGGACCTTTATGCTTGTGGAGACTGAGCGGGATTCGAAAGAATCGGATACTAACAAGGGATACAGACGGGCGCATTGCTCCCCGTAGCGGTCTTGCCGCTAAGCACTTCATTGACACCGGTGCTGGTGTAATTGACGCCGATTACCGTGGCGAGGTCAAGGTGCTTCTATTCAACCACTCCGACGTCGACTTCCCGGTCAAGGTGGGGGATCGTGTTGCCCAGCTGGTCCTGGAGCGGGTGAGTACTGGATATCGATATTGTTGACTTTGTGTCTTTTGACTAACTGTAATTAGATCTACACCCCGGAAGTGAGCGTTGTCGAGGAGCTTGAGGAGAGCGTCCGCGGCGCCGGTGGATTCGGTAGCACCGGCGTTTAGGTCTCTATTTATGTGATACACAGCTGGGAATATGGCAAACAAAATTTAGATGGGCTTCGGAAGAAAAGGACCCAGTGATGATTGAATATCATGTTTGAATGAATGAAAATGTTAAAAAGAAGTGTTTCAATGCTTGACTCGATCAAATCTATGTACAGACCAAACTGGTGGTTGATATGAAAAAGGCCTCCGATCTGGTTCGTCTATGCCCTAACCCAATCTTGTATCATGATCCCTGTACCATGCAATGATGTCCGCCACATGCAAAAGGCCAGAAAAAAGAACAAATTCCCATCTACTGCAGCTCCTCGGGAAGATCATCTTTCCGCCAATCTATCGTCTCAAACTGAATCTTCGGCTCCCTCAAAAACCGCGTGTTCCTCACAAGCCTAACCTCAGCAGCCTTTGTCCTGCGCAAATACTCCCTCTTCGCCATTTCCTCTGCCGTCGCCTCCCCCTCCAGCGCAGGCACGGCAACCGCCAATTCCGCATCACGAGTCTCTAGCGTCCGTTCCAGGATACTATGCATACTCGACAAAACCTTAACGGTCGCCTTCGCCAACGGCAACTCCGTAGCTGCAACGCTGTCGGGCGAAACCCACGACTTGGTCGTGCGGAGCCCGTCGACGGCAGACACTGCCTCACTGAGTCGTGCGACGGTCAACGCCGCGAACATGTCGCCCGTCCCACTGAAGAAGCAGTCTAGTGCTGGCACGTCGATGCGGAATAGCCGCGGTGAGCCGTCAGAGCGCGTCGTGGAGCCGATTACCGTCAGGAAATTCTCTGGTGGTGGTGGGGTTGAGCTTGATTGGGTGAGTTTAAACAGTTGCACCGATGTGATAATTACATGTGGCACCGAGTAAATGCGGTGGATGGCTGTGATTGCTGCGGCGAGGGTGGCTGGGGAGGTTATTTTGATGCCGGAGAGGGTTCTGTATTGGTGTTAGTTGGGAGGTTGGCGGGTTGTATGTTTGGAATTGAGGCTTACTCGGCTTCAAACTGGTTGGGCAGAATTAGATCTGCGAAGGGGATGATTTTCTTGTAGGCTGGGACTACGTCGTCGTTGACATATAGACGGCCTTGGTCGCCCATGACGGGATCCAGGACTGATATTGTATCAGCGTCTGTACGTAGGGAAATAAACGGCACCACTTACCCCAGAAAAATGATCCTGGTTTCTTTTCTGCTTTCTGTTGCAGGTCAATGCCGATGGCGCCTACTGATTCCACGGCTGCCGCACTCGGGGCGTAACCCGATAGCATGACGTCGAAGTCTGTGAGATTACTCTGGCATAGGCCTTGGTAGAGGTCTGAGATTTCCTGGGCTGTCGCACGAGTCCCCTTGAATTGGCGATAGCCGGTATGGTTACCTATATTTACATATGAGTCGGTGTTGGATGGGCCAGAAGAGATTTGCCACGTACTGAAGTTCACAGTGTTCAAGGCGGCGACTTCGCAGCCTAGCGATTGCATGACGAATGTTGCCATGGAGTTTCCGACATGGCTGAAAGAAGTGTTAGCTATTCAGTCCGTCCAGTATGCTCTTTAGATATGGTCGAGTGGGTTATCAGATGGTCTGGTCACATACCCATAGACGACCTAGTGAAGTGTCAGTTTGGCATCCCACAGAGTAGGCGAGGTCACTTACATGGCTGGCTACAGCCAGAACCCTAGTCTCTGGCACCAATGAGTCCATGATATTGTATACAGTATGTGTAGTCCAATTGAGAAGATGAGTTCTCGTTATCTATGTCTCTGAGTCTTGTGTGGGGGAGGGGAATGTAATTTGCCGAAATTCCCGTGACCTAATTGGCTCCGAGAACCGAGTGCGTGAGATTGTATTCGCAGTTATTCGTTAAAGCATCTCGTGTTACATGAAGCGGGAGTATACTGACAATAGGATCAATTGTGTCTACATAGTACTCAATTCACGTCTGATCTCCTCAAATTTGATTGTGGAAATTGCCCCGTCCCACCAAGTTGCACCAACCAGCTTGAACCCGAAGGATCTGCAACGACTTGACCTCGTGTTACAAAATCTCCTTGCTTCAGGGCGACCGGATTTTTCTAGTCCCGAGCTCTGTTCTGTTTCTCAGTTGTTCCTTATAGTATTCTCAGTACTTCAGTCCCGGGTCTTAGTTACCTGTCCAGTCATACCCACAACCCGGTGAGGAGTAACCGAGTGACCTTGGAAGATGAAGCAGAGATGGAGAACAGATCAACAGTACATCTTTGTCTGACAGTGACTGGCCTCGGCTTGAGATCGGATCGACTCTATATAAAAGTCCCAGGCTCCAGCTATGAAGCTGTAGAGTCCCCTGAACAAAGTTCCACCGAACGGTCTAGTCCTCGGCTTCCAAGACAAGCTTGCTGTTTACGGTGTTAGCCGTGATTACCCGTGATTAGTGGTGATTGTTAGTGGCATTGGCATAAGCATGGACCATCAGTCCATCACTAATGGACTCAATGCCAAATTTCGACTGGCCTTACGGAACTCGGTCGTTCCTGCCCCGAAAGCACCTACTTTCTTTTAGGTTCTCGGCCCTTTCCTTCAATGTTTAATATCACGCAGTAAGTTGCTGGCTTGCTGCCCCGTGCTCGCATCTTCAACTTCATTTTTACTGGAAGCTGCGTTAGCTGCCCATCAGTTGCTCTTTCCACACTCATTTAGCCCACACAATGTCCGAATAAACCACCAAAGGGTTTCCCGTGTTCTTTGTTCTCATCAGCCACGGCCTCGTCACTCCTTAAAAAGACTGCGATCACGCACGTCTCACTCAGTCGTTTCAGATAACACTTGCACTTGCATGTTAGCCATGTCCATGTCTCGAGATCACCCGAGCCGACGGACCTGCATCAAAATGTCCCGTCCTTACCATCCCTACAATCTCCTAATCTTAATTACTATTTTCTGTCTATTACCCACAACATGGGCTCAAGCCCAACCACAGGAGCCCACATCAGCTTTGATTGCACGTCTGATCGACGTGCGATCAACCTGGGACCCGAGTGGATCGATCTTCGCAGAGCGTCGATCACCAGCAACACCTACTACAGAAGAAACAATAACCGTCCGTCGACGAACAATCGTCACAGCGACAACCTCAACCCCCTCAGGCATGCCCAAGCCATTCGACACACTCGCTTACGACTTCGCCGACGCACCAAGCTGTCTCGACTTCTTCAGCAAATGGCGCAGCAACGAAACAATAGCCAACTGCAACGCCATCTCCCTCCTCCTCGAGAACTCAAATGCATTCTTCCACACCCTCAACTCCGCCCCGGCGACATCCCGCATTCTTGATAAATCCTGTTCCGCAGATGTATCGCAATGCGCATCCATCATGACGGATCTCGCAGCGGATTTACTGAAAGCCGAAAACTGCGGCGAAGACTATGGAAAAGATAACTCGGTCGTCAAGGGCACGTACCGCGATCTAGTCGCTTACGAAGCGACGTATCGTGCTACTTGTCTCACCAGCCCGTCAACTAAGGACTATTGCTTCGTCGACGCGGTGTCGAACTCTACCTCACCCGACGACTACACCGTCTACTTCATGCCAATCGGTGTCCCGCTCAGCGAGGGCGCTGCGCCAACTTGTAACAAGTGTCTGAAGGCGACCATGGCGCTGTTCTCGCGCTGGGCAAAACGTGATGGCCAGCCGCTTGCTTCGACGTATGTTCCTTCGGCGAAGATTGTCAATGCGCACTGTGGTGCTGGCTTCGCTGCTACTAATATAACTGTTGGCTCGGAAGACGTTATGGCGGGGGCTGGTCTTACTGCTCCGCTGCCGAGTCTGGGAATTGCGGCAGTTTTGGGACTTGTCCCGTTGATGGGATTGTTTTGATCTACATATTTCTTTGATTTTATAATTGTTCATAGAGGCACCCTTTGTTCTTGTCCATCGTTTGGAATCCGGCTGCCCGAGCTTGGGTATGGCCATGATTCATGTCAGCGAGCGTGCTTTTGGCTTTCTGGTCTGATCGTCCGATCTGTATCTATTTTCAGTGACATTGTCCATATTACTCTGTACGTTATTCACTCTATTTCGTTCTCATGGTTGAGCTCGACTTGATTTGCTTCTACCGTTTCGTTCAGAGTCTAGCATTGCCTGCAAAAGTCGACGCAGAAAGACCCAATCATGAGATCAGTAGAAGCCGGTGCATAGCATCGGCACATCAACAAACATAGGTATGGAATACCTACACGTCTCAGAGGAAGTGGGAATAACAATCCCATACAAATATCCATAGTCAAATAATCACAGGCAAGATAGATGGAATCACATCCGAAATCATGAGTCGAGGTATAGACACAGTTACAGAGTCACGTATGACCGACCCAGCGAGAAACATACAGCAACAAATTAAATACAACGAAACGCTCAAAGACAAAACGAAAATCATATCATCAGCTCCGCCTCTGCATCCCATCCCCCATAGCAACCCCAACAAGACTCTGCGGCTCACCTCCAAAGCTCGCCCCAGGACTCGTCGGAACCGGCGACGCAGGACTCTGTGTCGCAGCATCCCTCTCCCGCTTAACCCGAATATACCCCAACTTCGCAAACCTCCCCACATGCGTCCAGAAATGACGACCAGCCGGATGCGCTGCAATCCGATCTAACAGATCAACCGTCGCTTCGCGTACAACCTGATCCGGATGGAAAAGTCCCATACTCACATAGAACAATCCAGCCTGGTTCTCCGGCGCCACGGTAAGCAACTGACAAATACCCGCGTAATCCTTGACGGCATGCGAGAGGGCGAGGTAAATCGATGCCGCTTCGGCGTGTGATAGTTTCAGAGCACGTAGCCGGTCGTGGTGGTGGTGGATATCTGGTCGTTGGATCGGACGTGCTGGGTAGTACATTGCGGCGATATCCTGGATGTAAGAGTAATAGGAGCGGGTATTTCGCCAGCCCTCGATGCGGGATACGGAGGCTGAGAGTTCGCGCTGTTTGGCGCCTTCGTCGGTCCAGACGTAGCCGTGGCCGCGGAGGGAGGTCGGGTCGGATGCGTCGCTTTGGTGGCCTGTTGGGCTATCCGGGGAGAGTTCTTCGCCGGGGCCGATGATGTATAGGTTTGAGGCGCCGTAGACGGCTTCTTCAAAGGCGGCGGCGACGCGGACGAATTTCGTTATGTAGGCGCGCCATTTGGCGCGGACGGCATTTTCACCGTGGCGTTGGCTGATGCTGCGGAGGATGTCTTCGATGAAGAGGGTGTCACCGGTTGGATCGGAGGATGTGGAGGTGGTGGGTGGGAGGAGGGAGTTTTGCTGTTGGAAGAAGAGGAGGCCTTCGGTTACCGGGGCTGGTTCGACGTGGCTGGAGATCTTGATGCGGCCTGTTGGTAGGTCGCATAAGACGTCCCACCATTCAGGGTGATTGGCGAATGTGGGGTTTGTGACGCCGGCTATGAAACCGGGGACTTGGAGGAGATCGTCGATTTTGGAAAGATCTGTGTAGGGGAAAGCGTGTCGGGTGAAGCCTCGGAGAATGCCGCCTGATGCGAGGGCGCAGGCTGCAAGGACTGCCTCGGCTACTTCTCCTGAAGGCCGGTTGTGGCCTAGGAAGACCACGCGCTTCTGGGTGAGGATGGCGTTGACGAGGACAATGATGGGGTGTGTGAATGGCCCGCTTGTTGTCAGATGGGGATGCGCTGGGAAAGCTTGTGGAGATGTGGCATGAGGCACGGCGAATGTTTGAATAAGCTTGATAAGGGAGAAGTCGCCAACGGTCTCTGGCCAAATCACTGTAGGAATTTTGACCGGAATGGGAATGTCATTGTAGACCACCTTTGACTCGAATTCGTGTGTATCCCGCGGTAGCGCGTATCGGCTCATTTTCTTTGGTGACGGTGGGCATTCGCCATTCTGGGCCTCTTCTTCCTCACGCTGGCGGATCATTTGTTCGAACTTCTCCAGGAACATATCCTTTGTGTTGCTAGATTGCAGGATGTGGCGCTCGAGTATCGACATCTTCGGCATTAACGAAAGATCCATGGCGTTGACAGCGTCATATAGAGTTGCCAGGGTTTCGGGATATGGTGATTTAAAATAATCCTCCAACGCTAGAAGGAGCAAGGGCTAGATACCACAGTCAGAATAGTCCGGATGATAGGGCCGGGGGAGCGTCGTTACTTTGTATATGTGGAGGAATGAATGTCTTGTACAGATGGCCATCGCCTTCACTACTGCACCTCTGTTCACCGTTAGCCCATAGAATGATCCGACAAGTAAAAATTCTGGGCATACCTTCGGACGGTGTTATCCTGCTTCGTATTGACCAAATTCAACACGTACATCAAGGGCGGCCCTTCACCACCCTCGTCATCGCTGCTATCGGGGTCATCGGAGGCCTCGCCGGGGTCATCGTCAGGAAGACCGGCACCCTCCTGATTCCCAATGTATTTTGACTTCCGCTTCTTCTTCTTCCCACCCGCTTCATTCGTCTCATCCTCGCCACTTGTGTCTTTGTGTAGGAAGAACATGGTCCAGTCCTGACTCCGCACATGGGTCTGATCCGGCAGCATCAGCTCCGCAAGCATGCTCTCGTCACCGCTGATTGCAGCGGGGTATTGGTGTTCCATGATTGGCCCCCGGTCAATATGGAAGGACGCAACCAGAATGTATTCCACATGGCGTTCCGGCGAGTCGAGGGGGTATTGCGCCTTGCAGCGGCGGGGTTTGAAGCTCGAGGCTGCATTCTCTGTGGATGTGCGTCTATAAGATCCGTGTGAGCTGCTGGGCGAGCGTCCAATGAAGGAGGCCGCAGGCGAGAGCCGAGGGAGACCACTAGTTTGGCGGTTATTCGAGGCGGAGAGGGAGTCGTTTGACGGTCGATATGGTAGTGTTGTTGCCATCTTTTCGGGAGGGATTAGGTTGGAACAATTGCGCTGGGCAAGGCTATGAGTTGACCTGCATACCTGGGCAAGCGGGCATGAAAAAACACAGTGTTAAGAGCCAATGATAACAATAAATTGAATCAATCGAGCAGGCCTAATTGTTCAGGGGTTAAGAGGGGTGTTAAGAAAAAGGACGATTTCTCCACAGTGGAGAGCCGATAAGGCGATAAGGCGATCCATGGAACTTTGGGCATCGAAACCTTGAAAAAGGAGATTGTGATGTATCAGTTTGTCTCCTTGCGATCTTGCATACGGAGATGGATCTCTTTTTGCAGCATCAGAATCTTAGAATCTATGTATCCAATTTCACCGACATCCACTCGCCGATGTACTGTGTAGTCTGGAGGATATTGAGGGTCCAGAATGTTTCCATGATCCATCCGAATATAGGCACTGGTAGATCTAGCAGCTCTTTTGGTAGATCCAAACCAGGAATCCAGAATATCTGCTATATCACTCTTGTAGGGATTAACCCTATACCCTAACAACCACCTACTCCTCCTCAGAACAAGCAAAAGACGACCCCACGATGTAGGATGAAGAAGAAACTTGTACTCCGTACATATTTGTCTGATGTGCCTGACGGGTACAAGGCGGTGGGAAGTGGCAGAACCATCTCGCTCTGGCGGGCCCGCGGGCCGCTTGTTTACATCGATAAGCAAAGCGTCATAGGCTGTTTACTATTGACACTTTCAGTCAACACCCCTTCCTCACTATGGTAGGAGTGGCTCTTGAGCTATATAACTGCTCATTTACGCTAACATGCAATGACTCAGGCCAACAACCCCACATTCAAACCGTCGCCGTTATCCTTCGGGTCGCCGAGGGCGTCTCCCTTCCGGCGACCGTCCACTCCCAACTCCCCGCCCTCAGCGACTCGCACAGGAGGCACGCCGGGGAGCTCGCCCAGTCGGGCTTATACCCCTATGGTATCGCCCAGCAAGCTCAATCAAACATACACAGTAGAAGATGGTGAATCACGTTCTCCAAAGAGCGAGCGGGAGCGGCCAATTCCGCAACCGGTCTTTAGCAGAGAGCTTTCTCCCTCGCCAACGAAAGGAGCGCGGTCGCCAAACAACACTTCACCAGCTTTGACGAACAGGACTGTTGGCTTTACTGGCGCAGCTAGCGATGCTGCTGGAAAGCTGCCGGCGCACCAAGTGAGGGAGATCAGAGAAGCTTTCCAGGTTCTCGATCGCGACAATGACGGACTGGTGAACAAGGATGATGTGATTGATGTGCTGACAACTCTGGGTATGTATGGAAGATATCTCTGCAAATTGACATGGAATACTAACCTAATCTTTCTCAATAGGCCAGGATTCTTCCCCATCTACGATCTCGCGCTTTTTCCCACCCGGAGCAGGCCAGACGATGAACTTCCCAACGTTCTTGAATACACTCTCCGAGCTTATGGCATCAATGTCGCCCTCCCAAGAGCTTCTCAATGCCCTTGCCGCTTTTGACGACGATGACAACGGGCAAATTGACGTGGCTGAACTACGTGATGCTCTACTCCACACTGTCCCAGAAGATGGAGGGAAACCCTTGACTGAGAAACAGATCGATGAAGTATTCAGTGGATTCACAGGGCGCCCAGCATTTGTTGGTCGAGGAGCAAAGTCAGGCGGTTTAGGCAAGAGAGGCGAGGTTTTCCAGTATCATGACTTTGTACGCAGTATTGTGGGTGGGGAGAATGGAAATAATGCGAAACGAGAGGGGGATGTAGCACATGTATGAATTGCGCTCATGGCTTTGGGCTCCAATTGAATTGGCGTTATGGGTGGCATATCTGATAACCTTTTGGCAGCACGCAGATTTCAATGCTGTAGGTAGGAGCAAAGTCGAACTATACACACCTTGTCATGGGAGATGAGATATAAGTGGCTATCAGACTAGCCAATATTCCTGGTATTAGCAACATCTTAACTAAGTCGTTCGATGTAGTGATGTTGGAAGTATGGCGTAGGAGGCTGCGCTCGGAGTGAACGGCTTCCGCATTTCATCGGCAGAAAAGCTCCAGCCACCGCGATCCGATACACTTCATTCCTGAACTGCCGCACGTCTTCTTCCATCTACCAAGGATGTCTGTCTGTGGCCCTCCAAGGCAGACTTGATTGCAGAAAATGGCCAAACCCCAGCCCTCCTGGGCCCTCGGGGCCTCGGAGCAAGACGCACCCGCGTCACCGCGAACCATGCGAACACTTCGAAAGATCCAATCCCACCAAGTGCTGTCGACTTCGAGCGCACTTATCGCACAGACCCAGAGCACCCGTCAAGTGGGCTCCAGTGGAGCTGGTTCTGAACCAGCGGCAAATCCTGGTGCTACAACACGAACCCGCGGACATCGTCGCGCTCGATCGAACAGCGATGCGGCTGCTCGAGAAGCCGCGGCAACACAACCTGCGACCCAGAGACGCCCTGCACGGAAAACAGGGTCGGGGATTGGGGTCAAAAGATCGCTTCTCGACGTTCTCTTGCGAGATGGGCCACAGAGTGCGAACCTCCACGAGGGACTCCGGGAGCTGAAATACCTCGTCTTATCCAGCAGAGTGGACGCAGATGGAGATGGCATGGTGAGAAGATTCGAGATTTGCTTTGAGACTGGGTAGTTAACCAATTATGACAGTCACCTTACCGTATCTACCTCTGGTTAATTCTTCTTGACGTTCCCGCGATGCCCACCGATGACTACCTTGCTCTTATCCACCGCGGCCGTTCTCCCGCCTATGCCAAAATCCGCAACGACACCTTCCGCACACTAGCTACAGACCCTCTCTTCAAACGTCGCGTCACTGAGGCAAGCTTAATCCGACTGCTCAATGCTGTGGCGTGGAAGCTTCACGACTCAAGGCCAAAACCACGATCTCGACCAACGTCATCTCGGCGCCGTGAGATGGAGCTGCTAGTGAATACACCACCCAGCATTATTGAGGAGTCCACTTTCGGTGGGGAGTTGGATAAGGTTAATAATGTCACTACAGCTGATTCACCCATGTACGTCCAGGGAATGAACGTCTTGTGTGCGCCATTCCTCTATGCTGCCCGGAGCGAGGTGGAAGCCTTTGCTCTGTTTCACTACTTTGTCACCCGCGAATGTCCAGGGTATATCCGTGGTGCCATGGATGGAGTCCACAAGGGCCTCCGTTTGGTCGACCGTTGCCTTGAGATTGTGGAGCCCAAGCTTGCAGCATATTTGTTCTCGAAGGGCATGCACGCTGAACTCTATGCCTTCCCGTCTGTATTGACACTGTGCGCTTGCACTCCTCCGTTGCCTGAGGTGTTGCATCTGTGGGACTTCCTATTTGCATATGGGCCACACCTAAACATTCTGTGCATTGTTGCCCAGTTGATCCGTATGCGGGACCAAATCTTTGAGAGTCCGAGGTAAGTCCAAGTCCTTTCGGATGTTGTCAACCAAAGCTGACTTGCGCTCAGCCCGAACAAAATCCTCCGCTCCTTCCCTCCCCTTGATGCAAAGGAAATCATTGCATTGACAGTTCTCTTGGTCCGGAAGATTCCCGAGGACCTTTATGCGGAGATGATCAACCATGCCAAATAGACATGGCTTGAGGTCTTTGATAGGTAATGACTAAAAGAGAAATTGGTGGCATACCACCTGGGCGTTAAACGGAGGTAATGATATGATTGCTTGCACCGAATGATAATGGTCACTGGATTACATGGGACTTGCCTTGACGAACAAGATACACGCTTGTCTGAATGAATTGATGATTGTACACAAATGTTTGATAGCTTTATGAAATGCACTTGAGTTGAGTCTCTGCCTTTCTTATTCTTTCGGAACATGCACATACATGTGCTGCCAACTGGTGAATGGGAGAAACCCCAACTTCCTCCGAAAGCACTCGCTACGCTTGCACTACCTCATAACACATTCTTCTAACAACAGGGATAGGCCGGCCAGGAGCTTGGTGCAGAGGAGTTTACGTGGGATATGAGATGAGAGGAGGAGTTAGGAATTGCGGTTCCAACAGATTAATAGAGTTTTTGATTGCTTGTTCTCACTCCAGTTCAAGCAACCTGCAAGGCGCATATCCATTGTTTGCTCTCCAATATAAGTATAGTCCTACCTGTACTTTACAACGAACCTATGCCTTACTCACCATATGTCCTCATCAATCATCCACACATCAAGTCAAAATCCAATGTTATCAACTTCAGCGGCATTTATTGTCCTCCTATCCGCTCTTCTAGGTTGGATATGGGGCAACAGACAGCGAAACCGCCACAGGAGGAGGATATCCAAAGACCCAGCGATATGTCACCAAATCATTGCCGGTAAAGCACAAAATCACGAACACCCAAACACCCTCTCGCCACACGAAGCGAGAGGCATCCCAAATGCGCATATCCGCATCGCCTTCGGAATCGACAACGCCTTCACCCGCACTGACCGTATCCAGGCCAGCAAATTCGTCAATAAAATCAAGCCCTTGATTAACCTCTCACCACAGGACTGGATTGGCGTATCCCAATTCGCCATAGCGACAACGAACCACTGGATCAACCATGGCTTCGACAGTTTTCACCAAGATAACCGCAGTGGCAGAATCCGCCTCAACATCACAAGTCTCGCGCAAATACTTTCCCTGAAAGTAATGCTATGGCTGATGTTCAACCTCAAGGACCAACGCCACATACAAGATGAAAGTCTCCTAAACCTAGCACAATCCATTAACCGAGTCTGGATATCCTCCAAGCTCAGCAGTGCAAACAACATATGCAGATTCGAAGATGACAAAAATCTCCAAACGTCTTTATTTGATATCTTCGGAAAGCACGATACACCCGAAGACAACCCGCTGAACCTGATACTACCTTCCTTCGAAACGACATGGCGCGTCGTCCTCCGCGCCTTCCTGGAACTCAGATTCGCGACTGGGACAAAGAATCCGCTATGGCGGGAGACGATGATCGCGTTTGCGCAACAGCCTAGCAAAGAGATGTTTGAACGCAGGTTGGCCTCCAGCATATCCAAGTCCGATTCGGAGTCACACCGGAAAACCGACCCAAATGAGCTCGTCGGTGCAGTTAGTGCCGAGGATATTGTCTGCGAAGCACTTAGACTGTATGTACCCACGAGGAGAGTCCGTAGGGCGTACCGGTCGTCGGGAATGGAGGTGTATGAGATTAGATCTGCTGATATTGAGGGGTGTCATCTGAGATCTGATATCTGGGGTTCTAAGGCAGAGGAATTTGATCCGAGGCGTTGGTGTTCATCGACGGCTGGGCAGAGAGCCTGTTATATGCCGTTTGGGCGTGCGCCTTTTGAATGTCCTGCTAAGCCGAATTTCGGGCCGAGGATGATTGGTGTTTTGGTTGGGTCTTTGTTGGGTGGTCTAGAGGGAGATGGGCTGGGGGATTGGAGTTTGGAGTGTGATGATATGGATGTGGTGGAGCGGATTGGGGGTGGGGGGAGGTTGTGTCCGCATAGGAATGCTTATGCGAAGGTTTTCTTGGTGCAGACTGCTTCTGGAGGGCTGTGAGATGGGAATATGGATGGAGTTCGTATTGGGGTTTCATCTTAGGTGAAAGGAAATCAAATCTGGCTTAGATTAGAGATAATTGGACGCTACCTATTGACATGGCCAAACGAGAAAGCAGCAAAGAATGAGCAGAAGGTATATGTACAACATAGCTTCGACACCATAGAATGCATCTGAACATGGAAGAGGTTGAATATTGGATGCATCTTGATATGGAACGAAATTATTCCCCGACATTGCCCGATGAATATCGCCATCCTCACGTTGAAGAAGTGATTGAGAGATTCTCCACAGACTTATTCAACCCAGACCCATCTATCACCAGCGGCTTAGAAGTATCAATAGCTCTGACCCGAGCAGTCATCTCATCGGCCCATGACCGATACACTCCCCTCTTGACCGGATCCACCACTGCGCCAAAGCCCTCATGTACTAGACCCGCGGCTGGCATTCCATCGATATCCGCATCTTGCATTGCGTGCGAAATAAGGTCAATCTTTACCCTAATCCGCGAGCCCAGGAACGTCAGGTTGTTGAATAGGATCAAGGCGCGCTGTGCGTCCTCGGCACTTTGCATAGTAGCCAAACCGCGGATGTGGCCGCTTTTCGTTGAATCCGTCGTCACTATGTTGCAGTGCTCGACAGTGCCCGCTGTTCGCAGAAGGTCTGTTAGGTCGGCACATGTAGTAGCCGGGTTCAAGTTCTCAAGCGTTAGGGTTCGCCGCTCGGGGTAAAAAGCCAGAGAGTGGGGATCTGGGCCTTTGAATCGGCACTTGTCCAGGTAAGAGCGCTGGTGGTTGGGCGCTGGTTGGTCTCCGTTTAGCGAGTGCATGGAGTGCGAGGGGTTCATCGGGTAGCCTGGCAACATGTTCCAATGCTGTTCGTAGGATGGGACGTTCATTACTGGGGATGGCGGGAAGCACTGAATAGACGGTGCGAGTGGGTCTGGCATCATGGGTATGAATGAGCGGGGTGGCATTGGCATGGGGGCCATCATTGGGCCATAATCTGGGAATGAGAATGGAGGTGTGGCGGGATGAGCAGATCTGGGGAGCGAGATTAGCTTGTCCAGGCGTGACGACGACTTGACTTACTCTGGGGAGACGGGTGACGGGGGCAGTGCCATACTGCCATGTCCTGATGGAGGCGTGGAGTATCCGGAGACGTAGCCAGACTGTATCATGGCTGGTGGACTTCTGGTAGGCCCGGCAATGGGCTTGGTGGGTGTGCTGGTTCGCGAAAGTGTGACGACCAGGCTTTGGCCGTCCCATCCATTAGTTGAAAGTCGATCTGTGATTTCGCGTAAGATAGAGGATAATTGAATGGGAGTTATCGATACATACGATACGTTCGCCAGGCCTCGTCTTCATTCTTGACTATGATTTGACCAAGTCCGGTGGGAAAGCCATGGCTATCATCGTACACTACTGCCTGGCGGATGTGCAGTGCAGTTTGGCGCACAAGATCCTTGAGTTCTTGCCAGCGGCAGTGAGGTGGAATCTGAGGTTTCCGTCAGCCTCTGCAGCCCATCGAAGTATCAACTCAACATCGAACTCACGCCCTGAAGAAACACGACAAATTCGTCCTCCGACCTGCGTGATCTGAGACGAGGCTTCTCACTACCAAGAAAAGGCATGGCTGCAAATATCTCGAGTGATGCGCCTCGATATTGTAGTGCCAAAAGCGTGCTAGCTCAAGATTGCGGACGTAGAATGGAGGAAAGACGTCGATGCAAATATCCCGGCCCGTCGGCGTTGTCAAACAGTCGGGGCTCGACTTGTCTAACCAGATGTTCGGTCGAGTCCACAACTTAGGCAATAGGTTGTACTCTCTGTCAGCAGGTCTGTGTTAGTTCAGGGTATATAAGTATGGTGATACCTTGGAGTTGCCTCTGGACCAGGGCAGTAGGTAACAACATCACAAAGTATCGAGCTGCAATCCTTGGGGAATTGAATCACACATACCGGCTTACCTTGCTTTTTGAATTTCTTAATTTGAAATGAATGCAACCCAACAAATTGATCCGACCGACACACTGCACAGAGAGAAAGAGATAAACCCCTCCACAAGCTGGACGAGCGACAAGCAGATTATAAAGGCCCAACAAAAACCTGGTCGGAACGCGTCGAGGTTTCACAAGAAGATGGTGATCTGATGTAGCCAATTAATATCTGAGCAATGATCCACGATGGTCATATTTCATGGCTTGCAAGTAGACAGCATGGGACCCAGAATACTGCACCATCTAGACGAATGGCGACGCCAAATGTGAAGCAGCAGCCAGTCATATCGAAGGACTGCACTTTGTGGGTTTCTCTTTGCTGCTGAGATATGTCATTTTCATCATGCTGGACTCAGCTCAGCCAAATGCCATCGAGCGGCTTTTCCGTCCCACCCCGAGATAGCTCCATTTTGAGAAGACTGTATGTGTAATAATCTCCCTATGCTTCCAGTAGGAGATATCAAATCTTTATCAAGTAGTATAGCCAGTGCACAGGCGGACCAGAAGCAAATCCCTCGAGAAATGCACTTGAATCGCGTTACACCGCTAGATCCGCATCGGTGATGCAGAGTGGCCATGCGTGGGGGTCTGTATTCATCACATTGGCTTGTCTCTTTGTTTTATTGTCAGATCGGACTAGAGAAACCCTTTAGAAAAAAGCAAAGATGGCAAATGGAAACCATTAAAGAAAGGAAGCCAGAAAAACAAAGGAAAACAAAGGACAAATCCGATCTGAAGGGAAAGATCGTCGATCAAAGCGGGGCCAGGGGATCCGCCAAGTGACCAGTCATACTGAAGAGAGAAGCACATATATTGGTTTCGTTTGTTTTTCGGGGCTATCAACTACATCAAAACTATTGAGCCCATGCGTATCTAGCTGAGCACCTGCAGAGAATATGAACTGAAGCACTTCCAAGTAGCTCTACGACCCATGTTTACTCTTACTCTGATATGTAGCTGTATGAAGTCGGCTTTTCCGTCTCTCGGCTACCATCGGCACTACTACTATACAGACTAATACCAAGTTCTACATGACAGCCTACAGAATCTGAGGAGTTAGAAAGAAGAAGGGAGCCGGGGTGGGAGATCGAAGTTTGCCGCGTCTGAGACCTGGGCGAGAAAGAAGAGATGGCGAAGTCACGCGGACAGATAAGCCCTATCGAGATCAATTTGGAATCTCTAGTTACGTGAACTCCTATTATTAATGATTATGACCTGGCTATAACTAGCATTCTGTACAGCACTGAGGTCACTAATTTCTTCGCCTTATCCATCGATGTCGGAATCCTTCGGCCGTCTGCGCGGCAAACGTTGACAACGACGATGTACCGCTTCTCATGATCGCAGGTCGCAAGACAGGGAAGCGGATAAGCCGAACAAATATTGCAATAGCCTCCATCACAAACGTTTCACCTGCCAAAATCCGTCTTGGGGATCATTAGCCCAGGGTGTGTCAAATATAGACGGGGGAACTTGCGGAGGCAAGCGGTCCCTTTTTGCCTGCTTGTCTGCAATCATCCAAGGATCATCGTTTTCCAATCGTAGACTCTGAATCGTGATGCATTTGGATAAAGTTCGTAGCCAATCAACGATATGGCCTAAAAGATCATACTGGGTTTGAGCACGTTCGACAAAGTCGCTGCACCACTCCTCTCGAGCCCCTTCTTTCTCGCAGCCGAATACTGAGACGAATTGTGAGGTACCGGTTTGCTCGCTCTGATCAGACGAAGAACGATTATGATTGTCAATGGGCCTCTCCTGGCTTAGCCATCCTTGGCTCAGTGCTTTTATGGCAGACCAAGGACTGTGGATTGATTGTATTTGTTGTTGTTGATGGGTAGTCCTGATAAATCGAGAATCAGCATGCTAGTCGCTAGGTTCCTCGCAGATGCAGATTCGGCAATCAAATGACATGGAACATACCTCTTGAAAAGCGAAAAGGCATATTCAAAGGACCGTTGGTCCAATTCATTCTCCGAGACATGAAAAACAGTGATGTCTATATCTCGACAAAGACCCATGAAGATTGGAATTGGACCAACGATTCTTCGATGAGATAAGTCATGTACAGCATCTCCACACCTGTCTGAGAATTCCTCAATGAATTGTTGGAATTGTGTTTGAGTCTCTGGCTCCTGGCGCTTGGCAGCTTCGAGCTCTTAAATGACAGGCGCGTTATTACCAGTCAAGTCATAGCCAATCACAGAAGCGTCACGTACCAATGAATAATGAAATTCGGTCACTACCCCCTCTATTCTCCTGCTCTTTGCCCCAGAAGAGGTGTGGACAATCGCCCATTCTCCACAACTTTCTCCGGAGATCCTCAAATAAGCCGGCTACCCGTGAGTCTTCAAGCTGGGCGCGAAAAGAGATCCAATCCATATCGGGATTCGTGGGGTAGCCTTGCCATTGGGACAAATGATGTTGAGAAAGTGTTCCCATAGGACACCAACCACCAGCGGGTCCGCCGGCTATGCGCTGAGGAGGAGTTTGTCTGGCTTGCCGCATAGATTCCATATGGAGCTGGTCCTTGTTTTCCGAAAACGTCAAATCATTCACGTTGTATTCAGGCTTAACGGGTGTCCGAAAAACGGGGTGATTTGTTTCAAACTGCATAGCGATTGGAGTTGGAAAAGCATCAAATTGTTGTGGTGTAGCAGATTCGAGAGACACTTTCTTGAGGTGGTTTGTGCACGCCGACACCACACCTGTTGCATCTTTCACAAGGTCTGCAATGTGGTGCCCGAGATTGTGGAAATTTGCTTGTCGAAGTCGACCCTGATCACCCACCTCGGTGTTGGATCTCCAGAAAAGCAACCCGATGAAAAATTGATCTTCAGAGGGGTAATCTGGTTCAAGCCATTCTCCGCAGCAATGTATCAACTCGGGCTCCGTGGTAACATTGCTGGGGTATAGAGAGATTGTTGTCTCCCATTTGGATCTGAAGCCTGATTTCTGATCAATCTGAGCTGTAGACTGTGTATCAGAGAACTGGAACGAGACTATCTCGAGGACACTGTCAAAGTTGAAGAGATTGACAGGTAGAGTAATCTGGATACACCGGTTGGAGATATTTTGTATATAACCCAGCATCATGGAAAAGCCCAAGGACGACTGGAATATTTTCCAGCCATGACCGCTATCCCACTGGATTAGAATGATCACTTGTTGATCTTCCGAAGCAGTATCGACTGGGGCCCAATACAGCTGTTGAAAGCCGGGGATTGTCGAGACAACATTCCAAGATTTTTGCCATAGTATAGATGCTAGCTGCGATGACTCTGAGATGTTGACTCCGGCGTGGAAGGTGAAGTGAATAATACTAAGGACCGGAATAGCTGGCAACTGGTCCGCTTCTTTTGAATCATAAGCAATATTGCTCAGACAAGGTCTGCTGTCCACGTGCCCGGTCAGCATGTCGGACTGATGATATTAAACTCGAGCTGATGATGTGAAGTGAGAAGAGAATTGGGTTGGGGTAGAGCTGTTATTGTTAATCCCATCCCGAAACCGATCTCGTCGAAGTTGTAATGTCCTCGGTGTCAATTCCAAAATCCAAATTGAAGCTGTTTTCGAAGAAGATTGAACCATTCCCCGATGATTTTCGAGTCTTCGCGTTTCGCACGCTCATAATTATCGTCTTGAGAATCGGGAGGTGGGGAGAGGACGCCATCCAGCCAATGAGATTGGTTTTTCGGTGCTACCCCACACGAGACGGATGAGACGGGCCGATCCCGTGCAACCCATGTCATACTTCCGTTTCCCGTTGTACTGTGAGTCTGGGACATTTGATGACATGGGTATTCCAGTTGAAGGGATACTTTTACAGCTATACGTAATATACGATATTGATTAAGTCGGAATACTTAGTGACGTGCTCGATTTTACTTAATGATCCAAAAGGGGCAAAAGGGGAACCCTACTCCGTACATCGGTACATGTAATGCGGAAAGGATCTCGGGTGCCATCCCGGCCCATACATTATCCGGTCCACAGGTGTAAATGGGTGATAAGGGACAAAGAGAGCCGATATCAAGATCATAAGTACAAAAGACCTAATCTATATTATTAATACGCCTGATAACGTTACTTCTGGAGGAAGAAGTGGTCCAAGTGGAAGCAAAAGAGGGAAAGGTTCTCATCTTCACCTTGGTATAGTTATCTGACCAAGCCCATAGCAAAGCACAGCCGAAGTGTCACGCTCTAGGAGATCATATAACTACCTGATCTAACTTTACACGTACTACATAACTACGAGCAATCGATAGTAGAACTCATACTTCCCAGCGCTATTGGAAACACCTTCGCTCTAGCGAATATGGCTATCTGCCGTAGGTACGAGTAGGTATAGCAGGCTTCAGGCATTGATATACCTAGTAGCGGGACCAATCTCCCCAGATTACCCATGATTATGGACATCACGGCTTCACTTCATCTTGGACTCCGAGGTCAGGGGCTTTCCCGCGGGGCAGGACTCGGATACAGTGCTAGCTTAGTGGCCTTAGCCCTAAAAGATAACTCTCCATCGTTGGGCTTGTTAGACGCTGTCTTTCGATCTCGGAACTAGAACATGTTGAACCCCGTTAGCGTGCTCAACTAACTGCAGCCCGTGCTTAAATGACTAGCTCCGATGTGGCCATAGTGGCCCGGTAGTGGAGAAATGATCTCCGTGGTAGATGAATTTAGTGGACTGCTGACTGACTACTAAATTCATGAATCAGCACACTATTTGCAACCCGAACTTGACAGACCCGATCATATGATCTATATGCTCAATCTAGTCGAGATTGTAATAGAAACCACGTTTTGCCCTCCACGTTCTCCAAATCTGCCACCCCCGCATTGGCTTATCACCTCCGCTCGCCTGGAATTTCCCTATCTTCTGCCAATTCGCTTTCCCCTTATTTCTCTTATTTCTCTTATTATTCTCGTTTTTGTTCAACATCTTCTTTCCATTCCCTTCTAATCCGTGTGAATGGGTTTCATCATCGACTTGGTATGGAAACCATCAAAATCTCATCGTCGACTATTCTAGATCATGATAACTCGGCACCAGCCCGGGGAGATCATCGGACGGGACAAAAGCCGAGGCAGACAAAGAGTCGAAATGGTAGGTTCTTTGTTGAGATTTCGAGCCCATTCTGTTGACAAGAATGAATGAATGAATACATCATCTCGTCATATTGTCCATAGAATTAACCCGACTCTCCCCATAGGTTGCATCACCTGCAAGACAAAGCGGTTGAAGTGCGATGAAATCAAACCATCATGTCGGCAATGTGAGAGACGCAAGGTCCAATGCGGGGGGTACAGAAAAGACTTCAAATGGCGGCCATTCGGGGAGACCAAAGGCAAGAAAGGTAGGTCCTGATTTCTGATATTATAGCTAGCGTAGGGGTTGTTCTGAGATACTGACACATTCTCGATAGCTAACTCTCCCTCCAATCAGCCCCCATGTATCGTCGATGTTGGTATCCCAAGTCCTCCAACGACGGAAAAGCCGGCATCTCCAATTCGTATAAAGTCATATAATCCTCGTGGCTTCCATACGCCCCCGTGTTCTCCGCTACATAGTCCACCCATCAGCATTGACAGTTTCTTGTCTACTGATCACCACACCGTTGACGATCTGTTCATGGTGCAAGAGGATGTCTCCATGACTAATTGCAATACGTCTCCCTTCAATGTTGATGTGTCACTGTCGGCCGAGTCCCCGCGTTACGACTTTCTGCCTTATTTTGAACCCTTCCAAGGTTCTCCGTCGCTTGCCGAGTCGTTGGTATCAGATGCTGATGTATTTCCGGGGTCAAATATTCCTTTCATTTCAGAACAGCCAGCGGAACCCAGCTTCTCCCAGCTTTTGGAGGATGAGAATGATAATATTGAAGAAATCATTCGGCAGTCAGATCCAGGACTTGGACCGTGGAACTTGAGCTTGCCTGATGAAGATGTTTTCGCTTTCGACACTCTGAGGATCCCGAGCCGCCCACCTCTGCCAATGGACAGTTCGGAAATGCTCGTGCTCCGGTTTGACAAATTGACGTGCGGTATCCTGTCTGTGAAAGACGGTGCATTAGAGAACCCCTGGCGGACCCTGATCTGGCCATTAGCAAAGGACGCACCCGCACTTCGCCATTCCATTTTTGCTCTCGCGGCCTTCCACGCGGGCAAGCAAAATCCTCATCTTCGTGCGCAGGGAGTCAAGCATATGCGCCAGAGCATGAACTGTCTAGCCCGACAGGCTCAGAATATGAGACCTGATGCTGCCTTGGCTACCAGCCTGGCGTTGGCATTTGCAGACACATGGGATCAACACACCCGAACGTGTATTCAGCACCTAAGAGGCGCAAAAGCATTGATGAGCCAGGTCATTGCAGCTGGAATGCAACAGAGCATCAGGGACGACGAGCTCGATCGCATCCGATTTTTGTACAACACATGGTCTTACATGGATGTCATTTCCCGATTGACTTCTTTGGAGGAATGTGGACCGCAAAGCTGGGATTCTTCAGTCTTTGAGCTTCCTGGTGATGCGGTTCATGATATCGATCCATTGATGGGTTGTGCAACTACCCTGTACCCCCTAATGAGCCAGGTAGCGACGCTCATCCAGCATGTGCGAAAAACACCATCGAACACAGTATCGGTTGTGGCTCAGGCTATGGAGCTGAAGGATCGTCTGGAGCAATGGAATCCACCACGCTGGTTTGAGCCACCTGATGATCCTCATTCAGAGGTTCAACATAGTATCCAAGTGGCACATGCATATCGCTGGGCTACGTTGCTGTATCTGCACCAAGCTGTCCCAGAGATTCCTTCCGAGCCGGCTGATGAATTAGCCAAGAGAGTCTTGATACTCCTTGCTACTGTTCCCTACACCTCCCGAACTACTATCATCCAGATGTTCCCTCTTTTGGCTGCTGGGGCTGAGGTTGATACCGATGATGATCGAAAATGGGTTTTGGGCCGATGGTCCACAATTCAGTCTCGGCTGATGCTAGGTGGCGTCGACCGCTGCTTGGAGGTTTTGAAAGAGGTCTGGAAACGCCGTGATGCAATGAATTCTAAAAGAGGGAGCCAACTCGCAGGGTCGCTACGGACTAGTTCTGTCTCGGCTTACGACAAAGAGACCACTGGTTTTGACAATAATTACAGTGTGCACGGTTTCCAGGACCCGACAAAAGGTATATCGGGCCGAAATGCGTCGAGATCTGCCCGAAGGGGTTCGGCTCTTGCCTCACTTGACAATATCGAACATGAGAGAACTGTGCGTGGCAAGTCACATTGGGTGAATGTCATGGCTGACTGGGGATGGGAAGGTCAGTTTGTCCTCTGCCAAACGCATTCATCATTCTAGAATACTGACTCGACCTGCTTGACAGTCTTTCTCGGATAGTCGAAGACAATAGCCACTTCGGTGACCTAACCCTGGCCGAGCGCAAAGTACCAACTGTTCTTCGCAGCCCGGCGTGTCATACTAGCCTTACGACTGATGGATCAAACGATTTTAATTTAATTTTCCCCTTGTTGTTTATGTTATACCCTACCTTTTATGGCTCCAAGTGCCACCATCTTCAAATTGTACCCTAAATCTGATCAGTGTTATGTTGAAGTTCACGTTGAGGTCTTCAAGTGAAGACCACTTCCAGGAGGCTAATCAATATCTTTCCATGAGTATGATCGGTGATCTGCAACCTGATTAAAACATACATGGAGGCTTCACACTTGCAGTCAGTCACGGTCATGGTTGTTACTTGTTATGTCTTGGACAACTTCTTCATGACCAGGACATACTCGACCTACCAGACACTTTCCATGATCCAATTTTTACATTTCTGTAGCTGGTGCTCCCGAGATTGGGAAACCTCCTTCTACCAACGACGTAGTTCACAATGGCCGTAGCGAGTTTTCTTCGGGATGTCTGTCATGTCTGTCATGTCTGTCATTTGGCAGTTTGGTTGGGCATATCGTTTGCAATCCTCAGTCTTATAGTTCCATTTATTCAATATGTCAATGCGATGTGTCCCAGTTCTTGTTGTTTGATGGTGTTAACGTCCCATGCCAAGACATTGGGAAGGACTAACCGCGATAGGTAAAAATATCCCTAAGATGGTCCATGGTTCATGAGATAAAGTACACAGTGAGCACCTCTCATGGTTGGAGATCGGTCCTTCGCTCCTCATGGGGACAGCATCTTCCCCCCACTCCGACTTCGGGACTCTTTCTCCTCACGATTCCCCTCATCACTGGTTCACCCCTCCTCATTCTTCTGATCTCCTATCAATATCTCTGCGGGGCTGCCTAGTCCGGACATCAAATCCGTTACTCACTGGATATCCCACTGGATATCCGATCTCCTAGGCCAAGTCTCATGGAAGATTGCCCTCTGAAGCGCATTTTCGTGCGATGGCAGATTACCGCCACGCCATATATAAAAGGACCGATATCCTGCGACTGAGCATAGCTAGATAATTGATTCATTGCTGTTCTCCAAGTCCGTACATTGCTCCAAGTAACTCACCTTCATACCTCCACCATGCCGTTTACCTACCTCGCCCAGGCGCAATCCACCTACAAGCCGCCTCTTATCGCCAACGAGAACGCCTTCTTGGGCGATGTTGCCACCAGGTACGACCAGGATCAGTTGGAAAGTCAGTTATTGCTGAGCAGTTTGCTGACTGACATTGGATACTTTTAGCGAGAAGGAAAACCCCAACGCACCCATGTCTGCTGGCTTCTACCGATTGGAGAAAGGCACACCCCTCGTTTACACATACACCTATGACGAGATGAAGATTATCCTCGAGGGCTCATTTGGCATTACCGATGAGACGGGCGCGACGGTCACGGCGACTAAGGGTGATGTCTTTTACTTCCCGGCTGGAACCACGATCACCTTCACGACGGAAGATTATGGATTGGCATTCTTCGTGGGTACCTCCTCAGAATATGGTTCAAGGGTGAAACTAACGAAATCAACCAGACCGGCCAGCGGAAGCAGGGTGGTGCTTGAATAATATAGCGATTATTATCATCTAGAGGGGGTAATAACTGCATTATTTAGGAATGAATCGTATTTTAAGCTTCAATTCTGACATTTCTCGTCCCCTGATTTTGCTCGAGCGTTCCTTGGTTGACTGGTTAGTGGTTGTTGTTTCCGGTTTTGCCAATTATCGGGGTCCCCGTGCCTAGATCCATGGAACCGTCGACCCTGTCAGATTGACCATTCCCAATCTGGTAGTTTGCTTATATCCCTTGCAATAGCCTCAAACCCAATAATGAATGTGGGAACACCTTTCAGCCCCTATGTTGTACTCCTTTTTCCAGCTGTCAATGCGCCAGTGCTTCGGGGAGACGCACAACATTCAATTGGTCTCGACTGGGGATCGGGAAAAGTCAAAAATCCATATATGCCGAGTCCATCGACCAGTGATTGTTTCAGCTTGGTCCCATACGATGAAGACTAAGGCCGACCCCAGCTGAAAGGGACCCCATCGATAAAGTAGGCGCAAGTCATAATAGTGGACATGACGTACAGCTCCGATAAATTCATGGGTCTCAGGCCGGGTGTTGCATAGCCCGTATGACGTGGGGCAAGTTGCTACAGCAACTCCGCGAGGAAGGGGGAAAGTTGATCGGGGAACAGATGGGGGTGGATTTTAGAAAATGAGAATCAAGATCATATTCGATCTCGGTGGAGAGTGATCGACTTGAAATAATAAACATAAATCTTAAGGCTTTTCTTCTCTAAGAGGCTGAGGCCAGTTGATCTTGGATCTTTTTTTCTTTTCTTTTTTTTTTTTTCTTTTTCCTTTCGTTGAAGGTTCTTTCTTACCTTGTTCAGGCACTAAAACATTCACTCCCAACACACTTTGCCTTTATTCTTTTAGGCAGTTGTTAGTGCCGACTAGTCTTCCGGCCTTATCATTAGGGGCTCGAATCCAAACCCCTCTATCGCTCCTCCAACTCACTCATCATGGCGATTCTTTCAGAGGACCACGGTCTTCGACTCCCCAATCCGCCACCACTGTTACATACTCGTGGTCAATTCGATCGTCCCTCTACTCCCGCCGATGGCTTCACCAGTCCCCCACAGACCCCTCAGGGTAGCCCCAGCAAGTCACGAATGCCGCCGGGCGCACTCGACTTGCCTAATGTTTTCGACAAGGCGATGAAGTTGACACCCACTTCTCCCTCAAAATCGACCCACAATCATTACAATCATCCTATGTTCTCTGCTGGCAAGAGTGGCGAGGACTTGAACGAGAGCGTGGTCCATCAGACCCCTTCCAGCCCAACCCGCAGAGCCAACAAGGAAAACACACCGCCGAATCCGACGCGCCTAACGAAGGAGCTGGCTTCGACCCCGACTGCTGCAGCCCTTTCACGCCAGCAGGCGTATCAACCCCCACCCCGCGATGACACAACTAAGCGCCAGGTCCAGATGCGCGGCCTCACGCCAGAGGAAATGGAGAAACTGGCACAGCCCAAGGTGAAGCGCCTGGTCAATGTAACCCAGCTCTGTAAGTGTTGATTCCTATCATGCCACCTGAAAAAGTACGATTCTAATTGGCATGCCTCAGATTTCCTCGACCATTACTTTGATCTCCTCAGCTACGTCCACAACCGCCAAACCCGCCACGCACAATTCCGATCCGCCTACCCTGACCCACCCGCTACCCCTGAAGAAGAGCATGAACCGGCTCTCTTGAAATATCTCGGTCGCGAGCGCGCTCATCTGCGCAAACGCCGAACGCGCCTCCGCCAAGGTGACTTCCAGATATTGACTCAGGTCGGTCAGGGTGGGTATGGACAGGTGTATCTCGCACAGAAGAAGGACACGCGCGAAGTGTGCGCTTTGAAGGTCATGAGCAAGAAGCTGCTTTTCAAGCTTGATGAGATTCGTCATATCTTGACCGAGCGCGATATTCTCACGGCGGCCAAGAGCGAGTGGCTCGTCAAGCTGCTCTATGCTTTCCAGGATGATACGCAGATCTACTTGGCTATGGAGTATGTTCCCGGCGGTGACTTCCGCACGCTGCTGAACAACACCGGTGTTCTTCACAATCGCCACGCACGGTTCTACATTGCAGAGATGTTTAGCTGTATTGATGCACTGCATGTGCTTGGCTACATCCATCGGGATCTGAAGCCCGAGAATTTCTTGATCGACTCCACAGGCCACGTCAAACTGACCGACTTCGGTCTGGCGGCAGGCATGCTAAGCCCCGGCAAGATCGAGTCTATGCGCGTGAAGCTGGAGGAAGTCGGAAACACGCCCGTTCCTTTCGGTCGGCCGATGGAACAGCGTACCATGGCAGAACGAAGACAAGGATACCAGTCCTTACGCCAGCGGGAAGTGAATTACGCAAAATCGATTGTTGGCTCGCCGGACTACATGGCGCCGGAAGTGCTCAAGGGCGATCAATATGATTTCACGGTCGACTATTGGAGCTTGGGATGTATGCTTTTCGAAGCGTTGGCTGGGTACCCGCCGTTTGCCGGTGCAACAGTCGATGAGACGTGGCAGAACTTGAAGCGCTGGCAGAAGGTGCTGCGGAAGCCTGTATACGAGGACCCTAACTACTTCCTGTCACGGCGGACATGGGATCTTATCACGAAACTGGTTGCCGGGAAGGAGCAGCGGTTCAAGAGTATAAAGGAAATCCACTCGCATGACTACTTCGCCGAGGTTGACTTTAACAATCTGCGCACCCAGCGCGCTCCGTTTGTTCCTGAGCTTGATTCTGAGACTGATGCTGGGTACTTCGACGACTTCAGCAATGAGGCGGACATGGCCAAGTACAAGGAGGTTCATGATAAACAGCGCGCGCTGGAAGATATGGCCGATCGCGAGGACCAGATGGGCAAAGGCTTGTTTGTCGGGTTCACTTTCCGGTATGTTTGACGCCAACACCCCTTCCTATGCTTGTTCTCAACTAACTATCTCCAGTCATCGCAAACCTGCCGTCGACAGCAACGGTCGCAGCACCTCGCCCCGGAAGCCAATTACTACGGACGGCACATTCGGAACAATGTTCTAGGCTCTTGAACCGATATCCACATACACATTCATATTCAGTCAGGTCATCTTCTTATCTTCTTACGCCTGCTGGTGCATTGCGTGACTCCGAGCTGGACCTTGGTTTCCTTGTGTCAGATGTCCCGGTATTGGGATAATGGCACGTCTTCTGCTGTTCTCTTCTTTCTGATCGGACTTCAACTTTATTCTTTAAACGTTTCAACGCGACACGTCTTTTTCTGGACTCTAGTTTTACCATGCGGATGTGAGCGGCGACAGTCAATTCTTGTATGATACAGCCAGTTCCTGTCTTCGGCGAGTACTAGCACTTTGCTTCATTGTATGTATGGAATATGGGTGAGAAAAGATAACTCAAATTATATCTCCACACACCAAGTAGACCACAACAATCTCATCGAAAGAATCCTCAATCTCAATTCTCAGGCAATTGACGCACCATGCGCAGAATCTCAGACTCATTGTCACCAATGACAGCCCGACCATTCACCCAATCAACAGTCTATAAAACCAAGTTAGCACACCAATCTCCAATGCCAATCCCAATTCCAAAAGAAATCTTGAAAAGAACTTACAATCGGCCTCACAAAACTAGAATTATCCTCCTTGAACTTCTTCAACGCATCCTCCGCATCCCTAGCCCCCTTAATCAACTCCCCAACCCCATAAGTATTCTTCTCCCCGAGCCCACCGGCACCGCTAACCGGCGACACGTAGTCGAGGATACTGCGCAGCTGATCGACCGTCGGCGGAGAAGTAGTGACTTCGAGCTCGAACTCGCCGCGCTGCACCTTAGCGTGCCGGGCATAGTCGCTTGCTTGGTCTTCCGTTGCGGTTTCGGAGGCTGTTGCTGAGGCTTGTTTGAGGATGTTTAGGGCGCGGGTTGAGGCTTGCAGGGTGGGCGCGTGGAAGAGGGTGATTGGGTCGAGGGTTTTGCTCTGTTCTGGGTTAGCTTTGTTGGAACTTGGGGGTGGGAGGGGATTGGGTAGGTAGATAGGTTTGCGTACGAAACGAAACATTTTGGCTTGGTTGTTATGGCTTTTGGGTGTCTTTGGTATGTTTTGTTTGGAGGTGGTTGTAATGAAGAAGAATTTGGGAGTGAGGAGAGAGCTTCGGGATGGGGGACCTGGATGATGTCATGTGCTTTTTTGCTCGGGACGGGTCGGGCGGTGATGAGTCAGTTGTTTGAAACGATTGGTTACGAATTGGTTCTGTTCTTCTATTCTTTCAGGATTAAACTGTGTATTGCCTTCTGGTATGCTGATAGCTGTTTCGTTGCGGTGCTTTGGGCTGGGGACGGTTGCTGTGTGAATTGGGAATGTCAACAACCTCGCTCCCGATTTGCTTTTGAGCTTCGCATGATTTGGCCTGTACAAGTACGAGAATAAACGTCTAGCTACTGCCAACTCGAAATGGCTTATATCATTATATGAATGTAGAAGAATTGGTAGCAGATGCGTCGCCATTTACCGTTTACAAGCACTGGATAAGCATTCGTCCTAGCTCTACTCCGTAGGGAAAGAAGGTACATGAAGGGTAGCTGTCTTGTTCCATTTCTATTCTTTGAGCAAATGGGCATTGGGTATCAAGCTTGCGTTAGAGTGGCGTGATTCAGTTCATATGCTTTTCAGCTCAAGGTCGAGTCGCATCCCAGCCCTTGTGAGCTCTATTACGAGTCAGGGCAGGATTGCGGGATAGTTTCGACTGCCTTGCCATGTGGATTCACTGTGAGAACCACAGTGAGACACTGTCAAGCGTTGCTTTCTCTCGGTGCTTTGACGGGTATCTGGCTAGTCCTTCATGCCAGAATCTTGGCTTCGGTGGATGCCTCCGGCCAAGTTTGCATATGCTGCTTCAGCTCAAGGCCATGCCAGCTGTTGGGATGGCCGAACCGGCAGGGAGAACGCTCAGCCCGTAGTAGAGTCAACGTCGTGGCTCCGTGTTTTCTTTCACAGTCCAAAGTTCTCAACATGCAAATAAATGCCCTGCGCACCAGTCCCCTTATGCACAGCTCGTTCATCACTAAGAGAAACCACGCTGCGACGAACGTCGTCGGCAAGACCACGAGGCCCACACACAACCACAGCACTTTCTCCTTCGGCCTTTTCCAGAACTTTTTGGATGATGACTCGTGGTGTGGGACGGCCAGTGAGGGTATGGAGAGCGATTGGTCTTTCAGCGGTGGAGGTCTGATTTCGGATCGAGTTCACACCTGATTCGCCTTTTTCGGACTGAACGGCTGTTGGTCCGGAGCAATTGCAGGCACAGCCGGTACTGTCATCCTCGTCTTCGATTTGGGTAGTGCAACAACAACCTCCACCAGGGAGACAGCCCTGACCTGTGAGCACAGGGCCTGGAGTTGATACTGAATCCACAGAGACGGAATAAGCAGGTACGTCGCCTTTCTCGGATACCTCCTTAGCCGCACCTTCCGTGGTATCCTTGAAAGTGGCGGTATCCTTTGTCTGCAGTGGTAGCAAGGTAGCGGTCGGCGGGTCCAGCTTATCATCACAAGTGATATAGATGCTCACTTCAATCTCTTTGTCAAAGTCTGGACATGTGCGCCGACATCCTTCCACGTCTGCCAGCAGAGATTGCAGTTGTTCCTCGAAGTAGGACAGCTGGGAACGGGACTTGATCACCCAGACGAAGCGCAACCGCTTGGTGGCAGCCAGACGAGCTGTGCGAGTGGCAGCCTGCTGGCCACTCTCCATTTTCCAAGCCAAGACAACATCCCTCAGGAGAGGGATGACAAATGTTGCTCCCATACCACCTGCCAACAGGACAGCGCTATCAAACTGACGCAGGGACCGGATGCTTCCATATGGCCCTTCAATGAAGATAGTCCGACGGGACGCGGTATCAACTTTGTCATTCCCCAGTACACTGTGGCTCTTCGAGGCATATCGGAAAAACCGTCGTGTTCCCCCATTCTCCGCCCGGATAAAGAACTCCATCTTCTTATCCTCTGGAATTGATGCAATAGTGAAAGGGTGGCATTGCAGTGGAACGATGGAATGGCAGGTGAGAAAAACATGCTGGCCAGGCTTCCATCCGACCCCGGGGTTGTCAACCGTGACGCGAGTCACGTTTCCGGGAAGTGCAGTAAAAGTAGCCTCGTGCGCCCAGAGACCCTTTCTCTCTTCATTTCGATGGAAAATGGACAAATTCGCATATGCACTCCAGGCATAGCGAGCAACCCGATCAAATACCACTAGGCCAATGGGGATCCATACCCAGACCTTGACTTCTTCGGGCGCATGCATCCACACGGCCACGATGAATCCGACAAAGGTGACTAGATGCTGGATAACGAAGACCTCATAACTCAGTCGTCGAATTGGAGCAAACGAAGTGATCACGATAAAGGTCAGAATCACCCAAGCGGCGAACCCACGCTTCGTCAGCGGGTCGTTGTACAGCTGGTAAGTGATGTAGTTCCAGCGAGCCCAATTACGGAACCAGAACACCATATGGATTGTGGTGGTCAGCCATAGTGTACGAGCAACCCAGCGATGGTACCAGTTTAGCTCGACATAGCTCACTCCAGCCAAGAAACCAATGATATTCTGTCGGCCTGCGAGGAGAAATATGAGTGGTAGCTGGCAAATGGCAATGAAACCTGTGCGGTAACCGACATTCTCCCAATTCCATGGATCCATTGTGTCCAGTTTATAAAAACACAGGACCATAACCGTAAGCAGATTTGCGAGCACGATTAGGACAGGACCAAGTGGTGGGAAATGGAGAGTGAACGCCCCGACTCTGAGAGGTCGTATAGTTGCATAGCTGACCTCGCGCACTATTGCTGTGATGGTGGCGTAGATTCCGAAGAATATTGATTTTGGTTTTGCAGGTGTGAGTGAAGAATCGCGCAGCCTATTTGTCGTCAGCGTCAATCACCCCTATGGAGATCGGTAGGCCTACCGTTGCCGAGCAATGATGCGATCCAGCACGTTGACCAGTGTCGCTGCACCGATGGCACTTCCCGCGACAGCCCAGTACATTTTCTGTAACGTAAATAGGCTGGGAACGCCATCGCCCATGGACATTGAGCCCGCGGGCATGTCACCCATTGACATGGACATTTTGTGCTGGGGTGAAGCTCAGAACTTCAGAAGACGGAGTTTTGAGATCTAGAGAATACGATTGAAGTGGATGCTAACCAATGACAGCACCGATTACCAATATTATGCTCACCCATGCTCACTGCCAAGTTGGGGAGTGGGTCGGTCCACCATCCATGTGGGCTTCGGGCTGTTTTAGCTTTGCCGGGGTCACCCAATGCGTCGTACAAAGTTGACAATCTCAACGTTGATATCTCTCCATCTTCACCTTTCATTTCTCCGTCCTCTCCTTCACACTACATCCTTAACAACAATGGAGGGCATGGATATGGGCGGCCATAGCCACGGCTCTGGCTCAAGCAGTACAAGCTCCTCAATGACAATGACCATGGTGTTCACGAATACCCACGACACGCCACTGTTCTCAAATGCATGGACCCCATCATCTTCTGGCAGCTTTGCAGGAACATGCATCTTCTTGATTGTCCTTGCCATCATCGACCGATGTCTTATCGCGTTCAAAGCAACAATGGAGCGACGCTGGCGAGCCGCTCATCTCAACCGGCGATATGTCACCGTTGCCGGAAAGAACACTGAAGCTGCCAACATCGATGCAGACCCAGACGCAAAAATGGCATCGCTCATTACGGCGCAAGGAATTGAGGAGTCTGTCAAAGTCGTTCACAACATATCTCCAGGCCCACTCCCCTGGCGGTTCAGCGTTGATCTCCCACGGGCTTGTCTTTATCTATGCATCGCTGGCGTGTCATATCTACTGTGAGTTTTTCTCTCTTCCTATCTTGACCGAATTGATACTTATGCTGTTTCTAGTATGTTGGCTGTCATGACTATGAATGTCGGCTATTTTTGCTCTGTGCTCGGAGGGGCTTTTCTCGGAGAATTGGCGGTGGGACGTTTCATTGAAGCTAATGAGCACGCGCACTAGCCGTGAGATAACCGCTTTTGACTTATGACACATCTTTTTGCATATTGAGCTTTACGACTTCTTGAACACCATCTTATCGGTCTGGCGTTGGGACTAATGCTGAGCGAATATTATGACATAGACTTCTCAATGACTCTTACTGTGATAAAACTTTGCTCTTCCCGGAATTTCCGTTTACTCCGTACTCAATCCATTTATCACCGTCTCCGGTCCTCGTGGAGTGTGGGTCCAACTTTCAGGGCTGCATGCGATCACATGACTAAGCGTGCGCTTGATTGAGCTAATTTACTAACCAGACTCGGCCTAGTGGCTCGGGTAATATCCGCTATCCGCGCTATTTCACCTCCGGCTCCAGCCCTCTTCCAAGAGTTTAGATGTGGTCTGAGCGGTTCACGTGGAAGACTATGTCATCGGATTTAGACCTGTTGACTATGGTACAGCGTCAACTTAAAGGAGCCATGGTGCCTTGGTGCGACATATCTCACTTTTCAAATAGATCTGAGAAGTAGCATCAGAGTGAAGTGCCGAAATCCTCGCTGTAGTTCAATGCTGAGCTCAAAAGACAAGATAGGAAGGTTCGGATTATTCCGAAGTACTCACATTCACAAAGTCAAATTGCCGATGTTTGATTTCCAGCGGGGTCTCTTAGGTGGACCCTGTCTTGCTCAGGTCCCGCTAACTCCCTCATCATGTACCTAATGTAGAGCTCCCATGCGACTCCTGCGCGTCTCTTTAATTGACCTGATCGCCAGCTCCGTCAAACTATCGTCTCTATTCATTCGCAACTCTTGAACATACCCAATACACACAATGAAGTTCTCCCTCCTCGCCTGTATGGCCAGCGTGCCATTCGCCGCAGCACACTTCAAGCTCATGTACCCTAAGTCCCGCGGCTTCAACACAGACACAATGACCAACTTTCCCTGTGGTGGAATGAGCCAGTCTTCAGACCGTACGAAACTCCCACTATCTGGAGGCTCATTCCCGGTCGCTCTCGAGATGCACCACGCCACGACCGCAGTCGAGGTCCTCCTCGCTCTGGGCAACGAACCTAGTGACAACTTCAACTTCGTCCTCACGCCAACCTTCCAGGTTAAAGGCCTGGGCGAGTTCTGTCTGCCTCATGTTGAGATCAACGAGAAAATGATTGGCCGCAACCTCACCAACGGAATGAATGCTACTCTCCAGGTGCAAACCAACGGAGACCCGACTGGTGGTCTCTATGCTGTAAGTTCTTGTCTTGGGATTTCAGAAATCCTTGGTATCTAGTGCAACATACTAATGAAATGCAGTGTGCCGATGTCCAGTTCTCTTCCGATATTACCTACGAGAAACCTCCAGCCTGCACCAACAACACGAACCTTGTCGCTACTGCTTTCCCCGAGGCCGCTGCTAAGCGCAATGCCAATGAGTCCACTGCTGAAGGCGACGCACAGAGTGGTGGTTCTTCCACAACTTCCACCTCCAAGGGCGCTGCGGCTCCAATGCAAACTGCCGCTTGGGGTGTCCTTGGTGCTGCTGTTGCCGGTGGTCTTGCTATTCTGTAAAAGTTGGTCTGTCGGCCCTTTCTTTGCTTCATTTGGTTCCCTGTGAAGTCTAGCGATGTATAATGAATCAACGAGATTAACACACTTGACATACGGGTTTACGCTTGTGGATGCTCCCTGCAGAATGTGTCCTTTCATATGGCTGTTGCTTCTTACACTATGTACCGGGCACTTAGCATTCAATCAAAAATACATATGGCAATACCTAGGTTTCTCAATTTCATTATGTTCTTTGGTAGTTAACGATTTTGGTCTTACAATACTTAGTAGGCCAGCATCACCACTTGACTTCGTTAAACATCGAGCTAGTTACGTGAGACGGTGAGAGTGGTACTATCTTCATATAGTCTTCTTAAGTTCTTCAGTAGGTGAGTCAGTTCAGTTCAATGTCTCCAGTTCAGTTCAATGTCTCTTGTGTCGAGGTTAAGGCCCGATAGTTCATCCATGGCTTGTCTGATACACTTTCCAGCTGGTTTGGTTGCTTGCGGATTGGGTGTACTGTTGTACATTCCTCGTCGAAGCTGTCACAGGATTTTATTTGCTAGAACGAAATGCTTCACATATGCTAGGCAAATGAATAAGAGGTTATTAGTATATACATCTGCAACTGAGGTCCAGTGGTCGACAGCCGGCTGGCCCTGCGCGGGTGCTGATTCACCGGTGTTGCTGAGCTGAACCCCCACGGGGGACAGCAGAAATACAGGCTGTCCAATGTGAAGATGGATATGAATGCGAATAATCCAATGAATGAATGAATGAATGAATATCTGACAATCTGGCATGAAGGGATTCAGGGGTTTGTGTACCGAATTTTTTACGAGGAAGGTCGGCTCTTCCTCGCAGATGCCCTTGGTCTCTGTATCAAGTGATGGGCAATTTCTTCCGTCAACTAACTTTTGGTAGTAACAAGGGAAATAGTTAGTGCGGGTTTGGGGGGTGAGAGACCTAGCTACTACGGTGACCTACCCATGGCCTCATTTTGCAGTAGGTATGGATAGCAGAGTGCTACCCACGGTTGCGGGTTGCCCGCAGTCTTTGGAATTAGGCTATGGACAAGCTGGGCAGTGAGCAACCTGCACAGAGAATAATAGCCAGACCTATCTGGCTCCAGAACATCAGATCGAAACCTAACATTTAGTCGGATGGCTCTAAGAACAAGCCATCATGGAGAACTTTGAGATACTGCGCCCTGTTGGTGAGTACAACCCCCGCTGTACTGCCGGGAACAAATTCCGGCGATCAACAAAGCCTGATACTATTCAGGTCGGTTGGAACAATATTCCACGTCGCGCCATCAAGTAGGATTCTATCTCAACGTGGCCATGTCAGCAACCTATGTCTTACCAGACACATTCGTACTTCCCATCAAAGACTACGTGTACCAAGCATGTGAAGCCGCAATTGCGCAACATCCGTCGCTATCCGCCATCGTGGCAGACGACCACACCCAAGACCCTTACTTCGTGCGGCTGCCACGCATTAATCTGGACCAGGTTGTATCTTTCCGGGACCGAAAGCCCGGCTTGTTAGGCATTGAAGCCAATGGCGAGCCAGCTCCAGACCTTGACCTGCAAACACTGCTTGCAACTCAGCACAACACGCCATTCAAGACGCCGAGTGCCTTTTGGAGACTCGGTATTCTGCTAGACACAGAGAATGAGCGGCAGTTTACCGCAGCATTTGTCTACCACCAAGCCATTGGCGATGGGATTTCAGGAAAAGCCTTTCACCACACATTCCTGCAAGCTTTGGGGACAATAGACTCATCAGAGCAGACCAAAGCAATCATCGTGCCGCCGTCAATTCCCCTGCTACCAAACGTTGAACTCATGCACTCACAGTCTCTCTCGTTCCCATACCTCGCCAAGAAAATGTTCCACGCAAAGGTCTTCTCCAGACATCCATCGGGTCTCTGGACCGGCTCCAAAATCCTGGGTCCATCTCAGACACGCTTGCGCCTGGTCCCATTCTCTAAACTACTCATGGCCACGGCAAAAGCCAGATGTCGAATGGAGGACACAACGATCACTGCACTGCTGCAGGTAATCGTCGCCCGTTCCATCTTCGCACACATTCCAGCCCATTTCACGCGACTCGTCTGCTCCGGCACTGTCTCATGCAGGCGCTGGCTGCCCGCCATCAATGATGAGGCGATGGGCGTCTGGTTTCAGGACTACGAGGAGTCTTACTGCCGGGCTGCTGTCTGGCCGTCTGATGACTCTTTCCCATGGGCGGAGACTAAACGATCCCGGAAGACGATCCAGTCTGTGCTGAATATGAAAGGGAGAAATGCTAGCTCGAGTCTGCTGCAGTTCGTCGACGATTACCAGCATGAGCTGTGTTTGTCTAGGATTGGAAAGGAGCGCGATAGGAGCTTTGAGGTGTCGAATGTTGGGGAAATGGTTCCGCAGACTGATCCGCAGATGCCTTCTATTGATGGACTGGTGTTCTCGCAGTGTGCTAGTGTCATGGGTAGCGCTATTGAGGTGTCTGTTGCTACTGGTTGTGATGGGTGTATGGTGCTGGCTATCTCGTGGCAGCAGGGGGTTGTCGAGGCGGGTCTCATCAATGAGACGGTGGAGTCGATTAAGCAGGACATGTACTCTCTTGAGGATGTTTGACGGGAGGCCTGTTTACCTAGTATAATGTTTAATGCATAGAATGAGCTCTTCAAGAATGAAACGGATGTTTCATTTTCAGGCTGTTATCGAGTGGGCGGTGAGATTGGCGATAACCTCGGAGGCAGAATCGTGGGGGAGAAACAGCTGAGATCGGTTCAGATTGTCTTCATCTATTTTATCCTAACAGAATATTGAACATGGCTCGCGCTCCTTTCGTTGTTCCCGCGCTAAAGAAGCACACCGCCACAGTCATCATGGCCCACGGGCTGGGAGACAGGTGAGTGCAGCCTAAAGACGATGAAGCCGATGAAGTACAATATCGACTGACAATATACCAACTCTAGTGGTGCCGGATGGTAAGCAACTCATTCGACTGAAGGTCTCTCTCTCAACTCTGACGACCGATCTTTCATAGGATGGCTCTGGCACAGAACTGGCGCCGCCGCGGCAAGTTCGACGAAGTGGCCTTCATCTTCCCCAATGCGCCCACGATCCCTATCACAGTTGTATGTGATCATCATACAGCACAAGAAGAACCATTGCTGACCCAATGCTTATCAGAACTTTGGCATGAGCATGCCGGGATGGTATGACATCTCCAAGCTTGGCCGCGATGTAAGCCCTCACTTCCCTGCCCTCCAACCGCAAACTCACATCGCTGACCCTCAATTACTCTATCAGCTGGACTTCGAAGAATCCCTCCGCTCCCAAGACGAAGCAGGCATCCTGCGCTCCCGCGACTACTTCAACACTCTCATCAAGGAAGAGATGGACAAAGGTATCAAGGCGTCGCGAATCATCCTGGGCGGGTTCTCGCAGGGCGGTGCGATGTCCGTCTTCACCGGAGTCACCTGCAAGGAGAAGCTTGGCGGTGTCTTTGGGCTGTCGTCATACTTGCTTCTGAGCGACAAGATCAAGAATTTCCTGCCTGAGGAGTGGGTGAATAAGAAGACGCCGTTCTTCCTGGGCCACGGATTGGAGGATGAGGTTGTTCAGTTCGACTACGGAAAGAAGTCGGCGGAGTTGCTTAAGACGATGGGTCTTGAGGATGTTAGCTTCCACCAATATGCGTATGTTGATGGTCTCCTCGACTGGGTGTCGATTGATTTGCTAATTTGATCTCGCAGTAATCTTGGCCACTCAGCGGATCCCCAGGAGATTGATGATCTGGAGAAATTCATAGAAAAAGCCATTCCCGCAGAGGGAGATGGTAACGCCACCGCTGGTTTATGACTTGGTCATGATCAGAGGATGATTAGTGGACAATGGGGATATACCCTAGTCATAGGGCTAGTGGTGGTTCTGGCAGCTGTTGCTTGGTCTAGGATTCAGTCGGCAAGACAGGAGAAATCCAGACGACCCCAGTATTAACCCACTTTAGCTCTATCATCTTTTATTTTGGTGATTCACATACATAACAACGCCAATTCAGACACCAATATTGAATATACCACTAAAGCCAGGCTATAGCATATAAACCCCTTTGACATAACTAACCAGCCTTCTCCACAGCCTCCAAAATAACCCTAACCATCTCCTCGGTATTCTTCAAATCAAAGGGCACCATATGCTTCGACCCATGATCAAAGAACCCCGCCTTCTTCGGCTCACAAAGCCCATAAAGCCTCACCCCCTCCTCAAACAGCGAATCCGCCTTGCCCACAATATTCGCCGTCGGCACCGTAATCGGATACGTCTCCCGCGGCGCAATCTGCTGCAACCCCGAACTATCCCACGGCGCCGCACCGCAGATAAACACCGCCACCTTGAACAGCGGCGGCTCAGCCGGACGCGTCCTGCTGTGATGGATCAGCAATGAGGCGGCAAGGGCTGCACCCTGTGAGAAACCCATTACTGCATCGAAGGGGCCTTGCAATGCGATGAATCGCTTGGTGTGCTCGATTGCTTCGAGCATGCTTGACCCAGGCGGGTTTGGGCCGCGGTTGTAGTGGTTGTAGAAGGGGCCGTCGACTATGCCTTCGAGTTCTGGTTTGGTTAGTATGTTAGTTGGGTTTCTGAGAGACAGACTGTAGTGTAGGCTGGATGGACTTGCCTTCTTCGACTTTGGCAGGGATCTTGCCGTTCATGAATTTGAACTTATGGCCATGTTTCTCTAGTTGTTGGCGTAAGCCGCCGGTTTGGATTTCGAAGATCTGGTCATGGTTAGTTTGGTGTTGGAGCTGTTGTTGTATACGGAGATACATACTTCGCCGTTTGTGCCGCCGCCGTGGAGACAGAGGAAGCGCATTTTTTGAAGCTTCTTTTGGATTGGTTTTGGAGCTGACGAGTAATTGGAAATTGATCACAAAGCTTCACTGGAATGTTCGGCCAGTTTCTTACAGCTGGTCCAAGGTCGTTGTCAAATTGATCGGCTCTTTGTGTTTCACTTGGCGGAAGAAAAAGAAAGCAGGAGAAGAATTGGGAAAGTGCTTTGCATAAGTTCTAGGCAGGGGATCATGCTACTTAGTACTGCGTACTCCGTACATGCGGGGGTTACAGCGCCAGCTTGGCGGTGTCGGAGGTTTACTGCATAGAAGATCTAGTTGGAGTCAGAGGGGAGAGTGTTCGCCATTGAATGGCGTCGGGGTAAAACAGTCTGTGGTACGGAGTACAGCTTCCATACCCATGTCCCTAAGGATGTGAGTAGTCTGCTTTATATTGCTTGTTGTAATTCTGTCTTAATTATAAAATAACCAAATGACAACAACATTGAACAATATGACAATGTCTATGTTCTATCTCGTAGGGTAGGTAACCTTGGAAGGCGACTTAGCCTGGACGCATTCTGAACGAAGGAGAACCCTGCGGGCCAATAGAGAATCCCGCCCAGATCTTGGAAGATGGAGGCAAATCTTTCTTTGTTCAACATCACAGGGAAATGGCGACGATCTGCCTCGGACCAATTTGGTCCATGGCCTGGCTAATTAAATCCTTCCCTCCAGCCGAAGAAAGCGGAGATTTAAACGGTACCTGACTCCAAACCAAGTCTCACCATATTCCACCCCCCTTAAACCTGAGCAATGGATCTCCGTGATATAATAGCCACTCGTGGCTTTGCAACATATAGTCTGCGTCATCCGCTCGAGGCAATGTCAAGCTTCGGCCCGACGCTGAGCGAAGCGACGTTCGGCTTGTTGGGGACAGCATTCAAGCCAGAACGCGACATCCGCGACCTGGACGGCAAGGTCGTCCTCGTCACAGGAGGTACACATTAGCCCTATACAACCCCACATTCAGTCGACTGACATGGCAATAAACCAGGCAATGCCGGGATAGGCAAAGAAACCATCCTCCAACTCGCCAAGCACCGCCCGTCGCGCATCTACATGGCCGCCCGCACCGAAAGCAAAGCACGCGAAGCCATCGAATCGCTACAAAGCCAGCTCTCCTCGCCCGCTGATATCCGCTTCCTCCCTCTCGACCTCTCCTCCTTCAAATCCATCCGCGCCGCCGCAGACAAGTTCCAGGCCGACAGCGATCGGCTGGACATTCTCATCCTGAATGCAGGCACGATGGGCAACCCGCCCACCACGACGGAAGAAGGGTTCGAGGTCCAGCTCGGTACAAACCACATTGGACACTTCCTGTTTACGAAACTGCTTCTTCCTACCCTGCAGAAGACGGTCGAGGTGCAGCGCGCAGAGGGCGAAGTTCCCGATGTCCGGGTCGTGACTCTCGGCTCGGCGGCTCACGCAGTCGGCCCTGCCACATTTGAAGAGATGACCTCCACACCCGGCTTGTTGGCCGTCAGCACCTGGACTCGCTACGGTGCTTCCAAATCAGCGAATATTCTCTTTGCGTCCGAGTTGGCTCGTCGCCACCCAGATATCTTGTCGGTTTCTGTGCACCCCGGTGCTGTGGACAGTGGTCTCTACGGTCATGCGAAGAATCTCAGTGCGGTCATGAAACACGGCGTTAATGCTACTGGTTCCCTGTTGTTCCGGAATGTTACTAGTGGAGCGCTGAATTCTCTTTGGGCGGCTGGTACGCAGAGAGAGAACCTGGTCAATGGGGCTTACTACACCCCCGTTGGATACCGCAGTAATGGCACTTCGGTTGTTCAGGATGCGCAGCTGGCGAAGAAGCTCTGGGATTGGACGGAGACTGAGATTTCTAAACACATCTAAGCTGCGAGCACCTGGGATCTATATGTAAAGGGTGTATGATATGAACTGAGATATCTCTTGCCATTTAGCTTGCTACCTTCTCTCATTTACTGCTTACATTCTTTCAGTTTGCATCTGGTCATATTGTAAGCCACCGGGGAGGCAAATGTTGAGCGGGATTTGGGGTTGTGAGGCGGCATTGGAAGGAGGTACCAAGTTTTGAGTACTATAAATGATCATATTAAGAATATTCCGACGGGTTTTGTGAAGAGAACCATGAGAGGAAGTGGGTTGACTCGTTGAGTAGTCTGGGTTGATTTGAAGCTATACAAGTATTAGGGTTTAGCCCATCAAAATATCCCACAATCGAATTGACCGGCAAATACGCAAAATCATGGCCAGATAGAAGAATATGATCAGTATAGCAATAATATAAGTCGTAAAAAGTGTAGATAATCGTAAAACAGCTGTCCGTCCATCTCACGGGATTAGCGAAGTTTGACCCAACTCCCCACACAAAACTCTCGAAGCATCACCGATTCCACCCACTTCACGATCTTCCCTCTTAACCATCTCCCTCAACCACCACCTTTTTTTTTATAACGGTACGCATCCACGAAACTCGAAATTCTCAATTTCTTCTTGAATTTCTGCTCGAATTTCTACCTTTATTCACGAACTTACCCGCTAATCCCGCGCCAGGCGATCACCCCTCCCGACTTCATCATGGATCAAGCAAAGTTGGCTAGAATGCAGGCCAGTGTGCGCATTGGTAGGTTTATATCTCTTTTCAAGAATTTCTAGGCGCGAGAGATGATCGGGACAATGAGGTGGAGCTGCGATTTCGTGGAATTGGTCCTGGAGCTTGGTGCTCACATCTCGAATCATCTCTCCTCCTGAAAACCTCTTGTATTGCATTCGAACGCATGAATCCAATAACTAACTCGGTTTCTCTCGATAGGGTACGTAAAATCACCATATCTCGACTTGTCATCATCCCGAGCGATCACTTCCTGAGGAATCGAAATTTCGAACTGCAATGCCTGGATTCGACACAGCCGATGGTCAGACTACATCAATCTCGATTCCCGCTCGGTTCCATGCGACAACGCTATATCCGATCGACCTTGAATATACATGGCGCATGGGCTCGGGATATCCAGTCTGACCCTCGGCTTCTCATGAAACCTCGCATTCCTTCGATCCCTCCGACCCCCCCCTATCCATAACCCCCACATTCACACAAAACCAATTTACCCAATCTACCCCCAAAATTACATCTGCTCGACGAACCAACCAAACTAACTATCTGTATAGTGGCAAGGGTACCCCCCGCCGCAAGGTCAAGAAGGTCGTCCGCAACTCCGGCGCCGATGACAAGAAGCTCCAGGCCGCTCTCAAGAAGCTGAACGTCCAGCCCATCCAGGGTATTGAGGAGGTCAACATGTTCAAGGAGGATGGCAACGTCATTCACTTCGCCAACCCCCGTGGTGAGTAGCAGCCAGTCATTGTGCTCCACGTCCGAACCCTCAAAAGCAGAGAAAACGGACAGCAAAAGAGAACAACCCCCACTAACCACTATGCAGTCCACGGCGCCGTCCCCTCCAACACCTTCGCCCTGTACGGTAACGGCGAGGAGAAGGAGCTCACTGAGCTCGTCCCCAACATCCTCAACCAGCTCGGCCCCGACTCCCTCGCTTCCCTGCGCAAGCTCGCCGAGAGCTACCAGAACATGCAGAAGCAGCAGGGTGATAAGAAGGATGACGAGGATGAGGATGATATCCCCGATCTCGTTGAGGGCGAGAACTTCGACAACAAGGAATAAATATGCACTGGGCGAGAATCGAATCAGTCTTTAAAATACTTTACTGTCTATGATCAATGAAATCTGAGCTCCGGTTGAGAGGGTTTTTGTTGATTCGTTTCTTTCTGAGTATAACTGCGGATAGCATGTTCTTTTCTCTTGGGATCTTGAATGGGTTGATTCCAAGCCGTGTCAAATTCTACTAACGAGGGATCTCGCTACGTACAGAATCATTCGTGACGGTGCATAGCCACTGGAAACATTAAGTATGGACGGTTTCGCCTTTTATTGTTCTACAGCACTCCTAAAAAAACGCGTAATAGTCCCTCGACAGAACAATTCATTATGTCTGCATCGGATGCAGCTATCGTACACATCATCCCAAATTTCACCGCCAAATCGACTCCATCCCCCGGGCTCCGCGGCGCGGCAATCTCAAAGCTTGACCTAGCAATACCCCGGACGTTATGCAGATCACGGAGACTTCACAGTCATGGCGAATATCCCGAAGTAATAGACGAAAAAGGTACAATTCCATTGTCAGAACTCGATATACCCTTCGTCTCAACTATCCTCCTTCAATCCACACATATCCGTTTTCAGGTAATAGTCAAACGCATACCAGAACCGCCAGTAAAGGCCAGACTTTTCCAGGTCGAGTGTACCGTCGTCGCGGAGAATCGGGCCCTCGCCCACAATGTCACCAGTGAACCAACTCAGAATAGGAATTGAGCGCAGGATGCGCTCGGTCATGGTAGGTTGCGGGGGGAGCGCCTCGAGCAGCGGGCGCAGCTTGGTACGACGGACGGACGGGATATGCGTCATGAACTCATTATCCTGAGTTTGTTCGCGCTGGGCGGGTGCTCGGCGTTGGTGAAGTGTCTGATCCGTAGACGATGCGCCCGTTGCCCAGGTTGACGAAGAAGAAGTTGTGTTCACGGTGCCGTGCTGGAAGGAGGGGGTGGCGGTTGCGGTTGCGGAGGTTGCAGTGGAGGACGTGGTTGCCTCGGAGGCGGCGACGGTCGAAGAATCGAACGAGTAGTCTACATCCTCTGGTACATCGGGCACGCTGGCGAGGTTATTCATACCAAAGGAGCGCGGCAGTGTCCCGCGGTCCTGGTCCTTGCTGGAGCTGGAGAGGAAGGTGGTCGAGTGTGAGGTTGTCAAGGTGCGCGGTGCTCGGTTGCGAATTCGACTATTTGCCGAATCCGCAGGGATGGGAATATCCTCTGCTGGGCCGTGGCCGTGGTATAGCTCGCAGTAGACTAGATGGCCGTCGATTTCCTGTGGCGAGTAGAAGCACGCGCGATCGGCGGATTGCGTCGAATCGTATGTGACCTTGATCCAGTGGTGGCCGCCGGCGTAGACCTTTGCTTTGCGGTTCGCGTCCGCTGAGAGATTCCGGATGACGACGTCGCCGCCGCTCAAGAGCTGGGTGTAGTTGTTTGTTGAGGTCGGGTCGTTGCGAGGGTAGTCTTCGCAGATCATGCCCTGTGAAATGCGCTCGTATTTGTCGAGGACCTTCCACTCGCTGTCCTTGCTTTTGTATCCATAGAGTATGCACTCCGTTGCGACCTTCTCGGTCTGCTTTCGGGCGTTGTCGAGACTGGACGATGATGATGACTTGGGCAGGCCTGTTTTCTCGTCCTCCTGCTGTTGCTGGGAGAATAATCGACCGAACTCGGCTACGTTGGGGTTTTCGCGCTTTGCTGGTGTTCCGGTGCGTGTTCGTGAACGGGCTGTGTCGTATCGAGCATTTCTTCTCTTGCCGAAGGGTCCTGATTCTTCTGGTGGTCGGCGAGGATTGCGAGATTCACTGGAAGAATGGGTTAGTTTGCAAGCTGAGGGGCTGGAAGAGACAGTGAACATACTCTTTGTAAACATAACCCCAGGGAAGGAGGTTTCCGTGCTCGTCCCTAGCACGCTCCTCCGGTGGGACGGAGTGATATTCCATGGCGGCAGATGGGATGCCGTCAAGGGATTGATAAATGCGAAGTGGAGAGGTGTAGAGAAGTGAGGGAGAGAAACAAAAGTAAAAGCTAGCGCAGGTGAGATGAATGCACAGCTGCCCTGGAGATGAGTTTGTCGAACAGCTATCGAGGGAGCCAAAACTTTTGGTAAACAGTGGTTCGCCGGGCTACGGTCACGTGATCCTATCTATAGCAAAATCGCCTCATCTACTTCCATCTACCTCCAGTTCAAGATCATTTGGTTTTGTGTCATGAATTTATTTCCAGCTTTAATGGATCACATGGAACGATCTTTGGGACTCGGGTCCAGGTTAATCTCCAATCGTAAGTCGTAATATCAACATCTGTGACGAAAACCATAACCGTATCAAACACTAAACGAGATCCACGCCCCGTGGATATATCTTATGACGCTTAATTCCTAGCTCAATTTTGATGCAAGAATGAAATTCCCCTTGCTTCTCCTTTCAAGCCGCACTGTTCTGCAAAACCTCCCACCTCCTGCTTTCGTTGACGAACGTATTCCACGAAGCGCTTGAGAGAACAGGAGTCTCCAGGACCCGACTTGCAGAATGGCAACGGTACGATCCGATCATTGATATTGATTCGAACAAACGAATCGTCTAGATTTGACGAGCAAGACAACCGTTCGAGTGTGATCCTTGCGCCCATAGGTAGAACAGGAGAAATGCGCCAATCCCGGTTTGCTGCTCTGTTGGTGGTGGGAAGATGTCCATCGTCGCCAGTAAAGAGCCCCAATGCTGTGAGAAATGGAGCAATGTCCCCGTCGTGTACACTGTTTATTCAATTAGCAACGAATCCCATTCACACAGGATGGCTAGGCCTCGCTTACAAACTCAAGAACATACTTCCAGCCTTCGGCCCGTCGTGAAGTAGTCCAGTGGTTGCATTTAACCAAAGCCATCCCATCGCGCCAGCGTAGGGATTGCCCGGGCCTGCGCGGTAATACATGAGTAAGTCGCGGGCATATTCAAAGTTCAACCAGTCCTCCTCGGTGAATACTTCACACCACGGACTTGATCCTCGCACCATGGTCTCGAACCCACACATCTCCTGCATGCTATACACTTCCTGATTAGAAAGTGTCTGTAGGCCGGGATTGTTATCGCGTATCAGACGTTTCGCAATCTCGGGAATGTAGGTATTCTGGAAACGGACAAGCATCTCCATCCCATTGTCATGGCCACGAATGGTATCTTCGAGATAAGAGAGGCAAGTATCCCCTGGAGTCAGAGTGTCTGCCCCTCTTTCAAAGGTCTCGGGGATGATCTCCAACTGCGCTTTTCCAGAGCTCTCCCAGTCTAAGCCAAAGAAGCCAGAGGCGAAGTGACGGGCAGTGTCGACCACACGACCTGAGTCACTTGCCCAAAGCCTTGTTTTGGTATCTTTGGGGACTAGGTTTCCATATCTAGTTCTGAATCTGATGCCGGTCGTGAACCCGCTCAGCGTTCCGGCGTAGGGGCCGGTGGTGGTCAATCTCCCAAAGTCTCGTTCGGGATTGTCGGTGAAATAAGTCCAGTCATTCAGAAAGCTGAGTGAGCCATTCAGTGGTAGGGCTATCCCCTTTACTCGCTCCAGGAATTGAAGATGTCCTGCCATTGGAAATGTTAGAGCTTGCTCACACATGATTGATGGGATGACGTACTGCCTCCGACCGAAGGCGTGGGATATCGTTCCCCATGGCGCGATAGCTAGGTGATTATTAGCGAAAGTGAAGGCATAGGTACCTGGCTGGTACGAAGCATACCAAATGCACTTGGTCTACAGAGCACTCCTCTGGGGCTGCTAGACTATGAGCTAGGTCTTCATTGGTGTTCTCAATCCAGGGACCATTTCCCCCCAAATGATGGAAAACGTTCCATTCGTGTGTTAGATTCTGTTTCGAACTTTTCACCTCGGATTGATCTGGATGAAACCATGTTCTCCAGCTCCCAGAATGGGGAGACACATGTTGTACGGCTGGTGCAATGGATTGGGCAGGAAACGTGACGACGGATACCCGGTAGATAATGAGACCCAACAGAACAGTGATCAAGATTGCCGATCGGTCGAAAGGCATGATATGCTAGATATATTTATCACATCAAGAGGAGTTCGAGAAAAGTCGCTTAGTCCATGGATCAACTGATCAGTTCCAAGTTCCGACCTCGGACGGTTGGTGTCGGCCCGTTTCCAAGATTGGAAGGTGGAGCTGCTTATGTCAATCCTTTTATGCGGCTCTGCTAAAATGGGGCTGGATAAAGACGAAGAACTTAGAATCCCCAAGCATTTAGCATATGTGATTATATCAAAGTACAAAAGGTTACGTAGCAGCCTCGGCAGCAATACTGAAAGCATGCACACTTCCTCGGGGCTCGAAATTTGACGAGTCACGTTCCTGGCTGGTGCTGGCCACCACTTCTTTGGATACTTGACCCCAGCCACCACCGCCAGGTCTACGGGAGTTTGTCAGTATATACCCTTTAAATAGTTCGAATGTGAAGATCACTCACGTATGAATCAGAATCCGTTCGCCAGGTTGAACAACCAGCTCCATCTTGCCACCGATATTGATCATTCTGTCTGTTCCATCCAGCTCTTTTTTCAAGTAAAGATTCAAGCCCGCCTCTCCAGAGCCGCCTCCAGCTAAACCATAAGGGCGATACACACGTCGTTCACTGAGCATAGACACCGAAAGAGGCATGCGGAATTCCAGTTCCCGGATTACCCCATCACCACCACGGTAGCGACCTTTACCACCAGACCCCTCGCGGATGCCGAATCTGCGAAGAATAACCGGGTACCGCAGCTCGTAGACCTCCGCATCTGTGATGCGTGTGTTTGTCATGTGGACATGCACGCCAGAGGTGCCGTTCCATGTTGGACCAGCACCCGAGCCACCGCAGATAGTCTCGCCAACGCCGAAGCCAGGTATCTCGATACCCGTCTTGGGATCGACGCCTCCCATACCGAAGGAAATTATATTGCAGCAGCCCTGGGAGGCAGCGCAGGCATTGAATGCGCCCAGCACAACATCCGTAATACGCTGCGAGGTAATGGGATTACCCGCGCAGACGGCGGCATGGCCAGAGGGGTTGATAAGTGTACCCTCGGGAATGATCACATTTACCGGGGCAAGACAGCCCTGGTTGAGTGGGATGTCAACATCAATCAGTGCCCGCAGACTGTAGATGATCGCTGAATGGGCGATGGCTTTGGGGGCATTGAGACAATTGAATGTTTCCCGGCCAGTGCCTGTGAAGTCGAAGTCGGCAGAGCCGGTCTCGGGATCGATGCGGATTTCTAGTCTGATCTCGGTGCCGTCGTCCATGAAGTCCGAGAATCGAAGGGGCGCACCTTGGTTCTTGCGTCCGATGGATTTGAGAAGATCGCGGACGGCGACTTCTGCGTTGCGCTTGATTGCGTCCATGTAGAAGTGGACTACTTCCAAAGTGTTGTCTATCACTAGCGCTTCTAGCAACTGTGCACCCTTGTGGTTGGCTGCAATGGCGGCCTTCAAATCGGAGACGTTGTCATTGTAAGTTCGTGTGCCGCTGCAACCAGGATACGAGGCGGGCTCATCATATAGGAACTTTCGGACGATTTCCTCGTCAAAGCGGCCTTGTGATACTACCTTGAAGCCCATTGTCATGGCACCTTCTTCATAGAGCATCTTGCTGTTCGAAGGCATAGAGCCCGGGGCGATGCCGCCAATTTCAGCTGATAGATATTTGTTAGAATCACACCAGACAAGGTAGGAGCCTCGTACTTACCATGGTGACCGCGGGAAGCTACATAGAAAATGATATTCTTGCCCTCATTATCCCAGACTGGGGTGATGATGGTGATGTCGGGCAGATGGGTCCCGCCAGCAAGTGGATGGTTGGTGAGAATGTGATCGCCCGGTTTCAGATTACCACCACATCGTTCATGCTGATACCGGACAGCATACTCCATGCCTGAGGAAGGATTAGCATGGTTGTCCCTCCGGAGACATAGGAAGGTTACAAGATGGTCTCGACTTACTTCCCAAGTGCACAGGCACATTCGGTGCATTCGCAACCAGTTTTCCATCGGGAGAGAACACAGCACACGAAAAGTCCAGTCGCTCTTTGATGTTTGTTGAAACGGAGGTCTTTTGGAACATGCGACTCATCTGATCAGCAACAGACATAAATCGATGGCCGAAGATAGACAGTTTGATAGGATCCACGACGGTTGCATCAGCAGTCTGCTTCTTGGAAGGCTGAACATCCAAAATTACATGTCGGGACAGAATTGTTGCAGTGGCATTTGGCTCAACAACGATGGTCTGGGTCTTGTCGATTATCATCGCGGGTCCTCGAAGAACATAGCCAGGCTTCATATTATCCAGAAAAAAGACAGGCGTTGTCACTTCACCGACGCTGGCGAAGTATACAGGGCATGAATCATCCTGCTTCTCTGAACCCACGGGCATCTTAGCGACTGATTTGAGCTCTTGTTGAGGCGCCTCTGGCGCGATAGAGGTAGCCTTCCCAACACCTCGGACTCGGATATCCTCAACGAGGATGTTGCGACCTGGGAATGTGAAGGAGAACTCGCGCTCATGCTCTTTGACGAACTCAGCGATGAAGTCACCATGTTCAGGCTCTAGCACCATCAACAGGTTATCGGTTCCCTGATATCGCAGGTTGAGGTAGACTTCATGCTGGATTTGATTTCCTTCAATCCCGTCCGCGGTCAAAGCATCAGTGACCTTAGTCTTGAGCGCAGCAATTCGCTCGCTGACACCCCTCATAGCTGCCTCATCTAGTACACCAGATGCAGGCTCTTGTGACTCATGGACGACGTCTGCAAGAGCCATTCCGTATGCAGAGAGGATAGAAGAATATCGGTGAATGATGACGGTGCCAATGGATAGCGAAGAGGCAATAGCGCAAGCATGTTGTCCACCAGCACCACCAAAGCAGGCCAAGTTGTGTGCAGAAGTATCGTATCCCCGGGCTTCCGTGAGGGCTCTGATAGGCTTTGCCATAGACTCATTGGCAACTTGAATGAAGCCAAGTGCAATCTCTTCTGGGGACTTGTTTTGTCCAGTCTCGGCGTTGATTTGAGCTGCGAGTTCCGTGAACTTCTTCCGGGTGACCTCGATATCCAAAGCTTCATTCTCATTGGGACCGAAGATCTTAGGGAAGTATGCCGGAAGAAGGCGACCGAGAAAGAGGTTAGCATCGGTCACTGTCAAAGGGCCCCCCTTTCGGTAGCATGCTGGTCCTGGATGAGCACCTGCGGACTCAGGACCGACAGCGAATAGTCCATGTCGCCAGAAGAGAATACTTCCACCGCCAGCAGCAACTGTATTGATGTCTAATTGGGGTGCCATCACGGTGACGCCAGAAATGGTATTCTCAAATGTGTGTTCCAACTTTCCGTCATACCTTGAGACGTCTGTGCTAGTACCGCCCATATCAAACCTGAAAATTCGTTAGTAAAGGCCAATTTATAGTGCGAATATGAAGGTCGAGTCACCCGATGACAGGCTTTCTGTCCGTTTCATCGAAAGAAGTTCCGGCGTAGCCCACGACACCACCCGCAGGGCCAGACAGGATTGCACGCAGACCAGTGAATCTATAGCAGTTAGCTTGATTCAATCGCTGCATTGGCGGTGGCTGACAACTTACTTTTCAAAATTAGCTAGACCGCCATCACTCTGCATGAACTCGCAGCGTGTATCTGCAGAGCTGAGTCCATCTTTGAATCCTTCGCGAAAGCCTTGAATATAGCGTTGAATGACTGGCGTCAAGTATGCATCTGCAGTAGCCGAAGCACCGCGAGATGTCATCTTGATCATAGGCAGCAGCTGACTGGACAGGGAGATCTGCGTGAATCCAATCTCTTGTGCAATCTTCTCAATTGCAAGCTCATGATCTTGGAATGTGTACGAGTGAACCAAACAGACTGCGATAGAGCGATAGCCCTTCTCGTACAGTTGCTGGAGATTCTGTCTTGTGCTTGCCTCATCGAGCGGTTCCAAGACACGCACCACCTCTCCACTGACCCCCTTCTTCAAACAGGCTTCTGACTGCAGAGATCTCTGAAGACTCTCTTTGTCTGGAGTGGGGTTTTGCTGATAATCCTCAATTGTGACCCGCTCATCGATCTCCACAACGTCCTCGTATAACACATCAGGACGCTGTATATTCAGCGCAAACAGTTTCGGCCGAGACTGGTTTCCGATGCGCAAAGCATCTTTGAATCCCTTTGTAATCAGGAGCGCATGTCGCTCTCCTTTCCGCTCAAGTAAGGCATTGGTAGCGACTGTTGTACCCATGCGAATGCTCACGTTTGAAAAGTCGGCGGTTGTGAGTTTTTGATCGCGAGGGAAGGTCTTGCCTGTTGCCTGTTCCAGTATGCGTCGGATACCCTCAATCGGAGCATCCGCATAATTTGCTGGATCTTGCGAAAGCAGCTTGACGACGACCTCTTCATCGCGTCCATCAATGATTCCTAGACAATCGGTGAAAGTACCACCGCGATCTAGAAGCGTATTAGTCTACCTGCTCCATTAATGGAGATAACCCAGTATCCGTTGTCACATGCTTGAAGCAACTCACCGATAGCGATCTTGATGCTTGGAGCTTCTCGTTTGTGAGGAGACATGGTTAGGCGATATGTCTGATTAGATGCTTATTGTGAGTGCCAGGGCCAAAGGCTGCCTTTTATCTACCATCACCTAAATCAACCAGCAGGTCGAAACGAAGTAAATCACACCCCACGCACCGCTATCTCGTCTCTTTCGGCATCTGACCGAGACAAAGCGGAGGTGGAGAAACGGGGACAAGAGCCGCTGATCAGTCGCTCCGACCTTCCTGCTGCAAGCAAACCCTAATTCACGGCCCCATTGGAGATAAGCATCTGAGCAAGTATCTTCCACCTTGTTTTGGGGTCAATTGAAGTATAAATCACCTCGATTAGAATCGCTTACCCTGGTGTATACAAGCCCCGTTACTACCACTTCCTGATACCCACGCATTCTCTATACGATGACGGCCAACGACAAAGGGCCAGCTAGTCCAGATTTCCAAGTCGCACTCGACCAGGAAAAGATTCAAGCCGTCGGCATTGAGTCTCAGACCCCAGTTGATGGCAAAGATGTCGCAGCACAGTTTCTCGCTCACCTGGATCCGACTGTCGCAGCAGACCCAGTGAGTGAGGCCGAATCACGCCGCGTGTTATGGAAAATCGACCTGATCCTCATTCCCCTGATCATGGTGACAGTAGTCCTGGCCGCCATCGACAAAGTCATCATCTCAAACGCGGCCATATACGGCATGAAGACGGACACCCACTTGACTGGCGACCAATACTCGTGGGTAGGCTCGGTCTTCTACTTTGGATACCTTGCCTTCGAGTACCCAGCAGCGCTGCTCATTCAACGGCTTCCTGTCGCCAAGCTGATATCAGGGTTGGTTGTCAGTTGGGCAGTCCTGTTACTGTGCACCGCGGCAACGCAGAACTTCGCGGGCCTGGCTACAGTGCGCTTCTTGATGGGCATGACGGAAGCCGCTGTTTTTCCCATTTCCAGTATTCTAACTGTCATGTGGTGGAAGACCAGCGAACAACCGCTCCGTGTCGCTTTCTGGTTCAACCAGTTGTCTTCTGTCTTCTCGGGCCTGGTGAGCTACGGTATCGGTCAGACGCACACCGCACTAGCACCATGGAGGCTACTCTTCGTAGCGTTGGGCTGTTTTACCCTCATCTGGGCTGTGGTGCTATTCGTCTTTTTGCCTGACTCCCCGGTGACATGCTGGTATTTTTCTGATCGCGAGAAATTCGTCTGCCTCGAGCGTGTTAAAGACAACAACACCGGCATGGAAGACAAAACCATCAAATGGTACCAAGTGCGCGAATGTCTCCTCGATCCGAAGACATGGCTTTTGGCGCTGTTCTCCCTTGCCCAGAATATCCCCAACGGTGGCCTGGTCACCTTTTCCGCCATCATCGTCACAGGTTTGGGGTACACGCCGCTGATCACCACCGTCCTGGGTATCCCGACCGGTGTCCTTGCAACAGTATGGCAGATCCTGCTAGGCTTCATTGCTGCCAACGTCCCCAACTCCCGCTGCAACATCATCGCCCTGGCCAACCTGGTGCCTATGGCCTGCGCCATCTTGATGTGGAAGCTACCACGCGAGAACCAGCAAGGCTTGTTGGCAGCATACTACGTCTTCTATACCTACTGGGCGCCGTACGTGCTGTCGACTTCACTTCCCATGGCGAATACCAGCGGGCACAGCAAGAAGCTCACCATGAATGCGATCTTTTTCTTGGCGTATTGCATCGGCAATATTATTGGGCCTCAATGCTTCCGTGCCACTGATGCTCCATCGTATTCTAGGGGATATGAGGGTCTCCTGGCGTGTCTGGTTGTGGCGATTGCGTCTATTGTTTCCTATGGACTTCTTTGCCGATGGGAGAACAGTCGCCGCGATAAGACAGGGCAGGAGACTATGGAGTTATCGGGGGATGCTGCGTTCTCGGATCTGACGGATAAGGAGAAGCAGTCTTTCAGGTATACTTATTAGTGTGGTTGGTAAATGGAGATGTGTAGTTTGACCATAGTATCATACAAGAGCCAACCCCGGGCTGCGGCCCGGCAAGAGATGAATCACCCAAGTAACACGTGAAGCGTGTACGTGTAAGTGTTAACTATACAAAAGGTGGCCAGGAAATGAGTACAGTCCCGGATGATCTCTCTCAGTTTTGTCGAAGTAATGATTTAGTCTCTGCGCCCTTGCTGTTCGATCAAGCCGACATGGATGAGAAGCCGTTCTTTTCTTCCCTTGCCCTTGTACATACAAGGAATCTGGTGAATTTGTAGGAGACAGACGATGCATGAGTACTATAAGGCATTTGTGTCACAATCTAGGTTGGGACTCGAGAGTCTTAGTTTTATGCGAGAAAGGGGATTTGAGAATGAAAACGTGAATTCAAACGAGAATTGTAATTGGAGCAAGCTTGAATGGAGGAGTAGGTCTATGTATAAGGTATCCGTCCGTACACCAGCGATCCTCCCGGTGTGTATGGAAATATTAAAACAGTAGAAAAGAGACCAGCAGAAGACAGTTTAGATTGATTCTTCACAGGGCGAGCGATGTTCCTGCGGGAATTGGCGCCTCGATTGCAACCTCAGGCCGCAGCGATCATGCACGAGCCACGCCTTGTAACAATCGGCTTGGCACGTTTGACCCCAAAGACAATGGAGCGGTCGTTGACTCGGGCTTCATCCCATGACACACAATCCCATTATCCTCAGCTCACGGATGTTGCGGTGGATGTCGATGTCGTCCGGGACAGGAGCATGGACCCGCTTTTCAAAGTTGTCAGGAAGCGCTTCATTCCCGCTTTGTCCCCAGATCTCATCATGTCGCTGATTTTGTCCATTTTGTCCCCGGATGGTTCAGAACCGTTCGAGTCTTCAGAACCGTTCGGGATCACGGGGAGGTGATCAAGCTTGACCGAGTTTCGTATAGTCAACGTCGTTTCTCGCTCCGCATCCAGGGCAGGCAACGGAGACTCCATCCGCGTAGCCACAAACGGCTTCGCAATCGACCTTGGCACAATGGACCCCAACTGTCCGCAGGTCCAGGCCAGAGACGGATGGAGCCCCGCTGCCGCCCAACTGCATTGCTCTGGGAGGTACTTCTTCATCCCGAGACGTCCCATGGGGAGACGGAATGCGACCTTCCACCCCATGACCCAAAGAAGAAGCAGGCAGGCTGGGCTCAAGCGACTCGCGGGTCTTCTTAAACCGCTTTTCCTTTCGCTTTTGCCATTTCTTCTGCTTCTTCTTTGTTGGCCCCTTCGTGTTGTGGGCCACAACAGACTCTGATGCAGATTGCCCGATGCCAGAGCTCATGCTCATGCAACAAACGCAGAATCACTCGCTCCAGTCCCCGGGACCGGGAGCACATGCCAACAATCCACTCGTCCACTCGTTAGGGGTCAACAACTCACGACCCCTCCCCCCACCCCCCACCCCCCACCGCCCCGCAGCGACTTGTACCGAAGATTAAGAGGGCGTGGAGGATCTTCTCGGACGGTTGGCGACGGGGCGACGGGGGGATGGGGCGGATGCGAAGTTCCGAAGTTCCGCGATCTGCCAGGCCTGCGGAGACTATCCGAGACTATGCTAAGATGCCTCATCACTCAGCAGTCAAGGGTAAGGGAGTGAGAAGAGGACATCGGGGAGCGACCACTACCATCACTGGCGTGGGTCGAGGCCTGGTCTCTTCGAGAGGGTGGTGAGACTGGGAGTTGAAGTGTGCTGCACGGACTCTCCGTGGGCAGAGCTTCTTGTCGATGGTGACTTCGAAGAGGGAGGACAGTACAGTCGAGCGGATTGCAGCTCCCAATCGCGAGATCTGCTGCACGGACACTCTGCGATACAGCTATTGGACGGGGTGAAACGGCTATGCTGAGGGAGAGAGTCAAGACCGCACTTGCATTGAACACAAAGAATGCATTCGTCAACCCTCACACTATTCTCCATGAGAGAGCGATGATGGCGCTCCTCTCATCTACACGACGGCGGATCAACGGTGGTCATCGGACGTCCTAGCCTCCTAGGGGACAAAAGAAGTAAGTGACGAGATCACATAAGCGGATTGACATCCTTGTCGGGCGACACTTACTGCACAGAAACTTATTTATGTGGTGTTTTCCGCCGATCCCCAATTGGACAGCTGCGTTGCTGAGATTTGCGATTTGAGGTAGGGTGATTTCTTCGAACTCCGGGAGGTTCGAGATGATGGCTGAGATGGTGGCTAAGCCATCGATGCGACCGTGAATTGACGGTGCTCATCAGCAAGATGCTGGATCTCAATGGCACCCAACCCACTGCCAGAGTTGGACGGAGAAGGGAGCAGCGATAAGGCAGTCGGATCATTGTCCATTGGAGATGGTTTGAGATCCCTATCTTCGAGGCTCCAAACAACTGTCCTTGAGGTTGAGATAATCAGCGCCACTGGTGTATTCACACACGCGGCATCCAACTGGAGCTCCGTCCCACGTGGATCAACGGAGAAGCCTCCTCGGTCTGTGCGTCGTCTGCAGTCGTCAGTATCAACTCTCGTCATGGAGATGATCTGCACACTCCGGGTGATACATGATAGGTGAAAGGAGGTGGGGGATCCTTACCAAGAGAGACCAGGGGCACTTGACCCCTCGAGGCAGCGAGGCAGCCGAGGGAAGGACGCTTGGGGCACTTGATCTTATGCTGGGAGGTCATCAGGCGCCTCATCAACCGATTCCGCTCATCACATCAATCAAGAAGCTCGTTGTGACAGGTTTATTGTTTGGTGTGGGGATGAAGGTTGAAGGGATCGATTGAGAAAGGGGAAGATGAAGTGAGAGGAGCACTTAATATACCATCCTTGGACGACTAAGCGATTGCTCCTAGACCCGCCGGGGATATGAACAGAGCGAGCGCATTGGAGGGTTGTTTCACATTCTGCTTTCGTGAGGCTGTGTTGCGGCTCGCTACGTTGCGGCTCACACTTCACGACGACATCATGCCCTTTGGTCGTCACATCTTGAACAAGGGCCTCCCGAGCTAGGTAGGTGGATAACTCACCCGCTTCCTTTCCTCAATCGGTTGGTCTTCTCTCATTTTTACTCCGGTATATCTACCTACACGATACATGGGATTATGGAGTGTCCTGGGTTGACTGGTGGGTTTGCTAGTCGATCAGACCAACTACAAGAGCCATGGAATGGTTTCAGTCAACCATCAGTTATGACAAAGTGAAATGTGTCCCGATGAGTCGTGGGGTGCACTTCTCATACTGACATTCATCTCAAAACCGAATTAGAAGCTGAAAGTTGGCTCGGCAAAACTGAGAGCAGCCGCAAACCGGAGAGGAAGATGAGTCGTTTGATCGATGGTGAATGCATCAAACGACATTCTACACGCTGCAGGGCCAATAGCCCGGTAGCTCGTATAAGTACTCCTTTGGTTCCTCCCGACTGATATATAAGTACCCAGGTCGGCCATATTGCCCGCCTGGTGGACGCTTCGATTAAAGTAAGTTATATTCTGCTTTCCGGCGTAACCTATGCCAATAGGTATTGTCACAACGAAGTCCTCGAATTACGACTGTAATTCAAGCGAGATGCAAGCGAAATGCAAACGACAAACGAAGCCAAAACCTGTCACACCAACCTATTTCCCGTCTATCTGCCGTAATTTGCGGTTAGTCGCTATTTCAACAGAATATCCGCATTACGCTGGGCAGCATACTTGATGGAATGTCTTTCGGCTTTCCGAACACCTTGGCCAGCTCTCCGTTATCAAAAAGAAAACCCGTAAAGTTAGGCGCGCTTCCTTGTAAGTCTTCGTCATGTAATTCGTCAGATGTTGCGCATATTCCAAACCTCCATCCTAGCCCGACTCCCCGTCTATCCAGGTCAAGGCGAGAGGATCACCCTGTTTGGCAGGTCAAGGTGGGTAGCTGATAAGCTTTGCCCTGAGCATTATGGGGGCTTCGGGCAGTCGCAGAATTTATTAAAGGGTCTTTGGTGTTGTCAACGCTCCGTTGGAGAAGTAGTAGACTAGGTATACAGGAAAAGGTAACTATAGTTCGTCAACTTCGTCTTCAACGTTTGGGAGAGGTAGGTAGTAGATAGTCGGCTGATGCGAGTCGCAAATCGCAATTGGACTTCGTAGGGCGTCAAACCCTAGTTCGCATCGACGCGTCTGGGAGTTTGAGTCTTGACTGTCTTTGTTGTTTCTATGGGTAAGTCACATGTTGATTCAGGCAAGATTTGGTGGCTTTGGGTTACCACATTGGAATAAGTCACAAGGCAGTGGAATATGACCGGATGGAAGCTCTAATTACCACACTCTATGGCTGTATAGATTTTGTTTAGGAGCTCACTGTCACTGAGGGAAAATACATTGGGATTGCAGCATAGTTAAGAATATTCCAACCTTCGTAGGCCTGTGAGGTGGCCCAAGGTTGTATCCAGAAGCCTGACTGCTGATTGACACCTCAGGCGTTAACCCAGCTTCGACCGCCCTCGATAGCAGATTATTCTGCCTCATGCTGATCGGCTTCCCAAAGGTTTTTTTTGTATTCTCAGTGATTTCCACAATATTACAGGACAAAACCAGGAAGCCTTTTGAAGTCATGGCATCCTCGGCAACTACTGGCAACCCGATGCCTCCATCATTATCTATGCCACCATCCCAATTCGCCCGCCTTCAACCTCACGCCTACCTTCGCGCCCACCTCTCTCCTCCATCGAGCGACCAGCCCTCAGTCCGCGCAAACGGTCGCGCAACCTCACAATTCCGTGTCACATCTGTCAATACCGGCTCTTTAACGCACGCAAATGGCAGTGCCGTCGTAAGAATCGGCGACACAACGGCTGTCTGTGGCGTTCGCGCAGAACTCCTACACACAAGTGATATATCTTCCTGGGGTGTCTCGCAAGCCCCATCGAAGCAAAATCCCACCAACACCAATGAGGCAAAAGACTCCAAATCTGAAGATGAGGATGATCAAGGCCAAATCCAAGATCTGAACCTGCTTGTCCCCAACCTTTCCCTCAGCACTGGCTGCGCGCCAGGCCTTACACCCGGGGCACCGCCTTCTGCTCTCGCCCAGTCACTCTCCCACCAAATCCTTTCCCTCCTGCACACCACCAATCTCGTTCGAGCAGATGACCTGCGCATCTGGTACCAGCCACCTAATTTCGACTCCGAAGAATTCCACAATCCGGGCGAGGGAATGGAGGTGGACACAGAACAGAGCGGTGGCCCTGAGCGTGAGATCAAGGCATTCTGGGTGCTCTACATTGATATCATGATTCTTTCCATGGCTGGGAACGCTTTCGATGCAGCGTGGGCCTCTGTATTAGCCGCGCTGCGGGATACAAAGCTTCCCAATGCCTGGTGGGATGACGATAACGAAACTATTTTGTGCTCGGATGATTTTGCCGAAGCGCACAGGCTGACTCTGCGAGGCTTGCCTATTGCTAGCTCATTCTGCTGCTTTGAGGGTGATGCCGCTGCTGGTTGGAGGGCGAATGTCATTCCAGATGCCGAGGAGCAGAAGAAAAAGAAGGGTTCGCAGCAAAAATGGATTCTTGCGGATCCGGATGGATATGAGGAAGGATTGACTCAGGAGCGGGCTTGTGTTGTCGTCGATAAAGAAAACGGAAAGACGATTATCGTGAAGATGGAGAAGCACGGTGGCTGGAACGTGGACAGTGATGATCTGCGGAAGCTTGTGGATGTGTCTTCTCAGAGATGGGATGACTTGAAGCAAGCACTAGAGCAATGCTGATCAAATTGATACGCAATAAAATGATACCACTACAATTAATTCTTCCTAGATTGCTATTTGCGCATTGGTAAACGGAGCTACGCAGAACAGTAGATAGACCTCGGATAATTGTGGAATTCATAACTAACCAAGTAACTGATTTCACAGATACATTGTCCATGTCAATGGCAGACATGAACGACCACCTCGTTAAGTTGTTGAGTTCTTGTTCATCACGCTGCGTCGCCTTCTCTTCAACGGCGGTTCGTCATCCCTATTGCGGTCCCTGGATACACGTACTTCCTCATCCTCTGTGTAGGAGGGCTTTGGCAGACTGTCCTCGGCTTCAGATGGCTTGCGAGGAACTGAGATAGAGAATGACACCAGCTCCGAGTTGTCGCGGGACTTTTTGGGGTTCTTCGTCTCAACTCTACCCTCTTCTTTCTCCGATGATTTCGCATCAGATTTTGAGTCGTCGGCTGCCTCGCCTTCAGCTTTCTTGGCCTGTGCTGTATCCTCGGATTTTGGCGTGTGCATAGATTCACCAGAGAAGAGACGCATAAGGAGACTCTTCTGGTCGCCGTTAGAAGTCTTGTCTTTGACCTCATCCTCGTCCTCCTTCTCCTTATCATCTTCTTCCTCCTCAGCATCAGAGAACTCCCACATTGTGCTTGTCTCACCTCGAATAAGCGCAGTACCCCAAAGTGAGATCAGCACGCCTGGAACCAGATAGAGAAGAGCTGGTTGGGCATGATTTGAATATTGCATGGCAAGGAGGGTTGTGACCATCCCAAAGACATAGCCGATTATACTGGCCTTAAAGTAGGTCTTTGGGAAAGCCCGAGCATCATGGTAGGGGGGCTGAAGCTCTGGGCGGATTGGCTTGATTGTCGGCGCCCAGAACCGCTCTCCCCAAGCACCGGTTGCCGATTGATATTCAGGCTTGACAGTTGCCTGGTCTTGCGCTTCAGTATGTGGCAACTGAGCGCCTTTCCGTTGGTAATAAAGGAAAAGATCAAATCGAAGAGCCAAGCCTATCATCATACCGGGAATGACAATGTCACCCAACCCAAGCATGGCCAGTGGCACGGAACCAGGGGCATCACGGGAAGTGACCGGGCGAGGAAACAAAAGCTTGATCGGTACATCCAACTTCGTTGCAACAGTGACCATCAATGGAGTGAAGAAAACGAAGTAGATGTCATAAAAAAACAAGGAACCCAGAATGAGGGTTCCTGTCCAGAACGTAGAGGGAGACATGAATTGTAGAGTACCGTAGCAGAAGCAAAACCCAAGGAAGTTGGTCAACCACCACGGGTTTGCCACAAACGCAAAGTATGCTACAGCGGATAACGCGAGGATTCCGCTGGTAATATCGAGAAGGCCGATGAGGCATTTGAGGTCAAACAAACCACGAATATAAGCACGCACCTTGAGACGTTGGTAAGATAGATTTCGGCATCTCCAGAGCAGTCTCAGCACAGTACCTGGGAGTGGGACTCGGCCCAAAAACCCAGGAAGAGGTGAATGCCGTATGGCAGGTGAGTTGGCGGAATTGGTCTTCTCCGATGTGATAAAGAGGCGTTCGGACTGTTTCGCTTTCCACAACCGTCCACCTTGACGATAATATCTCGGAAATACAAATGAACGGATCATCAAGAGCACATCCTTTAGAAATGCAAATGCAAAGAAAAGTCCCATTTGCGAGAAGTAGAAGCCGAGGATCTTATTCAAGATAGCTGGATCTTCCAACCATTTGATCACCAGGTATAGACCACCGAGTGTGAGTCCAGCAGTCAACGGAAAGATCAATGCATCCGATGGCTCAAGGCCTTCCATCTTCTGCAATGGACCATGTCCCTCTTCATCTTCCGTGTCATAATCATCGTTATGTTTGTTGTCCTTCTTCTTGGGCGGTTTGGCGGCGGACGAAGGTCTTGTCAGGGATGCATGTGCACCGATCCAGATGGGGAAAAGAGCGGAAACGAGTAGGTGCCCGTAGGTTGGAAGAAGCGGCCTCAGACGCTCGTAGTGGTAGAGAGCCTGTCCAAGCAGCTCCGCGACAGGGCTGACATCGGCCATGGTGGACGGCGAATCGTAGACCGTAAACACAGAACAAATCACGTATAATTTGAGCGAAGGTATAGAAAACGAATGTATCAGACCATGATGGCGACCGAATTGCAATATAAGGGTGATTCTTTGAGTTGATCGCCAAGGTACTGGAGTCCTCCGAGCAGACGGGCGTAGTGACCATCAGCATCTGAGGTCAAGTCACCGCCTTCCACTCCGCTCTTTCTACATAATGCGGCTACAAATCCTTCTGGAACTGAAGTGTGCATGAAAGCGACTTGCGTCTTGAATGATGCCCTATAATCTTGCGCTTTTATTTCTTCTGCATGTGGATCTAGTAATCAATGAGCCATTTACATGTTTAGGAGCCTGTTATAGGAGATATCTGTAAGCCTGCTGCCCTGCAGCTAACTATCTGACCGGGCCAGTTTTCTGCCAGGCAAAACTTGCCAAAAGAGATGGGAGACTGGAATGGTCGTTGTCTTCCGCTGTAAGCCAGCCGATCCTCAAACTCCCGTCCTAGCTTTTCTCTCTAGCTCTTTGCTGGACAATTCGCAGTGAGATATCCATAATGACGACTGAGGTGGCATTTGACACGTCTATGGTAAATTTCGCTTTGTTTTCCACGCATGATTCTTCGCTAACCACCCCCCTCCCCGCAGGGCTCCTTCACCGTGGAGCTCTACAATACCCATGCGCCCAAGGTATGAGCCCCTCTGCCAGACCTCCCAGGGACCCTTTACTAATTATCTTGCTTTCCAGACATGCAAGAACTTTTCGACCCTCGCCCAACGCGGCTATTACAACAATGTCATCTTCCACCGCATCATCCCTAACTTCATGGTCCAAACTGGTGATCCCACCGGCACCGGCCGAGGAGGTAGCTCCATCTATGGCGAGAAATTCGAGGACGAGATCCGTGGAGATCTGAAACACACAGGTGCTGGAGTTCTAAGCATGGCCAACAGCGGGCCAAACACTAATGGCAGTCAATTCTTCATTACTCTTGCGCCTACACCCTGGCTGGACGGGAAGCACACAATCTTCGGCCGAGTGAAGAGTGGCATGCGAGTGATTCAACGCATGGGATTGGTCAAGACTGGCGCGGAGGACAGGCCAGTGGATGAGCTGAAGATCATTCGGGCTCAGGTGGTTGAGTCAGAGTCACAGGAGTGAGGGCCGCGCACGGTGTGGCTTCATCTGCGAATATAGGAGGGTTGGACACAAGTCTCTCTTGCGAGGAAGCGGCGCAGGAACGTGCTGTCCAGATTTGGAGAGCTTACAATGCAGCTGCCATACCCGTGGACGGGTTGCAGGCAGGCACAACATTCGGCACGCCCGGCAGGAGCCATGCTTGGGATAGCGGTGACCCTCGACTTGAATCGAGCAGCCGCAGCTGCTGCAAGCGAGCAATTTTGGTCTCTACAATGAATTATTAGAGTAGCAAAGCAAGCTACCACTCCGAATAATGAGATTATGAATGTATCACTACAAAACGAACCGCTTCCATCAGATGAATCCATCCAGAGCAGCAGATACAGAGTGACAAGAAATCTTATCTACCACTCCCATGGACGAGCTCCAGTGAAGGATCCCGTCAACGAAAACCAGGCTACGATAGAATAGTAGCCTGTTCTGTGCAAGCACTGGGAGTGGTATGGGAGAAAAAGTGTTCCGCCGAAAATTCAGTTAATATAGTGCCTCAGCCTAACCGCTTTTGGAAAAGCTTAGTAATTTCTACTGTAACCCGAGGCGCCCATCCTTGGCGGCAGTGTTTGGCCTATTCCTGGCCATATTTGGCTTGCACATAACCCGCCATCATGGGGATAAATACTTACCTGGTCTATTCAGCCTTTTAATAGGCACATAACTAGTATGTAGATACCAGATTTATATACATTCGAGCCGAAGTACAACCAGTTGTTGCGCGATATAGCATATTCACTTGAATCACTTGTACTGTCCCTTGGTATTGCACTGATTTTGTCCATTTGCTTCATTCAACAATTGAGATTGCAACCGCAAAACAGGCCCACGAAGCCAGATCAACTGTCCACGTGCGCAAACGATGAATTGTCAGCCAGCCCTCGAGGTCCTTGGTCGATAAGCCCTGCGACGTGTCCTCCACTACAGCCTGGATCTTGGGCGCAACAGCCGGCACAAAGAGAAGGTGACTGGCTGCCAACAGCGTGCCAGCTGTATACCAAGACAGTGAGGCCGAGCTACCCAGACCAGACTTTCGCTGTGTCAAGATATTGTATCCGCCTCCCGTCAGGGTCAGCGCAAGAAGGCCCAGCACGCGCACGACACCTGGGCCGAAGAAGACGCCGAAATAAGATGGCAGAATTTCATTGCTGCGGGTGCGGTGTTCGGGGTGGAGGAAGGTGTTCAGGAAAAAGTCCTGGTCGAGCGAGTACCAGAGCGTGCAGGTTGAGGTGATAAGTGGGGCTGTACGTAGGAGTGTACGGGGGTCTAAGATGAGTCCGGAGGCCATGATGATCGAAGTAGAGGGCAGATGGCGAGAAAATCCACAACAGATAACGAGGCAAGTAGAAGGGGTGCACTAGTAGCGAGAGTGTTGAGGGATGCTGTGGTTGTGGAGGACGAAGGTGGTGTCAGATCTGAGATCCCCTGTACTCCGTGTTGCCTGATGCAATTGGAACGATCTACTCCGTAGCTAGGCGGACAACCCTGTAGGTGCCCCGACGTGGTTGGCCGGGTTTTATACTGGCAGTGATTATCATATAAGCTGAATTTGCACACGCTTTATGTTGAAATATGTCCCAATAGGCCTTCAAAGGTCCCCAAGGAATGCTGTAGCTTGTCAGGCTGTCGATCGCAGCGACCAAGGGTCCAGATGCTATTTGCGAGCGCAGGAATAAGATTGATGCGTTCTTCAGGATGCTGACTGTGGAATTGCTTTGGTAAAAGTGAAGTTCAATGAGAATGTGAAACCTAAACCAACGCGAAAGACCGATCCGAGGGAGCTTCTATGCTAAAGGTGCTGAGAACCGTCGAGCACTCGAGCTTGATATGTCTCGCGGGACGGTAGTTATGGATAGACACAGGAGGGCTGGGCCTGCTGGCTCGGAATCTCTCTCAGAGCTTGAGACAACATATTCTAGGCCTGGTAAGATGCACCGAGACAGTTTAATCATACCAACCGTGTCTTGGAGCTGAATGCTGAGGGATTGTGGTGTTGACTGAAGTGGGGACCTACCTGGTGACCGCCTTGGCGCGCACTTCCCGCGTTTTTCTCCAAATTTTCTTCTCTTCTTCTTCTTCCTCCTCCAATTCCTCTCCCAACCTCAAGTCCATGGGCTGTTCAGTATTCAAGCTTGTGAAACAACAGACTATGCTTCAGTTGCATCAATTATCTCACTATTCACTCTCATGAGAGCTCTGGCTGCTTCATTTGGCCATAAAACTTGAACTTACTTGCAGCTAGGACTACGTTCCTGATCTTCCCACAAAATGGATACTTTGTCAGATACAACATGGGATGTGATCATCAACGGGACTGGTCTCGCACAGTCTCTTCTGGCATTGTGAGTGTCTATCCTGAGGGTGGCTGTGAGTGAGCACTCACACTCCCAAGGGCCCTCTCACGATCTGGAAAGAAGGTTCTCCACATAGACTCAAACCGGTACTATGGCGGTCCAGATGCAGCCTTTAGTCTGGATGAGGCCCAGGAGTGGGCGGAAGAAGTCAACAAAGGTTCGTCTTGTCTTGTCCACTGCTGGTTGTCTCATCGCTAACGATCAGTCACTACACAGACTCTACTGAGTCGTGTTTCAGAGATGCGTCTATCTTTGTACCGGACTCTTCTGCCTCTGAGGCCTCGGAGGGTACAACCGCCGCTCCCCAGCTTGCGTCCAACCGTTCTTACACTTTGTCTCTATCCCCATATTTCTTACATGCCCGTTCTCAACTAATGTCAGCCCTCGTATCCTCAAAAGTCTTCCGTCAGCTAGAGTTCATGGCTGTTGGAAGCTGGTGGATCTATACACCTGAACAGGCTAGTTCCGAGAACAGCGCACTTGGTGCAGAGAAAATCTTTTCCCGTGTGCCTGGCAACCGAGAGGATGTGTTCGCCGCCACTCATATCAGCATGAAGTCCAAGAGGACACTAATGCGATTATTGCGTCACGTCACCCAACCTAAGGAGGAGGTAGATGGGGATGAGGATATGTCAATGCCGTTAAAGGAGTATCTGACTTCTAAGTTCAGTGTCCCAGAGGAGCTCCACGATCCTCTGTTGTCATTGTCCTTGTCGCAACTGTCGCATCAAGACACCCCTGCCAGCTACGCTGTTCCCAGGATCCAAAGACATATTGCGTCTATTGGTCACCTTGGGCCTGGGTTCGGCGCTGTGATTGCTAAGTATGGCGGCGGTGCTGAAATATTGCAAGCTGCCTGCCGTGCATCCGCTGTGGGTGGTGGAGTATATGCTCTGGACACGCCTATTCATGACCTTCTATGGCGCACTACGCCCGAGTTTTCTGAACATCCTTTCTTGGCAATGCTCGGGAAGACAGGGACCGTCCAGGCTAAGTTTATCTTTTGTCCAGCGTCTCATGATCTTTCCGAACAGGCCTCGGGGCCTGCTGTCGATGTCAGCCGTTCAATCAATATCGTGTCGGCGACTTTCCCGTCTCTTTTCCCGGTTACAGTTGAAGGGGCTCCTGTGCCTGCAACTGCAGTCCTCATGTTCCCGGGCGACACATTGGGTAGTCCGCAATCTCCGCCAGTGTATGTCCAGGTGCATTCGAGTGACACTGGCGAGTGTCCACGTCATCAGAGTAAGTCAAATCTGTTTCTTCCCGTTCTCCTCCATCGCTCGCATGATGATTTTTTTCAAAAACTTATCTACATTGCCTGAACATTCTATGTTGCAAACTTTTTCAAACCTGATCACGAGCACCCTTACTTCATTTGGATTCGTCACCAATTATTCTTATCAAGTGGCTAACTTAATGTCGCAGGTATCATCTATTGCAGCGTCGCACTACCAGGACCGGAGGGTCAATCGCTGCTGGCATCTGCTGTGGACAGACTAGTCCAAGCAGAAGGAAGCTCGGCAAGTGTGCTTTGGTCTTTGCGATATACTCATCGCGGTAACCTTAGTAATGGCGAGACCAGGCACCTTACGACGGAAGATGACATTTCTAACCTCTACAAGTTCCCTGTATCGAGTCTTGATTTGGCGTTCGAGGACGATGCTCTCGAACTAGCTAAAGAGGCCTGGAAGAAGGTTGTAGGGGATGAAGTAGATGATGATGATTTCATGAAGTTTGATGATCGCGATGGCGCTTCTGATGATTCGTAGCACAGCGTTCTTGCAGTCATTAGCAATTACAAATATAATTGAAGATACTATTATTCATTGGAACTCGTCACCTCACGTTCATGCTGTATAACAAAAGCGAAGTGACTCGTCATTCCGTTGTCATGATAGCCCTCCAAAAACATCTGCAAACCTAGGCGCGATGAGGCGCTCAGTCATCAAGAGTAACCTCAATTACAAGAAGCTGCAATCTACATGTAGTGTTCGTGAAACAGGAATATGAAGCCAATAATTGTGGTGGTGACGCAGAATTAATATCCGCGACATAACCAGCTGCAACGCCCCATACGTCATGCCATGGACCTGATCGATAAGAAGCATGTACACTTTTATATCTCATCTCTCATCGCGGACATCAAACCTCTGAGATACAGATATCTCTCTAGATCTTCACTCCAATCCTCTAAAAAAACCGAAAGACCTCCCAAACCAATATGTCCCTCGACAACGCCACCACAGGCGTAACCAGCCAACTCCCCACAGACAAAGTCAACTCAACAACCAACACCGTGAAAAAGACACCCAAAAAACTGAACAAACCAACGAAAGACATTACCGACCAAACCAAAGACCTAACCTCCCAATCCATCCCAGGCGAATTCCCCTCCGACAACGCGCCCCCAAAAGGCCAAAACATCGACAACAACCTCTCCTTCTCCTCAATCTGGACCACAATCACAACATGGTTCGCAACTCTCTTCCCGAAAGCCTTCGACTACTTTGATTCCTGTCTGCAACGTCTGATGGCCTGGATTCTGCCTCCGCCGCGCCAGGCGGCCATGTATGAAGCGGCGCTGAAGAGGCCCGCGGCGACGACCTTCATCGTTTGCCAGATGATCTGCTGTGGGGTTCCGCTGTTCGTGTTTTTGGCGGGGGTGTTTGTTTTTGCGGCTGTGGCGGTTTTGCTCTGGGCGGTGCTTTCGGTGCTGGTGCTTGGACCGGTGCTGTTGGTTACGAGTATGATGGGGGTTACTATGTGGGGGTGGGGGTGGATTCTGTATGGGTTGGTTAAGTGGGTTGATCAGAGGTTTTGGGGGGTGTTATTACGAGGTTTTGGCTTTCGAAGGTGCAGGAGGGGGAGGGGGAGGGGGATGGGGATTCTGATGGGGAGGATGCGGAGAAACAGGGGAAGCAGGAGGGAAAGGAGAAACCGAAGAAACAGGAGAGAAAGGATGAATGAGGGCTTGTGTCGGTGGAAGGTGAATGTTTCGAAGGAGGCATTGGATTCGGTCATCCTGTATATACGCTTCTTGGGACGCATGATTCATGAAATTGAAACATTGGTATATGTTTCACACGCTCAAATTATCTCGAGAGACACGTATGGTACACCTATGAAGCTTTCGGGCATCGTATATGTGATGTTATAGAACACGAACTCATTGACCGAGTGATCGGTGTTGTATGTGATCGTGTAATCCGACAAAGCATTGGTTGTAACCCTGACATCCAAGCCAGGAAGGCCTTCCAATCCAGTCACATTGACACCATTGTTAACAGTGAGGCCACTGAAAAGGAAAGTGAAAGCCACCGGATCATCGCTGGATGTTGCATTTGGATAGGAGATATTCAGAGACCGCGGCGCAGCGACAGCATCAATAGATGACTGCGTAACCCAGTGGGTAATGCATCCAATCTTGCCCTCATCAATAGCCCACTGAATAACAGCCGGATTGAACTGACTGGGATTGATACTGGGCCCTCCAACAACCGTCTCGGCAACAGTTTCCGCGCCAATAGTCACGTCCTTGGATATCCAGGCAGTGATATTGCGAGGGTACGTATCAAAAGGCGGCGAGTACGCCTGCGAAGTGTACATATGTTCACCAGGGAACTCGGTTAAACTCGCCCTCGTCTTTGCAGACAAAGACTTGACCATCTCCGGCATAGACAGGGCAAACAGCGGATAGAACGCGAAATCGTCTTGATGATACATCCCCAGCTCCTGCTGAGGAACAGGAGCCTTCTTTCGACCAACGACGCCCCAAATCACGGCGCCAATCAGCGATGCATATTCATTCATGTCATAGCCATATGACCGATCCCACGGCCCAGCGAGATTCTTCAAATTCGCGTTATAAAGCTGTGCAAGTTCGTCCCAGCTGGATCTCAGCATCTCCGGTCCATATTTTTTCAACAAACTGTCCTTTGTCCCGTATTGATTCCAGAGAGACAGTGCCCACATAGCCACGCCAGCATACGTCGGGGAATTGAATTCTGACAATGTACGGTGCATACTCCAGAGATCGTAAATTTCCTGTGCGAACTTCTCGCCGGATTGAGTCAAGTTCGCATCTCCAACTCGTGCGCCAACCCAGTTCTGCAGGATCGTGCGCATCAGCCACGGATTGGAATAACAAGGGTAAGAGTTGTCGCCGTCGACGCCTCCAACTCGGTACTGGTCACCCTTTGCTGCAATGTGCAGGGACTTCTCTATCTTGGACACTGTCGCTGCCGGAAGCAGGTGGCCGTAGTCGTTTAAAGCGACTATCCAGGCACAGCCAACGAAATCACGAATATTGGGATCCCACTAACCCCACAACCACATTAGCCGTTAGCCATAACAAGCACACAAACACATCAATCACTTATCAACCTACCGAACTATATGGCCCATCATCAGGATAAACCAACGTCCCAGGCTCCGGCTCCGAAGGCGCCTGTGGATAATCCCCATACCACTGCTTCGACGGATCAAGATATTGTCCGGAATTGACATTGTCGAAGATGCGCACTGCTCTGGCGACATCGCCCCGACCGTTCCTGGCCAGCAATTGCGTCGCATACCAGGCGGAGTGGCGACTATCGTAGCGGCCACGACTGCTGCTGGCGGTAATCAGGTAGCCGGCTTCGTTGTCCCAGTACTTGTCGTTCCACTCGATGGCGGTTTTGAACATTTCGACTGCGTGCGGTGAGGTGTGGGATTTTGTGATCCAGTTGTCTGCTGGTGCTGCTGAGATGATTGGGGCATTTTGTATGGTGATGAGGGCTAGGAGGGAGAGTGGGAGTTTCATGGTGGGTAGACTGCCAACTGGCGGGTTGGAGATGGAGGATATCGAACCATTTCTTCACTGCGCTTTTTATAACCATTGCATAGCTTTCGGTGCCGGGGGTAATTGGCATATCTCGGTCTAGTTCACTCCGTGAGCGGTCCGCCGGTCACTTTGGGTAAGATCTACATCGTGTTAGTGGAGTCTGACGATTTTTAGCTGAGTTTGGAGTAGATGCAAGTGTACCTAGCTCAGGACGGGATCTGGTGACTTATCTGCGTTCTTCAAATATCTTGTCGTGTTTAATTAGCTGTCAAGTGGCCTTAATGTGGCGGAGTATGAGCTTTCAATTGTGTGACTATTACATGCTTAACATGCAGGTACAACTGTGCCACGCATTGAGGGCAGTTCGATCTATTGCTACGGGCCACGGCTATCTGGGCCTCTCTAACCAAGAGCTTCCCCGCTTCATAAAGTAAAAATAAAAATAAATTCCACCTATCAATATACAATAAATCAAAACGAGAGCCTAGTTGAGCAACTGCGAACCAAGAGCAATAACCTGATCCCATCGAGTCGCCAACAGTGCAGAAAGCGCAAGCCCTCCAATACTCAACACCCACTTAGAACGACTAGAAGTCAAATCATTACCCTCCCGATCAAACGTCGGCTTCGCCGCAGGAACCATCTTATGAGCCTTCTCAACCGAGTAAGGCGGGTATCGCGCCGTGATAACCCCCTCCATCCACCACGGCAACGCATTGATATACGTACGCAGATGGGAGAACGTCAAGATACCATATGGACCATGGTAGTACCCAGTTCCTGAGTTTCCAACACCGCCGAACGGCACGTCGCGAGCAGCGATGTGCAGACCGCAGTCGTTGAAGGTGACGCCGCCGGACTGGGTTTCGTTCAGGATGCGGGACTTGTCGGCGGCTTTGCTGGTAAAGGCGTAGATGGCGAGCGGGTGCTCGCCTGCACGGGTGGTGGAAATGGCTGTGTCGAAGTCTGCGTCGATGATGGGCAGGATGGGGCCGAATAGCTCTTCGGAAAGGAGGGAGTCGCCGGCTTTGACTCCGGTGACGATGGTGGGAGCGAAGTAGCGGGTTTCGCGATTGCGCTCGCCGCCGTAGACGATCTTTCCCGAGGTTTGCTTCAGAAGTGTGTCGAGGCGGTCGAAGTTTCGCTCATTGATGATGTGCGTGTAGTAGTCTGGGTTCTGGGCTTTGCCGCCGGCGAATGTGTCGAAGTATTTGATCAGCTCGGCGACGAGGCGGTCTCGTAGGCCAGGGGCTACGAGGACGTGGTTGACGTTCAAGCAGATCTAGGAGCCGCGAAGAGTCAGCGATAGGAGCTTTCGATGGGGGTGATTTCATTGGTATGATTGGCACTGACCTGTCCAGCATTCATGAATTTGGTCACGGCAATGTGCTTAGCGGTGAGATCGAGATTCGCCGACTCTGCCACGATCGCGGGACATTGGCCGCCCAACTCGAGAGTAACGGGGGTCAGATGCTTTGCCGCTGCGGCATGGATGATCTTGGCAACATTGGGAGATCCGGTGTAGAAGATGTGATCGAAGCGATGTTCGAGGATATAGCTCATTTCCTGAGCTCCAGCAGAGACACAGCGGATCGCATCCCGATCCATATACTTAGGGATGATATCCATCAGTACATCCTGGGTGGCGCTTGCAACGTCCGAAGGCTTGAGGATCATAGCACACCCGGCAGCAATTGCAGCAAGCATTGGCTGCAGAAGCAGAGTGATCGGGAAATTCCATGCTCCAATAATTAGAGTCACCCCAAGCGGCTCTTTGCGGATTGTGGCTCCGCCTAGGAAGTTAAGAGGATCAGACCTTTCTGGTTTTATATCCTTTGTCCACTCATCGAGTTTGGCGATGGTACGGAGGGCATCCGCTTGGACAGTGCCGCAATCACCGGTGTATGCTTCTTGATAGTGCTTGTGGAGGTCAGTGTAGAGGGCATCACAGATACGCTTCTTGTTGTCCTCGATCATCCACCAGGCACGCTTCAGCTGACGGCGCCTCCATTCTTTATTCTTGGTGGTGCCGGCTGCAAAGGCACGGTTTGCGCTTTTATACGCCTTCAGATGTCAGCTTTGAACTAGAAAGACTGATGTGTTGACATACCTGGTCAAATTCAGCGGCAGTACTGAAAGTCATAATTAATTCGATAAGATGAAATGGTGGTAAAGAGGTTCTTAGTTGACCTCGGGAGGGTTGAAGCTTTTAGGGGAGCGGGAAAGCGTCAGAAAATGCACACGATCGGACTTGCCGAGGACCTTGGCCCAATTTCTTTGTCCGGTTTCTTTGTCAATATGTTGTGATTCCGTGATTCTTACACCTGCATAATGTGTGTGAACGTTTATTTCATTTGAGATTGACAACAATCAGGGGGTAGTGCCTAGGTGTACTCTCCAAGGCGGGGTCGTTTGGAGGGTTCAGAGGCCATGTTATTTTATCCCGACCTCTTAGGGCTGTGTCCAGGCTATGTCCATTGTTTAGCCATGATAGACTAAAAAAAACAAAATACGAGAGATCAGGTCAAGCTCCTGCGTTCAGTCTGCTGTGAAATGTTTCACCGATGATAAACATCCTACACCTTTCTTTTTCTTAGATGCAGTACTCTCTGGATATCAGGCATTTCCTCCCTGATCTCCTGCCACTACTAACATTTGAGTCTTTCCTGTCTTTACAATGGCTATCTCCCATCACAGCCTGAGGCTAACATCCGTGCACACTCACCAGTATCAGCCACAATGAACCCCGCATTTCATCAATCTCATAAGACATCTTCATCTCATTGCCTACATAGGTTCGGCCTAGGAATAAGCTTACAAGGGTTCGGGGATTATGCTACAGGACAAGGGCTAACTACTACAGGTGAGGCTGACATTTCTCATCAACTCCTTGTAGGTTCGGGTCATCTATAGAATACCTCAATATATGCAACTCACGGGTTCTCAGTCATTTAGTCCTAACATTATAGGAAAGTTGATTGTAGGATAGAATGAAATCAAGAATGGCCAGCCTTCTACATATCACCCCTGTTTAACCCATGCAGACATTCCGCGCAGCCCTAACTACATATGGTTATCAGCTCTTGGCATTGCATTGCGTGGAATAAGCCGAGATAAGACAGAGAAGGGTTCGTTGGTTCCTGCTTCCTCAATATATGCTTATACCTATGCTTATACCGGCCTTCCACGGACCATGCTTAGCATGGATTGCTACCCCTTCACCACCTTCCTCAAGTCTCCTGTCGATATAATCCATGCTTTGCTCTTCAGCTCTACACTAAACGAAGATATCGATCGCCACCCCCGCACCATTGTTATCTTCCCGTCTCTATTGTTCCTGTGCTCTACTCCGTAAATGCCGGGAATTCTCCCACTGCCAAGGAGCGTCCAGGGACCATACACGGCCTTGGCGCTGTAACCTCAGCCCTCACATTCCTCAGTGCCGTCGGTGTTCCGCCTGCCATTTTGACCTTGATCACTCCCCGGCCCTATGAGAAGGCTTCCTTATTTGCGAGGTGCAGCAAGCTGCTTGGCTTCCCGTCGGGGCTCTTCCAGTCGCGAACAATTAAACTTCTATCATCGCGTGCTTCACAGATACACCGACAATCCGGGGCACGGGAATGGGTATAAGAAGCCCTTCCCCCCTAGTATCTCCAAATGATCATCCATTCCATTTCCAACCATGAAGTGGCAGCTCTTGATAACCCACCTGTCCATTGCCTTGGCCAGTCCGCCGAAGCCTTTGGTTTCACCGGTATGTGCGCAAGCTGTATCTCCGCAGACTTTATCAGGTGAAGCTGACTTATTAGGATAAACTTACCTCTCTGATCCGACTGGAAGACCTCTTGCATGGATCCCAACAACTTGAGGACATTGCTTATTCGTATCCCGAGCGGAACCGTGTCTTTGGTAGCAAAGCACACAACGATACCGTTGACTTCATCTATCGCGAATTGAAGAAAACCGGCTACTACAATGTGTACAAGCAGCCCCAGGTGCACACATGGAGCAAGGCAGACGCCACTCTGAGCGCCGACGGCGAGACCATTGACGTGGCCAGCATGACATACAGTCCCAGCGTCGACGTGACTGCAGAGCTGGGAGTGGTCGCAAACCTCGGATGCGATGCATCGGATTACCCCGCTGACTTGGCTGGTAAAGTCGCCCTCATCAAGCGCGGAGAGTGTGATTTCGCGCAAAAGTCGGTCTTCGCTGCTGCGGCCAATGCAGCTGCTGCCATTGTTTACAATAACGAAGGCGGGGCTCTGAGCGGAACGCTCGGTGGTGTGACTAGTCCGCTTGGCCCTTATGCCGCCATTGCGGGCATCTCTTCATCCGACGGCGAAGCCCTACTCACTGCGGCACAGAAGGCTGCAGTGACTGTGGATCTCAACATCGACAGCAGAATCGAGAACCGTACTACATTCAACGTGATCGCAGAGACCAAGGGCGGTGATCACAACAATGTCGTCTCTCTCGGAGGTCACACCGACTCAGTCGATGCCGGCCCAGGTATCAACGACGATGGCTCTGGAATCATCAGCAACCTTGTTGTCGCCAAAGCCTTGACCCGATTCTCTGTCAAGAACGCCGTGAGGTTCTGCTTCTGGACTGCGGAGGAGTTCGGCCTCCTCGGCAGCGAGTACTACACCTCGCACCTGAGCGAGCGTGAGCTCGAGAAGATCAGACTTTATCTCAACTTTGATATGATCGCCTCGCCCAACTATGCCCTTATGATCTACGATGGTGATGGAAGCGCCTTCAACCAGACCGGACCCGATGGATCGGCCCAGATCGAGGCTCTCTTCGAGAAATACTACAAATCCAAGAAGCTCCCGTATATCCCCACTGCGTTCGATGGCCGCTCCGACTACGACGGTTTCATTTCCCGTGGTATTCCCGCCGGTGGGCTCTTCACTGGTGCTGAAGGCATCATGACTGAGGAGGAGGCCAAGTTGTTCGGAGGCAAAGCGGGTGAGGCTTACGATGTGAACTATCATGCTGCTGGAGATGACATGACCAACCTCAACCACGAGGCATACTTGATCAACTCGCGGGCTACGGCTTATGCCGTTGCGACTTATGCCAAGAGCCTCGCTCATTTCCCGAAGCGGGCTAAGGCACACCCGAAGCCCCCTAAGTTCGCGTACAGGAAGGGCGCTCACAAGTCCCACGCTCACACCAAAACCAAGGGATGCTGGCACTCTCTGGTTGAGATGTAAGATTGTCTTGCCTGGTCTCATGCCACGGACCGTTTATAAAGAAGTTCGATTCAATAAATTTTCTGATCGATGACTATTCTTTTGTCCCAGTAAGGTATATCATTACATCCGTTAACGTTAGGGTCTATCTTGTAAAATCTAACTTAGGATTTGAACATACCTTACCAGTATAACCCAACTCTCTGAATACAGCGAAAGCCACTTTATATAAGTGTTGATGGGATGGGATCTGAATTTTCGATGGGCCTCTAATAATTAGGTTCGAACTCGCATCCCCGCGCACACCTCGCCAGTTGGTGAGGCTTGCCAGTTGACGGATGGTTTGCCAGTTGGCTACCAGTTGGTGGGTGGAGTCACGCCAGTTGGCGGAAATTTCGCCAACCACGCGTCTGGAACTCGGCATCTTCCAAATCAAGAATCTAACATTGTTGAACCCGCGAACACGAACAGCTAATTGATCCAGGTCCTTATTGAATGTCGTTCCTGAAGTCACCGTCAAACACGATTACCCCCAAGTTGAAGACTTCAGCCTACTTCAGCCAATGAAATAGCCGAAACTCGGCTTATCGCCTTAGCTCGCATATAACTAACAAAGGCCGCCTTCCACTTATATGCGGGGTAAACCCACCTGGGGCACCACTCACCAGATCATGTGGGAATCATGAGCGGAATTTCAAGAGCTCGCACCGGCTGTTGGACATGTCGTGCGCGACGGATCAAATGTGACGGTACACTCTTGCCCCTGACATACTGCAGGAACCCCCAGTCCCAACTAAAACAATTGATCAGAAACCCACCCAATCTGCCGTCGATGCGCGCGCAACAATGTCCCATGCGAATACGGAGTCCGTCTAATCTGGCACGAGGAATCATTAGCCCGGGGTGTCTGCCACGGCAGGGCGGGTGTATGGTCGAAAGCTAAAGACGCGGGGAAGAAGAAAAAAGCGTTGGAGCAGGCGGATGTTGAAAACAGATTGTCGCTAAGACCGCATGCGCGCGCTGATCAGCCCTGGATGTTCTTGAATACGACTGTGATCGATCTCAAGATCCATCTTGATGGCACCCAGCCCGATTCAAATGAATTAAAGGCGTTTTGGGAGCCTGGTCCTTCGTCATCTTGGCTGAAGGTGGCTCCTTCGGATTCACCGAAGTCGGGTTGGGAGCCGGTGCTTATGTCTTACTTTGAAGACGTTATTTGCAGCAGCTCAACGCTTGTCGATAATGCACATTACAATCCATATCGATATCTGATACTTCCCATGGCGTTGCAGTGCCAGGGACTTTATCATGCTGCTTTGGCTATCGCGGCTAATACCCTGAAGCTGTCAGATCAGAAGTACAGGCTTCCGGCATTGGAGCATCATCATCGAGCGTTGAGCCACCTGCGTGGTCTGCTGAACAAGCACAGTTGGGAGGAGAATGAATTGGATGAAATGCTAGGGTTGGTCTTGATGTTATGTTGGTTTGACGTAGGAGACTCCCCTTTTCTCATCTCTTTAGCGGTCAATATCCTCATTTCTCACAGATATCAGACAGTAGTCGCCCTTCGTGGGTGACCCATCTGAACGGATTCCAAGATTTGATTCGAACACGCACAGAACGCCCCGGTCGCTCATCTCACAGCCACGAACTGGCCAGTTTCTTCAATCGCTATTTTGCCTTCCATCTAATTCTCGCTCGAACAGCGTTCCGTGTCACTTCACCTACGTCTCATAGAGCCTACATCCTACCGCAAAGTATAATCGAAGGATCGGATATGATAGATCCATATATGGGGTTGAGCCCTGCCCTCTTGTTACTGATTGATCAGATAGCTGAGCTGGCGTGGGCTCGCGAGGATGACTGCATGGATACCAACCGTAAGGTTGTGTATCAACTCAAGGAAAATTTGGATACCCTGCAGCAAAAGGTACCTACAGAGAGTATCGATCCCAGCATGGAATGTGCTGCTATCGCGGAAGCAAATAGGCTGGGTGCCCTGCTGCTTTTGCATGAGATCTGTTCAACGAAGGTTCTAAGCCCGCCTGGCATTCCGATATTGGATTGCGAGGAGAAGATTGTATATGTTGAACAGATACTGGGGCTTTTGTCGGAGAAAAAGGCGAACATGATGCGGACTGCCGTCATGCCCTTATGGCCCCTGTTCCTGGCAGGTTGCTGCGCGAATCGAGAAGAGCAAAGGGTTGTTGTGCTACGGTTGTTTGAGGAAGTTGAGAGTATCCGTCGATACGGAGTATGTATATCGGACCAACCCTATTTGTCGGTTGACTGACATCTGGCCGGCTTTCCAGAATATCGCGCCGGCTGTCGAAGTCGTCGAAATGGTCTGGCGTCAGCGGGATCTGTCGGCGCAGGATGAAATAAAGCGTCAGAAAAAGAACAGCACACAACGGCAGAAAGATTCTTCACAAGGGCCTCGTTTCTCGTGGGAACATGCCATGGTTATGCTGGGTGGGTGGAAGCTCAGCTTGACTTGAGCTTCGTTGGGGTGAAAGAAAGAAGAGAGGGAGGGGAGAGGGAAGAGGGGAGTATTTTATGGGAATTGACTTTTCCCATTGGGAAGTCGCTCAACAGGGAAGGAACGCAGGTGGACGAACCCAGAGTGTGTGGTCAATGCTTTCTTCATAAAATGATACAACGAGAAGGACTTGTCTTTGCTTCTCCATGCAATACGTATAATCCATAGTACACTGGAGTCATCGCTTTTTGGTATGTCTTCCCTTGTAGCAAAGAGATGTTCCGCCGATACATTTCATCTTCAGACAATGCATTCGAAGAGTTAGCCTGAACAGAGTCCCTCTCGAACCGCTGACGGGAGTCCACTATTTCATGATTTGGCGAATTGAGCCGGAGTTCAATACCAAAGCGACACCTCCACTGAGGATCATTCGGGCTCAGCCCCGGTCCCAAGTCAATCCACCGGGTAATAGTGAGGCTTGCATTGTTTTCATCCAGGGTTCGCATCTCCAACTTCCAAGAGGTATTGCATTTATCACAACTGCCTTGGTCAGCTGGTGGCATTGGGCTTGTTTTAGAGCAATAACGCTCAATCTGAGAGGTAAAGATGTCGCCAAATCCCGGGTTATGAGTGTGAATATGCTTGCAGATCTCCACGAGTCTATTTTCGGGGCACGGCCACATCCGTGGTATGTTCTGTCGTGCTACGACCGCTATTTCTTGCGTCCTCAAGCACAGGCCCGGAGGTTTAGAGCAAACTCGAGCCTCAGCAGAGAATAGTGTCATCAGAACATCGTTTTGAGGATCCTGTTCTGATATGTTGTTGACGTAGGATTGCAACGAGAGCAGGCCTTTGCCTTTGAGACGATGACGCTTTACCTCCGTATAGAGCATTGGCTCAACGGGAATTCCAAAACCCGGCCCATAGTAGAACCTTCTCATAGCAAGCTGAAGATGAACGAAACGGAATTGGTAATAGGCAGAGCATGGGTAGTGACAGAAGGGTAGAGGTGTTTGAAGGCACTCGTCTTTCAGCTTCAAGCCAAATGAGCAATCGACATGATAGTAGCTTGGAGGCCGAATATTTTTCCACAAATGAAGTCGGAGGCAGAAGAAGCAGAGATAGTACTGCGGTAGGTCGCGAGAAAGCCGGGATAGCAGATTGATACGTGCGTCATCAGTGAGGTTTCCGTTGCGGCCGATTGTGAAGTCACGAAAAGCACTAGCAAGTGAAGACAGCAGACGCCGGTTACCGAGTGCCAAGCAAATAAGTTCAACTGGCGATAAATGCTCAGAGGTCATCCACAACACCTCAAGTGGAAGGTCAGCCAAGGCTGTTGGGTCTCGCGTGACCATCCTGGTTGCGAAAGGTATCTGCCCTGACTATCGCCTAAACTAATATCTGAAATGCCAGACTGATCAGCTCATGATAGAAGAAAAGATCGTTTTGTAATGATATCGATGGAGGCAAAAGAAACGAGATCACTGGTGTCTTGGTTGGAGGGAGAGACAAGAAGGAGAGAGAGATGAAGGTCCGGGCAAGGAAAGTCAAACGTACGCAAATATTACCGCTATATGAGTATCGAAATTTGAACCTAACCGCGATATCTAGTTATTGCATTCCATGTCTAACCTACTTCCCCGACTTCTACCTATATCCCGGATAAATCACAATTTCGAATCGCTCCTCTCACGCATCTGTCGATCCTTCCATCCCGTGAGATCATTTAACTCCATTTCCGGATCCAAATGCGCCAAGTTCGTCGCGATGCTCGTTTGCCCGGCTCGCCATTGCCACAGGCGCGCGATTTTCGGGTCGAGAGACCCTTCAAGCATTTCCGCAACGTATTTGCCGACAATAGGAAAGAACTTGAACCCGTGCGCTGAGCCACCAGTAGCCAGGAAAAGTCGCTTGTGGTCAGGATGAGGAGTGACAAGGAAATGCCGGTCAGCTGTATCAGCATCCCAGCAAAGCCGCGTATAGCAGAAAGGTCGATCTGCAAGCTCGGGCAGCACACGCCACAGGTTACGGCGCATCTGAGCTTCAATCTCGAGAGGCAGTCCGTCGGCAGGTTCCTGGACGAACGTGTGTGGAACAGAAGTTGTGATTCCAGACTTTGTTGTTTGCACATTGGTGATGAACTGACTGTGTGCCATCTTGAACACTCCATCTTCCTGAGGCGGGAAGTAGTAACCCAATTCGAGATTATCCATTATAGGCATGGTAGCGTAGCGTTTAGCTTCAGAAGGCGTGAGCTGGATATGCGCCACACTGTGTCCCTTAGCAGTCAACTGGCCCTTGACATCCAGCAACGAAGGCGTCCAAGCCCCAGCAGCCAAGATAACCAACTCCGCCTTGTGTCTCTCCCCATCGGCAGTGACAACACCATGGCACTCACCGGACACATTATCCAGTATCAACTGTTGCACACGGCCCTTGCTCTGCCCGAAACTGTACTTCACACCCATCTCCTGCGCAGCACCCGCCATCCGCTCGACAGCCGTCCCAGCAGCCGCCCATCCAGCCGTCGGGTTCCAGACATTGATATTCCACCCATCAAGCAAACCAGTGACAACTGGAAATCTCGCCTGAACTTCGTCCGTCGTAAGCCTCTCAAGACCCTGCACACCGAGATTCTCACATGTCTGAATCGACCCCTCGACAAACGGCACAGACAGCTTCGCCGCGCTCAGAATCCACCCTGTAACACGATACAGTCCTCGAAACAGTGGCCAAGACCGCCATGCCTCGATAGCCTCAATCGCTAGACGCGCGTACAGCGGCTCGTTATAGTCGCTGCGGATGATCTTGCTAATATCGGTGGAAGCTGCCTCGCAGGAGGGAGGCGCGTAGGGGTCCAGTACGCGAATGTGAGTGTATCCGCGCTGCGCGAGATGGTATGCCGTTGAGGTACCGAAGCAACCGGCTCCGACGATGAGGATTTGCGTGTCTTTGTTCATTTTGTAGGTTCTGGATTGCTGTGGTCGCTCGGATAGGGTGGCGTTGCTATTTGTATTGAGGCATTTGCGTGGCATATTAGCTCGCTACCAGCTTCCTTGCGCACAACGCATGCATTCTGATGTGTGTTCATTACATTGGGGTGGAATCAACAGCTTCGTTCTGACCTTCCGATAAGGGCTTTGGACTCGGCGATTTCGGAGATGCGCCGATTAGGTTGATCGTGGCGCTCGTCTTGACCTGCTCTCAATCAATTGATACCGTTTGCCATATAATTATACGCCATATCAGACGTTGCACGTGTCGCAATGGGATTATCGGGGTAATTCGTAGGGATATTGCCTTGCCAGTTGACACAAGACTTGCCAGTTGGCGGGAAGAATACTGCCAACTGGACAGAAGACTTTTGTTGATATCTTATCATTCAGAGAGGTACTGTACACATGTACGCCGTACGGTTTACCTTTAGTGTCTTTATCTCTGGCGGGGCCGCAGGCCCGGTTGGGCCTTGTATGACTTATTGGCTGCTAGCCTACCATGCCGTCCACTTTATGGGCCCTCCTTTCCTGCCGAATCCTGTGAGGTCGCACTTCATCATGTGACCTTCACCCTTGACCAATGATCATATGACTGACTCTCCCGCTATATCCAATTAGGGCTAGCGCCAAATGCTAGAGGATTCGCCAGCACCACATTTCTGCCTGGTCAGGCGACCATATTGATCCAATATCGAAGTCCACCATCAACGCTTATTCTGTTTATATTCGGTTTTTCAGAAATCCGAATATATTTACCCCCGGGAAGCTCCTAAACTTTAGGAGCCAAAGTTGAACAAAATCTGTACAGCCATAGAGTGGTAATTAGAGCTTCCATCCGGTCATAATTCCACTGCCTTGTGACTTATTCCAATGTGGTAACCCAAAGCCACCAAATCTTGCCTGAATCAACATGTGACTTACCCATAGAAACAACAAAGACAGTCAAGACTCAAACTCCCAGACGCGTCGATGCGAACTAGGGTTTGACGCCCTACGAAGTCCAATTGCGATTTGCAACTCGCATCAGCCGACTACCTACTACCTACCTCTCCCAAACGTTGAAGACGAAGTTGACGAACTATAGTTACCTTTTCCTGTATACCTAGTCTACTACTTCTCCAACGGAGCGTTGACAACACCAAAGACCCTTTAATAAATTCTGCGACTGCCCGAAGCCCCCATAATGCTCAGGGCAAAGCTTATCAGCTACCCACCTTGACCTGCCAAACAGGGTGATCCTCTCGCCTTGACCTGGATAGACGGGGAGTCGGGCTAGGATGGAGGTTTGGAATATGCGCAACATCTGACGAATTACATGACGAAGACTTACAAGGAAGCGCGCCTAACTTTACGGGTTTTCTTTTTGATAACGGAGAGCTGGCCAAGGTGTTCGGAAAGCCGAAAGACATTCCATCAAGTATGCTGCCCAGCGTAATGCGGATATTCTGTTGAAATAGCGACTAACCGCAAATTACGGCAGATAGACGGGAAATAGGTTGGTGTGACAGGTTTTGGCTTCGTTTGTCGTTTGCATTTCGCTTGCATCTCGCTTGAATTACTGTCGTAATTCGAGGACTTCGTTGTGACAATACCTATTGGCATAGGTTACGCCGGAAAGCAGAATATAACTTACTTTAATCGAAGCGTCCACCAGGCGGGCAATATGGCCGACCTGGGTACTTATATATCAGTCGGGAGGAACCAAAGGAGTACTTATACGAGCTACCGGGCTATTGGCCCTGCAGCGTGTAGAATGTCGTTTGATGCATTCACCATCGATCAAACGACTCATCTTCCTCTCCGGTTTGCGGCTGCTCTCAGTTTTGCCGAGCCAACTTTCAGCTTCTAATTCGGTTTTGAGATGAATGTCAGTATGAGAAGTGCACCCCACGACTCATCGGGACACATTTCACTTTGTCATAACTGATGGTTGACTGAAACCATTCCATGGCTCTTGTAGTTGGTCTGATCGACTAGCAAACCCACCAGTCAACCCAGGACACTCCATAATCCCATGTATCGTGTAGGTAGATATACCGGAGTAAAAATGAGAGAAGACCAACCGATTGAGGAAAGGAAGCGGGTGAGTTATCCACCTACCTAGCTCGGGAGGCCCTTGTTCAAGATGTGACGACCAAAGGGCATGATGTCGTCGTGAAGTGTGAGCCGCAACGTAGCGAGCCGCAACACAGCCTCACGAAAGCAGAATGTGAAACAACCCTCCAATGCGCTCGCTCTGTTCATATCCCCGGCGGGTCTAGGAGCAATCGCTTAGTCGTCCAAGGATGGTATATTAAGTGCTCCTCTCACTTCATCTTCCCCTTTCTCAATCGATCCCTTCAACCTTCATCCCCACACCAAACAATAAACCTGTCACAACGAGCTTCTTGATTGATGTGATGAGCGGAATCGGTTGATGAGGCGCCTGATGACCTCCCAGCATAAGATCAAGTGCCCCAAGCGTCCTTCCCTCGGCTGCCTCGCTGCCTCGAGGGGTCAAGTGCCCCTGGTCTCTCTTGGTAAGGATCCCCCACCTCCTTTCACCTATCATGTATCACCCGGAGTGTGCAGATCATCTCCATGACGAGAGTTGATACTGACGACTGCAGACGACGCACAGACCGAGGAGGCTTCTCCGTTGATCCACGTGGGACGGAGCTCCAGTTGGATGCCGCGTGTGTGAATACACCAGTGGCGCTGATTATCTCAACCTCAAGGACAGTTGTTTGGAGCCTCGAAGATAGGGATCTCAAACCATCTCCAATGGACAATGATCCGACTGCCTTATCGCTGCTCCCTTCTCCGTCCAACTCTGGCAGTGGGTTGGGTGCCACTGAGATCCAGCATCTTGCTGATGAGCACCGTCGAATTCATGGTCGCATCGATGGCTTAGCCACATATGGTTAGCAGCATGCTTCCAGGTACTGACATCATGATCCACATCCACCCCGTGCCAGAGGAGTTCGACGCGAACCTCATGCGAGACATGACCTCAAATCGCAAATCTCAGCAACGCAGCTCTCCAATTGGGGATCGGCGGAAAACACCACATAAACAAGTTTCTGTGCAGTAAGTGTCGCCCAACAAGTATGTCAATCCACTTATGTGATCTTATAACTTACTTCTTTTATCCCCTAGGACGTCCGATGACCACCGTTGATCCGCCGTCGTGTAGATGAGAGGAGTACCATCATCGCTCTCTCATGGAGAACAGTGTGAGGGTTGACGAATGCATTCTTTGTATTCAATGCAAGTGCGGTCTTGACTCTCTGCCTCAGCATAGCCGTTTCACCCCTTCCAATGGCTGTATCGTAGAGAGTCCGTGCAGCAAATCTCGCGGTTGGGAGTTGCAATCCGCTCGGCCCTACTGTCCTCCCTCTTCGAAGTCACCATCGACAAGAAGCTCTGCCCACAGAGAGTCCGTGCAGCAGACTTCAACTCCCAGTCTCACCACCCTCTCGAAGAGACCAGGCCTCGATCCACGCCGGTGATGGTAGTGGTTGCTCCCCGTTGTCCCCCATTGAGGTACAAAAAATACTCCGACCAACAAGGTGAACTCATGTGCCGAGGAGTGTACCGGTACTATTGGCAGGAAGCAGAAAAGGTCGAGCAGAGAAATGAGCCCTAGTACCAGACACTACCCCCTGAAACTTTTCTGTGTCGATGTCCTCTTCTCACTCCCTTACCCTTGACTGCTCAGTGATGAGGCATCTTAGCATAGTCTCGGATAGTCTCCGCAGGCCTGGCAGATGGCGGAACTTCCCATCCGCCCCATCCCCCCGTCGCCCCGTCGCCAACCGTCCGAGAAGGTCCTCCACGCCCTCTTAATCTTCGGTACAAGTCGCTGCGGGGCGGTGGGGAGTGGGGGGAGGGGTCGTGAGTTGTTGACCCCTAACGAGTGGACGAGTGGATTGTTGGCATGTGCTCCCGGTCCCGGGGACTGGAGCGAGTGATTCTGCGTTTGTTGCATGAGCATGAGCTCTGGCATCGGGCAATCTGCATCAGAGTCTGTTGTGGCCCACAACACGAAGGGGCCAACAAAGAAGAAGCAGAAGAAATGGCAAAAGCGAAAGGAAAAGCGGTTTAAGAAGACCCGCGAGTCGCTTGAGCCCAGCCTGCCTGCTTCTTCTTTGGGTCATGGGGTGGAAGGTCGCATGCCGTCTCCCGGTGAGACGAGGCTAGAGGGTCTATGCGAATTCACATCGTTGTCGGGCCACGGGTGGTATTCGGCCGTCCAGAACGGACGGGACCCATGCCAAAAAGGGTCATTCATTGGAGTGCGGGATGGAGTGAGCAAGACACCACCGTCAGTAGTCTGCCCTGGATGCGGAGCGAGTTGACTATACGAAACTCGGTCAAGCTTGATCACCTCCCCGTGATCCCGAACGGTTCTGAAGACTCGAACGGTTCTGAACCATCCGGGGACAAAATGGACAAAATCAGCGACATGATGAGATCTGGGGACAAAGCGGGAATGAAGCGCTCCCTGACAACTTTGAAAAGCGGGTCCATGCTCCTGTCCCTGACGACATCGACATCCACCGCAACATCCTTGAGCTGAGGATATGGGGTTCTGTGTCATGAGATGAAGCCCGAGTCAACAACCGTTCCATTGTCTTTGGGGTCAAACGTGCCAAGCCGATTGTTACAAGGCGTGGCTCGTGCATGATCGCTGCGGCCTGAGGTTGCAATCGAGCCGCCAATTCTCGCAGGAACATCGCTCGCCCTGTGAAGAATCAACCTAAACTGTGTCTTCTGCGGGTCTCTTTTCTGCTGTTTTAATATTTCCATACACACCGGAAGCATCGCTGGTGTACGGACGAATATACATAGACCTGCTCCTCCATTCTTGCTCCAATTACAATTCTCGTTTGAATTCACGATTTCATTCTCAAATCCCGTTTCTCGCATAAAACTAAGAAGACCCTCGAATCCCAACCTAAGTTGTGACACAAATGCCTTATAGTACTCATACATCGTCTGTCTCCTACAAATTCACCAGATTCCTGGTCTGTAGTCCTCACTCTGTACTCTGTGCAAGAGCAAGGGAAGAAAAGAACGGCTTCTCATCCTTGTCAGTGGAGGAGCGAACAGGAAGGGCGCAGAGACTACATTATTACTCCGTCTATTTTTCCTTCCTATTGACGGGATTGACTCGATATTCCCCTTGAAGGGAGTTGCTCCCACGTCTTTTTTGGCCAATATCACGATTCACGCCCGACGCTTTCTATATAACGCCTGCAGGCGGCAGGAGGAGCTCTTTCGGAGTCGTTCCGGCAACGCAGACGGGCTGTTGTTGCGTTTTATCCAGCACATACCCAAGGCTTTGACTAAATTATGCAACTAAAGTTAAGTTCTCCAGTGTATTTTTGACAGGACCTCTTCAACCTTGGACGGAGTCACAGACCTCAGCCGGGACGTTGCCCTCACTGCGAGTCGAGGATAACTTAAACTATGTGATGCAAATCGCATCGAGGGATTACGAATTGCATTGCAGTTTTACTATAATTGGATGGGCATTTTCGTCAGCAGAATAGCGAAAATGAGAATTCAAGTGTTCTGCTTCCCCACCACGCTAATGCGGCCCTGTCACTCCAGTCACTGTTGCGTTGCCAATATCGCCGCTTGTGATTGGACCACAGAGCGCTAAACAGTCACATATCACTGGAATATCTCTCCGCAATGGACTCCGAGCCACTATTGCTAAGGCGAGGTGGCTGTCCTCACAGATCTCTGTTTCTAATCACTGCCTTCTATTGGCTCAATGCTTGAAAAGCCACCAATATGCTGCTCTCGGGCTTATGCTAGACTGCAAGCCTGTGTGACTATGTGACTATGTGACCCCCCGCTCCCTAGCGCCTTACATCTAGACGGAAGCTCCCCCGATGATTCTGTTTGTGCTTTTTCTTGGTGACAGCAATATTGATCAGAGTTTTCAGTGATAGCATGAGCTCAATCCGGCTATAGCACAAGAGGGAAGACTCTTGTGCGCGATTGATATCTAGAGGTAGGCCAGTACCCACAAAGTCTGATCTGGGCCAAGCTAACGAGTCAAAAATGTAGAAAATCATCATCGATAGGGTTGTCGCTCACGAACTCTCTGCAAAATGATGGACTCAATTGTGACACTCGCCAAGCGAGTAAATGTCATTATCACGGCATCAACGACCGATGCAGAGATAGCTGAGATGCAGCGAGATCCATGGTCGAAGTCAGCAAAATACGGAGTAGGGTTTGTGTATTTTGCCGTTGTGCTGCTGGCCATCACGACATTCATCCGATGCTGGCATATCTGGGGCGATAAGATGCGGATTGCTTTCTACAAAGAGAACCGACCAGAGATCTTTCGCGATGACCAGGTATCGGACGAGTACGAGCTCCCGAGTGCAGGCACGGACGCTTCAAATGCCCAGTTCTTTCCGTCTCCCACGGCAATTTCTCCGCCTAAGAGACAGGAATCGCTTCTTGCTAGGATAGTCCCCCTGAACAGGGCGATCGCCTTCATGCGATGGATCTTCTACCGGCCAGTTCCGGTCCTGAAGATTGGGAAGATTGAGGTTCATTTCCCGTCTCTAGGAGTTACCGCGACTGTATTGGCTGCGTTCATCTTCGTCACATTGTACACTTTCGTGCCACAGCCTTTCTACTACTGGTCTATTTCACTCGGATCCCCACCTTTGGCTATTCGCGCCGGCATGCTCGCGGTGGCTACGATCCCTTGGATTGTCGCACTCAGCACCAAGGCAAACTTTATCACTATGATGACTGGCCTTTCTCCTGAGCGGTTGAACGGGCTGCACCGTTGGTTGGCCTACATTTGCCTCTTCCTCAGTTTGGTCCACACGGTCCCATTCTACATTACCCCGATCTGGGAAGATGGCGCATTGGTGAACTATATCGTTAGTATCCCGCCGCACGCATACGTATACGGGACTGGACTTGCGGCGCTGGTTCCTCTGCTTGTGTTGTGTCTTCATTCTCTTCCCATCCTGCGCAACCGGATGTATGAGCTCTTTGTATTTGTCCACATCCCGGTTTCGTGGATCTTTGTGGCGATGCTAATATGGCACACGAGAAACTACCTCTCAACATGGGGTTACCTATTCACAACTATCGCCATCTGGATCATTTCATATACTATCAGGTTATTCTATCTGAACTGGACAAACCCTTTGCATTCATCGTTTTTGATTGGAGAAGAGTCGGCCATAACCATTCTCCCACAAAACGCGATCAAGGTCACCATTCCGACAAAGATGCGCTGGAGACCCGGTCAGTACGTCTACCTTCGACTCCCAAGGATTTCCGTGGTGCAAAGCCACCCTTTTACGATTGCCTCTCTTTGCAGCGAGGACTTTCCTTCTGCATATGGTGATAAATATCGGGATATGACACTGGTTTTCCGACCATTCCACGGTTTCACACGCAAGGCATTTGAGCAAGCTTTGAAGCATGGACCCTACAGGATCTACAGCGCTTTTGTAGAAGGGCCCTACGGTGGCATGCAGCGGGAGATTGCTGCCTTTGACGACGTGATTTTCTTCGCCGGAGGAAGTGGTATTACCGCCATTGCCAGCCAGTTGCTGGATCTCATCAAAAAGATACGCGATGGCAAGGCCATCACCAGATCGGTGAAAGTCATCTGGGCGCTGAAAAGTCCAGAGACGATGGAGTGGTTTCAAGAAGAGCTGCGCATCTGCCGCGATTACGCACCTGCCAACATCGTGAGCTGCCATTTCTTCCTTACTGGAATGAAATCGGACGATCAAGCTGGACGGGACATGGTCCAGGAGAAGATCTATGGCATGCTTCGCGGCATCGACAAGCGCAACTCAGCTTATATCCGCGCTGAAGCCGACGGCAACCCTGACGTTGAAAAGGAATTGCGCCGCGAAAATGAAGACGGCATCGCTGCGCTTCCCAACGCATACAGGCCCTCTCATACGCCCAACACCCGCCAATACTACCAGCCTGCTACGAATCCCCAAGCTCCCGTTGGACCGGCTGTGTATGGCAACCCGAATTTCGACTTTGGATTCGGCGCACCCCAAGCCGTGCCGCAAAGGCCACCACCAGCCCCTGCGCCACGCTTTGCATATTATCAACCGCGTGGACGTGACAACTGGCGTACGGATTACTTCCGTCCAAACATATCACAGATGGTAAATGAGTTTTCCAAGACATTTGGTCGTCGTGCGTGTGTTTTCGTCTGCGGCCCACCGAGCATGAGAGTTGAGGTTGCCAGTGCCGTCGCCAAGCTGCAGTGGCAAGTGATGACTGACTCCTCAAGAGATGAAGTCTTTTTGCATGCCGAGAACTATAACATCTAATGTCGCCTTCCTGTAACTAGTTCGATACCCATGGCGTTGCGTTATATCAACATTCCAGTTCTTTTAATGCTCAACTTCCACATATAGGGACGTGTGTATATTATTATTTGTGGTGGGAAGGGCGGGGACCACGTCGGTTACCGTAGGTATTAGGACTGGCTAGTGCCATCTGACTTTGGGGTGGCGTACCATTACCAGGCCTCGGAAGTAGCAGAGGCAGAGGCAGAGGTAGAGGGCAGCCAGTCTGAGCATCATTACAGTTCCGGAAGGATCTCTCATGAGAGTAGCCACCGTACTCCGTAGCACATTTCTGACATACCTATCTTGGTACTATTGGAGTTTATGATGCGTTGAACATCGCTCTCTATAGGATACACTCTGTTACTGTAAGGCCTCTAAATGCAGTCGGTATTCATGCAAATGGTCCAATATAATCTTGAATTGAGTATGTGTCGCCTATGATGGCTCGAGTTCATCCGACTCCTGTCTATATGCAAAACACATCTTAGTCCACTTGAGACTGGTGGTTGTCATCTTCAGCCTTGCGCTTACGCGAAGGCGCATCCTGTTTCTCGAGCACTTGCGACTCGTTCAGATGCTCTATCCCATGGTCCCCTTCGTCGCCATCCTCAGCCTCCACCTTCTCCCAGTCCTCATCTTCCAGTTCAGCGCCAGAACTGCCAGTCCGGGCGTTGCCTTCGTCCGTGGAGCCCTCTCTATCAGCCTCGTCCCAGTTCAAGTCCAGGCGCACGATAATCGCGCCCGACGGCTTCAATCGCCGATAATAGTCGGCTACGTTGCCGTCAACCCTAAATCCACGCGCAATATACCATTTCAAGCCTTCTTCGTTGGCTTCATGGACGTGTGCTGCCACTGAGCGGATGTTATAGTGTTTGACAATCTCGGACAGCCGATATGAGCCTTTCGCTTTGCGGTCCGGCGGCGACGCAAAAAGAAGCGCGTTCAACAATGATGCTGCCACTCCCTGACCCCGATATGGTGAGAGCAGATGTAGGGTCTGAATATAGAGGTTTGTGGGGTCTCTATCACTCAGGGTTTGGGTGTGTTTGCTAGTGTCCTCCGTCTGTTGTATTCTCTCCAACCGACACCGAATACCTCCGATCACTTTGTCCGTTCCGGCAGACGCGCCGGATCCTGGGCTTGCAGCCACAGGGTGGTCATGGTAGATAGCGACGCGCGAAAGAGACGCAATCACCGGATCGGTTATAGTAGCTGTGTAGAACTTGTTTGGGTAGCGGATGGGAAGAAGTAAGCCCGTGATCCGCGTCAGGGAAGGAATATGCGCCGTGTTGACTTTCTCGACTGTTATATGGGGGTGTGGAGTCACGATGCCACCGGGAATCTCCCGAGGGTATGGCTCAAAGCTCTCTCCATTTGGGCGTTTTGGCCCGGACGCGTTCGCGACAGCTGATTGCGGCGGCTGTACTGGAGGAGGATGGATTGAAGGCCGCGCGGGGTGGCGGCTGGTCGGGGGAGGGGACAGTGAGGACGAGTTGGTCACTGGCCTTGACTGATTCTTTGCAAAGAGCTGGTATGCCATATTTATCTGAATTAAGTGAATGTTCGTGTTATGAAAGAAGCAGAGAGACAGCGAATGCGGAGATGCGATAAGATAAGGCCAGGGAACAACTCTCGGCCTCCAGCCTCATCCGTCTTTTCATCTCCCCGAGTGACAGTTCACTTGCCTGCAAATAGGACGCCAATAGGTCAGTGCCCTACTTTCTATTGATACTTTCTCTCTATTATATGGGTCAATGGAACATCTTCATTGACCACATTGTCTCCCCCTATTGTTTCTGGCGGCTCGATCCTACCTCCGCCCCCCCCCAATAGAAGCTCACTGACACGAGCCTCTGCCCTAGGCTATATTATTCAGCCCTCGCAATAGTCTCATTTTCCTTTGTCTTTCGGCTTCTATGTTTTCGGGCCTCTTCTACTTCCCTCTTCTTACTTCCTCGACATCCGTGTATCCATTGCGTCAACCCTGCACAGATTTCCAGTACATGGAGAAGTAAACCTCGGACCTGGCGGTTCGGAGCACTCATTACCTGTGTCGCGGGCAGACACAGCCGTCGGTCATCCACGACCGGGCGAGGAATATTCGGCGCATCCACCTCCGGCCGCAATCCGAGAATGGCCGACTCCAATAACAGCGGTGGTCGCGGGCCGACCTATCCTGCCGGAACGATCGCTAAAGTGGTATGATTTGTCCTCGCGAGAACTTGATGGGGTTCCTGATATAGGCACTAACGACTCTATCTCTAGGCGACCGACATCTTGAACGCTACATTCCAGAACATCATCCACGACCTCGTCTCCAAAGTGCACCGCGAAGAGAAGGTGGCGCGCATGCGGTCCGCAGTGGTTCTTGCTCGGCAGAAGGCAGAAGAGGACGCAATAATGCCGGAGGAAGCGCCGAGCAAGACCTCGACCGATACCAAGAGAGAAGTCATTCTCGACACAAAGAAGCTTGCGAGTATGCGCGTGGAGACGGATGCTGCCCTTTACGACCGCGGCAAGGTTTTCCTCAAGGGCAACCCACTGAAAACAATCAAGGAGCATGTTTGCCCTGACTGTCGTCTCCCAAAGCTATTGTATCCGACTGCCGGGGAGTCCTCTTGTCCCAGTCCTGATTCCCGCGCCGAATACTGCGCGAATGTGCCCATGGTCAAGCGGGAAGGGCATGACGTCCACGGCAAGCTCTTTGCAATCATGCCGAACCCCAAGAAAAAGAAGGGTGATCGAGACAGCACGATTCCTGAGATCCCTACCACTAAATGCCCAATCTGTCCTCGGTACTTCGTCATGACGCGACTCGCCCAGCACCTTGAACGCTGCGTAGGCGGTGGCCGCAACGGCGGGCGCAACAAGACTCCCACGGACAGTGGAGCCAGTAATGGCAATAGTCCTACCTCATCAGCACCAAAGCGCCCTTATGCAGACGATGACGAAGAGAGTCCCAGCCCGACGAAAAAGAAGAAGCTGAACGGGCCAAAGAAGGGCTCTAGCAACAAACCGGGGCCCAGCAAGCTCAAGCAATCATTCACGGTTGAGGATAATGACGACGACATCAAGAGCGAGACCGCGGACTAACCTTCCATTCCTTTCTCATACCCTTTTTTCCCTATCATGGTGTCCGCGGCGTTCGAGCTTTGTTCTTTTCTTCATGGGTCGGTCATATCCCACGGCGTCTCTGGGTCTGGTTTGGTCTGGTCATAATTTGACCAGACCTTCGAATATATCTGCATAGATGAATGATGAAGGGGGAGGGGCTTTGTAGGATGTACATTACTTTATACCGAAACACACTTGATTCAGTTACTTCAACACCCATTTACCACAACCAATTCCTGCTAATGTAGACCTTTCCATCCCCAAGCAGCCTGTTTCATCACTTCCATTCCTTTGTGCCACTTCCAAGAGCTGCTCAAAGGGTTCGACTACCTACGGGCACGCTTATCACCTCGGACACTCCCTACATGCCCTTCAAGAGAACAATCCGACGACGGAAGCTCATCCTCTCCTCTTCATCCCATTCCCTCCCCGTCACCCTCCAACTACCCATCCTCCATCCCCTTCATCATGTTCTAGTTCTTCTAACTACCTTGACCCACCAAGCACTCTAAATTAGCTGTTTCACGGCCATATTAATAACTATCCTTTGTGCAGGAAAGGTGTTTTTTTTTTTTTTTCTTCTGAAGGATGACCACAGAGAGCGTAGGGGGCCAACGATTCGTCAAGGATTCGTAGGTAATTTTATATTAATCATAACGAGGTTCATAGTTATAACTAACTACTTATCTAATCTAGCACGACTAGTTCAATAATCCTTGTAGGCCACTGGCGCAAAATATGACCTGACGTGGGTGCCGAGTTCCAGACGGGTTTAGAGCTTCCAGCCAACTGGTAAGCCTCCCGCCAACTGGCAAACTATCTGCCAACTGGCAAACTATCCGCCAACTGGCAAGGCTATATAGTGAAGAGCGAGAAGCGCGAACCTGTCTGCGAGCCAGGACGTCACCTCAGCAGTGTCCACTAAACCAATCATCGCAAAGTCTCATTTGATTCTTTGAAAAAGCTAATGCATAGTTAGATGCTTGTCCTGGTACTAGGTAGTTGACGCCCTGGAGGCCTGGGGCCCGGCCCCCGGGCCCCGGCGGTGTCGATGCTTAATAAGTGCGGGGATCCGCCAGCCCGCAATCTCATATTGTGACATTCACCAACCACAGCACCCCTCACAATCTTCTAACATGGCCGATCTGAAAACCTGGGCAGCTCCTCGTCTCTCCGCCCTCCTCCCGCTCGATGCAGATTCTCTTTCGCAGGTGATTGAGTACGCTGCCAGCCTCTCTAAAGAAGCATGTGCGGACCACCTCAAAAACCTCCTCGGCGACTCTCCAGCAGCTCTGGAATTTATTTCCTCGTTCAATTCGCGCAGACAACCCCAGCGACCACCTCAAGAACCCGCCGCATCAAGCGAAGATGCAACGAGATCAGGCGGAGGTGCCAAGAAGGGCAAAAAGAAGGCTCCTTTGCACAACGCTGGCCCACCACGTCGACCCGACAATTATGGCGATGTAGCCGGTGGCTACAAGAAAGCCGATGAAGAAGACTATATGTCTTCTCGCAAACCAACCGCTCCAACCCTCGCACCATCACAACATGCCGGCTCGTCCTCGTCGCACCTTCCCTCTCCCCTACCGACATCATCCCCGAAGCCACCACCATCTGCAAGTGGCCCCACAATATCAGACATGTTACCAAATGTACGGTCAAAAACCAGCAAGTCGAAACGACAGGGTTTGGGGGCAGGTTCATCTTCCAAGGGCAATGCAGCTCTCACAACCAACGACATCTCCGACCTCACCGCGGCTATTGCCGCATTGGAGGTATCGACGAACCCGAGTTTAGGTGAGAGACGCAAATGTACCTGTTACGGGTTACTACACCCCGTATTCGAGGCGGCGCCCAACTGCCTCAACTGCGGGAAAATCATCTGCTCGCTCGAGGGCCTACAGCCATGCTCATTTTGTGACACACCATTACTGTCTGCCGAAGAAGTGCAGGGTATGATCCGGGAATTACGGGCGGAGCGCGGACAAGAGAAGATGCGCGTGCACAATGAGGGTGTCCATCACGAGGGTGGACCTATGCCTACTTTGGGGTCCGAACCCAGCAAGCTGGATGCTGCCAGAGCACACCGGGACAAGCTGCTGCAGTTCCAGGCCCAAAATGCCCGTCGGACTAAAGTTGTTGATGAGACAGCTGATTTCGAGACGCCGAATGTCGCTTCCACTTTGTGGATGACTCCCACTCAACGAGCGCTGGCGCTTAAGAAGCAGCAGCGCATTCAACGAGAGCTGGACGAGAAGGCTCGTCCTGAGTGGGAGAAGAAGAAGACTGTGATGAGTCTTGATATCAAAGGAGGAAAGGTCCGTCGAGTCTATCATACCGCCCCGGCAGATTCAGCCCCAGAGCCCAGTGAACCTGAGACTGCGGAGGAAGGAGATGCTGGAGAACCTCCGCGTGGAGAACATGCGTTCAGTCGCAACCCTCTTCTTGCAGCTGGTGGTCTTATGCGGCCAGTCTGGCGTGCCCCTGAGGGCCAGCAGACGGAGGCAACACGGTCAACCGAAAGGAAACAGACATGGAGACGTGTGCAAGACGACAACGATGACAACGAGCAGTTGATCCTGGACGGAGGAATTCGCGGGCATACCACCGAAGTCTAATTGGGGAGTAGGCAGCAGGCTCTTTTAACAGCGAGAATAACAGCATTTCCCTGTCATCATTTCAAAAGACTACAAGAAACTCCTGGGGTTTTATGAGCCTCGGTACAGATGTTCGCGTGGCAGTTGCCTAATGCGGAACACAGGATTGAGTGGGTTTTCATGTTTCACATTCCTCAGCCCTGAAAAGGTGCGGCGGTCCCGGAACAGGTATCTGGTCATCCGCTGAAGAGCGGTTACTACCGGTGGCAGATCCACCACTTCCAGGGAAACCCGAACCAGTGGGCCATCCGGGAATGCTACTTCGCGACCGAATTCATGAGTGACGACGGTCTGCCAAAATCAAAAAGATACATTTGTGTAACATCCCTAGACGACAACATTGAAACCATTGCCTCGAGTCGAGGATTCGATTGTCATCATTGTCTAACAAGAGCATGAAATTAGTGGAAACCCCACGGAAGTATGCCGAGTTGGAGCCTTCCCCGCGAGCCCCATAAAGCCAATAACGCGTGGGGGATATATTAAGCATAACCAATCACCGCCACGGCATCGCATTCTGCATCTCCAATTCAACCGCCAATAACCGCGTCAGATAAAGAAAAGTCGTTGCATTACACATAATACTAGAGGTCAACCACTCTTGATCCGGGGCCCCGTCCGTCCAAATAAGATAGGATCGTGCGCCTAGGTCGTATACGTCGTCATTGATTGTAAATTGTCGGCTGCGGGCGGGTATCAGCGGCTATTGATAAGTGAAGTATAAACCTTGGAACCAAGTTTGAGACATGATAAAGAGTCAGCCTACAGAGTAACCCTCTCTTATGAACGGCTTATTCCCGTCCTGAGACTCACTCATGACCATCCACAATGCTCGTTGAATCTGTACTAGCTAGCTTTTCTCTACAGGGGGCATTGGTAGGATTGATAGGCCTACTAGCCATAGCGGTATGTATACTATTTCTTGTTCATATCCTTACCACCATTCGTACACCTACAGACAAAAGCATCGTGGAAGTAAAGCTAATCAGTCTCATATTAGACCCTCGCCTACACCATCTACAACCGCTTCCTCCACCCCCTCTGTCACATCAAAGGCCCCTTCCTCGCATCCATCACACCCTGGGTGCAACTCTACCACGGCCTAAAAGGCGACCGCCATCTCTGGCTACACAGACTGCACAGCGAATATGGAACACACGTGCGTGTAGCGCCGAATTTCGTCTCCGTCAACTCTGATCGTGGACTACACGATATCTATGGCCACGGGAAACGTCTTCAGAAAGCAAAGTTCTACGATGCTTTCCCTGCTATCAAGGGCGTGTACAATACCCACAATGCTATCGATAAGACTATGCATGGTCGCAAAAGACGTGTGCTTAGCCAGGCTTTCTCCGAGAATGCCCTCAAGAGCATGGAGGATGTGATGCTCCTCCATGTGCGCCAGCTGTGTGCTGTGTTGGCGGGGTATGATGGGAATTCCGAGTCGCATGACCAGAAAGGCAATGTCAAGAATATGGGTGATTGGTTCAGTTATCTTTCGTATGATGTGATGGGTGAACTCTGCTTTGGAAAGAGCTTTGATATGTTGGTCTCCGATAGCCAGAGGCATAAGGTTGGTTTGGTGGATCGCGCTGCTAATAGGCACTATGTGGTAAGTCTTCTTCCTTTTTGCTCTTTCTGTGCTGTCATCTGCAGCCGTCTTGAAAAATGCCCGATCTAACTCTCACATAGTGTGGTCTCTGGATGCCTCTAGACTCATGGGGTCTAGACCAGATCTTCATCCGCAAGCTGACCCGCGACCGGTGGAACTTCATCATGAATTCACGCGTGGAAGCCAACGAGCGAGCCAAGGAACGCACCCAGATCGGCCATGACGCCAAGAAAGACTTCTTCTACTACCTCTTGAACGCAAAGGACCCAGAAACCGGCAACGGACTCAGCACGCCCGAGCTATGGGGCGAATCCAACGTTCTCATGATCGCAGGCAGCGACACAACCTCAACCACCCTGGCCGCCACACTCTTCTACCTAGTCCGACGCCCCGCCGCATTAGCCAAGCTGTGCGCCGAGGTGCGCGGCGCTTTCACGGAAGTCGAAGAGATCGTCACCAACAGCCAGCTCGGCGAGCTAACATACCTCAAAGCATGCATTGACGAGGCGCTGCGTCTAGCCCCGGCCGTGCCTGGTGCGATTCCCCGCGAAGTGATGGAGGGCGGCGCTGTCGTTGACGGCGTCTTCCTGCCCGCTGGCACCGACTGCGGTACCCCGACTTACTCCATTCATCGCCAGGAGAGATACTACCGCGAGCCCGGGGTTTACCTGCCCGAGCGCTGGATTGAGGGTGAGACCTGCGAGGCGTCGGGCATGACTTGGCAGACGACTAAGGAGAGCATTGAGACGGCACGACACGCTTTCTGTCCGTTTAGCGTTGGGCCTCGTGGTTGTATTGGAAAGAGCATGGCTTTTATGGAGATGCGGCTAACGCTGGCGCGACTTATGTTCCTGTTTGATATGTCGTTGGCAGACCGTGTGGGTGAGGATGAAGGGGGTCATCTGGCACTGACGGACCACTTTACCAGTGCGAAGAATGGTCCCAATGTGGTATTTAGGAGAAGATGAGAAAAAATGTGTATTAGGCGGGCCATTTAGTCATTTACTTGGCATCTGAAATCTATCCATATTGTTTATTCCTTCTCCCTCAAGAGTCACAAAGCTGCTGCCTCCTTAATCTCAGCTTTTATCAGGACACGGTTGCGCGTCTTGGCAACCTCTCCAATTCACTTGTTTACTTATTTCAGTCCATATCGTGAAAATAATTGCATGGGATAATTGGATTGACCTCCCAGGGGCTAATTCACAATGCCCTCGCCCCTATTAGCGACATTCGTACAAGCCACCGCGCTGAACGCCATCTCCAACGTCCTGGCGCAGCTAATCGACCAACGCAACAACAAAGTAAGCCCAAGCACCCCAAGAACTTCAATATCCAAACAATTATCTCAGAACTAATTCCCCCAGACACCATTCATCCTAAACACTCCAGCCCTCCTCCAATTCCTAATTTACGGGATAATAATAGTCCCCCCAAATTTCTACTGGCAACGCTTCCTAGAAGCGCGCTATCCAGGCTTCCCCACGCGTTCCGAGGTTTCTGCTGCCTTCAGTGCACAGAATCTACTCTCCTTTTTCTCTCCACGCTCATGGCTAGCCTTCTTTTCAAAAGCTCAGACAGAGTCTTTACCCAGCCACAAGGATAAAGAGAAGACGCCGCTGTGGAAGCCTAGAGAGCGGACGGGGCTGCGCAGCTTCTTGATGAAGTTCTTTTTTGATCAGACTGTTGCTTCGGTTGTCAATCTTGTTTTGTTTGTTGTTATTATCAATTTGCTTAAGGGGGAGACGGTTGGCAGGTCGTGGGAGTTGGTTATTGAGGTTAGTTACTAGTTTCCCTTCTGTTGGAACTTGAGGGTGTGTGTGGGAATATGCTGACTGGAGTATAGGACTTTCGGCCTATTATGAGTGCTCGTCTCAAGTATCGGCCTGTTGTGTCGGTCTTGATGTACACGGTTATTCCGGTGGATCGGAGGGTGGTGTTTGGGAGTGCTTGTGGGGTTATCTGGGGGGTGTATTTGAGTCTTTATGCTGGTGTATAGGTCTATGTAATAATGTGATAACTACTTGGGTTTCTGTTTGTTTTTCATTTTAATGTGTAGCGATTAACAGGTTAGTGGCATTGTCGCATAGGTTTGATAGATCTTGGGCTCCTTCATGTAAGACACAATTAGTAGAGCGCAGAAGGATATAGATTATAGACACATGCCTAGATTAATATATGCATTCATTGCCATAGACGGGCACTAATTATAAGTAGGATATGCTGTGGTACACTGTCCAGGATTATAGCCAATATATCCTTCCCGACAGGAACAACAACAAGAGAGGGAAAGAATAAGAAAAAGAAAAAACTGTGCATGAAAACATTAAAGACAACAATCCTCAAACAGCAGCCATCTCAACCTTCTTCCCCTTAACCGAGATCCACTCAACAAAGATAGGCCCAACAAGCGACAACGCACCCATAGCAACAGCCACATAGAACGTCTGCACAATAGCAGCATTATAAGCAACCAGAACCCGACCCAGCGCATCCCCAGAAACAACATTGCGCAGCATAGTAGCACCGGCGGAGATAAGCTTGGCCGCATCCTCATTCGGCGCATATCGAGCCAAGTTCTGCACAAGCTGATTCTGGAACACATTCTGCGCAACCGAGACGAACACAGCGCCGCCTAGTGTCTGTGCAAACATCACGATAGCAGTGCCGCTGGGCACATCTGCTGGTTTCAATGCTGTTTGCGCCACGATGATCGGCTGCTGCATGCCGAGGCCCAGACCGATACCGAAGAGGGCTTGGTATCCGATCCACTTCGAGTGGTTGGAGTCTGTTTCGAGGGTTGTGAGGAGTCCGGCGCCGATGGTCATGATGATTGCTGAGGCGATCATGAAGGGCGTGTAGTAGCCGCATGCGGTGACGAGGCCGCCGGCTAGAATGGAGCAGACTACGACGGCGATGATCAGGGGCAGGTTCATGAGGCCGGATTTTAGGGCTGTTGCGCCTTTGATTGATTGGAACCAGATCGGGAGCTAAGTGGTTTTGTTAGGAATATCGAGAGATGCGGAATGGGGAAGGAAAAGAGAAAACTTACATAGTATGTGAGGACAAAGAAAGCAGCACCGAGAGCGGCAGCGTACCAGGCCGAGCCCCAGACGTTGCGGTTCTTGATCAGACGAGGCGGGACGGTTGCGCGATCTCCGGCCCAGATCTGGGTGCCAATGAAGATGAGCCCGAGAACGCCAAAGACGACGAATAGTCCGATGATGCGTCCGTTGCTCCATGCGTATCTGGTACCACCCCATTGCAGAGCAAGGAGAAGACTGATTATCGCCGGTAGGAAGAAGAAGGAGCCGATCAGGTCCAGTTCTTTGATCTGTTCCTTGAAGGTGTTCTTCTTCAGGATGGCTTTGGGGTTGGGGAAAAACGCGAGCACGAAGAGGAAGGTCACTGCACCGATGGGCAGGTTAATGTAGAAGCACCAACGCCAGGTGAGGTGGTCGGTGAACGCGCCTCCCATACTAGTTGAAGTTAGCGAGGTTCATGAATGACGAAAGGAATGGGAGCAACATACAGGGGACCAGCTACATTAGCAACTCCAAACATCGATCCGAGGAGACCGGTGTACATAGGCCGCTTGACGAGGGGTACACTCTTGCTGATGATGAGGATCGAGCCTGAGAACAAGCCGGCAGCGCCTAGTCCTGCGATGGCTCGACCGCAGATGAGTCCAACCGAGGTTGGGGTGACGGCGCAGACAAGCGAGCCGATCTCGAAAATTCCGAGCGCCATGAGGTAGATATACTTAATCGAGTAAAAGGTGTATAGTTTGCCGAACATCAAGCATACAGCGCATGTTGTCAGGAGATACGAACTTCCGTACCATCCCACGTCCTCAAGGGAATTGAATTGATCTGTGATCTTGGGGATTGCGGTTGCGATGATTGTGTTATCCTTAGTGGGTGTTAGTTGGGTGCAATTGTCAAGTATCAAAGTAGTAGTTATTGTGCATACCAGTGCCACGCAGAACACGCAAAAGCAGAGAGCGACGGTGATTAGGGCTAGTCTCCATGAGCTTGGGTATTCTTCCACGTCCGCGGGTGTATCGCCGTCAACGGCTTCTGATTTCTCTTCTTTTATTGACTCCTTGTCGGATGCTGCTTTCGATGCTGCTTTGGGAGCAACTTCCTTGTTGTCATCAGGCAATTCCTCGGTATGACCAGGTGCCGGGGAGGTATTGCGTGAGGGTTGTTTCTCGGGGTCCGCAGTTGAATTCCCTAAAGGCACATCGACCAGAGTACTTTCTTTCTCACTGGACGGTTTGGATGTTTGGCCTCCAACTTCGGATTGCGTTTCAGGGTCCAAGACCTGGCTCTTCTCATCTGCCATGACCTCGTTCTTGTCATCTGCTGCGCCCTCGGTTGTATTCTCAGCTTTGTGCTCATTATTATCCTTAGAGATATCAGTCTCTTTGGGGGATTTGGCCTTGAAGGCCTTCAAGGCATTGAAGAAGCCCATTATGAACGAAAGGCAAATCCAATAATACTAAAAAGAGCAAATGGAACTGAACGAGGGTTGGGACAAACAAATTAGCAGGGGGGAAGTAAAGAGATTTAATAAGAAACGAGGCAAAATAAGCCAAGATTGCCATTGACAACACAACCGCTTTGTACAGGTCTCATAAGGAACCTTGCCTGCAGATTCCTTGGAAAAGGAGAAAAGGGCCAATCCAGGCAGCACAAGGCCCTGGGGTCATATTTCATCCATGTGGTACGTAAATCCTCCGCCGAGCTGCATGGAGCGCGTTCTCGGCCAGCGATTTCTGAATAGTTTGGGTGAACGAATGTTGTCATTTGCTTGGGACCGCAGCCATAACAATGCAATTACGCAACTCGGTCTCAAACATCATGAGAGGTCATAAGAGCACATTGTCAACCGATGTGGGTTGAGTCAAAATATTCGCTTGAACACGGCGAAATCGTCTGCCCCGGGCGGGGGCCTAGTCAGGGGAATGCAAGGATCAAGGCGATCTATTTTTTGCTTTTCGAAGGAGATTGTCGACATGATATTGGTTGACCTCACTCGCCAATCAGCGATCAGGGGGTGTGAATAGTAGATCGCCCCTTGCTCGACTCAGACGAACATTTGATCTTGCTGCAGTGGACTTACACCGCTGTTGAGGTAATAAGGGAGAGGATAAACATGCCGACCGGACGATTTGAATGGGAATGTCAAATGAACAGCCTTTGGTGAATTGATGTGAAGACGATGATCTCCAGATAAACAGAGTCAATCTAGTTGTGAGTCCTGACGGGTATTGGCGTTCTCTTATGATCGACCGATCCGACGGGTTGAAGAGCCACTAACTGGATTTGGGTTAGTGCAGTTCGATACGAAGATCGGGGATTCGGAGTTAGGTTTGTCCTTGTGCTTGCTTTCTACTCCGTACGGGGTAACGGGGTAGGGCTGCGTACTAGTGGACCTACTTACTACTAGTAAGGCAAATGGCTCATTGGCTGCCATGTGAAAGGACAATGGAGTACAGCATTGTTTCCATATAGTATATAGGTGATGCCCAGGGACTCTTTATTAAGATAGTCCTGTTTCCAAATTCCGGGTACAACTACTGAAAACATTCACTAGGAGCAATCGGGTTGTGAGATAATAATTGGACAGATAAGTCATGAGATCGGATTTAAGCAGTCCAACAATGCAATGTACTGCAATCGCATGCCGTTCGACGCCGGGAAGAACCAAAAGCAAATGTCGGTGCAACTCCAAAAGAGATTGGCATGGAAGCCCTCTTGTAATGTGGCATCGTTAAGGGAATCAGACAGAGACGGGCGTGAGCTCGCGATGCCCGCAGTAGAGACAATACGTGTTGACACGCTGACCACCAATCGAATACTAGTTTCAGCTGACAGCGTTGCCAGGGGCAATTGAGCAAAAGGTGAGGGGATCTGCGTTGGGTATTTGTGTCGGGGGAGGCCGACTTTGACATATCGGATATTGTGAGTAAATTCATCGACTTAATACCCGACTTCGCTGGGAGGAGAGGGTGACCGCAAGATCGACGAGAGACAGGCCCATTGTATAGGGAGCAAGGAACAAAGCCATCACTCTGCAAGACAGGCATGACGGCGATCAATGCAAGTAGCTTAGCTCTCGTGGGGAGCCGTAATGCCCTGTTCCTTGCTAGCAATGAGAGCAATTAGAGCTGCGCCGACGCCGCTGCCATCCTTGGAAATGCCAATGCGGATCTTCTTGTCACCAGCAACTCCAACCTCGGGAATTTCGCGCAATGCCTCGCGCATGTGGCCTTCGAAGTTGGGGTAGAACTCAACAAGACTGCCGTCAACACCGACATCGATGATATCATCACTCGCAAGCTTGTTGGTGTGCACAAGAATTGCAGCCAACGGAACAGCGCTCAGGCGAGCGGCACGCTTACCAATAGCGTGAACCAGTATCTTAACAGCCTGGCACTCCTCCAGGCTGGGGCACTCGATCCCAAGGTGATCCTTCAACGCGGTCTTGACCTCAGCCAGGTCCTTGCTGCTATCGGCCTCGACTGAGCTCAGCAGACTGGTGTCGAGACCCCATTGGCGGAAGAGCATAGACTTCTCGGGAAGAACGACATTGGAGTTCTTGTCTGCCTTGAACAATCCAAACTCAGGATCCTTGTGTAGGGACAAAAGCGCACGGCGCAGAATCTCACCCAAGAACATGCCTGAAACGCGCTTCTCGAACATCTGCACCCCAGGGTTGTTGCTATCGGCATCTAGTTCATCGTCGAAGACCGTGGTGGGAAGCACGCTCATCTGGTTATCGAAGCTACCCCACTCGGCGTTGATGATCATCTCGCCTGTAGTGTCCTCGAAGTGAACATCCTTAATATCCTTAAGCTTGGTGATATTCTTGGTCTTCTCCACGTAGGCACCGTTGGTACCGGTACCGAAGATAGCGCCGATGAAAGTACCCGTTTCGCCGGGAGAGGTGTATGAGCGAGCCATCAGAGTACCGACGGTATCGTTCACCAGCGCGGCCACGCGCACTGGTAGGTTCAAATCATCAATAGCGGTTTGGAGCAGAGCGCAGACATCGTGACCAACGGCATCGGGTATGTTGAAGCCCTTGGTCCAGCGGATCAGGGTTCCGCGGTTGATACCGCACTGGCGCACGGGGAAACTGAAAGTGAAGCCCAAATCAAAGAGATCCTCCTCGGTGCTACCCTCCCGTCGGCGGTGCAGGTGAGCCTGGAAGTGGTCGTTGTGGTGAATCCGCAGGAATGATTCAATCTGACGGGCCAAGAAGAGGAAGAGATCCTTGGAAGTGCCCGAGGCCATCATTTCCCGGGGTATGAGGATCTTAGATTGGGTGAGGGAGAAGGTAGTATCGCCGTGCAGGAGGACCGAGCACACACGGAAGTTTGTGCCGCCAAGATCTACAGCAAGGTAAAGGCCCTGTAAGGGAAAGTCAGCGCGCAATTCGCGCTGTCGGTGGTCTCCTCTCAATGGTCATACCTTCTCTGTGCCATTTGGTACGGCATCCACGAAAGTGGGAATCTGGCTCAAGGTAGTGCCCTCTTTAGCCAAGCCCTCGTTGGACTGCTTGATGTACTCGGCGACACCGCGCTGCACATTTTCGGCGGGGTAATCAAAATCACGCGCAATGCGCGTGGCCTTATCCAAAAGTGAGGAGGACATGGTTGGACGAGAGTAGAAATAGTTGGATGATGGCTTAGAAATGTACCGGCAAGAAGGGAAAGGAAGAGGGAAGGGGAAGGGTAGAATTTAAGAATTGAAGAATGAAGAGAGAAACACCGGGAAATTTAAGAAAGCAAAGCTGGGAAACATGGGAAACATACTTCATAAAAAGAAGTGGGATGACGGAGGGGCATGAGGTCAGTGACCTTGGCAGTACTTTGCCCGCCCGGCACGTTCACTGTTCGCGATATATGGAGTACTGTGGAGGTACTGGAGATTTGCCGGGTTCACCGAACACATGTGACTTATTTACTGCCTTGGATGTTTCAAGGATATTCAGATTACATTAGGGGGTTGTGTATCCTGCCGGATGCAGCCACTGCCCTACATTCCTTTTCACCTACATAATCGAACATTTGACGTTTTCTTTCATGACGCCATGAGCCCAAATTTAAAATTTGGCAGATTTTACCTCGCAGGGGAACTGCTATGACTGGTCAATCCAAATGTTTCATGCATAAAATTATATTTTTCCCCAACTTCACCGGTGAGCCGGTTGGGACCGGGGCAGGGGACGGAAATACTATGCCCAAGGGAAATGGGGATTCACGGGGAGTATCTGCAAGGTAAGACATGAGATCTGAGGGTAATCTCACATGTACTTATTATCAGTGAGTCTGACATTGACATCTAGTTATGTTGCATTTGGCAGCATCCAAGAACTTCTAACCGACATAAATTCCGTGACATCGGGATGGATCGGCCCAAACACGGGATCCCAACTCGGCCCCAGGGGCCCAGAGCCAAACTGGGCCGAGCGGAATCCCGAAGATGTTTGGAAGCTTTGGAACCCCATGGAGTTGATGAGATCTGTGGCTTCCTTTCTTTTTCCCTCTCACTCTTTTTTCACTACGTAATAATAAATATCCTCGATGTTCTCTTTTCCAGCCACAGCCCACCTCTCCCAGGCACACGTCAAACCAAAATACGTATGTATAGGTACTGGTCTTGGTCCCTTGGACCTAAGCGATCGAATGATAAACCATTGAACTTGCCTATATAGGCAAATTGTGGTGGTCATCGAATCTCAATCATTGCCAGGCATGGAAACTACTAGTATACAGAATTAGCAAAGTAATCGGGATTGCCCAGGTGGTCACTTCTATTCTTCTTCCCTCCAACCTTGACATTCCATTTTAGGCTTTAGTCGGAGGTCATGGCAATTTTTAGGGCTATTACCCGTTTGAGATACGGAGTACTCCGTACTCCGTACACATTATTACACAGTACAGTGATTACATGGTGCGAGGTGGTGACTTGTGAGGTACCCACCCGCAGTACAGTATGTGTCCATGGGTCAATGGGTAAGTATCATAGCTTTGGCCTGAGGCCTCCCTCGGTATATCAACGGCTGAGCAGTACAGAGCCAGACTGAAGCTAGCTTGATACTTGGGAGGTGATCAAGCCTAGACCCTCACCTGCAAGCATCCCAGCAGCGACTTACTCGGGGTTTGCGTCATAATTCATCCGCTCATGTTTCAACATGCATTTGCTGTTGGACTTGGGTCGTATGTTGGCGCTTTAGTCAATCGCCATCTATTTTCAAGGAAGTTGTCATATTACATCATTTATTGAGACAACATACTGCGTAGGATTGGAAATTGGACTCACAAGTGCGACTGGTGTCTGGTTCAAGTTCAACGTGGACTAAAAATCAAGATTGCGGTTGCTTTCCTCCGCCTAGCAGCCAACTGGCGAACTGGTCCGAGCTGATGGTGACTAATGCATCACACGTGACCTCCAACATCCTCCGAACTGATCGGATTGTGAGCGGGCATCTCGAACCACCACTGTCTTTCTATCTTTACAAGACTCGTCTTCTTGCCGAAAATGGGTGCTGGAAACTCTAAGCCCGAGGCCTCGGCCGGCTCACAACATGTCTTCTCTAGGTAATTGCCCCCCGACCTCGATCCCAGCTTCCGCGGCATTGGTGCTTGATAGCCGGAGAGAACGGCAACGACCTTCCAATTGAGTCCAATTGGGAAGGGCAGACACTCCAAATGATTCAAATGAATCTCTCAAGCCACCCATCGTCATTTGGGACCCCCGCGAAGCCGAAACCAAAGCTACCCCCAGCAAATGCTAACCCAATCATACAGCAACTCTCCCGTCCAATTCTCCTCCAACCTAGTCGACGCCCTCCAATCGAACTCAGAGGTGAGTGCAACACACCCGTACATTCCCCACCCAGACCTTCCAACTCACAGACCCCAAACAGAGCGATTCCACCCGCTCCAAAGCCCTGGAACTCGAGATCCAGAACCGCGTCGCACAGGAACTCCAGCGCATCCGCGCCCGCGAGCAGCAAACCCTCGCCGAGATCGAGAAGCGCATCGCCGAGTCCAAAGACACCACCACCTCCCTGCCCGTCACAGCAGCAACCGCGCCCCTCGCCCCCTCAGCCACGGGCTACCCAGCCGGCTCACTGAACCTGGACGCTCCCCGCATCCCCTTCGCCGGGCGCCACCACGACCCCGTCCCTGCCATCGCGATGCCGGCCGAGTCCGCGTCTGCACCCGCCGCCCAGCCCGCTAAGCGTGATGTTTCACGCGACTCGGTTGCTGCGGAGATCGAGCAGCTGCGCAGTAAGCTTGATGGACGGAGGAAGCTTACGGAGATGGATGAGAGCGTTAACAAGGCGCGGTCGGATGTTGCTGCTTGTTTGCAGTTGAATGATCGGCGGCCGTTGAACTGCTGGGAGGAGGTCGATGCTTTCAAGCGTGAAGTTGCGAAATTGGAGGCAGCGTTTGTGGATCGCATTGTCGGTTGATTTGGGGTGGATTGATGTCAAGGCCACGGGGATTTATGGGTTTTGATTTCTGGGCTTGAGGCTGCTGTACTGTATGTATAGAATGTGCATTTTTCTCTTTGTTCCATTTTGTTTTCATCTGAATGGGTAAGATACTGTGTAGTTGTTTGGGTAAGTCCACGGGTAATCCATGGAATGGTCGTAAGTCAACCCTCGGATTTGTTCATTATTCTGCTGTAAGATATAGACACTGATCGCCAGGTAGCGGGCAGACTTCATCGAACTTGATATCATACAAACTCCCACATTCCTAACCGTCCGCTCTTCTCCCCAGCAGCCCGAATAATACACATCTTTCTCTCAGAGAGCTTGACATTAGGAGCCAATACCTTCGATAGCTGGATAGACCCAATTCCTGTGCCTTTGCCTTCTGAAAGGTTGTAGTTTCCAGTAGTGACAAAACCAATCAGATCCTCTTCTTTGGGCACCTCCCAAAGCTCAGAGACTTGATGTCCATCAACAGACGAGATTAAAGATTCAGCAAGAAGACGTCGAGCCTCTTCGGATCCGGGTTCAGCGTTCCTCGCCTTGTAGACCTTGGGTTGGTTGGGCTGCTTAGTACGTGCCGCACCGAGATCAAGCCATTCCTGGCGTAGCACTGGATCTGTAGGTAGCCGGTAGATGCGTGCATGGGGTGTCGGCGTGCCCCGCGTGGTGAGAGATATATAGACCGTCGCAAGAGTGGAAACATCGACGGTTGTTTTGTCGAGCTTACTCAATGTTGAGTTGGTATCAACCGGACCGAAACGGACATTGTGAATATTGAGCGGCGGAACGACAGGGCTGGGTATATCGCCGTCATCTTCCTTTTTCTCAATTGTCTTCTTGTCTGAGCTGCTTTTGTTATTGGCATCGGCGGTCTTTTCCGTACCATCAACCTGTTTGGGGCCTTGAAGAAGCCTCTCCCAGTCACAGGCCCACCCGTGGCCTATTTCGCCCTTTGGATGACCGGCACCCAGCAGAATGTTGTCGAACTCTGGACGGCGCCCCTTGGGACGTCGCTCCCATTCACGTCGCGATTTCTCGGTCTCTCGCTGGTTCCATTCCCAGCCAGCGCGTGTTCCCGGGAAATCTCCGGGAAACCAAGCTTCGCCTGCTTCGAAGGCAAGCTGCTGTTGTTGTTTCAGGCCACCAAGTAGTGGATTCCCTCCGCTGGATAGTGGGTAGAACATGAGTGAGTACCAGACTGGAACAACGCACTTCCAGGGTAATAGCACAGTCCAGGACCCAGGCGCACTGCTGTGTTTGGCACGGGCTTGTCGCTTATTTGCGAGTATCATGATTGGAATTTGGGGGTCTGATGGTTGGGCGGACGGATATTTACCGGGACCAGCGAGAGTGCGGCGCCGGTTGATGGCCTTTTGGCTTGGGAGCTGACGGGCTGCTTTCAGCCGAGTGGATCGGTCAAATAGCTTCGAGGGACCCTGTGTTTTGTCCGGGTGCCATGTAGAAAGTGTAGTAGCAAGGTCAACCATGTGTGATTCATTGTCGGGGACGTGAAGTGTGCGAGGCGGGAAGTGCAGGCGAGGGTCGGAAACATCAAAAGCGAGAAGGGCATTATGTGGCAGCGAAGACGGATTAGACACCCCCAAAAGAGACGGCCAGACAGCTTCCGGGCTCTGTGCTGCTGGGGCATTGCCCTCTAGCCCGACGATTGGCTTCAATGCTGCCAGCAGGGTTTCGGTAGATCCTGGCCCTGTGATTTCAATGCTTCCAATCTCGAATCGCAGGTCCTCAACCATAACAGGAGGATTCTGTCTTTTGGCTATCTCAAGGATATCTGTCCATAGCTGAAGGAAAGCCGAAGGGTGGATTCTTATCCAGAGCTTTCGGTGGTCTTTCCTCGATGACTTCGACTGAGATTTGTCGGCATCAACCATCTCAACGTCTTCTTGCTTAGCACACCAGACCACGGTCACTGGTGCAATCGGTCGTTCACGGCAGTCCTTTTCAACAGTCCAAGCCTGTAGAGATCGAGTCCCAGCTCTCCATTTCTTTCCTTTTGCCCCCCATGCAGTGTCGCCATCGACACCTACTGCTTGAAGAACAGCCTGGATACCTGATTCCACACCTTCTAACTGAATGGTCGACATATAACTCATGTCCCACGCCACGGCACCCCTGGCACCTCGAGCCCGGTGGGTAGGCCGATAGCATTTCTCGGTGGGGGACAAGGGAATTGCGAAGCGCCAGATCGGATTTTTAGTCGTCGCCATATGGGCTCGCTTCGCATGATACAGGTGCGTTGGCAGCCAAGTCTTGCACTTCTGGCGCTTGCGGAACTTAGCCTCCGCCGGCGTCGGCCTCGACAGCTTGTTCTTCTTGATCTTGGGAATGCGCGGTGCAATATCAAACGCATGGCCCCCCTCCTTCTCCAGCGTTGTCTTATTTTCTTGGTCCCTCTTTAGCTTCGCGGCTGCCCGTCGGGCTTTAGATTTCGAGTTGAGAGCCTGCAGTCGCCGGGCGGTATCGAGTCGAATGCGCATGAGCTGGGATGGTTTGCGTCTGCGAGCTGTAACAGTAGGTGTATTATCCTCGGCCATCTAGTTCCACATAATGGGTCAATCAGCGCTCTTCCCGATTTCACAGGTAACTGTCAATGCGGTACCTCTCGCTTGGCTCGTGCCCTCAACCTCCGCGGAACACGCTTCACATTATGACTCGCCGTCCGCCGCCGCAGCGCGCGGGGCACTTTCTGAAAGGCTCGCGTTGTAAGTGCATTTTTAGATCGTTGCATTCCCTCCTCCAGAGCCTGTATCTCGAATGCTCGGGCGGCCGAATACGCCGCGACATCGAGCTCGCCCGTTGCGGAGAGGGCGGCGTCTGCCGACTGCGCAGCCAGGGTGCGCGCATCGTAGGTTTTGGCGCGCTTGCGAGATGGCCCCGTTGCCCCGTGGGGACCAGATGGAGGCTTCCTCTTAGCGGCAGTGTGGGAGGCCATGATGGCTAATTGAAGTTGTGTGTTGTCTTGACATGTGCGTGTAAAAAAAGTTGCCGGGCTTGGCGCGTCATCCATGGATTGATCGGCGGCCCCACGATGAATCTTATTTACGATGCGTCTAGGACTTCTCTTCTTCGTAGTATAGATGTACACCCATCATATGAATTCTTCTCATAATTTGGACAGCTGACTTATTTCTAAAGATCGAATGAACCACCGATCACACTTTGGGCCACGCCCTCGAATCAGTGCATCACGACGGCTACATGATCCGTCATATACTTCTGGATATCGCCCAAGAAACAGGCAGCTATAATGGAGATGCCTCCAAAGGCGATACTGACATAGTATACCCACTTGTATCCCTCGGCGTATGCAAGTTGGCCAGCTTCAACCACCATCTGATAGGCAGCTTCGTTGCCAGCAATGCCAGGGATTGTGCGCAGCTCGCCTAACAACGATTCACTTGTCAACTGAATTGCTTCGCCGATCAGCGCAACATCGGTGATGTTGAGCTGTGTCATCATCACACCGCCGATGTGCTTCGTCGCCGCAGGGACAAACTTGGAGACGAAGACATTGTAGTAGATGGTGTAGCCGATGCTACCGCCGACAACGCGAATAGAGAGTGTAAGGGCGGAGATGGTGGCAATAAGATCCTAGGGAACGCCGATGTTAGCCAAGGTCATTATATTTTGCGGCAAAGGCAACTTACATCTGGGCAGATGATTGTAGTGATGATGGAGGCTGGAACCACAATCCCTCCGATTCCAATTCCGGCAAGAATGAGAATACCCCAAAGCTGATACATGTTGTCGACGCGGCCGATAGCCATAGCGCCGCAGCCTAGTTTAGAGAAACTAGATTAGTTCTGCTCATACTTCCGATGTTCACGATGAGAACTCACCTGCAGTCATCAAGACGCTGCTAACAATCAATAGCTCTTTGTTATGACCACGTAGAATACTCAGTAGCGCGAGCACGATGCAAGCCCCTGCTGTGATCCCGAATCCAATAGGGAGACTGCGCACGCCAACATCGATAGGGTCATGGCCATAGACATTGAACGACTCCGTGGGCCAGAACATGATCACAGAGAAGAAATTGGCACCGGAAATGAAGGTAATGACCAGGGTTAGACCCAAAATCCGGGGCTCCTGCTTGAGACGTGATGGGAAGATGGGGAATTTGGCTCCATAGATCTCCCAGAAGGCAAAAGCGACGAGAAGCAGGAACCCAATGATCAACGGTGCCAGGACATGGGGAGATGACCATTCGTACTGCAGAGAATGTCAACAAGAGCCTTGGATATCACAAGAGATCGATCTTACCATATAACCACCCCATTGCAAGCCAGCCAAGAAAACAATCAGACCAGTGATGCTGAGGAAACCTCCGACAAAGTCGATACGTCCAATGATTTCCTTCCGGCTCATTCCAGCCGAGTTAACTCGTGGCGGGGGAAGTAGAAGAAAATAGTGATCAACAGACCAAAGGCGCTCCACGCAGCACAAAACGCACCAACATAGCGCCAATGGCTATAATATGCAATGAGTTGTGCCCACAGCACGGACGGGCAAAACGGCACAATTGTGAAGATGAGGACAGCAACATAGACTCCTCTCTTTCGAGTTGGTGCCATCTCCGAGGTAGCCGCCAGGGCCGTCAGTTCATTGACTCCCGCACCGGCGCCAGCGATGGCCATGCCCGCTATGTGATGCATGTTAGCGAGTGCACAATTCAGCATCTGCGCGGATACGAACCGATAAAGCTGTTCATCGTGTTGACTGTGCTGCATATAATCATTCCAATGACAATTAGGGATGCTCCAATAATCGCGACTGGACGGCGTCCGATGAGATCTGATAGAGATCCGACGAACGGGCATACACCGGCAAGGCCAAGCAAATTGGCGAGGACCTGGATGGAGATCTGTTAGCTGAATTCGTCACAATTCAAGGAGTAATTACTCACAAACCAGACCCATCGATCCGCTCCGCCAATGTCTCCATAAATATATGGAGGGATACCGCCTAGACAACAAGAGGTGTTAGAAAGGCATCACAGATCTGGTTGACCTCGGATTGTACTGACCAAATAGATAGACTGGTATCTGACTGCCAGTCCATAGGAAAGCCATAGCAGTAAAGCCCATAAAGCGGCGGAAAGTCATCTATTGCCGGTCAACGTTGTTTTCACACTAAACTGCACAGGCATATCTTACCGGAATATCCATCTCCGACTCATGCAGAGCTTCTTCTGAGCCAGCATCGGCTATCTCCTTGTGACTATTCTCTGAAGAGCCACTTCCTTCATGATGCTGGACCACAACCTTGTCGTCAATCGGCCGACTCGATTGATCAATGACGTCCGCCATGATGATTGGGGCTCAGAGGCGGCGCCCGAAGACAGTTAAGAAGAATAGAAGAACAATTGTGGAGATACTAAGAGAAATGGAACGAAAATCGAAAATCTGGGGGATTGACGTTGGCCCACCGAACTTAAATGAAATTGGATACTGTTCAAATCCGCCAGATCCAAATTGGAAGGTGGATAGGTAGTATTCTGGGAAATGGATGCGCAATTCCACTCTTGCAGGAAGAATTCGGCGAAGATATATCTGTTCTCTGGGCTGACAGAATCATCCTACTCCACTTAGTTCAAGCATTGCCCCCCGTTCGTGTGTCATATCGGATAGCTCGTTTTGAGGTGTAGCGAATCAAACAAGAAATGATGGAGTCGTTGCCCGGCTAATCTGTTGACTTGGGGGGGTCTACTTGGCGATAGCCGGGACAAGAATGCTTGAAATGCGCAGAGTACCGAGGCTGCTTGGCGGTTCTCCTCTTATTGTTGGAAGAAGATACGTAGTACTTACTCCGTAACTAGGGCCCCATCAAAAATGCGGGGAAGGACGTTGTGGACCACGTTTCCTCCACTCCGGGGTACAAAACCATAACGGGAAGCAGCCCCGAAAGTATAAGAAAGCACAAGAAATAATGAGATGACTTGTGCTACAAAGAAGCTTTGGACGCCCGATTTATATCGCCGAAGTTCTCCCCCGAATAAGTCACACGCTTGAAGAAGAAGGTCTCGCCTTCGTAGATACCAAGCCACCTAACTAGCGAGTACGAAGCTAGATGCCGAGGTTCAGAAATATTCCCCAACCTTGCCTAGCTTGAGTTTCTTGGGGACAACGAAAAGACCCGTTGCCTCCACACATAGACGACCTGCCATGTCACGAACCTCACACCTAGCATATGCTTTGGTGTCCGTGCTCCGATCTTGGTCCAGGGAGGAATGCACGGTATAGAAATTGCCCGAGTATACCGGGGCGCGGTAATCGAGATTGAGATTGGCAGTGACCCCTGTTCGAGCAGGGAACTGCCGAATAGCTAGGCGCCCTAGGTTCTCATCGATAACAGTCCCGATTGCGCCTCCGTGGACCATGGTTGGCCAGCCTTCGAGGCCGGGCCCCAAGAAGACCACGCTAATGATCTTTTTCTCCTTATCATTCCAAAAGACTCTCTGTTGAATACAATAGAAGTTAGATAAATCGGAATCGCAAGGTTCAGCAGTTCAAGAGCTTGGCAGTCAAGTAGGATAGGTATGCCCCGGGAGCCAAAGAGGGAAAGTGAGAGACCAACCTGTAGTCCCAGCGATCTACTACCAGCCATGGGGCCTGATGTCAACCGGTGGGTTTTATGCTCCTCCCCAAAGTTTTGATAGACCTCCTTTTCCACGTAATCCGGGTCACGGCGCAGTTCCTGGACGATAGGCAGTCCAACGTCGAACACCCGTTGGATTCCTTGAAGCTCCATCTGATCCTCGAGGGTCCCAGGCGCTGGAGGAACTGAGACTTTGTTGTCCAACCATTTGCCTGCGCTGACGCCAAGTGTCCCAAAGATGCTCGCATAGATTAGACGGCGCGGCCACCGCGATGATTGACGTGGGACATTCGGCTGTGTCGCGGTGCTGATATTCCGGGCCGCTGGTCGCCAAAGGCTTTGCGTGTGTGTCGTAGACCGGCGTAGAGCCGACTGGAGGATGCTGCGAGGGTAGTTCATTGTCGTCACATTGCCATTGCTCTGAACTCGGGACTTTGAATTGAGCAGAGCTTTTCTATGATTTGGCCGAGGCCGAGGCTCGAACGGGGTCACGTGAGATTAGCCGTTTATTCGTTTACATCTGAGTTCTGTCCCCGTCCCGGGGGCATGGAGCGACCGCGACTTCCACAGTTCATGGATCTACACTCAAAGATGGGACTACATTGCACCACACAGTACAAATTACAAGATATAGTGGCTTAAGCTCAGAGTAGTTCCTGGGCGACAATAGAGTGTGGTAATTAGAGCTTTCATCCCGTCATAGTTCCTGAAGGAAGCCCACTGTATGGTTTTCCCTGGTGATAACGAAGAGTCGGCCAAGGGTTCGGAAAGACATCCGAGTATGCTGCCCAGGCGTAATGCGAATATACCGTTGAAACAGCGATTGACCGCAAATAAGGCAGATGGACGGGAAATAGGTTGGTATGACAGGTTTTGGCTTCGTTTGTCGTTTGCATTTCGCTTGAATTGCTGTCGTAATTCGAGGACTCCGTTTTGACAATACCTATAACCAGTACGCGGGAAAGCAGAATATGAGAAGTGCACCCCACGAATCATGGGGACACATTTCACTTTGTCATAACTGATGGTTGACTGAAACCATTCCATGGCTCTTGTAGTTGGTCTGATCGACTAGCAATCCCACCAGTCAACCCAGGACACTCCATAATCCCATGTGTCATTTAGGTAGATATAACGGAGTAAAAATGAGAGAAGACCGACCGATTGAGGAAATGAAGCGGGTGAGTTATCCACCTACCTAGCTCGGTAGGCCCTTGTTCAAGATGTGAAGACCAAGGGGCATGATGTCGTCGTGAAGTGTGAGCCGCAACACAGCCTCACGAAAGCAGAATGTGAAACAACCCTCCAATGCGCTCGCCTTAAATGATCTGTTCATATCCCCGGCGGGTCTACCTAAGAGCAATCGCTTAGTCGTCCAAGGATGGCACCTATATTAAGTGCTCCTCTCACTTCATCTTTCCCTTTCTCAATCGATCCCACCAACCTTCATCCCCAAACCAATCAATAAACCTGTCACAACGAGCATCTTCATTGATCTGATGAGCGGAATCGGTTGATGAGGCGCCTCATGACCTCCCAGCATAAAATCAAGGGCCCCAAGCGTCCTTCCCTCGGCTGCCTCGCTGCCTCGAGGGGTCAAGTACCCCTCGTCTCTCTTGGTAAGGATCCCCCATCCCCTTTCTTCTCTCATGTATCACCCGGAGTGTGCAGACCATCTCCATGACGAGTTGATACAGACGACTGCAGACGACGCAGAGATCGAGGAGGCTTCTCCGTTGATCCACGAGGGACGGAGCTCCAGTTGGATGCCGCATGTGTGAATCTGAATACACCCGTGGAGCTGATTACCTGTACACCCTCAACCTCAAGAACAGTTGTTCGCAGCCTCGAAGATAGGCAGCATACTATGGCTTCAAGTCATCAACCCGCAGCACCGATTAGCTTGACAACCCCTCCAGCGCAAAGCCCACCCACACAAACTTCTCCTGTACAAGAAAACCCAACGGCCGCTGATCAGAACCCTCGGCCCCGACAGGATACCAAACGTGTGCTTACGGCTAATGCAAGTGGCATCTCAAACCATCTCCAATGGACAATGATCCCACTGCATTCAACAAATTCGCTGATCTCTTCTCCGTCCAACTCTGGCAGTGGGTTGGGTGCCATTGAGATCCAGCATCCTGCTGATGAGCACCGTCGATTCACGGTCGCATCGATGGCTTAGCCATCATCTCGGCCATCACCTCGAGCAGCCCTCCAATCGGGACTCGCAGCAACCCACCAATTGGGGCTCGGTGGGAAAGACCATCAAGGACTGGAACAAGCTTCTGTGCAGTAAGTGTCGTCCGACAAGGATGTCAATCCACTTATGTGATCCCATCACTTACTTCTTTTGCTCTCTAGGACGTCCGATGACCACCGCTGGTCCGCCGTCGAGTAGATGAGCGCAGTGCGGCCAGTGCCATCTATGCGCTCTCATGGAAAACAGTGTGAGGGTTGTCGAATGCGCTTTGCGACAACGGAAGTCTGGCAGACCGACCAGCGAGCCTTGGCCCCCAGGGCCCCACCACATCACACTGTTCCCACCTTTCACGTGAAAAACGTGACTTGGGGGGTGCAGTGAATTCTTCCTCGGGGTGCAATGGCCTTATGGCCTATAACCTGGGTGTGGCTCGTGATGATGGCTGCGGCCTCAGCCTGAGGTTGCAAGCGAGGCACCAATTCTCCGCCAGCGCAAGGAAACCTATATCCGCAAGCTGGAGGAAGAGAACAAGAGCACCGATCCCCTCAAAGACCAAGTAAGGATCCTGGCGAATGAGAACTATCAGCTGCAGGAACATCGCTCGCCCAGTGAAGATTCGACCTACTGTGTAGAGCACGGGATACCTTCATAACGATTTAAAAATCCTGAAGGAACACAACAGCCAAGTTTTCATTGTCGCCAGAAGCGCAAGCTCAACTTCCTTATCTCACAAACCGAGCTGTACTCCTACTTCATCGGGCGCAAGATCAAGACCGACGAAGCTCAAGGGTCTTCTGATATATTTGGGTGTCCGCCTTATGCCACTTGGGTGCAGTCTGGCCACTCATTCGAAAAGCTGAAGACGATAGCGATCCACCAAAGTCACGTTAAAGGTATCACCTTCGATCCAGCAAACAAATATTTCGCGACGGCCAGCGAAACATCGCTCGCCCGGTGAAGATTCAACCTACTGTGTAGAGCACGGGATACCTTCATAATGATTTAAAATCCTGAAGAAACACAACAGCCAAGTTTTCATTGAACTCGACACCCTGGATAGTACGTCGTCCGTCATTCGTGAGGTCGTGGATGTGGCACAGCTGTACTGTGTAGAGCACGGGATCAAGAACAAACCAGGTCTTGAAACAATGCTTCGAAACATGAACCTGCCGACTTCTGACCTGCACAATGCGGGTAATGATGCAAGCTGCACCCTGCGGGTTCTCGTGCGATTCATGCTCAAAGTTGCTGGCGAGAAAGCGGATGTGGATCCGAAGCATCAGACTGGCAACGAGAAGGACAAAGATGAGTCCGGGGTCTCTTACTGTTTTAACATTTCCGTACATACCGGGAGGATCGCTGCCTGGTGTACGGACGAATGTACATAGACCTACTCCTCTATTCTTGCAGCCTTGCTCCAATTACAATTCTCGTTCGAATTCACTACTATATTCTAACCCCCTCTCGCACATCAAACTAAGAGAAAAGACTCTCATGTCCAACCTACCTAGATTGTGACAAAAGTGCCTCATAGTACTCGTACATCGTCTGTCTCCTACGAATTCACCATATTCCTGGTCTGTGCAAGAGCAAGGAAAGAAAAGAACGGCTTCACATCCATCTTAGTCGCTTGATAGAAACAGCAAGGGTGGGTGCAGAGACTAAATTATCACTTTGACAAAAGAGAGAGATCATCCGGTGCTGTACGTACTCATCTCCTGTTCACCTTTAGTCAACACTTCCGGGCAGGTAGTTCACGTCCATGTTACTTGGGTGATTTATCCCTCGGCCGCAGGCCCGGGGTTGGGTCTCGTATGTTATACTATGGTCAAATTAGACCACATCACCATTTACTGACCACACTAATAAGTATACCTGTAAGACTGCTTCTCCTTATCTGTCAGACCCGAGAACGAAGTATCCCCCGATGAAGAAGGGCGCGGAGAAGAGCATCAACCATGTTCGTCGTTTCTATTCATCTAGACCTTGGTGGCTTTAGTGCCACCGAAATAAAATACTGCTAACAATGCAACTAGTTCACATTTGAACGGATGCTTGCAGTCACCTCTGTCATCGACTATGGAAGCCGACTCACTTACTCGCACTTAGGCAGATCAATTGCGCGGTAGAGGCAGATGAGAGCAGAGTGTGACTCGCCTAAAAATCCCGTTAGTGATCGTTGTGAAGAAGATTGTCATAGTAGTCCACTTACCACCTCCAGAAAGAGTTTCGATCTTCTGTGCCTCCACCTCGGTGACCATGTCATCGTTGAACCACCACCACTTATCGTCCGCCCCACGGCGCTTGCTACCGGCTTGAGCATCGTCTTTCTCCTGCTTCTTCACATATGCCGTGTAGTGACCGCTGTCGGCACTAGCACCCTGGTGGGTAATCACCGCGCGAAGCTCATATAAACCAGACTGGTTGGTACCACTGTCTCCAGCGCCTCTTTGGTTGATGAGTTCTTGGAGTTCCTTCTTAGCAACACGGATCGATTCCAATCTCTCTGCTTCATACTCGGCATCGGTCTTGAAAGTTTCCTCCATCTGGGTATCGCCCTCCTTATCTTTAGATTTGGTCTCCTCGGCAATCTTCTTCTTCGGCATTGGCTCCACGCTTTCGCCTAGATTGGTCTCTTTACTCTGGCGCTCTGCTCGTTCTTCGGCAACTCGTTGGCGCTTTTGGGCACGTTCGACGTCCAATTCCTCCTTGCGGATCTCGCGAACCTTGTCGCGAATAGGGACAAGCTCCTTCCGGAGATCATCGGTGCAGAATTCCACCACATCCAACTCGGCAGGGAATGTGACTTTGCGCATGATCTTGGCCTTCTTTTTGGTCTCGCGCTTCCAAAAGAAACGGACAAAATGCACCGTGAGGTACTTTGGCAGTCGTGCAATGCGTGACCGCTTTTTGTACACGGAATTGCGGTCTAAAAGAGGGGAATTCTTCTCGATTTCCTCTTCCAGGCCAGCCATAATTCCATCGTGCAGGTGATTGGTTTCTTTTCCAATGTGGCAATCAAGCTTGTAGAAAACATCGGAACTTTGGGTGGGTTCCTCGCCGAGCTCCTTGGCGGCAGGGTCCTGGCACTCGGTGACAGACTCAAATTGACCAGCAAGATATTTGTCCACAAATGAAGTAGTCGTAGCAGAATCTCCCTCTCCCTCGGTGATAGTCAACTTGGTCCGTAGCTGGTTGATGATCTGAGAGAAAGCCTCTTCGGCATCCTGTTGAGCGTATCCTTGCCCATTCCGGTCGCGTTGGGCGAATTGAGGGAACACCGCTCGGAGGGCGTTGAGAAACATCAGCGGTGGGATACCCTCCTGAGTCTCAGACATTTGCTTGAACAAGTCTCGTAGAGAAGCAGCCAAATCCCGGGAGCCTCCGAGCCCACCAATACCAAAGCTACTGAGGTCTGATAGACTGGACTGCCCAGCCCCACCGCTCGGCCGGTACTGCAGGAGCTCTTGTTGAAGCTCCGGGAGACTGCGCAGAGTCTGTAGGGTGGAGTTGAGATAGCATGTGTTCCCCAGGTTCTGCAAGCCCGCAGGAGTAGCACCCGCCTGTTGGGCCACCTCAGCCTCGGTCATGTCTTCTAAGAATTTGACGGCCTCCTTTGGCCGACCTAGATCAGCGGAGCCTGGTCCTCCCGACGGTGTGCCCATCATCATAAACATCTGCCCGGGTTTGGCATTAAGCGAGGAAAGAGGTGTATCATCTTTAAGCTGACCACCTTTCACCAATACTTTTTGGCGATCGGGTTCTACACCGGTCAAGGAAAAGAGTTGGTATTTGAGTGTTTCGCCGTTCGATGTAGGATCGAGCTCGACTTCGTGGCGCTTGCCGGCGTGTTTGACAATGACTTGTATTTGTTAGTAGTTGCATATGCATAACAAGACTGCCGATTCATTCACACATACTCGGTATAGCTGCCATGTTTCAAGGAGTTGTGCCGATGGATAATGCGAGAAGGATGAAGAGCTTGAAGAAGCTTCCGAATGCTGAGGCGAATGATGAACAGCTAGCGGGATGAGGAAGCGTGGGCGTGGGGACGCCTTCTCACCGCCCAACCACTATCATCACCGCCCGCCCCGACATCGACTCCTCTTCTGCCTTGGACAACCTGTTATCAGGAGAACTGCCTTTCGCATTGACTGTTGGTGGTCAAAGGCTTTTCAAAGTGCGATCTCATTCAAATCATCCCTAGGCAGAACCTGGCCATATCATTTCTCAAGACTATCGCATCCGTGTTGCCACGATAAACACCCCTCATCATGGTAGGTACAGCTCCAATCGGCCAGTTCGACACTCAACTAATTGATTATCAGAGTCAATCTCTCCGGCCTTACCTCCAGGCGTGAGCACAGACATCTATCGATTGTTCGGCGGCAAGCTTGCTTACACTTTAAACAGTGTCCGGTCCTCTCTAACCGCGGCTCTTACTATCTCCAACTTCGCTTCCCAGACATCTGAACGGCAGTATGTTACACGCTCTGTGGATCCGTGACGTGGAAGACACTAACATGGCGTACCAGTAATTGCCCCGAGGTCGAGGCGAATTCCTCGCCCGAGATCTTACTCAACCCGTACGTCTAACGGTCACTTCCCTATACTCGCATTGGACAAACTTATTGAGACGCTTCAAGGCTGCACATCAGCAGGAACGAAAATGAAAAGGTCCTGATTGAGCCGAGCTACAATTCTGTTCGCCTAAGCATCAGGATCAAGCAGGCGGATGAGATTGAACACATTCTTGTCCACAAATTCACCCGGTTCCTTACCCAACGAGCTGAATCATTCTTCATCTTGCGCAGGAAGCCAGTGGAGGGTTATGATATCAGTTTCCTCATTACGAACTTCCACACGGAGAAAATGCTTACTCACAAGCTCATCGATTTCGTGATCGAGTTCATGGAGGAGGTGGACAAGGAGATCTCAGAAATGAAGCTCTTCGTATGTGTGCATACATCTTACTTGATCGTGGCTGATTTACTGATATATTGCTAGCTGAACGCTCGTGCTCGATTTGTTGCCGAGTCTTTCCTCACACCGGTATGGTTCCATTGAGTCCATGTACTCCGACTATATGCTAACAGTCACTCAGTTCGATTAAATTGCCTAGCGTTCTTCTCCTTGATTCTGAATAATGAATGGCGCCCTGTGTTCCTCACCTCCTACTCCTGTACAGATAGCATAGGTTTGCTTTGATCAAAAGAATCTTATAGCTATTGACTTTTGTCCTTTGGTGCGCATTTTCCAAGGTTCTCACTTATGCAGTAGTCTAATGGATAACACGCAACTAGACAGGGTCAGAGGCAGACCTATCCCTCTGTCCTACGGAGAGACTATATATGTACTGGCATGCATAGAAGTCTCTTCTCTGGATGGACGAGTGGCTCGAGAGTCGAGACCTCCAATATTCCACCTGTTGTTCCACGCACCACTATCTGGGATTCTAAGGCAGCTTCTCATACTGATATTTGATCCAATATGGCGAGTCCAGAAGCTGAATATCAAGGATGGGTCGAGAGTAGGTGAGCCGTGACTGAGCTCTCTCATTGCGTTGTCACGGGGCTTCTTGATGTGAACGGCAGTTCGACTCTGTGGACATGATTCAAAGTCAGGCTTCGGTCTTCTATTGATGTTATTCAATTGTGGCTGTCCTGAATGCCATTACAAGGCAGCAAAATGCCTATTGATTTTGATTCGGCAACTTCTAGTGGGACGATTATTCCTAACAATTGTCCAATTGTCCATTGTGACTTCCCTTAGGCCAACACTACCTTCTACTCTCAGGTTCTGTTCCCTCGACTATTTATTATTCCACTCCTACTCATCTTCCCTTCTTCTTCTCTTCTCCGTTCATACGATTTGTATGCCTTCTTCTTCGATATCTTCTTCGATTTACCCTCTCATTCACCCTCAACGTCTAGCAATCAATCCCCAACTAAGTCCACTTTAACTCGCAATCTAATCCTACAAGTGACAGTTTCACCATGGCGTGGCCATTCAACGCAGCTGTCAACTCCAGCGAGGGGGAGTATGCTCTCCTACAGAGCTCTTCCATTGAGGATTTGCTTCACCCAAGTTCTATTCCATTCGGCAGCACCACAGATACGCAGATACCTTCTCGCATGGGCGTTTTGGTCATTTCCAACGTAAGTCGCTGGCTGCATCATCCAGCTTGACTGCTGCATGATTCAGTATTGGTGTCTAATGATAAAATACTCAGATTCCATACACCTTGACTCGGCATGAGGTTACTTCGTTCCTTGGACGTAGCGCTAGAATACTCCCATCTTCTCATGGATGCCCGGTCCATATACTCATGGAACGATCCACTGGGAAGACCATGGACTGCTATGTGGAGTTCTCGACGGAGAGACAGGCCAAGGAAACGGTCGATCGGCTCAGCCGTGCCTATGATTCTGGCAGTGCCCCACGAATGGGTAGCCGCCATGTTGATATTGAAATGAGCAGCCCAGCCAAATTGCTGAAAGCCATCTTCCCTTTGGCCAAATGCATTTCGTGGGAGACTGGAAGTCCTGTTCAGCTGGAAAATAACTATGAGTGGTCTACCGGGTTCAATGGCTTCCTCACCGACGAGGAATTGTTTTGCCTTACTCGTCATGCCGAGCAGCCACATAGGGTATGTCTTACCTTTCTTTCTCTTCCCTTTCATGGACATGATTGATTAACACAATACAGAGCGTATTCGCCTGCAAGGTGCCCCAGCGCTGCTACGAATCGTTCATCACCACCATCTGGAAGGTAAGTAGACAGGACATTGCCATTCGGTACTCGTTTGCTTTGAAATCTTACTTATACATTTGGCGTTATGTCATAGTTCCCATGGCGCGCAACTCATCTTTACACCGTGCACCACCGTAACGCGTTGTTCCTCACCCTTTGCAAGTTGATCAGGATACTGGTTGCCAGCATAAAAAGGAATCGGACGATTGGCCTTGACTCTCGCCTTCTTACTGAGTTGGTTCAGGCAGGAATCGAGTGCCCGGGTTTTAACCCGCGCATGAAGTATTGCTTTGCGTGGTATTCGGAGGACCAGCAAGCAATCATGTCCTTGGATCATGACTGGTGTCTGTATTTCCCATACGATACAATGACCTATCTCCCAGGTCACACTATTGCGACGATGCAGGTACGGAATGTGGGTTATTTAACCTTGTCTGTCTGATTACTAACATGTTGCGAACTCAATATAGTTCTATGCCTTCCTCATGAACAGGGGCTCCGTTTTGCGCACCGAGGCTGAGGGCTTGGTCAACGAGCATCATGATCCTCGGCTTGAACGAATCTTTGGAAGGTTCTGGTTTGATTGGCAGGGAGATGCAGCCCGTCAAATGGTATTCAAGGACGCCATCATCTACGAAGCCGCCGTCCTGCGCAAGTTCATCATCACTGGATTTCAGCACCTTCGTAGAAGGACGTCTAGTGCTTCGACAATTGGCACTGCGCCATACTCCTCGCCGAACCCCAGCGAGGTCTCCGCTCCAGACAGCGAGCGAACAATCTCAGTGACCCAAAACATCTCTGTGGATCCTAGCCCTGCTTTCCAGCAGACCTCGAACCTGGCGACTATTGACGAATTTACCAGTCGCTTCTACATACCTGGGCAGGATACCAATGTGCCGAGTGGTACCACTCGTGTTGGCTCCCAAGGTGATATTACTAACGAACTCCCGGTAACCCCAACGCGTTCGCCTCCCGTGGCAGCCGAGCGCTACCGTGCACCTCACGCTCGAACTGTCAGTGTCACCCGCACGGCTCGTGATCACGGGATGCAGGGCAACTGGCGCATGCCGCATTCTCAGGAACAACCTCGTCCGGGCTACTACGTACCGCATTCGACCACGGACTATAAACTGCGCTCATCGTCGGACCCTTTCGCTCCGGCTCCGCTCCCTCCGAGGACCTGGCCTAGCAAGCGTTCCCGCTCCGATTGCATCAGTAATATGTTTGGACTGCTGGAAGAGGCAGAGCCTTAATCGAGTGAATGAAAGGGCCCGGCAACCTTAGTTAATACAACTCGGTCGAGCGGTGTTAAGCTGATAGCATGCTAACGGGCGGTGAGTGGTGTCTTTCTGGTTTCTACTTTTTGTTCTCCTTTGGCTTCAACTGCGCGGGTGTACGGAGGCATCCATTAGCTTACTTTATCGCTTGCCTCACTGAGAGGTCATAGCATCTTGGGCTTTGCTGGGTTGCAAGATCCACTCGAGATTCATTTGCTGATCACTCTTCTCTTACTTAGCATTTTGCTAACTTGCTTTTCTCTCTTTTTCGTTTCTCCGCTCTCAGTAGACTTCCTTGAACGGCGTTATCTCTCATCTAGATTCAGTAGCTATGCGGTAACATGCATAGGTAGTAGATCGCGTAGGACATCGGCGTCGGTAAGCCTGATGCTCTATATCAACCTCACCTCTTTCATTCGATGCATCCAGTTGACGAATCTCTCCAGATCGCAAATCAGTCTGATGTCGGTTCATAGTTACCGATCAATCTCTTCAGATACGGGTCAATACCGCAGGGGGGTATTGTCTGAACTAAACAGCTGAAATATGGCTTCCACATCCCTTCATGATTTCGAACCAATTGTCTCGATCTCAAATCGAAAAAGATGAGTAAAGAGACGGAAAGCGACTTCCAAGATTGGGGGCAAAAAGGAAAAAAGTAAGGGACAAAAAGCGGAGTCGATTATTACAGCCGGTTTTAAAGGCACGCGGGTCCCCTCAAGTTATTTGCAGTTGTTTACCACTTCCTCAGATCGACGTTTTTGTGGGCTATTTTGGCTGCTTCGCTACCTTGTTCCTGCCCAATTCTTGGGATATGGTAAAAACACACCGAAATTTTTAGAGAAGCTCAGCAAAATAGAAGGGAGAAAACAAGCCTGCTGTCATTTACACCGTTACACGACTATCTAAGTATGCCACGACGATCATCCCGGCCTGAAGCCGCGTCGCCTGAGGCGCCTGTGGCGTCAAAGCGACGCGCTTCAGCTAGGCTGTCCGCCGCCGAACCGGAGGTCAAACGAGTTAAGTCCGACGCCGACTTGACCCTCCGCCAGGCAAAGTCGACAAGCAGCAAGAGCAAGTACTTCGCGACAGAAGACTCTGACGAGCCTAGTTCGGAGCCTGATGACACCGGGGATTCCGATGACTCGGTATACGAGGAAGCAAAACATGAGTCTTCTGCCGACGAAGAGGAGCCGGAAGACCCCTCCGACAGCGATGAGGACAGGAAGAAGAAACCCGTCACAAAAGGAAAGCAGCGGCAAAGCATCAGCAACGAAAGCGACTCTATGAAGGGCAAAGAGCTTTGGCGCGAGGGTGTCAGAGTGGGCCTTGAGCCGGGACAGGAGGTAATCATCGCCAAACCCAAGGCCCGAGCCGCGGGGAGCACTCCGTACGAGGATGAGACGCTGCACCCCAACACCCGGTTGTTTTTGATTGATCTGGCGGATAACAATGACCGCCAATGGATGAAAGGTAGGCAAGGCACATGTACCGCGGTTATTGAATGGCTGGCTGAGCTGCGCAGCGCATGATCCTGATTACCGCGCGGCAAAAAAGGATTTCGAGACGTTCATCGAGTCCCTCACGCCGAAGATCACGGAGATCGACGCTACCGTCCCCGAACTTCCCGTCAAGGACTTGGTAGGCTTGCAGACATGTTTACCTCTATCCGTGGCCGCCGCTGACGCATGTTTTACCCCAGGTATTTCGCGTCCACAGAGATATCCGCTTCAGCAAGAACCCACTCCCGTACAAGGTATGACCTGATTCCTTCTAGCCCGAATGTGTGCCTGTCGCATAGTCGTGTGTACGCTTATGGGGCGGGTGCGCTTGTGGTATTCTGGTGCTCATTAGCTGTCCTAACATGCATGTACAGACACACTTCTCTGCTGCCTGGTTAGTACCGAGACTCGATGGAGAAACATATCACTGAACAAGGTACAGGTCTCGGACTGGTAAGAAGGGGCCATATGCGGCATATTATGTCCACTTCCAGCCAGGCTCTTGTTTCGTGGGTAGGTTATCCCCTGGCTTCTAGGCCTCGCTCTCGTCCTGCTGTGCTGCCTTCTCTTGTACTGGGCCCATCCATCAGGGCTAACATCTGGCTGTGTTTAGGATGTGGACTTTGGAATCCCGAGGCGGCGCCGCTTGCACTGCTTCGAGAGGAGATCGATGCGAACTCGGCTGGCTTGAAAGAGGTTCTGAGGGCGCCGGAAATGCGTCGTTTGTTCCTGAATGGTGCGGCCGATGACGATGATGCGGTTGTGGACGCTTTTACACATCATAACAGGGAGTCGGCTCTCAAGACGAAACCCAAGGTACGAAGCTTCCTGTTGTCTATTACCCCCTTACCCCATTGGAGTCTGTTGTCCATAGATACAGACACCCACTCCTTCCCTCGTGGTGTTCCTTGTACTTCGGTTGCATTGTCAGCTGTTTTTGGGCCGGGCCGTGAGGATCTTGGGAGGCAGGGGTGCGGTCCGTCATCGATGTGGCGTCCATCGTCCGACCGGGGTCGGACTTGGGAATGGAAACCAATTCCATCTTTATCAACAAGTAGCATTCCCGAGGTCTGATAGCCAATGGCCTAATGAGCTCCTAGAGACCAGTTTCCTCAAGTTGATGAAGGGACAGCTTTGGTCGGGTTGATGGGCGCCTCGGTGGCTGAAGCCTCCCAGCCTCACATCGCTAGGACTTCAGAAGGTCCAGCACATGACAGACCAAGAGAACTGCAGACCTCCAAGTGCGACGCACCATCAAATTCCGTATGGACAAGATATGCGGAAGACAACCTTGGAACGAGCGCACGGGGTTACGGGAAATGCCAGAATCCGCATTTTGGGCCAATTTTCGCTCCCGAGGCCATGCTATGGGATCCAAGAAACCAAACTGGCTGCCCTCAATGGAGGATTCTCACTTGCTGCAAGGGGATTTGCTATCACGCCGTCGAGTTTGGTTCCATGGTTCACATCGGCGCCAGGCTCCACGTCTGATCCAGGGGATCTTACCGCTAACACACACACGCACTTCTTCTAGGGTTACGACGCGGACAATAAGAACATCAAATTGCTTCGACTACGCAGTTTTACTATTGGGAAGCCGATTTCTGACGAAGAACTCACTGGCGACGATGCCCAGGAGAGGATCGCTGCTTTGGTTGGGGTCATGGAGCCTTTCGTAAGCCTCAATTTTCCCAACCTATTTCCCGCCGATTTTGCCCCCTCTTGACTAGCCTGCTTTCCCTTCTGAGCTAGCCACTTTGGCCGTTGCTCCCCTTTATCCACCGCCAAATCAGCGCTCGGGTGCCTACACGCCTGTCACGTAGATGATTTTTGGTTTAATTTTTTCCCGTGGCTTTGTCGAGGCTCGGGAAACAATAACCTGCATGTTTTTCTACTTGTATTGCTGACTGCTGACCGCTTCTCGCTCCTTCTAACAGGTGACATATCTCAACAGCGTGGTGATGCCCGATCAGTGACATGATTGGAGCAAGCCACCCGCATCTATTGGCAATTGACGGGAGGGGGGAGGAGAGAGGGTAGATCAAGTGTATTCCGGTTTACCATTTGGCCCTGTTTCCAAGTTCGGCACGTGTCTTGTGTGTTTGTTACCTGTCGAATTACCCATTTTATTTTTCATTTCACCTCATACGCTTTCTAAAGGCTCGGGTCTTTTGTCTTGAAACCCTCGACCTGAAACCGAACTCCCCCACCTTCAACGCCTCCTGCACACGGCTTCTTTCGTCAGGCCCCGCCGCGTTCCCTGGATTGCTACTGCGGACCTAACGTTGGCGCAGGGCGTAACAACTAACAACCATTTACTCTGCAACTCATGTCACCTCTAGTTGCTGCGCTGCAAGCACTGCCACTGCCGCCTTGCTGCACACTGCGTCGGCAGACCTCCAAGTCGAGACATGACGACTGCCCGCCCGTTTCCCCTCAATCGGGGCACACATACAGTTTCAAAGAGTCCATATCCCCGGAAGCCTTTTACACGTTTTCCAGCACCCAATGGCAGTTGAGCCTTTTCGAGTGCAATGCAGATTACATCTTATCCTCGTTGCGATGTTGCAATGCCCCATGCATTCCCGGCAAAAACCCTGTACATAGCCAAGTAACTAGAACCTAGACTATCATTTAGTGAAGCATTCAGTGACGCGCATGATATTGTCACCGCAAGCGCCCGCGTTCGGCCCGTTGTCGGGCATGGCCCGCTAGGCTAACCTTGGGACTAGCCAATGTGGATCGGGAGCCGGGCAGTTAACTCCGCCGTACCAAATCTGCTCATTGAGGTGAGCACCTTCCTGGTCTGGCATGGACTCCGTTTATTTGACTGGGTGGTAATGTCATGTTTTTCTATCTGTTGCAGCCGTTGGTTTGGTCTTCCTTGTATTCTTGCCTAACGTCATGTTCATGTCAATTTTGGCTACACACGATGGCCAAGTAATTGATCCTTTGTGTTTTACGTGTTGTAACTAGACAGTATTTCGTCAACGATTAGATGACCTGGTTGGTTTTACAGAGATTATCATTCTTGCATACTGTTGCAGTTGGGAACTGGATTCCGAGACCTGTGGACACGTCGTTGCTTTCTGAGGTTGTACTGTTGGTTCTTCGTAGCCCTCCAGGCAGTAGCTAGTCTCTCTGGATACTAGGCGGATTCTGGGTCGACGTATGCTGTTATCAATTGACGTTTGGAATAGGCTTAGAACATGTCTTAGTTATAGAATTCTCAGCCCTGCAAGGTTTGTCAGTACAGCATAGGTACTTGGGTTGGTATGAAAATGGACAGAAGCCCGCATTCTATGAGTTTGATACCTAGTTGTAAAGAGACTGGGTAGGTAACTATCATGCTCCTTATTTCTTAGTCTGAGTTAGTCAAGCTATACACATTTCTGTTGACTGCCTATTCGACCCAGATTTCGGATGTGGTCGTCTCAGGCAAGGCGCTGAATATCACATTCAAAATCCAGAAAACTATATGATAATAGAAGTTGTGCGCCCAAGGCCGAGAGAGTGGTAACCAACTCTCCCTCTAGGTCTATGCCGGGCTGCCTTCCCGGTACTCATCGAAGCGGTTATTGTTATCACCCAAAGTATTACCGATAGAATCACACAGATCGAAGACTGGAGGCTGAGATTTGAACCCACGACCTCAATTCTGAATTCTTGAACTATATTTCATCTGCTCTATAGCCAAGCCTATAGCCAAGCACCCCCGACGCTGAGGGCAGAACTAATCACATGTCCCCGAATTTGTCTTGTTTGTTCAGCCACGAGGCATCGACAAGCATGATGTTTGTCGACTGAAACAGCCAATCAGCTCCATCTCAGGGATCAATGCAGACGCCCAGATGTGCAGGGATCACCCTTCAAAACGTTCAAAGCTTCGGTCGTTTTCACGAGGCACCCGCAGTTGAGTTAGGTTGGTGATACCGATACCCTAGGTGCATCTGTATGCAGATCACAACTCACAATCCGATCTAACCGAAAGCTATCTAGTTAGACAGTTTTAAATGCGCGAAGTTAAAAGCAAGCCACAATAAGGAAAAGGTACTCGAAAAAGCAAAGAGCGAAATCGGATCGGTTAAGCCGCACGGTAGTTAATGTGTCCAAGTCACTAGCTTCAGGCACGATGCCGAGAAACCACTTAGCGAGCAGCATCCAAAAAAAGCCAGGTGCGATCGGCTCGCTTTGTCTTCCGAATGGCGCTCGAATAGAGTTGACAAGTTTGATCATGCAGCATCGTCCTGGTCTTACTTGTGTGACGAGGTATAAACAGGTGATGGAGGGGAGGGCAACACCAATCACGTACCACCGCTAGCGAATCACATAAGAAAGACCCTGGTCAAGTCAAAGAACCCAAGACATGAAAGTTCAAAGACTCGACTACATCATAACAGAGACTTGCCGATCTTCTTACATTGCATACATACTTTCATTTCCACGATCAGGTAGTCATCAGGCATCCCTCATCACACGACCTGCATCGAATTTCTGTACACCGACTCTGAAAGCACTGCCTCGTTCTGGCTCGGTGCAGAAAACTCTCGCCACGTCAGATTCCTAGCACACAGACCTTAGCCTCGTGAATTCGTACTCATTCCCACATTGGCTTAGAGGTGTTCCCGTGACTGAAAGTGCATGCGGGCTGCGCCTATTAGTGCCCGACCCGTCCCCATCCTTGCTGCTAGACGCGCTCCCGTGTGGGTAACCTTGAGAAGGAGGGGTTTGTGTGGCTAATAAAAATCGGGGGGAAAATCATTAAAACGGCCTTTAACGGCCTTCCACAAAGGAGCAAAATTCATATGAAGAAAAAGAGATAGAACAAAAAAAACCAAAAAAAACAACCGAAATAAAACGTCGCAGCTCGCCAAAAATAAAAAATAAGAAAATCAAACACCGGTCAGACTGGGACACTGGGTCCTCTAGCGTTGGGGCTGCATTTTCAACGAGGAGCGCTCAGTCCCTGTCGAAAGGCCTAGTTTTGAGGACGAACTAGCGCGTCCTTAGGGCAAACAGCATCGAGTGGCCAGCAGCTTTGGATCGGGTGGATCCTGGGGTTCTCCGGAGAGCACGCTAGAGTGCCTCCTGCCTTATTGTAGAAGGACATTAAACTGAATTGGCCATGAAGTGGGGAACGGAAAGATGCGGACGGCAATGCAGTCGATTGGGTTCAAAAAACGTGGCCTGAGAAGGAGTGTATTTAGATTGGGCTCCATTTTTCACTCTGAACTACCAGTAGCGCGTACACACTTGGACGCAAACGGCATTGTCATCCCTAACACTATTTACCTCTTTGAGTAAGTGACCTTCTACAAATGTTGCACTTGACTTGAAGTGCATGAAACCCACCTCAATTTTTCTCGGCGATTCAAATAGCACAGTGTCACTCGAAACACACAGAGATACTGTACGGTAAAGACCGAGGTATTTTTGCCAGATGGCACACATGCATAGATCGGCGGGAAGGCCGGAGCGGCCCGTGGGACAAGTACCCCGAAACTTGATTGATTTAAATCTGCGCAATATTAGTACTCGTATTACGTATTACCCATGACATTATACACATAGTGCCCAATCCATGGTCGTGTCGGCATGGCTTCTCCGCCAGCACCTATGAATATCATGACCATCTACCATTATCCATCTCATTTTTCAACTTCACGTTCTCTTTGTATTATCGCAGATGGTTCGAGCTGAAATCGTCAGGGATTGGCGGTGACGGGCGCACGCTAATGGGCCCCCCGTACAACGTGGTTGTGGCTCTTTGACAAGGAACCCGCCCTGTCAGCGCAGCGCTAATGCAGGTTACCTTGGTTTATGATGGGCTTTCCGGATCCAGTGCTACAGCCCCGGGAACTTAGGGCACTCCACCCCTCTCGTTTATGCTTCTCCCTTCTTTCCTACCAAGCCTGGTTCGCTGATTGTCATATTTTTACTTCATCCTTTGACTTTGCGCCAGACTTCCGTATCCGACTATTGTCTTTCTCTGGAAGCCCCATCCGTATCGAAAGTGTGGCGAATGATCCGGCCGAACCCCACTCCTTCAGCTGATGTCTGATCGCCACACTTTCACCGCTCGATTTTTTTCTTTCTTAGTACGATGTACATGCAGTAGTTTCATGTACTTTGATGGACTAGGTAGTGCTGGCCAGAACTCGAAAACCTTGAATGTACGCAGTAAGAGAAAGTGTAATAATGTGTTCTATGAAATCATTGTGAATGAAAAATTCCAAGGAATCATAAAAATGATAACAAGATACATACCAACCCCGATATGCGTGGGAATGTGTCGACCCGACCCGAGCCCATCGCCATGGAAAATGATCCTGGTTCCGCGGGGCCGGTTGCGGTTGTGCGACTACGGTCCGAGGCGGTCGTTCGTCCACGACGGTTACGCAGCAAGGGTCACTCGGAGGAATTGCTGTCGATCTAACATACGTGCATGGATTAACCCATGCAAAAAAGAGGTCACCTGCCACATTACTGATGATGTCAATTTAATTGTCGCGATAATCGTGAATGTACGGTGTTGCCAATGCTGTATACGGTGTTTGTAGAACCTTTGCTGTCCTGTAGCTCATTCTATCACAGAGTGGCGAAACGTGCAAAGTCACTCGGGCACTACTGGCTAGTTGAAATGAAAAGGAAAAGAAAAGAATAGCCGTCTCCGTTATTGGCTTTGCAGAGCGACCGAAATCTGGTACTCTAATTCGAAATCCATGGTTCACTGCCTTCCGTTCCACGTTTCACCTGAAGAGCTGAAAGCAATTTACAGTGTCAGGTAAGGTCATTCTGAGCGAGGTATCAATTGATACCCTCACGATGATCCCATCTGGCAGAGCAAATGACCGTTTAATACAATCGTATACACTGTACAGTAAATCCCCCCTCCATGTCTATGGGTCACTGGCGCCGCTTTAGCCCGCACTGCCCGGGGCTCCACCCCGTTCTCTAAAAATTCCCCTGTGCTTTTCCAATCAGATTATTCCTTTCCTTTTATTTTCCTTTATTTCTCTGTCCATTCCGATCTGAGCTTCTTCTTCTTCTTCTCTTCTCTGCTTATCTTGTCGTGGGGTTTCAATTCCTTTATACTTGCTCACGTCATAATCGCCGAGGCTCTTGTCCTTTTCCTTTTTTTTTTCTTTTTTTCCTTTCCCTTATTTTCTTATTTCTTATTTCCTTTTCTGATCTTCTGCTTGGGATCTTTTCTGCATCTGCCATCCCTTCTCCTGCGTGACCGCGCTATGCTCACTTTGTCCGTGTGATTCGACCTCCCCTTTTCAATAACTCGACGTCACACCCCTGCACCCTTGACTCATCTCGTCTTACTTCCCCCCTTCAAAACAACACAAATGTCGGGCAATCCCAACGACCACGACCCTAACCGTCAGGGTGATCCAAATCGCCAGGATCCTCGCGATACCAGAGGTCCCCAGTATCCGGAGGAGCAGTCTTCTTACCCAGTATGTGCTGTTAACAAGCCAATCTATCGCGCTCCGGGCTGTGATTTCGCAGTGACTTCGGTTACTGATAATCCTATAGTATCCGCCTTCTTCTTACCCTCCACCACCTGACCAGGACCGTGCCTACCAATATCCTCCCCCAGCGCAGTACGGGGCACCTCAGTATCCCCCTCCTCCTCAGTATCCCCCATCACAATATCCCCCGGCGCAGTATCCGGACCCAAGATACCCCCATCCACCAGCCATGAACGCCATCCACGGAGCTCAAGATCCTTACCGTCTACCCCCGCCTCCGGGTCCTTATCGCGCGGATGGCTACGGCATTCCCGCAGGCCAAGGACATTACCAAGCAGCAGCTCCGCGACAGCGAACGGCCATTGCCTGTCGGTACTGTCGGCGCCGAAAGGTACGGGAGGGATTGCCCCACCCGACAGCTATCACGCGCTGATTTTTCATCTTTTTCTAGATTCGTTGCTCGGGTTTCGAGACGTCCGCAGATGGACGATGCAGCAACTGCGTTCGATTCAACCAAGACTGCATGTTTACCCCAGTCTCCTCGCAAACGCAAGCCTTTGTGCCTGCACACACCGCCTACCCTCATCTTCGACCTGGACAGAACGGGCAACCAGGGGGCCGCGGCGCACCACCTGTCCTCTACGGTGCCCATGGACAGCCTCTGCCGCCTCAGCAGCAGCCGCAGGGCTCAGAGGCTACCCTGCCGCCGCCTCAAGGGATGTACTATCAGAACGGACGACCCCCCATGGACGGTGCCCCGCCGCCCCTTGCGTCAACCATGCCTGATCCGGTAAGGCAGCCATCCCCTCCTGTAAATTGGATAAGAGGACTGAGCTGATGTTTTGATGCGCAGACAAACCGTCGAGGTTCGAGCTCGGGATTCGAGTACCCTGATCCAACCAATCTGGCGCCCGTGACGCCCGCTGGCTCTGCTCCTGGATACCAGACTCACACTACGTCGAGCCCTTACGCATATCCCCCTCCGCCTATCCACGATCGACGCACCTCGCCGCCATCAGCCTATAACTACGATGCACGCCCCTCCTCCTCGCCTCACGGCTCACCGTTTCCTCCCATGCAGTCCCACCAGGCGCCTTTGACTCCGCACCAGGGAAGCGTGCCCCCAGTTTCAGTTCAGCCGGGTAGCGTTCCAATCAACCCCAGCGGGACCCCTCAGCCAGGGGGTGTGACACCGCCCCCGACCTCCACCCCCGGTGGCTCGCAACGAGGCGGATTGAATGTGCGCGATATGCTGAACCCTGGCGATTCTCATGGCCGGTCCAGCACCGATAGCGACATGCTCAATGCGCTGAATCGTCGCGGCCCGCAATAGCGCCCTCTTATGTCACCATTCGAGCTCCTAGTGGGGAACTACGAAAAGCGGGAAAGTGCGATGCAAGGGTGATGAGGCAGACGATAGATCCGGAATGGGCCGTGTGCTGGCCATACGGTCCGAGAGCCATGTGTTGAGTGCTGGAATTTCGAAGGAAGAATTGCGGTCTCGTCGGATCCGGCGGACGATTGTCGGACCCGACTCCGAAGAAACTCGAATCGATGGAACCTCGGATGGAACCTCGGGTTCGCTTTCAGGGGCTGCAAGGGGAGTTTGGACGTCACATTCCGAATTATGGCGGCGAGCTAGCTTGGACGATGAACGCGACAAGTTCGTTACTATCCGATCTGTTTACGATGCTACAAAATGCGAACCCACGAGTTTCATGAGCACGATCTTGAATTTGAATTCGGTACCAAGACTCTCAGGCTGCATGGGCTCTGATTTATCGGCCATACGAATTTTTATTACTAAATCTGTTTTTCTTACGTTTTCTGTTTTCGATCTTGATCGACTGCGATACATGATTAATGGCAAACCTATTGGGTTGTCCAGAGAGTGTCTCGGCATGGTTTTCAGTCTGCGATTGCTATCCCGACTTCCATCGGTTTGAGCCGCATATCATGGGAGTCTTGACATGATCCCATTCTGCACTTCATGTGGCAACACACTACCTGACTGTTTTCTCCATATCCAATACGGAGCAAAGCAGAAATCGTCTGCATTGTTATTTGAATTTCGGGAGGCTATCTGTTTTTGCAATTCGTTATATCTTTATCATCGCGTTCTTGCACCGTTGTCGGCTCTAGTCCTTTTTTTTACGCTCTATATTACATTACCGGGAAGGCATTCGTCTCTTTGCTACTCTTTCTACATTCTCAGGGATGGAGGTGTGGCCGTGTGTTTCTCGCTCATGCGACTAAAAGACGGGGATCGGTTATGTCTACTTATCGTCTGTTCTTGCTGGTTTTTTCTTTACTATTGCCTGTCTTTCCGCTATCAAATGTCTGCTTATACTTATATCCGGAGGCTGTCTGATCACGCTTTTCTGCTATTCAATCACCCGCATGCTATTACACCTCCCGTTGGGATCTTGTATCTCTGAGCGCTTTCTCATCAAAAATTCTACCCGCTTTTCGACTGAGTAACCTTCCCAGCCCCACTTTCTAGCTCAGATCAGATTCCATCGGTATGGATCATCGCTGATCGGATCTGATCTCATCTGGTTCTGAGCTCAGGCTTTTTCCTTAGCTTCGTTGTTCCGATCTTCCCGGTTCCTGGTTCCCTTACTTCCCGCTTCTGACATATTCTTTGCTTCGTAAAAGTTGGGGGTAAACTGGAAGGGGGGTATAGTGTCGGCAGAAATGAGGAGTGCATAGCGGCTGTTTTGGCTTCAGTTCCCTACCGCGCTTCCCGAAAGGGGCCAGATTCTTAGCTGCATGTTGGAGTGCGAGTTATTGCATTCTTAGTTGCATCGTACATTTCATGCACGATGCACGGTCCCGCTCAGGATCTACCGTAACATGTGTCGTAATGTGTCTTAGAGCACTTACATTTACCTTTACATTAGTTATGTGGATCAGCCGTGTGCACGGAAGGGCGTGGTTCACGTGACTAGCCCTAATTCGGACAGTGAGCATTGCAGGGCGAATGGCAAGGCTTGACACGAGAACAGAATAGCTAGAGGTAACTTTGAGCCGGGTAATACGAATAAGGATAATGGATATGATGATATGAATTTGGAATTTCAAGTGCATGACTTAGCTACAAACACCTCCTTCTAAAGCTTCCGTCCTGCTGCTTCAAGAGTAAAAACGAAGAGTAGCCGAGAAAAAGGTATCCGACTGCCCCCGGGGCCGCAATTAAGCATTATGGCACGTTGAACGACGAGAATGTGAAGTCAAGAGAAGAACAATAACTGGAAAGGAACGTATCAATTGTAAGCACGAGTTAAGTACGAACAAACACACATGCTGAGAGCCTGAGATGACCGCATAATTAACAAATGAAGGAAAGTGAGTTAGATAGAAATGGGTGAAGTGATAGAAAACGGGAAGGTTGTGAGACTTTGACTCAGAAACTTTGCTCGATGATGGGATGAAAAGGACAGAGATGCAAAGAACGAAGCTTTTGCAGGGCTGGAACGCAGAATGCTGGTGGGGATGAGAAAGTAGTTGAAGACGATAGTTGGCAGAGATGCTTCGTAGCGAGATTTGAGCGAACGAGGGATTGGATGGGGGTCGTGAGGAAGATTTATTTGTGATTGGGGATTGAGTCGAGAACACGCGACATCTTCTTTGCCCGCGTTGCGTCCTCGACAACCATACCACGCTTTGCTAGTGTGCTCTGCACTGTCTCGACGACCTTGGTGAAGGATGAAGCCGCGCCGCGCTCTTGTTTAAAGCGGACCAAGCTGAGGTTTGCCTGCCGGCCATGCTCAAGGACTGTGTAGAATTCAGCGGTGAATTCAACTTCTCGGAGATGAAGGACTGGGATCGTTGTTAGCATAGTTCAATTTTGAGCGACGGGGGTTAGATGGACTTACAGTTTGCTTCGCCGACACGACCATGGACGACGCTGTTGGTCTTGTCAAGGTATACATCTTCCATCCCGAAATCGCGCCACTCGCGAAGGAGCTTGTAGAGCTCCTTGCGTCCCTTGACCTTGGAAGTGTTCAGGGCAATGACCTGGGTTGCGGGCTTGATCTGGAAGACACGGGCAAACCAGTTGTGGTTGGCAATTGAGCGGCGAGTGTTGCGGAATAGGGGTCGCGGATCTTCACATTCGCTGGAACTTTCCGTGCTTGCAGGACCCTTGCACATGAGGAAAGGATGGGGATTACCCTTCGTGGGCGTAGTTTCAAGCTCTCTCTCTTTCTCGGTATCTGTGAATTGGTTAGAATATCATTTTCAAGTTGCTTTGGCTGTCCTTACGAGTGGCCTCCTCCTGCAAGTTCTTGTTCGACTTCTTGGGCATGAGTCTCTTCAAAAAGGCACCTCCAAAGCGATCCATGGATGTCTTCCGGGTGGGGACCCGCTCTGTATTCGGGTCTACGGCTCGAGTGGGCGAAGCCGGCGGGAGAGTGATGGGCTTGTGCACAATGGTGGCTCCACTAGGGATGATAGGATGGGTATCTTTTGGCGGAAGACTAGGTGGAGTATCAGAGCCTTGATGGCGATGTCTGAACCATGACCACTTCTTGTTCTCGGGACCCCGAGTAGGGCTCTTCTCGGGGGACAGAGGAATTTCTTGAATGGGTGGCAGAGCAACAGACTGGCCGCCGCATCGAGAGGTGGTAGACAAATTCCGATCGCTGGTCAAAGAGCCGCTCATCGTATAATCATGGTCATCTGAGGTCGCGCTTTTGGCGTGATTCTTCTTCCGAATGGTCAGAGGCTTAACCTCCTCCATAGAGCGGAATGAGCTGTGCGGGACCATTCGAATCGTTGCCTTTGCATCGCCACCTTGAGATGAGGCAAGAGAGCGTACTTGCTGACGTTTAGGGCTGAGATCACTGGGAGCGCGCACAGGGCTTGCATGATCCTCATTTATGACAGGGAGGGTCTCCTTGGGAGCAGTGACAAATGGGTCTTGGAACGTTGCCATGTCCACGGTCCTCCGAGGGTTCTGGAGCTCGTCTTCTGCAATCAAGCGATCGAGATGGCCAATGACACCTGCGAGATAGGCAGGAATGTCATCAGTTCGGCCCTGGCTATGCTCAATGAGCTTGCGACGGGTCTCGGCAAGCGCCTTAATATTATACCCGCGGTTGGGCGTATCGGGCAGTGTAATCGGTTTATCATTTTGAGCTTGTTGGGGGCTTGCGATTGATACTGGAGTTGCCGGTGTGTCATATCCAGATCCAGCACTGGCAGTGCGGATGGTTGTGGCAGAACTCCCATTGAAAGCCTCCTCACAAATCTGGCTGAGTTCGTGGGAGACTTTGCGAGTGTCCTCCTTCCAAGTGTAGTCTGATTCGCGGACTTTCCGGACTTGGTGCATGCTCTTAACCTTGGGAGGGTTAGGTCGGACCATCATTGGCTGTGCTGGTAGCGGTGGGCTGCTCGGCATGTCCGGAAGATAGGCACCCTCTGCCATGAGCTGCAGGCTGCAGACGCTAGGTGAACGTTTGAGATCATTTCGTTGATTTGGCGTCGCAATCTTCCTCTTCTTCGGCTTGGCTGTTGTAGATCCTTGGGAGCGGTTGCGGGCGTGACGGAAGGAGACATTTCGACGATAGCTCATCGAGTGTATCGACAGCCCAGGAGCCCGCGAGCTGGAATGAGGCATCTTGGAAGACTGGGAAGACTTCATAGAGCTTGGACCGTGCTTGCGCTTTTGGAGTACAGTGAACGGAGAGCCCTCTGCGCCATTTGATTCGTCGGGTTCCTGCTCCTCTGCAATTGAAGGCGGAGGGTGTACCCTTGGCGAGGATGCATTAACCGGTGTCTGTTCGACCAGCTCTCGGTGAATGGTGATCTGGGCATACTTTGATTCTGGGGCAGTGTCAAGGTGCTTTGGTGATCGGTAGGGGTCATAGCTCTCCATGGTGCCGGATGACATTGGCCCTCTGAAGGAGCTGTGGCGACGAGGGAACTCCTTCGGAGATGGGCACTGAGCGCGACGCTTGGAATTACCCTGACCGGTCTGACTGCGTCCACGGCGAACTCTATCACCGGTTCGGGAGATGTGGTGGTAGTCACTGGCTGAGTATTCAAGTGGCTGTCCTTGGTAGTTTTCTAGCTGTTCATCCCGGAACTTGGCTAAGGCGTTGTAAAACATCCTCTCGTGTGTTGGTCTTGGTACCATGTTAGCATGATGAAACTCATTTCCAATGTGAGAGATATCGGTACTTACTCAATGCAAAGGAGCCGTTGAATAAGTTCTTGGGGCTTCACATCATGCCACAAAGTCTGCAGGTTTCGCAATATGTCCATATCAATATCCTGTTGAGAAGAAAGAGTTTGTCCACAATCATTCACCGACAAGGGCGGAGGAGGCCCGACATAGTGGTCTATCATGGCGTTGTGAAGCTTTTCATATTTGGTGAACAACGGATGCAACCAAATGTTCTGCATCGAAATTCGATCTTCTGGCCGCTTTTGGAGGATACGCTGAATCAGATCAGCTGCCTCATCGCTTAGTTCCGATGGAATGGTATATTCTCCTCTTTTCACGAGCCGCAGGGTCGTGGCAAGATCTCCGCCATCAAACGGCAGGTAACCTGTCAAGAGGGCATAAAGGATGATTCCACAACTCCACATGTCGGCTCTGTCGCCGCGATACTTTCGACCGTAAATGATCTCCGGCGCTGCGTAATGAGGACTGCCACAGGATGTATTCAACCAGTGGCCTGCCGGCTGAAGAGCGGCCATTCCGAAATCAGCGAGCTTGACGTTATGATTCTTGTCAAGCAAGATGTTCTCTGGCTTCAGATCACGATGGCAGATATTGAAACGATGACAATAGCCAAGAGCCGCAATGATCTGTCGGAACAATCTGACGGCCTCTTCTTCAGGCAGTGGTCCTTTCTGAGAAACATAGTCAAACAATTCTCCGCCCTCAACGTACTCAAGTACAAGATACCTAGCAAATCTGTTAGTTGTCTCTTCTTTGGGGGGATATGGTTGAAACGCACAATTCCCCGCGGTTCTCCCAAACATCATAAAGACTGATCACATTAGGGTGCTCAATCAACTTCATGATAACAACCTCGCGTTCAATTCCACAGGGCATTTGTCGAGCCCCCGTGTTGGGAGCAAAATTCGCAACGTTACGGTCCATTGCGGCAATGCTTTCACTCTGCACCATCGCAGCTGACTTCTTGGACACGATCTTGATGGCGGCGGTGTTTCCAGTGACCGCATGCTTCGCCAGTCGAACCCGGCCTGTCGCACCCTTTCCCAGTGTCCGTCCCAATTGCCATGGTCCCACGTGTGTCTTCCGTTTGCCCCGGCTTGATAACAGAGATGCCGCTGACATGATCGAGTTCCTAGCTGAATCGGGCTGCATGTCGGTGGCCACGGAAAGGCGCTCATTCTCCTTATTCCTTTGCGGAGTCATAAAAGACATACGGTCAGGAGTCTTGACTGGCTCGGACTCGTCGATTAATAGGCGTGGAGTCCCAACATTCGATGACATAGACTTGTTCATCCGACCTGACGCGTCTCCCAAAGGCTGGCGCCTCCGCTGGGAGTCGCTGACGTCGGTCATTATCTGATCCATGTTGGCGTTAGACTTGCTATTCTGTTCGTGTGTTGGTTAAATGAGTGATAGGGTATTAGACGAGAATCTATACTCTGATTAGCTCTTCGTCAACATAGATATCAGTCCCACACGCACAAGAGATTAGGTTAAATGCAAAACATCAAAAAGGGAACACTCCCGTGGAGTATCAACGAAAAGAAGCTGGCTGTAAAGATCGGCTCCAGGTGTTTCTGGTGAATAGTAAACGAATGAGGGACAAGAACTGTTCAACACCACATCATCGAGGTCGAAGTAAACGAATATCACGAAAACACGAATCGAGGCTGACGACCAAACGAAGAGAAGAAGATGAAGATGTCAATATTCACAAAGACAAAGAGGTTGGCTCACATGCTTCGGCTGGCGTGGAATGAGTGGGATTCCTTCTTTCTCGGGAGGAATGTCACGGGCTACATCAACTCCACCACAGATTCTACTACCACAATGTACATAGACCTACATAGTGGTTTGTATGTTCGAGAATGTATACCCAAGTACTCCTACGTAGTGTTTGCTCCTCGTCATGTGTTTCCTATATGAGTGGTTTCGATGCTATTCACAACTCTACGATTTCTCTCACTAGGTCCCTCACTAGGGTTGTTCTAGTTCTTTCAATATCAGATGTATCCACCCGTCCCCAATATTTTGAAGTTATTCTACGGCGTACATCAATGGCTATCGACGGGAGATGGGCATTCTCCCAAGAAAGGGGGATCAAAACAAAACAACACCCAGGACTACGACCTCATTAATAGTTTGTTTGGCAGGGGTTGATAGTGGACATTCCACGATACCTGATCTCTTAATTTCTTTTACATTGTGAAATCTAAGGGCATTTGGATAAGGCTGCTGCACAGACTGCCAAGACATCAAGCTGTCACCTCTGTATACAATTTGTACGGAGTTGATCTCCAGGATACTTGCATAACACTTTTAGTATCACCAATGCTGCTCACTGATAGGCACATCATTGACATCCACCCCATCTGTAAACCATCGCCCCTCACCATTCCCGTCAGGGCCGATTAAAACATCATTCCCACTCATCATCCGCTTGCGCATCTTCCCTGTCTCCCGATCGAAAGTCCAATCTTCTAGTCCATAACATCGCTTCCAACGCATCTCATTCTCTGCATCCTGGCACTCATACCAAAACTGTACAGCGATGCGATCATCCTGGAAAGCAAAGAGTTCCTTGCGGAGTCGGTAATTCCGCTCACGCTTCCATTTGGCAGTCAGGAATGCGACGATGGCCTCTGCCCCCGTTAAGAAGGTGTCTCGATTACGCCAGATACACGTTGCGGTGTATCCCCGAGCGACTTGGGTGGGGTCTCTGGTACCTAGTCAGAGCGATAAAAAAAGGCGACGTCATATCTTGGAGGTCGAATAGCGACCAGACCAGAAATTAAAACTTGGGAGGTATGCTCGCATGTTCGCAGGGCGCTCCGCTAAAACAAGAAAACAGCGGAAACACAGGGTTGCAGGAATGCAAGGGGTAAAATACCCCCGACGCCCTTGTGTGGACCACATGGGATTGTTCAGGGCCAGCCATGATCAACCGAGACTTACTGTGTGTTCCACATGTCCTGCGCTGCTTTGACCTTTTGTTGCGCAGTCTCCTGTGTAAAGGGTGGTTTGAGGTTAGCCATGATGAGATTGTGGCATAGACACGAGTTTGTGTGAGAGTTAAGATGCAATGGTTAAGGTAAGATCATGGCATGAATAAATGCTTACGAAGTTTTGGTCTGAGGTGAAGTCGCTTGAGTCATTGACGTAAGGTTGTACGACATGAGGTCACTACAAACGAGCGTTCTCGTGACTATGTGAAGGCCTGAAAAAAGGGGAAAGAAAGAAGAGAAAACGAGATCTATCAATCAAACAAACATCGAAGTATTGAAGCTTGTTCTTAGCCAAGCTCATCAAATGACTTGGCAATCAAGTCTTGAATTATAGCAAGTGGATGTCACACATGGCCAGACAGGACGTACGCTTATCTGGTTCTCATTAACAGGGAAAAAGGTAAAGCACGAAAATATTCGATATTCTCTCCAGCTGTGACCCGCTACCTAATTTGCTGTAATGTAGTGACTAGCTTTAACCTATGTACGGAGTAGGTACCAAGTATAGCCACTCATGATGTGTTGGAATATGTATCCATCACTGACTTGCCAACTGACCAATATTCAAACATATATTTCATCTCAACCTAAGCTTGCTACCTTACCTAGCTTTGATCTAGTACCCTAAGAAGACATGTATCTTACTATATCCATGAGACTTAAAAGGTACTGAATGCCTACGTTCCCGACAGATGCTCTTTGCGGACATACGGCAGGGCCCGTATAAACAGCCAGAGTGTACACTGGAAAGAAACCGTAGAGATCCATTCGTGAGAAGAGCCGACCAAAACTGCTCGAGGTGTTCTATGAGCTGACCGATCATGACGCTTCATAGAATTATTATATTATAGGTATATCTTACCCTTTCGGGGTCTGATACCTACAGATAGAAGCGTCGAAATTCGCTCATGCATAGAACAAAGAATAAATGTGTCCATTGTGCTCAATTTTGCTTGCACCAAACATAGCTTTCTTTATCCTGGACCAGGCATATACATACCTTATCATCAAAGAAACACTCTTCATTCAGTATATCCAACAATCTATTACATGGATCTCTACAAATACCAGCTTCTCCACGGTCCACCCCAGTACCACCCACATCCTGCCCTAGCTGCTAGTTTCCCCATTACCCAAAAGGTCCAAACCAAGCAAATCCAACAGAGAGAGCCTACAATGTGCAAACTGCGATACAAATGGTACCGCGGCCATTGTGGTATCAGTGGCTGTGGACACACAGAAGCAGTGTGGCTTGAGCGCTGTAAGGAAGCCAGAACACGTGAGAGACAAGAACCCTGCCCCCATCCTCGTCCCGTTCTTCGTATCACCGAGGCTTTTGCAATGGGTCTTTGTCGTCCTTGTCTTGGGTGGCCTGTGTTGATTCCAGGAGCTCCTAAACTAGCTCGCCCTGAACGGGTTGATAACCCTCGTCGCCAGTGAGGTCTCCACTCGATAGTATGATATGGCGTTTGAATACTTTTGTTTAAGGTGACCCGTAGATCGAAATGACCAGTCTTATCACTGAGGAATAGGAGCTTGGAGGATGTTAAGTATTCCAATTCGTGACTGATTCTTCTCTTCTATAGTTTATCCCTTGAACAGCCCCCTCTATAACCTCGATAATGTCGGAGGTACAATCTGTACCAATTTCGCCGCCTCCACCGCATTTTGTCCACTCGTTGCTTGCAAAAGACTCAAAACAGAAGGTGTGGTCGATATCCGAGAGTCCTTTCCTGAAATCCGTGGCAACAGTATCACCGAAGAAGCCTCTTGTGGCCAGTATCCAATCAAGGAGTCCGAGGTATTAGAATACCAAGAAAGGGGGGTAGCCAAGGAGTCGGACGCATAGCCAATTCCAGACCGTGAACTACCATCACCAGCCCCGGCTTCGATAATGACCGTCGAAGAGGAATGGAATTGGGCATTCCTTGTGCGAATGCCGGCGTTCTTTTTTCCGGTCAATGTGCTAACGTAGATTATTCCGTCGACTGGTTGGCCCAGAAAGAATTGCACGCCGGAGGCTTGTGCTGCATGGTATATCTGTGATTAACACTAAAGCGATTAGCAATTATGTCACACCCTTTTTTTTGTTATCGGTCAAGAAAACGGTGCTTCTAGGGTACACTACAGGTGTCAAGTTCCCAGATGGAATATGTTGCTCCTTGGCGAATACCGAAACATTGGTATAGCCTTGTTGGGAGAGATGTAATGCAGTAGAAAGTGCGAGAGCGCCTGCGCCGATGATGATAATGGCATCAGATGTGGAAACGACCATAATGAGAGAGATAACACGTCGAGTTCGTTCATGTGCCTGTTAATGGGATGATATAGTAGTATCCTTGCTCCCCCGCGGGAAAGCGCGTTCCAAATAGCGTCATGTTTTGCGAAGTTGGAGAACTATTTATGGAAATCGTGCTTTGGCCTGTTTTGTTGAAAGAAGCCCGCATCGAAGATAGTCGTGAGGAGATCGTGAGGAGGCCGTGAGGGGAAATTTTGATGCGAGTGCCGATTACGGTGCCGTAGCCGATCATCGGCTTGGTCGCCCGATCACGGGTTTTCTCCAGTTCCACCAGTTCTACTCCTGTCTAACTGTCTATAACAGCTCCTTGGTTATGTCCCAATCTCACATGCAGTTTTAGGACTACTGTCTACTGGAAGGTATTCTCCACGGTTGCGTGCATATATAGTAATAAAGGCTAGGTGGTATAAATAGTGATGCAGCGGCCTCCAGGTTGAAAGTTCGATCAATATATAGGTCGAGCCCGACAGACCGGGCATAGGTGGTAGGTACAGGAGTGCACCCTTAGCCCCCTACGGCGGAAATCGCGGAAACCTCTGAGTAACAAATTTTATCAAATATCAGTGGACTCCTAGGTACCTAGAAATACCTAATAGCCTTGCCTCACGAGTCACGACAAACTGCGACAGACTTTAAGCGCCGACAAGCGGGGTACAGGCCAATTCTCCGGGATGGCTGCCGATGTGCTTCAAAAGACAACTTTTCTCTGCTTCTTTGGGTCTATGAGTCTATCCGAAGTCAAGTTAACATACAGCTTTGAACTTGATTCAATTACAATATGGCCGAGATTGAGAACGCAACCCTCTGCATCCTTGGATGTGGTAAGTGTACAACCTCATAAGCAAACGATATCAACTAAAACCCCCAAGGAAACCTGGGCATCGCCATCCTAGACGGTCTAGCCAACGCACCAGCAAAAAAGCCCAACCATCGCGTATTCAACAGTGTCATCGCCTGCGTGCGCAGTGAAAGCTCAGCAAACCGAATAACCACCCGCTTCGGCACAGAGGGCAACATAGGCGTAGTCCGTAACAACAACGTCGAAGCCGTCCAATACGCAGATGTCATAATCCTAGGCCCCGACCCGGCCGATATAGAATCCGTCCTACGCCAACCAGGTCTACGCGAAGCACTATCCGGAAAACTCCTCATCAGCATCGCAGCGGGCTGGACAAGACAGAAGCTCGAAACCACACTCTACGGCAGTCCCACAACAGCCAACAACGTCGCCGGCCGGGCCTGGGTCGTGCGCACACTGCCCAATATTGCGGCACAGGTTTCCCAGTCATTGACGGCAATCGAGACCTCCGAGCTTGCGTTGCCGGGAAAGTATCTAGAGGTCACGACGTGGATTTTTGAGCAGATTGGGAAGGTTGTGCATGTTGAGCCGAGACTGATGAATGCGACTACGGCTGTTGGGGGCTCGACGCCGGCTTTCTTTGCTGTTATTTGTGATGCGATGATTGATGCTGCGGTGGCGGTTGGGCTGCCGAGGGATTTGGCGCATACTATGATTTTTCAGTCGATGCAGGGGACTGCGACGATGTTGCAGAGTGGGGTTCATCCGGCGCTGCTGAAGGATCAGGGGACTTCGCCGGAGGGATGTACGATTGGCGGCTTGATGGTTATGGAGGAGGCTGGTGTGCGGGGTCATGTTGGGCGGGCGTTGAGGGAGGCGGTTACTTTGGCGCGGTTGATGGAGACGACGGAGCATGTTAATGATACCAGGCATTGATGAAATAGGATATGTGAGACTGTCATTGTTATTAGGCATTTATTAGACACTATGATTCGACTAAGTTAGCGGATATAACTATACAATTCATCAACATTACTTCATCAAGCCTGGGTATCACTACCCTGATCACCACAAATGCTCTTGAAGATATCAAGAGTATGTTTCCAGACCACACCCCTGGTTCCGTCCTCACGATAACCCTGCAAAACCTTCTGATCAGGGAGGGTCGCTGAGTCTGATCCAACCAAGTAGGCACCAGAACCGCGAACCCCATCGGAACCAATCGCGGCATCACCGCCGTCCAAGCCCCTAGGCGAGAAGCTAGGATTGGTCGCGGCATACAGATGCCTCTGTCCGCACTCCTCAAGTGGAACAGTGAATGGAGTGAGCAACACCATCATGGCGTTCATTGCAGTCTTCATCAAAAAGCCACGATCGCGCACCAGACTCGTTTTGACGATACCCGGATATGCATGAACAAAGGATGTCGAGGGATACGCAGCGGCAAGCTCCTCCATAGACAGCGACGTCATGGTAATTGCATGGTTGGCGCAGTTGCGCAGAGTGTAATTGTCCTTCAAGGACAAGTCATTCAGAATTAAGGATGAGTTGCCGCGGGCATCAAGAACTGAGAGGACAGTCGACAGATTTCTCTGTTTGCCAGGGGCGGCATCTTCGGCGTTGGCAGCTTTTGTTAATTGGGGCAATAGGTTGTATAGGAACCGCATGCGCGAGTAATAATGAAGACTGAGTTTCTTGTCTAAGCCTTCGTCGGTCTCTGTTATCCTTAGGTTAGTGTGTTGAATTGGCACGGTACAACATCCCCCGACAGGGCGGCGAATATAAGTGAAAATACGCACCATCACGTCCCTTCACAGTCAATACTCCAGCGCTCAGGACAAGTAAATTGACCTTTTCCTCCTTTGCTTGAATTGTCTTGCAGGCCTGGTCTACCTCCTGCAGACGCGACACGTCGCCTTTGATGAAACTAATATGCCCATCGGGGTTCAGGGCGCGGAGATCCTCGATGATCTTGGAAGCTCGTGTTTCACTTCGTCCCACGAGGTAAACGCGCGGCGATACAGCTGAGCTCACAAAAGCACGGGCGGTAGACTCTCCAATGCCGCTGGTGCCGCCGACTAGAGATATGTGAGCATCCGCCCGGGTTTGCAGAGAAACATCTTGGCCTACCGAAAACTGCCACCAGATTAGGGCCATACCCCTTCAGAGCAGAGTTGCTCTTCTGTACTGTTTCGAGGGACACCATATTTGCTTATTTGCTTGGTTGTTGTCGGACTAACGGGCGAGGGCGAGGCCCCTTTAAGTGGCTGGGAAGCCTTGGCGGATGTCAGCATCTCCATTAAGTCCGTCAGAACCGGTCGACTTCTACGGACGTAAGGAAAGCTGTCGTTCAGAGTTGCTTCGTTTGTAAGGTTTCTCGTTATGGCTGGCCAGATCACTCTCTGCTGACCCACTAAGAACGCCCGTGGATGATGATGTAGGCTGTAGCCCGAAGTTTCCCAGGTTCTCCCGGGCCCCGGGGTGTTCTCAGCCGCAAAGCTGATGCCAGTGCAGCCAGTCCTCCCACCTTTTTCTTCACTCTTACAGACTAGAACATGCGTAAAAAAAGTTAGCAGCAAGTTTATGAACACCAAGACCGTAGTTATGTACTGTATGCATGAATTTAGGCTTTTGGTTGGTGTTCTGGGCCCAATGACAATGTTGGGCTTGCGGAAGTCCGTCACACAGACACAACACATCCATCCACTTCACCGCTCTTGTGCTCTCGTGCTGGTCTCCGATAAGCCAAATTCAGTGTGCAAGTCCTTGGCGAGCTCCAGCTGCTTGATGGGTACGCAGAGAAGCAGTCCGATCCCCCCGAAAGGGATCGAAATCCACCAAACCCACCGCAAACTATCCTGGTAAACACTAAGAACTTCCGCCAAAAGCTTCGGAGCATCACTCAAAGTCCGTGTCAGCCCTTCGCTAGCCATGGCATATGCACCACCATTCGCAAGCTTCCCGCGCAAAGATACATCACTGACGCGATATAGCAGCTCCTGGACCCGCGCGTTGAAAATAGTGGTCGGGAGAACAATGCCCCAAATACACCCAAAGCTGCGCATAAATGCCCAGGTAGATGTTGCAGTAGCCACATCGGATTCGGGCAACGCGGCCTGGATCGGAGGTAAAGTGCTGGAGAAGATCATCCCCGAGCCTGCACCGAAGATTATTTGAAAGCCGGCCCAGTCACGGGCGGGCGAATTCTCATCCAGTAGGGAGAAAAGACCGCTGGCGATCGTGAGAAAAACATACCCTACAAAGTGGAAGATCCGGTATTTGCCCGTGATGGCGATGAGGACTCCGGTGATGATGCCGAATGGCGCAATTGCCGCAGTGATGGGGAGGACGTACAGCCCGGATTCTGTAGCAGTGGCGCTACGTATAGCCTGGAAGTAAACGGGCAGGAAATACCCGACCCAGTACAGCAGGACAGACTGAAGGAAAGCTATCCACAGGGCGCACATCCCTGTAGCGCTCGAGAAGAGCTGGATTGGAATCGAGGGCTCAGCACAGAACCGTGAGACCTGATGACAGTAGAAGAGAAACAGTCCTGCAAGCCCCAGGATGAGTGGTAGAAGCACCCGCCACGAAGACCAGGCGTACAGCGTCCCCGCCCAAGTTAGCGCGAGCAAGATCGAGATGACTGCAGTCGTGAGAATAGCATTCCCGACCAGATCCACACGCTTGAGCTGCTGCCATGCTGTACCACTGCCGGGAGGGTGTGTAACACGAAGAAATAGCACTAAGAGGACAAGTGACGCAGCGCAAAGCGGCAGGTTGATATAGAAGACCCAACGCCAGGATATGTACTGGGCGAACGCGCCGCCCAGAACCGGGCCGATGACCGTTCCAACTGCCCACACGGCTGCCATGAGCGCAACATACTTGCCTCGCTGGCGCAGGGGAACCAAGTCACATATCACGATGTCAACGAGCGTGTTGATACCGCCGCCGCCGATGCCTTGGATTGTCCGTCCTGCGATGAGGAGACCCGTGTTATTTGCACCGCCCGCCATGCCACTACCCAGGGCAAATATGACGACCGAGATAATCAACATCCATCGCCGACCGAATATATTTGCAGTCTGGCCAAATAGCGGGAGGACAACCGTCGATGACAGGATATATGAGTTTGTAATCCACATGTACAGCTCGCCGGCGTCGATATCGAGTGCAATGGTTGGAAGCGCCGTCGAGAGAATGGACGTATCGAGGGCCGAGAGAAAGGTCGTCACGCATAGTGCTGGGAACACGGCCCAAAAGCGCCATGTCTTCTTCGGAGTGATGGTGTTTGCATCAGGTAGCGCTGATGCATCGTGCTCCTGTTGCTGTTCTGGCAGTGTCTGAAGAGACTGTTGTCCAGCTGCATCTGTTGGTGGTGATTCATCCCTCATTGAAAGAGCTGTTCCTGCCATGGGATCTCGGTGGACGTGGTATCACAGCAACATTAGGGCAGCTCACACTTCAATCCCGAATCCCGCTCCGAAATCCGGTATCCGGGTCGATCTTCCCCTAATAAGGTTAGAGCTATCCGCCCTCCGCATTTCCAAGGCGATCAGCCGTCAGCACCTGCCAAGAAGGACAATCATCAAGATCCACTCCCGCTAGTTACGGGCTACGGCGCTAATAACGGATCTTGTGGCTGAAAGCCACAATGTAACTACTGTGCGGAGATGAATTCCACGTTCTTGCTACGGAATGGTCTGATAACCGTAAGATCAAAATCTCCTCTGCTGCGGTCAGCTTATTTGTCCCTGCTAGGCATGCGACTGCGCCAAGGGTCTTGGATGTACATCTGCGAATCCGTTATTGGAGGCACATATCCGGAGTAGCGCTCTCAAGACTGGCACCATTTACGGCCAAGACTTGAATGTCTTCTACGCTGTATTTGGCCCCCAGTAAGATGATAAAATTGGGGGTTATTTGTCAACGGACCGTACTTTTGATGTCTACGGAGGGTTTCAGACCAAAGAAAGGCAAATGATCAATCGAAAGTCTCCGATATTACTAGGCGCCCAGCTTTATGTATACAATTTATCTACATAGGCTGCGCTAGCTGTAATAGAAGTTGTCCCAGCTGCGGATATTAACTCAATGCTGCATGTCGAATGAGCTGCGCCTGCACGTAGAGGAAGAATTCAACGACCTATGTACATGTAGACTACGTCAGCAGACGCAGACTCTTGACGGTAGATCTTCGGGATAACTGGCGAGCTAACGGGACACAATGCCTTCTTGCCATCTGACCATTGAGTCAACTGGCTAGTTCTGGCCAACTGGCGAGCTAACGCGACGCATTGCCTTATTGCCTTCTGAAAACGACTGGCATTTGAAGTCCGCTGCTGTCTGTGATACTGACATTGTCCTTATCTTTACCTAGATCCAGACGGAGGAAATCCCGGAGAGCCTCCAGGATTGGACTCAGCTGAGCCTGCGGCCAGCAATTGCGCTAGGTAGCTGTAATGGAAATTGTCTCAACTGCGGATATTGACTCAATGCTGCATGTTACCCTGCGCCTGCACATGGCAGGACGATTCCACGACCTATGTATGTACATGTAGAAGGTACGCCTGCAAATTATTGATTTTAATTGAATTGATAGGACGATGATGGTTGTACTACTGTGTAGGTAGTATCGTTCATATGGTTCCGTGTTCGGTCTCGATCCAAGCTTGTACAGTGTATTGGGATGATGATATGGAAGTAATGGATTGATAAATGAGAGGTACCAATCTACACTGTAATAGCAGATAACAAATCCTTTCCTCCGCTATCAAAGCTCATCCATGGCTGAATGAGATTGAATAAAGGTCCCACCGTAACATCCACTAGGTAGACGGGCCGTCTCGGCAACGCGCCGAGACGCTAGCGGTATCATGCAGTACCGCCCAGGTTGCAATAAATTACGTGTACCTCAACCAGAGACATCGAGAGAGAATCCCGCGATGTTCGACTCTCCAACAGTCTCCACAGTGAAGTGCTCCAGCTTCGTGCAGATCCAACAAGATGCATACATGTTGACGCGGTCAATGCATACCCCACTGCTGCGGGCGCCAACCTGCTTCGGAGAAAAGCCGTAGGCCTCGAACGTCTTGATATACCAAGGAACTAGTGCTGATGAGCGCAGCAAGACGCGACCACCCATCTTGAGGGCGCGGCGTAATTTGGAAATCTGACAGGCTGCAGCTTTGGCGCCAGGGTCGAACCAGTCCATACTGTCCATGACAACGACGACTGTCAGCGAGTCAGGGGCCATCTCGTTGAGCACCTCATCCACCTCGCCCGTGTGGATGCGCAGAGCATCTAGAGCTCCTGGACGGGAGAGCTTGGCGTGGGCCTCTTCGGACAGGTAATCCGGGTGACAACTGCGGGTGTAGGCGCCTGTCATGCATACGTGATAGTAGGGATTATCCACACCGATATGCGTCTGCTCGGCGACTGGATCGAGAGTGTTGACCATGTATCTCCAAATTGCATGAGAGCGGGTTTTTCTGTCAGTCGGGTTGGGGCCATTGACTGCCTCGCTCTCGGCGTGGTCGCTCTCGATCATTGCGAGCTGATTCTTGGGGACGCCAAGAGCGGTCCAAAGGAAACTCTCTTGGCTGACAACGAATCGGCACACGAGTGTTGAGAGCATGACTGGTCGGATCCTGTTGGCCCAGATATCGCGTTGCTCCTTCAGTGTTTGCGAGGTGAGAAAATCCCGGAAGGCAGGACGGCATCCGAATATGCGTGAGATCCAGCGAATGGCGCGAATAGCATGGCGCGAACCTCCGGTATCATACAGACCGCGGCCATTGGTATCAGAGAAGACATGTATGTTATTGAACCAGTATTGAAATGCTCGACTGGACAGGTGCGGAGATAGCTCAGTGAGCAACAGTGCGCGGAAATCAGAGTGTTTGCCCTCGCCGAAGAGTCTCCAGAAGTCCTCATAAGGCAAGGCAGTGTACGACGCTACCTTCAGCTCGAGGAGGTGGTTTTGCGCGGGATTGAGATCGACGGCGTGAATTTTAGCTGGGCTCTTGGTCGCGTAGGAGAGTATGTTATCGCCAGCGCTGGTGATGGCTAAAACCACGTCTTCTGTTCCGAGGTTAAGTAAATGCTCATCTACTCGCGCGTCTTCCCAGGTAAAGGCATAGATGTACTCATTGTTGAATTGAGTATGTTTTGGAAGCTGGTCATCGTAGTAGATACGCCAGTGGTGGTTCTGGTAAAAGAACGAGGGCAGTGGAATGTTTGCAGAAATGTTCTGAATCGCCGCCTTGAAAGCTTTGGGGCGGTTCTTTGGTGTAAGTCTCTTCACCGCGCCAGATGAGGTGTTATCCTGTCTGTAAGGTGGCTGTGTGGCAATAGCAATAGTTTCCTCATGGGCAAGACTCGTGCGCAAGAAGTGTTTCCTATGACGCCCAATCCATATGTAATACGGAATGCGGCCGAGAGAGTAGTTCCGGGTATTGATGTTGAGCACTGTACCAAATTTGTACTCGAGATAGTCTCGGCGACTGCCCTCGAGGCCTACTCGGTCGAGGTCGAACCAGGCGCGCCAGAATGTTCTCAGGAACCAATTGACATGACGTCCGACTAATCCACCAGTGTAGTTCCTAAAAGAAAAGTCCACCCTGGACTGCGCGTAAAAATCAATGGCCCCTATCAGTCCGTCTGGAGAGACCAGCGAAATGAGTGATTCGATGACCGAGTGATAATCAGGCTGCGCGTATAGACTGTTAATTTGATGCCTTGATAGCGTATCGTCCTTACACTCACAATCATGGACAGGCTGTAAGACATAGTGATGAGATCCGCACAGCTATGATCCTCGAGACGAAACTTGCTCGCATCTTGACAAACCACCTTGACATTCTTCCAACCAAGGCGCCGGAAGCGTCGTCGGGCAACTTCACAAAGGGATGGGGAGAAATCAACCAGATACACACTCGAGAAGAACTCAGGGACATTGACAAAGGCAGACATGGCTTCGATATTCCATCCCGTTCCACCGCCAATCTATAAATCGCGTAAGTCGAGGATCGGCAGATCAACAAATGGTCCAGGACTGAATCTCCGGATGTTAGACCACTCACGTCAACCCAGATTTTGCCCTTCTTGTGGTCTTTAGTCTTAGCCTTCAACTGTGCCACAATGAGCGCGAGCATGTCCTCCCTGCCTTGAAGGAGGATCTTTCTGGTTGCATCGTAAGCTCCAGCTTGCGTCTTATAGAAGCTTTCGAGGGCATCTTGCTGGGTTCTTTTGTTGCCACCGTTGTGTGGCTTGATGAAACAAGAGTAGAAGAAGAGCAAGAAAGACCTGAGAAAGCCCGGGCCCTCGTCGGTTTTGGCCCTACGCTTGGACAAGAGTCTGGAGACTAGCAGTCCGCTCAGGGCAACTGCACTGAATCCAGTAAAGGTTGTTCTGAAGTCAAGGTCAAGATGAAACATGTTACCACCAGGAGAAGCCATGATACTCTCTCATTTCTGAAGATAATTATGAAGGTAAGAAGAGTCTTAGAAGAGAGACTCTGGAGCTATTTGGGAATTCTCCGTAATATAGGTAAGCTGAAGCAAACCATGGCCGCAAATTTGCGGTTGGGAATGGGTAGCAAAGTGCTACGGAGGAGCGCCTAGCCAGTATTACCCGTATCAACATTTGTGCAAATGTAATACAAATTCCAAACCTTGTGTACTAGACTAGCAACGTCAAGTGGATTGAGAACGAGTGAACGAGTGACCCGGATGCGAAGATAGCGGCCAGGGTCAAATGCACTAAAATCTCCCCACTAATTCCCTGTTTAGGAACATCTCCATACCGCTTTTGACACCGCTCTATGACGTATCGTTTTCTGCCAAAGTAATTTTAGCGCATTTGACCCTAGGTGGCCGCTATCTTCGCGCCTGGATCAACAATCAACATTCAACTCCTTCCAAATCTGCTATCTACGCATGGCATGCTTAGTTGTAACGCGCTCCTTCCCTACACAATTCCTTCAACCCCGCGTTCCCTACTAATTTACCTCTCGCTTCTGTCCACTTGCGATTGCCACGCCGCCTATGCCTACTATTCCCTTAACTCCCTCGAGCGTCTCATCGAGGACTGTGATTCCGCAGATCGGTTCAGAACACTGCCAGAGTTTGAGGAGGCTATGCGCAATACCCTTCGCGAGGTTAAGGGCTTTCATCACCTCGTAATGACTAACGTGACTCCAGGGTGGGAGGATTTCCTCTGGGAAGACGAGGAGAATCTCCCTGCTTTGCGAAAAACCTATAGCCCAGAGAGGCATTTTCTACAACTCAAAATCTTGCCAACTTTTGCCCACGGTTGCATTGCCGAATGGATTTCAGCCTCAATTCCCAGAGCCTGCGCGATAGGTTTCCTGAACCTAGTAGAACTAGACCTTCTTCTTCAGGTACAGCAAGGCTCAAGTGAGTTCAGCTGATGACTTAGAACAGAGATACTACGTACACATATGTGCACTCACTCGCAGTCGTCACCGTCTGGTTCCGTTTATGATCACCCGTCTACTAAGGGCATATCCCATTCTACGTATGCTAATTCCTATATTTGCTTCCACACTGGACTTGCTTCCTATCGCTGCTGTTTCAATGCTTTGATTGGGTTTTTGATTGGTAATTCTGTTAGCAACATGCAACGTGCCATTTACAATTCTCCGGGTAACTTCAAGGCGGTTCTTGGTCTTTTTTAGCGCTTATGTTGATGCAGCTTTCCCCGGTCTCCGTTTCCTATTCCCATGCAGGATCCGGGTGTGCATATCCAAGCCTGCACAAAGGTGTAGTACTAATTGAAAGGTAGGATCTTGGCGCAGGTGTTTTCCGCGCCGGCATCATGTAAGAATAAGATGCAGTCTCCGGCCCCTGCAGCTCACCAATGATCTTTCATTTCTGACATGCATCATGCATATGCAAGGCAGCCCTGGAGAATGTGCCCTTAGCCACATAACCTTATGATCTTATCTGCATCTATGTGGCTTGTTGTAGTGAAGGATCATTTAAATGAGGGATATACTTCGTTATAGGTGCGACGAAGTATAGTAACTCAGGTACTGGATGTTCCCCCGTTCTATTTACAGATTGATGTTTGTCGTTTTCCGGGATTCGGATTTGAAGCAATGGCGGGGTATAATTCTTGGGGTCTGTCTGGGTATAGACACAGGCCAAGGAGCCCACGGAGCCTCTGGAGACTCGCGAACTCACAACCTTTACCCAGGACATGATAGCCCGTCCAATAGAAGACTACTCCACACCATTGGACTTGGTATGGTGTAGCTTTGGCCTTACTACAATCGCTCACAGGAGAGCGTAGATCCGCATATCACCGTGTCCGAGGCTGATTCCTCTCTGCTCCATTCGGGTCAGTAAGTTGAAAGTTTAGCGGGACATGTCGATAGCAACCTTTGAGATCCGCGGTGGACCCCAAGGCTGACTCGGTCTTGTTACTCTTGCATCAGAAGCCCTAATGCGGATAATGTAATGTCGCCTTTCATGCCGGGACCGTATCTCCCAATACGACAGAATGAGCCTCTTTCGATCTCACCAGACCGTGTGAGGAGGTGCATTAGATTGGCCTATCGAAGGTTTGATCCATATTGACCCCTAGGCAAGCTACTAAGATTACATGTCGATGCCGGAGAGCCACTGGATATGGCAAATGCATACCTAGACCATGGTCTATGTGCAAGCATGATTGGATACATACCCGGAATGGAGTACATGATCCTTTTGGGGGCTATAGAGATGTCAGATGTCCTTCCCAAAGGCATCGTATGTCTACAAGATATAAAGAGTAATATTCAATATTTACTTGTTGTTCTCATCTCTACCTGTTGCTCAGTGTTTGATAACCTTAGTCTGATCTTTTACTTCCATTTCAGTCCCTCCCATCCTTACTTAGCCTTTGACGCTTTTATTATTATTTCAGATCGCAAAAATGAGCGATCTCCAAGATGAGGGGATTGCCATTGTTGGAATGGGCAAGTCATTCACGCTGCGTTTTTCTCGTGACCCCCGCTCCTTCTCTTCCACCCCTGATTATCAGTCGCAGCCCTGCACCTGACTAACCCTGACCCGTGCTCTATTAGCATGCCGACTTCCCGGTGATGTTCAGGATCCCAAGTCCTTCTGGGATCTTTTGATGAGCCAAAAGCTCGCACGTGGCCCTTTCCCAAGTAACCGGTTCAATGCCGATGCCTTCTACAATCCGCAAAAAGGACGACCCGGAAACATACGATACAAGGAGGGTTACTGCATTGCAAATGACCTTGAACACTTTGACGCCGGCTTCTTTGGCATGTCTGCCTCGGATACTCTGTGCCTCGATCCCCAGCAGCGTCAGCTACTCGAGTGCTGCTTTGAGTGTCTTGAATCTGGAGGCATCACACTCGAGGATGTCTCTGGTACCATGACTGGTGTGTATGTGGGCAACTTTGCCAGCGACTATGAGACACTGGCATTCAAGGAGCCCGAGAGGATTGAGGGCATGGCTGTTTTGGGGATGGGTAGAACGACAGTCAGTAACCGTGTGAGCTACATGTATAACCTCCACGGACCCAGGTCTGTTTCCTTTTCCTTGGTATTTGCTTTTGGTGGATTGGTGGGCATCATGACTCTTGACTTTTCCTCTGAAGATTGAGTCGCCGGAAATTGGACTGTCCAAACTGACACATTTAATCCAGCGTTACCATGGACACAGCATGTTCTTCAACACTGTATGCACTACACTTTGCAGTACAAGCTCTCCGCAATGGTGAAGTTCCCGCTGCCTTCGTCGGCGGAGTTAACTTGATTCTCACCCTTGAGTATCATTTTGCCATTGGTCAGATTGGCGCCCTTTCTCCTACTGCGCAGTGTCATGCATTCGATGCATCCGCAGACGGTTACTCTCGCGGAGAAGCCATCAACGTTCTGTACTTGAAGCGTGTGTCAGATGCGATTCGGGACGGTGATCCTATCCGTGGTGTCATTCGAGGGTCATCCTTGACTGCGTAAGTCACCTGATCTTTATTGAACGGTATCTGTCATTCTCGCGGGGCTTGGCACCTAATCCGACTCGCATACAGGAACGGCAAAAACAATGGCATTACTCTCCCCAGTGCCCTCGCTCAAGAACTGTCTATCCGTAAGGCTTATGAGCATTCAGGTCCTCTCGACTATAATTCAGTCGGCTATGTGGAGTGCCACGGAACAGGAACTCCCGCAGGAGACCCTATCGAGACAACCGCTATTGGCAATGTGTTTGGAAGCCATCGTGAATGGCACGATCCACTATGCATTGGGTCGACCAAGCCGCAGGTCGGTCACGGAGAGGCCTGCTCGGCAATCACAAGCATCATGAAGGTGGTGCTAGCGATGGAAAACGGAGTTATCCCTGGCACTATCGGTGTGAAGAAACTAAATCCCGCTTGTGAGTATCCATTTGTGCGACCAGATTTGGCTTAAACTGATAGGCGTGTTATCACAGTGGATCTCAAAGGAGGCGCCCTAGCTGTGGTTACCAAGAACACACCCTGGCCAGAAGGCAAAAAGAAGCGTTCTTCAGTTAACTCATCTGGCTATGGCGGTGCCAACGGACACGTTGTCATTGATGGCGTTGATGAGTATTTCAAGAGCATCGGCTTCTCTAACCCGTCTAATGCAACTCCTGAAGTCGACCCATACAGCACAATACTTCAGAAGAAGTTTCTGCTGCCGGTTACAGGGCATGACGATCATTCCATGCGCAAAAGATTGGAAGATTTAATTCAAGTGTTGGGCAAGCAGACCCACGATATCCATGAGCTTCTGTATACCATGATTGCCCGCCGAACACGGTTCTCCCACCGGGCCATGATCCCAGTGGAGATCAGCAGCGGCAAGACGTTGAAGATTGGAGACCCAGTTACCGGTCGTACAAATAACAGCGTCCCAACAGTAGCCTTCGTCTTCACCGGACAAGGTGCTCAGTGGGCCGAGATGGGCCGACAGCTGTTGGACTGCTACCCATCTGTGCGCCAAACTTTCAAAAAGCTTGACCTGGCTCTTTCACGCTTGAAACAGCGACCAACGTGGTCGTTGAAAGGTACGTTTGTATAATGCTCTCCTCTGTTAGTGTACTCTGTGACATGTACTGGTGCTGAGACATTCCTCACAGAAATCCTGCTGGAGCCCGCCGAGACGAGCAAGATTGGCGAAGTCTCCTTCTCCCAACCTATCTGCACCGCTATCCAAATTGCGATTGTCAATTTACTCCGCGATTGGGGGGTGAAGCCCGAAGCTACCATTGGTCACTCGTCTGGTGAGCTCGCTGCCGCATATGCGGCCAAATTAATCACTGCAGAAGACGCCATAATAGCAGCCTATCTGAGGGGTGTACATGCCGCCCTCACACAGGCTCCGGGAACTATGATGGCAGTTGCACTTAGTGCAAGTGAGGCAGAGAAGGTTCTTGTCGAGAGGGGCATTTCGTCTGCCGATGCTGCTGTTGCCTGTATCAACTCGCCCGAGAGTGTCACGCTGAGCGGTAAAACAGAGCCCATGGATGCTTTGCACAAAATTTTGAAACAGCGTTCAATTCTTTGCAAGAAACTCCCAACTGGTGGAAAGGCTTACCATTCCCCGAGCATGAAAGAGGTGGGATCAGGTTACAGCGAGGCTATTTTCGAAGCTACGGCTCGCCATACCAATGGCGCCGTGGCCCTTATTGATGACAACGAGCCACGACCAGTGATGGTTTCTTCCGTGACTCTGGCTCAGCTAGAGCCTGGGGATATTGATGGAAGCTACTGGCAAAAGAACTTGGAAAGTCCCGTTCTTTTTGATCCTGCTATGAAACATCTTCTGGGTCTGAAGTTTGGCCCCGAGGCCCGCCACGTTGATTGCCTTATTGAGATAGGCGTAAGTTATTATGTCTATCTTTTATCGACTTCACCAGTTGGTGCTCTCTAGCTAACACATTCACAGCCTCATAGTTCCCTCAAGGGTCCCATTCGGCAGATTATTGCATCGCCCGAGGTTGCAAATATCTGGAACGTGAGTCTGGGGATTGCTCCAAAGGTGACATACGACCAGACACTTGAGCGCGGACATGACGCCGAAGATGACATGATGCAGCTTGCAACAAGCCTGTTCATCAAAGGCTACCCACTCAATCTCCTTCATGTCAATGGTCATACCTCCTATCGTCCAAACAAGATCATTCTTGATCTTCCAAAGTACCCGTGGAACCACGAGACTCCGCAGCCCTTGATTGTCAATCGCTCTACTCAGGACTACAAATTCGCTACCCACCCACGTCATGACCTGATTGGCAGTCGGCTGCCGGGAGGGAATCGTATGGAGCCCATTTGGAGAAATTATCTTCGCCTGGATGATGTGCCCTGGATCAAAGACCATGTGGTAAGACTACACCTTGTCCAATCTGAAACAATCTGCAAGTTTCCGGACCAAAATGCTTATTAATATGGCCTTGATTTAGATTGGAAGTGCCATCATTGTACCTGGTGCGGCATATCTTGCCATGGCCGTGGAAGCGGCAGCCCAGTTTGCTGAAGATACCACGCTTGATGGTCCACCATTTGACTTCGAGGATGCGAGATTCCGTCTTCAGACCGTGACGATCAAAGCGGCTCTTATTCTTCCGGCTAGTGGCACCGCAGATGTCATGATCAATTTACGTCCCACAGATGCCTCCATCTCATCCAACAGATTCGAGTTCAAGATCTGTTCCGTGGCGGACGACCGGTGGATTGAGCATGCCCAAGGCATAGTATCGTTCGAATTGACAAACGGGAAAAAGACAGAGAGAGTCCCCTTCAACAATGAGACCGAAGAGCCCGTCTTTGAGCAGACCTTTGGCAAAGATGTGTGGTATGAGCGACTGAAGTATCGAGGCTTCGACTTCGGTCCTCTCTTCCGAGTTATCGACGAGATCGAAGTACTGCCTCATGCTTCCCGTGCTCGCGCCAAAGCTCCTATCCTCAAAACAGCGGAAAAGACCACACAGTATGAGTCTCGGTATGCGATTCACCCTCTGACTATCGACGCCGTACTCCAGGGACGGGTAGCTTCGGTATACACCAGCCGTGCGGACCAAGAGGCAGCTACCCAAATCCCCGTCTTTATCGAAGAGATGACGATTAGCCCGTCTTCATGGGCGAAGAACCAGACAGGGGTCATCGACAGTGTTGCCTGGACTGAGGGTGCCCGCAGCGGTGGATCCCACTCAACCCTAACCACGGATAGCGGCTTTGAGATCATCGCAGCGCGCAATGTCAAATGGCGGCAATTTGAGAACCAAGGAAGCCAAGAGAAAATGAACAAAGAAAACGCGCGCGAGCCTTACTACCGCCTACAGTGGAAGCCGGACATAGCATTCCTGGATACAGACGGCGCTCACAGTCTGTACCACAGCGATTTCCACTCGGTCTCTGGGGCAGCCTACCTCGATGAGGTCTACAATATCCGAACGCGGCTTGAGACAGTGACAGTTCTGTACATCTGTGGTGCCCTGGACATGGTGCAGCCGGATGATCTCCCAACAGACCCGTCGCTAAAGTGGGTGCTCGGATTCTACAACTGGATGTCCCACGTGAAGGCCGAAGCAGCAGCTGGACGCATGATCCTTTGTGAAGAAAATGCCACGACTCTAGATCCCCAGCAGCGAGAGCAGCGTATCGCACAGCTTCTCTCCGAGTTGCCAGAAGACTTCCCGCAGCTCGAGTTCAACGCCATAGTCTACAAGAACATGATTGAGATCCTCAACGGCACAGTGGCTGGCATCGACCTGGCCGTGAAAGCAGAGATTCTCGCTCGCGTGTACGCAGACGGGTCCATCCACGATGCGGCACGGAAGAACCTGGCATCTGTAGTCGACATCTTGGCACATAAGAACCCGACGATGCGTGTGCTGGAGGTTGGCGCCGGCACAGGTAGCTGCACTAGCATTGCTCTGGATGTGCTCAATGCATATGATCGTGACACGCCTGGCCATCATGCCAAACGATATCATGACTACACCTTCACCGATATCTCGCCGGCGTTTTTCGAGAAGGCCGAAGAGCTGTTCAGCGCGTATCCGCCTATGATCTACAAGACATTCGATTTGTCGGTGGATGCCGCTGAGCAGGGCTTCGATCTCGGCGAGTATGATCTAATTCTTGCGTCGAATGTGATGCATGCTCCAGGGAATACAGATCAACTGCTTCGGAATTGTAGTCGCCTGCTCAAGCCAGGTGGTAAGCTTGTGATGCTGGAAATCACGCAAACAGGCAGTCTTACCCCTGTGCAGTTTGCGTTCGGCACCTTGCCCAGTTTCTGGGAATGTCTCGATGATCTTGATGCTGACCGTCCGTTGGGGCCCTTCCGCACCCTTCCTTCGTGGGAGCAGCAGCTTAAGATATCTGGGTTCACGGGTCTTGACATGGTTTTGACTGACTTCCCCGAACCACTGGCGTTGGAGAGTGTAATGGTCGCCAGCAGTGTTGGCGAACATTCGAACGGAAATGTGGCAGCAGGCATTTCCCGCGTTGCTATTGTGAGTACTCTGTCTTTCCTTTGGCTATGTTTCTTTTTACGCCTGTGGCGTGCTCTCACCTTATTTTCCTTTTCCGTATTTTCGCCATGATTCCTTGCATACTGTGTTCTGACAAGGCGATTACAGATTCATTCAACGGCCCAATATGAGTTGGCACGAGCCATTGAGGATGGGGTTCTCGCATGCCAGACTTTCACCGAGGTCCCTATCGCACACTGGTCTCTTGAATCAATGCCTTCGATGGAGCATATCGGCGACAGCGATATGACGTATATCGTACTCGAGGAAGTACAAACCTCCGTGCTCTCAAACATGCGATCAGAACAGTTCAACGGCTTAAAGAGGCTCGTTTCGTCTGCGTCAAGCATACTATGGGTTACAGGAGGCGACTTGACTGTCGGCGGTAATCCGCTGCTAGCAATGGCCCATGGTATCAACACCGTGCTTATGAACGAGAATTCGACACGCAACCTCAAATTCGCGACTCTTGATGTCGACGATACGAATGCCGCCAAAACGGTCGATCTTGCTAAGACTATCGTCAACGTATGGACCACGGTTGCTACCTCCGCAAACAGAGCGACGTGTGAGACAGACTTCATGCTCAAGGATGGTGTCATCCATATTAGTCGCGTTGTGCCCGACATGGAGCTGAACGAAGAGTTCACGCTTGACACTGGAGAAGGGAGAACTGAGCAAGATTTCCCAACTACCGGTAATGTCCAGTTGGCACTAGAGACCCCGGGTCTTTTGGATACTGTGTATTTCCGAGAGAAACCAACGTGTGACATTGTGCTTGGTCCCGATGAGGTTGAGATTGAGGTGAAGGCTGTGGGGTTGAATATGAAGGTTTGTGCATGTGTCAAAACAGACCATACAAGCAAATGTGCTGATCTATCCATCACAGGACTATGTCATTGCAATGGGCAACTTTGAGAGTGTCAAGTCCAGCAATGAGAGCACTGGTATTATCTCTCGGGTAGGAGAGAACGTCACCCATCTCCAACCTGGCGACAAAGTTATCTGCCTGGAACGCGGATTCTATGACACCTTCCTTCGCAGCCCAGTACAGAAGTGCTTGAAGCTCGACGATGATGCTGATCTCGTGAAGATGGCTGCCGTTGGCATAGCACATGGCACGGCAATCTATGCGTTAGAGTACCTTGCGCACCTAGAGGCTGACGAAACAGTGTTGATCCAGGCTGCCACTGGCGGTTTGGGACTTGCTGCTATTCAGTATGCCAAGTATGTGGGAGCTGAGATCTATGCCACAGTAGGAACACAACGAAAGAAAGACTATCTCATCTCTGAGTGTGGCATCGCCGATGATCATATCTTCTGGTCTCGAAAGCTGGAGTTCAAGGACGAACTACTGAAACAGACACGAGGCCGCGGCGTTGACGTCGTCCTCTCAACTATCTCTGGTCCTGGATTCCACGAAACCTTGAAATGCCTGGCACCGTGTGGAAGGCTCATTGACGTTGGACGTGGAAACGTCCTAGATAAGGGAAGCATGGGATTACATGCCTTCGACCGGAGCCTTGGCTTCTTCTCCTTTGATCTCAACTATGTGCTGGAGGAGAAACCAAGAATTGCAGAGCGGTATGAGAGCCCCGAATTGCCCTGGTTTTTGTCTGCCATGTATAGGCTTGCTAATATTGGAATAGGCTTTTGTCCGACACGATGAAGCTCCTCCGGGAAGGAAAGATCGAGCCAATTCGATTGGACAGCACATTCCACATCACCGAGATGGAGAAGGCTCTCCGCTACTTCGGTCAAGGACAACACATTGGTAAGGTTGTACTGACTTATGGTCCAACCTCAAACAAGGTCACAATGAAGGGTGCCCTTCGGCCTCGGGGCATCAACGCCAGCAACAGCTATGTGCTTGCAGGATGTCACGGCGGGCTGGGTCACAGCATGGCTGACGCTCTGATCGAGCATGGAGCCAGGAATCTCGTCTTCCTGGGGAGGTCGAGCGAGGACAAGCCCGAGATTGCTCACTTCGTCAAGCGAGCACGGGAGAATGGTGTGAATGTAGTCACAATTCAGGGAGACGTGGCCAAGATAGAGGATGTCGAGCGAGCTGTGGCTCAGGCCATCTCAATGGGACCGCTCAAGGGAGTTGTGCACGCAGCTATGGTGCTACAGGTAAGTTCAACTCATGCAAAATCCTCATCTCTCGTCTCCGAGTCTGACGTATCATCAAGGATGCCTTCTTTGAAACCATGACTTTGGAGCAATTCAACACTGCTGTTCGCCCCAAAGTGAACGGCGCGTTGAACCTCCACAATACCACCATAAAGGCCAACGCCAACCTCGACTTCTTCTTCATGACTAGCTCGACAGTCACATACGTCGGTCATATCTCACAGTCAAACTATGCAGCATCCAATGCCGTGTTGGACAACCTAGCCCGGCAACGCATCCGCGACGGCCTTCCAGCAGCCACAATCTCACTAGGCCCAATCAAAGGCGTGGGCACGCTGAATCGCAAGCCCGAGTATGCCGAGAATTTGTTGCGGTCTGGACTGATCGAGGCCGAGGAGTCGGAGTTCATCAGACACTTCAACCGTTTCACGCACCCGCAACAAGAGTCAAAGCACTTTGATAGTCTCACGCAGGGACACATTCTCACTGGTGTCGAGTACTCCAAGCACGACCTCAGCATGGTACAGGTCACGCGCATAGAGCAAGATCGCCGCTCAGCACTACTTGTCACGACTCTCGAGTCACGCAAAGCTGCTGGCAACATTGGCGGTGTGGTAACCGATGCCACCGGTGATGACCTGCTGATATCCGACATTCCCGATGACCGTGATAAGGCCGTTATCGTACTGGCGGACGCTGTTGCAAAGCGGCTGGCCAAGTTGATGTTTATCCCCATTGAGGATATTGATATCAGTCGTCCTTTCTCGCACTTTGGACTCGATAGTATGTCCGGCAGTGAGCTGATTCATTGGTTGAGCCAGAAATTCGGCGTGGGAATGTCATTCTTGCAGCTCCTAGCTCCCTCATGCTCGCCCAAGAGTCTGGCAGGGACTATCTTTGATACACTCGCGAAGGCGAGGGCTGCAGTTGCAGAAACTGCGCCTGTGACAAATGGCTTGAATGGCAAAGCTCATGAGAAGGCCAGTGAAAAATCTGAGAGCAATGGCCTGAATGGCTCCAACGGTGTAAATGGTTCGAATGGCGTACATGACGTGAATGGCCTGAATGGTGCCTCGCCTCACATTCGGATGGAGAAATTTTCTCAGTCAGTCAGAAGAGCAATTGCTGATCCAAAGCCGGTCATGCATTCATATGTTTGCTCTGTCATCAACACTCAGGGTACGTAGACACGAGTTCCACCTCAGACAAGGTGATCACTAACAAAGACGATAGGTGAGCAACTTTACCGACTGTGCGAGGGGACACTGTCGCAGGAGTCCACCACCAAAGTTGACTTTGACGCTGTGTACGGGATGGCTTCTCTCTCCAAGCTTATGACGACTGTCGCAGTCATGATCTGTGTCGAGCGAGGACAGATCTCCCTCGATGATGACGTTGCCCCAATCCTGCCAGATCTGTGTGCTCTCCCGGTTCTCAACGGTGTTGATACTGAGGGTCGATGCTTGATTAAGCCCCGGACTAAGACCATCACTCTTCGGCTACTGATGAGCCACCAAAGCGGCTGTGGCTATCATTCCAGCCCGCCGCTGGCGAGATGGGCGAGACAGAATGGCAAAACAAACAGCGTCTTTGACAACGACTTTGTAAGTTCTATCAACCACACAATTCGGTACAAATCTAATATACCCTCAGGAAGTTATGAAAACCTTCCCACTCCTCTTTGAGCCAGGAGAGGGCTGGATGTACGGTTCCGGCCCCGACTGGGCCGGCGAGGCCATCGCACGAATTAACAACACCACCCTCGAGGAGTTCATGCGGACCAACATCTGGGAGCCACTAGGCATGACCTCGACAACCTTCCACCCCGAGCTGCACCCAGGAATGATGGACCGCCTGGTCGCGTTGTACGAGCGCACAGAAGACCACGGCCTGGAACGCGGCGCCTGGCTCTCGCACATCCCAGCCAAGCACGACTGCGGCGGCCACGGGCTGTGGTCCACACCGCTCGACTGGACGAAGTTCCTTGGCATGGTGCTCGCGGACGGCGGATCGATTCTTTCCAAGACCAGCATCGACGAGATCTTCAAGCCGCAGACAGTCGGCTCAAGTGATCTTCAGGAGCTGCTAACCGGCCCGCTTCGTGCGTCGCTCCGTTCTACGGTTGACATGGATGCTGGTCGTATTGAGATGGCGCTAGGCGGCCCGCTGTACATGGATGCCATCCCGGGCAAGCGCTCTGCTGGTACACTGCAGTGGGCTGGGCGGCCCAATCTGTTCTGGTGGATCGACCGGGCTAAGGGTATTGCGGCTGCAACATTTACGCAGGTTATTTCCCAGGCGGATGCCCGATTCGAGGAGTTGACTAGCGAGTTTGAAACGGCGGTGTATGCCGACTTCACTTGATAGTGTTTATGGAGGCCACTTTGAAGGCCACTTTGATGATAGTGGAGATTTTGAGAACATTTATTGTGGAAACACGAGTGAGAATCGAGACTTGCAATCCTAAATGTACGCTTGTTAAGGACAGTGATACATGTGAAAAGAGTTGAAGTGGTAGCCAAGGGGTAGTTGATTAAGGCATGAAGGCAACCAGGCAAATCACATGATCGTATCATGTCACTTAATGCCTGAGAATCCAGGCTAGAATGTCATCATAGCTTTGCCCCTCATGTCATTTTCGGCCAATTGACTTTCTTCAAGTAAATCCGAAAGAGCTTTATCCTACAGTATCCCGACGGTAGCCCGGATTTACTCAGAAATGGAGGGATCCGATTGGTCAAAGTGAATAAATTAATAAAAGAAAAAGCCGCTGAGCTAATCAGCGGTTCTCGGCGGTCTTTCTTTCTAATCCATAGGCTTCGGTATCTTTCTTCTTCGGGTCAGGTCACTCTGGAGTGTGGCTCAAATCAAGTCGAACGGGTCAGGGCCCAGAAGATCCCGATGGGCCGATATGTGTAAGCCGTAAATCTTTAAATACCTTAAGTACCTTCTTCTTTTCCTTCCTCTTGTATCCACAATCCAAAACCTTCATCTTCCAACCTTCTATCTTCTACTTCTTATCAATTCTCCCAATTCTCCCACTCCAATCTCAATTCACATTCAAAATGTCTAAGGGTTTCAAAGCCGGTGACGCCTTCCCCGACGACGTCGTCTTCTCGTATGTTGCCCCTCCCCACCTTCGCCATCCCACCAGCTAACGAGGTAACAGCTACATCCCCTGGTCTGAGGACTCCAGCGAGATCACCTCTTGCGGTATCCCCATCAACTACTACGCCTCCAAGGAATGGGCCAACAAGAAGGTCATTCTCTTCGCCCTTCCCGGTACGTGACCGCTCTTTCTATATTTTTTCTTCCAATCTGCATATCTGCATCTCGTCCACAAGGTTCTCACGCTGACCGCCACATCCTGCAGGTGCCTTCACTCCCGTCTGCTCTGCCAACCACGTCCCCGAGTACATCCAGAAGCTCCCCGAGCTCCGCGCCAAGGGTGTTGACCAGGTTGCCGTCCTTGCCTACAACGATGCCTACGTCATGAGCGCCTGGGGCAAGGCCAACGGTGTCACCGGAGATGATATTGTATGTGACTCATAACCTCTATCCAATTGTCCCCATTCAATGCTCTTTTCATCACATGCTACCAGCCAAAAAATAATTCCGGACACAATTGACTAACGTTTTCCTCTTCCAGCTCTTCCTCTCCGATCCCGAGGCCCGTTTCTCCAAGAGCATCGGCTGGGCTGACCAGGAGGGCCGTACCTACCGCTACGTGATCATCATCGACCACGGCAAGGTCACCTACGCCGCCAAGGAGTCTGCCAAGAACACCCTGGAGGTCTCCAGCGCTGATGCTGTCTACAAGCAGCTGTAACTTCGGTACTCTCGAAAAATAGATTTGGTACAATTGGCGGGCGCACGGTCTGATTCGTGATTGCTGGGCGACTCTTTCGGGTTTTTAATACGTTTTAGATCGCCCTGTTGCTTGCTCTGCTGCTTAAAGCTAGAAATACATTTAATGAAGCCACGAGTTCATCCTATCCTCTATCCTTCTGTGTGATCTATTGTAGTCATGAATCATGTATGTTAGGTGCTGGAAGTATAGCTTGTCGTTGTGATTGGGCTCTGCCTTGACTAGCTCCGACTAGCTCTGGAGGTCCATGCCCCCGATGTCTGTGCTCAACGACTCCAAGCCTTGGAGTCCAAGGCTTAGCATTTGGGATCGAGATCACAGATATCCTGCCCATACCTTAGTTATCCTTACCGCTTACACGGCTATTTATGGCCAATGTCGAGTTGTTGACACTCATCCCCTTCTCAGTTCTCGGCCTATTCTTCGTCCCCTATTTACTCTGTACTTACTGGTGACTGTCGTAGACTGCCGTAGACCAGATCGTCGAAAATGCGGACATCATTTCTTCATCTTGAATTCATGATTAATATTCACCTAATAATGTAGCATAAAATAATAGTTACATATGCGATGAGCAATGGGTAGTAGAATTCGAGGACCGACCCCAAAAAGCAATGGATATCCGCAAAGAACCTGAAAGTCACGCTCAACGCCATCAATAAATCAAGCATTCTTCGCATTCGGTGGTGCAAGGGCGATAGAGTTATTCTTCCTCCGATCCTCTTTCGCCCGCAGGCCACGACTCAGGCCACCGCCGAGACCCCGGGCAAGAGATGCAAATGGCGATGACTCTTGCCACGCGTCCAGGTCATGTTCAAGCTGGCCAGAATGTAATACCTCTTTACGAGGTGTGTCCAAGGTCAGAGGCTCAGACTGTCGGCGACGAGAATTTTTCCTCTGTGTAGAGCTGGGGTGGGAAACGGTTATAGGCTCTGTGGTACCGGGGGATACTGCCTCCCTCGAGGGCATTGGGACGTCCACGGTGATATGCTCAGAACATTGGCAGCCGCATCCGGTCGGACAGGTTGGAAGGGATTTGTTCTGGTCTGAGTGGTCGAACGGACTATCGAGCTTGTCGGCGGGTCGAAGGAACCAGCGTTGGTGGCAGTCGAAACAGCTGACATGCCCGCAGCTCAGGCAGGGAATCAGCATACCGTCGACCACCTCGCTGCAGATCACACAGGGTAGTTTGATTGGCAGCGGCCGTCGTGGCTTGCAATTGGGACATCGGCGACCTGATAAGTTGTCTTGCGGTCGCTTCGACGGCGTGTCGGGGGTGTTGGGGTGTTTATCGAAAATGGAACGCTGCAACGCGTGACCGCAGCTAGCGCAGTGGCGCTGGAAGTCAAGAGCTTGCGGTTTTGACTCCGGTTGTAGGTCATCCACCACCGTTTCTGTAGAGGTCATGCTGTTCCAGTACATACTCGAACTCAGGTCGTCCACTCGCTCAGCCACGGCTCCAATCTTCAGCACTTCGCTTCGTTGGACGGGAAGGTCCCAAATTGCCAAAAGGTTCGCATACGCGGCGCGGTATGATTGATACAATAGCTCTTTGCTTCGGTCGAGGAACGAATGCTGCGCGGGTCCGTCGCTTTCAAATTCGCTTTGGTTCTTGTACGTGATCTTGAATTTTGCGGGTGGCGGTGTAGGGTCGGGTGCATGGTCGCTTTCAGTGTCAGATTGAGCCTGTGACTGGAGAGCAATTGAGGTTAGACAGATCGAACTTGTGCCATGTTTAACAGGGAAATGACTTACTACTTGTCCATTTGTCACACCCGGGCTGTCCTGGGGTGTCCCCTTTTTCTTGTCCAGCCTGCTCGTCGGCGGCGACGCAGATGACGGTCCAAATGTGAATGAACGCGACAATGACGAAGCCAGTACGGATCCGAACCCAGATCCACTCTTCGTTTGGGATTGCTGGTCGGGCGATGCGGCCACAGACGCAGAATGGCTCAGGGACTTTCGATCAGCAGCGATTCCGCGTGGGCGGGACATGAAAGGGGGCGTAGTGCCTGTTGAATATGGAGGCGTAGAATCAAGACGCCAGATCTCACTAGACGAACGCGCTGAGGTCTGGGGAGCGGTCATAGGCGGTACCTCTTTAGGAACAGATGAACCTGGCGTCACAACTGGCAGCTTGGTTTGGATCGTCGATGGGGCAGAGAAATTCAATGAGAAGGCCTGCTGGCTAGGTTTGTTTTTGGCTCTCTGGTTCTCCAACGCTCCCTCTTGGCTGGCTTCCAGTAGTACGCATGAGAGCATTGCCACCATTTGCACGTCACCAATGGCTTCGAAGTGTTCAAAGAGAGCAGGGATTAGCCAGTGACTGCCAAGAGGATGATCCCCCCACCGGATAATACTGCCCGTCAAGTCTCTATACAACCCATCTCTGCCCAAACCACCACGCCCGCCCTCCTTTCGCTGCACACGCTTTTGCAAGAGGCCGGACTCGGGCGAAGTGCCTGGTCGTTTCCTGACATGCAAAATCAGTTTGATCAGACCCCATATCTGAGCCAATTCGTAGCAACCAGCGTCAAGGGCAACGGCTGCATTATGGGCGCATACGTCTGTTCCTTTGCCGCAGATACGATATTGGCTTGCCAACTCCCGCTTGACTGGTAACATATCACTGAGGTTATGGATAGACACAATGTTCTGAGGCAACTCTGATTTGACTGTGCCACCGCCGCCAGTAGACCGCTGAGAATTATCCGTTGATCTTGGTCGAGGTATGCCATAGCTGCCGGCACTGCGCCATGTTTGCGAGGCGGGGAAGCGGGTCGGTAGTCCAGAAAGAACATCAGAGGAGCCTGAAGAGCTCGAGCTGTCTGTATAAGATTCCTCTGAATCGCTAGAGGCACCGTCATCGGTACTTATCGTTCCCATTTTGCGGGGACCAGGTGAGTTGGTTTGTAGCCGGCCGAAGCCTTCGAAAACTTTGTCTCCTCTTGACCATCGAGTCATCTCTTTGAAACCCATATTCTCAAACAGCTCAGCTGATTTGTCGACCTTTGGTTTTGGTGGGAAAAAGCATATGAGGCGGCCATCATTGGCCCAAAGTGCTCCGCACACTTTAGCCACTGGCACCATGACATTGGCGTTGACAGGGCGAAGTAGCTCGGAGCTCATTCCCAGCTCTTGGCTCTGGGTCATGCCGACCTCATCCTCGTCACTGGATTCACCTTCCATGTCGCCGCTGACGGGGGACTTGAGGTTATCCCCAGTTTCGTCCAGGATCCACGCGATACTTTCTTCCAGGCTGCTCTCACCTAGAAGATAACGTACGGCGCCTTCTAGACACCCCCTATTTCGGGACATGTAGGTTTCAGCAATTGTTCGTAGTTCGGCTGTGGTCTTCGCAGCCCATTCATCGGTGACAGCTGCTGTCTTCTGGAATGCGAATGTTGGGATCGCAGTCTTGGGATAGCTCATGGGAAATTTGATGTCCACTTTCAAGAATAATGAGGCACCTTCAGCGCCCCAAGGCCCATTGAGAGAGATAGAAATTTTCCTTTGCCGAACATCAACTGAATCAAATGACACCTTGGTGAATTTTTCACCGACGTGACTAATTTCATCTCCCAAGGTCTCGACATCCCAGCCTGAGATCTTCACGCCGCGCATCCACGCAATGGGATTTGTGTCCGCTCTGAAATTTGACCTCGGTTGCATGCCAACTCGATCAACAGGGGCTCCTTTTGCCCAACCACGGGTGTGGGGAACCGTGATAGCGTTCATGCCTGTACCTGCCATAGTGCTTTGGGTCTGAAGTCCAACTGAGGAAGAAGGCGCGTCAACGTCATCAAAATCGAAATCTGTATTCACGTCACGGAAAGTGCGATACGCAGCACCGAGTCGTGTCAGAGTTCGAGTGGAAATAAAGGATTTGCCTTTTTCATACCCGACACGCTGAAGAATCTCAGGGTCAACTTTGTGAAGACGTAGCTCCCTATCTGTTCCCCACGTGACAAGTTGATATTCACGGTGGTCGATTCCATCTGCTACCCCTCCACGTGGTCGCCACAGGAACTCTTTTACTTGTCCCTTATGTCCAGGGAAGCTATGCACCAAAGGCAAATCATCCTCAGGATTTGAGCCATCTCCAGCTCGTCGACTGTAGAGATGAAGATCATTATTACCTCTCTGTGGCATTGCAAGCACGCCCCATCCGAATGGAGTGTTGCGTGCGCGCCACACGGGGAATGGTGTGCGGATCTGCTTCTCTGGGACATCTGCCGAATCGGAAGTATAGTCCCAGAACTTGATTGTTCTATCTAGGGAACATGTGACCAGCGCACCGCGTCGAACACGGTTCCAGTCAACTCCATAGATCTTGGTGTTGTGAGCTTCAATGGACTTGATTGGGTAAGCGCCCATTCGGTCGTCCCAGATCCGAAGGAACCGGTCGTGAGAACTTGCGATGACATGGGGATCTTGTCTGTTCCATTTCACTTGAGTGGCGCCAGTGAACCAATCCGAGAATGAGACGGCCGGTCGCGACGGAGCACGCAGATCCCAGCAATGCACAAAGCTATCCACCGAGCAAGTCGCGAGGAGATCTGGATGAAATGCGGAAAAGTTGATGTCGGTAATAGCGCGGGAATGGGCATGAAGTACGATTTCGATGGAGTTCTGCCAGGTCTTCATGGCCAAATTCCAGACCAAAGCTTTCTGATTGGATGTACTGACAACCCATTGATCTCGTGCCGCAAATGGCGACCACTGTACATCGGCTACCTCCCATGGCGTGTGATGCGGGAGATATCGAGGTGGAGAATAAGGTGAGTCGAGGTCAATGACATGTAAACCCTCCTTGGAGGCTAAAACGACATCACGTCCACAAGGAGATATTGACATTGATCCCACAGGTTGCTCTACATGAAAAGAGCTGTCCTCTTCAAAAGTCGGGCTCTCCATGGCCGAGGTCAGAGGCCTCGGTTCCATTGAGCTCGACATGATGGCTGCGGTGGCCGCTCTGCTCAATCTCCAATGCGCGTTAGGCCGCGATCTTGCAGGAACCGGGGAGTCAAAGAACTACCCATATGATATGACGGGCAAATAGATATAGTTAAGATAGATATACCTGTTCCCATTTTCAGAAATGGCATCCCCTATCCTTGATTCATGGCAGGATATGACAATCCTACCGTCGACCTGTCGCGGAGATTCTGGAGGGTTAGGCTGCGATAACGCGATAAGACGGGATGGGATGTGTGGCTAGTGCTGTGGCATGAGATAAGCCATCACATGATCTCGTATACGGGACGCGAAACAACCCCGCCATGCAGGAGCCCCTCGGCCGGTCATATCGAGATCTGTATCTGTGTTTTTTGTTGTCTCACTCTTTGCTTTTATCTGTTGAATTCTCAGATCACATTTGGTGGTACTAGCCTAAAGTTGAAAGTGCACGATATCCCGGTTTTCTCTGGGAACACCCTCATCGACCGAATCTACCAGGTCTTCGCGCGTTGTCGATAAGCCGGTTCGCCATGGCTTTGCCCAAGAGAATCATTAAGGAGACGGAACGTCTGATGGCAGAACCGTAAGATGCTCAATTTCCCCGAACCACATTTTGTACAGTAGCTAATATGGTGTGCTTGGGTAACAGTGTTCCAGGCATCAACGCTGTGCCGCATGAAGATAATCTCCGCTATTTCGACGTCTCAATCCACGGACCCGCACAATCCCCGTACGAGGGTAGGCACACAGCGGCAATATATTTCCTTGTATCAAGTACTAATGTCCATCTTTGCAGGTGGTATCTTCCGACTTGAGCTCTTCTTGCCTGACGACTATCCCATGACCCCACCCAAAATCCGCTTCTTGACGAAGATCTACCACCCCAATATCGATCGCCTAGGTCGCATCTGTTTGGATGTCTTGAAGAGTAAGGAACATTAGGCCGGTTCTCGGATGACACATATCTAACTGCCCTATTTAGACAACTGGTCTCCAGCTCTCCAGATTCGTACGATCCTACTTTCAATCCAGGCGCTACTTGGAGCCCCGAACCCAGATGACCCACTCGCAAATGATGTTGCTCAAAGGTGGAAGGATGATGAGCCCGCTGCGATTCAAACCGCGAAGGAGTGGACTCGGACACACGCTATGACCTAAATCTGTCGGTGTTACGTGACCATGATTTCAGTGCAGGAGAGCCTTTCTATTTGCGCCAGCAGGCATTGTATGCCAAGCGTTTGCTATTCGGCAAGATCGATGGCTTTGGTAGGAAACTTATATTCTCCTCCGCTCACCCTACTAGTCTTGTGTTATTCTGGCTTTCTTTAGAGGGCGTTGCATAAAATAAACATTGTCGAGCGTGTTTACCAGCCACTCTAGCGTTTTACATCCGACGTAGTTCAACCACGTGATAGAGGCATTACAGCGATATATATGGCTCCGGGCCAACCTATGAAGCCGACAAGAACGCCGTGAGCCAGGCAAAGGCTATCTCTTCCCCTTCAACTTGAAAAACTCCAGCGGCGAGGAGGCGGATCCATGGTATGTCGGCTGACTTACGCTTGTAATCCTTATGGTATAGATTGTACGATGTATGAATCGCCATCGTATACATCCCAGCGGTCGAACTTGTACAAACAGTCATGGAGATTGCTTCTGACCTGGGGAACTGGATATAAGGATCGCGGATACGGAGGCGGGATCTGAGCAGCAGAAGTATGAAACCTTTCAGCCTGCATCTGTAGTCCAGAATTCAAGGAAATCCAAGTTCATCGCAACCAGGGAGAATCATAATGTGATCCCAGGGCCGAACCCCATGAACGAGGTAGTAGGGACGCCTGTGGGACGAGTACCTGACAAAAGCAGTCTTCGCAGCGTGTTCGTGAACACGCTGTCTCCCACAGGCGTCTGTACCGTTCATGGTGTTCGGCCCCGGGATCACATCGAAGACCTAACTACCGTTCTGGGGAACTATGGTTCTCGATGAGGTTGAGGCCTCCCCGCCGTCCTACGCGGACTTGTCAGCCTCTACGCGTGAAGAGCGGCAGGAATTCAAGTGCCCGGGTGCGCGCTCTGAGTTCGTGGGAGTTCGAAGAAGACAGTGGAGAGGTATGCGAGAGGAGGTTAGAATATGGTAGTGAATTCAAACGAGAATTGTAATTGGAGCAAGGCTGCAAGAATGGAGGAGTAGGTCTATGTACATTCGTCCGTACACCAGGCAGCGATCCTCCCGGTATGTACGGAAATGTTAAAACAGTAAGAGACCCCGGACTCATCTTTGTCCTTCTCGTTGCCAGTCTGATGCTTCGGATCCACATCCGCTTTCTCGCCAGCAACTTTGAGCATGAATCGCACGAGAACCCGCATTGTGCAGGTCAGAAGTCGGCAGGTTCATGTTTCGAAGCATTGTTTCAAGACCTGGTTTGTTCTTGATCCCGTGCTCTACACAGTACAGCTGTGCCACATCCACGACCTCACGAATGACGGACGACGTACTATCCAGGGTGTCGAGTTCAATGAAAACTTGGCTGTTGTGTTTCTTCAGGATTTTAAATCATTATGAAGGTATCCCGTGCTCTACACAGTAGGTTGGATCTTCACTGGGCGAGCGATGTTTCGCTGGCCGTCGCGAAATATTTGTTTGCTGGATCGAAGATGATACCTTTAACGTGACTTTGGTGGATCGCTATCGTCTTCAGCTTTTCGAATGAGTGGCCAGACTGCACACAAGTGGCATAAGGCGGACACCCAAATATATCAGAAGACCCTTGAGCTTCGTCGGTCTTGATCTTGCGCCCGATGAAGTGGGAGTACAGCTCGGTTTGTGAGATAAGGGAGTTGAGCTTGCGCTTCTGGCGATTGGCTTCACGGTCCGCCTCGGCCTTCTTCGCTGCGTCAAGTTCCGCGAGAATTGGTGCCTCGCTTGCAACCTCAGGCCGCAGCCATCATGCACGAGCCACACCCAGGTTACAGTTCATTGCACCCCGAGAACGAATTCACTACACCCCCAAGTCATGTTTTTCACGTGAAAGTTGGGGACAGTGTGATGCGTTGTCGCAAAGCGCATTCGTCAACCCTCACACTGTTTTCCATGTGAGCGCGTAGATGGCACTCCGCTCATCTACTCGACGGCGGGGGCGGACCAACGGTGGTCATCGGACGTCCTAGAGAGCAAAAGAAGTAAGTGATGAGATCCCATAAGTGGATTGACATCCTTGTTGGACGACACTTACTGCCCAGAAGCTTGTTCCAGTCCTTGATGGTCTTTCCCACCGAGCCCCAATTGGTGGGTTGCTGCGAGCCCCGATTGGAGGGCTGCTCGAGGTGATGGCCGAGATGATGGCTGGAGCTCCGTCCCTCGTGGATCAACGGAGAAGCCTCCTCGATCTCTGCGTCGTCTGCAGTCGTCAGTATCAACTCGTCATGGAGATGGTCTGCACACTCCGGGTATAAAACAAACCATAAAACGCTAGAGAAAGGATGGCCAAAGTGATGAACAACGATGGTTGGAAAGGTCAAAAATGAAAGGAGAAGAGGCACCAGGACAGAGAGTTAAGTAGCTTCGAAAGAGGCGGGACGATCGGTCACGAGCCTTTAGTCACGGGCCTTTGGTCACCGCCTTTCATAGCAATGGGAAACGAGGCTATTCCCACGTGCCATTTTGGGGAAAGGGGAACAGCGCGATACCGCCTCAACAGGTCGAATACCCTCGACCTAATTACCATTTACCAGGTGACGTCCTATCTTCGCTATATTCCCTTGATCATGTCTATAACCTCCGGAAAAATGTTGCTACGGCTCCGACTACTAACAAGAGATCATAGTATCCGAGTTTTTCTATCCATGGACCATAGTTACAGCCCAGGTTTGGTCAAAGGGATAGGGTAACTGCCGTGCGGCGCCGGCCCGTGCCGGCACGGATTAGGGTCACGTGAGCATGTGACCCAATACTTGTTTGCACACTTTGCACCGCTCCCTCCCTGTGCCTACTTTCATGTTTGTTCAGGCTTCTGATAGATTGCATCTGGCCCAGCCAAATTGAATCAGTTTTGGATTCAGGCACCTTCACCGATAGAACATTGTCATTGGCATTTGGCAGTGCCCATTCTGGAGTGAAATATGAATGCATTCTCCGCTCAAGACATGCGGTTATTGCGGAGGCAAGAGAGGGCACTCAGGGCAGAATGCAGATGGGGCTGAAACTCAGGAAGTGGATCAGAGTGATCTCAACCGAGTCCATCCTGGGCGAGGCCCAGTTCGATGATCGTGAGAAAGGCCATATTTGATTGGGGTGCATTCCACGGCGGGGTTTCAAGGTTGAATCCATCAGAACATCAGAAAGCCACCACGCCGTGACCGCCCAGGCGGAATTATCTCCAGATGCCCGCTACCATGCTATTGCTGTTAATATACCTAGCACCAAAGCGAAACACACTAGGTATGAAGGTAGATCTATGCCGCGATTAGTGAATAAATGCATTCACATTCGGGCATTCTTGAAAGGTGACCGATTTCTTCACCACTCATCAGTATACAGTAGTGTAGGTAATTATTGGTCGAGGCTTTTTACAATGCCAACACTAGACAATGCATTCCATCCAGTCTCTGATCTGCTGGTGTGATACATGAGAGATGAAAGGAAATGGGGGATCCTTACCAAGAGAGACGAGAGGTACTGACCCCTCGAGGCAGTGAGGCAGCCGAGGGAAGGACGCTTGGGGCCCTTGATTTTATGCTGGGAGGTCATGAGGCGCCTCATCCACCGATTCCGCTCGTCAGATCAATCAAGATGCTTGTTGTGACAGGTTTATTGATTGGTTGGGGATGAAGGTTGAGGGGATCGATTGAGAAAGGGAAAGATGAAGTGAGAGGAGCACTTTATATGCCATCCTTGGACAACTAAGCGATTGCTCTTAGGAGGTAGACCCGCCGGGGATATGAACTGATCATTTAAGGCGAGCGCATTGGAGGGTTGTTTCACATTCTGCTTTCGTGAGGCTGTGTTGCAGCTCACACTTCACGACGACACCATGCCCCTTGGTCTTCAAATCTTGAACAAGGGCCTACCGAGCTAGGTATGCGGATAACTCACTCGCTTCCTTTCCTCAATCGGTCGGTCTTCTCTCATTTATACTCCGGTATATCTACCTACACGACACATGGGATTATGGGGTGTCCTGGGTTGACTGGTGGATTTGCTAGTCGATCAGACCAACTACAAGAGCCATGGAATGGTTTCAGTCAACCATCAGTTACAAGATTACCAGATACTGAAACTTAGGAAAGCTCATCAGGGAAGGGACTGGACAGACCTCTTCATTCACAATATCTACAACAGACCGGGCGGCCAAACTCTTGAACGACTACGGACTGAGCTGTCAAAACGTCCTTATGGGGAGCATATCATCCTTGGGGATATGAACGCACACCACCCGAGGTGGGGAGGGCCAGGAACCATGGCTGATCGGGAGGCTGAGCAGCTTTTGGAAATCGTCAACGAATGGGGACTCGAATTAACAACACAACCGGGCACATCCGCCTGGTCTCGAAACGATCAGTCGTCGGTGATCGACCTCACCTTCATAACGCCCAATCTAGCCGAAAGGCTAATCAGCTGCGAGAGGGCCGATGACATTGAACATGCATCTGACCACTTCCCGATCAGGACTGTGCTTGATATTGTCACACCCTTCACCACACAGCAGAAGAGTAGGAACTGGAGTGCAACCGATGACAAAAAGCTCGTCTAGGAGGTTGAGCAGGGCCTACAAACGGGAGGCCTAGACCAAGCAGGACCAGAGACGATAGAGGCCAAGTGCCAGGAGCTTATCGACGTGATCCAAACGGCGCTCGAGGAATCAACACCATGGGCAAGACCATCCGAGTGGTCGAACCCCGACTTTGACGATGAATGCAAAGCTGCGGTCGAGGAAGTTCGTCGCCTCCGTCGCAGACATACGAAAACTCAGGATGCTTACGATTGGATGTGCTATACGAAAGCACGTAACGTGAAATCGCGACTCCTCAAGAAAAAGTTGTCAAGAGCACACCGACGCCGAGTGCAGCAGGTCGTTGAGGACGGACCACAGGGTTTGTGGCGATTGTCCAAATGGGCAAGAAACCGAGACGGGGCATACGAGAAAGGCATCACTCCCTCCTTGAAGATACAAGATCCCGAAGTTCCTGGTGCTCTCGCCGAGACGGCCGAACAAAAAGGGGAGGCATTCCGGGTTGCCTTCTTCCCAACACCGCCGCCAGCTGATCTGTCCGACACAGCCTCGTACCTGTACCCAGAACAACTCGACTTTCCAGCAATCACTGTCCAAGAGATACAGGAGGCGCGGGGAAAGCACACGGAGAAGACGGTATACCAAACTCCGTCTGGCACAAACTTATCGAGATACCAGTGGTTCTGGAAACAATGGTCCAGCTGTTCAACGCATGCATAGAGCGGGATATAGTCCGTCACATTTCCAACGATCTATCACAGTTGTGCTACGAAAGCAAGGAAAGAGCGACTACCAGCTGGCGAAATCTTTCCGGTCCGTCGCGCTGCGGAACACGCTCGGGAAATTTCTGGGGGCAGTGGTCGCGCGACGGATCAGTTATGCAGTCGAGACCAACGGCCTACTCCCACGAACACACCTGGGAGGTCAAAAGGGCATATCCACCGACCATGCCATCCATATCCTCATCGACCGCGTCAAAGCTGCATGGGGAAAGGGCAAGGCAGTGGTGACTCTGTTACTGCTAGATGTTGTCTTCTTCGTTGTTCTCTGCTGCTCGGTAGAGGAGACGCTTAGATTTGTAGAGTTCTATTCCTTCGCAGAGTGTCATTTTGGTGGATTGTGGGTGTGGTGCGCAATTGAGATTCAATTTGGGCTTTGGGTATGGGGCTACCTAGTAGGATAAGGTATGCAGTACGATGACTGACTCACACTAGCAGAGCCCTGTCAGTTTTATAGTTACGAGAGTCTTAGTGAGTAACAATAGAATCAATCACTAGTGACCAACGAGAATCTCCATTTCAAGCCATGTTACATTTGATATGCCCGGTGGGTGCTCAAACGCGAAGTCGTCCGGCAGCATCGTCGGGGTCCCGACGTGGTGCTCGCCGCCGCTCGCGCCCGTCCCAGGGCTGGGATCACAATAGTGGTTGTTTCGGCAACTATTCCATGATCCTGCACTGTGTCGAGAGTTTTGCTACAAGAAAAAGTGATAAAAGTCTCATCCAGAGACTCAATCAATTGCTGATGACTTCAGGTGGAGGGCGAAAGCCAATAAGCAGATCCAACCTCTGCGGCTTTCCCGATGAAAAAATCCAAAAAATCCAAAAAATCCAAGACATTGAGAAATGCAGGATTATCATGTGACCTTATCGATAAGTTAACCCGGAAAGGGCAGAGGCAGTCACGTGTCGCACTTTAGCGAGCACCCGCACCACAATTGGGTCAACGGCATCACCGCGATCCACGATTTACGACAACCACTCAACGCCAATCGACCCCCGTCAGCGCATCTCCATCCGTCAAGATGCGTACTTACGACGACGCCTTCAGCGGCCAGAAGATCTACCCTGGCAAGGTGCGTTCCTAATCCCGTCATCTTTTTTGGGAGGGATTTGTGTGCGAGGGAACGGCATCGCGGATTCGACATTTACACTTGGATATCTCGAATACCGTCCACACAATTGTCGCTATCCGTTACCGAATCGCCGCACATGAATTCCGCTCTCCGGTTTCAAGCTACCAGTGGCTAATTCTTGATCTTCAATGTTTACAGGGCAAGCTGTTCGTCCGTGGCGACAGCAAGATCTTCCGCTTCTCCACCGGAAAGTCCGAGTCTCTTTTCCTCCAGCGCAAGAACCCCCGCCGCATCGCATGGACTGTTCTCTTCCGTCGCCAGCACCGCAAGGGTATCTCTGAGGTCGGTCGCCCTTCCCTTTTTGGATTATTGTTATATTGTGTGGTGGGGGACAATCGGTTGATTTGAAACGATTCCACGAATCATGAGACGGATGCAAGAGGAGGAATTTTCATGTCACCACCACACATGAAACCAATTCAAGTTATGGAAAAATGCGACTCGCAGATTACTGACCGGGTTATGTTTTGGATATATAGGAGGTCGCCAAGAAGCGCACCCGCCGTGTCGTCAAGCAGCAGCGTGCTATCGTTGGTGCTTCCCTCGATGTGATCAAGGAGCGCCGCTCCCAGCGCCCCGAGGCCCGTGAGGCCGCCCGCAAGCAGGCCATCAAGGACGCTAAGGAGAAGAAGGCTGCTTCCGCCAGCGCCAAGAAGGCTGAGAAGGCCAAGCTCGCCGCCACCAAGGGTGGTGCCCAGCGCATCCAGAGCAAGCAGGGTGCTAAGGGTTCTGCTCCCAAGGTTGCCGCCAAGTCCCGCTAAATTTCTCTTTGAGGATGGTTGGGAATGGAGGTGTTCGGAACGAAGCAGCGCTGTGACGGTTGCGATATGATGGAACTTACGGGCACCGGAGTACTGTCTGTGAGGGACTGGCCTTGAGCCTTGACCTTGTTTCTGGAGATACTTTATGCAATACAATTTCATGCAGAAAAATGGGAACAAAGGAATCAAAAATACGAATCCCCATGCGAGTAATAAAAACTCTGCTTTTGTCCAGCCTCTAGCAATGAAATGTTCATTGCGTTTCTCCCACTGGGGATCTATGTCCACCAGACCTACTCATGAGTGGTTGGGCATGGGTCTTTGGCCGGGTTCGCCAACGAAGTAGTCCAAATTGGCCTTCCAATCTTTCGTCGAATGTCACTTTCTTCTTTGTTCTAACCTCTTTGACATGTAAACACTATGAGGGGCAGGCCTTGTTATCCAGGCGTCCTTTGATAGCAACCTTGGTGTTCCATATCACGCAAAGTGCATCAAAACGAGTGTCCATGAGGGCCTAATTGTCTTCTATTTTCTTATGGAAGCATTGGGGACAAACTACTCATAGCTTAGATCGCCAAACTGTAACCCTCCAACTCCTTGGAGACTGGATGATAATAATGTACACGGTATGATTGTTTGTCGTGCCTGCACCTCTATCTATGAAGTTGTCTCCGTTCCCGCAATGCACCGAGTTACAATTCTCGTGAAAGCAATGCTAATGCAAACAAAACCCTAAGATTTGCCGGCCAAGTCCAATCCCATGTTCCTCGGCCAAAGCGCCATCATGATGGATATAGCTGGCAAAGCAAGCAGTGCCTTGTGTGCCCGGCCCCTCAGATCCCCATAGGATGCGATGGAATTGGTTTGCCAACAGTAGGATGATTGTTGCTGTCTCAAGCAACTAAAACGAACCGGAGCCATGTACAGTTTCGAAATCTCCCGGAATGCAACCACAACATGCGATATGCAAGTTCCTCTCATAACTGCGCCTTGCCGAAGCCCTGCCGGACTACTCGAACCGAATGCCCCAAACGCCAGACCAAAACCGGTGTGACCCGGGAGTAGAGTATATCAAGATTAAAAAAACAAAAACAGCTCAGTAGTAGTGAGCCATCTCGAGACCTGCGCGCTTGAAGCCACACTTGACGTAGAATCCCTCGTTGACCTCGGAGCAGTCAAGAATGCTCTTTATACCAAGTCAGCTTTGTACAGCAACACAACGAAACCGTGAAGTTTCACAGAAAGAAGAACAAAAGAACAAAAAAAGACACATACCTTGTAACAGCCAACCTGCGCAGCAACATAATCCAAAGCCTGGATAATCCTCAACCCCAGCTTCTTGCCCTGCTGATTCTTCTCAACAGCAATATCCTCGATATGCCCAACCATGCCAAGCGAGTGAATGAATTTGCGCTCGACAATCAGGCTCCCTGTTCCGACGACCCGGTCCGCGCCATCGCAGACAACCAGCAAGTAGTACTCGTCGTTGCGCGAGGTGATCCAATCGTACCGCTGGTTCCACGCTTCCTCGCTGATCTCTCCTACGGTCGTCAGCACGCGCAGCACATCCAGGTACCCGCGGTGGTAGTCTGAGCGGCGCATGGGGCGGATGGTGTAGTCTGTTGGGAGAAGGGAGATCACTTCGGGGGAGATGAGGGAGGGGGAGAAGAGGGGTCCGTCGGTCTCAATGTCGATGGGGGTGACTGTTGAGCTCATGATTGGCTTGGTGGCTTCGGGGACGGGAGTGCTTGTAAGGACTGGGGCGGTCATTTTGGTGAGGTTTGTGGGTGGGAGTGTTTGAAGAAAAAGTTGAGTGGGTTGTTTATCAGGGGCGGGGGATCGTAGGGGGGATCGACGGTGTTGAATCGAGTAGAGGAGGTCGATTGACTGGACTCGGATACTTAATTGAGAGGGGAACGAGTGAATGGATGTGGTTTGAAGAGAAGGATGTTAGATGTTAAGACTTAAAGTACTTGAGGGTTCAGGTTCAGGCACTGAGACACTGCCACAGGGGCAGTTCTATTAATACTCTCCATACCAAGGGACGATAAAGTGGGTTCTTCCTTTCGCCTACTCCGATCTGATCAATACCCGTGCCATTTGAAAATTCTCAAAATTGGTGAAAAGTAGGTAATTTTCAATATTCAGACAATTCTGGTCACTTCGATCTATAATTTACTAGTCTTCACTTTGGATCAGATGCTATCTATATCCCAACAGTCATTTACAACACAATTCAAGTTGATGTATGATTAATTCTTTTCAGTGTACACATCCTATCGGATCGGTCTATAATATCACAGGACAGCATCTATGCTGCATTTATTTCTTCTCCTTAGGAGCGAGCATCAGCTCGGGGCGGACGTACTCGTCAAACTGCTCCGAGCTGAGAGCCTTAAGCTCCATAGCGCTCTCCTTCAGGGTGAGGCCCTTCTTGTGGGCGTTTTTGGCAACCTTGGAAGCCATATCGTAACCAATGACAGGGTTCAGGCAAGTGACGAGCATCAGACTGTTACACGGTTAGAATCTGCCATCAAAAGTAAGGGATAAATTAAGCGCATACCTCTCGTGGAGAAGGGAGTTGATCCGCGATTCGTTGGCCTCAAGACCATCCACCAAGTGCTTACGGAAGCTGTTCATGCCATCAGAGAGGATGCGCACGCTGTGGAGCAGGTTGGAGATCATCAAGGGCTTGAAGACGTTAAGCTCGAACTGGCCGTTCATGCCACCGATAGTGGCAGCGACGTGGTTACCCATGACCTGGGCGCAGACCATGGTGAGGGACTCGCACTGGGTGGGGTTGACCTTTCCGGGCATGATGGAAGAGCCGGGCTCGTTCTCGGGCAGGCTCAGCTCACCAAGACCGCAGCGAGGGCCGGAGCCCAAGTAGCGGATATCCTGGGCGATCTTGAACAGGGAACCGGCGAGGGTGTTGAGGGAGCCGGAGGCCTCGACAACGGAGTCGTGGGCAGCCAGAACCTCGAACTTGTTGGGGGCGGTCTTGAACTCAGTGCCAGTCAGCTTGCTGATCTCAGCAGCGACGGCCTCGTCGAAGCCCTTGAAGGTGTTAAGACCAGTGCCGACGGCGGTACCACCCTGAGCCAAGAAGCGCAGGTGGGGGAGAGAAGCCTCGACACGCTCGATGTTGCGGTCGAGCTGGGCGACGTAGCCAGAGAACTCCTGGCCGAGAGTAAGGGGAGTGGCGTCCTGCAAGTGAGTACGGCCAATCTTGATAATGTGGTTGAAGTTGTCGACCTTGACCTGGAGAGCGTCGCGGAGGGCCTTGAGGGAAGGCAGAAGGGTCTGCTCGAGCTCGACGACGGCGGCGATGTGCATGACGGTAGGGAAGGAATCGTTGGAGGAGGCGGACATGTTGACGTGGTCGTTAGGGTGGACAGGCTTCTTGGAGCCCATTTGGCCGCCGAGAATCTCGATGGCACGGTTGGAGATGACCTCGTTGGAGTTCATGTTGGACTGAGTACCGGAACCAGTCTGCCAGACGACCAGAGGGAAGTGGTCCAGCAACTTGCCCTCGGCGACCTCAGCGGCGGCCTGCTTGATAGCCTCACCAATCTTGGGGTCTATTCCAAGTCAACAAGTCAACAAGTTATCCAGAACATCGGTTCACACAGAGCTTTCCACATACCAAGGCCATATCTCATGTTCACTTCGGCGGCAGCACCCTTCAGGATACCGAAAGCCTTGACCACGGGGGCGGGCATGCGATCCTGGGGCTGGTTGATGTCGAAGTTACCCAGGGAGCTATAACCATCAGCAATCCTGCTTTTCTCTCGTAACGTATTGATTCGACGGGTCGTCTTACCGCTGGGTCTGCGCACCCCAGTACTTGTCTCCGGGGACCTATAGAGCGAATATTAGCTATGTGTAACGCCATTGTACTTCAAACCTCACTCACCTGGATTTCGCCAAAGGCATCGCTCTCGGTGCGAGATTCAACAGACTAGACCATAACCATCAGTTTGTCTGAACTCATCCACTGTACTCTCGAAACAGCATACCATTCTGACGGTGGTTCCAAAAGCACGCTTGTTGGCAATAGTGTTCAGAGACTGAAGGCGGGGGAACTGAGCGACTTGACGTGCACTAGAGCTCAGAGACCGGGTAGCAATGGACGAGACAAGAGTGCGAGCTGCGGGGGTGGCTCTGGCCGCATGTGTTAAAGCGGCCATGGAGCGCACCGCGGCTCGGGAGGATGCGACATTCATTATGACGATTGGTTCGCGTCTCAATAATGTTATACAAAGGCTCACACCAAGCTTCTTAAGCTCCTTAGGAGGGTGGAATTGAGGATCGGGTCTATTTTGAAGGAGAAGAACAAATTTGAGGCCAACTCGACTCCGAAGCCCCAGCCGAAACTTCCCGGTATCGGTAGGACCAAAGGGACTCGGATTCTTCGGCAGTTATGTCGGTAATTTTTAGTAACTTTGGTAATTTCTGGTCATTTGCTGTATGGTATCTCCAGCTTGTTTACAGGCTGATCCCATCATCCCTTGAGCCGCTGCTGCATCGTTGCAAGTACCTTCTCGTTGTACCGCCAACCTCCCTCCAGTATGCCATCGAGTAACGCGACTATATGGGGTGCACCTGCAATCCGATTTACCTCTACAGATACCCCAGCAGCTTGAAGCTTCGCCGCATACGCCTCTCCTTCATCGCGCAGCGGATCCAACTCCGCCGTAGATATCAGAGCAGGAGCCAAGTTCTGGAAGTTGGGCGCAAGGATGGGTGATATTTTCCAATCCTGATCATGTTAACTTCATACTTGCAGCCCAATTTCAGGACTCACCTCATCAGACTCCGCCGGTCTAGGGACCCCCAGGAAATGTCGGTGAAAGTATGCCATGCGTGCTGCTGGTAGGGCTGGCGCAAACTCCATTTCCCAATACGATTCATAGGGACAACCTTCACGATCAAACTCACCCTCGGGAGTGAAGACACGATGCAAGTCTGTCACCGGCACGGTCAAAATCTGCAGGCACAATGGAATTTTGGCATCACGGCAAAGATGACTGATGACAGCCGCAAGCTGGCCTCCCGCTGACGCGCCGCCCACTGCAAATCTACCTTGGTCAAGATTGAATTCGGTCGTTTTCTGGGAGTAAAGCTAGAGCCTCCCATTTCAGCAGGTTGTTCTTGTCTACGGTTATCGGATTCTTACCCATTTGAAAGCGGCCCAACAATCATTGACGGGAATGGGATACTTATACTCAGGTGCCAGTCGGTAGTCCACGTCGAATACGACTAAGTCCCCATCGAGGCCATGAACAAGTCGCTTGCAGAAATCGTGGTCATAGGCTAATCCGCCAAATACCCATCCACCTCCGTGGAAGTTGATATAGGCCGCTCTTTTCTTCGGCTGGCCCTGCTCATCAAGCTTCTGAGCTGGCTCGAAGATTCGAATGGTGATTTCGCCATCATCGACGGGACATCTCTGCTCGGTGATCCGGAATATGTCTGGTCCGGAAGCTCGGCCATAAGAGATGGTGTATCGGGCAGGGTTCTTGCGAAATTCTTCTATTGGAACCTCATGGCTATGCAGTCGCCCGGCATTGAATGCATTGTAGTATGCAACATAGACCGGGTCATATCGAGGGAGCAATTCCCGGGGAATGCTATTGTGGAGAGGTTGAGCAACGATGGGAACTCGATACTCATGCAAAGCTGGAGTACCAGCTGCGACGGGGTCAGCAGCCATGTTGGGAAATTCACCGGTTATGACTTATCTCGGTCGGAACGTGTACGCAGTATATGGTGTGTGAATGTGTGAAGAGGGTGATGTCTGGAGTTGCTGGAGTTCGCGTAGTACAGACGATCTCGCGCGGGGGTATAATTTGCCTAAAACCCTCAATCGTCTACTAGGCATTTATCGAATCCACTTCCCTCATACGTGCAGCATGTCGTCACGTCGTGGAGTATGCCTGTAACACAGTTGAAAATGATGGTTGTTGTGGCAGCATCATGAATTTGAGGTTTTAGCCCTACCCAGGGACATGTGCAGAGGTACTCCCATGAACTACACCTTCCGTCTTGATAAACATTCAATGTTTTGCTACGAGCGAGTATATGGACCTAGAGCGATGCAGCCTATGATTACAAGGCACCTAACCTAGAGTCTAGGTTGGAACTCCCGCCATGGAAATATAAAATTTGTTGTAATACCTATGTGCCTGTGAACGAGGATATATATCCGTCCAATGGTAGGCAGTGGATGGAAATATGTCTTCCATGCGCAGGCGCCTCTTCCAACGACACACCTACGCCAGGGCTACAACCAGACTCTATTTGACGGAGATTTACAGTTAAACTCAGGTCTCACCCATGGATCTACCCTTCTCAAAAGAAGATTGCTTGGGCGTCAGCAGACCTGACATTTTACGGATTCTACTCTGAATGGTCGGATCCACCTTCAACCTTGGAAGAGAGATCGATGGAACATCTCAAAGGCTATTGTCGACCGTCACATGGCCAAATTCAAAAGGCTATTAGCAGTTGTATGTCTTTGAACTCATAGAAGACGATGACATCCCTTGCAGGATTGCACCCCGGAATCCGCTACTAAGCGGGTCTTCCCGCGTGGCCAAAAGAGTGAAGGCGATATCGGTCTTGACTCACCGGGGCGATTTTGATCGCAACTTACATATACTCCCTCGGACTCGCCACAACACAAGGCAATTGACCCCTCCAATTGCAGCACCCTTTCAATCACAATGACCAAAATCGATACCCGCCTCAACGTTGCCCCAGTCCCTCCGGACGAGATCTTCGCCTTGAACGGCGCCTACGCAGTCGATCCCCACCCACAGAAAGTCAGCCTCGGCGTGGGAGTCTACCGAACCGACGATGGAAAGCCATGGCCCCTCCCGGTTGTAGAAAAGGCCGAGCAGCAATTGGTGAAAGACAATGACTTATTCCGCCACGAGTACACCGCGATCGAGGGTGACGTGCCCTTCCTGGGAATCGCGCGGGACCTGATGTTCGGATTCGAGGGTAAGCCGAGCGAAGAAGATGCCAAAGCCCGCATTGCTTCCGTACAGACCGTCGCCGGCACCGGTGCCAACCACCTGGGCGCCCTGTTCCTTGCCCACCACATGAAACCCACCAATGTGTGGCTGTCCAACCCGTCGTGGGCCAACCACCAGACCATCTGGGAGCTGGCCGGCGTGCCCCGCAAGACATACCCGTACTACCACGCGGCGACGCGGTCCTTCGATTTCGACGGCATGATGGATACCCTCGAATCCGACGCTCAGGAGGGCGATGTGGTGCTTCTTCACGCCTGCGCGCACAATCCCACCGGCCTGGATCCCAACAAGGAGCAGTGGGTTGCCATTGCTGACCTCTGCGAGCGCAAGAAGCTCTTCCCCTTCTTTGACTCGGCGTACCAGGGCTTCGCCTCCGGGTCTGTGGTGGAGGATGCCTGGGCTGTCCGTTACTTCTTCAATAATAAGCCTGACATGGAGATGTGCGTGGCACAGAGTTTCTCAAAGAACTTCGGCCTGTACGGTCAGCGTGTCGGTGCTTTCCACTACTGTACCAACCGTGCCTCGACTAGCATACGCGATATTGTCGTGAATAACCTGTGTCATCTCATCCGCGGCGAGTTCTCCATGGGTCCTCGTGTCGGCTGCAGTATCGTCAAGAAGGTTCTCACCAGCGATGAGCTTACTGCCGAGTGGCACCAGGACTTGCAGGTCATGAGCTCGCGTATCAAGTCCATGCGACAAGCCTTGTACAATGAGCTCGTTCGTCTGCAGACCCCCGGTACTTGGGAGCATATCATCCAGCAGGTAAGCTATTTGAACCTAATTTCGTGTGTAGACTCTCTTGTACTGACTCTCTTGTAGAACGGCATGTTCTCCTACACTGGTCTGACCCCTAAGCAAGTATACGCCTTGAAGGATAAGTACCACATCTACCTGCTCAAGTCTGGCCGAGCATCTATCAGCGGCTGTAAGGATCACGAATCTCCCACTCCGTAAATACAAACTGACATTGCACACAGTGAGCCAAAAGAACTTCGCCTACGTCGCACAAGCAATTGACGACGTTGTTCGCAACGAGATCTAAAAAACGAGTCTGAGCTGAATGTGCTTTCTCATTTCGTTCGTGCCTTGGGCACATTGTGCTCTCGCAAAGTTGCCGAGTTTGGTTTTGGAGCCTACGGACTCTGCATTTGGCGGGCCCGTCTGATTAACGACACTTCATGATAGAATATTGTTTAGAGACGCATAGCCAATCTTGAAATTTCTAGATTCTATCTCATTGGAACTGTGCATTGATGGCTAAGTGCCTATTTAGGTTGACCGAAATAATTGAGTGAGCTAAAGCCGCAATGGAAAAGCTATCTACTGTACATACATAAGAGAGTAAACGCAAAGAAGAAGGGCAGGAAATCGAGTCGGAGCACATTCGTAAGGGACCCAAGGTTTATCTGCTTAGGTAGAAACACGCCAATAACCACGAGGAGGTAACACTGTGCTGAATAGACACAAGAAAAGGATATGGCATGAATCATCAAAGGGGCACTTCGTTGAAGTCACCCTCGCCCTCTTTGCCTTTACTCTTGGGGCTTACTGAGTGATCATGCTCGGGCCTGTGGTGTGGAAGAGTTTGTTCTTCCTCTGTCTCTGCATTACTATGCTCATCCACCTTGACAACGGGCTTTTCCTCCTTCACATCTGAAACAGGTGGTGCATCCGCCTCGCCATTCTGAGACGCCCCGTTTACATCTTCGGCTTCGTCTTTAGGCGGAGGCGGAGGAGGCGGGAGTTCATCCTCGTCTCCTGACCCAACCTCTTGCGTCTGGGCCTTCGCCTGGGGTTCGCTACTCGTCTCACCCTCAGGGAATGGAGTCGCAGGGGGCTCCTCGGGCACCTGCTCTTGCGCCGGGCTCCGTTGGGGCTGCATGCTAGGTCTTCCCTGGTTGGCAGTAGTGGCAGTAGAAACCGTCGAAGTCGTACGTTGGTGGGACGAGCCGTGAATGACACCGAGATTACGGGCCTTCGGATCTGCGTTGAGATAATAGCCACGCACTCCAGCAATGGTCCCCTCGTTCTCGCACGCATTCACCCACTCCGGCACCACGACGGGAATGTTCATCGCCACAGCCTTCTCCCACAGCGGGCCCCGGCCTTCCGTACAGACGAAATGAGTGGTATCAATGCGGACTGAGTCAACCATCTTGCCTCCGATGCGGTCCAGCGCCGCACTAAGAGCGTCCTTCTGCTGCGGATCGAGGATGCCCGTTGTGACGGTGATACCAGACAGGTCGGTCATCTTGTGAGTCCGACACGTCAGCTTCTCCGACTGGTAGGTTCCGGCGGTGGTGCGCAAGACCAGGTGGAAGGAATACTCGGAGTGAATGGCGAGACCGCTTATTTTTGTGCTGCGTGTCTCGAGCGGGCGGGGGATCGATCCGGCCTTGGAGCCATTGCGGTAGAGGGAGAGCGATTTCAGGGATGCGGTGGCCAGGTCGATTGGGTCCCACTCGAGAACGAGTGAGGTCTGTGTTGCATTTCGTAGGCGCAGGACTGGTGGCGAGGGGGCCTTGACTCCGTAGGTATTTAGAATTCGCTTCTGAAGGGATTGGAAGGCTGATGCGCTCGCTGCTTCGGCGCCGTGGTTACGCGAAACCGTAATGTCAACAATGCTGCCTGAGCTAATGTTGTTTGGAAGGAGGACTGATGGGAATTCGATCTGGGCGGACAATTCGTTAGTAAATTGCGTCTTTTTGCTGTTGGTATTCCAACAAAGAATCGCTTGGGGGTCGATGTTTGGGGGCAGACGACCAGGGGGCTTGAGCTTACAAGTCTGTTGTCTTGGGTGAGGAGCACTGCGACGCCCGCATCTACCTTGCCAACTGTCAAGGAGACCAACATGGTGAGGATTAAAGAGGAGGTTGTTTGAGACAAGTGGGTGGTAGTTGTCAAGTCTTAGTCCAGGCCCCCCCGTTGATTCCGCCAGATCGGCGTTTAGCGAGAGATACGGGAGCTAAGATTGCGCTTCTATATTTACTTTACCCCGGAGCCAAGATTGATCCATTCCAGATTTGAGGGTATATAGTGAACGACTTGAATATAAGTAGAGATGATTTGAGATCCCAAATGCAAATAAAGAAAATGTAAAAGGATTTCCCTCAAACGCCATGATCGCAATGCCTCCCGGATGATGTACAGTAGCCCGACGGCGAGTATGATACAAGATAATATGATAAAATACACTGGTTCTCAAGAGGATCCATCGACTTTCCCAGACACTTTTCTTTGGCGTCTGACTTTCGGTTGTGGCCCATTGACAGTCTGTGTTGATGTCTGTGTTGATCCATGAGCCAGAAGCCCGGAGACAACCACATTTGCACCCTTCTGGATGCTCTCAAAGTCTTCTGTCACACATGGCGGGTGGATATAGATTTCTAGTGTCCCTTTCAGAATGTTGTTTTGCAAAGGAGACTCCGAAACAAGCGGTTTCCCCAGCTTGTCTAACCCATGCTGCTTTAAAGCCTGCTCAAAAGCCAGCCGCACTCTACGTGCACACCAGGAGCGCACCACCCGCTTGGTCGTCGTAATTTTTGTTGTTGATACCCGCCACCACAATGTGTTTGGGTCACGCTGCGCACAAGAATGGACGACTTTGGGCCGGATTGGATGGAACGGGGCTTTCAGATACCGTGCGGCGACGGGTGGAGTGTTGCAGCTTGCCCAATACCGAGCTACGAAGCCAGTAGTTGGGGCAAAGTGCTTTGGTGTCATGATGGAGGAGGATTATCGGTCGTGAGCGTATGTTGGTCGGACTGTGAAGGATGAGGAGAGTTGCAGCAGATTGATATCATGTCGGAATTTGAACACAACAATGTGGAGAAGATAAGAGATGTCTCATATGTTGTTGAGGGAGAGGACCATAGAGTGAGGCACAGGCTCACAAATAGTATCATATAGTGATCAAGCAAGTCTTGGAAGTAACACGACTGTATCGCGAGCCCAGTTCTCAGAGATTGGACGAAAGCAGCTTCGTGCTTATTTGTTCGGACGAGGCACACTGAGCAGAGGCAAATTAGACAAGACCGAAAGATAGTCCAGCCTCTCAGAAGAGCTGACAACACCTGGTATCCCTGATCCTCAGAGAAACCCCTCAACTTGCTCAGTGACCTACTCTCTGTCAGTGTCGCCTCATCTTTTTCTGCCAATCTAATCGAGGCGGTCAACCCCGAACTTTCCTCCGAAATCCAGGCATTCAGGCATCAGGGAAAAATCCACAATAAGCGGGCAAATTCGCTGACGCCACTGGGCAGCTAGTGCCTGATTATGTAAGGAAAAAGGTTTGAATACCGTGCGCAGAGCCCCCCACCTCCTTCCTTCTTCAACCTCTCTCACTCTCCTAGTCCACTGCGATTAGGCTTGTTCAGATCTTTGTAGATCTCACGAAAACACTACAGAGAGACTCGACCCAGGTGAAGGTCGCACACAGCCGTCATGCCCAAGAATAAGGGAAAGGTAAGAGCGCAAAATCTCCAGCCCCCCATCCTTTGTGAATATCCTGTTCGCCACTGTCGCCGTTTCTTTACGCTCGAGGATAGCCACCTATTCCTCGAGTAGGAACTTGCAGAAGGCTTTTTTTCTTCTTTCGCGGAACCACCGATATGATTACATGTGACATCTTCTAACAACTGAGTACAGGGCGGTAAGAACCGTCGTCGCGGAAAGAACGAGAACGACAACGAGAAGCGTGAGCTCGTTTTCAAGGAGGAGGGCCAAGAGTACGCTCAGGTCGTGAAGATGCTGGGTAACGGTCGTCTAGAGGCTCTCTGCTTTGACGGCGAGAAGCGTCTGGCTCACATCCGTGGCAAACTCCGCAAGAAGGTCTGGATCAACCAGGGTGACATTATTCTCCTCTCGCTCCGTGACTACCAGGACGAGAAGGGTGATGTTATCATGAAGTACACCTCCGACGAGGCCCGTTCTCTCAAGGCCTACGGCGAGCTGCCCGAGCACGCCAAGATCAACGAGACCGATACCTACGGTGGCGAAGGCTTGGACGACAACGTCGAGTTCGACGAGGACCGCGAGAGCGAGGACGAGAAGGATATCGACGTCGACGAGCTCTAAGCTCACCCCCTTCCACCCCCAGAGTTCGATGCTCTGCCCTGCAAGAATACAAATCCCTCCGGTATTCTCCATGTTCGCCAAACCCTTCTTCTGCTGCTCGCCGCTGTCGGCCTAGTGCCGTGGCTCCTTCGCTCCGAAACCGCTCTTGGCTACTTGCCAGCGAGGCATCTTCCACATCCGATTCTTTCTGTACATTTGTCCGAACGGAACAAGAGCTTGAACGAAACCACCTACGACGCTCCTCCTTTCGGCTTGCAATGAAGATAGGACACACTCCCACTCTGGCGCTACTACGACAACTTCCCAGGGCTTGAAGCCATCGAACAGAGGGTCCCCGTGTTTGTCCATTGGCGATATTGGAATATGAAAAAGTCATTCGATTCCATTCTCGTCCTTTTTGCAAATAACAGGGGATCATGACAGAGACCAAAAATGATCGCTATGCACACGTCATGAACCTGTGTGCTTGTTTTCTGCATTGCATTGCATGCGGTGTATCTACTCTGCCAGCCTCGACTTGCTTTTCTTTCGTTCTTTTTATGATAGAGTCATGAACTGGGCCACGAGAATTGAAAATATTTCTAGATTTGCCACTACAGGAGTTCCTTTGTAAACCAAGTTAGGCAAGTCGTCAGACCATAATCACAATACATCTACGCTGCGTATATCTACAACCTCTGTATACACCCAACTGCCTACGTTTTACGAGAATAGACCTTGGATAGGTAGTCGAGTAGTTAGGTACAGGTTCTATTGGTCTACGTTATGTATGTCACAGTATGTATTTCATCATATCAACCAAATCAAGACCCCAAACTCCCCTTCCCCATAATCGACCCCTCCACACACTCCCCACCCCCAAACATCGCCTTCGCCGCCGCCTGCCAAACACTCTCCCTCTCCACATAATTCTCCAATGTATAAAACAACCGACACTCAGCCGCCTCATAAACAAACTGCAGTGGAGTCTGCCCATCCTCCGGATCATACTCATTCCGCAAATTCAAATTGCCACTCCACTGCAGCGACGCCGTCGTGCTGGGACTGGACTCATTGAAAGCCTTCCACTCGGCGTCCGTCAAGAGCGGAGATCCACTATTCACCGAATCTGCTATCAGTCCATTCGCTTGTGCGATGTACCCGTTGATATAGTTGATTCCGAGAGACTGGCCGCCCTTCACGCCGCCGACTCCCTGCATTGGTTCGTTGCGGGGACGGCCGCCGAATGTAATTGTGCGCACGCCTTGGCGTTTCATTAGCTTGACGAAGAATGCGCAGGTTGAGACGCAATCGCCGTCTGTGATCTGTGTGGTGGATATGTGTTAGCTCTTTTTCTTCTCGGTCATTGTTTTCATGTGGACCTTGTCACTTACAAGGGCGATGTTCTCCGCTGGGAAGTATGAGCTATTTGGATTCAACGGAACAGGTCCGTACCCGTTGATAGGGAAGCCTTTCGAAGAAGTAGAAGTGTAGTTGAAGTTGGCTAACAGACTGGAAGCGGAGCTTCCCAGGATATCATGCGGACCATACATATCATCCCAAGAACTGAAGTCTATTTTCTGGTCTGGACGGACCATCTGCCGATACGCAAAGACATTGCTCGTATCTGTGCTATTGTCGCGCGAGTATGCCTTTGTGAGATACTTGGCAGCATCGTGGGCTCTGTAGCGCGTCGCCGTATATGGGACCGCATGAGGGAAGAATATACGAGACAAGTCAATGCCAATTGACATGTATCCACCCGGGTTGGATGAGAGATCAATCAAGACATTCTTTTTCCCGGCTTCGGTGGCATTCTGCAAGAAATCAACCGCCAGCTGGGCGACTTCTGCCGCGCTGGATGAGAATGTGGGCAGGAATATGATTGCTGTATCTTCGAGACCCGGGACTTTTGAGTAATAGCCGGCAATTGAGTTGGCCGAGTTGCGCCAGGTGGTGCTAGGCAGTCCTGCTATTTCGGAGGAGGCTTTTTCGGCGCCGGATAGACTGCTTGGTGCTGTAGACAAGTCGCGGGGGAGACATGCGATGTTGTAGAGGTTTGTGCCGTTCTTGTATGAGAAGAACTTCTCGCTAGGCGTGGCTGTCTTTTCAATCGTCTTTTCGGTGCCGTTTCCGAACTTGAGGGTTAACTGGGCGCCCTCTGTCCAATCTCCGATGGATGCCCAGATTCCATTGACGTTAGTTGGGGTATTGGTGACGCTGCGGGCTGGTGCGGGGAATAGTCGATTATACCTGGGGGCAATTAGTATCATTCAAGTATACTATCGAATTAGTACCCACTGTGCATCGCGGTCCTGGAGATTCTGCCCAGCAGCATATAGTTCAAGGTACGTAGCTGCATCAGTGCCGTTGATGGACACCAGGGGCGAGACAGCTTTTGAGACAGTTCTTTGTAGTTTCGCATCATCTGAGATGTTAGCCGAAGAATAATTGACATTCATGTTGAATCGGTCATACCTAAAGTGTACACTTGGGGAAGTGCGAGCCCATCTGTTGAGATCGAGACGAGAGGCATATCGATTTGGTATGTGAAGATTGACTGCGAGCATAGCTGGAAAACCAGATGGCCATCATGGGCTGTTTTGATAAGTTGCGTGAGTTCCAAATCCATCTCGAATTGACTGGTATAGCTGTTGCTCTTGACTTTGCCCAGGATTGTATCAATTCCCCCTAAAATGTCCGTTGAGGGCATGGTATACCCCGAAGGAGGATCTAACGAGACTACTTAGTCACGTCAAATGAATATAGGTGCTCGACGAAACTTACTCTTCAAAATGTCGATAGTCGATTGAAACTCGAGGATCTTGCGAGCTTGATGCAGGAAATCAACGGCACGATCCGACTCAAACGGCATCGATAGCAGACACCGATGTGCCAGGTCGTGAGGCACACGGGCACTTACTGCGATCGTTAGTTACCAAGCGACTGATGATTGAAGGGCAACGTACTGTGGTTCTCGTTGGCATCTTCTACCAATTTGCTAATCTGAGCACATGGCTCGACATCGTTACTGTCATGTATGGCAGCGACAACAGCTGCCAAAATCGGAGTCAACACGGTCGTGAGATGCATGTTGGTGAGTTGGAGACATCAGGGGTGCCATATTATTTGTGACCTCAGATGGACCCATATCTCCACTCTTTCTCAGGGGATGAGCCCTTACTTTGGCTCCTGATGTTCTGTTTTTAGATGATCTGCGCCAAGACAAAGGCAGGGCTTATCAGTCGACATGGGCCAGGCTTAAATCGAGAGCCTAGAACGCGGATGTCTCGGGTGTTTACTGCTTTTACTTGCTTTTTTTGACTGCTGATGGGGTAGAATATGAGAATGTGACGATGGTTGAGACTGTTACACATCACAAATGACGGTATCAAGTGACGTACTCACACTACTCAGCACACGCCTGAACCTGCTTAGAAGTTGCATGGTGGCATGAATTGACTACATATGGGGGAATCAAGTGAACAATCAAGATCCATGGCCGAATCGATCAATCAAATACGCTTTTCTGGAAGAAAGCAACGATCTTACGTGCAGCTTCCTTGCCCACCAGGGGATCAAGCTGCTCCACTTCCATATTGGCGATCTCGCTGATATTATTTGTTTCAATGATCAGCCGCTCCAGGGCTTGTGGAGTCACCCCTGGTACAGCCCGCAGCATATCCTGTGGAAGGAGATTGAAAGTACGGTGCTCAATCCCAGCGGCAGCCATGACATCGGCAGAGCCAGACGAGTCAGTGATGTCAACATCAAGACCATACTGGACTGCTCGAAGGGGATCTGGCTCCTGGGCATTCTTTTTCAGCTCTGCAAAGATCTCGGCTGTCTGATACGGGGAGGACGACCAGACAATTTTGAGTCGTGGAAAAGCGAGAGTGAGAAGCACAAGTAGATGCTGAGCGGACTTCGGATTCGAAGGATTGGCGAGAGAGCTGCTGCTAGTACTGGTCGCAGTACCAGAGGACGAGAAACCGTAGTCTGTCATAAATGTCGGTCCTGTTGGGACGGAGGCGAAGGCATCAAAAGTGAAGGATTTGTTTTGGTCAAACTCAATCAACAGCAACGGAGTCTTGTAATACTGGAGCATGGTCTCTGCCTGATTGTAGAGGCGACCGTTCTTGAGAGAGCTGATGAGATCACGAATCGATTTTCTTTCGACACAGATATCTGGTGTGAGGATGTAGTCGCCCACGGTGAGCTGACAGGGAATCACTATCATATTGTTGCCATGCAACAGGGACGGCAAGGCGCTTCGAAATTCCCGCACGTCTACTACAACGCGAGGCGGGGCTGCAGTCGCTGCCAGTCGCCCTCCTCCTGCGATACGAGTATTGACCGTTCGAAGGAACTGCTCTTGGGGGTCATCGACCTTTTTGTCATGCGTCAATGTGACAGCCATGTTCTAAGATGAAGTTAGCTAGCAATTGGAACACTGAAGTCGAGTAACGCACCCCTTTCTCTTTGATCAGCTTTGTAAACGAGTCTTTCTCTCGTCGAACAGCACTGAGGTACCGCTGTTCCTCGACAGAGCCACCGTAGTACATAAAGTATACCTTCACATTGCGCCCTGAATGAGAGCTGCGATATACCTCAACCCGCCGAATGAAAGCAGCATCGGGTTCGTACATGATTATGTATCGCGGACGCACTTCCTCAAGTATGTGCTCATCCATATCACCATCGTAAGGGTGTATCATAACCAGATCGTTCATGTCATACAGTTCGTAAAAGTCTTCCATGTCCTTGAGCTCATCGACAATCACTTCCTCTTTCTGCGTTTCTTCCATTTCAGTGGGCTGGATCTCGCTCAGCAGGCTGGTAACCTGACCTGGCAATTCCACTTCAGTTTGCACACTGCTATTTGGCACACGGCCTGCAGCTGAGGTGACTGCGCCGCCGCCACGTACGCGACGACGCTTGTTTGGGGGAGGCCGTCCTTGATGTGCAGTTTGGGGCGCCGGGGATTCCGAAGGCTTTCCGGTTCTATCATCCTCCGCTGACTGTGACAAGTTCTTATTGACGTTCGAGAGCGACCTCTTCCAATTGAGATAGTCTCGCAGCCGGCGTCGCATCATCAGCTCTGCGGAAGGCTTATCCTCGCTTGGACCATCATTATCCTCGGATTCTTCAGACCGGTGAGCAATATTTGCATGCATGGTGCCAATATATTCGCGAAGCTGGCGGCATATCCGTTGATCACTGCACATGATCAATATGGTGCTATTCGATTGATCCATACTCGCGGGATGAAGGTAAGCATCGTGTTCGATTTCTGCAAGAACATCTGCTAAAACGTTCCACTTTGGTAGTTCTTCTAGAGCCGGTTTCAACTCAGGAGAAAATGTAGTTGACACTGAAAGGTGGGACAATTCGTTGTTTAGTTTGCCTTCATAGACCCGTGCTTTGGCTGTTTGGAAAAGGACGTGGGCAGCATCAAGGAAAAGCCACGGAGAGTAATTATGCTTGTTGGAGCCGGGAGGCGGAGCATGCGCGGATACGATAGTATCAAGATATTTCACGAAAGATACCGCATCGTAGCTCAGCAAAGCACTGCAAATCTGTTAAAAGTGAACCCTGATAAGCAATGCGAGAAACATACTGAAGGACTGCTCGTAGGTCTGTCAGGTCGCTGACAATTTGTCTTGTCCTGAAGCTCACGCGATGCCAGATTGGATCTAGTTGACGTCGAATGATCATGTCAAAATTCCTGTGCAAAGCACTGTCCAATGTCCACTCTTCCATGTCCAAGCCGGTGTTACTTTTCCTGAGCTCAGTGACACTGATCTCTACACATTCCAGAACGGCATTCTGGATTTCCCTCATTTTGTCGCTCATGGGAACCTCCAATTCAATCACTTCTGCTTTCCGATCCCCTTCTAGCGACTCGGCAACAGACACGTGGAATCGAGGCCACAACGATGCCTTGCGTAGGAAAAGATTGCGCAGCATGTTGGCTAACGGGGCAAAGCCGGTTGTGAAGGGTTCCGGCGAGTCCGAGAATGCCTTCAAGAAGCCGAACTTGTTCGATTGTCGGTAGATCCGAATAATGAATGCCTCAAGGGACGTTGCCAAAACTTTATCAGCATGCAGAATAATCATCCCAGTGACCTTCTCCGGATCAAGAAGCTCTAGAAAGATCAGCAAGTGTCTTGAGGAATCATACTTCGCGCACATACTCGATAACAAGTCCACAACAAGTATTCTGGATGTCACACTCAGAATACCACCTTCGGCATATATCTTCTCTCTGAAAACTCATCAATATCACTGCAATTGACGTGGCAAGATCCAAGGCACCCACCGCATCGAGACTGTAGCTTTCTCGGTATTGATCACTTTCAGACCCCTAGCAAGCGGGGACTTGCTGGTAGCATAGTGCTCCGCCAATGCTATGTGTCGACTCCATTAGAAACTAACTCCGGCAGCTCAGTTAAATCGACATACCCTCTCCAATCCATTCATTCTCACGTTCGTCTGCACCCACCACTAAGACCAGGTTGTTCCCCGCGGCATCGTAAAAATGTAGAAGATTGGTTATTAAATGCAAAAGGCCTAAGCCGCGGGCAAGGACAACAAGCTCATCTTCGGCGCGTAGTTCGGTGAAGAGCTCCTGCTGGTATTGCTTCTTGGGGTTAGCTACGGGTCTGTGACATCACTGGTAGATAGATGCAATACTTACCAGTGGCAGGGACAGCTTCACTGGCACATTAGAGCGTTCTGGCGGCATCGGGAGCACTTCTCGACGCGTGGGGGATGAGACATCGGGTCAGCGAAGATGTCGCGCGATCACGTGTGCTATGATATATGACGTCATAATGGACCACCAGGGCTGGCCGCTGGTGTAGCCTCAGCCACCGTGTAGGTACTGTACGCAGTATGCACAGAGAGACGGATACAATGCGGCCAGAGAAGAGTAAGACAAGAAGCTGGATTTATTGTCTACGATTTTAGCCTTTTCTAAGATGGCTACCTTTCGTCCTTAGTCTACTTAGTTCAGGTCCCAACCTGCTGTAGTTGCAGCGCTCGGTAAGGAAATTCCAAGGTCGGAAACTTGGGAAGGGTTAGGATTGAATTAAGTTAGAGAGAGATAGAAGGATAGTGCTCAGTGGCGTTTCCTTAGTTGGACGGTTTGTTCAGCTCCTTCATGCGTGCCTCGAGTTCCTCCTTCGAAGCCTTGGAAGGCATGTCTACGAACTGTCAGTCACAGCCGATATAGTACTGGTAGGCATCTTACTGTCTGGAATCTGAGGTCCCTTGGACAAAAAGTCTGTGGCAGATGCCTTCTGTTGTTCTCCTTGCTTCTTGTCCTCGCTGCCTCCCTTTTGGGGTGCAGATGGGAAGTCCGATGACTCAGGAATGACGGGCATGTTGGATATGTATGGAGTAGCCTTGTATTTAACTAATATTGGCTTCGTTCACTGGTACGAAGATCGAAGAGATCTAGCCTTTGATGAAGAGTGGTTGTAAGTTGAAGAATGGAAGTAGACTTGAATATAGGAAGCTCGATGTTTGTTATATAGATCTCAGGCGGGATGACGTCGGTGGTCAATTTGCAACAAATAACAGGAAAGAAGTTGCCTAAACAAAAGTTGAGTACAACATGAGGATGCAATGATGGCAAATTCCTATGTAGGGCCTTTTCGTGATCCGAGAACTGCGGTGCATATAGCATACTGGTGGTATGTCATAGCCGGGAGCTTCAATTGATGCGATTTCGGCGAATAATCAACATAATATACCATAAGTTCGAAAGGTATGCCCAAGGAAGGCCATCGGTCTTGGTCTCGGAGAAATTTCAAGTACGTGAACTCACAGATTAAACGGGCTCTTTCGTACAAGAAGGTAGACCATACGTTCCCCAAGGACTTCCCCAAGGACACATTGGTACGTAGTCTCTTGGGAAGCCCACTAGTATAGCTACTAGACGTAAAGTTCGAGTGATTATTTGACATTTCACTCCATTTACTTCTTTCTAGTGAGAGATCGCTCAATATCAAAGACGGTAGAATGGACTGAGCCACAGAATAGTAGTACTAGTACATATAGTACCACGTGCACGGTGCACGTAGGGCGGTGCTGCGGCAGCACTTCGGCGTCCTGGACCCGCCCCGCCTACTCTCAACTCCGGCTCATCCTTCCCCAACTCTCAAGGCAACCGCCGGTCGGCTCCTCTCCAATTACTCCTATTTCAAAAGCTCTGAAGCTTCAACTCAATCACCGCCAGGCCCTTATACTTCATTATCGTATCAGTCGGTGTGTTGAGGGGCTATTCCATCCTTCGAATATACCCGCCGGGCTGCAATGTGTGCTCTCCTCACATAACAACCCCCTCGATTATCACCTTCACCCCTCTAAACTTGGCGGGGCTCCCCTCAATCCAACATGCCCTCCATTCTCAGCGATGCCGACAAGGAGACTGTCAAGCGGAACGTCCCCAAACCCGCCAACAAGATCCTCGCCGTAGCTGTCGCGCGACTCTACGTCGCCTACCCCGATGGGCAGAAATGGACATATACCGGAGTCCAAGGCGCTGCGGTACTCTGCAACGATCTCGTAGGAAGGACTTTCTGGCTCAAAATTGTCGATGTCTCGGTAGGTGAACTATATTGAGCTGGGAGATCAGCAAATGCTGACAATGCTGTTTCTTGCAGCCTGCGAACAGGGGCGTAATCTGGGACCAGGAGATTTACGATAACTTCGCTTACAACCAAGACCGAACCTTTTTCCACACATTTGAACTCGAAGAATGTGCCGCTGGTCTCTCCTTTGTCGATGAGAAGGAGGCCAAAACCTTCATGAAGAAGATGCAGGAGCGCGAGAAACATGCAAGCAAAGAGACCACCAAGACACCATTCGCATCCACACGCGGCCAGGGACCTGCTCCTGTCTTGAATGGGAAAGTAGGACGCTCATTGTTTGGCAGCTTGTTGCATCGTTCGAGCCCAGCGCCGGCGCCGCCAGCACCCGCTCCTTCAATACAGATTGCACCTCCACCCCCGACACTGGCCCCAGTGGCGCCACCCGCCGCGCAAGCTTTGCCATTTGATACAAGCGACCCGTCCTGGAAAGGACTGCTGGATGAGCTGAAAGAGATGGGAATCACTGAAGACCAGATTGCCGAGAACTCCGAATTCATCAAGGCTTACATTGACCAGAAACAGGCCGCGGCGGCCGAATCTGCCCCCACCGTGGATCAGAACAAGCCCAAGGCTGCTCCTCCGCTGCCGCCTTCTGCGCCTCCCGCCTCGAAGGCCTCGATCAGTCCTCAAAATACAGGATCCAGCTCCACAAGCAGACGGGGACCGCCGCCCCCGCCCCCGCCTCCGTCACGGAAGACACGATCCGAAGCGCCAGAAGAAACGATTTCTGCTCCTCCTCGTGAGCCGTCACCGCCTGCTCGGAGATTCAATGCACCTCCTCCATTTGCAGATGCGGGCAAATTTGCTGAGCCCGCAGGCCCTGTGCCTCTGCGGCGTCCACGCGCAACATCGAATGTCAATCCGGGGCCTCCACCGCCCCCGCGACCACCAAAGACACCGGTGGACGATGGTCAACATGGCCAGTCAAGTCAATCACGATTTGGGGTACCGCCTCCTTTCTCTGGTGAGCGCAAGGTTTCTGCGCCGCCGGCACCTCCCAGCCGTAGCCCAGCGCCGGGTGGGCCTCCCCCTCCACCGCCTCGTACGGCGAGCCCAGCAGCACCACCTCAGCTGCCTCCCAAAGTTCCGCCCATGACCACTACAACTGGGCCTCCTCCCCCGCCCGCCAGAGGTCCCGTCTCACCTCCACTTCCACCCCCGCCCGCGCCTCGACCCGTGCCAGCTGCACCACCTCCACCACCTAGGGGACCAGTCTCACCACCTCCCGCTCCACCCTCAGCTCCTGCATTCTCTCCCAGCATGCCTCCACCGCCGCCCCCTCCAGCGCCTGGATCTGCTGCACCTGGGGGCCTCCCACCGCCGCCTCCACTTCCGGGCCGTGGTGGTCCCTCAATGCCTCCTCCTCCCCCTCCTCCAGCCCCTGGCTCTGGGGCACCAGGAGGACCACCACCGCCACCTCCACCACCTGGAGTATCTGGAGGTGGTCCTCCTCCTCCTCCCCCACCTGGAGGCGGTGCTCCACCCTTGCCCAAGGTCGGCGGACGTGATGATCTACTAGCGTCTATCCGGGCTACTGGTGGCAGTGGAGGTGGTGGCTTGCGTAAGGTCAAGGACACCGAGAAGAAGGACAGGAGTGCTGCCTTAGTACCAGGTGCTGCTACGGAATCCGCGGCTGCAAGCACAAGCGGAGGCGGCGCCCCGCAAGGCGGGTTGGCAGGTGCATTGCAAGACGCCCTCAATAAGCGAAAACAGAGAGTCAGTGGAAGTGGTATGTATGCTCCCATAATGATTCTACGACTATATACTAATACCTTAATTAGATGACGAGAAAGACAACGACGACGACTGGTGAGTGTTAGTGCTGGTATATTCATGCGTCTTTCAAGATACCAATGGCTTTTGCGTATTCCTGCGAGCATTGACATCATGTCTCTTGGTTCAGTGGTTTACCTAAAAGTTGGTTTCAAGCGCTTAACAGAAGAGGCATGGTGATGGGACTTTGTATATAACTTTCAATGGCAAATGCAGTGGATGAGGGAGAAAGACTTTATGCTTTCGAGATGTAGAGGCTCTTTCTTCATAACAAGGACAAAGCTGATGCTCCATTTGACGGGGCACAAGTCGAGCTGGAAGTGCCACCGCCCACCACTTGAGCCGGCGGCGATGCCAATAGTACATAACTGTTCCAAAGTCGAGAATTCAACTCTAAAACGTTCTAGATACAGCAAGCAGTAGCTGCAGTACTGCGTAGTTCAATGTTCCGACATCTGCACACACAGTAGGTTGATACACGGACTAACCTTGTCCCGAACGACGGGAAAAAAGCGTATCTGATCTCATCGGCAAAACTTGCGTACAGCTTGGTCGACAATTCAGAGACATGCTGTCTCCGAGGCTATCTGCACCTTCTGCCTCTCTTCTACGCTTCCTACGGTCACAGTCTGAATTCTCCGCCTCGCCATCACCATGCGCTTATCCAAAGCGTCTCGCCAACCGCGATAAAGCCTTCTCGACATGGTCCCCGAGACTCTCGAGTTGGATACGCGCCGAAGCACCTCACCATGGCTCTACAGCAATTGACACCAGCCTACACAGCATTCAAAATGGGAGACAAAATTCCTCCAGAATGCTGCCATCATCGGTGTCAACGCCGCTCAAATTCACGCGCCATGCGTCGACCAAAGGCCGGCCTCTGCTCCGACGACTTTTCCCCTTCAGGCGAAATCAAGCTTCAGAGTACAAGAACGAAGGTCCGTCCGGCCCGGGGCTCATGGACGAAGGGACGGAAGGAATGTTCAATATTGGCCGTAGTCTGTCAGCCAAGGCGACGAACGAGCTGCGAATACGATGCACGGAATTCGACATCAACGGCGATGTCACACTTGTGAATGGAGAGTTCAGGAAGCAGGAGCTGATCGCCAAGGTTGGTGAAGAGGACGCGGGTCTACAAGCTCAACATTTGCTAACCAATGGATTGCGACGTAGTACGGGCTTCTTCCTCGAGATCTCCGCAAGATCGACTCGTCCACCCTCCCCCATATTTTAGTGCGACCTAGCGCCATCCTCATCAATCTCTTGCATTTGCGAGTCCTCATCAAAGCGGACCGGGTACTTGTGTTCGACGCGTACGGATCAACGGATTCGTACATGCAATCGCTGTTCGTTTACGATTTAGAAGGAAAGCTCCGCCAGAGACAAGTCCAGGGCGTCGCTCAGCCTAGTCAACCGCTGCCGTACGAGTTTCGCGCGCTGGAAGCCGTTCTCATTAGTGTCACGAGTGGTCTGGAGGAGGAGTTTAACGGAGTGAGAGATCCCGTTGTGCGGGTTCTGCGTGCGCTGGAGGAGGACATTGATCGCGATAAGCTTCGGCATCTTTTGATCTACTCCAAGAAGCTGGGTACATTTGAGCAGAAAGCCCGCCTGGTTCGAGATGCTATCGACGATTTGCTGGAGGCAGACGACGATCTGGCAGCAATGTACCTCTCCGAAAGAGCTATTGGCAAAGAGCGAGAAGAGGATGATCACCAAGAAGTGGAAATGCTTCTAGAGTCATACCACAAAGTGTGCGATGAAATCGTCCAAGCCAGTGGCAACTTGGTAACTAACATCCGCAACACCGAAGAAGTGTAAGTCCCACCGCTCATATCAACAAGGGAAAACGACTAATGCAAACTAGTGTCAAGGCCATTCTCGACGCGAACCGTAACTCGCTCATGCTCATGGACCTCAAATTCAGCATTGGAACACTCGGCCTCGCAACAGGAACTCTATTCTCCGCCCTCTACGGCATGAACCTGAAGAACTTCATTGAAGAATCCGACTTCGGCTTCGGCGGTGTCTCAGTAATCTGCTTCGGTCTCACCGGTATCGTCTGCGTCTACGGCCTCGCCAAATTGCGCAAGCTCCAGCGAGTCCGTATGTGGGGTGAATCAGGCGTGGGAGGCTCCTCCTTCGCTGCACTTTCTCCCAAGCGCGGCGTCCTCGGCGGAAACCGCAATAATTGGCGCGCGGATTCCATTGAGCCGGTTTGGGGCAGTCTGCCAGGCGAAGCCCGATCCGAGCGCATGAAACGTCTCAAGGAACACGCGGCTCAGACTGCAGCCCAGGCTGCGGCGAGAAACATCAAATCGGCACATGCTACTTCCCAGGCCGCTGCGCAGGCTTCGGCTTCGGCATCTGGCAAGGCTCGTGCGGCAAGCGGCAAAGCTACTGGAAAGGAGGCGGGTGCTCAGGCTGAAGAGCCTGTGGTTGAGCCTGCCACCAAGTCCGTTACATGATACGAAGCAACTAAGGACTCGGTTACCCAGTGCATTGGCGTTTGAATTTATGGACATTCGACTCATAGCAACGGAGTTGAACAGTGTTGTAACAATATTTCTGTACATTAAAACACTCTTTCCTCTATTCCCCCACTCCATGATTCATGTTCAATTATAGTGTGAATAGATCTAGCATATGCGGCGACATACCAATACCATTCTTCCAGTACTTTCTAGGTTGAGATACCTATAACCCTAGAAAGACTACACTCTATCCTGACAGATGAAGTCACAGTTCATTAGGGTATCTTAGCATGATGCACCGTTCCCTGTCCCAGACGAAGACATCTCGTCCTCTCAATCCAGAGCTTCGCAGCTCTCTCAGCACCACCATCTTTAGCGCATTCCGTCTCAACTATCTCCCTAATCTTCTCCAAAACACCCTCCCTCCCCAGTTCCTTTTCATTTTCCCGTGTACCACTCCTACACCCTCCAATCAAAGCCATATTAACCGCACCAGGAGTTCTGAACCAAGCCCTCTCAACCTCAAACCCAATCTCCTCCGCAACACCCATCGTCTTCGCAGCCAGAGACCCAGCCATCGACATCCAAAACCCAGCCTCAGTCTTCTCCTCCAACTTAATCGCCCTCAACGCCTTCAAATCCCCAGACTCAGGCTGCGTCTGCTTTCCACCCGACTCCTTTCCCCCATTATCATCAACCATACCGTCCTCCCCGGACCCCCTCCTTTTCCCCGGAGGATATCTAAACTCCCCACCAGCAAGCGACTTCGAACAACAAGGAACAACAAAAAACGGCAACGGGTCACGCGGACACGCCAACGCAGCCATCAACGGAGTCCAAACCGTAAGCTCATCCGCATGATCCGAGATCATAAACGTGCCCCCCGGAAATCCACCAGTATGTATCTCAACACCCAGCTCCAGTTCCATATCATCTCGCCCCTGCGAGCCTAGTACATCCGCAAAAGGACCAGGAAGAAAGATCCTCTCTTTCAGACAAGCTTGTACTTCAGCCGGGAATGTCGTCCACGACTTCCGACGACAGGCGTCGTAGCCGACACCCTGGTATCCTTCTTTCAGGAGGATATAGACGAGGATCCCGTTTCCGCAGGCTAGATCCACGAAGCTGGGGAATGGTATTGGTGCTGTGGGGTTTGGCCGTGATAATGACGGTTGTTCTGTGGCTGGGACGGCGTTGTAGGTTTTTCTCCATAGTTCTATTAGACATGCTGCGAGAGATATATGTTCGAAGACTTGGGTTGGGAATTCGAGGTCTTCGGCCCAGTTTTTCTGGAGGGCGTCTGCGTATTGGAGTTTGAGGCGGGCGTAGGTGTTTTGGATTAGGTGGGGTGAGATGCTGTTTGGGGAGGGGTCGAGCCAGGAGAGGCTGACGTTTCGGGATGTTGGCCTGCGCTCCATTTTACACTCAGAATTTCAATGAATGATGGTTTTTATGGGGGATGTCTGAAGGCGACATCCATGGATGATGGCGGATGTATTTGCCTGGCAGAATATTTGATATTCACCTGATCTTCAGTGCTAACAGGGCGGAGACTAAGGCGGCGAGTAGCTTGAGGAGCGATAAGCATTATCCTTATCAGCCCCACGTATGACGCAAATCAAATCGGGCCCTGATCTGAACCGGATTCCACTTTTTCACAGTAGAGACGTGTCTGATTCTTCTTTTCTTTCCAGCCATTGCAGTCTTATGTACTATTACCCCAGTATACCCAATCGATAAAACCACAATGGCCCCTCGCTGCTTCATCATCCGCCACGGCGAAACAGAATGGTCACTCAATGGCCGACACACCGGTCTGACAGATCTGCCCTTAACCGCGAACGGCGAGAAGCGCATCGCAGCAACTGGAAAGGCTCTTGTCGGGAATGATAGACTGGTTGTTCCTAAGAAGCTGGTTCATGTGTATGTACACACTCTTTCTGCATGATACAGAACAGAATCCAGAACAGAACTAACCCCGCTCAGCTTTGTCTCACCCCGCACCCGCGCCCAGCGCACCCTAGAACTCCTCGAGATCGGCTGCAAGGAACGGTTGCCTTGGAATGAGCAGCGGAAGCCGGAGGACGAGGAGCCGATCCGGACTGAGGCTAAGGTCGAGGTTACGGAGGCTATTCGGGAGTGGGATTATGGGGACTATGAGGGGTTGACGAGTAAGCAGATCCGTGAGCTGCGGGCTGAGAAGGGGGAAGGACCGTGGAATATTTGGACTGATGGGTGTCCCGGTGGAGAGTAAGTGGTTGATTCTTTTTTCTTTTCTTCTGCTTGGTCTTCTGATTCTAGACTGTTTTCTGCTAAGGCGTGAATCATTGTCATCAAGTATTTGTCCATACTGACATCGATTTTAGATCCCCCGAAGACGTCGTCCGTCGCCTCGACGCTCTGATCGATGAAATCAGGAACAAATACCAGCGTCCCTGCTTCGAGAACCCGGATGAATCCAAGGGTGATGTCTTGGTCGTTGCGCACGGCCACATTTTGCGTGCTTTTGCCATGCGTTGGACTGGCAAGCCGTTGACGGAGACGTCATTGATTCTTGAGGCTGGTGGTATTGGTACACTCAGGTAAGAGCAGACTCGAATATTCGGAGCAGAGCATCGCTGACATGTGGGAATAGTTATGAACACCATAGCATTGACGAGCCAGCCATCATTCTCGGTGGTCAATTCGTGGTGGAGTAAGTACTCAATAACGACAGATGGAGACACGGATATCTATGAACATATGTTAGCAATGACCGATAAAATATCCTCCCTCATAGAACCCTTAGATCCGTGATCCTGAAATGTAAGCCACGCCCACTCACCATTAAATCCCACAATCCTCAAATCACGACAATTCAATCCTGATTCGATATTGATTTCAATCCTCCTCACTATCCTCCTTCTTTACCCCCTCCTTCCTATCCGCATTCCCCTTAACCCCCTCCTCCCCCAGAACCTTAGCAGAACCCATAAACAGCGCCCCAACATACCCACCCAGGAACCGCATATCTCCCGCCTGCACAGCAGTCATGCGGAGCAAGTTCTCCGTATCCGCGAGATTGGCGTTGAGCTGCGCGAGCTGCGAATGGAGGTGTGCGTACTGCCGCGTTTTGGCGGCGGACATTGAGGGTGTTGAGGCGCCAGTGTTATAGCCTGGCGTATAGCCTGAGTTGTAGGTGGTGTTTGGGTTTGTGTTGATGGTGTGGGTGGCTGTTGTGTTGTATTGGCCTGTTCCTGGCAGGATTGAGGCGCGCGTGTAGGTTGTGTTTGAGTCTTGGCGGCGGTGGGATGGGAGTGGCATTTTGGAGATTGGTTGGTTGGATGACTGAATTGATTGGATTTTTTTTTGGCTCGGGATATGACGGTATTTGTAGGTGAATTTGAATGTTGCAGTTTGTTGTTGTCTGTTGTCTGTCGTTGATATTTGGCCGCGGGGAGTCACGTGGTGATACAGATATGCTACATTTGTTGAGGCCTTAGTGCCTCAGGCTGCATGTTTGTCTGCCAGAATGCACCTTGTTAGATAGCCCCTTTGGTCCTCTCTTCCTCCTTTTCTCTTTCTCTCCTCAGTCCACTGCTATCAAGTTGCTAGTTAATGACACATTTCATCCGACATCCACATATCATCCACTAGCCTCTTGTGAACATTTTAGCGCGGTTTACTACTGTGTACTAACTACTAAGTCGCAGCTCCCCGTGATCTCGTCGAGGTGAAGGATGAACCATTTTTTGGCTGGTCCCCGCAGGTAGGAAGCTGCGTACAACATCTTCTTCAGGGACGTGTCGTATCTCCGTGGGTCGGAGCTGAAAACAAGATGTTGTTGAGAAACAAAAACGTCCTCGCTCATCTACTCCCGCTCCCACCTCCAATCCTGCTCCAAAGATCTCTGAGCCCGAACACTACTATGGCGACCGAGAAAAGTTCTCCGATTTTGTTTCTCAACTTGTTTTCAGCTCCGACTCACGGAGATACGACACGTCCCTCAAGAAGATGCTGTACGCACTACGCAGCCTCCTACCTGCGTGGACCTGCCAAGAAATGGTTCACTCCCCACCTGGACGAGATCACCGGGAGCTGCGACTTCTCCACCTTCGAGGACCTTAATCCTTATGCTGTCATTGAAGGCTGCCTTCGACGACCCAGATCCGGAAGCCACCGCAAACTGCGATCGCTGCGGCAAGGCAATGACTCCGTTGCTACTTATTATTCCAAGTTTATCTCTTTGGTGTCCATTCTGGACTGGAACGACAAGGCCAAAAGGTCGCAGTTCCGGACTGGACTTAAGGACGACGTCAAGCGATTATTGATCGGCAGATCCTCTCCGCACTCTTTCGAGGATTTCGTTATGGTTTAACTCTCGGTACAAACGCAGCCATGGCGAATCGGTATTCGAGTCTATTGTCTATTCAACTATCATGCACTTGAATCGAGACAAGCTGTAGCGACCTCAACGATATCCGAATGGTCTGTCATTTCGTGTGCTTGGAAGGATAAGATGATGTTCATAAGGCGCAGCGAAGGAACACTGCACCCTTGATTAATTCCCATCGAAGCGCAAACCCAATAAAGCAGATCAAAACAAGTCAATGAACCGAATAAATTGAACCCCCGCTCTTTTAGGAATGCGCCAGAGACCAGACCAGACCGTAAAGCAAAGATGAGGCTATTGCATCAAGCCAGACAAATGAGACTAGGAAAAGCGAACGAAGGCGTTGTCCGAAGCAAATGATGATAACGCAGACAAAGGACGGCAAAGGACGGCAAAGGACATATACCAGTTCAAGTGGAAAAAAAGAAATGCGCCGGCTCGGGTAGTGTACAGTCATGCAGAGAGATGGGAAAGTGGGCAGGAAAAGTTGCCGACGACGCTATATCGACATGCTGTAAGGATAAAGGACAAGAAACAGACAGGAGAGAGAAAGCAAGGATGAGGATGGGTCTCAGTCTCGGCCTCGCATAGTGGCCTTATTAATAATGCCGCGAAACAAGAGGAGTATCGATGCAGAGGAAATCACAAATCAAAAAGCGCACACCAATTTCTCCCAACCGCCCACCGAAAAGCAAAAACAAGAAAAGAAGACCCGTATGTGCCTCATGTATATGTAAAGAAGCGAGCAGCAGAGTATTGATCAATACTCCACGGATACGGGGCCGTGGTATAACGGTCCCGCACAATGACACCATGATGCAAAAAGACCCGAACATGCCCTGTTCCCAGCGGACAATGATGGTCCGGACCGAGAAGGAATGCAATGTCACAAAGAGAAACCAACCATAGGTCGCTCGTCAGTCAAGTGGGAGGTTCTCAACGGACGGGCGCCGCGACTCCTGGGCCATTGAGGCTGATCTGACTGCTGTGCGATGAGGGTTCTGAGTCGAGATTTGCACTAGCTCCACTATCACCACTCACCGCGCTGGCGCTCGCACTGCCGGTCAGATTCTGTTTAGGATAACCTTTACCGGGTAACGCGTTGCTCACCCCATAGTGTTGCTCAGGTTGCTGCGGCCCTCCCATGTTTCCATGTCCCGTAGGATAGCGTGGTAGCGGCGTACGCATGTTTCCAGGCGGCGAGGGCTGGCCATTGTGAGGTGCACCAGGGGGGCCAAGGTTGTGTTCATTCGCGATAGGACGACCCATCCGGGGTCCTCCTGGGCCAGGCGGTCCGTATGGTCCAGGGGGTCCATTGAATGGAAGGCCGGGCGTTTGACTGTTGCGGCGGCTCTGCGGGAAGGGGCGGGGTGGGAAATCTCCCATGTGGCTGGCCGTTAAAGAATTGGCTCGAGAATCCGCGTGCATCTGGCCTCGATCAACGGCTCCATATCTATTTGAGGAGTATCCCATCAACGTATGGCCCATGAGAGAATCATGGAGGCCCGGAATCTGTTGCATGGCAGTCTCGCTCGCGCGTTTCTTACCACCAAAGGCACGACTGAACGCTGAGGAAGAAGGGCGGCTGCCAGGACCCGCACCATTTGCGCCAAATTCAGGGTTTTTGCGTAGCTGGCCTTGGCTGGGGCCTTTACGCGTTCGGCGAGAAGTCATGCTCATCATGTCCACACTGTCGGGGTCGAAGTGGGGAATCGCCATGTTGTTCATTGGGTCGAAATAATCCTCGTCTTCTTCATCAAATGCCGCAGCAGGACGGGGAGGCGGTCCACGACGCCCTGGACCAGGAGGGCCACGGCGCATGCTCATCTCCTGTTCGCGGAGCTGCAATTCACGTTGACGAAGTGCCAGCTCGCGCTCCCGTAACGTTAACTCGGAGACAGGTTCGGATGGACCCTCGGGGTACCCGTTCCCATTCTGGTGCGATACGGCTGGTACTCCTGGTTCGCCCTGCTCGTCATACAACACCAAGTGGCTAAACTCCTCGAGTCCTTCCATTGACGGGTCGCGCGGGACTCGGGAAGGGGGTGCCATGGGCATCTGTCCAGGAGGGGGACCTCTAGGCCCCATCCCAGATGGTGGGCCTCGTCTTTGTTGCGGGGGTAGGCTCATACCAGACGGCGTCCGACTTCCACGCATAGGGCCGCCGTTCATCATGGGTCGCTGCGGTGGAGGTACAGAAGACATGCGAGGAGGCGGTTGGTTCACGATAGATGCAGGTGGAGACTCCTGTCGGGGCTTATTCTGGTTTGCGATATTGACGTGATGCAGCATTGCGTACATTGTTTCGGTTCGGGGTACGCGGACGTTAGACTCCATGGCCAACTTGATTGGTGACCCTAGGAAGGTCTCGACTTCCATAGGCCGTCGGGCCTGGTAATCCGAGTACATTGTCGTCGGAGCGTCCAATGCAGTCATTTTTTCAATGGTCTTATCCCGGAAGTCGCTGGGGAACGAGCATCCGTACGCACAAGCGAGCTGCGTCAACTCGTCAATGATACCTGCTACCAAGGCACGAACACCGGTTTTCTCGAGGAGTTGTGTGTGGTTGGGAGTGTCGAAAACGACACTTGCGGGGTGGAACGCGATCGGGCTGTGAGTTGTTTAGCATGCTTCGTCCGTAGCCGCGCGAATCTGAAATCTCCAACTTACCCTATCATACGGTCAAACTGCTCTTGTCTGATATTCTCCGAAACTCTGCAATCGACCTGACCGGAGTTCAGAGTCATTGCCAATGCCGCAGCCATGTCGTTCTGGATTGACGTCGGAATAGAGGAAGATTTGTTGGTTGCGCCCACATGAATCTGGCTGGAGCTCAGATGCTCGAACTCGCTGGGCCCGGTTTGGGAAATTTCCACGTTGGAAACTAGAGAGAGGATGACATTGGTGGGGTATCTTTGTTCGAGGTGGGCTTCAACGCCGAGGGTATTTGTGGTATTCACGAGGATGCAGGTGTGTTGAGGAGTAACGACGGATTCGATCACGGAGGCAAGGTCGTAGACATCCGGCAGAGCTTTTACGCAGAGGATGACATAGTCGTAGGCATTTTCGCGTGATGAGGCTTCTTCGGGAGCACGAACGACTAAAATTCCATACAAGTCAGCCGGGGGCTCGGGCTGAAAGTTAACATCCGAATCTCACCATGACGGGGTTTGAATCGTTCATTGCCGAACGCTTTGGATCTGGAGAAGGGTATTAGCCATCAGATCGGTGAGATAGAAGATGCAGACATACTTGAATGAGACACCGTATTGAGCAACGGCCTCAAACCCAGATTTCCAGACCAGGGTAACATCGCAAGAAGTGGTTGCCTGAAGTCGCCATGACAAAAAAGCTGAGATGGCATTGCCACCGACTACACAGACTTTGATTAGCGAACGAACCATTTTGTAGTGCGATGTCAAGAAGTGAAAACTCACCGGACAAAATGCGCAGACGTGGAGGAGGAGCCATGGTCTCGAATCTGGAAGGAACTGGGCGGGAAGGTCCCAGGTCGAAAAGTCCAGGAGACAGGCTATAACACAGATCCACCGAATAAACGAGGGTATGGAAAAGAGCGAAGGGAGAGTGAAGGAGGGAAGAGGGATGAAGGACGGAAAAGAAAGTAGGAAAAAAAGGAAGGAGAGTTGTAACCAGGAGATAGTGGAAGTTTAGACTTGGGAGGGGGGTTTGGGCAGGGTTGTCCAAGGTCAAGTTTCTTTTCCACCGTTAGCTATTCCCTTTACTCTCTCTCTCTCTCTCTCTCTGGTTTGAACTTGGCACGCTTTAGGGAAAGAAGAAGAAGAAAAGGAAATCTTGGATGCAATCGTAAACTACGATCTCTCTCTTTTTGGTTTTTTTTTATTTTTTTATTTTTTTTTTCTCTGATGCTTTGAAAGCCTCAACGGTCGTGGATCCCCCCGCCTCAATCCGAAAACGGAACCAGGGAGCGATAAGAATATCTTTACAGTAGAGATGGATGCAGATATTTTGAATTCCTTCTCTTGTTCCGTCTGATTGTCTATTTTGACAGATTGTATGAGTTGTGATTCTTAGATCCATCTACAAGGTCTAGCCTCCACTTCATCTAGCCCATTTCGTGGTACTTTACGCAATCAATATCGAAGACTGAGACAGAGGATGGAGAACTGAGCATTGAACATTGAAGATTCAGCTTGGGATACCGTAAAAGTGATCTTAGGTACATCAATGGTTTCTACTTCTTCTATGAGGAATATATATGTGTGTACCTCTTGTGAAGCAGAATTGAGAGTTGGCATGTAGAGAGTGGAGAGTGGATGCCAATGTTCTATATTTAAACTGGGTTTTTTTCCTTTTCCCGATACGGCATCCTAGTCTAGTGCACTGTACAAGACTTATACGCAGTACAATGCACAATGAAAGATTACTGTAATTTTGATAATATTGTACAAAATAAATTGGCTTTCCTTGGTCCACAGGAACCATAACCAACACCTTCGAGAATCAATGAAGATCTCTATTTACTTTGTCTACTCTTATATTCTTATCCTTACGGAGTAGCTCTTATCACCTCAATGCTGACTCGAAGATCTTCTACCCACAATGTACGTCACTCACCCACCACCAGCAAACCCAAACACTCTCGCCCATGGACTGTGTGTGACCGACTACAGAAAAATACAGAAGGACCTAAGGTAGCAACGAAACTCCAGAGGAATTAGAACCGACCAAGATCGTTTATGTACTTTTGCACAATGTGCCTGAAAGTAAAATGAACCCCGGGTAAGTCTCCCGGAGGTACGCGGTAGTATAAAAACAAGATTAGCTGGGGTTCAAACCCACCAGCACAACTTTGTCCACAGTAGTATATCCAATTCATTAAATCGAGACGGAACCCCAGAAGCTTAAAGCCTTCTTTAGAACCACTAGATCTAAGGACTGGGAATGAGAATTAGGCTCTGACGCCTCAATCGCGAACACAGCATCGAACATGCATATTCACGGTACCTGACCGGGTACCTGGAGTGGTTCGCACAACGTGCAGGCGAGTACCTCTTAGACCTGTACCCTGATCGACATCCCGTTGTCAATTGAACTGGTATACAACATCGTATCACAATAAAATGGCCACCGGGCATTGTACGATGTACGATGTACGATATACGTCGTACGACATGGGATAAGCCCTCCGAGGGTCGGACATCCCCTCCCCCATCCCGACATTCCCTTGAACACCTGGGAGAAATGCTGTGTGGAAGAAACAGCCATTGTGGTACAAACGGATAGTAGGTCGAAGCATAGACGCCCGATACTTGTGCTCGAAGTATTCGGGAACATTTGACCGATTTTACTGTGTACACTGCCATCCTTAGTTCGCTCGCAAATAACTAGAACCTGTTTGAGTACCGGAGGGCGGAGGCTGATCAAATCAGTACAAGGGATATTCAGGATCGACCCTCCGCATGCCTTTAAAGGGGGAGGCGGGTGTTGACAATCCCAGCATGCCGAAGAGTGTAGGGATCGACGCGCGTGTCGATGCTTGCAGCTCCGACCGTATCAAGGGATCATTTTGATCGTGTGGACATTGTTCGGGGAATTTTTCCCACTCAATTTTGACGGTGAAGTAAGGATAGTGCTGTTTCAAGGCATGCTCAACTATGTGTACATAATAAAAGTGCAAGATATGCAATATGTCGCCGGGGTGCGTTGGTCCAATTGCGAAAGAGCCAGAACGTGGATCAATCACATCTCCTGTGTGTCGGGGGAAGCTCATCACCTCGAACCAGTCTAGACCTCTGGGGATTCGACGGTGTATCCGTTAAGCTGTACAGAGTACAGTACATAGTGATACATAGTGTGGAATCTAGACATGCATCTGAACAAATGGTAAGCTATCATTCATCCGTCGAATGCGCTGGTGGAATTGCAATCATCCGGTATGTACGATATCGAACGATGTTTTCGACACTTCTATTTTGAAGTACGATGTATATGATTGTACACGTCCGAAGGTCGATACATGGCCATGCCGACAGGTGGCAGGGAAAACCACGTTTGCGGAGAGCCGAAAACGGCAGATCATCAACATCAGAGAGTTCATCTTAACCATAGTGGTTCCCCTCAGCCACAATTGTCTTTAGCTTAGAGTCATGACTCCATGGCTTTAAGATGGAAGCCACAGATGTCATGACAACACTACAATCTGAACATCAAGAGGTTATCATTGGACTTGAGATTGTAATTGTATTTATGGGGTTCGGTATTTGATACATCGGCTTACCACTTAATCTATTGTGTACAATTTACTATATCGGATGCAAGCCGTGTCCCACTGAAAAATTTAGTTTCTCCGTGAGACCCAGCTCATCAAGCCTAGAGCCCGGGCTCGTGTGCAAATACGCATAGTCCGGAACCTCTCGGATGCAAAAAAAGGAGAGAACGGGTGAAATAGACTACTTTGTACTCAGTACAATAGCCAAGAAAACTTGATCGTTATCATAACCTTTGATCGACATTGTCCCATGCACATTTCTTGTTAAGTGGAGAAACAAGAGCTGTGACGGAGTACTCCATACAATGGACGATTGTTTATGTTTGTGTTGTGTACAACTACAGAGCTTACTTGAAGAGATGAAATGCCTAGACTTTTTAGACTCTCGGAGTCAGCTCACAAAGCCACTAAACCCGAGACCTACATAGTGGACACTTTCCCATACTGTAGCTCCGAGACAGGGTTCGAGAATCGAATGGTCATTTACTTTCCTTGTTTTCACACGCTACTCACGACTAAGCCACTTCTGTTTTTATTTTCATTTTTCCACTTTTGGTTTTCGCCTCAAACATTACATTTTGAATGGATACGCATATTCTTGGTCCCATGTGGCATATGCTTTTTCCCGTACTGCGTAGTTTCCAGATGCTGGGGTCAACGGTCAACGGTCAACGGTCAAAACACATTAGTACAACCTACAACCGTACATAGTCTAAACGCTCGACTAGCAACCCCTGTTCTCGCCATGATGTACCCAACTCGCACTAACCAGCGCAAAGAAACTTGATTTCTGAACTTGGTTTTGCGCCCATCACGAACTTTGCCGAGAAGATCATAATTTCCCCTGGCCATGCGCGCAGCTTGACAGCTGTCATTTGCCTGCAGCATGCTGGGGAGGCTTTTCACCCACATGCTCGAGTCAGACGGTATTGGCTTCGGATCGACCGATATAGCTGACATTAAGCATAGTAACATCCACTATGTACATATTCATTGCCGAGATCGACATGCTCGAACCAATCACTTCATATCTACACTGAACTGCCATGCAGGGACCGCTTGAAGATGAGCTGATGAGCTCATTTCTGCGTAAGCTTTGCATGTCAGATTGGAACTGTGACCGCAGACTATGTACAACGTACGTTCAGCTCGTACACAGTAGATGCGGCAGATACAACGTACATGGGATAACCACCGACCGAACAGGATAGATGATCGTAGATTAGATGGCACTCTTATGTCCACTGGGGCTGTGCCAATTACTTGGCACGAGGCTCGAGGTTATTGGAGTAAAATCCAGAACTGCGAGCCGTGCATACATTCCCATATCAACGTCAATGCTGGTTGAAAAGGACATCGCACCCTACAAAGAGATTCTAGGACCTACATACTACGGGAAACAGTTGTGCAGGGCTAACCTATCTTTGATTCCATTACTGATCTCAAATACATAGGAAGTTATGCCACACTTCGGAACCACGGCGAGGGCAGAGGCACCCGCCTGACGGCGAAGAAAATCATATCAAAACCCGGGCTATTGCGCCATAACACTCGAAAAAAAGAGAAGAAATATCAAATCAAGAAGTTTTCACCTAGACACACGCCTTAAGCCATGTAGGTGGTGGAGTCGACACCAGCCTCGGGGTACTCACTGCGATCACGGTTAGAGGAGTGGCAACGCTTTAGAGGGGATTGGGGAATACATACGGAAGGGCAACCTCGAAACGCTTCTCAATCTCCTTGAGGACCTTCTCATCGTCCTCGTTGCTGACGAAGGAGATAGAAAGACCCTTAGTACCGAAACGGCCGGCACGACCAACGCGGTGCAGATAGGAGTCAGCGTCCGCGGGGAGATCGTAGTTGATGGCGAGGTTGATACGCTCGATATCAATACCGCGACCGAAGACATCAGTGGCAACACAGATACGCTTGTTGAATTCCTTGAATTCCTTGTAACGCTTGATGCTAGAAGGGGGTCAGTAATGGCCTATGCGGATGTCGACTGCGGCGAGAAACTTACCGCTCCTCCTGGCTGACACCCGAGTGGACTGCAATACTCGGGAAGTTGCACTCGCGGAGCAGCTTATCCAGCTCATTGGCACGCTGAGTGCTCTTGACGAAAATGATGACCTGGTTGAACTCGAGGTTGTCCAAGAGCTCGTTCAACTTTCGGTTCTTCTCCTTCTCATCAAGCTTGATGTAGTACTGCTGCAGGCCGTGGAGGGTGAGCTTGGTATCATCATCGACATAGACCTCCAACGGGTTGCGCATGAACTTCTTGCAGATAGGGCGGATCTCCTGAGAGAGCGTGGCACTGAACATCATGACCTGCTTGTCGGCGGGAGTAGCACGGAAAATCTCCTGGACATCGCGACGCATATCTATGGGAAGAGCAAGTTAGATTCTTTCTTTTTCATTCTGTTAACGACGAATTCGGCGTTTTGTTGCACCTACCAATCTGATCGAGCATCTTATCACACTCATCGAGAACGAAGGCCTTCACATTGCGCAGAGACAACTTCTTGTCGCGGACCAGCGCATTCAGACGGCCAGGGGTGGCGACCACGATGTTGGGGTGGGTATCTTTGTTGGACAGAAGTTCGACATCCTTCTGGATGGGAGTACCACCGTAGAAGACCGCGGTCTTGACGTCTGGCAGATACTTCGAGAAGCGGGCATATTCGTTCTTGATCTGGTAGGCGAGCTCACGGGTGTGGCACATGACCAGGATCTGGCACTCGCCAGCGACGGGTTCGAGTTGGTGCAAGGTGGTGAGAACGAAGACGGCGGTCTTACCGAGACCGGACTTGGCCTGGCAAAGGACATCGACATTCAGAATGGAGGTCGGAATGCAGACTTGCTGGACTGTTGTGAGGGGGAGCCGATGTTAGATTGTGTCCGACGGAAATAAAGAAACAGAAATGATTTGTCTCGCAATGTCCGTCCATCCGCGCCAGCTCCAGATTGATGCCCGGGCGATCACTTTCCACCCGCTTCGCCAAGCCATCCTGTCATATCTTCTAAAAATAAAATATGAAAGCAAGACTTTGGTGAATATGTTGTTCTGCAGACAACGTGAGGAGCACTCGACAGCATAACAATGGTAATAGAACTCATAGTCTTCCAAAGAGTGCGCCACTATCCACGAAGTACATGGATGTTGGGAGACCGGAGCCTGGTCTTAGAGCGAACGACGCCGAAGCACCAAGCGTACATATTTGATATGAAGATATGGACCTTTTTCCAGAGCAATGATCCTCATGTCGTCTGCAGATTCGAAACACGACTGGTTGCCAGATACCGATGAAGAATCTTCCCGCGAGGATGGACGGACGTTGGAGTTTGGAGAAATGGAGGAACGCTTGTGGGAATAATAAGTCAAACTAACCCTCCGATGGATGTTCGAAGCCGCAGTCGGTGATCGCACGCAACAATTCTCCCTTCAGCAGGAAATCGCGGAAACCGGTCGAGTGAATACCAACGTAGCTGCCCTTCTTGTCAGGGCGGCCACCGGTAACAGTCAAGTCGCCCTCCTTGTCAGCGTCGCCATTTGCAGCGGCGGGCGCAGCAGTGGTGGCGGGCGCAGTTGTGGTCTGAAGCTCCTCGTCGGAGTAATCGATGAGGTCTTCTTCGTGAGACATGGCGACGTTAAACTGGCGAGTTTTGAAAAAGAAAAGAACGTGACGTGATTACAAAGGCGATTGCGGTATGCAATTGAAAAAGAGGTAGATGAGAAGGAAGAAAGTGGGCGCGTTCGGAAAGGTCTTTGATAAAGACGATGGTGCAGGGAGAAGAAGTCGTAGGCGGTCGGGGTCCTTGACGGACAGCTACTGGATCTGAGGCTGCCGGCTCCGGACCGGATCAATCTTGGCAGAAATAATCCGGGCTGCGCATCACGTGATAAATCAGCCTCAGTGACTTGTTTCCACTGGTTCAGGCCCATTCAATGAGCTTCACTACGTGGTTACGTGACATACATCCAGCGCTAGCGTAGCGCTTTTCGTAGCGTCAACGTCGTAAATAACTCGGGGATTCTATCTATTACAACTTTGTCGTCCTCAACTTGCAACAATCAAAACTCCGTTCTCGAATTTTGAGTCTCATTCACCATGGCGAAGGCCAAAAAAGAGAACGCCAAGAACTCTCAGAGCCATATTCGAGCCCGCTTGGATTATCTTCACCAAGCTGCAATGTATTTCCAGGGCAAGCCCAAGGCTAGACAAGCCCGCACGGATGCATCCCAGCACGGCGTCAGTGTCCCCGTTCAATCGACAGAGGCAGCACAGAAACTTGACGTCCACCAAGAGAAGAATCTTGATATGGGCAATCTCTCAAGAATGTGTGTATCGCATCTCCGAGCCGTGGCAATGAAGACACAGATTCGGCTGCCAGTCAAGCTGAAGAGATCAATGTGCAAAACATGCGATACACTCCTGGAGCCGGGAATAACATGCTCGCAAGGAATCAGCAACGCAAGTCGTGGGGGCAGAAAACCTTGGGCCGATGTACTTGTCGTCCGCTGCTTGGTATGCGGAACTGAGAAACGATTTCCACAGACGGACAAACGTGCCAAAAAGCTTGATGAGCGCCGCAAAGAGAAGTCAAACTTGACCAGTGACAAGCACAATGGGAATCTTGAGTCAATCGACCAAACTGTGTTGCAACGAAGTGTTGACAAATGTGACGAGAATACCCCAACTTCGATTGTGATGGATGACCTGAAGATGTGTGGATCTTGACCACCGCCGAACATTCGCAAGGCCATCTTTTCCTATTTGGCTTTCGGCATGAATACCGTGCTGTGCACACGGCTGTCCAAGTCAATATACATATGGTGCGGGATTTACCGCACAGGGAAGTCGGACTTGCCTGGTGAAGAACATGCTCGGACGCCAGATTGGACACCCAAATGAGGGTTGAAACAAACTGTCACCTAACAGGCATGACGAGAGCCTCCGAGGTGGTGGTGGGTGGAGCGGCGATATGAATAGCGCCGACCAATTGTTCGCATCTTGTGAAAGAACCTGCTCGGCGCAAGGCCATCGCTAGAGCACCCAGCCGCAGCTGATTTTCGCGGAGAATCGCATCCTCTCCACCTACCAGCCTGACGCCTTGTGCAGGTGGCTCAGGTTAGCGACAGTCCCGATCCGGGCAACCGGCGACAATCAAATCAACCGACATACATCCATCCCTGTTGAGATGGAGCCTTGGGGTGCAGGCCACCACCTAATTCACAGTAGTTGGGTGTTGTAACTAGTCGCGCTTCCGGGAGCTTTCTTCAGTTTCTTCCAATCCATAGTCATCCACACTTGGGCATATCTCTGGTTTTTCCCCCTTCTCCCGTCTCATCAATCGCGATTGACGGCAACGTTGGGGGAGTCAACGCGATGCGGACTACATTTCAGCTGTACTCGAGAATCTGTTCCGAATGATATTGAAAAACACCGTAAGCCTAGCTATGGTCAACTAGCAATCGACGTGCCAACATCAACACAGACAGAAGAACAAGACACAGGGCAATGTACACGCAACATGCAGAGAGGGGAATCGAAATAGCATAGAAAAACAGAAGAAGCATTAAATCAAACAGGACACACAAGCAAGTCAGGTTTATGCACTGAAAATCACGTTGGAGATCTTTCCATCATGGTGGTCATCAAGTCTCGCGCAGTTCAGTCCAGCATCGGGTGAAGAATGCAAGCTTCTCGGGCCTTTGTTGGCCAGTCCAAAGCACTTGTTACTGTACTGCGAGCTCATCAAGGATGCATGCGCATCAATGGATCCGGAGCCTGCTGTTCTCTTTCATGCAACTGTTTCATCAAGCAAATATTTAGACTAACAAGAATGTGATATGCGAACAGGATGGCTGGCATGCATTCAAGAAAACAGTCCGCGAGGACACATTCGATATAAATTTGTTTGTTTCTTCTTGTTCTCGTTTTCTTCCGGAGATGATATAGGGGTGTATTGGCCGGACCAGCCAGTGGCCGGTGGTCGAGTAAAAGGTAATATGCAGAATGCATGATTTGAATGGTCTTTGGGGCGATTCAGTATAGGGCTGGCATTTGCGGGAGATAGCGAGGCGTTATGTATAGGAAGGTGTCATCGTCGCCGCCGAGAACTCTGGTCAATGCGATGATCTAGGTTCTCAATCCGACCACGGAAGGACTTCACGATATCACGGATATGAGCGATCTTCGTCAACTCATTGTCCAACTCATCGATGGAAGCCAGGATCTCACGGGTACGGGCAATTTCGGCATCGGCATTGCGAATGACGTTTCCCGCGCGGTCGTAGGTGTTTTGAATGGAGCGCTGCATTTGATCTTCGAGCTAACGGGGACATTCTACGTTAATACAACGAAGCCATGGGTTTCCCGGGGAGAATGGATATGCGGGTCAACAAGCGCGGGGCAAGAAAAAAAACATACATATTCGATTCGGTGACTGATCTGAGCCTGCAGGCCGTCCAGCTGGTGCGACAGTGCGCGGAGGCTCATAGGGTCCAGCAACAGACGGCCCTGACTGCTGGCGGCGCTGGTAGCGCGCGAGCTGGAGTTGCTGGTTCTCCCTGTGCCCCTGCCCCTGGCACCACCGTTGCCAGCATGGCCGCCCTGCAGGGCAATCTGCTGCTGTTGTCGTAGGATTTGGATCTCGGAGGAGGTGAGGCCAAGCGAAGTGTCGGGAATCGAGGCTGAGACGGACATTTGGTCCCGGCAGAGACATGCTCCGTCCGCGACAGTCTACGAGGCGCCGATCAAACTCAATGTGAGACCGAGCGGACCACAGGTCATGATGGAGGATGGGAGGTGCGGAGCGGGGAGGATGCGAGAGACTGTGCGCAGTCAAATCGGAAAACGCGACTATAGGAGAGGGGAGAGACGCTTCTTATTTCCCTCATGAGGAGAAATCAAGCAAGAAATTAAAGAGGCGGAGAAAGAGGGAGTGAGCCGCTGAGACTCTGGCGGCAACTTAACAGCGCGCGGCTCGAGAGAAGCCAGTTACACTCCCTGGTGAAGAAGCTAGTGAGATTTCGCTTTTATATATTCTGGAGCACAAGCTCAGGCGGAAATATGATACCTCGGACCTCTCCTCAAAGAGGGGCTTGGAAATGCGACGAAAATCAAGAAAAAGCAACATTTAGGCATATTATTCTGTTCTCAAAGTCGAATGCCTTCTATTTTAGCCCTAAGTATTCTTTGCTTTTGAAAGAATACGTTTTACTGCCGTACTGCGCGGGCTAACTGCTGCGCTCTGCACCTACGGAGTTTGGGAGAAGCAGGAGGCTCTGAGTGTTCCTACAAGACTCGAGATTCGAAACCAAACATTCACTTATAGGCATTTGTCTGTGAATAAGTCTCATGATGCTTTGATTCAATCTGTATCTCGAACAATATTCCGACATACTTCGTATAGTTGTTGTTCCAATTCCGAATCACCGAACCATGGATAGCTTCCTCTCCACTCCGCTTTAGCTTTCTCTACGGAAAACGAGAGCGTCCACGAGTGACTCGCCTCTGATTTGACTTAAAGTACGCCGCTTTTTTCTCCGCTTTGGGAATCCCCAGTGGCTGTGATGATTTTCTGCCGGCAAAAGTTCCCAGAAATTAAGTCTCCCGTGGTCACTGTACAGCTCCGTACTGCGCCTGACCAAATTCCCAACTTCCAACCTCGACAACTTCACCCAATACTTCCCGTTACATCCACCCCTACGTGCCTAAATTGTGAGGCTGAATCAGTGTTTTGACCTAACACACCGACAGTGCGCAGGAGTTCACGCATTCAGCCTGTGAGCGTCCAATCCCAACCCAGGACACCTGCAGTCTCGACCTGACGGCCCGACTTGACGCGATCAATCCACTCGAGGAGACCTAACGCATTGATCACCTGTCATCGCGCAAGCCTTTGAAACCCAACCATCTCATTGCCCGGCTCCATTCCGACCTACATCCTGCACAGCTGGTTCCAACATTACCCTCCACGTGCGACAACCCCCACAGAGTCTAGACCTGTTGTAACCTGCAACTCGTGGAATCGATTCGTCCACAGTGCAAGGTATCCGTGACCGGGATTTCCAGCTAGCTTCCGCGCTGTCTATAATCACAGACCACCAACACCCAACCCATCATCATGCCCAAAGACAAAGAGCGCACACTCAACCCAGCCGCCGCGCAGCGGAAACAAGATAAACAAAAGGAACTTCGGAAAGGCAAAGCAGAGGCACTAGCGCGACGAAATGAAAAACTAGCACGCCGCAACCCAGAACGAATCCAGCGCCAAATCGACAGCTTCAAAGAAGCCCAAGAATCAGGACAACAACTACGACCACGCGATAAGGAACTCCTCGAAGCACTGGAAAAGGATTTACGAGCTGTACTGAAGGCACGCGAAGCTCTCGGTGACAAGGCACCCCGGTTTGAGCACGGCGGCAGAGGAGGCCGCCAGGGGGACGGTGCTCGACGGGGCGGTGGCGACAACGTGCTCGGGAAGCGGCGACGTGGCTCGGATGAAACACGGATGCCTCGCGATAGTGATAGCAGCGAGACGGACGAGGATGTGCGAAGCATACCTATGCCGCGGGATACACCGCCGCCGATCCCGCGCCAGAACCAGCGCAGACGAGATGGCAATGCGCCTGCAGACGAGGCTCCTGTGCGCGGTGGTCCGCACCCGCTGCCATCCCGGCCAACGCCGGTTGTAGAGGCTAAGACTGTTTACGAGGCGAAGCCTCAGATTCGGGATCTGCGGCAGGAGGCGACTAGTAAATTCATTCCGGCTGCTGTCAGGATGAAACAGAAGTCTATCAAGGGGCAAGGGAAATTGTTGGAACCGGAGGAGATGGATAAGCTTGAAAGGGCTGGGTATAATGCTGGTCCTGTTCCGGAAACACAGACTGGAGATTCCCCACAACATGGGTTGGATGAACTGGCGTTATTAGAAGAACAGGAGCGGCGATTCAGGGAGGAGCGTAAGATGGTTCAGATGGAGGAGGTGGAGGATGAGCAGGCAGGGGCTTAATGCCCAGTTGCCTTTTGAAACGTTTCATAAGATGTGATGAATGTACAACACTGCAGATTCAGATGAGATGTCCAAGGTCAGCCCCGTTAGATTGGTATAATATGTACACAGTCGTGAGACGTTAGGGCTAGCATATCATGTGTCTCAACAAGGATAGTATGGAGGAAGCTTGGAAGTCGACAAAGACTTCTAAAAGCTACTCAACCACAAGCCTAGACAAATCATGGTCGGACCTGGAAAACAGTATTTACACCGAGATGCCACATTGCAGCACCAGAACTCTTCACATGGGACACAGCTAATGGGGAATTTTTATTAGGTAGTTTGTAGCATCCCGAATTGGGGGCGTAGCGAAGATTAATGTAGGTCACTTCTGCGAGGCGCGAGGGTACGATGAGCAGGCGATTAGTTCCAGTTAAAGGAGAAAGAAAATACAGAACATCAACAGTCAGTGCATGGCTTATGCGAATAAATGTACAAGAGAGCTCAATCAAATGCTTATTTGAAAGAAAGGGCGTGACGGCATAAAAGACAAAAGAAAGGTAGTCAGAAGTCGAGTCAAGGGAGACAAAGTGTGTAGCCAAAGGCAAAGCAGCCTGAGCGAACCATAGGCATGTGTATCAAACTCCGTGTCTTGCATGTGGCAAGTATGCACCCAAAGCATTAAAAGCCAACTCCGTGACATAACGGGGAAGTATGCGCAAGAAGCGAACGAGAACCCGAAAAGATGGACAACAAGGGGAATCGAGGGCTTCCGAAGAAACCAAATCAACTGAATCCAATCCAAGAAACAAAAAGGAGAGGAATACCGTCTCCTGAACTCCAATCACACCAAAGCTCCTGAGGGAAGAAATGAAAATCGATATTGAACGGGAAAACATGATAAATGCAAGCAAAATCGGGAAGACTACCGCAGGTTGCGGATGACCTTCTTGCCGCGAACAAGGAAGGGGCTGGGCATCTCATCCAGCTCAGGGTTCCAAATAGCAGGAGCATCAGAGCACTTCATGCTCATGGTGGGACCGGCAGCACGTGAGTCACTGGCACAACGCTTGACCTCGTCCATCGGACGTCCCCCAGCTCTGGCCTGTGCAAGTTCAACAAGGGTGCGGCCACCCATGTTCCGCTGCATAACGGCCTTGAACATCTCTTCACCACCGCCGCCGCCATTCTTGGGAGGGGCTTGCTTCGAATTGCTCTTGCGGGTTGGCGAGCCACCGGCATCGGCAGCAAGGTTTGCGGATGAAGGGATCTTGGTCAGGCGTCGGTGAGGAGATCTGGCTCTGGTCTCACTCGCGTTGCGCTCTTCGGATTGGGATGCAGATGCACTGACGGATTGAGGAAGCCGGGTACCCCCCGACGGAAACAGTGATGGCTGGGTGCTAAGTTTCTGCATAAAGGCCGCAGTGTTTTGGCGGAGTAGAGGCCGTCGGGGGGCCTTCAATGGATCGGGCTTCACCTTTGGGCGGGTAGGCGAGGGTAAATCGGGGGTATCATCTTCATCGTCAGAGTAGGCCAGGGTAGGTTCCCACTTGGCCTTGTTTCGCTCGGCTTCTGCGAAGATATTACGAGCGCCTCCTTGGGCAGATGTTCGTCGAGGCGAAAGTGAGAGTGAAGCAATGGAAATTGGTGAGGGCTCGGCCATCTGAACATCGACTGGTGAGTCGACAACGGTCTTGGACCGGCAGAATGGGGTCCGTGTCTCCTTCTTAGGTTGTTTGCGGCTGTTAGACGGAGGGGAGCCGAGAGATAGCTGACTGATATCAGATGAGGGGGTATTTTCAGAGTCATCTGTCATATTGGCAGATGATCGAGATGATCGCCAGCCCTGGTTGCTGGATCTAGAGGACCCAGAACCGTGTGTGCTAGTCCGGAAAACGTCATCGCGGGAGGTCGTGGTGGTGGTATTGGTATTGCCGATGGTTTGCTTATATTTCTTGACCTCAATGGCAACTCTTTCTTGCACCTCGGTCTCAAATCGCTTGCGCAGGCGATCGAGCTCACTCTGCACCTGACGGTCGATTTCCAAGCGGGCTTTGACCTCCCATTCTCTCCGAACGGTATTTTCAATCTCGGCCTTGATCTGTTGACTCTCTAACTCCCTCTTGGCGAGGTTCTGCTCCATTTCGCGCACTTTGGTGACAGCAAGCTCCTCGCGGCGCCGGAGTGTTTTGCCGAGGTCAACAACTTCTTTCTCCTTGCGCATCAAGCGAATGATGGGAAGATTGATCAAAGTAGCGGTATCAGGGCGGTGATCAGGATTCACGCGCAGACAGCTTCCGATAACGTTCTTCAGTTCTGGCGAGTAATAATCAGGCAGAGGGGCGTATTTGCCCTCGCGGATTTTCTGAACTAGCTGAATGTGCGTGCGCGCATTGAAAGGGGGCTCTTTCTGGCAGAGCTCATACATGATGCAGCCAACAGCCCAAATGTCGGAACGCAAGGTGTATTTCTCAGCCGCGCAAATTTCGGGTGACATGTAGAAAGGTGTACCAACATATGTCGATGCGAAATCATGGGATTGCATTTGCTTGGACAACCCAAAATCACCGAGTTTGACGGTGTTGTCGCTACCGAGGAAAATGTTCTCAGGCTTGAGATCACGGTGCAAAATTGTAACCTGTCCTTGTTTGCCCTTGAGACCCGATGGCTTAGGAGGCGGACCCAAAATGTTCGATCCCACCTCCGCGGGGTCGGATCCGTAGTGACATCGAAACAAAGCAGTGATGAGCTGAGAAAGAATGCGCCAAACGAACTCTTCTTCGGCATTTTTGTTCGCTTTCTTCAAGTTCTTGATCACCATTCCCAGATCGCCACCACCGCAGTACTCCATGTACAGATACAGGTCCTGGCTGGCCTTGAGATGTTCTCGGTGGTAATATGCGACAATGTTTGGGTGACGTAGGGAACTCAAGATGTTGAACTCAGCGGTGAGTTGTTCCCGTTCCTTCTGAGACATCTTGATGTAGTTGATTTCTTTGCGGCATAGTATCTAAAGAGGGGATTTGGGGTTAGCCCAGCTTGAACATGACACCAATGCACTACACTCACGAAGCCGTCTGTCTTCCGCTTGACTTTGCGAATGATTCCAAAGGAACCGCAACCTGATACAGAGCAACGTTAGACTTGAACAGAGATGTCAATGTTTACAACATGGTCCAACTCACCAATCTTGTCCAAGATCTCATACTTATCGGCCTCAGCCAAAGCAATCGCCATGGCTGTAGATAGTTGTAGGGTTCAGGACAACAAGGTAAAGACAAAACAGAAGAGTATGAGGGTCAATGATGCATGAACAGTGTAAGCCGAGGACCTGTGTTAGTAAAGGATAAGGTTGGACGGTGGAATTGAAGGTTTGAAGAAGAATAGGGCAATATGGATTGAAGCTTTGAAGATGGGTGTTTGGTTTGTCGTTGCTAAGCAACGGTGGTTATGGAGCTAACGAGATACAGTAGGCGGTAGAGTTGGTCGATCAAACCGTTTAGAAGGCAAAATCCAATGACGTTGGTTCTACGAGTGGGAAGGGGAAGCAGAACTGTTGATGCACTTCGATAGATGGCTATGAATATGTCTAATGTTGTCATACTTCGATCAAATTCCATATATATATCCCCCAGGGGATACCCACACGTACGATTCAAGACCTCAGGCATATTGTACTTCCATTTAAGCCAGTCACGTGTGTTCTTATCGATAAGCGGCTTTCTGCGCCCCCGCGGTTGGTGCCGGTTTGTTTCATCCCGCGTTACCGGCAACCTGCATGATGGATGAGCCAACTGTGTTGCGAAAAGACCAGCTGGAGATCAGCTTGGTGAATGAGAAAAGGCTGATTAAAGAAGGTACTATTAAGGATGATAACCCGCTAGATCTCAGTGAGCCGTTCCGTGAACTATGTGGCGCATGTCGTCGGGGCGATCTGAAAGTCTGTCAGGAGAAAATCACAGAGGGTGTCAATGTTAATGCTCGTGATCCTTACGATTATACGCCGTTGATTCTAGTGAGTACAATATACTTATTCGGGCCCTGCTAGGCCTCGTGTACAACATAATTAACCAATCATTCCCGAAGGCGAGTCTATGTGGTCACTATGAAGTTGCACAACTTCTTCTCGAGTCTGGTGCTCTTTGTGAACGAGATACATTCCAGGGTGAAAGGTATGCTGCAATTATACTCCCTAGACAGTGATTGGAGTTAATTCTGGTGGTGATATAGATGTCTCTATAATGCCCTAAATGACCGGATACGAAACCTCCTCCTCGAATACGATTATTCCAAGTCCACGGACCCCCTTCAGCCATTGGCTGCCCATGTAACTTCGCTTCTCACCCGAGAGCTGCCAGTAACAACAGACATTATCGTGACTGCATCCGGGGAATCACTACACCTCCACAAGTTCATCCTTGCAGCACGCTCCCCATACTTCCAAGCAAAACTGGCAGCAGCGCCAGAATCTACAACATGGAAGCTTCCCAGTACCATTCCACCGGAAGCATTTGCCGCTGCTATCAAATATATATACTTTGGAGAAGCTCCCCGGGAATTGAGAAGTGGACCAGGAACAGGTTTCACCGAATCCGAGACTTTTGCGGGGGTGGATAGAATCTCCAAGTATCTGGAGATCCACGGTCTCTTAGACAGCATCCTTGACAGCGGAGACAGAAGACGTGCCAGGCAACGGAGGGCCGACGAGATTTCCAAGGGCCGAGATCAACTGGAACAATGGTTCAATACAAATGTCCTGGCAAACAAGCTCGAGGTGGAGACTTCAAAAGTGAAGGAAATAAAGTGGGATCGAAGCAATGCAATGTTCGCTGATGTTCTTCTAAGAGCAGATGAGCTTCCCGAGGAAGAGCAAGAGGAAGATGTCTACAATCCAGAGGTCAACAATGGCATACCCACTGCGAATGAGAAGGCCGTTGACGCTCCAAAATCAATCATCTTCCCATGTCACCGAGCGATGCTTTTGCGGTCTGAGTTCTTCCAGAAGATGTTCACATCGCCATTTCGCGAAGCTCATCTTGGCGAGCACTTGACGGTTATCAATATCGACTGTTCCCCTGAGGTTTTGGAAATAATCCTTACATTTTTGTACACTGAAAGAGCCGATTTCCCCTTGGAGATTGCGGTCGATGTGTTATTCGCCGCAGATATGCTCTTTATTGAGAAACTGAAAACAAAAGCTGCTGTGGTTATCAGTACTCTCGGCAGTGCTGGAATGTCCCAGAATGAGGCTGCGAAAACTCGGGACACGACACACGATGAAGCTATAGACATTTACTCGATCGTGCGAGCTGCGTGGTTGACGCGCGTACAGCGATTGGAAGAATTCGCCGCTCGGTATCTCGCATATCGACTGGAGGCACATATTGATTCTCCAGAGTTTGCAGAGTTGATCGAAGAATCAGCATCTCGTATCAAGGCCAGACAAGAAACGGATTCCATTGAAATGCTGGACGATATCCGTTTCTACCTTGGAGAGCGCTTCAGGTTGCGATTCGATGAGGCTGGCCTGGAGGAGATGTTGGAAGAAAAGGCACCACCGGAAGGTGTCGAGGCAGATGAAGAACAAGAAGACGTCGCCGAAATTAAAAAGGGCGTCGAAGCACTCGATGTTTCTGAAGGGGCCATCACTGGTCAGGCACCGCGGCAGTCCCAGGGACATCATCCGGAGATCAGGGCTTTGGATGGCGCGGTTGTCGAAGACGAATTCTCAGAAGACGCAGTCAACTATGAAATCTTGTTGGAGAAGTTGGATGATTTGTTGGAAAGACTCAACCTTGAGGCTTAGTTTGAGAATTTGGGATTTCTTCGGCAATTAATAGCAGCTGCTAATCGCTGTGTTCGTGTGCGTCTGGCATGTACAAATTATTTAGAGATCATATATCTGCATCGATTGCCATAGAGAAATAGACATACAGATGGTCAGTTAGGCTATGTACATGAGTAGACCCATATGCCTTAGTAGCGGACAATCGATTCCCCAAAGCCATTAACAGATAGGAGTAAGTCCGGTGGTTCCGAATCTTGTACTGTGGATAGACCATAGCTGTGATGGGTGCTTGCAGACATCGAATATCACAGTCCTGGTCGCCTGGATCCAGCAGGTTTCATGCGAGCTCGCCACGTGGCCATTGTCCAGCCATCATATCGAAGGTAATCGACAACCAATATCTTGAATTGTGTCCAAAGTGGTGATTGTGCTTTGGAGGACCAAAGTCGTGCCGATTGCATCGTGGGGCGGGTTTGCCATGAGCCGCATGTGGCGGTAGTCATGTATGCATTGCCTTCATTCGGGCAAGAGTCAATACCCCTCATCGTTCCCCATTCGATTGGTCTTTGTTGTCCCCGCCAATGCCTTTCTGCTGCTTCTCTAACACTCTCGCATCCAAGTCCCGTATCTGGTTCTCGAGGATTCCTCTTCGAGCGACCAAGTTTGAGCGCATATCTTGAAGAGCCTTGAATTGCTCATCAAAAGTCGACTCCTGGCGCTTTTTTACTGTCTAATATCAATATGCTGTTAGATAGTTGACACGATTGACATGATTGCAGTGAAAATGAATAGCTTCGGCTTGAATGATGTGCTCTCACCTCAGAAATTTCTTGATCTGTCTTTAGACCAGCTCCGTAGAGAGTGCCTGTGATAGTGATAGAGACGACAGCGGCAGTCAGGACTAGCCGCTTAACGTTCGGGGGAGGCATGGTGAATCTTAGTGAGTGTTATGCAACGCCAAGCAATTTGCTCGCATCCAATTTGCCATGTGTCAACTCTTACCGCCTACCCGAATTAGATCTGGTGATCGCGGACGCGTTCCCCTCGCGTTTGCTCTGAACAAAGTCTCCACCACGCGAATCTCTCAGCACGCCCATGAGACTCCCTTTCCATCTAACCAAGGGTTTCAATCAGTATGGCGTCACCAAATACCTCTCGTCGCCGACCTCACAGCGAAGATGAAGAAAGTGAAGAGCTTACTTCATCCCCCTCATCTCAACCATCGAGCAACAAACGCGCCCGTCTGAACCCAACCGGCGATCCCGCATCAGGAGCTGAAGACGACAGCGATGGATCTGGTACACCGACAGCTATCTCTCGAGCCCCGCGAGCCGTAGCCCACAATGGCCTCGGTCCCGGTGGCTACAAGCCTGGCGCGATCGTGCGGATCAAGGTGACGAACTTTGTTACCTATACATCAGCAGAGTTCTTTCCCGGGCCAAAATTGAACATGGTTATCGGTCCGAATGGGACAGGCAAGAGCACTTTAGTCTGCGCCATCTGCTTGGGTTTGGGATGGGGACCTCAGGTATGACTTTCATTATACTGCCGTGCAGCAACCGATATTAATACAAGATCGTATCTAGCATCTGGGACGCGCCAAAGACCTGGGAGAATTTGTGAAACACGGCGCTCGTGAAGCTATAATCGAGATCGAACTATGCGGACCGCCAAAGATTGGTCGCAATCCTATCATTCAGCGAACCATCAAGCGTGATGGAAACAAGAGCTCTTTCATAGTCAACGGTGATCCCGCTTCCAAGGTTGATGTTCTCAAACTCGCTCAGTCGTTCGCCATCCAAGTGGACAACTTGTGCCAGTTCCTTCCTCAGGATAAAGTTGCTGAATTTGCTGCGCTTACACCAATTGAGCTTCTTTATTCCACGCAAAGAGCGGCAGCTGGCCCAGAGATGATTGAAATGCATGATGCCCTGAAGAAATTAAGAGCCCAGCAGAGGGAACTCGAGATGGACAACAGTGGTGACAAGGAAACACTAGCCAGTATGGAGAATCGTCAAGAGATGCAACGACCAGACGTTGAAAGAATGCGCCAACGGGCTGGGATTCAGCGGAAGATTGAGATCCTCGAGCTCTGCCGCCCAATTGTGGAGTATAAGGAGCATCACAAAACTGTTGAGGTCTTGAAGGTTATCAAAGCTAGAGCCTTGCAAGAATACAACCGGACCCAAGCAGAAATTGAGCCTACCTTGCGGGCTGTCAACGCTAAAGAGGCCTACCTCACGTCACTGAACGAGGTGAGGGTTGACCGAACGGATGCTGTTGAATCCGCGTCTAGGGTTGCCGCTGAACGCAGCAAGAAAATTGATGAATATGAGAGCAAAATCAAAGATCTCAACGACCGGATTGAAGCCGAACGGAAGAGTAGTCAAAGGCACAGAACCGAAGCTACAACGGCGCAGCAGGCTCTGAAAAAGTTGCAACGCCAACTAGAGGAAGACGCCGTGGAATTCGACCCAGAGTTTTATAACGAGACCTTGGTAAGAACTCACAATACTCCAGTATATATCCCGGTATGCTAATGATAACCTCAGAGAGAAAAACGCCGCGAGAAGCGTGTACTAGAGGGGAAGGCCACTGAAATCAAAGACAGGAGGAAACCAATCGCTACGCAGCGCGAGCAAGTCACGAAGAACATTGAACAGACTGAAAATCAACTGAAGAATCTGGACTCAGTCTCTGGTCAACAAGAACACAAGTTGGGACAACGGTCCAGAGATTCGCTGAAAGCCTACAAATGGCTTCTTGAGAACCAAGACAAATTCCAGCAGGAAGTCTTTGGTCCTCCAATCATTACGTGCTCGGTCACCGACCCTAAATACGCCGATGCTGTTGAGTCCTTATTGTCCAAGACGGATTTCACGTGTTTCACCACGCAAAACCGGAAGGATTTCCGTACGTTGCAAGAATGCCTTCTCGGGACCTTGAAGCTCCATGATATTACCATCCGCACTTGCACGCAGCCGCGAGCTAGATTCACGGAGCCAATGTCGAAGGGTGAAATTACCCGATGGGGCTTTGATGGCTGGGCTAGTGAATTCCTCGTCGGCCCTGACCCTGTCCTTGCAATGTTTTGTCTCGAGAAAAACCTTCACGCAACTCCCATCGCATTGAAGGAGATTTCAGATGAGGTGTTCAATCAGTTGGAGAATAGCTCGATAAGCTCCTGGGTATCTGACAGGAACGCTTATCAGGTGACCCGCCGGAGAGAGTATGGCCCTGGGGCCACATCGACTCGGGTTCGAGAAATCAAGCCTGCTACAACGTGGACCTCCCAGCCTGTTGATGCCTCTTTGAAACAGCAATACCGGGAGAACATCGAGCTGTATAAGGAGCAACTGCAAGGACTTACTAACAAGATTGAGTCCGAGAAAGCGGCCATTTTACAGATACAAGAAGAATATAAGCGGTGCACCCAAGAAATGGTAATTTGCATCGTTTTTGTGGTTTTTATTTACGTTCATTTACTGATCCTCTCTACAGGATGAGCTTGAGAAGGAGAAGATTGCAAAACAGACGGCCCATACCCAGTATCGAGCCATTCCCGAGAAGATCTGTATGTTGAAACGTCATTCTGCCGTCTAGCCATTTGTCTAACAACTTGCAGCTCAACAAGAGGCCAAAATCAAGACCATTACCGAAATGTTCAAAGAAGTGGGTGAGAGGGTTCGCGAGATGCGCAACGCGCAAGATGATCTTGCAATTCAAAGGGCTGAGGCTGCTATTGAATATGCCGTAAGTTTACCATCCGCATAGGTGTTTACATTCATCTGACGCAAGTCAGGATGCCGTCGAGCTGTTCCGTCGGGCTCATGAGGAACTCATGAAAGTCGAGGTGCTGTTCTTAGAGGCGAATTCCGATCTCCAGACCCTGCGGCATCGCAACAGCAATAGTGCGAAGTTACTAGCGGCAAAGAGAAAGGAGGCGCAGGAAGCTACGACCAAGTTGAGAGACACCAAATTGGCTGGCCGGGCAATTTACCAAAAGGCTCACCAGATCAGTACTGAATTGAATGAGCAAGAGGATGCGAAAGAGATCGTCGACGGGCTCTCAGACCACGATATGGACAAACTCGAAGCCGATATTGACTCTGAGAAGGCCCGACTGGAACTCACTCATGGTGGTAGTAGCCACCTGATCAGTGAGTTTGAAGCCCGTGAAAAGTCCATCGAGAAGTTGCGCTCCAAACTCGCCGACTTCAGGACCAAGCTTGAGGAGTATGGCGAAGCCATTGCGGAAGTCCGTAAGGACTGGGAGCCCCGACTGGAGGCGCTCATCGAGAAGATCAGCGATGCCTTTTCAGACTCCTTCCGCCGCATCGGATGCAATGGCCAGGTCACCTTGGGCAAAGCGGAAGGTGAACCAGGCCCCAATGGTGAGCCCGGTCCTAGCGAATTTGCCGAATGGTCGATCGTGATTCATGTCCAGTTCCGTGAAGGCGCGGGGCTTTCGGTCTTGGATTCTCATCGCCAGTCTGGTGGTGAGCGAGCCGTCAGTACCATCTTTTATCTGATGGCACTCCAGTCGCTCTCCGCCTCGCCCTTCCGCGCTGTCGACGAGATCAATCAAGGTATGGATCCTCGCAACGAGCGCATGGTCCACGGCCGCCTGGTGGACATTGCCTGTGCCTCGAACGAGGAGGACGAGAATGGGAATGCCGGCGGAGGCGGCCAATACTTCCTTATTACTCCCAAGCTATTGAACGGGCTGTCTTACAAGCCGGGCATGCGTGTGCTTTGCATCTACAGTGGAGAGCACATGCCTAAGGGCCATGATGCGGTGGACTTCCGAAAGGCGATTCAGAACATGAAGGCAGTCAAAACCGCCCGCGCAATGAATGGTACTGCTCCCGCTGCTGCCATTCGAGCCTGAGGTTGATTAGATTTCTACTGCTGAAGTTCTTGGCTCGCTCTTATTCTGTGCACACGATACCCAATTTACTCAATTATCCGGCCGGACTTCGGCCGGAATCAAATTCTTCCATAACTGTAGCGCAGCCTGACGCGTACCAACGAGCTAGCAATAAATTCTCCCTTCAAATTGCTTTGTTTGTTATGTATGTTGTAGTTATACATAGTTTACCTTCAACTTACAACAGAACTGGGTAGACACAAGAGCATTGAAGATCTGAAGATCCCTCAGAATGTCGAAGATCCTGACTCCTGAGACACCAAGTCATGACCTGCCCGACTGGGAACCAGACGTGGGTCAAGCACCACTTTCCTGCTGCGGCTCCCCTTGGCCGGTTCTTCAGACGCATGATCGGCCGCTCCGAAGTCTGTGCTTTTCGTAATACGGGGGCCCCTGGACATCAGAATCTGGATCAAGTTTCTTTAAAGAGATCCATCGATCACTGTTCTAAAAGGGTATGTAGAAAGGCCAAAGTAAAAAGGTGGGTTTAGTTAAGTTCTCTAGAAGGGGTTTCTCTTTCCACCATCTTCTTTGATCATTAGTTTTGTTGCTCTGACCGGAAATCGACGCAACGGATTCACATCCCTGCTCTGATCGGACGATTCGACAAAAGGAGAAAGGGATCGCTGCTCGCTTGTAGAGAAATGGAAATTAAAGAAACAAAGAAAAGCCTCGTGCATGGGAAAAAAGCAGAGCTCAGATCGACGGACGTTTCCGCCGCAGATCATCCCCTCCGGAGGTTTCCAGGCCAATCAGAGGCTGCGGTTAGCCATTTCGCTCGCTAAGACCAACTCTAATTGACGTGGGCTTTGTCTCGCTGCATTTAGCCATACTTTGTTTACATGTAGAGGGTCATGTGTGGGAGATACGTGTTCTACTATTCTATCTGTCCCTGCAAGTTAATATGTTGCATAACTATGTTATACTATATAATCCGTACGCAGCTCATCTAGATCAACTTAACCCTCATAATTAAATGTACCAAGGTCGAAAAGAATAAACTTCCAACAAACTTCCCAGAAGCAACCTAATTTCACCTTCTCAACTCTCCCCAAATAAACTCCCAGCGACCATGGATGCCTTTCCCAACCTTCCATTTCTTGTTTCGAGCCCCTGCAATCTCATCCTTTCCTGCATCTTACCTGTAAACAACAAAGATACATCACGTTTCACTCGACACCGTGCAGCGACTTGACTCGGCGCTTGCATGCACGGCCCCCCGCCACCTCCCCAAAGCCTGATCCACAACGCATTGGTCACTTGCTTGATCCTCGTTTCCAACGGCCCCCAAATAACGTGGCTGGATTGGTCTCGGAGATATACCTCAATCCCTCAACATACTTCCAGAATCCCAAACACAAAAGACAACTTGAACCTTCCAGGAGTGGTAATTTATAGGACCTGGGGTGAGTCGGTGACGTGCCACTACCTAACATTAGGTTCAGATCCCAGCGTCGCACGATGGTTACACCATCTCGGCCGTACCCGGGCATTTAGATGTGGGCTGGGGATTTGATGTTCGTATGGAGTACTATACAGGTAGCACAGTAGATCCAACCTGCTGGTTGCGTAAAAAAAATATACAGGTGCATTGCTTGATAGACTGCAGGGTCTGGACTACCTATTTCTTTGGGACATGAGGTGCTGTACCTTGTGCCCGCTAGTGAGTCTATGATTGGAATATATATAGTGCACCATGCAAGTCCCCTTGAATCCTCTGGTCTAAGTCCCGATCCGTATCCATGTCCTGCGGCGCAGCACCAATCACCAGGAAGATGGAACCGGGCTTGTCTCCGATGGGATACTTACCGATTCAAACCATCCCACTTACGACATGGACCCGGGATACATGCAGCGTGCTTGGAATGTCATAGATCACCGCGTGGCAAGAACTGCAATACAACTCACATACAAGTATTTTATGGAACAACAGGCCACCTGCACCTTCCCAAAGAAAGTAAAAGCATAGAATGCAACGGTGTGATGATCTACAATTCTAGTCAGGATCCCTCTGCGCCCTCCCTACCAATCCCGAACCCAAACCTGCTTCTAGGAATGATCTCAACTTTGGAACGCTACTCAATCCCCGCACGTTGGAAGTTTGGAACATTCAAGTGCCGACATGAAACGACAAATGGAAATCACCCGTCGATCATCCGATCTACCATTAGCGTGTAGACAAGACCCCGGTTGATGTATATCGCGCCACTACAGTACAACAGTAGACACTCTGAAACGGAGCCTCGTCCACACAGGGATCATTCACCTTTTCCATGTCCTTGACCAAATCAACAACGGAACCTCGCGCGATATGATCACTGGCTGTCGTAAACTCTATACAACATACAAGCATGTGTGTCTGATCCATCTGCAGACGCAATGTAAGCAATAGCAGGACCGGGCGCTGGGTTCCTTTGATTGGGTTTACGAGATTTGCCATTCTGGTAAGCGATCAGTGCCATGGTGGGTTGTGTGCACATGTGCATGTGTATGTCCATGTATCTGGAATCTTGTAACTGTCATGGGTGCGGTTTGGTAGAGGACGAAGGAGAAAGGAAGGGGAAGAGGCTGGAGGCGAATGATCAGACCCCTGCCCCACTACACGCCTAACCCAATGGCCCGATGTGTGATCTTGGAAGTACTTGGAAGTACAGTCATCATTGCATGGATGCAGTTGCATACGGTGGGATGAGTTTGTGCAGCGTGCTGGAGTGCGTGGAGTCTGAATATGCATTTGGATGTGGAATGTTGTGAATCTGGGAAATCGTAGTGTCCTAAGTCATGTGGGGTTGTAGTAGGGGCTGCGTGGGGGTTTACACACATGTCATGAATCATGATGTGGATGGTATTTCAAATGAGGGATTATCAATAAATCCTGTTGATATGCAGAGTGTTCTCGAAGCCGGAGAAGGATCGAGCATAAGGGGATTACAACATAGGAGGGAGAAATTGGAAGGAAGTGGGTGGTGGGAAAGATGCCCGAATAGGCAGGACGTCAATTAGAGTTGTATGTTAGACAGCAAGTGAACTTTATTCATTGTGCATAGTCTGAGGTCATACTAGTTAGTAGTTCAGTAGCATAACTGTTCGAGTGAAACCAATTATCACGGCACTATCAGATGGCTTCGGACACTATGCCCGGAAATATAGCTTCATCTGGCCTCATCCGATTAGGAAGATGGTTTCATGCAACATGAAGGGTAACAAGGATTGATTTCCCGGGTGTTTCACATCTTAGCTTATGCAAAGAGCGCAGATCACCGATATCCATACGATGGTACAGTAGTAACAGTACTACCCCGATCCATAGGTGGAAAAGTTGACATCCATGTTGTAAAAGACGCCTCGGCAACCAGCCTCGGCACCGGATCTACGTTTACCCAACATGTTTCTCCGAAAGGGGGAACAGGACCACAATTTTGCGGATCTACCGATGACAGAAGATCCATATGATCCATACTACGTATCACCTCCCTAAAATAGTCGAGTGAAATACTGAGTAGTACAACGAACGCTGTGAATTTCCATTTTTTGAGGCAGAAAAATGGAGATCACCTGGTCAGTTCGCCCATACACAGTATGCTTACTCCGTACCTGTCCCCGTATCTTGTACTCCGTATCTTATGGTACTATATTAAACATGCCGCGGCGCCCCACGGGCGATCTTAACACGGGGTTTATACCCAAAGAGGAAAGGGTACGGTCGGTAAGATCCCGGTTAGCCCTCATTCAATTTGGGGATCGCGCTTGACGAACTCGTCTCACGGACTCAAGGCATGCCGATTGTCAATCTCTCGCTTATTTCACTTGGCTATGCGCTTGGACTCCATGCTAGGCCACTTCGGTGCACAGCGCGGAATAACCCCAGTTTCACTCGGTACTTCGTAGTCCGTACAATAGTCCTTCTTCCATGCTCCTGCCCCGTACTTGTAACCTGGGGCCTGATTTACCCCTTGGTACTCCGTATTCTCGGTCCCGACTCCGTAGTCCGTGGGCACGAGAGCCCCTGCCGGATCTGCTTTAAAGACGGTCAAACTTGTCGGGCGATCGCTGTCGATCACCCTCGTATGGCATTCTGGTTCTAGCAGGTGATTAACGTTCTTTTGCTTTTTCTCTAGTTGCCTCCTATTTTGTTTTGGTTGATCCCTTTTTTTGCTTTTTGCGTTGTTGATGTTCTATTATTACTCTCCCCCCTGATTTTCAGGGCTCGGGTTCGGGTACGGCTATACGAAGGGGATACGCTGACAATCGACGGGCTCCCGAGATGATTGCCGTTCTTAATTTTCGGGCTGGAAGGATGATCAGACAACGCTGGGATATTAGATATCAGATCCTGGAGGAATAGGGAGATCCATCGATCCGCGAGGATGGTTACATGTACACTCCTGCTTGTTGACATCGAACAGAGGACAATGTTTTTACGGAGTAAGTAGTGGAATCGAGCAGGCTAGAACTACCGAGATCAATTGATCAAGGCGTCATCTAATCTAAATCTCCAGATCGCGTACTAAGATGGCGATAGGATCTCTGTGTTCGCAAGTATTAGTACATACAAGTTGGACGTAGTAGCAGGGGCCAAAATACGCGTAGGATAGGTATCTGCATTACGTGGGGGACTGCATCGGAGACATGCCCTAAACGGTCGTCGTTAAGCGAGATGATGGGCGATCATTGCGCTGAGTCAGTAGGAGCTATGGCCAGCGGTTATCCCCTGAACCTGAACCTGGATCTTCGTTGATCCACCGATAACTTTTTCGAATAGGAAGGAAGTTATTTGTCGGGATTGAACGTTATGTAAATCAAGTTGAAGATGTGAGTTTGTACTTGGGAATGAGGTCATACGTCATTCCTGGAGAAAGGCGCGAAGCGATCCACTTTAGGAATGGGCATGGAAGTGACAAGAGTCAAGACTCATTGGACACGTTCGTAATATTTATATCCAATAGTGGATAGAAACTATCTGCATAATCAGGATGGAATATGTTCACTAAGAGTCGGTCGTCGCGGGAAGATCCTATGCAGATATCCTGGTGATCAGATGCAGAGAGGTGCATCGGATTGAATGCCAGATTAGGGCTTGATGCCACGTGAAAAAATAAAAATCATCATAAAAACCTAAATGAGGTTGCATACTTGCATACAGTAGCATTTGTATATGCGATCCCCAGTGGCAGTAGTACTAGTATGTCTAATAAAAGCACCTTCCAAAGTAGTACAAGCGCAAGATCGGACATACCAATTGCCGATCGGCGTCCAAACCGCCACGGAAGCTTAGGGATAATTCACAGTGACCCACCCTGATGTGGCCAGGCCACTTAACTGCGTACAGTTCATTTACAGTTTCTAACATGTCGGCAGGCCACAATTTGACTTTTGTGAATGTCGCTCGTCATGACTTGGAGATGCTTGGCGACCTCGCTTTTAATTTTAATTATGGTTTGGGTTTTGATAGCTGAAACACCGACGCTATGTGATACAGCAGATGTCTGCCGCATGCAAGTGCCATGTGTTTGTCAAGGCCCCTCGCAAAGGCAACCAATGGACATCGCAGCCACTGCATCCAGCGTATATCGAGACAGGATGTGTAGGAAGTATGATGCCAGCCTCTACTCCCCCCTACGTCGTGCAGAAGACAAGACATCGTCACATAAGATCCGAGTGCTTCGCGTGGCTGGAAGCCATGCTTTAGCCCCACTGATTTGCGATCAGTGCCTCGACCTGGGTCATGCCCAATGAAAAAAAGGGGGAGACAAGTCGCGTGGCATGGGCCCAGTGCCCCGGGATCACAAAGCGATCCGCGATCACGGCTGAATCCGTTGCCTATCCGGATCTATGGCCTAAAGAGGATAGCTTGATCACCGTTTATATCCAGTGCGGTTCTGATGGCCCGGACTATTGATTGTTGACTGGAAAATGTGAAGGCGTACGTGGCTTCAGATAATTGAAATGTCGCAGTTGTGAAATTAAGAATGACATAACTAGGAGAAATAACATTTAAATTAACATTTGAAGTCAAAATGTAGATGGACCATGTAAACGCAATGTCGCTTCCACGGGACTCGAGCGGATCACATTTTTTCCCGGTTCCATCACAAAAAGGAAAGATAGGCTTCTAAGCGAAGTTTTGGCAAACGATGATTGAAAGTGTATTCTATATATGACATTTTTGTCTCAGGGCTATGACTGACGTACATGACGTTGCTTAAATATTATCTGGTTGTTGAATCGATACAATCGCCATAAGCATGTATGCTGGGCAGAACCAAGGGGCCAAAGGAAAAGACCCAATCAATCGCTTCGGAATACCAAGACCGGGACCAGACCCAATTGAGCATAGGCGATCCGTACCAAGTGCCGACAAGGGGTTGATCATCCGCAGGCCCGGGGCGATCTTGACGCTCGAGCCATTCGAGATTACCGATATCTTAGACGACTTTATTGCAATGTGAAAAGATATATTTGGAACGTAACTGTACATGGCAGATGTCGGAATAGATTGAAATAAACAACAACCCATATTGCATCCCCGTCGCGATGTTATACAGTTCATTCTACAATTTCACTTCCGTCATCAGCGATCTCTCGTAAAGGGCTAAAATAGTGGAGCTCGCTTCCACGAGGCCGGGATGGACCCACATCTAACGGCCAATCCTCAGTCGCGCTGTGCAGAAATCGTGCACGGCCGAAAATGGCAAAAGGTATGGTAATAGGAGGTAATGTTCCAGAACGACGATCGTTTCAATAACCCGTTTTGCCTGATAACCATCCATACTCCGTACTTGAATTCGCTTAGCATCGAGGAATGATCTTCAGGAGCAGGGTCTTGATCGGCTTCTAGGCCTTCTCACCTTCTTAACCGAGTATGGGTTCACGCAACTGCCGCGATCTGGCCTTGCTCCAGTCTGTATGATCTACGATCAATCTGCGTCTTACCAAAATGTAGGGGAACTGTTTATCTATGTACCTACCAAAGTGGGAAAATGAGGTTTTCCGCCCGCGTACCTTATATACGGTAGAGTGCAGACATACGATCCTTCAATCGTACCTGTACGAAGTAAGGTTCGTGTAAGCGAGCCTCAAGCCCCAGGGCCATGGGTTAACTGTTTCAGGCATTTATCTCGGTCTCGCCCCTAGCGCTTAGAGCCGCCCTTGGTGATTAGGGCTCGCTCGGAATCAATTGCGCCGGTGATGAGTAATTAATAGATGAAATTAAATCGCCAACCCACGGTTCCATGGATATGTTCCCTGGCGGCGTATGAGCTGCGCAGGTGTAAATAGGATTCCGGAGGTGTAACCCAAATTGGACTAGCGCGGATCCTTGTGACCTTCCCTTTTCACTTCCTGCGCCGTTTTTCCCCATAGCCACGCGACGAAATGATCTCCTGAACCGTGTCATCCCCGTGTTTTGATCTTTATTCAATGTCTGTATGTGTCCGTGTGAGTGTTATAAACAGAGCCCAAGGAGAGTGAGAATTAGCGACGAGACTGAAAATGAACATCCTCACCATTGTCTTCGCTTAAATTCGCAGATCAATAGATCCCTGATCGATCAAACCGTTTATGGGGGCATGAAGTAGTATGTGACAGGTCCAGCAGGATCTGCACTAACCGTAGCCGAGGTGCAATCGTCCAACGGGGTCTCTACGGCCTCCCCAATTAGGTTTAGGGGGCTGCACATCTCACAAGGCTGGGTGGTTAGGGCCTCTTCCTTTATTTTTTCGCGTGGGGCAATCGTCATTCCCCACGTTAATCTCCGGAATTATATTTGTTTTATCTGATTTGGTATTTTAAAATTGAATTATCCAAATCTAAAACAGAAAATTCAATTAATTTAAGCTTTGAAGCGGACTCTGTCTCATAGAAAAAAGAAAGAAAATAATTTAAAGGCAAAAAAAAAAAAAAAAAAAAAAAACAAAATGCCGTAACGTAAATCGTAATTTGCCTGAGTCGGCAGCCTCCGCTGGCGATCATCCAAAGCCGCCCGCCTGCTTTGTAGGTATAAACCTCGTGGCATCCCCCACTCATTGAACAAAGCTGGAACTTGAAACACATCTGGATCAACTCGAAAACATCCAACTTCACCATGGATCTCGCCAGCCTTCTATCTCACAGCACGGCTGTGAAGCCTTCATACACTCCTCTCGAGTCCAGCTACTATAAGCGCTCCGCGCCTTTGTCGCCGCCCGCCGAAGAGCCCAGAGTCTCGCTGCCTTCAATCTCATCTCTCTTCGAAGGTGCCGATGGTGCTCAACACGCAGCCAGTGAGTATTCCAATAGTACATCAATACCCAAACACACATAACTAACCTTCTCCGCAGAACGTCAACGCCTCTCACCATCTCTCGGTGACCGTCATGTGCGCATGCAGTCCTACGAACTGCCTCCAACACCACCTCTGCGTCCCGGTTCCGGCCACGGGCACCACCTCCACAGCCGGGCATCACCCGCAGAGTCCCTCCCTCACAAGGAACCCCACCACCTGCACCGGGCCTCCATCTCCAGCAGTGGCTCAATCCACATCGCCCGCAACACAGGACCCTACGCCTCGCCCGCTCCAAGTGTCTCATCCTACTCCCCCATCGACACTCCCCAACAGCAGCAAATGTACTACCCCCGCCCACCAACCGCCTCATCCTTCCAACCCTCAACACCCGCATCAGCAACCCAGATGCCCCAGCTGCAAACCCAATCCCAGCAGCCCCAGCCGCAATCTCACTCCTCGGCTCTCATCTCCCCGGTCACCCCGGCCTGGCAGCACCACCACTACTTTCCGCCCTCAACCTCTGCCCCTTACCAGCAGAACCACGACCGCTATATCTGCCGCACTTGCCACAAGGCTTTCTCGCGGCCTTCTTCGCTGCGCATCCACTCCCACTCGCACACGGGCGAGAAGCCCTTCCGCTGCACGCATGCTGGCTGTGGCAAGGCGTTCTCGGTGCGCAGCAATATGAAGCGTCATGAGCGTGGCTGTCACTCGGGTCGCCCGGCTGCGGCTGTTGCTACTGCGCTTGTTGTATGAGTGCTTGTGGATTTGATGTGTATATTTCCGCGCTTGGCCTATGTTTTTCTTAAAAATGTCTTTCCTATGTTTGGTGGGGGGTTTCTTTTGTTTGGCGTTGTGTGTGATGCCGTGATGATACCCTGGATCTTGGCTATGATTCTTTTTGGATTCTCATTTGGTTTAGATGGGTCAGATCTATAAACCACTTATGTATATAACACATTATGATTCTCAATGTACATTCTATGATCAGACTTTAACTCTTTTTCAGGACTCGTATTTGTCTTAGGGTTTGTACCTAGTTTCTTTGTATGCATGTCCTTGGACCGGGTAAGTCAATGTACTGGACAAGAGAGATGTGCGTTGACAGCCAGCCATGAATGAGTCTAGACAAGCGGCCTAACTCCCCCTTGTCTGTCGTAGTCATGTCCAAATGGATGGATGCACCTTGAAGGCGAGGCCCATGGCTGCCAACATCAACCTCCGTATAACACAAGGACAACATCAAGTCAAGGGAATGAGCTGTTCAGGAACCTAGTAAGTATGTACAGTCATTCATTCTTCTCTATGTATACCCGAGAATGTATCATCAAATCATTATCAACATAAACCATTCCTCCAAAAACCCAATATCCAAACCATATCTCAACATCAAACCGGCACAAAATCCCAAAACAATCGCCAATCACCTCCAGATCTACTCATCCAAAACCCCCCTCGCCATCGCAGCAAGACTAGCCTCATACCTCGCCGGATTATGATCACTCAACATCCCCCCAGCAAACCTCAACTCCCCAAACCAAGCATCAACATCCCTAATAAACCGAAGCTGCACGCGCGTCGCCGGCCTTCCCAACCTTGGATACCCATCGCACCCCAGATCAGGAGCCGTAAAGGCATCCCGCTGCAGCACGCGCATAGTCTCAACGACAAACACCTCACCCGGCGGCATGAGTTTCGGCGCACGCATCTCATCCCGCAACAGCCGCAGCGTCTTCCATGCCCAGGCGTCCTCGCCAACACCGTCACCGGCATTAACGACCAGCGGCGGCTGATTGACGTAGAATTTGTGAATGATGCTCTGACGGAGCGAGTCGCGGAGGCGCTGACGGATGTGCGCTTTGGCACCTACCGCGTCGTCCTTGAAGGATACTGACGCCGTGTGCATGTCGTGCAGAATCCCCAGGGACAGACTGGGGACTATGTCTGAGCCGTTGACGATTGTTGTTATTAGGCCTCGGGTGGCGAGGCGGAGGAAGGGGGACATGCAGGCTGGGGGTCCGTAGGCGTAGACGTGAATTGGGCGGTTTGCGGGGAGGGTGTAGGTTGGCGGGCTGGGGTGTGGATTTGGGTTGTTGTCTGTGGCTAGGAGACGGGGACGCGTGGCAGATTGGTAGGAGGCTGTTACGAAGGAGGTGCCTGTTGGGGAGGGGTTGGGTTCTGAGATCATTGTTGCGAGGAGGGCGGCGACGCCGCCGCCGAGGGAGTGGCCGCAGAGGACTATGCCGTAGTCTTGGAATTCTTCGAGAGCGGCGCGGAGGGTGATCATCACGCGGCCGCCGCCGCCTTCCAGGAGACGTTTGGCGGAGCTGTGCATGCCTTTGTGTACTTTCCAGCTTCTGCCTTGCCATTCTAGATTGTCGTACTCGCAGGTCATGTCGGTGAGGATGTCCTCGAAGCCCCAGGTTCCGCGAAGGGTCAGGACTATGGCTTTGGAGTCGTGGTCGATGGATAGATAGTGAACTAGCGGGAAGCCTGTTTCTGTCTCGCCGGCTGCGTTTGAGCCACCGGCTGGATCGACGAAGGACGATAGGAGAATCGTAGAGGGTGGGAGACCTGCATTCTCCGAGAAAGCACTATGCTCGTGGCCGTCTGACCGGGTACTAGGGAGAAGAGTCTTCGGGTCTCTGGGTACACCCATGACCTTGAGTGCATTGGAGCCATATGAGGCAGCGGAGAACCGGCAGAACCGGCGGATGTTCTGCACAAAATGCCTCTCCGGAAAGATACCTGGAACGAATCCATCACGGTTGAGGGCCTGGATGGTTTCCATATCTTCATATGCGCTTTTGCGAGGCCGATGGGCAAGAAGCAGCGACGTTTCGGAACCTGCCGTTGCTAGGGAATATAGGCTGGGTGTATATGATTGGGACCTGCGGTGTAGAGCCGAGGAACCGGGACGGCTATCATTCGCTGGGACCGTGCCCTCTGTTTCAGACCTAGTCACAGACATGGAACTGCTGCTACGAACGTGCGTTCGGGCTGCGGAAGGTGATCCAGGCCGCATGCCAATCCCACGGCGTGAGAGGAATGTCTCGGTTTGAGTGAGGAGGGACTCTTGACTCTTCTCCCGCATTGCAAAATGGCTCCCTCGTGAGCCACGAGAGGCATAATGCGGTGGCGCATGTTTTGCTTGAGACTGTGGCGAGAGGCTCTGGGGGCCGTTTTGGAACGATGGCCTTCGCAAATTTCTACTTGAAACAGGGGTTGTCGGCCGATGGCTCAGAGGCTCACTATGGGTCTTTTTGACATCGGGTCTACTAGAGACTTCCTGTGCAGTAGTTTGATTCGCTGATGTAGTTCCCTTCGTAGGCCTGGGCGGTAGACGGGGAACAGACATCCCCGATGAGCCAGCGGCTTTTGGGGCTGGCTTCTTCGGTGGCGGACGCTTGGTTTCGTTTCTTTCCAGACCAGCTGGCTTGACCCTCTGTGCAAACTTCGACAACGTAGCTTTGCTGAGTCCAGATTTAGGAGATACCGACGGAGATTCGGGAGTTATCTCGCGGCGTTTGTGTGAAATGCCATGCTTGACATCAGGATTCGAGTGCGACCGGTCAGAAGGAGACTTCACTGTAAGCAATGGGCTGTCTGGCAATGGACGTTTATAGCTTTCCGATCCAGGCAGATCAACAATCCCGGAGCCACCATGAGGTCGCAGCTGAGTGCTCTGAGATTTGTTGAAGGCTGTTCTGAATACCACAGTATGCCTGGGCTGCCGTCTCCGACTGTTGGCGATACCTGTATCGCTGTAGTCTTGATCATGATGGAATCTCTCCGCGATCATTTCAGTCCCAGGTGGCGGGGCGATCTCTGCCATATCATCATCGTAGATATCGACTGTGATCGTTCGCGCCGTCTGGACCTCCGATCTGATGGACGCATGGCAACCCTGAGGGAGTTGGCTCATGATATAAGCACGGATATCCTCATCCGAGGCTTGCCCCTGGCCACTCAATGGAAGAGAGAGACGAGGGTCTGAAGGGTCGTTAACGCTCGACCGTCGGACTGCACCAAAAGTTTCCTCGTCATTCCCAGGCATCACAAAAGAAGCACTGCCAGGCTCAACCGACTCCTCAGTCTCCCGACTGGGGAACTGCAGCTGATGGGACCCGATCACGTCTGCTCTTGCGCCGTTGTCCAGGATGACCACATCCCAAATTGTCTCGTCCCCTCCATTCTCGCGCAGCTGCCTTTCGGTGCTTTTCTTACCCCAACGCTGCAATAGTGCAAATCCTAGAGAGCCGACGAGTAGATCACCAACGCCAATGTTCTCGGTATTTGCACCGGGCTCAACTGATCTAAACTCACGCCGAATGAGCGTGATTATGGCGGCAATGGCCCTTGAAGACTCGGTGGACCCAAGAATGGCGTCCAAAGTAGACAAAAGTGCCTGCGAGAGGTTTGAGATTGAAGACAAAGTGGTCGACGAGAAATGGAAAGTCGCTGCGGCGAAAAATGACGCTGAAGTTACTGTTGTGTGGAGTGCCGCCAACTAGACGTTGTCAGGGGTCCCGTCGCGTCCGAGGGGATCTGATAAAGAACATACACTTCTCTCGAGGAGAGATTCCACCTCTGCCCTACCATGATCATCACTACTACGAGTAGCGACGTCTCGTCCTGCCCTTGTCAAGATCCCTTCGACCAACGCCCGGCTTAGTTCCAAGCTGGTCAAAGTCGTGGCTCGCGCGCCATCCAGGGCAGCCCCGCCAAAGAATGTGCCCAGTCGCAATGATAGCGACGTTGACTGGGTAATCAACGATATTAACGACGCGACTGGCCGCGGGAGTAGAGTCGATCCTGAGGCTGGTACGTGAGCATGTGCATAGTCCAGGCTCATCTCAACGTCATCTTGAAGTGGTTCGGGGTTTGCCCGCTCACGAGACTCAAACATATTGATAGAGATGGAGAATACGAAAATGATTGAGCCATGAAGAGATGAATCAGATGATTGCTACAACTATACAGTGTAAATGATCTAGGTAAGCCAGTTCGTGGTACCTGGCTGGCCCAACCAAGAAGATCGGCGCTTTTCACATGTGATCAGCCTCCATTTCCAAGATTTCGCTTCTGATTTTCTTCCCATCTACATCATCGCCTTCACATCCCCTCCATACTGAACCTTGCGCATTTGGTCCCGGTTGCAATCTGCTACTCTGCGAATTCCTGATAGTCCCATGTTCTGCCACAAATCGGCCAACAGACCCTTCAGTACCTGCCGGGCCCCATCTCGGCCCTGGATGCTCAGCCCGTAGATGACCGGGCGACCAACCAGGACTGCTTTGGCTCCCAAACACAATGCCTTGATCACATCCGATCCTGTTCGAATACCAGAGTCGAAAAGTACAGTTATCTTATCGCCGACTGCGTCAACAATCTCCGGGAGGACATCCAAGGACCCAATAGCACCATCCACTTGGCGGCCTGGACAAATGTCAGAAAGCAAAAACATGATAACCCTTTGTCTAGTGAACCACTTACCACCATGATTAGAGACCACGATACCATCGCATCCAGCCTCTACCGCCAGTTTCGCATCCTCCACATGCTGGATCCCCTTCAAAACCAAAGGCCCATCCCAGTTCTTTCGCAAGAAAGCCAAATCCTCCCACGAATGCGGGTTCCCTGCGAAAATATCACCAATCCAAGCGCGCGAAGCACCAACAATATCCTCCTCGATCGTCGAACCCGATTCCTTCTCGAACTTAGCCCGGAAAACAGGATCAGAGAACCCGACCTGGTTGCCAACCCCCTTGATAAAGGGGACGTAGGCGTTATCCAAATCGGCCGGTCGCCACGCCAGCGACCAGGTATCCAAGGTGACGACCAGAACCGAGAATCCATTCTCCTTCGCGCGCTTTAGCAGCGAAAGCGTGACGTCGTTGTCCCTCGGCCAGTACAGCTGGTACCATCGCTTGCCATCCTTATTGGCGGTCGCAACCTCTTCGATCGAGCTCGTGCTCGCTGTGCTCAATGTATATGGCACCCCGACTTCCTCGCATACCTCTGCAAGACCTGTCTCCTTGTCTTCGTGGAAGATACCCTGTACGCCGACCGGGGCCATGATCAGGGGGTTGTCGTATTTCTGGCCGAAGAGCTCGACCGAAACGTCTTGCTCGGGTGTCTGGGTACGTCATCAGTTAGTGGAAATGTAGATTGTAGTCTGTTGTAAACTGTTTTATCTCACATTTCGCATCATCCGAGGGATTCTATGAGGCTCGACGGTTAGTTTCTAGGTATTGCGGTAAGCAGCTAGAATACCTACAGCTTCCACTGTCGAAATGCCAGCCGGTTGCTATCCATTGTCGCTTTCTCGCCTGCTCCACCGGCGACATAATTGAATGCACGGATGCCCAGAGACTTTTTGGCTTGCTCCTCTAGCAGGCGGGGGTCGGTGGTTACTCCGGGCACCAGGCTCATCAAGGCGCCCTTGCCATAGATCTCCGTTTGATAACTGCCGTAATTGTCAGACATTGTGAATTAAAATTGTCGGTAACCAGGAGGTTGAAGAAATCAGGTCGGAATCTTGGGGAGCTGGGGTAATGGGGATAACTATGCCTCAAATCCAAGTGCGGAGACGAGATGAACCGAGGCTCCACGGCTTCGTGCGTCACCATCTTCTTGGTTTTGCTTCCCAGTTGGAGCTTCATTGTTATCCAAAATTCACTCGAAAGCCCGCCGAGTTTTAGTGAGCTGTATAATTACCGCGAGATCGAAGTCGTCGTCCATCCCACTGAAAGGGAGCGGCACCAGTGAGCCCATCATAACGCAACGAGAGCAAGTTCCCCATCTATAAGCCGCGACTGATACATCTTCGGATTAAAACTGGAGAACCCCATCTCCATCAACTCAAGACGACTGTGAGTAGCATCCGTCGCATTAGACACATGCAATGTAAAGCTCCAGAGAAGTATGCAGTGGAAAACCAGATTGATCAAGGTCTCTCGCCAGGGATCCTAACGTTCAGCCACTGGAATTGACATCCATACTACCCCATTGGCTGAGATGCCATGGACCCGAGTGAGTTGTCTCACCGAACTGGTTGTTCTTGTGTTGACTGTTCGTAGCACTTTCCCGTCTCTAGCTGTGAGGAGCCACCCTCTACCCGACTACTCGAAGCTACATTGCGAAGGAGACAAGTTTCGAAAAAGGAAAGCTGAGTATATTGACACTAGAAAGTGTGTCAACCGACACATGAAGAAGTAAGAACATTGATGGGTATCTTAAACAAAAATAAAGCAGCACATCATGAGAAGGGCCTATCCCTCGAACCATTCCCTGGTCATCCCGAGACCATCCCAAACCAGCCCCGAAACCCATCATGCTGACTTCCAAATCTTGATAGTCATATCGTCAGAGGTATAGACAATCATTCTTCCATCGCGCCCCAATACAATGGCCCGAACCCAGCCCGAATAGCCAGTCACTACCTGGGCACAAATGAAGTTTGACGGTGCAGCCCATACACGGATCGTCAAGTCGTCAGCTGCCGATGCCACGTTGTTCCCGTCTTCAGAAAACGCAATCACACGCAGAGGCCCAGAGTGTCCCTGGAGGACATTAAGAGCGGCGCCAGAAGCTGTATCCCAGATGCGCACGGTCTTGTCCTGCGACCCGGACGCCAGCAGCTTCCCATTGGGAGAGAAACAAACAGCTCTAATCGAGGCATCATGGCCACTCAGTTTATGAAGCTCATTGCTGGTGGTCGTATCCCAGAGTCGGATTGTATTGTCGTCTGAGGCTGAGGCGAGGGTCTTCCCATCAGATGAGAAGGCCACAGTACGCACCCAGCCCGTGTGTCCAGTGAAAATCTTGAGCTGCGAGCCCTCCATCGAATTCCATAGACGTACAGTGAAATCATCAGATGCCGAAGCAAGAGTTTTTCCATCAGGTGAAAATTCCACAGCGCGCACTTTGCCTGTATGGCCCTGCAGTATGCGGTAGGTGAAGCCCGTGTTGGCGTCGCTGATGCGAATCGTCATGTCATCGGAAGCAGTGGCCAAGAGTCGGCCCATTGGGGAGAATCTCACGGAGCGAACCCAGCTGGCATGACCGTTGTCCCTTGGGATGCCGCGCTGGTGACCGGTTTTGGCGTTCCATAGACGGATCATCATGTCGTTAGAAACCGAGGCCAGGATTTCGCCATCTTTGGATAATGCTACTTCCCAGATCCAGCCGGTGTGACCATCAAGGGTCTTGGATGCGACAAGCTTCCCAAGAGAAGGGGAGGTCGGATTCATTGGTGGAAGATATAATTTTTTTCCCCCTGGATAATTTTTGTTGTGCGTGATCCAGGAAAGTGGAAAGCAAGGATGTGAATGTTCCAAATCTCCGGGGATGAAGGAAGGAAGAATGCAACCTTCAAAGAGTAGCAACTCTAGGAGTTGTTTGCAAAGCTTTGCTGTGAGACGCGTGGGCGTGGAGGATTTCTCATAGTGAGAGTTGCAGTCACAAGTGTCAGAGATATGTGCCCGTCAGCAGTGCATTGCGGGGTGAACAGGATTGCAAGGGGAAAAAGTCCCGTTCATAGCAGACGATAAGTGTATCCCAAATTTGACTATGCGCAGAAAGAGTCGGAAAGTGATAGTCCCTGACTTTTCGTGCTCGTTTCTTGCAGCAAATCACAGGCACAAATAGGCAAAAATGACCGCGGGATTCGATATTAGGTAAGCTGGCTAGGCCCGGGTCGATCCCGATCGGCTGACCTTTGCTACTTCGTACAAGACGTTGTACTTGTGTAAAATGAACTTGCTATAGGTAGCAGAAACATCGTCTTTTACCTTCAATGTTACCTATGATGCATGTACTTGGCAGTCCCATTCCGTTTTAGGGCTCAGGCCTTGGCGCTTTTTGATCTCAAAGCAAAATTGAGCACACCACTCGGAGCCACTCACAGATCAGGATAGAAGCTGATTAAGCGTCGTATGACTATGTATCACATGACCTTGAGTTCTGATCGAGGATCGTCGATCTACTGTGTATTTCAGAGGTTACCTCACTTACCTGATCAGTGATCAGGCTGGGGCTCGCATGGTCGAATCATGTCCACTTTCTGCGAGACGAAGTAACAGGTTTTGTGGTCGGCTTTTACTGTGATGCGAAAGATGAGCGAAAGAAAAGCATGTGGGGTACGATGATCTACGTGCACGTGACCTTGATCGAGCCGGAGGCGAGCATCAAAGGGAAAGGAAAAGGTTCCTCGTGTACAGCCAAGTAGCCGTGTGGGTAGCTCCTGGAGACCCAAGGAACCTAGGTTACCTTTCAGTCTTAGTGATACATAGTTGGACTTTCTGTGGTGGCACTGACATGACCATGATGCATGCTGGCCTCAGGCACCGATTTCTTCGCCATCCTACTTACTTAAAAAGCGACTTGAAGCCACATGAATGATTGGTGAAATATCCTGTACTTCGTATTTAGCTGTGAACGAGATTACCCCTGCATCTAAGAAGGAAGAAATACCGAACATAATCAACCAGCACTGGTGACTGCACTGGTCTGTTGACAGGGGCCTTATCAATCGGCGGCAAGGGCCACCCAATCCTTGGCACTAGCCAACTTTAATTCTTCCCGGTGACTTTTTCGCGACAATTTCTTCTTAACGCTCACGTCAGCATTTAAGTTTTGTTGAGGGCCTTGGAGTCTCTCCCATGCATTCGCATCGCATCTTCACATTCTTTTGATCGCACCATGGGACATGCTGAACCCGGCATGGGTTCACTCAATGACCAAGAGCCTGACGCAGTCGACGCAGGGCCAACTCTCCTTGAAGAGCAGACCGAGAAGGTTCTCATCAGAAAAATTGACCTGCATGTCCTTCCATTCGTGGTGTTATTGTATCTTTTCAGCTTTTTGGATCGAGGTACGCGCTCAGGTGGGGGTGGGGTGCCTGACCCATCCTTGGATAACAACGTGCCTGTACGAATGCGGAAATGAAAACATTCACTGACCTGGGACCTGCAGTCAACATTGGAAATGCGCGATTGTACGGCCTTGAAGAGGACTTGGGACTGGTTGGCAACCAGTACCAAGTAGCCGTGTCCATCCTCTTTGTGACTTACTGTGTACGCATATCCCGCAATCCAGGTACCGCACGGTCACTAATATCAAGGTCCAGTTCTTCGAGGTTCCCTCGAATCTTGTACTCAAGAAATTGAGACCGTCTCGGTATATTGCCACGATCGCAGTGCTGTGGGGGACCATTGCAACTCTCACAGGCATAGTTCAAAATTATGCCGGCCTGATCGCTTGCCGAGTTCTACTCGGGGTTGTAGAAGCAGGGCTCTTCCCAGGCTTCATCACCTACCTTACTCTGTTTTATAGTAAACGGGAGATCGCTCTGCGTACAAGCTACCTGTTCAGCAGTGCGGCTGTCGCAGGAGCCTTCGGCGGTTTATTGGCTTACGGCATTGGATTCATGGATGGCATCGCCGGACTGCGAGGCTGGCGCTGGATCATGATCATCGAGGGGATCCCGACAGTTCTACTTGGTGTGGTGACTTGGTTTGGGTTGGCAGATGATCCGGACACGGCGTACTATCTCAACAAAGAGGAGCGGGAGCTTGTTGTCCGCCGCCGAAGTCGTTACACCGGCCAGACCGAGTCTGCGCAGAAATTTCACTGGGCAGATGTCAAAGAGGGTGTGCTCGATTGGAAGATCTGGGCATTTTCGATTGGCCAGTTTGGTGTCGATACGATGCTCTACGGATACAGTACTTTCCTTCCTACCATCATCAAGGGCATGGGCAGATGGACGACCGCTGAGGTCCAGGCCTTGACGATTCCTTGCTACGCACTGGGCGCAATTGCATATCTGATAATTGCCTGGTTGAGTGATCGTACCCAACAACGTGCCCTCTTCATCTGTCTCTTCAGCATCATCTCGGTCGTTGGCTATGGTATCCTGATTTCGGATTCGTCTTCGGGTGTTCATTACTTCGGTGCCTTGATGGTCGCCCTGGGGCTATACGTTGCAGTCGGCTTACCCCTAGCCTGGCTCCCTACGAACTTGCCGCGATACGCAAAACGCACCTATGCCACCGGCCTGCAGCTTACCTTCGGAAACATCAGTGGAGTCATGTCCCCTTTCCTGTATCCCAATTCGGAAGGCCCGCGCTTCGTCCGTGGTAACGCTGTCACGTTGGGGTTAGTTGGATTTGCAGGCGTTGTATATGCTGGCATGTGGTACTGCTACCGAACAATCAACAGACGCAGAGCTCAGGGTCTGGAGGATGAGAAGGTCTCGTCTTTGTCGGAACAGGAGATCCAGGAAATGGGTGATCGAAACCCCAGGTTCCTATACACCTTATAAACTTACAATCATGGGAATACTCACTTTGTCGCATCGCATTGTTATTTTTTGAGCGACCTTTCTGTTTCTTATTGTCGTGTACAAGGTGTCATCTTTGGCCACCGAGCCACGACGGGCCTTTGGTCAAGATTCAATGTGTCAGATACTAGAAACTACGTGTCGTCATCTTCCGGGGACAACGAACGCACTTGCCGTGCTTTGTATATATATTCTTCTAGCGCGAGAGCACTGGAACGAGCTACTGGCGACGCTGTTTCCTCGTAGTTCGACGCCTCCCATAATGATGATGTCATGTCTGAAGGTCGCCCCCGTGGCCAGAGGTATAAGTCCGGGGTAAAGTTAGACCAGACAACATCAACAACATTTCTTTTATCTCTGTCCCCCAAAGCCTGGTAACTAACAGACTACTCTAATCAACGCACATTGAAAATCTATGATTATGAAGCACTTAAAACCCCTTAACCGGGTATTCCAAGTGGCCACAACGGCCCACCCTATACCTCCAGACCCTCTCCGAACTACCTGTTACATTCAGTCACAAAAGAGACCCCGAGCAGAAGATCATGATGATACCCCTGGAAGGTGCATCCTTAGTCCCGCACGATCAGAAACGTGCCAATCCGGCGCAGACGGCGAAATCCCACGCCACAAACTGCCTTCTGATCCGTCTAAAACAGCACCCGACAAGGAGTTCCTCGCACGCTAAAACAACAATACAGACTGGACGGAGACACTATTCATCATTCACTTTCAGTCAGCCCTGCACATATGGATGTCAGTCAGATTGTGGACCCGACGGGCGGCGACTGATCTACAAGGAGGTTTCTCGCGTGATTTCTTTTATAGGAATTGACCAAATTGTGAGCCGAGACATTTCAAGTCTTACTTTGATCAGCTCGCTTGCAAAATATCCGCGCGACAACTGGTGAAGCTCAGCTTAGTCCAATCAGGACTCCATTCTCGTTCTCAAATGTCATGCTAATTCTTTCTGTCCACTGTCCGGTGTTATAATCGGATACAGTCGAGAATGTCTGGAAGATACGAGCCACAATGTATGTAAGCACGATCATAGCATACTGTTCTGCATGACCGACCATCAGTCTCTCGATCATAGTGGCAAGGGAACAAGACTTACGACCAGGGCATATCCTAGGGCCCTTGTTGAATGGAATGAAGCCGGACATATCACTGCTTAGATGCTCCCAACGTTCTGGATAGAACTCCTCGGGGTTGTCCCCAAAGTCATTCCCTAAGCGATGCCGAGCCCAAGTGGAAAATACTACAATATCGTCTTTTCTGATCAGAACTGGTGACTGACCATCATCTCCTCCACCACTCGGCATCGTGGTGTGTTTGTTTGCTACCCTTGCATTGAATACAACCGCTGGGAAAACTCTCATCGCTATGCAAGCGATAGTATCAGCGTATTTCTCACACCAATGTATCGAGAAGGCAGCCTCACCTTCATGGAGTACCCAGCGTACATAGTGTAACGCTCCCAGCTGAGTCCACGTTGGCGGACTAGTCCCAATGGTATCAATGATGCTTGCCCTGAGCTTATGGACTACACGTTCGTCCTGAGATAAGCAATACAAAAGACCCGAGAGAGTGGTGCTCATGCTGTCATTTGCGAGCAGGATACTCAGTGCCTGGTCAGCGAATTGTGAGATATCTTCAATCTTGACATCGGCGTCAGCTTCAGTGTGTTCATCGCGGATTTTATCACTACGATATTCCCGTCTGTCGATTTCCCGCGTGGCACAAGCCATCACATATTCTCGTGCCCTCCGACAAGCCTGATTAAATGCTCGCTTTGGCACAAAATGATGGAAGGGACCCCGAAATCCGTCTCGCACAATCCTGTCTTTGATCAGATCAAGGTCGTCTATAAACTGCCTCTTCGCTGGCGACTGCGGGAAGCTGAGGGCATCCACAGCCTCCCCGAGAGAGAGAACAGACTCTGCAAGTCTAACGAGAGAGCAAGAGTACAGCGCTGGACGTCGAACACCTGACCATTTGGTGGGACATGCAGGAGAAAGTTCTGGAAATGCTGTTCACAGAGGCTCAGGTCAATCGCCTTGCGAAGGTTTGACAGCCGAGTCCGCAACTGTTCCCGGCTTCTCTTCCAGTCTGCGCCGTCAAGAGTAAAAATGCCGTGTGGTGTGATGGGCTCGAACAAGGACTTTCGCAATGGAGAGCTATCGAAATCGGCAAACCTTGTGGATAACATATGCTTGATGTTTTCTGCGTTGCAGGTGAAGATCACTCGGTAGCCAACAACGTTTGAGGCATACGTCTCGCCGTATCTCTGAAACAGAGAGTTTGTATATGGAAGTGACATTCGCTGCTGGAAGTGGAAAGCTAAAGTGATTGCTTTCATGATACCGAAGAAGTCATATCGAAAGACTTCGCTTTCGTCGCGAAGCTTTCCGCATCCATGCGCTCGCTCCAGTGCTCGCAGTTTCTGGGTTCGGATTGGTATTCGGACCAGGAGGATAATTTGACATCCCACAAAAGCCAACGCAGCAACCACTAACAGACTTTCTGGTCGTACAGCCTCCGAAGGCGGCTGAAGCGTCATCTCTGGGGTACGCAGGTGGTCTTTAGACATAGCACTGGTCATCAACTGGGCCTGAGACATGAGTTCAATCAAATGTCTTTCTCTGAGCTGCGTGATTCCAGATGAAAAGGATTGACTAATCAATCATCGATACCTAGGTGCAGGGATGGTTGGTCATGCCGTGATACAACGCTCTCTTGTGGTGCCCCAAACTGAAACTGATCACACTGCAAATGCATTACGGTAGGGTCAGCCCAATTTGCTCTTCCGGGTTATGCAGCCGGCGAGGAAATCAATATCTCGATCTCCGCTCATTCCGATCCAGAGGAATGTCAGAAGAATAACGAAGCAGTGCGTGAGTGTATAGTTAAATTCACACCCGCGGAGAGCAGAGTCTCCTACAGATTGCCCGTCATTTCGCTCTCGAACATCAAAGGAAAACCGATGCCAATATGGCCGAAAGAAAAAACTTCAACAGCAGCTTCTCGTTGATTCCCCAAGTTGAGCATGCGTTGAAACTCTCAGATGACTACGCCCTCGGTCTAGTACGTTCAGATGGCCATTGGTATGGCGAGATGAATAGCAATGTCACCATCACTGCTGAGTATATCTTCCTCCGGCAGGCTTTGGGACTCGATCTCAAAGCTGACGCTGCAGCATACTGTCGTCATCTCCTCTCTCAGCAAAATAGTGATGGCTCCTGGGGTCTGGCACCCGAGTACCCAGGCGACGTATCAACTTCGACCGAGGCCTATCTCGCACTGAAGATCTTGGGGACAAGCCCGCATATCCTAGCCATGCGCAGGGCCCGATCATTTGTGCTTCAAGCAGGGGGTATTGCGCGCGTGAGAGTCTTCACTCGCATTTACCTGGCCACATTTGGTCTCTTCCCGTGGAGCGCAGTGCCCCAGCTCCCTGTGGAGCTTATGCTTCTGCCTTCCATTTGCCCAATCAACATTTACAAATTTGCATCTTGGGCCCGCGGCACTATTGCTCCTCTTTTGATCATCTGCCATCATCAACCTGTGTACCCGCTACCAAACGGGAAGTCGACTACGAATGATTATCTAGACGAGCTATGGCTAGACTGCACGAACAAGGAGGTGCCTTACGGCCCGTCACTCCGGGAGCTGCTGTCCCAGAGAGAAATTACAGGACTGGCCTTCGGAGTTCTGGATAAACTCCTTTACCAGCTGAATGGACTTCGCTCTGTCCCTCTAATAAGGCCATATGCCCGGAGGCAATGTATGAAATGGGTCCTTGAGCGCCAGGAAAAGACCGGTGATTGGGCTGGCATTTTCCCTCCCATGCATGCCAGTATCTACGCGTTCGTGCTCGAAGGCTACAAACTGGACGATGACCCAGTACGCCTCGGCATCCAAGCATTGGAGAGATTTGCCTGGGAAGACCATAGAGGAAAGCGAATCCAAGCCTGCGTCTCACCCGTCTGGGATACAGCCTTGATGACGATTGGGCTCTGCGATGCTATGTCACCCAATAAGCAAACCATCGACCGCGCTCTCACATGGATCCGAGCCCGCCAGCTACTTCAACCCCGCGGAGATTGGTGCGTGTATCGGCCGAACCTAGCCCCCGGGGGGTTCAGTTTTGAGTACGAGAACAGCTGGTATCCTGATGTGGACGACACAGCTGCCATCATCCTTGCGCAGGTGAAGCACGATGCTGGTTCTATTGCTTCGGAGTCTGTGATTGCGGCTGCTACATGGATCCTGGGCATGCAGAACCCGGACGGGGGATGGGCTGCCTTTGATGTGGAGAACGACAAACTGTTTCTGAACAAGATTCCTTTCAGCGATATGGACAGCCTGTGTGATACATCATGCGCTGACATCACGGGGCGCATCCTGGAAGCATTTGGTCTAATGATGACTCGTTCTTCCGCAAATGCTAACGTGGACCAGCTGGTGCCTGAGCTGCGGGCGGCATGCACGCGTGGTGTACAATATCTTGTGTCCACACAGGAGTCCAATGGATCCTGGTTTGGTAGATGGGGATGTAACTACGTCTACGGTACCAGTCATGCACTGTGCGGACTGGCGTATTTTGTCGAGGACGATCGAGTTCGAGTGATGGTCAAACCCGCTCTGCAGTGGCTGAAATCAAGCCAAAATGCCGACGGTGGTTGGGGCGAGTCTCTCTTGTCGTATCGGCTACCTGAGTACCAGCTGGCGGCGTCAACACCGTCGCAAACTGCATGGGCATTGATGGGACTGCTGGCCCATCTTCCTGTTACTGATAAATCGATTGAGCGTGGGATTTCATACCTGGTAAGCTCGCAAAGACGGGAGGGTTCTGGCGCCTCATGGCCCCAAATTGTGTACACTGGAACTGGGTTTCCGAATCACTTTTACTTGGGCTATGACTATTACCGTCACTACTTTCCTATGATGGCTCTGGGACGGTACCTACAGGGTACTCGAGGATATGGCCAGAGGGAGCTGTGAAGTCAAAGATGGCTTGCCTGTGGATACTTCAGTGCATGGAAACAGATATTTAACGTGGGTCTAAATTGGAGTTTGCCTGCATTAGAACTCATAATTGTGCTTTTCTATGAGCTAAGCACGGTGCATCTCATCACATCTCATGAATTGGTTCCCCGCCCTATGCACTCTGCATGCACATCACATATTGAGCCATGCCCCAGATAAGCAAGCTGTGTCCCAGATGCAGGCTGTGTATGACTGGTTGACCCTGCTTACATCGGCGCTAAAGCAGCCACATGCAATAATCATGCAGCTCTCTTTATAACGTGGAGCCTCGGATTCCCAGAAGAGGAAGTCAAATGTGCATCTACATACAGGCCGCCCCGGTTGAGACACTGCTGTTCCTTTTTGTGTGATTTCTGAAGCTATTCGTCAATATGTTAATGCATGCGAACCAGGCCGGGCCAAAAGATCGACTGTTGATACTGACGCTTGGTCTCCTACTCGTCTATTGACTGCGGATGCAGGTGATAGCAAACTGAAGGTTGATGTCCGAGAGCATTCTCGCAGGGCTGAAGATGTGCATGCAGACAACATGTTCACGAAACAAGGTATACAAGCAATACGTATGTTCTCATTGTGCCCCCCCGAAAAGCGCGGTTATGGAACAGAACAGATAAGCCCTACTACTGGAAGATCTCCTCTGTATGCTGTCAAAGATGGTCTTCTCACTATTCCAGCGCCCACGACCGACAACAGTACCTACAGACAGGATCATCCCTTTGCGGTATTGGGATGACTTGGATTACCTACGTGCTCTATGCCACGACTTTACCTTCCGATTTGACGATGTGTTGGATGCGAGCAAACTCGAAGCAGCACTGGGACGTCTGATGATGATCGGAGACTGGGGTCAGATGGGCGCTCGGCTACGTCTCAATGTAGGTATACTATTGCCTTTGCCCATCCAGCCATGCAAAAAACACAGTCTAACAACTTATCCCAGGAGCATGGCAAACTCGAATACCACATACCAGCACGCTATGACGAGAAGCGCCCAGTCTTCATCTTCACGACTACAAGATTTGGAATGAACATCGACGATCACCCGCTAGGCTCCCAGCTGCCTAAAGCAGGCCAAGATCAGTCTTTCCTATCACCATCCTCCGATTACTTCGCCCCTATAGTTCGCCACCCCGACAGTCCTCGGGAGTTGGCCGACTGGATCTACACCGACCGTCCACAGCTTCACATTCATGTTACTCTCTTCCAAGATGCCACCCTTCTCACAATCAGCTACATCCACACCTTCGCCGACGCGATCTCACGAACGAATTTCTTCAAGGCTTGGATAGCAGTCCTTCGTGGCCACGAAGAAGAAGTGCCAGCATTTGTTCCTTACGACCACGACCCTCTATGCATGTTGGGAACAAGTGCTCCGGCGCAGAGCTACACCAATATCAGACAACTATTGGGCGGCCTCAGTCTTGCGCTCTTCGGGCTTCGCTACCTGTTCGAGCTATTATGGTTCCGCAAGCTGGAAGAACATCCGATACGTCTACCGGGACGTTGCGTGGATCGAATGAGAGAAACAGTACTACAGGAGCTAGCCACCCGTGCTCCGCAGGGCACACCGAAGCCCTTCGTGAGCGAGGGTGATGTCGTCGTAGCCTGGTGGGTGCGGACGATGATCAAAGCGCTGAAACCCGCCCCGGATCGGACGATCATGGTGATGAATGTCTTCAACGTGTGGAACCTTTTCCCGGAGTGGTTTCCCAATGGTACCACAGGCGTCATTGGCAACTCCTTCTTCTATTCCTACACACTGCTCATAGCGAGCAAAATCCTCCAAGATAGCAGCTTGCAGTACGTGGCGTCTACGAATCGTCGGGCTCTCGTGGAGCACAGAACCAAGCGCCAGGTCCAAGCCATGACTGCTATTCAGAGAACCAATTTTATGAGAGCTGCGCCTGTGGTTGGAGACCCCGGGCTGCTCTTCTTGGCTGCTACTAATCAGCACAAGGCTAGGTACTTTGAAACGGACTGGTCGGCGGCTGTTGTTAGGGCTGGTGTGCCTGTGAGTCAGAGGCCACATGGTCTTGGGAGGCCATCTTATGTTAATGATATTGAGTATTGTCGTGGGTATCCGACTCGCAATATTGTGAGGATTATTGGGAAGGATGCGGCGGGTGATTGGCATCTTCTGTTTAAGACGAGGGCTGGGGCTTGGCGGGTGATTCATCGGGAGTTGATGGAGTTGATTCGTGAGAAGTGGGAATGATGTCCGGTGTTTTCAATAATCCGGGGCCATAGGAATTCATGCTATTCCTTTCGCGGGGAGCATTCAACGGTTGGTTCCGTCTGAGACAGTATCAGACAAGGTCACAGCCTGAAGCTTATGACTATATCGCATGACGTTTAGTGAAACGGTGTAGGACAAATATGTGCAACGGTGTGATTTCTTATCTTTCTACTCCGTACGTAGTTACTAGATGTAGTTACAAAATAGTCTCGAGCAGACCCCTAAAACGGTTAGAGACCATCTAGAAGAATTCCTATCCTGGTCTAGACTGAATAGTGTCGTGCTGTCGATAGCGGATGGCATCAGATTAAAGCGGCCCCCATCTGGGCCTCGAACAGGCAACTGGTGTGAGATTGTCAATCTCAACGTACGTAGTATCTTGTACAGTACATTCAGATCAGGTGAAAAATCCAGACTTGTGGTCGACAAAAAACACATGGTTATGCTGTACGAAGTATGATCCTTTACGGACTCCGTAGAGGGCGATTGATCTACATTCTACGCAAGAGGTAACATCGACCAACGACCGACGATCAGGAGGCGAAGGTCCCACTTGGAGATGTGTCAGATTCTGTACGGAGTCGAAACTGCAATATTCAGGGTCTTTATTACGACGTATGGGTCTCGGTAGTTAAATGATTCTCCACTTAGCTGCCATTGTGCATGACAACCTGTTGGTACTGTACGGAGTAGATATCCATGCATCTACGTTGACGAATAATGACGCGCAATACGAAGGAGACCCTCGAAACAGAAACTGCGTCATCCAAGGAGGTTTGGATCGTTTGTCGATCAGGCCCACTCGTGAGGAAGGCAAGATGCTATCGCCACTGAAGTACGGAGTACGGATACGATACTCAGACTTTCAGATCTCATTAGAAGGTTTCACATATTGTTATGCCGGTACATACCATTGAGAATCGTTCAAAATAGATAGTCATGTGTTACTCTATATAGAGCCTGTAAATCTATCCAAGCCATGCATATGAAACAATAACGAATGGCTGTCTTTTCCTCAGATAAAAGGCCAAAAAGGGACGCGTGTTCGTGGCGGGGCGACTGGGTCTCATTCGCCCCTCCGGCTAAATGTGACTGGCTGACGCGGCTGGAGGCCAGAGTGATCGTCTTCTTATTTCCTGGTTACCTGTCCTTTACTTGATATTGTACTGTGTAATGTGGTTAAAGATGTACACAGCAAAAGATGTATGAAAATATTTAGCAGTTGTCTACTGTGTACACAGTCAATGACTTGCCAGACTGTCTAGTAGTTCAGAGCATCGGCACAAATTTAGAGAGAGGGCCCGAGCGCTTTGATAACGGGTGATCCCTCAGTAGGTTATTGATAGTACCGGGATGTTATTCACATGATCGGATCTGACTTGCGAATGGAAAGGTGATCGCTTATTGTTCCCTCACTTGAGGCTCAGATACACGCCGTCAGCGGTGCAATGTGCCGATTTGGTTGGATACTTTTGGTGTTGATGACCTCTCCGTACTGTGTACTGTGATAGGCTCAGAGTGATCACTGCAACGGTCAACCTACAACCTACAACGCGGGCTGGTACACAATGGAAGATGCAGATACCCTTAAAGCGCTTGACAAGTGGCATCTTCACACGAGCCTCGGAGCCTACATCCAGATGTGTCGTGATGTGTCGCCGCAAACGGCCCTCTGCACTGGCAAACATTGTTGAATCGGGCCTCATTCGAGGTATCCCAGTGCCATCGCATCCAGCGTCGTTAATGCCCCAAAAGTATTGTTGCTTTTGGATACACGAGAACACTCTGATTGCCTGATCTTGGTATCCTGGCGTGTAAACGGTTTATTCCACTTGAACCTGGGAGGGATGATCACCGATCACTCCCAGCCAACTGTATTCCCTTTTCGCTCGTGATCGACACTTAGCTCAACTGGTACGAACGTCAAAGGCAAAGGAACATGCAAACATAGAGCATAAAAGCACATATCACATAACTATCATTTCGAGATGAATGAAGTGGAAGTGCTTTCCAGACTGTTCCTGCATACCAACTGCATCGACGCCGGAACCGGGAGAGAATACCAAGACGTCAATCTCGAATAGACTGCAATCTGTTTCGAGGTCATCAAAGACAGCATATCAAGGGCCAATTGGCCTCCGAAAACATAGAAAATACATAGTAGAAACCAAATATAGAAATAGATGTTAAAAAGATGTCCGTCCGAAAGAGTTGGACAATATATTACGGTAATACAGATACACGGCCAACCCTGTCCCGTTAATTGCATCGGCAGCCCTCCCTTTTTCTTTTCCTCCTGCAACACCTTCACGACACCATCTTCCCCCAACTTCTCATCGACTTTTCACTCGGACTGGGCATCTCGTCCAGCCGCGTTAGTCTTGCTTCTCTTATCTTCTCCAGTTCTCCTGCTCCGTCCCCGTTTCAAACGTCCTCCCCCTTGGACCGTGTCGCAGGTCCCGACGCTGCCAGCCTTTCGTTGAACTATCTCGGCACTCGATTTGCCTACCATTCTTTGACCTCACTCTTGAAACACTCGTTTAAATAGCTATTCCTTCAATTGGGAATTGCTTCTTGATTAGCAGTACTTCTGCACGATATTTCCGGGATACGACCCTTCGCACGCCGACCCCATAACTTTTAATTCCGCCAAGGTTCACCTACCCCGGTTTCACCTCGCCCTCGTCTATTTACATGTTTGAAAAGTCATCGCACAGTACCGGACCAGCCACAATGCCTGTATTTCGGCTGAAGACGGTGTTTCCGTTGCTCGCTCTGTTGACCATTGGAATCTTCTTCTTTTGCATGGAACGCTATGACAGATCAGCCTTCCTACGGTTCAAGCACCCGGTGGATCGGGCTCCCTTGAGCGGGACCAAGCCGCCCCCTCAAGTACAAACGCCGGCAGAACCTGGCAACCCCCAACCGACCCCCGGCACCTGTGAGGTCGATCCGAAACTCGCTGCTCCCCTCCCTTTCCCCGAATGGCTCCCTCGCAAAAACTACACTCGCGCCTACTTCCGTCCTCGCCATGTGAATCCTCGCACTGAATTCCACACTCTGGAGGAGATTGAGAAGCCCGTGCTCCCGCCCATGGTTGTCATGGAGCGCGGTATGGTCGTTTCTCCCGAAAACAAGCCCGAGAGCTTCGTTTGCCCCGAGATCATTGATGTTGATGTCGCGGCTGATGATAATGTCGAGGAGACTTCGAAACTCCTCTTCGGTCTGGCTACTACTGTTGATCGTCTGGACCGTCTGCTGCCCTCTCTGCTTTACTCCTATGGAAACACTAAGGCCGGTCTGCTTGTTCTGGTTCCCGAGTCGGATGACGACCTGGAGAAGCAAGAGACCTACTTCCGCAACCGCGGTCTGGACCTGACTCTCAAGGCCTCTCCTCTCGAATTCACTGCCCGTTACTTCGGTATGGTCGAGGCATTCACAGAGCACATTCGCAAGCACCGTCCTCACACCACCTGGGTTGGATTCAGTGACGACGATACCTTCTTCCTCTCCCTTCCCACTATCGCTGAGGAGCTGAAGCTCTTCGACGAGACCAAGAAGCACTACATTGGATCGTTGTCCGAGGCCAGCTGGCAAGTGGATACTTTCGGTCACATTGCCTTTGGTGGTGCCGGTGTCTTTGTCTCAAAGCCGCTCTTGGATGTCTTGATGAAGAACTACGATGAGTGCCAGTCCTGGGGTGAGCAGCCCGGTGACCAGAAGCTTGGACAGTGCATTCAGCGCTTCGGTGACACTCCCCTTACCTTGTGGCCCTCTCTGTACCAGATGGACATGGCAGATCCCGTGGACGGTGTCTACGAGTCCGGTCGCAAGATCGAATCCATGCACCACTGGAACAGTTGGTACACCAAGGACGTCGTCAAAATGACCACCGTGTCTGCTGCCGCGGGTCGCAAGTCTGTCCTTCGCCGCTGGGTCTTTGATCAGGAGGAGACTGTGAACAGCGCTACCGGCGAGACTCTCCGTCACTTCTGGGTCATGACCAACGGCTACTCGCTAGTGAAGTACACGTACGGACCGAATGTGCCGGATGATGCCATCAACTTCGATGCCACTGAAAAGACCTGGCCCGAGGACCCTCGCGGTTATGAAGACCGCCTCGGCCCCCTGCGTCCCGCCGAGGAGGAAGGCGTTGCCAAGGATCGGTGGTTGCTCCGTGATGCATTCGTCGTTGGTGACAACGTGCATCAATTTTATGTTCGCGAGGAAGATGAGGGCCACAGCGTAATTGAGATCGTCTGGCTCGGTCCCAAGGGCGGCGGTGGCGGTGGTGTGACTGACCACTACCTTCGCGGCACCTACCAGCAGTAAAATTTGCATGGATCGCTTCTACTTAAGGCTGGCCCTTGGGATTGTGGGTCGTACCTCCTCTCTATTCACTTCATTGCACATGATTCGGCTCCCTTTTTTTATCTCCTACAATATCATACCTCTTCCTCTGGTTATTCTCATTCCAGAGTTCACGACCCCGCCCAATATGATTGCAAAATCGACCAGCCAAACGAACGGCCTTTCCTTATTCGAATGAGACTGGTGACGTGCCTTCCGTGTCCTCCAGTTTCTGATATCATTTATCCGGCGTTGCATTGGCGGAGTCCAGTATGGTGCAGGAACCTGGCGGCTCTGCGTGCTCCTTATATCCTGACGGTGTATTCCCATTTTGAAATGTTCCAGTGGCTCTTTCCTTCCTTTCTTATCTCTCTCGCCCTGGACCCACAGGGACCTTGGCCGAGATATGCCTCACTCAATCGGTTTGGCTTTTGCTCTGCTTTTCCTTTCCCATGTCCATGACCTCCGCCCCGGTCTAAGTGCGCTTTGGGGCCCAGCCACTTCCCATGCCCTATGCCTTGCATCGTTCTGTAAAAATAGACTTGACAGCAGACCCACTTTAGGGTCTCCGTTGGTGATTAGCGTTGAACCTTTTGTTCGTTATGCGAAGAATATGATCAGTTTTCGTCATTTCCATGTTGTGTCCGGTGTTCTTTGGTCCGTGGGGAATGATCTCGAAGCAGCCGAGCTGGACTCTGCTGCATTGGGCCTAGGGCCTCTCGGATCGGGCCGCATTTTGATCGGCTTTGTTCTTGCTGTCTGGGCGGTGGATTGGATGAGATTTGTTTTCCTTCCACGAACGGGTCCATCCTGGCCTCTGGCTGCTGTGACCCGGCTTGGATGAACATACGGGCAGCTTCCGAGCGGGGTAGTTATGCAAATGAACGTTATGGCCTATGCTCAATGCAATATCACCCAATAACGAGAAGAAAGTGTATGAAAAGATGTAGCACCGGGTTCGAGTACGGAGTACATGTAGGAGCAAGGCGAGGAGTACGGAGTAAATAGAGGGTAAATAGAACAAAAGCAGGGAGACAAGGGCCAATAGAATGAATTTTTGCTACTAAACCTACTAACCGAGTCATTTCCCCGGTTCATGTGCAACAAATCTACGCTTGTGAGACATTTCAATGTCTCCAGGGGCTCTGTAATTCCCATGCGAGGCATGCCCGTGCAAGGGGAGACGAGATATCTAGAGGTTTCTTGAGTGATACGCAGTATTGGAGGTCGAGACCAGGCCTATTTTATTTTGCTTATCTCGTGTGCAATTTGATGAATGTGAGAGGCCTAAATTAGACAGGAATGAGAGCAACGAGGGATTGTTTTCGGGCTATGTGATGCTGTTACTCTTCGAATGCGGCCATGCGAGTATCAGACTGGCCCGTGCGACCCGCGAGTTGTGCAAGGTGGGTGTACGTCCGTAGGTTGTGTCGATGGTTCAGATGTAACCTGATCAGTTACTTTCATAGATAGTTTAATATCGAAGCAACAAAACTACTATGTATATGAAGAATTGGATGTTGTATGGCAGATAATCCGTATTCTGAGTCATCGTATGTTTTGGAACGGTGGGATAGCCAATCATATAATCACGGGAGTTCTGCCCCCTGGAGGCATGTGGACTGGAATGGAGTGAACTACTCAGCTAACTCCGTATACGCAGTAGATAGGGTGTCTCTAATTTATGTCCAGGACTGAGAAGAAGATGTTTGAAATACAGTAGAAAGAGAAAGTACAGTTGAAGACAAGTCACATGCTGTTAGCAGACAGCAACAAAGAAAGAAAGATCCAGACCGGAGGGGAAGGGGGGGAAGGAAGAATCAGCCAATAATCGATCAGAGCCAAGATTCGTACCCGGTCAAGAGGAGGCGAATACGAAACAATTACAGGTTCGATACGGAAAGGGAGGAAGGAGGTACCTTAAGATGCACGCTCAATTTGCGGTGGCCTAGAAGTACCTAACTTGTAGCTAAGTTTAAATTACTGTTCTTCTTCACGCCACTCACATGATCCTTAATAACACACCGCCTGCCCATAGCAAGTTTCCCCCAAGTCCTCCTCCCCCGAATTTCCCTTTTCTCACATCTCATAAACGCGTTACTCGATTGGGTCATCTCCCTTCCTTCCCCTTTCGGCACCTCCAACTTATCACCCCCTCCCCCTCCCATAATAAATCCTGACTTGTTTGACTTGTTCTTCTTAATTTATCATGTCGGCGGTAGTTGATGAGAAGCTCTCGCCCGGTCATGATGACCTGCCCGGTAACGGCGATGCCCGTGGGACCAAGCGCAACCGCATGAGCGCCGACGATGAGGACGATGACGACGACAAGCCTGGTCGTGAGCGACGCAAGATCGAGATCAAGTTCATTCAGGATAAGTCGCGTCGACACATTACTTTCTCTAAGCGAAAGGCTGGTATCATGAAGAAGGTGCGTCGCGTCACCATCAGTTACCCGAAGGCAACTTCCAATCCTGAACATTTGATTAACCCGGGAAAATCTCTAGGCTTATGAGCTGTCTGTCTTGACTGGCACTCAAGTGCTTCTTCTGGTTGTCTCCGAGACTGGTCTGGTCTACACCTTCACTACCCCCAAGCTTCAACCGCTGGTTACCAAGGCCGAGGGCAAGAACCTCATTCAGGTATGCTCTGATTTGTCCCAAGCCTCCTGTTCAGTTGCTAATTCAAAGATAGGCCTGCTTGAATGCTCCCGACCCAGCTGCCAGTGAGAATGGCGTCGACGCCCCCGATGTCGCCCCCGAGGCCCCCGAAGACGTGGCTCACAGCAATGTCAACGCCCCCCAGGGGAATATGCGTCCTGGCATTCACCCTGGCTACATGACCAACGAGCAGCAGCAGCAGATGGCATACTACCAGAATCTCCAGCAGCAACAGCAGGCTGGTGGCCAGTATCCCATGCCGGTTGCCGGCCGCATGCCGCCGCAGCACCAACCCACTGCTTAAATGCTCCCAACTTACGATCTCATCCGTGGGGTTCCTACCTAAAGGATCCCCGATGCTCCGTCTTCTTCTCTGTTCTTTCCTCCCTGCGCCTCGATCTCGCGTTCATTTGATACCCGTCTCTCTCTGTGCCGATCCATCATCCCACACTTCCCTCGTGCAATGGTTGCGCTGTAACCTGCAATGCCCCCATTCTCTAGGGAACTCCCGTGAGACCTTTTGTATATTGTCAAGCACCGCTCTGGAAGACACCTTCCAGTCTCTCTTTGATGATACGGGATCTGGTTTTTCCTTTCGACATCGCCTTCTCGCAAATAACCCAATTTTCCCGAGACTCGTGGCGACGAAATAATCACAAAAAATCACAAAAACACGCTCCACGAAAAAAAAAAGAAACCATCCTCGAGAAAAGAGAAAGAGGGCGCAAGCAGGCAACTCTGGCTTTTTATTTTCCCCTCTCTACTTATATCTATGGCGGAGGAAGGTGGTGTTCCTGGTGCATTGAAACACGGCGATGCGGCTACTCCTCCCCTCTCCCTGTTCTTTTTGCTCTCAATCTTACTTCTTTTTCTGTTTCTTTTCCTCCCTTTTTCTCTCTGAGCTATTTCCTTGGTCACTGATCATGTTATTTTCCTCGTCTAATCTTAAGCTATGTGTTAATTGTTGTTTATTGTGTCGAGTCAACGGGTTAGTCCATTTCGACGATGGCTGCTCTGCTATGGCTTTGGCTGGTTTACATTCTGTATGGTATGGAGCAATCGGATTCTGTTCCTTTGGTATTTTAATCTATGTAATAGTAAGACCTCTCGTCGGACATGGACTTTACCATATACCCAGCACTGTGTATGCCTGATGTCTTGGTACCTAATATGTCCGACTGGCAGTCACAAGCCGCCATATGGATCTGGACCATGACCTCGATCTATCCATTCCATCCCTCCAAATAAAGAAACCTTGGGCTATCATCTTGGCATGCATGGTTAAGGAAGAAAGTTTCAAAGACTGCATATGGCCGCAGCCAACCTAGAGGCTTGGTCTGACGTGCATCGGCACTTCCTACCCGGAGACCTGTATAATCACATGGCAAGCTAGGTATTTGAATACATACTCAGTCCGGATACCTGCAAAATCTATATATCAGTAAATTAGGTACGTACCTAGGTATGTCCCTAGATATGGAGTCGAAAGTGGCCAGACGAGGTATACATGTTAGGTAGGTACCCACTAGAGTGCTATATTCATTGCAGAGCTATATACCCGACCGAAGGTAGTATCAAACGCGATAGTGATCTTGACAGCGAACAGAACTTACAGAACACAGCTGGAGAATATTTCTCTCCATGAGAGTTGGTTAGGTAGAGCGACGAGTATAGTGAGACGAGGGATCTGATCTACTGAACCGAGACAGGGGTGTGAAAGAAAGTAGAAAAAAAAAAAAGAAATTCCGTATTTGTGTCTGTTCACATATCATAGGGTTTTATGTCGATTTATCGGGAAACAAAGACAAAGGATCAGGTGGAAGTTGTCTCGTATATGGGGATTCCGTGTGTATAACGCGTCGGAGGAAGGCAGATGCCAGAGGGTACAGAGGGTACAGAGGGTGGGAGTAAAGATGAAGGAGCTATCCAATCTGGCTCCGGTTCAGCCTGGCTGCTGCCCGCCCGCCTGCGGGCTGCTCCACCGAGATAGATATTGTTTTCCGGACCTCCAGATGCCTGCAAGAGCTCTCCTTGAACCGGCAAGAAGACCTGAGCTTGGTTCCGTCACCGGCGAGCGGGGAACGAGAAGCCCATCCTGTTCGTATATATCATCGCCGTCTTCGCGGATGGTTCCGTATCCGCTGGTTTCGTGGCTAGATGAAGAAGAAATGAAAGGTCCGGGTCTACGACGATTGCGCTGGGTGGTCCATAACCCATTTAGGGGTGCTGAGGCGTGCCGCAGTTGGTTTTCGCGTGTTGATCCCAGGACTCGGCGAGAGCCGTTTATGCGGTCTTGTGGGACAGCAGCTATCGTCGAGTGTCGTTTCAGACCTCGTAATTGGCCGCCGTTTCGTATTGCGCTGCCGCTGGCGCTGCGCGGACGGTCGATTGAGAACCGCGTGTGGTCGTCATCAGAGCCGTACTCTGAGTCGTCGAGTTCGGCCCAAATGGATGCGGCGTTTAGATCGACGGAGTCGCGGTCGAGATGCAGGTCTAGCGGTAAGCTTGGAGCTCTTCCGCGATGATATGAAAGATGTCGGGTGTGGGCCTTTGGATTGAGGAGCGGTTCGCGCTCACCAATCCGCGATTCCTCATCTTGGCCGTCCAGCAGCCCTGAGGTCGGAGAGTGTTCTTCCAGGACTGCCATGCCCGGACCGAGTGCGGTTTGTGTGGGGCCCCCCAGTCGTAACAGCGGCATGGCTGTCGATATCCTCGAGTCGCCATGATAGACACAAGACACCGGCTAGGAGCACCAGTGTCCCCAGAGCAATGAGACCTGCGTGGAAGCCTGCTAGTTGGGACGCTTGCCGGAAGTAGATCAGACCATCCAGGATGGCTATGATGTTGTAGATGCAGAAAACGAAAGGATATAAAACACTAGTACTACACAGCTTCAGTCCCCGGTGGAGATAGAACAGCTGCGTGAGCGCCAGGAAGATCATCCCAAGCAAAATCACCCATGATTGCCAACGATTGAACTGGTTCACGCGATCTACGACCGTGCGCACGAGAAGCTCCACTGCTGACTTCGCTAGCAAAAGCGAGTGAGCTGACAATATACCACTGACAAATCCATAGCTCATGCCTCGGATTGTCCTCATCCGACTTTGCAGACGTAGGAGATGTGGCGCGAAATGACCGGACGCTGAGGGTTTCGCGCGCGAGGATAGCAGGAAGTGCTTTACCAGCTTAGTGGCCATAAGTACCGCAACAACCAGCAAAGCGGTAGCCCCCATCCACAGGAGGAACGGCCGTCGCTGAAGAAGGTCCAGAAGCTGGTCTAACGTATGTGCTGGTTCTCCGATGGCGCCGAACGTCGCAATCAGCAACGCGCCGGTGCAGACGAGAATCGTGCCCGCAAGGGAATATCGGGTAAATGGTTCACTGAGAATGAGTGTCGCGAATATCGTATTAAACACTAATCCAGACTATTTCCTCTATCAGTCACTGATCGTCGTGCCGTGGAGAGGGACTACTGACCGCTTGGAGTGTCGACAGCACTGGCAGCGGAAGCGTAGTGATCTGAATGGTGCTCCCCACTAGGTTGGAGATGACGAACATCCCCATTCCTAGTTGCCATCGTCGCCGCTTGTAGGGTGGTCTGCGCACATCGTAGGGGTGCTTCTCGTCCTCGAGCAGATGCGACTTGCGCTGGAGCGTCAGCCCAATGGCTTGTAGGCTAGTGGATATGAGCCCGACTACCACACCGACCTGATGTTCCGTTAGGGCTTAATCTAGTCTCGTAGTGTATCTTAAATCTGGAGTGCTTACCGCAATGCTACCCTGCGGCGACAAGTCACCTAGATTGCCCATGTTGCGTGTGGTGCATTGGCCGGGTGAAGGGGGCGACAGGGAGAAAGGCACATCGATTCGACAGGAACTACCGGAGGAATGAGTCCATGGTTCAGATAAAGACTATAGAGGAGTAACAAGATCACGCTGAAAGGGATGTCAGTCGAGGGGAGTGCGGAGGAGCTGGGAGGCGGAACGCCAAGGCAACGCACTCCGAGCTTAGCTGGACACAACGTCCTCCACTCCCTCTTCCCCACATCATTCCACAACAACAGTACTGTACAGCAGTCAAGCCGCCAAAATGTCACAAAGCCATGCTCTTTCAGATGACCAGGTACGTCCGCTATCTATTTTGGGGTTCTCAGGAAAGCCGGAGTGGGACTAATGCCGGTCGAATCCAGGTCGCGGGCGAGCTCCGCAAGATGACCGCCTTCATCAAGCAAGAAGCACTCGAGAAGGCCCGCGAGATCCAGCTCAAGGCCGACGAGGAATTTGCAATCGAAAAGTCCAAACTGGTGCGCCAGGAAACCGCCGCTATCGATACCCTCTACGAGAAGAAGTTCAAGCAGGCTGCCATGTCCCAGCAGATCACCCGATCTACACTCGCCAACAAGACCCGACTGCGTGTGCTTGGTGGTCGTCAGGAGCTGCTCGATGAACTGTTCCAGAATGCCCGTGATAAGATTACCAAGGTCGCTGCCAACGACAAGACAAAGTACCAGGCCATGCTCAAGGGGCTGGTCCTCGAGGGCCTGTACGATTTGAATGAGGATAAGGTGCAGATTCGCTCGCGGAAGAAGGACTTTGATGTCACTAAGAAGGCTATCGAGGAGGCGGCCAAGGAGTACAAGGAGAATGTTGGCTCAGAGGTTACCGTGACTGTGGATGAGTCGGAGCCGTTGGCAGAGGGATCGTGAGTTTATTCCTATTCTCCCTGCAAATCTAAGAAAAGGTCTAACTAGCTGTCAGTGCCGGTGGTGTGATTATCGTTGGCGGACAGGGCAAGATCGAGATCAACAACACTTTCGAGGAGCGTCTGCGACTGCTGGAAATCGATGCCCTCCCTGCGGTCCGACAGACGCTCTTTGGCAAGAACCCGAACCGAAGATTTTACGATTAAGTGTCTACTTGGTTCTATCGTTCTATCTCTGGTTTCACATTTGCGACTGCCGTATTTCGTGTGTTATAATTCGGGTACTCTTTGCTCCTCTTGGCCATTCCCATAGACAGAGAGGGTTCTTTGCACAGTTCGGGTCTGATCTGGAATATGATCAAACACTCTTAGCGCTACTTCCCATTGCATTGATAACACTGGTATTTTGTAACAGCATGGTTGTGAAAACACCGTCGCTTTCCGAGGGTATGATTGTAAGGGTCGTAAGTCATCGGGACATGCAGAGAAGGAGCTAGACATCTCAACTCATTAAGCCACCCGCAGTGTTCCTGTCCTCTCAGATAAGAATGGAGATCCTGAGGCTAGAGCCTGCCAGGTGATTGTAGTATCTGGTCATGCGCACGAATCGGGAGCCCTGTGTCCCCATCTTCCACGTCATCTGGCGCCGCAGATGGTTGTACTGTCGGCAAGAGTTCGGGAACGGGCTTTCCAGCCATTGCAGCATAGTTGGAAAAAAGGCTTCGAATGTCCTTCTCGCTGACGTGTGACTCGAAGATGCCCTTTTTCGGCGGCGGTTTGGACCGAACAGAGTACACAATTCGGTAATGCAAAGCCTCCAGTTCGCTTTTCGCTACTGTGCGTGTCACATGTGAGGCCCCCGAGTCCTGGATAGAGCAGAAGATCGTCTTGACCTGAGTTGCCAACCTGTCGATGGCAGTGTTATAGTCCTTTTCAGTTCGATCCCCTCTGTAGTTCAACTCCAACACAGAGGAATCGATGGCGGTGTTGAGAAGACCAGCGAGGGCATTCAGCTCTCGCCAGTCATAGTCAACTACACTCTTGAGTTTCTTGACCTGGAAACGCTCGTCACGCAGTAGTAGCATCGTGATACGTTTGAGATCAAGCACCTTTTCAGGTGGCTCGGTGAGAGGTTCGGGGCTCCGAAGCAAGAAGGAAACGGCTAGACGACATCGTAACAGTGCAAGCCATGGTGATGTAGGCAGGATATGGTAGACGATATGGCTTTGAAGACAGACATCGTCTGTTGTGTTGTAGCAGGTGAGGAACACTCGGTGCAACTGGTATGGTTAGCTACAATTGTGAAGGAAAGCACAGGAAGAACGTACCATATCGTCGGCATTGAATCCAGCAAAGTTCACAGGATCCAGCACAGCATTTATGGTTCTCTGAAGCTCCGAAGACAACGTGAAATCTGTCGTCAATGATGCATCAAGGGTAAGACGTAACAGGAGAAGAATGACCTTTTCTTGCGTGTCTTCTGCGAATCTACAGATTGTTAGTCTCGCATCGCCGAATTCCGTGGCGTGTCAACATACAAGCCAGCAGTCTCCTGAAGTAATCTGAACACCGAAACAAGATGGTCTTTTAGCTCAGAACCTGGGGTGATAGCTAATATCTTCTGTTAGCATATTCTTGCAAGTAGAAAATAGCTAGCACATACACTGGAAAGAGTCCGGGGACGTTTTCTGAGAGGAATCCAAAGCCTGGGGCCGAGCTCCCAGCCGCGAAAATAGATCATCGATATCGGCAGGACGTATCAGTGACCTGAGACGCTCCACATCCATATTCTTATGCATTGCGTTAGTGGATTCTAATGGGAATTCGGTATAAAGGTATTGGCAAACCTTCAGTATCCGGTAGTATGCATTGCTCAGATTCTCTCGACGTTCATAGGGCACTGTTCACGAAATATTAGCTTCTCGTACATAAATCAGTAAAGGAGAATTCCCAAGTTAAATACGCACCAGAATGGAACATCCACAGAACGAACTCGTCAGGCAGAAGTCCTTTGGACATAAGCATCTGAATGAATTGGCCAGAGATGAACTGACGATCACGAGCGTTCGAGTCTGCGAGTGAGTTAGCACATGTAGGAATAATGCACACAATTGGTTGAAGACTCACCCATTAGAATCTCCATACTCGACCCAGGCGCGAACAGGTCCCGTGACAATTCAGGAGCCGGCGGCAACGGTTGTGTGGAATCGAAGAATGACCAAGCCCGGGCGTTATCAAGGGCGTCGGTTCTTCTGATAGCACCTATGAGGCGCTGGCCACTCACACCGTCCTCATCCTCGTCGAGCGCTGATATCAACATGCTTTCATTCAGAGCATATCCAGAGCTAGACGCGCGGAGTCCGCGCGCACCGCCATTAGATTGCGTTTGCGCATAGGTGGCTCTTACCCGGGAAACAGCTGCTTCGGTCTCGAGATCATCTACCGCATCGTGGACGAGAGAATCGATGGTGTGTCTGTATTTCTTTGGCGACTTTATCGTCTGGGTGAACGTGACCGGTGCGGGCTCGGCTTTCTTCGTAGACTTTGGAGCAAACAGAGTGTCCGGATCATCCAAGGAGCAGATTGAATCTGTGTCTTCTCCATCGGAGCTGATGACAACTTCTTTACCGTCTTTCATGATACGCTGGGATCCCTGGAGGCTCTCACTTTGCGATGAAAGAACGTTGGCCGAGTCGACGCCTTGGAAACTTTGGTGCAAGGTAGGAGATTGGTGGGCGTTATCTTGCGTTGTCAGATACAGTGCTGCGTTCAACTGAGCTTCAGCATCTTCTGCGGATTCCGGGTGTAGTTGATCGACGACAAAGGATGAGGGGGGTTCGGTGAGGGGTGAGGTCGAGGATTCAGCTGTGTTTTCCGTGCTTTCTTTCTTCTCCGGCGTGGTATTACGATTAGCAATGGAGTATGCAGGTTTGTTAAACCATAAGTCCTTTAACGTCCGCATGATGGCGTGTGCTGAATATTTTTTTCTTCTTCCTAGAAGAATTAGGCATATCGCGTCGTTGGACGCGCGTGTCCAGCGCGATGTCACATGATTACTGCTGACTCAGCACTGTCTAGTGGGTGGGTCCACTGGACTGGGGCTTTCTTACACGTACCTACTGTGTAGTACTGTGTACAAGGTTGAGGTCAAACATCACTTGTTTTGAGGTCAATTCGGTGGCATCGAGTCGACACATGTGTACGCTGTGTGGCCAGCGTCCATCGCGTAACGATGGCAGCTATGTACTTGTACCTGTACATACTTAATTTGTAGATCTGACAGCCACATTCTTGGTGGCATAGATCTACGGCTGATCCGCATGATAAGTTGAGTTACATTTACGGAGTAGACTACGTAGTTATATCGATTCGATAACTACTGTGTAACGATCAAGTGGAACTGGCAGCAATCATCACCCATCAAGCGCCTGTAGTATCAGGGGGATTGACAACCCAACTAAGTTTAGTCAAGGGACCAGTACTAGTTACACTACACGTTGGATCCACTACAGTTCGTGCGGTCTGGCTGGCGACGCCCTTCTACGCAGCTTCGTATACATATCTACACTTGTACAGCACAGTACTGGCTGGTATACGGCACGTTGCACTGTATGCCCCGTGGCTCATGCCTCGGACCCTTACTTCGGGATCTGTAGTTATAAGCTTTTAGGGTAACACCGCTCTGAAACATACCTCGTAGGGCTACTCCGTAGTACATAGGGAAGACAAGAACACGAGTTTTCATAGATTCGAAGCACATTCCAAATTTGTTCATTGCGCTTGTTGTACGGAGTACAGAATATGGGGATCATCGGGCCCGCTCAGGAGGATGCCTGCTCCTGAAATGCCAAGAGTTTCATTTCTTGTGCCAAGAAACAAGGAGCATAAGTGACATGAATATCAAAATGAGACAAAGACAAAAGGGACGGTATCAAGACCCACCCTAATTGAGCCCTGGAAAGATTAGCCTACACTGTACTCCGTACGCTAACTGACTAGTTAAGCGCCTTTGTCTTAGATCTCCAGGGCTATTCTGCCTGTTGTTTAGAGTACGAGATGGATACAGAAAAAAATAAAAATAAAATAAAGACGCTGAGTCAGGTGGGTCGGCAAGCTCGTGCCGTGTCGGGGTTTCAGGATCGATGCTCCGACCCCGAACCCCGAATGCTGAGTCTGCGCTTGGGGGGCGTGGACTGATATCATAGGGGACAATATGTCTTGTGGAAAAAACGAAATAATACATTCGGTTGTGCTTGATAGCGGGGATAGTTTCTATATGAATTAGCGATTTTTACTACTGAGTGTCAATAGTTATCCGTGGCCTTAACTACAGGGAGACTATCTACTACATGCCTATAAATACATTAGGTTGTAACTCGTGAGAAAAGGCCAGCTGTTAGAAAACCGTGCATAGTGGGGGCAGAGCAACGGATAAAACTGTGGGCCAATGACCGCTACATACGCAGCGTACTCCAGACTCCAGAGTTTGCATAAAGAGTACGGATGAAACGGATACCGAGGCCGGGCTTACCGCGTACCTAAAGCACTGGGCCACTGGGGAGCATCCTAGTTCTGCTCTGTAAGCGGTCATAAAGCAGCTTATGGAGGCAGTGCCATTAGGCACACCAGAGAAAGGGGGCCTAGAAAGCCAAATTGAAAACAGAATCTCTATCTCCATCAAGTTGAAGGCCCTCGAAAGATCAATTCAAAACGGGTTACGGGACAACGTACAGGTAGGTATGTATATACTGCGTAGATGTTGACTTGGCTATCTTTGTTATGTATCAGTGCCGAATACTCCGATTGCCACAGTCAGAAATTTAGAAGGGGGAGGCCGGAACGGGGCTGGACTTATGATTACCGAAATTTACCTGTATTGATACGAAGTACATGGCTTACTCAAGCCCGTCAGCCGTAGATCACATCAAGACGTCAAGACTGAAGATGTAGATGATTCTAAGAGTCAAGAAAGAGTCAGTGTAGAATACTGTCTAATCAATGTTCCTACGGAGATCGTAAATAATCGTATCACAAAGAGGACACAGATCGAACAACCGACGCGTTTAGGAAGTAAAAATGTCCCGCCAAGACCCGGCCACTATGAGGATGACAAAGCACCGGTATCCAGATTGGTAAGTGCGGTAACGACGATACATGCTATCCCGTACTGACATCGATACGAGGGTAAGCTCAGGTGGCCTACGTCTCTCTTCACACCCCTCGAACGAAAAAGTTACCACTACTCCAGTGCTTCGCTCTCCATCTTTTCCCCATCTTTTCCCCCTCAGTATCTTGAATGGCCCCGTGTGGGTGCGCCCTCTGACGCTTCGCCTGTCGTATTGCAATTCCATTCCACCACGACCGGCCGCAGAAATTCAATCTGGTCTGCCCTACACGATCACTCGAACCCCATCGACAAAAATAGCTTCGACGTGCGCGCAGAATTGGCGATACCTTGGAGATCTCTCGTCACAGATGAAATAGCGCTTCACTCATCCCAAATCTCGTGAACACGTTCAGACTGGCAGTCTGCCCTCTACACCCGGCGCTGTCGAATTTCGGCCCTGCAAACCGGATGCTCGCCCGCTTCATATAATTCAGGGTTCTCTCAAGTTTCATGCCCAGTTTGGGAACACCATCACCCTAAATGGCTTCCGCCGTACATTTCCCTGGGGATAATGGAGAGGATAATAACGAGCAAAGTGGTGATATTCGGGAGGTCAACAGCAATGTCTCAAAGCCGACAAAACGACAACGATGGGCGACGACACGAGCTCCTGGAGCAGGAGGAATAAAGAAGCGTGTTTCGATTATTGACCGTTTCCATAAACGATCGGATTTGAGAGACGAAAAGCGAAAATCAAACAACACGAGCGCCTCCACCAATGACGGGCAAGACCCTTCGCAAGCAGGACCAAATCGAAGGATATATTTCAGTATCCCAATTCCAGAGTCCGAACGAGACGAGGATGGGCATTTGCGAGCCGCGTATCCCCGAAACAAGATTCGCACTTCCAAGTATACACCACTTACTTTCGTTCCCTACAACGTCTGGCTGCAATTCCACAACATCGCGAACATATATTTCTTGTTCGTCATCATTCTTAACGTACGCAGTACCAAATTCCTTTCCCTCGGACCCGATTTCATTGAGCGCTGGCTAATGGCATTCTAGTTCTTTCCAATTTTCGGTGCCAACAACCCCGGCTTGAACGCCGTTCCCCTAATCGTGATTATCGTTGTGACCGCAATCAAAGACGCCATTGAGGATTGGGGCCGGACGGTATCTGATAATCAAGTGAACAATTCCCCGGTTTACCGACTGGTCGACTGGAACAATGTGAATTCGACAGAAGACAATATCAGCTTATGGCGTCGCGTCAAGAAGGCTTGTACCAGGGGTACGATCTCCACGTACAAGTGGGCATCTTCCCTATTCCAGAGGAAGGAGAAAGGCGGGGTTGCCGATGAAGGGCAAAGACGCAACTCTTTTTTGAGTTCAGAAGATCCCCGAGCATCGATCTATACCCAGCGCAACTCTCTGGTAGTTGAAGATGTCGCCATACCAATGACCGACGTTCCTTCGCCTCAGCCCGAAGCTCGCGAAGATTGGCCGATGATGAACGACCCAAAGAACAAGTTTCTGTCTCCGAACAGCGCAACTCGAGAGAGCTTCGTGGAGCCTGCGCCAGAAAAGAGACACGGAACCGTCCTGGATGTGTCCAAGCAGACACCTGGCAAAGCTAGATTCAAGCGAGACACGTGGAAAAGTCTACAAGTTGGCGACTTCGTTCGATTGTACAACGAAGACCCTATTCCAGCTGATATTGTGATTCTCTCCACTTCTGATCCGGATGGTGCTTGTTATGTTGAAACCAAAGGGCTGGATGGTGAAACCAACTTGAAGGTTCGCCAAGCTCTTCACTGTGGTCGTCAAGTTCGACATGCCAGAGATTGCGAAAAGGCCGAGTTTGTTATCGAAAGCGAGGCACCGCATCCCAACCTGTACTCTTATAATGGTGCCGTCCGTTGGGACCAGCGCGATTTGCGTTCTCCAGAAGCCCCACGGAAGGAGATGGTTGAGCCCATCTCTATCAACAACATCTTGCTCCGTGGTTGCAATCTGAAGAGTACCGAATGGGTTCTGGGTGTTGTCCTCTTCACCGGCGGAGAGAGCAAGATCATGCTGAACTCCGGTGCTACTCCGGCGAAGCGACCTCGTATGGCCAAGGATCTCAACTGGAACGTCATTTACAATTTCGTCATCCTGTTCGCGATGTGCCTGGTTGCAGGTATTGTGAATGGAATCGCCTGGGCGTCGCCAAACAAGTCTCTGGAGTTCTTCGATCTGGAGTCCTTCGGCGGCACGCCACCTGTGACTGGAATTGTCACTTTCTGGACAGCCGTCATCCTTTTCCAGAACTTGGTTCCAATCTCGTTGTACATCTCTCTCGAAATCGTCCGGACCATCCAAGCCGTTTTCATCCACAGCGATTTGTATATGTACTACGAGAGACTAGGGATCTATTGTGTCCCCAAGTCTTGGAATATCTCTGATGACGTCGGTCAAGTCGAGTACATCTTTTCTGACAAAACTGGTACTTTGACTCAGAACCTGATGGAGTTTAAGAAATGCACTGTTAACGGCGTGGCATATGGAGAGGCTTACACCGAAGCTCAGATCGGAATGAGACGCCGCGAGGGAGCTGACGCTGATGCCGAGGCCGCAGTGGCTCGAGAGCAAATTGCTGCCGATGGGCAGCGAATGCTAGGCCTACTCCGTGACATCCACGACAATCCCTACCTGCACGACGATCAACTGACGTTCATCGCCCCAGACTTTGCGGCCGACCTGGCAGGCCAGTCCGGAGATCGGCAGAAACACTGTACCTCGGACTTTATGCTGGCGCTTGCCTTGTGCCACACTGTCATCACCGAACATACTCCTGGCGATCCCCCTCAGATCGAGTTCAAAGCTCAGTCTCCCGATGAGGCCGCGCTGGTCAGCACTGCTCGAGACTGTGGATTCACTGTTCTGGGTCGGGCCGGCGATGACCTTCTACTCAATGTGATGGGCGAGGAACGCACATATACTGTTCTTAACACTCTTGAATTCAACTCGTCCAGAAAGCGTATGAGCGCCATCATTCGAATGCCTGATGGCACCATTCGCTTGTTTTGCAAGGGTGCTGACAGTATCATTTACTCCCGTTTGGCTCGTGGCAAACAGCAGGAGCTTCGTCGACAAACTGCGGAGCATCTGGAAGAGTTTGCCAGGGAAGGACTTCGGACCCTATGTGTCGCCGACCGACTGATCAGCGAGGAGGAATACCGTTCCTGGGTCAAGAATCACGATATCGCGGCTGCTGCTATCACAGATCGCGAGGAGAAACTAGAGAAGGTCTCCAGCGAAATTGAACAGGAACTCATGCTCCTCGGTGGAACTGCCATTGAGGACAGACTTCAAGATGGCGTACCGGACACCATTCAGCTCCTTGCGGACGCTGGTATCAAACTCTGGGTCCTCACCGGTGACAAGGTTGAGACTGCCATCAATATTGGATTCTCGTGCAATCTCCTTAATAATACCATGGATCTGATTGTGCTCAACATCCCTGAAACCGAACACAAGCGGGCCTCTGACGAACTCGACAAGCATTTGCAAATATTCGGGTTGACCGGTTCTGATGAGGAACTCATCGCTGCCCGCGAGGATCATTCACCACCTGAGCCTACGCATGCCGTGGTCGTTGATGGCGAGACCCTCAAGCTGATGCTGTCGGATGAGTTAAAGCAAAAATTCCTTCTCCTGTGCAAGCAATGCAAGGCCGTTCTTTGCTGCCGTGTCAGTCCTGCGCAGAAAGCTGCCGTCGTGAGCATGGTCAAGAACGGCTTAAACATTATGGCTCTTTCTGTTGGCGATGGTGCGAATGATGTGGCCATGATCCAAGAAGCCGATGTGGGTGTTGGAATTGCTGGTGAGGAAGGTAGACAAGCTGTTATGTCTTCCGACTATGCCATCGGTCAGTTCCGGTTCCTCCAGCGTCTTCTTTTGGTGCATGGAAGATGGTCTTACCGTCGCCTGGGCGAATGTACGGCGAACTTCTTCTACAAGGTATGTGACGTGGATGTTAACCTTCATTCCGTATCCTTACTGACGACCTATGTGCAGAATCTGGTGTGGACTTTCGCCCTGTTCTGGTACTGTATCTACAACAACTTCGATTGTTCCTATCTTTTCGATTACACCTACATTGTGTTAGTTAACCTTGCGTTCACTTCGTTGCCCGTGATCTTCATGGGTATCTTCGATCAGGACGTGGAGGATCAGGTGTCTCTCGCTGTACCTCAATTGTACATGAGAGGTATCGAGCGCAAGGAATGGTCGGAACTCAAGTTCTGGTACTTAAGCATATCCCCCTTTTGGCGTTTCCAGATGCTAACTTAAGACAGGTTGTACATGGGCGATGGCGTGTACCAGTCCATTATCTGTTTCTTCATGCCTTACCTTCTTTACGAACCAGCGAACTTCGTCAATGAATCTGGTCGCAACATCAATGACCGAGCACGAATGGGTGTTCTTGTCGCATCATGTGCTGTGATTGCCAGCAACCTTTACATCATGATGAACACCTACCGGTGGGATTGGTTCACTTGCTTGATCAATGCGATCAGTAGTCTTCTGATCTTCCTCTGGACCGGCATTTACACGTCCTTTGTTTCTTCCGGCCAATTCTACCATGCCGCTGCTGAAGTCTACGGATCATTGAGTTACTGGGTCGTTCTCTTGCTGACTGTCCTGATTTGCTTGCTCCCGCGTTTCACGTACAACTCCATCCAGAAGGTGTTCTTCCCGCTTGACGTTGATATCATCCGAGAACAAGTAACTATGGGCAAGTTCAAACATCTGGAGTCGATACCAGAGCCCCCACTGCCCCCCAAAGAAGGCCGCTCGAAGGGCACAGTTTCCAGTGACCAATCGGCCAGCTCTTCCGACATCGTGAAGCCGGTACAACCTACCGTTAAGCAGGACAACGGCCCCCTTGATGAGGAAAGGCCATTTTATGCGCCGTCCATGGCACCGACTGCGAACACTCATAATCCCCGCAGTCAGAACGGCAGCAACGGTACAAACTATACCGCCAGCCTTGACCAGTATCCGCGACCACAGTCCGTGGACTACGTACGACGCTCCCAGGAACGGACACGGCATTCCTTCGAACGAGGTCGACCAAGCTTTGAGCAAAGCAACGACTTCACTTCCGCTGCAATGCTCTCACGATTCGAGTCGACACAAAACCGTCAACACGAAGACCCGTTCCGGACTCCCGACGATCCTTCTGTACATAATATGATATAGAGGAGCGCATCTTCCGTTGCATTGACGTTGACGACCCGTCACTGATGACCTTTCCCATCGCACCTTCCGATCTGTTGCTATGTGATTTCCCCTTGCCATACCTACACCGATGAGCAATATGCCGGGGTGTCTCTTTTTGAAAGTCTTTTATATTCCCTGATAGAAAGCAGGCGTTTTGGGTTTACTCCTTTACCCGGTTGGAGGCTGAGCGCGATTCTCATTTTTTTGTCACCTTGACTCTTTTCTTTTCTTTCCCCTTCACTGCCTCCGCGCATTCTCCTTTCATTGTTCCCATCCATTTCTATACTGTGCCAGTCTGGCCAATATTCTGTACAAAAGCGTTTCTGTCCCGCAATGACACCCCTCAGGGGGTTTCTCGCTGTCTTTGTTCCATATGGATGTCATATCTCGTCAGATGATATGTTGGCTTTGGCTTTTTAGTCATATGTTTTTGTCTAGCTTAGGTGTTCCCTCTACCGGGGACCAGCCGGCACTGTGAGTGAGATTCATGTATTCTATTCGAGGCCCTCAGCGAGGAAAGTACTTAACGCGGTTTCTCAAGATCATAAGTGCCTAGACTGTGATATCACTTAGAATGTAGTATCCAATGAACCCTACTCCTACCACTTGATAGTCTAATTAATGACGGCGTTCATCCTACGTAGTTTCCTAGTTAGGCAAAATAGAGCGCGTCTACGGAGTAGTGGACGCGTAGAGAGCTGGTTCACCGCCCAATGTCTCTGCCAATCACATGCCCGCATCCCGCATTTTGTCCTGGGGATTTTTGTTCGCCATTGTCTGTTTCCTCGATTGCCTTGCTTCTAAGACAAGAGTGTCACTCGTTGAGTCTCAAGTGGTGACTGACAAGTGTTAACGACTCATCATCTGTTGCATTCCTGCAGTATTTCCATACCGTGACCAAACTCTTCTCTCTGTTGCGACCCACTTCTCGCCGTTAAGTTTACACATCACTTTGTCCACTCCTTTGAGCCTCCTATCACCTCCTTCAGCCTTTTATCGGTGTTTTCCGGATCGTTAATACCCAGCGTACTCGCAATCGCTTTCAGACGTGTGTTTCCTCTCCGCAAAACGATGTCCTAGAAGCACTGCCTATGGGATGAAGAAACAGCGCTGCAGTCTCTTATTGAATCCACCCTGTGTCTGTGATTCGAGACCTTTGCCGCCATGGAGTTTCTAGCTGCAATCACGTAGGTTCCAGGGAACTCTTCTAGATAAAGAAGCCGGAACTAACTGAGTTGGTGTTGTACAGAAAACTTCAGGCCCTCCCGGAGGACATTCACCTCCTTTGCCCCCGACAGAATGATGACGACTATGGACACTACGAGAATTTAGATCAGGTCGACGAGCGAGGGAAGCCCATCAAGGAGATTGTGGCCGAAGCGACGGCTCGAAGGCAGAGTTTCCTCTCATCCATGCGCATTCTAGCGTTCAATAAGGATGGCGTGGAGGACCAGCAAAACTGGGTTTTACACAAACTCGATCATGCGCTGGAGAAATGTGATTTGTGCATCAGGCGTTATTACACCGACAAGACTTGGCTTGTCGAACTGCTGAAGGAGGAAAATTACAAAGACGATGACATTGAGGCCTTTTTCCAAAAGATTGACGAGTGGGATATTCGAAGAATCACACGGAACTTGAAAGCTGCCACAACGCAGTTGAAGCAAGTACCAGCTCATCAGATCAGCTTAAGTGTCTTGGACAGGGCTGCGTTGCTGTCAATCTTCGAGACCCTAAGCTGTGAAGCCATGCTGCGCGATGAGGACCTCTTGCAGGAACACTTCGACGAACCCTTCCAACTCATACAAACGAAGCGAAAATTGAAGGTCTCAGATTACGTCCCCGCCGTCACTCGCTTTCTTTTCGACTCTGATAAAACTCGAAGTGGGTGGGCTGTTAATGCATGGACAAGATTCTCTCGGCCCCCTACCGACCAGGAGTTCGAATGGGCAGTTCGAGATGGCCTCACGATAGGCCTAAAAGCTGCTACACAACAACCGCCACAATCTGCAGCCCTTCAGAGATTGTGGCGAGGCATGCTGCTTGTCGTGAAAACGTTGAAGAAAGAGCAGATTACCCATCAGCTTCGAGGATTGGAGATAGATCCCTGTCGTCTCTCCGTAGAGCATCTTGTTGTACCTGACCCTGGCTTACGGTTCCTTCTCAACACCATCGGATTGTTTCTCGAAAAAGCCCCGGCTGACTTTTGGGATGCTATGCAAGCAATCCCTGCGCAAGCAATCATGGAACAAACCTTCTACAACCCGAAATTCAATGAATTCCTCATGACACATTCGGAGGGTATGCCTTACGAGCAGTCTGCATTGAAAGACATGTTGTCCTGGATCAATCCGTTCCTCAGCTCACTGAAGGGTGCCCACCAGCCGGCAGCTTGTCGATTTTTGGCATTGGAACTACTTGGCCGACTTCAAGATAACCAATACCCCAATTTATCTCGATATCATTGTTTCAACGTCGGCTTAGCGTGCCTCCTTCAAACCCTACGCCGTTTCACAGACAATGAGTCTTCGCGGGGAACAGTCACTCGAATCGTCCTAGCAGATACAATGGGAGTGGTCGCTGATACCATCGACATAATCATCAACCCTCCGACTTTTGCTGTTGAGCAAAGGCTTCAGGATGATATTCGCAAGCTGTGCATGGATGTCGTGCGCCACACATTGGCATTGGAGTGTCAATCATTGAAGACCGATTATGAGGTTATTCTGAAGCACGGTACCTTGTCGCATGGAGTATCTACCTATTCTGCACCTATCTGGGATGCTGTCGTTAAGAATCTCCGTCCGGACAATCAACTGTTATCGAATGCAGCCCTCCTGGGAATCCTCCCGCTGGTGGGATTGGAGAAGTTCGCTACGAAAGGGGAGGTGAAACAGGAAAAAACGCACTTCAACTCGATATATGGCCACCTCACCCGCTTGTCTTGTCGCATCTTCGAGCGTCTCATAGACTTTCCACCAGAACATCTTGAAGTGTTGTTCAAGAGCCAGGATACCAGTAGCGCTCTGATTTCCGCCCTCTTTGCCGCCGACGTCGACACCTACACTGCTGCAGTTGACCTGATCAAGGCTGTTAGTGGCCAGTCTGCTCGACGGGATGCTATCTCTCATTTGCTTGAGACTTCGTTCACAACCACGATCTATGGTCTCAGCTGGTCATTCCGTCGGATCTCTACCATGAAAACCTTCGCGTCCGCTCCAAGAATGATATACACTGGTACAGATATCGTAGAAATCTTGTGTGACAGCCAAAGCGGTATGCTGCGAACTCGTAATCTTGCTGATCGTCGAGAAGTCATGTCGTTGCAGAAGCTCTGGGAGTATCTGTGGCTGGCATTGACCACGATATTCGACGAGACCGAGGCGTGGCATCTTCGGGGTAATGACAAGAGTGTCATGCTTGACTTCTGTCGTAACACGATACAATTCGCAGACCTGCTGTGGGATCAGTATGGTGTCTTCTTGGGAGCGGTAGGGGATGGAGAGCCGGGGCAGACATCTGCGTCTGAGAACTTCCTTAAGTCACCCACCAACACAATGAGCGCTATGGTAAAATGGCTCAGGTTGAAGGATGAATTTCTGGCAACTACAATCGTAGGATTGGTGGCAAAGCTTCTGCGTAGGCTAGGTGGCATGAACGTGACGAACGTGAAGCCCGATGCGTTGAGCTTCATTGAGGGAGTTGCCGTCAAGGGCTCGATCAAGACGATACTCACTCAACGTGAGAAGGCTGAATTAGTTCGGTCACTGGAGGCTTACTACAAGAAACCCGTCGTCACTGCCTCCACTGCTTCCCTCAAAAAGCAATCTTCCATCACGGCTTTTGCCAAACCTTCCGATGTTTCGAGCCCCTCCTCTCGCGTTACGAGCGACGATGACTTTGATGATGACTTGACGGATCAAACTCTTCTTGAATTGTCTTCTTCTGTTGAATTCAACAAAGCGCGTCGCGCCGCCGAGGCCAAACGAACCGCCGCCAAAACCGCGAAGATGTCAGGTGCACCTGCCACCAAATTCCGTCCGCCTGATAACGCGAGGACAGCTCCTGCTCCACGGCCCAAAGATGACGCGGCCCAGGTCCTGTCTTTCCGCGAGAGACGTGAACGCGAAAAGGAAGCCAAAAAGAGGCGTGATCAGCTTGAGCTCCTCCGACTCAAGAAGGGCTTGCCTGCGCATGGTGTTGGAGAGCAGACTGCTGAACAGGGTTCAGGTCTTAAGGGTATAGGGATCAAGGGTAAAGATCATACAACCCCCGCTGATAGCATGATGGTCTCCTCTGGTTCTGGATCAGATTCTGAAAGCGATGATGACTTAGATAAAGAACTCTTTGGCGCCAAACCAAAGCCCGAGGCTGTCGCAGCCTACGAACTGAGCAAGAAGCAGGCTGTTCAGCAAAAACCCGTGAAGAAGATCAAGCGACATCGGTCGATGCGAGACATGCGAGCTCGCTTGGCTCCAGATCTCAGTTCCCTTCATCACTCCATTCTGTCTTGGGACTTTTTCGCAACTGGTGATCTCCTCCCTACCTCCGAGCGTATCGATTACTCGCTGGTTTCGAACACTTTCCGTACACCCGGTGACTACCAGAGCACATTTGAGCCGCTGTTGATTCTTGAGGCATGGCAAGGTTTTCAACAGGCGAAGGAGGAGGGTTCTTTCCGACCCTTTGAGGTCAAGGTCATGACCCGACTTGCTGTCGATTCGTGGATCGAATTCAGCACCCAGCCGATTGGTATTCCTCCAAAGGATCTCGGCTTGGGAGAAGGTGATTTGGTCTTGTTTTCCAACTCGCCTAAGCTCACAAGCGACCCATCGCTGCCCCGTATTCTGGCGCGTGTCTGTAGCGTCTCCCGAAAGAACAAAAAGCTGGAGGTCACATACCGGGTCAACCCTGGCAGTAACAAGTTCCTCACTAGTTTTGGTGCCGGCACTGACGCGTGGGGTGCCAAGATCACCTCTTTGACCCCGCTTGAGCGAGAATATGGTGCCTTGATGGCGTTGCAGTACTACGACTTGTGTGAGGAGATTGTCATGGCGAAGCCCTCGCCTCTTCTCACCTATACAGACGCTAGACTGCAACCCATCATGGACAACCATAACATCAACCGTGCTCAGGCGAAGGCCATCAAGTCGGCTGTTGACAATGATGCGTTCACTCTCATCCAGGGTCCTCCGGGTTCGGGAAAGACCAAGACCATCATCGCACTTGTCGGAAGTCTGCTCAGCGACACGCTTGGGAAACAAGTCGTTAGAGTCAATGGTGCGCCGGTCGCCAGAGGCGCGCTCTCCAAGAAGCTTCTCCTGTGTGCGCCTAGTAACGCCGCTGTCGATGAATTAGTCATGCGATTGAAAGAAGGCGTGAAGACGGTTCATGGACGGCATGAAAAGGTCTCTGTCCTCCGTCTGGGACGAAGCGACGCGGTGAATACCAAGGTGTTGGACGTTACTCTCGAAGAGATGGTTAAAGGCCGTATGAACCAGGACGCAAACAAAGGCAACGGGGTCGACTTGAAAAAACTCTATGAAGAACACAAGACGACTGACACCCTGTTCAAAGAGCTCCGTGGAAAACTGGATGAGTCACGAGCGAAGGGTCTCGCTCCTCCAGAAGAGTTGGAGCGTGAGTTCGAGCTGATGAAAAAGAAGCGGTCTCAGTTGAGTTTCGATATCGATAACACCCGTGATTCAAACCACGTGCTAGCCCGCAATGCTGATATGCAGAAGCGGCGGATCCAAGAGGAGATCATCGGCGAAAGTCACGTTATCTGCACCACTCTCAGTGGTTCTGGACATGATATCTTCCAGAGCATGAATGTTGAGTTTGAGACCGTCATCATTGATGAGGCGGCGCAGTGTATTGAACTCAGCGCTCTTATCCCGCTCAAGTATGGCTGTTCAAAGTGTGTACTTGTCGGAGATCCCAAGCAGTTGCCTCCGACTGTGCTGTCGAAGATGGCCTCCAAGTTCCAATACGAACAGAGTTTGTTCGTTCGCATGCAAAAGAACCATCCTCAAGATGTCCACCTGCTTGATATCCAGTACCGTATGCATCCAGCCATCAGTGCATTCCCCAGTTTGACGTTCTACGATGGCAAGTTGCAGGATGGACCGGATATGGGCAAGCTCCGCCAGCGTCCCTGGCATCAGAGCGAGCTTCTCAGTCCTTATCGTTTCTTCGATGTCCAGGGCATGCATTCGTATGCGGGCAAAAGTCATTCGCTGGTCAACTACGCCGAGTTGCAAGTGGCCATGCAACTGTATGAACGTCTGATCACGGATGTGAAAGGTTACGACTTTACAGGCAAGATCGGCATCATCACCCCATACAAGGGCCAACTACATGAGCTGAGGATACATTTCGCCCAAAGATACGGCGAAGACATTCTCAACAAGGTCGATTTCAATACCACAGATGCTTTCCAGGGTAGGGAAAGTGAAGTCATCATATTTTCTTGTGTTCGAGCATCCAACAAGGGCATCGGTTTCTTGGCTGATATCCGTCGTATGAACGTCGGTCTCACCCGTGCTAAGTCATCGCTCTGGGTTCTCGGTAACTCCCGCTCCCTGGAACAGGGTCAATTTTGGAATGGGCTCATCAAAGACGCACGGCAGCGAGATGTCTACACAGACGGTGATATCATCAATCGCCTAGCGACCCCGCAGTTCACTGGCTACAAAGAAGTCGAAATGATTGACCTCGACGCCGAAGACACTCCCACCCTTTCCGACAAGGAACCCCCTGTACCGCCGGTTCGGCGACCTTCGTCAGGCTCCATGGGTCTTGACTCGCGCTCCGCGGCGTCTGCCTCTGGGCATAGCGCACCACCTACCGCACGACCCGATGGACCCTCTGGGGGAGGCAACCTAATGGATCAGACGAAGGCGTGTGGAATATGTGGAAGTGTCGCGCATTACACGCACAACTGCGACAATGACGACGCAAAGGAACTTGCTCGGGGTACCTGTTTCCGCTGCGACCAGCCTGGCCATTCTAAGTATGCCTGCCGAGCTGAACGCTGCCTTGGATGCGGTGAATGCGGACATCTGGCTCACCAGTGCAAGTCCAAGAGAATTCTTACACAGGCTGAAAAGGCTCGCATTGAAAGAGAAGAATTCAATCTCAAGCGACGTCAGGAGGAAAACGCTGCGCGGCAGCGCGAACGCCAGATGGGAGGACACGATCGGAAGGTCCCTACTGTCCGAGCCACAAACACAAACCCGCCTGTGAAGCCTGCTGCCAATCCTGCGAAGAGAAAACTTGAGGACCCTGCCCCCGGTGCACCCCAGGCTCAACGACCTCGTACTGGACAGAACCCTGCTCAGTCTAAAGCTCCCAAGCTCAACCACCCAGGTCTTTCTGGACCCCCTCTCCCTCGCGCCAATCCCGTTTCCAAGGCTCCCACTGGTCCCAAGGGCCAGTCAAACAACGGCCCGCCAGCAGTATGTTCCGCCAGTTTCTATATATCAAAACTTATCCCGAGATCGTATATGCTAACAAATTTCAAAGGGACTCATTACACCTTCCCGCAATGGCCCAGCGTATCCGACCGCACATAACCCGCCTCAGGCCCCGCAGACGGGATCCAAGGCGGAGGGACCCAAGGCAGAGGGACCCAAGACAGATGTAAGCGACGACTTCCTGACTTTTTGATCAATCACTCATATTAATGTTCCATTCTTTTAGGTGTCGAACGCTCCAAAGCCCCGACCACCCATGATCCGCAAAAAGAAGGAAGTCGACCCTTTCATCCGGCCTAAGGCGAAACGCAAGTAAGCGTCGCTACACCAATTTCTATCTTCGTCCCACAGGGCCTGGTCTTTTCCCCGATCTACTTTTGAGATATCACCACCTTGCCACCTACGCGCATTCATCCAGGCCCTGGCGTTTCCAGGCGAAGACTCCACTCGGGGTTGGATCCGAGTGGATTTCAACAAAATCCATTTCCAGCATATGTACATGTAGGCGTCGGCGAATTTGTTTGATTCTCGGTGTTGTTTCACTATGTACATTCACTATGTACACCATACGCATTTGTCATGAGCGAGAGTAGGAGCTACTTGTCTAAATTCATGTTTGATGGATTCTTGTCAAATGGCCTTAGCGGGTCAAATATGTTGGTGTAGAAGGAAGGAGGTTACCATAAGCTCTCCTTAGCTTTCAAGGCTCTAGTATGCATCCTTCAACTATACATCATCCAGGTTATACCCACATCTTGTCAAACAATACTCCGAGTCAAAGCATCTCCCCACTCCCACCTTCACTTCAAAACCCTATCTCACGTGACTGATTGACAAGGCTCCAGCCTCCCGGCCCCTCCCTGTCCATATACTGTGCGGTATGGGATGAGCCGCGGTGAGCTCAACCAAACTGACAGCCTTTCAACCTGGCAGTCAGCCATGCCGCATAATTGCACACTGATCTTAGCACCGGATCTTCTCTCTACGATTGGCAGTGGAGCCCAGTGGGGTTTGGATGCATCATGCATGTAATCTCGTTAGTTCACATTGACTGCGGACGATCCAAGGTTAAAGTCTTTCTAAAAGTCTTGGGACGAACATGTTTGCTATGAATGTTGGCGTATTCGACCCGACTCTTTGGTGAGAGTGGATATTCTTCCGTTTGTACGTACTCAGTAGAGTTGGAGAGAAAGAGGGGGAGAGTTGACGTGTCTTGTCGCGTGGGTCTGGACTCTGCAGTTTCTTTGTATCTCGTTTGTTTTCTTGGCGGGAATCAGCTCAGCTCTATGATCTTGATTCTGATTGAATTGTGAATAGGTTCAAGAGCGTTTTACTTCGGAGAAAGAGCAGAGCTATGTATAGATAGTGTCTGCCATGGCAGAGAGTTTCTGATCTATGGGAAGTTAAGGTGCGTGATCAAGTCCCATAGAAATATCTCACTAGACACTAGTCGAGTTAGCTCGATCGATCCCCAATAGTTCCATTAGGTAAGTGTGAACTATCTCCTCCGATCTGTACTTTTGTCCCTTACAACGATCCACTATGACCATGATCGACTGCTTCTACCCGTCCAGAGGATTCGGATCTGCACAGCTCCGATCTGAACTCTTTGATCTTCGAGGATCATGCCACTAAACTACTACTACTACCCACTAAATCTAACTGTTTGACTTGAGAGTCCGTGGGTTCTTTGTCGATGGATCCGATACCTCACATCCACTGCGGAGTACAGGGCTAGACGTTTTCTATTTCGGCACTTTAGCTCTTCAGACCCCATCCCTTGCGTCCATATCAAAGGGGAAAAAGGAAGGAGAAAAGCCAATAAAATGAATCAGTTCAATTGACTATTGGCCTGTGGTTGACCTGTATTGTCACTGCGACAATAGACACAATGAAAAAAAAACGGATCCCAGACGGCATCCTGCAGCTGCATCATAGCAGCACGACCAAGTTTGTCATACCTGCGCTGTGTCATATTACATTCCCGCTCCCGACCTGCCTCCAATGTACACATCGCAGGTGTCACCGGCGTGTTTGATAGCCGGCGATGTCTGGAAATGGGCTCCACAGGCCTTGCTGGGACGAATCCCTTTGGGCGAACCCAATTTTCTATTATCTGCAGGACCTGTCTTTCGGATTCGGACTACAGTTTTAGCCTCAACTATCCTGTCTGTACCTTTCCAGGATCCGGGAGAGGGGGGCCCCCGGACTACTCCTGCGTCCTAGCTCGAGGATCCCCGACAAGTAAGGATGCGACAGCTCACCTCGAGACATAATAAAACTCTCCCTCTTCCCGGTTGCCTCGTCATAGTTTTGACTTTTGTTTGCTCGTTTCGAATCCTTTCTTTCAGATCCCATTTCGCCCACGGTCGATTTTGTACATATTGGCACCCCCGTATATAGTGCCCGGTGTCATCATACGTCAACATATCAGATTATTCTCACTCTATATAGCCTCCCCGGCCACCTCGCTCGCCGACCCCTTCAAGCAGGTGAGCATGTCGTGCTCTAAATCCTGCACCTTGGTTGGTCCGTCTAACGTGGAAGCATAGCATCATCCATTGCTTCCTTCAGGGACGCTGCATTTGGATGTCGACGCCCGGAAACCGTCGAATTGCAAAGCCAGCCAGTGATTGCTGCTCGGTCTCCCTATGCATCAGTGGGATTCACCGCAAGACTGTGCTGTCGCACCAAGCCCAATAGTTCGAACATATCGGCCTGATCCTCCTTCGAAACGCAGATTATCCAACATGACATCCACAAAGACATTTGTGCCAACATCTGAGCCAATGCTCTCAAGGCCTCGAGGTGGCAGTGCTCCACGACCGCAAGCCCGCTCAGCAGGGACAGCCGAACGGCCTAGCAGGAATGAAAGCCTGGTCGACATGGTACGATTCTTCCAGTCTCCGAATACGCCCTCTAATCCATCGCCTGAACCTCAATCGGAACGTCAACCTCACTCTCGCACTCACTCTCAGCCCCCACCCTCGAGTCCTTCGGACACCACTACTGCACTTCCGGTTGCTATGTCGCCTCCGGCGGTGAAACCGAAGCCCGAACCCGAGCAGGAAAAGCCATTTCATCGTCGCCTCTTCCAGTTTGCCCAGCGCCCAAAGAAAGAATCGTCGCCCAAGTCGAAACAGGAAAAACAGCAGCGCCAGATCGAAGCATTGACAAGGGAGGGGTTTCTTATCACTACGCCTCTGCCGCCGAAGGAGCGAATGGTGCAAAAGGAGGCAAAGCGGTCAAAAGAAAGCCTGTCTCTTTCTCGGTCCCTTTCTAAAACCAGGAAAGATGTAGAGAACGTTGGCCAGCCATGGTTACAAGCCAAGGTCGAGGCCCCTAGCCGGCCAACCGACACAGGGCGCCGCTTGGCTTCTCTGGATCTTGGCGATTTCAGTTCAATGGTTGACGTCGCAGTTTCACTCTCTTCGGAATTCGACGATTCGGTGCCGCCGCCGTATCAGCCCACTGAACCCGCCTCATCCCAAAACGCATCAGCTGTTCCGGTTTCGGGCTCTTCGGCGGTTTCAAATTCCGCAGGAGTCGCCAGACCGGACTCCCCCCTGACTTCCACCGATAGTTCCTACCGGAATGCATCAATTGATGAACTGATCCAACCGCCATCTAACTCAGCAGAGTCGAGTACAGGTGGTACTTCTCAGGACACTGACTCCATTTCAAGAGTCACCCCTAATACGCCTGCGAGTGTGAATGATTCAGACTCACTCCCCAGACCGTCCATTGATAGTCCAAAGCGAGACCCACCAGAGAAACCGTTGTCTCGCAGCGTGACTCCTTCGCAACCCGCATTGAAACTCTTCCCTGATGTGACACCCCCTCCCAAATCGACGAAACCTGTGTGGAGGACTTCAGTTGTTCCTCGGTACCGAACCATCGATAATATCGCAACATCGCCGATATCGAGTCCACGAACTGGGCACACACCGGAAGCTCCAGATGAGCCACGAAAATCATCTGATGTTTCCGTATGTGCCCCTGTTAATGAGGAAGAACCCACGTGCTCAGGTGCCCTCGCGCCTGTCGAGGATCACAGTCCATCTGCACCTTCGGAGAAGGTCCTCAAAGAATCTGTCTCGGATGATCCGATTCCATCTCGACCGGTCTCGTTGTCTCTGGGCACACTGAAGGCATTTCCTCTGCCAGCGCCTACAAGACCTCTTCCATCACTGCCCGAAGCCGAACGATCTCCCAGTGCTCCTCCGAGCATCAACACTCGCGCTATTAGAGCAATGCGTTCGGGTCCGATGTCTTCCAATCTACAATTCTCTTCAGCAAGCCTGTCGGAAGATCAGGAACTGGAATCCAGTGGTGCTAGTCCCAGCCTTTGCACACTTGACTCGCGTCCAGCAACCGCTCTTGGCAGCATTGGTGGTGGAGGCTCAATGGCTGATGATGAGGACAGCCTATTTACTCCCTCAATCTCGGAACACTCCAAGCAAAGCTCAGGACAGTCCGCTCCTCGAGGACGTGCTTCTAGCGTGCGCATTCCCCGAGTGCAGGAGCCGCCCGCGAGCCCTTCAAGCCAGTCTGCCGAGAAGGCGGCTGAAGGGCAACCTCTCGCTGACTCGCCTGTTTTGGGACACTCTAACCCAGCAATGTCTCAGGGTAAGGATACCGTCGTCAAGGGACTTCAGATCAATTCCCAGCTCGGTCGAAAGAACCTTCCCTTCGGTCTGCCATCACCTCCGCCAACTGCAGCTCTCCCATCAGCTCCTCCTCCCCAGCAAGCACCTCCTCCCCCGCCTTCCGGGCTAAGAGTAGGTCAGCGCAACTACACCGCACCCAACGCAGCTCTTCTGTCTTCGATGAGAAGTATGGAGGCACTTTCTGGACCGGCACTACATCGAAACACGAGTATGTCTCGGAGCAACAGCTCAGGGAGCAGCCTTAGACATGAGACTTTCCCCGAACCATATCAACAAAGTTACTCCAACTCTCGTTCCGAATCTCCAATTCCCTCCTCAGACGAGGAAGTCTGCGGTCCTAGCTCCAATACCAAATCCTCACGCCGCATCAAATCCCAACGCTCACAGCAAACACGTCGAGGCTACGAGACAGTCGATGAACGCCAGATGTCCCACGCTCGCCTCCGCTACCCGCAACCCACACGGCCGCCACCACCTCAAAACCACAGCCTCCACAGCCTGGACAAGGCTCCACCTCCCCAGACCCAATATTCCCACCGATCGAGAGAGTCTCGCAGCAGCCACCACGTCCGCCCCGCTCCTCAAGTAGACCACTACCTCGAAGACCGGGTTGCAAATTTGGAGCGCCAGAACCAAATTCTCCAGGCTGCTCTCATGGCGGCACTCAATGCTGGAGGGAAGAATCCTCTCCTCGACGGTCTCAGTCTCAATCCGGGCATCTCCCAGCAGCCATACCAACATGCTCCGTTTTCGAATCAGTATTCCGGTCGTCATGCGTCGCGCCCGGATAGCTGGGTTAGCTCTTCTCGCAGTAGTGAGTATAGTGGTCATGAGACGGGGGCTTACCATGGTCGGGCGAATATCAAACAGCTGGACAATATGATTGAGGATATTGAGTCTGGGTGGATGTCGGATAAGTCCAGTCTCAGTGGTGCTCGAATTACTCACCAACGTTGAATGACATTCTCTTTTTCCTTTTTGTTGACTTGATGAACTATTCACTGTTTCTCTTCTAAGCTCTGGGTTTACTGGTGATGATCTTTTGCCCTTGTACATATTGATGAGTTGCTTGCACTCTAATTTGAGACCAGCACGTAGCTGTTGAAACCCAATAACCCAGTACGAAACCGCAGCTTATTCCAATAATCCAGGTGTTCTATATCTATATATCACAGGCTTTCCAGGGCTGTGAGGGAAAGAGCTAGGTTGTCAGCCCGGTGATGGGAGGAGCTCCGGCCAAAATGATTTTCGTCTGGAAATGGTGGCCTGGCTGGCTTTGTTTGTGGAAGGATCTTTGGATCGGGTAGATCCTTGCGGATGGGCTGGTGATGATCCCTCGAATCTGACCCGGGTACGCAGGTGTATATGCCAGCCGCCAGATGACAGGCTGTCAACCTTGGAAGTTCTTGCTATCATCCTAGTTACTATAACCCGCCTGAATAGCGACGAACTGCCGTCAGCTACCGAGACGGTACCTGTCATGGTTATCAGCTCGTTTCAAAACATGAAGGCTCGAATTTTGATTGCATACTTGGCTTCCGAACAACTAATCATCCAAAAGACGCCGTTGCTTGACTTTGCAGATGAAACAGCGGCGGTCGTCAACACGACTCTTTTTATGAGATACATGGCTTCTAAAGCTACTGGGGATACTAAGGGCATTGAGATCTCCACTGACCCACCACGGTTGGCCACGTTAGACACCAAAAACTGAGAGAGCTCGCTAACAGTTTACAGTCGACGGAACCTACACCCGGATGGTAATGGCAATTGGTCCTCTGGATTGAGCACACTGTAGTTCTAAAAGAGCGAAGGCTAGGATATGGATCGAGCTATTGTTCCCTTATTCGAATATTTCCAATGTTATACCAATTCAAGTCTATTGATGAACGGCTGTCGTTTCGGGCCGAAGTAGATCAGGCTCCATAGTTTCGGACCGAGTGTCACTTTAACCTATGCCAGTAGTCTCTAAGTTCTAGGTAGTTACTGTGTAGTTGGCCAACAATCACATTATCAGAGATTAAGCTTTTGTCCTACATGAATATCCCAGATATTCCAAGATATTGAGTTTACTGTGTTTGTCTGCATTACTTGATTGGAGCATGATGTCATACCCCGACCCCAGATATTAGATCGCCTGTTTCTCTTTTTGATCTTCCCCAGTTAATTAATCTATTGCTCCCACTAAAGCAAAGATCGACATTCATCCATTCATCCATAATGGTTCTCTGGGGTCACAGCGATGACCCAGACAGGTCCAACAGGTCCAACAGGTCCACAGAGTCACCCCATCGTCAAGATCGGGAAGATCACAGCGCGCCACACAGATATGAAGAACCAACCGAGCGCTCAAGGCTGCTCCCTGGAATTAACCAGGGATATTTGAGTCCAGATGATCCAGCTGTAAGTTTCCATTCACTATCAAACCAATCAATCTCCTATGTCAACCACGAAAGAGCACAGCTAACATGCAAACTAGATATCGCCCTACAACCTCTGGAGCGTCCGCGCCTTGCGTGGCGTCAGCATCATCGCACTAGTACTGAGCTTCATATGGTGGATATTCCTCCTAGTCTCCATCTTCGTCAGTCCGTCAATGATCCACCCACGCGGCTCAGGTTTCTTCGCCTTCGCATACACAACCCTAGCAACAGGCTACCTCGTCCTGGGCCTACTATTCTTCGCAGTCCCCTCCAAGCCCATGACAATCTCCGGCATCATCCTGGCCATCCTCCTCCTAATCGACATGATCATCATCCTCGCCGTACCGCGTCTCCGCCTCGAAGAAGGCTGGGTCGGCATCGGCTCCGTCGTCTGGGTAACGCTAATCTCCGTCTACCAAGTGACTCAGAACCGTGCCGTAACCTGGGGCAAGCGCGAGGAAGAAGAACGACTAACCGGCCGCGAAGAGACCCGTCGCTCACTACTGGAGTGGATCGCCGTCTTCGCCGAAACGATCCTCCTAGCCACCATGGCAATAGCAGCCCTCTTGTTCACCGCCACGCTCATCCTGCGCTCTACAGATGCAGGACTCGCAGCCCCCGGTGAGCGCTACCTAGTAAACGGCGACAGCTACCAAGTGCATCTCGTCTGCGTTGGCGAAAAGACAACAACAGCCAACCAAACCGTCCCAACCATCCTCCTCGAGGGCGGCGAGGGACCCGTCGAACATACACTCCAGCCCTTCATCGACGACATGCGTCTCCGCGGTAGTATCAATCGCTACTGCTATTGGGACCGACCGGGCTTCGGCTGGTCCGATAACGCGCCCTCGCCCCATTCCGCCGGAATGTCCGCAGACGCACTCGCCGAAGCCCTAGCTTTAGCGGGCGAGACCGGTCCCTGGGTAGCCGTTTCAGCCGGCGTCGGCAGTCTCCATTCCAGACTCTTTGCCAGTCGTCACCTCCTCGAGGTGCGGGGGATCTTCATGATCGACCCGCTGCACGAGGCGTACCTGGGTGATCTCGGACGCCCGGGTCGTGGCTTTATGCTCTGGCTTCGGGGCGTTCTTTCGCCGTTGGGGTTGGATAGACTTGCTGGTGCGATTGTACGTGGTCGCACGCGCCAGGACCGTGTCGTTGGACAATCGGCTTATCAGTCTGGGAAATTTATCAAGGCTAAGCTGCAGGAGAGTCTCGTTGCGGGTACTATGACTGCGGCGGAGATGGAGTCGGCCAGACATGTGCAGATGGGTCATGTTCCTGCTGTGGTTGTTAGTTCTGGGAGGAGAGTTAAGAGGGATCGGAAGTGGGAGGAGAGACAGGAGGATCTTTCCCATTTTACGGATAATCTTTTGGCTTGGGATGTTGCTGATGATGCACCTCATGAGGTGTGGATGACTGCACGGGGAAGGGAGTTGTTGGAGAGGCGTTTGAAGGAACTTGTGAGGAAATGCCAGGAGGATGTAGCATCAGATTGATTCCGAGGTTCTCACTGATGATTCGTTTCGTTTTTTTACGTCGGTTAGCATTGTTATTAGGCGTTTGTTTATGCTATTATAAGGCTCGTTGCAATGGGTGCATCTCAATGACAATCTCATCTCTACTCCATGTTGCCCCGCCCATGTTTTACCTAGATTATTAGATACCGTAGTGATGCAGTATTTTGGGAGAATACGGTATTCGGCCTCACTCTGCATTTTTGAAGGGGAAATCTCGAATACCGTCTTCACTCGAACACCGTGTCACTACGGTATTCCTATATCTAGGTATTCCGACGAGTATTCTTGGTATCCAGTACCTACCTAAATGTAAAGACGTGAATCATAATAGGTAGCAAATACCGGACCGTGGAAAGATGCGTTTGATAGCCCACTGTCAAAAGATAGATTGGATTTCAGTAGGTACCTAGTGATATATTCTGTGGATGAATAGTAGTGTTAATGCTCTGGCTACTATACCTAGCTACCGAGTACCGACCCCCAGGCCTTGCGCACCATTCACCTCCTACTACCAGATCCCTATCTCATATTCAAGCATTGACGATCCCTCACAAGAAGGGGGCGATGGCTACCCAGTAGATCCTCTTCCGTACTATTCCTGGGTGGACACGGGGCGGCGAGATGAACCGAATGGTATGTGAGTGCGACGCGGCCGATGGAAAGACGAAAGTCGTCACTCTAAACTAGCTCCCTTAAACCTCTTAGCAAGCTGCTCACTCTCGGGACTGGGAGATGTGTTGCGGGGTAGGGTGGAAGGTAAGGGGTCGCCAGGTTTCCGTATTCGGGAATCCGAAGGCCGGACCGGGATGGACCTGGGCCGCTTGGGGGGACGCTCACCACTCTCCTGAAGGATTGTCATCAACGTCGCCCATCCTGGGGTATTCACAAGCTGCATGCCCTCGGAGGCGGACTTTGTTCGGGCCACACGGCAGAGGAGTGATTCCTCATCCTGAGCGAGAAAGTTTGGTTAGCGTCACAGATATTAGATCATATTATACAGAACCAAACACTGACCTTGCTGAATGTGCCAAGTCCATGCAAGAAGCACAGGATGTGGAAATCTGAAATGGCTTGGATGGCTTTATCGGGATCACCATGCGACATGAGTTTCTGAGCAACATGTCGAAGCTCTTGGCTTTCGCCGACAACTTCACGGTTCTCGATAGGGAAGCGACTGTCGGTAAATAATGGGGATGACTCTTTGGGGAATCCGTGGGTGAGGGTGACTAGAAGGAACTCCACGGGGAAACTTGGCTCGGCGCTTTCTTGAACGCTTGCTCCGTACTCATTAATTCGTCGATAGAACACCTCAGGGATGTATCTTGTTCTGCTTCCGAGGTCTTCGTCATGCTCTGATTGCACTAGCATCACGGTCGGGTCCGCGGAGGGTTCGATGATATCGCCTCGAACCATCTCAACTGCAGAAACAGAGGCTTGGTATGAGCTGATAGAAATCGCACCTGTTTCGTCTCCGCTGAGCACACACGTTACAAAGTCCGAGCCGAACTGTCCTGTGCGGCTCCATTTTGTTGACTTGGGATTTTGTGCTTGGAGTCGTGCAGCAAATACGATTTCGAGTGAAGACAAGAAATATGAGTCGATGTGTCGTTTGCAAACCACTGATCCATCTCCACGACCAGCATCAACGAGGTCAGTAAAAATCACACCAACCTTCTGCAACCCGCAGAGACGGGCTACCTCGTCCACTTCCTTTTCGTTCTGCCAGTCATGAAGGGTGACGCCATCGACTTCGCCCATCTGTGGAGGCTCATAGATTGCTTGCACGACAGCCTTGACACCGAGTGGCACTTCAGTGTACTCCTCGTATGTGCCGTACAAGAACCCTAGTCGTTGGGCACCGGACTTTCGCCAGAAATCGAGGAGAGAATTGATCAAATCGGGGGATGCGAACTCCACATGGTCTACCGAGCGGAACTCCTGGGGCTGCAGACTGATTGCACTCGGCTGACACTTGGTGCAGATTCCTTCTGGCCAAGGTGAATGCCCCGAGGGGCAGTCGGATCGAACTCGGTAATATGGCTCGCTGAGCGGCGGCATGAACGATGTTCCCATTTCGGGCTTATTCGTTGCGGCATTGATCTTCCGCAAGTATGAGTGGAAAGAGAGGTGTTTGATTTTCTTCTCTGCCATGTATTTCGAGTCGTAAGGCTCGAGTGGCATGCAGTAATCGCACATGCCTCGAGGACCATGTCTGCACATCTTGTAGTCCATGCCACGCTTTATCTTTCCATCCTTCTTGTCCAGCAAGTTGTCTAGTGGGGACTGTTGAACCAGTTCCCACGGATTCTTGCTTAAGGTGGAAGGGGTTGGTTGCGAACGGATCGGGACTGTCTGTTGCGAGGGGACCGGGGCTCCATTTAGTCGGTGTTCTTGAGTGGTGGGTTTATCGCCGTTCGAGACTCCATTCTGTTGCGCCTGCTCCTTGTACCCGACAAAGAGCTTATCGCCATGCCTCCAGGTGACGCGTGAGTAACTCGTTTCGCATGGGGAAAGATATGGGGCGCTTACTTGAGACCAACTTTCTGCAGCGAAACCCCTTGTAGACTTTCTAGTTCTCTTTCCTCTCCACCTGTGCCGATCGGTTTATTTGAAAGGGTGATGGAGGAAGGGTCGACGTCAGCCGGTAGGTGTTCTAGAATCTGATACCAATTGTCTGGTTAGCTTCTTGAATTCATCTTCTCCGCTCTCCTGTCTAGTCCGCTTATAGCAGTGCCATGACTTACCTTTTTATGAAGTGATGGAAAGAGTTCCTGCGGGTTGACCGTGAGTCGAAATTGGCCGTTTCGACTCTCAAACCGCAGTAGAATGGATGCCATGTTGGATGATGACGAGCTGAGAGTACTGTCAAAGAACAAATGCGAGAGACAGTAGCTTCACTTTCAGATGCTCATGAGCGAGTAAAGAGACACATTCAAGAAGAGACGTTGAATTGGAAGCTTCCCTGGTCACGTCACAGCTGGAGGGCGGTATGACCGTATGGCTGGCAGAACACCCCGCGGCTGACTGGAATTTTGGATAGAATTGGAAGACTAGGTAGAAACTATTTGATACGTCTCTTTGAAGAAATGAATATCACAGGCGCTAACTGAAAAGCCGTTGGAAACGATGGAGTCAAGACTCAAACTCTCAGACGCGTCGCGCAACGAGGGTCTGACGCCCTAAGTCCAATTGCGACTCGCATCAGCCGACTACCTACTACCTACCTCCCCAACATTGAGGACGAACTACCTATACCTACGGGTACCTTATCCTGTATATCTAGTCTACTACCTTTCCACCGGAACCTTACAATACCGAAGACCCTCAAGTAAATCCTGCAGCTTCCCGAAGCCTCCATAATGCGCAAGGCAAAGCTTATCAGCAACCCACCTGCACCAGGTGATTATCCCGCCTTGATAGACGGGGAGTCGGGCTAGGAGATTTGGAGTATGCGTGCAATCATGTAGAATGAAAATGAGGTGCAAAATCTGACAGATTACAAGACGAAGACTTACAAGGAAGCCCACTGTACGGTTTTTTCTGTTGCCGGCCAAGATGTTCTTGTCGGAAAGACATTCGAGTACGCTGCCCAGGCGTAATGCGAATACTTTGTTGAAACAGTGATTGACCGCAAATTACGGCAGATAGATGGGAAATTGGTGTGGATTTCGGCTCCGTTGGGTTGTCGTTTGCATTTCGTTTGCATTCGCTTGAATTGCTGTCGTATTCCGAGTACTTCATTTTGAGTACCTGTAATCAGTACGCGGGAATGCGGAATATAACTTACATACTTGTTAACATGGACGAGCTGCGTATATATACCAGTTGTCGAGGAACCAAAGAGTAATTGTACGAGCCATTGGCCCTGCAACGTGTAGAATGTCGTTTGATGCATTCACCACTGATCAAACGATCCTTGTCCCCCGGTCTGCGGCTGCTCTCAGTGCTTTGCCGAGCCATCTTTCAGCTTCTACTTCGGCTTTGAGATGGATGACGGATGTTAGTACGAAAGGTGCACCCCATGACTCAACGGTAGACATATCAGTTTGTCATAACTGATGGTTGACTGAAACCATTCCACGGCTCTTGTACATAGTTAGTCTCAATCGATTAGTAGACTCACCAGTCAACACAGGACAATACACAATCTCATGTGTCGCAACGCAACCTCAGGAAAGCGCAATGTGACACGACCCTCCAATGCGCTCGCCTTGATCGATCTGGTCATGTCCAAGATAGCAAGCGCTTATGGCGTTCCAAGGCTGTCATATGCTCGCGTGATTAGTCGTGCCCTCCCTCTCACTTTATCTTCCCCTTTCTGAATCGATTCCCCCATCAACCTTCACCCCCAGACCAATCAATAAACCTGCGACAACGAGCCTCCTGATTGATCTGATGTGTGGAATCGGTCGATGAGGCGCCCCATAACGTCCGAGTAGAATATCAAGGGCCCCAAGCGCATCCTTCCCTTGACTGCCTCGCTGCCTCGCTGCCTCGAGGGGGACTGACCTCTCGTCTCTCTTGGTAAGTATCCCGCCATCTCCTCATCCCGCTGTCTCCTCATCCCGCTGTCTCCTCATCCCGCTATCCCCTTTCCTCTTTGCATCACTCCGAGTGTGCAGACCATCTCCATGACGAAACTTGAGACTGACGACGTCGCAGCCTCGATGATAGGCGTCTCAGATCATCTCCAATAGAGGTCGAGTGCCTTTGAGATCCAGCACCTTGCTGATGAGCACTTTCGATTCACGGTCGCATCGATGGCGTGGCCATCATGCCGCGCAGCCACATTGCGCGCGGTGAATCCAGTCGACACCCAAGTCCGCGACTTCTCACTTGAAGTCAACACCACTCCGCCAATATGGGAATTCCCTCCATCCCGCATTTGGCAGCGACTACGGGGCCACCAACCATCAAAAACGACCAAGACAGTCCTCCAATCGGAAGTCGCAACAAACCACCAATTGGGGCTCGGTGGGAAAGACGATCAAGGACTGGAACAAGTTTCTATACAGTAAGTGAAAGACAATCGTCCAACAAGAACCCAAGTCCCTCCGTGGGATCTCCATAGTTACTTACTCCTTCTTCCCGATAGCCTCGAACCTTGCTCATGAGCACCGTCGATTCACGGTCGCATCGAGGGTCTCTGCCTCCAGGCGGCGCCTCTTGGCAGCTGGAGGACTGTAATCCGCCTCATCAAAATAGAGATGACTGACGTCCTCGCCGCCAATGAGAAGGGCGAGGTTGGCAACGAGGGCCATATCGAGGCCGAGGTCACTCGCTTGGCACAGCAACTTACACGCCTATCTATCTGGCGTCTCTTGCTGCTGTTGGGTCAAGGAATAGCTCCTGCTTTTCAGTCTTTGGAGAACCTTGACATAGCTGAAGATTTCCTCATTGGCACTGGACTTCGGTACCGTCGCCCGGATGGCATGCTGGCGTCGGGAGGCAAGCAGCAGCAGATCCATAAATTCAACGCGTCAGATTCGCCTTACTTTGCCTTCATGCTTTCGATCCGGTCCGGTGGTGTTGGCATCAACCCCGCCACTGCGGTCACAGAGAGTCCGTGCAGCAAATCTCGTGGTTGGGAGTTGCAATCCGGTCGACCGTCCTGTCCTTCACCTAACCAGGACAAGGAAGCTGAGCCTGAGCAGCCTCCCATTGATGATGGACACGTCAGATCGCAATAGAACCGGGTTCTGGTTCGGGTATGCGGGCTTGGCAGATCATGGAGCTCCAGGTTCATCGGATACATGCTTCCGGAGGGTCCTTCGGTACGACGTCTTCCTGATCTTTTGTGGTGGGGGAGGGGAGGGGAGGGGAGGGGGCGCTTCGTGACTTGACTCCCAAGTCCCAACGAGGGACGAGTGGAGTACTATCAACGGGTCGATCCTGGTCGAACTCGACGGCCGCCCACTACCCGTCTCATTCCAACGGTCAGCAGGGTACGTGGAACAGTGGATTGATGGAATGTGCTCCCGGTGCCGGGGGATGTTGCGATATGTCGGCGGAGCAGGTGCATGGATGAATGGACCCGCTTTCCAAGGACCAAAGTTACCAGCAAGCGCAGGCCGTCTACCTGCAGCCATAACATGATAACGTAGGAATCTGTGACATGGGATGAAGCTCGAGCCAACAACCGTTCCATTGTCTTTGGGGTCAAACGTGCCAAGCCGATTGTTGCAAGGCGTGGCTCGTGCATGATGACTGCGGCTGCCTGAGGTTGCAAGCGAGGCGCCAACTCTCGCAGGAACATCGCTCGCCCAGTGAAGATCAACCTAAGCTGTGTCTTCTGCGGGTCTATTTTCTACTGTTTTAATATTTCCATACATACCGGGAGGATCGCTGCCTGGTGTACGGACGAATGTAAATAGACCTACTCCTCCATTTTTGCAGTCTTGCTCCAATTACAATTCTCGTTTGAATTCACTCCCATATTCAAATCCCCTTTCGCACATTAAACAAAGAGAAAGACTCTCAAGTCCAACCTAGTAGTCTCCTAGATTCAAGATTGTGACACAAATGCCTCATAGTACTCATACATCATCTGTCTACAAATTCCATCACCAGGTTCCTGCCCGGCCTGTGCCAGAGCAAGGGGCGAAGAAAAGGACGGCTTCTCATCCATGTCAGTGGCTTGATCGAACAGCAAAGGTGCAGGGACTAAATTATTACTCCGACAAAAGTGGGACAGAACATCGGTACTGTACTCATGTCCTGTCCACCATTTGTATAGTTAACACTTACAGGTACACGCTTCACATGAAGACTAGGTTAACAAGTACCTACGCATTATCAGATTCAGGATAGGTGCGACTGGATCAAGTAATATATTCACCAGGCTATTCATTACTATCTGGCTTTAAATGGAAAGGGATATCTGTGTCATATATAAGAAAGCGAAACGCCATAGAGAACACCTCAGGCAGAACAGCCAGCCGCTAAGGGAAGTAAGAGACGGAGGCCCGATCATTGAATGATACACTTTTTAGGCAGACCACATGGGCCCTCATTGCTCTTCTCCTTCTTGGCCGGCTGTTGAGCGGCCTGCTGCCCGTTGGAAGGCTCCTTGGCAGCAGGAGTCGAGGTCTCAGGCTTCGACTCGGAGCTATCATGTAGTCACTGGACCTTGGCAACGGCCTCGTAGAAAGCCTTACCCTGAGCGGTGGCAATCTCGAGCTCAATCGCAGAGGGCTGGCGGGAACCGTCGGCACCCTGTAGGCAATTGATCAGTAAGAGAAACTTATCAAACAGTACCGAATCAACTTACAGCGAAGGTACCAGCACCCCAGGGGCTACCACCGTGGACCTCGTTCAGGTTGCTCAGCTGGGCAAAGACGGTCTTGTAGCCGAGAGGGACGTAGATGAAGCCGTGGTGAGCGAGGGTGCTCATGGAGGCAAGAGCAGTGGACTCCTGACCACCACCCTGGGTACCGGTGGAAATGAAGAGACCGGCGTACTTGCCCCAGAAACCACCTGAGGCCCAGATGCCACCGGACTTGTCCCAGAAGGTCTTCCACTGGGCAGGGAAGTTACCGTAACGGGTGGGGATACCGAACAGAACAGCATCGAAGGCGAGGAGATCGGAGGGCTCAGCAATGGGGTAGTCAGCCTTGCCAGGAGCGTGCATCTTGGTCAGGACTTCCTCGCTGAGGGTCTCGGCAATCCTAGATACTCAAAAGGTAAGCAAAGGGACTTGAGACAGACAGCAACAAATATGGTGTGACTGACTGGAAGATCTCGGCTTGACCACCAGCGGCCTCAATGCCCTTCTTCTCGGCCTCGGCCAGGGCCTTGATGTGGCCGTACATAGAGTACTGTTGGCATGATTAGTGAGATGCGATGGCAATGCAGTGCGGGAAGAGCACGTACGTAGACAATTGCGATTTTGGGAGCCATTGTGAATGTTTTGAGTGTTGTAGGGGTTGAATTGAGAGCAGATACTAGGTTGGAGGGGAAATCTGCTCGTTTAAGTAGCAAGGGCGGGGATACTACACAGGTACATGCAATCACTTCGTATACTCATGGACACTCCACCGCGGAGAATGTGGTGGTACTTCAATCCACATAGTAATTACTATGTAGTGCGAAGTACCGAGTTGTTTTAATAAGAGCTTAGCAAGCGTGACAGAGCTCACGGCAACCATATGATTGGTCGATCGGGGCCCACTTTAGATCCGTGCCGCTGGTCTAGGCTTAGTGAATTCTTACTGAGAACTGACAAATGGAAATCTCATGCGAAGTGAGCATTCTCGAATTACATCGAATACTATGCAGAGAGAAAACCCCACGGAGTAGTTACAAACTGGCGATTACAACCCCTGACTAAAATGAAATGAGGCGCTTTAGTCAGGCGCAGGACTGAGACATTCGAAGGAGTTTGACCGATGTTTGTAGACAGCTCAATCTCATATCATGAATCATGATGTCATGAACCAATTCCACGCTACAACGTCCTTCCCGTGTCTTCACAACGACCTCTGACAGCAACATGAGTGTCTTGCTCATGTTCTGTTCCGGTTGCAGTACGACTGTTCGACTGAGCCCTGGGGATGACCCCGGATGAACCCCGCAGGTGGTGTCAGTGACCATGTTTATAACATCTACGGGTCCAAGGTTGACTCCCGACCGCGGGGGTGGAGGTCCAGTGGCTGAAGCTTTAACATTGTCACCCTAAAACGGAAGTTAGATAGGCACTGATAGATTGCATAAGTTAATTAAGACAATGTGCCCACCAGCTTACCCACCATTGGCCAGATCGGAAGCAGATGTTTACTCGAAATATCAGATGAGGAAAAGAAAAGATGTTTTGTAGATATTATCATCAAATCGATGGGGTATCGCGAGACTAGCGAAAGAACTGTACACAGGTATAATGAGAAAAACCAAAGCCCCATTTCCTAACTCACACCTCACTCCATGCCATGCAGTCGCCGTAAAAAGTGAAACAAAAGACATATTGGGCCAAGCAATGGCCTAACCTCTTCCACGCCCGCGGAAGCGACCACGGCCAAATCCACCACCCCGACCACGTTCATTTCGCCATTCCCTTTCCCGCTCCTTCTCCCGCTCTTGTTCTTCGCGAATGAGAGCCCGTTCCTGCTCCAATTCCTCTTCCGTCTTTTCGGTGCGCATCGTAGGCCGAGGTAGGTTATCACTCCAGCGCGGATGAGCATTGGCGCATGCTTTTCCATCAGGACAGAACCCAGCCAGATAGAACATGCATAGCTTCCGGCGCACATGTCGCTTTGCACAAAGTGGTCCCAGTTCACAGTATCCGCGGTCGTAATGCTCGCAAGGCGGCAGGCGTGCCTCCTCGCGAACGTGCTGGTAAAGGCAGTCGTCGCCATTGGTGCAATATCCGGATCGCGAAAATGACTGGCACTCGGGCATTCGTCGGAGGTTGTATTCGTGGAGGTATTCGCATTTCAATCCCTTCTTGCATAGTCCCTTGAGAAAATGTTTGCAGACCAGCGACCCGTGCGTGGTAGATGGTGCCATCCCAGATGCTGTGGTAGTTGAGGTGGTGACACGGGAGGGGGTAGGATGGCGATCGGGACAGGCAGGCCCTAACGGACAGTGCCCTTCACTGTAAGCTTTACAGACAGGTACATCGCTGGCGAGTCCGAAGCCGAAGCTCTTGCGTAAGAAAGGCGTGAAAGTAAAGTCATTGTAACTGGGGTCGCGATTCGGCTCAGCAGAGAGGAGATTTGCAGCTGTTCGGGCGGTATCGGTAGCCATGATTTGAGGAAGCTGGGATGAAGCTTGGGCGAAGCGTCCGAGGTAAAGAAGATACGTAGTCGTCGCAACCAGATGGGAGAATTCGATTGTGCACGCACTTCTGAGAGTGGGATGGCGAGTTTCGTAGACAGGACAGCATGCAAAGATTAGTGCTCTGTCTGCAGTGAGATTGGCAAGAAGAAGGGGAGCTAGGATACGGAGTAGAGAGTAGAAATCTTAGTTGAAGGCGGCGGAGCTATCCAGGATGTTCCCCCATCTTCGCCTTAGAAATCAGGCGGTCGGCAGATGTTTGGCTTGTTTGCATTTGACATCTACACAGTACTGTGATACCAGTTCTCCCTTTCCCATTTTTCAACATTTACTACAGGCTGATTGCTGAAAAGAACATAAAGATAAACCGATTTTTTCAATCAAAGGAAAACAGTGTTACATTGAATCCTGTGCATTGAAGCATATGCTTAGTAATTACAGAAATCCAAGTTGCTGGTCCATCACATCTCGCACGAGAGTCTCAACCGAGCGCCATTGCATCCCAAGCTCTGTCTCCGCCTTAGTCGTATCAGTTGGGAACCCTCCACCCTGGATGTCTTCGGTGACCAATGCACCTGAATCTGGATAGAACTTCTTGACGATGGGCGCAATATTCGCGCCGGTCATCTTTGGTCCAGCCAGCAGATACTTTGAGCCATCAACGATTTTCGCATCCAAGGCTTTGATCTGTGCATCGGCTACATCTTGAACATGCACACCTCCGATATTCACAGTAGGGTCGCCTTTCATGATGAAATTCCATAGAAGACGGTTAGTCCCGGTCACGTCTGCGGACGTCTGCACATTATTGTGACCAAACACGAATGCAGGGTGCAGTGTCACCAAAGCATAATGCGGCTTGGCTGTTGCCCGGAAATCCCAAGTCGCCTGATTCGCAAGAAGCTTAGAGGCCTTATACAGTTTCATTGGCGTTGCGCCCGGGTTTTCAGGGTCCTCAAAATTTGCATGTTCATCGACCGAAAAGTCCCAATCGTTGTCCTCTGGAAACTTGTTAACGCCTTTCTTCTGTGATAGTGGGAGACGAAATGTGGGAGGATACGGTACCTTTGATCACACCACCGGCAGGGATTCCAGTTAACGGGATCAAGGCGGCAATCGATGAAGTGATGACAACTTTCTTGATGCTCGACACCTTTGCGGCTGCTTTCAGCACGGCAGTGGTGCCTTTCACAGCTGGGGTGAAGTAGGTTTCCTTGTTCGTTCCATGGGCAAGAGGAGACGCAAGATGAAGCACATAATCCACACCGTCCAGCTTGCCGTCGAAAGCCGTCTCGGCTGTGATATCTGGAACAGTAACAAACTCGACTTGGTTAATATACTCTGACAGCAAGGCCTCCAATTGCTCAGAGGGCTTGCGAAGACAGACTCGCAGACGGTATCCAGCCTTGAGAGCTGCCAGCGCAGTTGCGCTGCCAATAAAGCCCGTGGCTCCGGTAATAAAGATCAATTGGTTGGACATATTGTGGAAGATTTGTTCGTTGGTGAGAGACCTCTTTCACTGAAGGAGTCCATGGCTTTTATAGAGGGAATTGATCTCGGGTTTCTAAGCCGTCGGCACACTTTCAATTGATTTTCTGTTGATCGTTTGTCAGGAACGGGATAAGGACTTCCCTAGGTTCGGGCTTCACATACTCCGAACCGAACGATCTCCGACATAGGATCGATTGATAGCCGGGAGATTCAAGCTTTGTAAGCTTTGATCTGATTAGTTATAATCTGATTATTTGTTGCAGAGCGTGGACTTTGCCCGAGGAAATAATGATATGGTGATCTATTCCAAGGGTTGTCGCCACCCGAGGTTGATGAAATGATCATAAAATCATTATGCTGCCAGCCGACCAACCGTTCTGTACGAGATATTGTCATTCCAAATCATTCCTTCGAGATTTCGGCTCCTTCGTGCCACAAACTCAAGGGACACATATGCACTTCGTCGAAAGTGACACAGTAGTATGTCATAATATCACTCATCACCGAGAACCTTGTGATCTGCAACATAGTATTTAAAACCGAATAACATCCCGCGAAGTGTCTGTCAACTCATTCAACCAACATTCCCTCATAATCTACACTGGAACTTCTCGCCACTTGCCGTAAAATACCCAAACCGCAACAATGCCTGTCTGGAATATCAAACACAGTCCGAACACCATCACGGACCTCGAAAAAGAGCAGCTTGCCCAGTCAATCACAAAGTACTATGTCTCCGTCGGCCTACCTGCATTCTATGTCCAGGTCCACTTCGTTGAAAGTCCTCCCAATACTGTCTTCGTCGGCGGCAAGCCTCATTCCAACTTCGCAGCTATATCGATCTACCATATTGCCCGTGCCTTCCCAAACGACGAGAGAAAGCAGCGATTCATGACTGCCATTGACAAGTTTCTCACCCCGTTTTTCCAATCAAAGGGAATGGACTGGGAGTATTTCATTGCGGAAACATCGAGAGACTTGTGGAAAATCAACGGTCTGGTTCCTCCGCCGGGTGGCTCTGAGGGCGAGAAGAAATGGGTTGAACTGAACAAGGCCGTGGAGTACTAATTCCACCTGGATTTATGGACTTCCAATCAAGCATAGGAACTCCACTATCCATTCTTCAGAGTTTGTCTTTGATACTGTACATAACGCCGCATGCCACGCCTCATTTGTAGTCGTTATCAATAGTCGTTGCAGTTTGAGATTGATCTATACACAGTCGTAATATAGCATACCTCCTATCAAGCTACGTTCGGGCTATGTTGCCTTACAACTGCTTTTTCCGACCTCAGGGACAATAATCTAGAAGCAAATAACTCAGTGTAGCAAAGGCTGGAGGTACGGAGTCTCACCCAGGACAAGACGTTCGCTGTAAATATCTCTGGAACGGGCAGACACAACTGCGTGAGCGGGTACAAACGGCAGACGAGCCGAAAGGCTTTTAGATAGTTGAGAAAATCCCTAAAGCTTCAGAATGGATATGCAACTTCGTGAAGACATAAGATTGAGGACTGCAGGAGTTTGACAGCCTAACAGGTCAGTTTGCCCAGTACCTAAGAGTGATCACAAACAGTTCCATCCTTTCTCGTTCTCTGCTTCTCGAGTCCAAAGTAACCTGTGGAATACTTTAGTTATGCCATGGAATCAACCTAATGGTACATCAGCTAAATGCAGCAAGCATTCTAGGCACACTGTGGGAACAGCCCAGAATAGCAGAGAGCCGTGGGGGTCACAACCCTGTCTATAATTCACTAGCCTCGTCACATAAGCTCTTACTCGACGAATCAACCCCTGGTCGAGATTTTGGTCATCAAAGCTAACTACTAACACTAGTCAACTGACAAACATGCACCCATCCATGCACTGCCCCTGACTTCTGCCTAGCCAATAGCTCATAACAAGAGTCAATTGCTCGTCGGGCTATCTTGATACGAGCTTGATGCTGCATCCGCATTGTCTCGAGTCATGCTTGCAGCTTGGCGAGATCATCAACCGTCATGCTCTCTAGTCTCTTTCGCCGATCTGGCGCCGTTAGGCGTGACTCTTCCCAAAAACGTTAACGGGGTGCACTCCCGGTGCAGTACGGTCCACAATCGTGCATGAGTTGCAAATTCTACCTGGTCGGATTTGCTCGCGATTGCATCAGCTGTTCAGATCTCACCGGATGTCTGATCAGGGCAACCCGAACCCAATTATGGCAGTAAGAGACAAGAGTACTCTGTGTACATACTCGGTAGGTACTCCCGGCTCCGAAGGCCAGCGTTAGGCAGCCGAGGGGGCTTACCCCGCATGCGCAAACATGGACGTTTGTACCCTGAACATGCTGTGCATATGCAGTCTACATTCCCCACATCTAAGGTCACTTTCGTATCTCATTGGCCGTGATCGACCATTCATGCCAAGCAGCTTACTGAAGTGACCTGAGATTTACGTTTGCAAACTGCATGGTGAATTGGTGATACACAAGTGCAACGAAGTAAGGGGCAAAGAAGAGCGACGGGCGATCCACGTGACGTATTCCAGAAAAGGCAACAACACGGCATTGAGTCAGGGCACTTTCCAACCAATTTCAATCAATCTCGTCTCTTTCTTTTTGGGTACTTTTGCGTCGAAACTTCTTCGACTCCACTGTCTTTCTTTCACGTCTATCGGTGCTGAATACCTGCATTTCTTACTTGAGAATGTTCTCAGCTTCCAGGCTCTTCCGCCGGCGGGGAGCGGATCATGACCCCGCGGCCGAGTCCCACGTCTCATATGAAGTGCCTTTGTACACAAACGCGGCCTACTATCCGAATTGGAGGATATATCGGAAAGAGCCTCCCTCGTCCTTGAGATTGGGCTTCATTTCACATGTGTTTTACGCATTTGCCTGGTAAACAGACCCAATCACCGCCATATAAAGGCCGCACTCGTATAGATGGCTAATCACAAATTTGAATCTTGTAGGGTGAAGGAAGATGGAACTGTCTATGTAGGTCAATCTGGAACATGAAAGCCTTTTCAACATGTCAGCAACAGTGTTTACTGATGCGGCATATCAGCTGAGTGATGAGTGGGCCGATACCCAGATGCCCGTGGACGGCGCAGAGGGCTGCCTTCGAGCCTTTGCCCAATTGAAGCAACAGTACTCTAAAATGAGAGTCATTCTCTCTGTTGGCGGTGGCGGAAAGGGCAGCGAGAACTTTGCTGCTGTAGCCCACAGTCGCTCTCGTCTGGATACTTTCGTTCGGACCGCGCGCCAACTGGTGGATGAATTTGGCATTGATGGGATCGACGGTAAGGCCATATTGGAGTTCATAACATGACCATGGGAGATGGGACATATAGCTTACTATCTCTGACGCAGTTGACTGGGAGCACCCGTCGGATTCCAAGCAGGGCAAGGACTACGTTCGTCTCCTAGCCCGTTTGCGGGAGGTGCTACCTGCACCACGATACGTCCTGACTACCGCCCTTCCTGCTGGCCAGTGGGCGCTGAAGAACATTGATCTCGCCGCCGCGCAAGAGTATCTGGACATGATTAACCTGATGACGTACGATTTCGCTGGGCCATGGGAATCTGAGACTGGCCATCAAGCGCAGCTCTATGGCTCAGGGGTATCCGGTGATTCTGCGGTTTCTTACGTGACTGGACAAGGAGTTGCTCCGCGAAAAGTTATACTTGGTGTCCCAGTCTATGGTCGATCGTTCCTGGGGAGCAATGGCCCTGGTCAGCGGTACACTGGGCACGGCGGCGAGGACGGTGTCTTTGACTATCGTGATCTGCCCCGACCGGGGACACAAGAGTACCACGACAGGAACATTGGCGCTGCGTTCTGCGTTGGGGCCGATGGCGGGTTTGTCACATATGACACCCCAGAAACTGTGAAACAAAAGGCTGAATTCGTGACATCGGCCAAACTCGGTGGTTTGTTCTACTGGCATGTTTGTTCAGATGCCCGAGGACCACGGAGCCTGGTGGAAACAGGATATAATACGCTGCATGATATGTAAAAAGGATGAGCTGTGTGTTTTGAAACCATAGGAGAAAAATAAAAGAACTGATTCTTGTCATGTCGGAACCTGCCGATACCTTGTCTAGAGCAGCCTGGAAGACGATCACACTGTTACCTCATGGATATAGTTCCTTCAATGACCGTCCGCACATTCGCTTGGACAATCGACGTATCATTTATCAAAATCCATGAGATTCAGCATAGGTAAATGACAATTGTGTTCATACAGCAAATCGGAAAAGGTGGCAACTGGCAAGTGCCCCGCTTGTACCCGCTTGTGAGCTCTGGACGATCATAAGATAGACCTCGGAACGCCGAGGTCTACGGGCTACGGGTCGAACCCCAGTCCCCAGCCCTCAGGTCTATTTTGATTTAAGCTTCCCCCCGCATTTTCAAGTTCTAAAATTCTTAATTCGTTCCAAATCCTACTGGAAATTGGAGAATTCGATACTGAACTAATCTTCATTACCGGAATCCAACATGTCCAATCCACAGCCCGCTACCGTAGATACCGGGTCTATCACCGAGCCTGGACCTCTGGAGAACACCTACACCTCAGACCCCAGCCTTGAGCGGACCCTGGCATGTGAGTATTGCCTCAATATTGCAATCATATATTCTAACCGCGATTCAGGGTACCTACCATCCGCTACATTGAAATCTGTACAACCACACCTCACTCAGCTTGGTGCCGAGGCCGTTTCAGAGCAGATCCGTGAATGGAGTGGCGATGCTGAACGTAATGTGCCATATGTGAAGAGCCACAACGTATGGGGCAAGCGGTATGATTATGATCGCTTGGTCACCACTGAGGGCTGGAAACAGCTAGGAAAATGGGGTGCTCGGAATAGGTGAACTTTTCAGATTGCCTTTATGAAATGACCGTGATCTGACTTGATTTGACCAGAATCGTCTCAGCGGGCTATGATCACAGTTTGGGAGTTGATCGGAGAACGGTTCAGTATGCGCTGTAAGTAATTTTGCACGCTGGGCGGTCCTGCGCTATTACTGATGTTATGAGTGCAGAAACTATTTGTATGGTCCTTCTTCTGGCCTCTATTCCTGCCCCATTAGCATGACGGATGGTGCTGCGTTTATTCTCTCATCGAGAATCGGCAAGCTCCCACCGACACATCCGTTCCAGACTGCCTTCCAGGGCCTGATCTCCGAGAAGGACGATCACTGGACCTCGGGCCAGTGGATGACCGAAAGAGCCGGTGGCAGCGATGTCCAAAACACCGAAACCTGGGCCACATACTCACCACTAGCTAATCCCTCAGGCGTCGATGCTCTGGGTGAAGGTGACTACCTCATCAGCGGATTCAAGTTCTTCTCCTCAGCCACAGATGCCAACCTCGCACTTCTGCTCGCGAAAACGCCCTCCGGCAAACTCAGCACCTTCCTTGCGCCACTGCGACGAACCGTGGTGGGCCCGGACGGGACTTCTAGAGTCGTATCAAACGGCGTGAGAATCCACCGCCTGAAGAATAAGCTCGGTACCAAAGAACTACCGACAGCCGAGTTAGAAGTGAAGGATATGCGAGCGCATCTCGTTGGTGAGTTAGATCAGGGCATCGTTACCATCGCGCCTTTGCTCAACGTCACCCGTCTGCATACATTCATCGGCTCGCTCGGCGGCTGGCGCCGCGCTATCAGCATCACGAAGAGCTTCGCCAAGGCACGCACTACTGTCGGCGAGCCACTCTGGCTCATTCCCATGCACCTGCGACTCCTCGCAGACTTGGAAGTGAAGCATCGGGGCGCTTCAAGCCTTGCGTGGTTTACCGTTGCGCTGTTCGGCCTTGTCGAGGATAAGAAACCGTCATCCAAGAATCTCGCGCATCTACCCCAGATCGGCCGGGAAGCCGAGGTGATTTTCCGTGCCTTGACCGCGACTGCCAAGGCTGTCATCAGTAAGATGGCTACTTTGGGAATCCAGGAATGCCAGGAGTCGATGGGTGGAGTCGGGTATATGGACGAGGCCGACGAGCCCGAGTTTAACATCTCCCGCATCATGCGCAACAACGCAGTCAATTCCATCTGGGAAGGTACAACCAACGTGCTGGCTAGTGAATTCGTGCGCTACCTTCTCAAGAACGACAATCTGAAGGTCTTCAGAAAATGGCTAGACCGCACCCTCGGTTTGATCAAGAACGCGTCTCTGCGGACAGCTCTGGGTGATTCGTGGGATGCTCTGCGTGCTCGTTTCGTGGCTCAAGATCCTGCCTCGACTGTTGCTGATGGCCGTCGCTTTATGTTCACTTTAGCTTGGATTCTGTGCGGTGCTCTTTTGGCCCTGGATGCTGAGCGTGACGATGATCCTGTGACTGCTGAGATCGCTCGTCGCTGGGTGCTGAGTATTGAGGGTGGTGTCGGGGACCAGGTGTTCCATGATATCCTTTCGGTGAAGGATAAGGCGGGCGCTACATCTGGTGGAGAGGAGCATTTGCAGTGGGATTGCCGTATTGCTTGGGGTGTTGATCTGCCGGAGAAGCGCGCTTCTGGTCATCGGTCCTTGCAAAAGGCCGGTTCAAAGCTCTGAAGCTAGTATTGAGATAATGACGAGACATGAATGAAAGCTATTCTTGAGGTCGTGACTCGCAACAGTATGTTCCTATTTCCGAAGTCCTATACTAGGGAATGAGAGCAACTATTTGCAGTTCAAAGATATTACCTTGCCTTGTATAGTCCGGGCCCCTTGGGTACGTATTTTGAGAGTGACAAGAGGAATAATTTTATACTTAGACATAGAGAAAGAACGAAACAAGACCTGATAACCACTGACGACCTCTGCCCTAACACCGATGCATCCGACAATCATATATTAAGTAGCCAGGAGCCACTCCAATCAAACCCAGCCCCTTCCCAATTATTGCTGAAAGGATCCAAACTGACATCAAGCGAGGTAAAGTCATAAGCATCTATCGATTGCCCCGCTGGGCCATCGATCGTCCCCAGCCCATCATTGGGATCATGAATATCCGTCAAGGTACAAGTAGGTGCGATACCTGTGTTTGCACTGGGAGTCTCAGGTGACTGACCAAAAGTCTGCCATTGCTTGCACAGTTTGGAGTCAAATCCTTCAAAGAAGGACGCTACATCCGAGTCAAGCGTGGGCGGTGGCTCCTCAAAGTGACCCTGCTCACGAACTTTCTCAGTCAAGTTATTCAAGGCACGCAAAGGTCCGACGGCCGAGAGCCATCTTTCAGACAGTTTTTGTAAAGAGAGCTTCATAACTGTTATTTCGTGCTCGGCGGTGCTCTGCAGATGTGCATAGCGACAGCTGGAAAGGAGTGAGACTCCAGCACAGAGTGGATAGAATGCAAAGACGGGCCCTAAGTATCTGAGCTCATCTCGAAGCAGGAATTCTTCGTAGATCCCGGCGATAAAGGAAGAGGCGACCAGCGATGCTGCGGGTGGTACGCTGCCTGGCGTGGGGGAACGATGGAGAATGGTGATCACGACGAAATACATGATCAGCATCTGCCGGATTTGGAGGGTACAGATGGGCGCATCTTCTTGCTCGGCGACAGATGATTGGAGTTTGGGAATGACTTGTTTTGCCCATCTGTAGACGGCATTTTCAAGATCGATTTTCCTTTGGAGGGAGATTTCTTGTCGCAGATGGGACTCTACTGTGTCTCCCAGAAGCTGCGATATCGTGCAATAGGCTAGGAACAACCGGGATTTGAAGTTCTTCACGGGGAAATCGCTCATTGATGGTGGAAGGACATTGCTGTCACGCAGATTGATGGTCCTTGGTCGGCCAACCCCAACGGAAATTATATTGTCGCGGACCTGGAAGGGTTAGGTTGTGATGACTTTCGTAGGCTATGGACTGGATGGGTACTTACCACCAGAGACCACCACAGTCTTCTCCTCAGCCCACGATCTCGAGCATGTGGTGATGGCTCCTTGTGTAGCCCAATCTGAAAGGCCATTGCTCCAGCCGTGCGAATCCAAAAGCCACTGGTATCGGTAGACACATCCTCAGGCCCGACAGGGTTATACCAATGCAGGAGGCAAGCGGCGACAATCGAAATCAAAGGATTGTCGCAACCACCGAAGAAAAAAGCAGTTTCGCTCGTCTATAAAACACCTCGCTAGAGCCATAATCGAGATGAGCTTTTGAAACTCTGCTCCCAGCGAGAAAAATCGCCTGCAGAAGCAGCATCGATGGCGCACTCTCATCCAGCCATTTCGGATCCACAACGGGGGTCCAAGGCGCACAATGCGTGTTGAAACTCGCGATTAGCTCTTTTTGTACCGATATTGGAGGTAATTCGAAGACGCCTTGGTCGCGAAGCATTTGCAAATCAGCTACTGATTCTTTGGGGTTCGTGTACGTGGTTTCGCGACCGGGCTTGACCATATTTTCATCGAATGGGACGCTGCCGCCGACATATTCGTCGCGCCCGCGATAGCTCTCTTCCTTGATGAAAGGTTCGCCATTACTCGCAGGCAGACCAACGTTAGCTTCTGGTCCGTTTCCTCTGTGAGGCACGCTGAAAGAGTTCCGCTGTGGCTGAATCTCCAACTCGGCGGGAACCTGCGAACTCCGAGGTGTCTGACTCAAAGATGCAGAACCCGTCACATTTCGCCCTGGAGACAGGCTGTTGGTGAAGCGCTTGCGTTTTCTCGTGTATGGCCTGCGAGAGTCAATTTAGAAACGAGGAGATTTCATGTACACAGTAGTTTACTTACTTGCACTCCACCTCGGACTTTTTGCAGTTGGTGCAAGGGTCATGCGTCGCAAAGTCGCATTTCACCTAAAAGAATCAGCAATTGGTCATGAAGCAGGGGAATATTCGGCACCTTTCGTTTATGACAGATTATACATGCCGACGACATGGCGCTATGCCCGACAGCGTCGATCTGACTGGCAGGGGTGGTTGGAGGAGAGGTGAAGAGTGGGGTTTAGCCGAGGCATGTCGCAAGTCTATAAAAGACCTTACGACCAGCAATTGAATCAACCAACTACACACCTTGGAACATGGAAGAACCTCATCGAGTCACAACCGATGTTTCATCTTATCCCGGCATCTCGGTCATCGCCATCAATCGCCCTCATAGGAAGAATGCCGTCGACCCCTTGACTGCGAAAGCGCTCTACGAAGCCATTCTCCTCTTTGAGGAAGACCCGAAACAGAAAGTGTGCGTTCTGACAGGCACCGGGAGTAGCTTTTGCGCTGGAGCCGATCTCCATGCCGTTGCTAAGGCCGGTAATGACGAACCTGGCGAAAACCTCCAGCCTGTGAACGGTCGGAACTTAGGGCCAATGGGTCCCTCCAGACTTACTATCAAAAAACCCGTCATATGTGCTATCGCTGGATATGCCGTGGCAGGAGGCTTGGAGCTGAGTTTGCTTGCAGACATGCGCGTGGTTGAAGAAGACGCAGTCTTCGGCGTCTTTTGTCGGCGGTGGGGTGTACCTCTGATTGATGGAGGAACTGTCCGATTGCAAGCCATTGTCGGACTGGGTCGTGCCCTGGATATGATTTTGACCGGTCGGCCTGTGAGCGCCCAGGAGGCACTTAATATGGGACTCGCCAGCCGGGTGGTTCCTAAAGGGGATTCGGTCAAGGAGGCCATCGCGATTGCAAGACAGCTCATTACGTTCCCTGAACTTTGCCTCAACACAGACCGCCAGTCATGCTATTACAGTGCTTATGAGGCATCTTCGTTCCAGGATGCCATGGCCCACGAGTTTGACGTTGGGAGCAGGGTGATCTCAAAGGAAGCTATTGCAGGTGCCGCTAAGTTTAGCAAAGGTTTAGGGAGGCATGGCAGCTTTAAGGATCATAGCAAGCTGTAAAGCAAGCTGGCTTGCTGAACAAGATGTTTGCATTAACAAATTAAATTTTGAGACGTCTAGCCCTAGAAATGGTGGCAGCAGTCGAGGAGAGCCTTTTATACTAATACAAGCCTGGCGAAATGTATTCAAGGGTAGACACGTGGCGCAAATATGACAAATCGCCACGACAACGCTTTCAGTTCGTCTTCTTTTCAGTCTCGCTGACGTCCTCGGAGGTGAATTGGACCCGCTTGCCAAACACCAACGGAGTACGAGAAAGCAAAGAGCCAACAGCAAAGCCAATATAAGCTCCAACAAGAATCGTAATTGGGAATGCCTGCCAAGGTCGGTCCCTTCACAGAGTGTTAGCGGTGATATCAGAGGCATAGCATCCATGTATAACTCACCAGTCAAGAGGAATGGGAATGGCACCAAACCAAGCTCCCAAGCCCGTGCCGAGCGCGCCACCCCAAACCGCATCGGCGGGACGATTGATACCCCAAACCTCATTCCACACGGCACGATCCACCCCATGGACATAAACCAGGGCAGTCGCAGACAGAACGGCCATGTGAGCCGCACACAGGATGGTCTCGAAATTATGCGTTGTCAGCGGTGCGCCGAATAGAACCAGGAGAACGGTCAGAACCGGTGTGGCCAGGGCGAAGGTCAGGGAGAGCGATAGGAAAGCCGGCTAAAAAAAGAACAATTCGTGTCAGCGTTCAATGCCGCGGAGCCAACACTCAATTGGACAGGGTATCTCGTACTAGTGATCGGGACCAAATACATGCCCAGCTGTTGGCATGCTGCTTCCGCTTTCCATGTTTTCCATGGCGCGCGGCACCACCTAGCCCAGGCGTCCGAGGGCTTGACTTGTTATCCGCTGTGGACGCGCCTGTCTCTGTCGTCGAGCCAGCGGGCGGAAGACAAAGAATCACGTAGGAGAGTTGTATAAGTGTGAGCCATGGTAAGGTGGCTAGGAGCTCTTTGGTGGGATCAGCCACTAAGGCTTCGAAACGAGTAGCGCCCAATGCCAGAAGGAGTGCTGGGTGCGCAAATGAGTAGATGCGGGCTGTTGGCGAGGGGAGGATGTTGATGGGCGGAGCGGACGGTTTCTCGACGGGGGATTGCGGTGAGGAAGGACTCCCTGGCACGGAAGAGGTGTCTGGGGCCATTGCGGCTTCGAGCTGTCAGTTTTCTGAAGAAAACAGACCCTGAGCAGCTCCGGCTGGTCCGAGGTGGGAATGGGAGGGTCTTTGATGGGGATGATCGTTCGATCGTGATTGGTGGTGCTATTGATGCCTTGTCACCTGATATATTAGGCAGGAATTACGCCTCGTTCTTCAGGCCCATTACACCCTCCACACAAAAGTTCATTGCAATTTGCACCTCGATCACTCATTCACATCCCAAGTTATACTTATATGATTATGGAGAAAATTTGGGCTAAAGATCCCTATCCAAACACTCGCTCAATCTCAGGTTTACACGTATTGCCGGATGCCATCTTTAGAGACATGGCACCAGATATCCTTCTCGTGTCTCATACCATCTTCTCTGAGGCCACCGAAGAATGTTGTATGTTGTTCAGCTGTTAATCCCATCATATAATCATCGGAGGCACTTAAGACCCGATCGTAGTCCCATCCCGGCGGGTAGAAAGACATGTTCATGGTAAGTGAACAACACAATGAAGCAGTAGACTGAGACAGGAGGAAGAAAATCTCTCATAGACAGAGATATTTGGGTTAGAGTACTACTACGCGAATTAGGTCACGCTAAAAGCGCCACTAAGCTTATCTACAACTGGACATTGGAAACTCTGCATTAGACAGGATTGTATGGCAGGAGGAGAATGCTTTGGATAGACCCTATGATGCGAAAGAGGGCCCAACAGTCAGCAGCAGCGTATAAGGTACAGGGCAATTAGGAGAAATTTTCAGTTGAGCTTGTCTCCCGAGCTCCTGTTAGGACTTGGGAGGCTACCTACGAAACTTGGGTGGGGAAAATCAGGAAGAAACCGATCCGTGAAATTAGGGGAAAGCAGGCTGTGTATACAGCCGGGATAAACAAAGAGAATGACACACTTTGAGAGCCTCGGTCTGCATACAACAAGACATCCTATGTATGTAAACAGGTCCTAAATAAGCCTAGAATCCCACGGAAGTGAGGACTAAAGAGAGTGACTATGCCCGGTCCTGCCTTGACTTTTAGTCAGAAGTCCGGCATAGAGATATCACCGCCGGGTGGCTCAATACGAAGTGTGATAACCCATGATAGCCCACAGGAAGAAATGCATGTGAAGAGCATCAAGGTTTTTCGATGGCAGCAAATTTGATCAGTGGGTCGATTGGGACCGAGGGTGTGATCTTTCTTGATGCGCAGTATGTCGACCCCCAACCTCTGCAAACGCATTTGATATCACATAGACGAAGATGAGGGCTAAATAGAAATGAGATATCCCTTGAGTCCTGGGAGTTCAGTTTCTCTCTTAGCTAATTTATTCACAAAACCGGTAGAGAACAATGTTTGGGGTTAAGTTAGGGTAAACCCATCAAAGTGACTAGTTATGAGGGAAGCTTAGTTGTGTGAGGGATTTTCGATATACTACTTTGTCCCAGTCCACACTGGATGCTATACAATAATTTTACCGACAACTGTCTAGTATTTACTGGCTCGGTCTCCTGGCCATGACTCCATGAGTGTTGATAGCGCGGACCTGCCTTTCTGGGCTACGAGACCGTCGAGACGTATATTCGCGCATATCGTGGCCATTAGAACAGATCGACGTGACCAACTTCGCTTAGATGGTTTTCCTTCGATAAGCAACAAAATCGCTCACGGTTGGAGGTTTTCAGGTTAGACTGGAGCGGTTGTTGAGGCTTGAGGGATTTGTTGTACCAAACGGCGCCGCATCCGCAAGCCACATCAAAATAAATCCCTCGATGGACCAAAGTTCCAAGATTGACCTGTTGACCGAGAACGGCAAAAGCTTGTACAAATGTCACCTACCACATGGCTCCCGCATAGACCTTTTCTTCTACACAGCCACAACTTTAAGCATTAAGCTTGATGCCCACTCCGGGGACTTATTCTGACCTATCGCATACCACAACTGAAAACATCTTCACTTCCAAGGTTACGATGTCACGATAGCATAGCAAGAAATACCTTTACTTTGTCCAATTGTACGTAAAATAGTAATCTAGACGAAACTCTCAGCTCATGGAACTGCCTTTGTGTCTGGCGTGGGTTCCATATGTTAGATCTATAAGACGGGCCAACCTTTGAGCTTCATCCAAATATCTCTCCGTTCGTCTGTGACTGTTTTGTCCTAAAAGCCTGCTCGACTCGCATATACTCTGTCTCCTCTGACCTACCTCAAGAAGCCTTGCCTCAACCTTCTTCTCTTGTCTCATTTCAACTTGAATTTCAGCTTGAAGCCGTCGTACGTTGCCCAATTCCTTCCTTCTTCCACTGATACTCTTCCTCGTTCTTTCGCTAACTAAAGATGTCCATAGGGTACCCAAATAGCCAGCTCAACGACCAATCCGAAAAAAACATGCCAGAATCCCCCTCGGTCGACAAATATGGCTTCAGTATACAGGATCGCACTATCTCCTTCGGTCCGGACGACCGTGAGCCTGGTGCCGATGGACCAAGACGTGGGAAGAATGCAGGTCGGGCTCGTTCCTTGACTCGCTCGCGCTCTCGCAGCCGTGCTAGATCCGTCTCCAATATGCAGATCGAGTTTCATCGGCTGAGCCACCAAATCTCCGAATCGGAGAGGCGTGAGCAAGACGACGAAGACTTGAAAGCCCAGGGCAAAGGGACTCCCGATAACTCCCGCTATTTGGAGACCCTGGACTACCACACTCGGTCTGTCGAAGATCTCTACAAGCGCTTTCACAGTAGCGTTGAGGGGATCTCTCAGGAGGAATCGAGTGCCCGTCTAGCCCGCGATGGCAAGAACGAATTGCCCCATATCCCTCCTAACTACGTTAAGAAGATCTTGAAGTACATCTTTGGGGGCTTCTGCTCGATCCTTTGGATAGGTGTCATTATATTCTTCATCTGCTGGCGCCCTCTTGGTGATCCAGATCCGGCTCCGTACAATCTTGGCTTGGCCATCCTTGTCCTGATAGTCATCTTCCTCCAGGCCTCATTCTCTGCCTTCCAAGACTGGTCCACTGCTCGCACCATGAAAGCCATTCTGGACCTGGTACCCACCGATGCCGTGGTGTTACGATCCGGTGTCGCCACGAGAATTCCATCCACTGAAGTCGTCGTCGGCGACGTTGTCCAGCTGAATATCGGCAACAAGGTGCCTGCGGATCTTTGTCTTCTCGCCACCTCTGGAGATGTCCGCTTCGATCGCTCGATTCTGACTGGAGAATCCGATGAAATCGACGGTTCCCTTGAGGCATCGGACGCCAATTTCCTCGAGTCCCGCAACGTTGCACTGATGGGAACCATGGTCACAAATGGTAGCGCAATCGGCATCGTTGTGTTGACAGGAAAGGATACCGTCATGGGCCATATCACGGTATCATCTTCCTCGGTCAAGGAGCAACCCACGCTCATCCAGCGTGAGATTACTCGATTCGTCTATATCATTGTCGGACTGACCGTTTGCCTTGCCTCCCTGCTCGTCTTCACCTGGTCTGGGTGGCTTCGAAAAGATCACCCCGGCTTCATGAACGTTGTGGCTATGCTGAACGACGTGATGGGCTGCGTCGTCGCCTTCATTCCAGAGGGTATGCCCGTCGGTGTCGCCCTGACTCTCATGATGGTGGCTCGACGCATGAAGAACAACAACATCCTTCCCAAGGGTCTGTCCACAGTGGAAACACTGGGTTGTGTCAACGTCATTTGTTCTGATAAGACGGGTACCCTGACCGAGAATCGCATGAGTGTGATCACGACCGCGTTTGTGGACTCGAGCATGCCTGCTGAAGAAGCCTTTGCAGCTTTCACTAAAGGCAACCTGGGGCCACTGTCGAATCTTCATAAAGTCGCCGCTCTTTGCAACGACGCGACTTTTGATCCAGCGACTATTTCACTTCCGATCGCAGAGAGAAAGATACTTGGCAATCCCACCGACGGTGCTGTTCTCAAATTCGTTGAAACCGCCCAGCAGGGTGCGGTCAAGGCGATGAACGATGAATATCCACGTGTCTTCAGCATCCCATTCAATTCGAAGAACAAGTGGATGCTCACTGTGCACAAGCCTCGGAAGACCGACGACATTTCTCCAAGCTACCTGCTTCTCATGAAGGGTGCTTCTGACATTCTCCTTCCCCATTGTACGTCCTACTGGTCTTGCAAGACCAATAGCGTTCAGCCACTGGATGGAGCGGCCGTGCAGCAGCTTGCAAAAGCTCAGACGAAAATGTCTACGGGTGCCCAGAGAGTGATTCTTCTTTGCCAGCGTTCGTATACATCGATCCAGCCCGTTGGAACGAACGCTTTTGGAGACGAGATTGAAAGCCAAGGCATCTGCGATCTCACACTAGTCGGAATGTTTGGTATCATCGATCCGCCGCGCAAAGAAGCCTCCTCAACAGTAGCAGCTTGCAGACGAGCGGGTGCTCGCTTCTTTATGATCACCGGTGATCTTGGTCTCACTGGAGCTGCCATCGCACGCGAGATCGGCATCTTCTCCGGAGATGCTGAACCCGATTCTTTCGACACGATCGTACAGAGACGACTTAGCAAGGACTCTATCTCTCAGCCATCCACAGATCCTGCTCTCTCGTGGTCGCAGACCTCCCTGCTTCTGGAAGGCCCCTCAATCTCTCAATTGACCAACGAAGATTGGGACGTGGTTTGCGGCTACCAAGAGATTGTCTTTGGGCGGACTATGCCCGATCAGAAGCTTCGCATCGTCAACGAGTTGCGCAATCGTGATAACGTTGTCGCAGTGACCGGCGACGGCGTCAATGACGCACCTGCAATGCGTGCTGCTGATGTCGGCGTCGCAGTGATAACTGGCAGCGACGTGGCCCTTGAAGCTGCCGATCTTATCTTGATGGATAAATTCGACTCTATCGTTGATGCCATTCGCCTCGGACGTTTAGTTTTCCAGAATCTCCAGAAAGTCATCAGTTATCTCCTTCCAGCCGGTTCATGGTCAGAGATCTGGCCCGTCCTTCTCAACGTCTTCTTCGGTGTTCCTCTTCCACTGTCTTCCTTCTTGATGATCATCATCTGCGTCTTCACCGATCTTTTCTGCTCCTTATCCCTTATAATGGAGCAAGAAGAATTCGACTTGCTCGAGCTCCCTCCTCGCAACCACAAGAAGGATCATCTGATCAACCTGAAAGTCTACATCCAAAGCTACCTGTTCATCGGAGTCATGGAAACAGTCTGTGCCCATTCCATGTACTTCCTCTATTATTGGAGACACGCCGGCATTCCAGCCAGCGCACTTTTCTTCGCATTCGAGAAATACACCGATGGATTCCATGGCTACACGCAGGCCGAACTGACGCACTTCAACGTCGTCGGTCAAAGTGTATACTTCATCTGCCTTCTCATTCTACAATGGGCCAACCTTCTCAGTGTGCGGAATAAGCGTCTTTCGATTCTACAGGCTGATCCTATTCGCAAGAAGCGCCGAAACCCTTGGCTTATCGCTAGCTTGATGGTTAGTCTTTCTATTGCGGTTTTTGTCACTGAGGAACCGGGGCTCCAGAGAATCTTTGGCACTGGCTCGGCTCCACTGGAGTTTTGGTTCCTGCCTCTGCCGCTTGCCTTGGGCATTCTGTGCATGGATGAGATCAGGAAGCTCTCCGTGCGTCTTTGGCCAAAGGGTCCTACTGCTCGGATTGCATGGTAGAAGATCATTTGGTGAGAAAAGATCTTCCATTTGATTTAAAATGGGGTGGGTGAGTGTACTTTGAACGATGGGGTCCTGTATATAATTTGGTGCCTGAGAGCGTGCCCGGGAGGCTCGTGAATCGATTTCCATAGCAAATATGTAAAAATGTCAACAATAATGGTTATAAGAGAGAGAGCTACGTAGGACAGCAATCCGCGATTAAGACATTGTGAACGCCTCGGAGGTCATTGCCTTCATCCCGGGCCTTCATTATAGGAATGCGTATTCAGTATGAGAATAATCAATCCTTGTTCCGGTAGAGTAATGTGGTGTAAGGAGAGATTTGCTTAGTCGTGAAATGCTTAGTCGTGAAGTGCCTGGTCAACTGGTGAGCTGGCTGACTCGACCAACGCCGAACTTGAACGCCCCTCGTCCTTCGAACGAAATCATCACCACCACCACCACCACCTTTTTTTGCATTGCTTCTTCCTTGTTCAAGACGGAGGTTGACCAGGTTCAGGATGGTGTCAAGAATGATCAGGAGCGCACAAAAAGCCCCAATCAGTTGGAAAGCGACCCTTCTCTCAGCTGATCTCCAACAAGCAAACACAGCCGCACGAACCCTCTACAGCTACACGAACGAGCGCAGAAGACGAATGGAAGAACATAATCCTGTTGTTTTCATAAGTTTATAACATCAACGGACTGATACCGCAAGCCGAACCTAAGAATGGGAGATCCGGGAGGAAAAGATGATAAAAAAGATCAAGACAGACCGGCTGCAATCGCAGAGACAGGCGTACATTCATTCCACATGGCAACGTGATCCGGAAACGGGCTAATAATATGAGAACTTTCGGGCCATTGCGAGGGGATGGAGGGTGTGTGAAAGCAATGGGATAGAGAATACAAGGTGGTCATTCAGAGGGACATCAGATGGCATCGGGCCACCCAGAAAGCAGCGAAGGGATGAGAGCACAAGAGGGCCACGAACACCAGGGCAAAGCCCATTCATCACGAACGCGGGATAAAAGACAAATAGCGATCTCGTTCAACGCCTCGACCGAAGCCCACGATCCGGAAATAATCCATATCTTGTCAAATGGGTTAACAAATACTGCATGTGGCGGTCGGTAAAGGATGAAGGTGCAGGCCGTCGATGAGCAATCATGGTTATCATAAGGGTGAAAACGTGAAAACACTTGCGTGAATAGTGCCTGGAGCAGTTTAAGCAGCCGAGGCAGCGGGGCCTACGGCTTCCTTCGGAGTTTCATGATAGACTGTCTGCTCTGAGACTGGCGTGGCTTCTGTAGCCGGAAGCTCAACAGACTCTTTCTGCTCAGTGACAGTACCAGCCGTAGTGGTCTTAGGACTATGCGGCTCCTCCGGGATAGACGGCGGAAGACCAGCACCAGGCAATGGCGACACTGGCGAACGCACGTGCTCATCTTTCAGTTGTTCAGTTGGCGACTCGATAGGGACAGGATTGCCATTCGCGGAGCTGGTAATAAGAGGAGAAAGGGGTTGGCTGCTGAGGGAAGGGTCGCTTTCCAACTGATTGGGGCTTTTTGTGCGCTCCCGATCATCCTTGACACCATCCCGAACCTGGGCAACCTTCGCCTTGAACTTGCCGAATAAACTCTTTTTCTCAGGCTCCGATCCTGCAGAAGAACTGCCCTGCAGTCCGGCGTCCAAGCTCAACGGCTGATGGGAGACATCCGGGTTTTGGTGGTTTCCGCTGCCGAAGGAACTGGTGCTTTGATCGGCTCTAGGATTGGTGGCCACCAATGGAGGAGATGCTAGACCTAGTCCAGTATGCTCGGTGGTACGCTTGGAAGATCGGTGAAACCGCCAGCTACGACGATTCTCATGGCGGGAACTATCCTCGGGCTGATCCATGTCAGACTGGTCAGTAAAGGAAGAACGCGAGTGCATGGAGGGCGTGCGTGACCTGTGAGGTCGCAAAGTATGGTCAGATTGATGCTGTGCAGTCCCTTCGGTGAGAGCCAGGTTCGAATCAGAGGGGTTCTCCCGGTCACCAAGAGTCGCGGTATTCGGTGGTCTTGGGGTCGTATCGCCGCCGAGAGCGGCATCCACAGATCGCTCGTGCTGGTGTTGAAGATCTGCACTGGGATCGACGTTCGAACCGTGGAGAGAATTAACCGAACTCTGAGCACTCATACTTGCACTCCCGGGGATGCGCTTTTTTCTCAGGCGATTTGGTTGCCGGGGTTCTTTGAGTTCACCACTGGGCGGCGGTGACCTGGTAAACAAATTTGAAAGCTTGCGCTCCCGACTAGGAGTGACGGCCTGTGGCGATGGGGCGATAGGAGCAGCGGGAGGAATGGCGATATTCTGGGGCTTCGCAGGTTCGCTGATACTAAGAAGTTCGGCAGTCGCTGGGGGCACCGGGCCATGGGTTGACGTGTGCACGTACGCATTGCCTTGAGTCAATGAGCCAGTCGATTGACTATGGTCCTGTTGCTCTGCAAGCTTCTCAGGTAGCTGCTCCGAGAGGGATTGATGAGCCGGCTGTGCAGCAGGCTGTGCAACAGCCCGGGGAACCTGCTCGGGCTCCTCACGCACCGACGATGTGCCACTGGCCAACGGAGAACTCTCATGAGAAACCGCAAGACCGGAAGGATTGTGCGAGCCAGTATCGTGGGCTCGTGTATAGCGAGCAGAGGTCAAGACAGGGCCCATCTTCGAGGGCAATGTGTTGCTCCGGTGAACACCACTAGCACCACCACCGACGGTCATTGAGGTCGGTGTCACGGGACTTTGCGTGTTGTTCGAATGACGCGAATTGCGCGACGAAACGGAGACATTTCGTCGGACGCTGCCTAGCTTGCGGTGGCCTTCTGTAGTTGCACTGGCATTTGATACAGATCGCCGAACATTGCCATGAGGCACTGGCCGTGGCATTCCTGCCTCGACCTCCTTCATGGTTTTCTCATCAGCCGCCGTGCCACTCATTCCGAACAGGAAATGATCCTGATTCTCGATCAAAAAGATCAACACGTCTTGACTCAATTTATACTCCTCTGGTGACATATCGTGCTGAGGGTGCGATAGCATGCCGGGTTGGAATATCGCAGACAGATTAGCCGACGGCATGCGGTTCTGATCTGACTTCGAGGCGAAGACCGCAAGGAGATCGAGGATATAAAGGAGCAGTTGTTTGTTCAACGGAGGGAGCTCGATGATAAGGTTTTGGTACGTCTCCACAGCCTTGGCGTGGTCGAACTTGTCGGCATCCGATGTCACTTTTCCTTCCAGTGCCTGTCGCTGGTAAATCCGCAGCGGCTCACGGAAGCGTTCATAGAACTCCAACGGCACGATCGGCTCGGGGAGCTGGTTTAGATATCGTCGAAGTACATTTGCCGCATCATGGACGGTATATCCGGACCAGTCGAGGCCTTTACCATATCGCTCCGGGGAATCAAAGACTTCCTGAAGGTCTTTAATGCGCTTTGCAGATCCGTTGAGCCGAAAAATGCCCTCGACGTCCGTCGCTGTTCGAAAATGGGTCAGCGCTAAGTCATGGGGTACGCGAGAACATGTGCTAACCCTTTTCTTTGAGAAACACTCCACACTTTGCAACAACAATGGGCACATATCCGTATATGAAGCTCTCTCCGTGATCGTTGGTCAATGATATTGCCACGTTTGCATACTTGATGCTGACATTCAGTGGGACTCCGAAGATACCGCGGGGTGTTTCTTCTGCGATTGACGAGTCAGCAAACCAGATCGGAAAACGATACAGAACTCATGAAAGCGACTAGAGAGCGACCAAATCTTCCACTCTGAGATTTCCACAACCTCATCTGTGCGACAAAGGATTTGACCTGGGGGGCTCAGGGGGAAGGACATGGGAACCGGTGCGGCCCGGGGCTGCCCCAGGCAATATTTTTGCGGTCGCCTTTGTCCTTTCGTCGCGTTCAACAACATTAACGTACCTTTTAAATCATCCTTTCTGGTACTCCGCTTGAACTGCTTCCACCATGAAGCTAGATCACGTTTCGATGGTGGGGAGTTGGCGCCAACGGGATCAGGCGAGGTTGAGAGAGGTTGAACGGGGTCAGCACCCGGGTGCGACTTGCCGACCGTTACCATCGCGAGTCTGAAAGCGACTCGAGATGAAATCGAAGGTGCTAATAATCAGAGGCAACGTAGAAATGTGGGTATTGATGAAGGGATTCGGGAAAGTTGAAGGGGCCCTGCGTCACCGCCCTCGTGTGGGAAATCCTGGGGCTGGGCCCAAAAATAGCACAGGACAGGAACAGGATCGAGGCAGATCAAAGAACAGAGCAAACGAAAGTCACGAGCAGGGGATAAACAAAGTCAAAGAAGAAAGTGAGGATGACGAGTTGATGATCGTGTCAGAGAGAAGGTACGATGGATGAAGGGATGCGAAAGGGCTGAAGGTGTCGAAAGGGTCAATGAGTCTCGGAGGGCACGAGCCAAGCCGAACACATATGACAGAGCTAATAATTTGCCTAGGTATTGCTCAACGAACAACCTCTGGAGATTTGTTCAGGGGAAATTTTCTCCTTTTTCCAGATCCTGCGACTATGAATAGTCGTTTTGAAAGACCCAAGGTTCCCAAGATGAGGTTAAAAATGGGTCCTGTCGTTCAACTACGGAGTACACAGTAAGTACAACGTTCATACCTCCAGCTATCTTGTAGTTGTTGATCATTTTGGATCAATCTACCAGTGCCAGGACTTTTCTGACCATATTTTAGCATGCTGTATAGTATCTTTAGCCCTGGAATGTCTAGTGTTTTCCCATTAGAATTTGGGGATCTGGTTCATCGCAATGTGAAGAACAGCCACTGAGTACGACATAGTCTGGAACCGATGGGTCCTGGACTCTTTGGATCGTGTCTGGACCCTTTTAGGGGTCTCTTTGAGATTACTAGTCGGGTGTATCGGGTTTCAGATCTTCCGGATCAGGTACCGATTTTCATTTTTTTACCAGATAACTCCAACTCGAATTTTGGGCCTTGGCCAACGAACTCGACGTAGTACGTTGTACGTATGGAGTACATACTACATCTACAACAATTATCCGTGTGTTTCTACGCGACAATGTGGCTCGAGTTTGTCATTCTCGACTCTCGTAGACATAACACTTGATTGGCCTCCTACTGGTCTCGAAATCGCGTATCTAAAGCCCTTTCGAGACTCTCAATGGCCTTGATGCACACGTTCTACGTCACTCTCGGGTAATTATATGCCCCAAGAGAGTAGAATAAGCTGGACATTCTTAGAATTACATCGCAAAGATGATCGCATATCCAAATATGATATCGCATTGTCTTCTATCTGGGTGTAACCTTCTTTGGCCACGTTTAACGGGCTACCTCCTCGCTACCGTCTATTCATAGCGTCATGAAGTGATGTTGAAGGGATATTGATGACGCTTTAGATCACGTGGACGCGATTCCGCTCTTGGCCAGTAACTCCGATCGGATCAATATCTCCCGTTTGGGCGTACCAGAGATGTCGATGATCGTGTATCAGATGCCTCCGCCGGCATGCTGGTTGGTCGGAGTGTCAAATAACAGATGTACTATGTTGCCATAGGCCGCCCATAGCCAATGAGCCATCAAGATGGAAGTCCACTCGCCAAATTGGAGTATCAAAGCGATGTGGATGCAGTAGTTGCTAGGCGCCTAAGGCATACAGATGTGAGTCTCCTGGATTAATGTTCCTCCGGGGTCCGAGAAGCTCAGAACCAGCGGAGCTAGCGTTTGGCAGGACACTTGTGGAAAGCAACTTATCATCAAACATCTTCAATTCACTCATCTATCACAATGGAATCGTAAGCACTTCCTATGGACTATGTCAAGTCTCATCTGTCTTGTCTTTCACTCCATTGTCTCTCCATACCGCCCTCTGAGCAAACCACTAATTCCCAAATCACAGTCTCAATGCATCGGAACAGCGAGAGTTCGCCTCCCGCATGGAGCGCAAGCAGATGAAGGAGTTTATGACTGTATGTAACTTTAGGGTGTCCTCTTTGGCATCTGATTACACGAATTCCCCTTCCCTCCTCGCGATGCCACGTGCCTACCGTCATCGACATGTCTTCTCCCAACACTCAGATCTGACTTTGTCTCCCTTAGATGTACTCCAAGATGGTCCAGCGCTGCTTCGATGACTGTGTCAACGACTTCACCACCAAGTCCCTCATCAACCGCGAGGAGACTTGCGTCATGCGCTGTGTCGACAAGAACCTCAAGAGCTCCGCCCGCTTGAACGAGCGTTTCCAGGAACAGAACGCCGCAATGATGCAGAGCGGCTCCATGGGTGGTAACTAAGGGTCGAATACCATATCTTCCAGTTTGACAACATGCATTTCGTGGACTCGGTGGCTGGCAACACGGGCTTGATCGCCCTGGTCATTTTCGGTCTGACGGTGGGTTCTTTTCGAGGGTTCAGGGGATGGCACAGTGATCAGTCACCCTTTTTGGCGAGGAAGCAGGCAGGATCGGCTCCTTACCGTGTACTATAGTGATTAGCGCGGGAGATTTATCTACCTCTTCTCTCCCCGGGCTCAAAATACAACAGACTTGAATCTATCGAAGAACTAGAAGTGATCATGTGCGTCGGGAGATGTACATAGGCTGTCAGTCAACAGAGCCGAACTTTAATCCTCGTGCTCGTCAATCCAGCCTCATTCCTCGCTGCTAGTCTCATCTTGCGTTTTCGAGTCCAGATAGATAGGGGCGTTCGATTTTCTGTCTCTTCGTGTACAACCCTTGAGTTAAGGTACTTACACCGATATCTACTCCTTCCGTGAACTGCCTTTCCAACGTAATCCGTCGAACTGTGTAGTGAGTCGCTACCTAAATGCTGGGCATGACGAATATCTTGCGGCTGGTAAAGAGGTTCACTAGCCCGACGTCGGCCATATCTGTCGTTCTTGTCAGATAGCTTTGACTGATAGGTTATCATATGTGCAGACTTGGTGGATATAAAACAGCGTATCTACCAACCATGTCTATCGGACATATGTCATGGGCATGGTGATCCATATACAGATATGGTCTGACTCGATAACCATTCGGCCCATTCCGTAGACGGAACTCGGGAGCGCTCCCGATCACGCATGTTTGAAACGGGAAAACTTCGCCTTATCTTACTTCGTTTTCCTGGAGTGGGGAAAGGGGAAAAAGTATTAATATATGAGGGGGTCGTATATACTTGGTAGCTCTGCCCGGATCTCCAACTTGACGCTTTTTATCTTTCCCCTCATTCCGGTCCCACCCCCCACCCGATTCAAAAACCCATCAGTTTCTCTTCTCTTCCCCTTCTACCATCGTTCCTTGATGTGAGTGATCTTGTTTTCTTTCTCCTTTTACACCCGTTGCTTACAGTGCCTCAGTGCCCTAGCTTGGAAACTTGATCAACATACACTACACAATGGCCAGCACAGTAGGAAAGGTAAATCAATCCCATGATCCATTGCAATTATTTCCTTGTTCTATCGAAGCATGGACTATCCAAAGACCCGTGAACAACCGCTGACTCTCGAAATCTACAGACCATCACTTGCAAGGTAAGCTCTATCCGAACCCCGCGCACATGACCTCACCCGGCATATCCCGCATCAGTGAGCTCCGCAACGGTATGGACAGTACTGAACAATTGAACAGGCTGCCATCGCCTGGGAAGCCGGTGCGCCTCTGTCCGTTGAGGACATCGAGGTCGCTCCCCCTAAGGCTGGCGAGGTGCGCATCAAAATCCACCACACTGGTGTCTGCCATACCGGTAAGCCCCGCCATCAGCCCCGCCAAGGGTAGCAAACAAAACGATTCCCGGAAACCCGGAGATCAATAACAAGAACGATTATTGACCACCCTCAGATGCCTACACACTCTCCGGCAAGGATCCAGAGGGTGCATTCCCCGTTGTCCTCGGCCACGAAGGTGCCGGTGTGGTCGAGTCCATCGGCGAGGGCGTGACCTCCGTCAAGGTCGGCGACTACGTCGTCGCTCTCTAGTACGTCCTTCTTTCCTCCCTCGGCTCCGATCTCGGCGTGGCGTGATCAATCCACTGACATGCCATGCCATCTATAGCACTCCCGAATGCCGCGAATGCAAGTTCTGCAAGTCGGGCAAGACTAACCTCTGCGGAAAGATCCGTGCTACCCAGGGTCGGGGTGTCATGCCCGATGGCACATCCCGCTTCCGGGCCCGCGGCAAGGACCTGCTTCACTTCATGGGTACCTCCACCTTCTCACAGTATACCGTCGTCGCCGATATCTCGGTCGTTGCCGTGACCCCTAAGATCCCCACCGACCGGTCCTGCCTGCTTGGCTGCGGTATCACCACCGGATACGGTGCCGCCGTCGTGACCGCCAAGGTTGAGGAGGGCGCCAACGTTGCCGTCTTTGGTGTTGGCTGTGTCGGTCTGTCGGTTGTGCAGGGTGCTGTTAAGAACAAGGCTGGCAAGATCATTGCCGTCGACGTCAACGACGGCAAAGAGGCCTGGGCCCGCAAGTTCGGCGCTACCCACTTCGTTAACCCTACCAAGCTCTCCGGTCAGACTATCCAGGAGCACCTGATTGAGATGACCGATGGTGGCTGCGACTACACCTTCGACTGCACCGGTAACGTCGGTGTCATGCGCGCTGCTCTTGAGGCTTGCCACAAGGGCTGGGGTGAGAGCATTGTCATTGGTGTCGCTGCTGCCGGCCAGGAGATCTCCACGCGGCGTAAGTTATCTCCCTTGTTCTCTTTCGATCTGTACATCGCTAATATATAATAGCATTCCAACTCGTCACCGGTCGTGTCTGGAAGGGATGTGCCTTCGGTGGTATCAAGGGTCGCACACAATTGCCCGGTCTGGTCGATGACTACCTGAACGGCGAGCTCAAGGTGGACGAGTTCATCACTCACCGCCAGCCGCTGACCGGTATCAACGAGGCCTTTGACCAGATGAAGCAGGGTGATTGTGTTCGCTGCGTTGTCGACATGCAATAGATGCAATTGCAATTGTTTAGCTAGTCGATGAAAAGTAAATTGATGCGGAGTATGACTATATAATCATTCCCAGATGTCAATACTTTCTCTTGTATGTATTAAATCACAATTTGGCCCCCAGCGGAACTCTCCAGGTCTTTGTATCTTCATAGGAGGTTGGTTAGCATCCAAGGTCCTCACATCCCAAGGTCCTTGAATCCCTCAGTCCCGCAGGAGTTTGAGGGAATAGTCTGAAAGCGATTATTTGCTCATTCCCAACTCCATTGCGTATCAACCCCCACTACCCCTTCTCCTCAATCCCACCCCCTCCCCGTTCCAACATAGGCCCCTCATTTCCCCTCCCCCGCAGTCCCCCCACGCATCTCGCCCCCAAGCCAGTCTATATGCACATTTTTCACGAAGAAAACATTGATCCAGTCAGGCAAACGACGGTTACAAGATCGACAAAGGTAGGTAATGATGGCTTTGCGCCGAGAAGTAGGTAAATAGAACATGCGACTGAAGGTCGAATCGGTTGCCATGTATCTACCAGTACTATTGGCGAGACTTTGTGCTGATATGACTATAGGCTAGAGACTACCTAGAAAATACATATAAACCATCATGGTACATGTATAACCTTCCTCACGTCAAATTTATCCTGCGTCTTCGAAGTGCTCCAAGGCAGCACATATCCCCGTTGGTTGCTCACAATCCTTACACCTCCCTCCTTGAAATCAGTGGTATAATGCGTGTGGCCGAACACCCAGGCTTTCACTCCATCTGGTGTTTGTGGTAGAATATCGGTCCCAAAGGCAACACTCCAAGGGTTGTTGGCGTGTTGCGGGCTTGACGTCCTCTGGAGTAAAGGAGCGTGGTGTGTCACAACAAGAATAGATTGTTTTTTAGTTCGCTTTTCCGTGTTTCCGTTTTCTTCATGAATCGAATGTATCTCTTCCAGTAACCAAGCGAGATCTGAGTCATGATTTGCATTATGGTCATCAACTGACCAGCCTTCGATTTTCTGGAAATCATTGATCTTTAACCGGACGATATCCGTAGATTCATGAGGCACTTTTGACCAAAGCGTGCAGCCTAGAATAGTGACAGAAGATCCCGGGACATCAAATCGTTTCTGATGAAGGAGTACTAATCTTCCATTTAAGGAAGGTTCCCGTTCAAGTTGTCTGGCCTTTTCTAGCCCTGCTGCGAAAGTCCCATTGTAGAACTCATGATTGCCGGGTACGAGAAATACCAATTTGAATCGGTCTGTCTGCTTTTGTAGGAAGTTGCGATAGTCATCATAGTCCGTTAAGCGCCCAATATCACCCGCAAGGATAAGATATTCTGCGCACACTGGAATTTCGTAAGATGGATACTGTCGGTTAACCTCAAGGTGGAGATCAGAGAGGACCTGGAAGGACACGGAGGACCGGTTTAGGAAAGACGATACTTTCTGAAGCATTTTGTTGCTACAAGATGCATTCAAGCGGTAGGTGTTGCTATCAAAAAGGAGGGAAGGGAACATCTACTGTGAGAGTCGGGGCCTCCACGGAGGATCGTTGATGCGGGTGGATACCCCACCCAGCTGACCTCGCGTAACCCATGGTAACCACTTGGTCTCCTGATAAATTGTTTTCATCCAATATTTTCCCTGTCAATAGTTCCTACTCCGTAAATCCATATTGGATCCTGTCGAGAAATGTGGATATCGTAGAAAGACGGTAGAGTCGATACGACTTGGCGGACTTCGTGATTTCACGTACCGTTATTTAAGCGAGACGCACACTTCCGTTTCCACTTTCCTCGATTCAATCGTCCCATTTGGATTGGCGTAGATTGGTTTCCTAGGTTGGCTTCTCTAGGCTCCATTAATTGGGGCGAGGAACGTGGTCAACTGGGTATGATTATGAATCTGTCTTTTAAGAGCAAAGACCTGCTTCCTGAGGAACAAGGTCTTGTATCTAGCACCTACTCCGTAGACTTAGCTTAGGACGTCACCATGCCCCATACGGGATAGTTAGAATATGCTATGGTATCGTTTTTAAAACGTCCGACGGCGGCTGGACGAGCACTAAGACTTAAATAGAAGGCCAAGCAGTGGCAAAGGAAACCAAGTACGTAGGAAGATTGTGGTAGCATATATAAGCTTGTATTGTTCAAAGAAAGACTATAGTTGGCAGGTAAGAGGATTCAACCAGAAGCAAACTGGTGGGACCTAGAACAGCTTGTGCTCAAGGGTCATCTCCGACTCGGGCTGGAGACCAACACAAGCACGGAAGATGTTGATAAGAGCAGAGCGCTGCTTACCCAGAGCGTTGACGACAGGAGTACCGGGAGGAGTCAAGGGAGCCTTGAGCATGTAGCTGAGAATGCTCAGCACGCTGTGGAAGCCCTTGTACTCGGCACCCTCGCTGTCAGCTTGCCAGCTGATACGGGTCATCATCTCGGCGAGCACGACCAGGTCGATGATCAGAGGCGAGGCCAAAAGGGAGTCCTCGCAGATGTTGAACAAGCTGATGGTCTGGTGGCCGCCCATGAAGATCTCGGCGTAGTACTCATCCAGAGCGCGCTTGTTGTCACCGACAGCAGGCATGTACTTGATGACGACGGTGTGATCGGGGTGCTCGTCCTTCTCGTAGAGGATGTGGTTGGCAGCGACCATGTCATCCACGACGTTGGACTTGGAGATTTCCTTGGAGCGGAACTGCTTCTGGGAGCTCAGGTTCTTGCCGTCGTTGTTACCCAGGTGGTTGTAGCTGGCAATGGAGGTGAGCTTAATACCGGCGTTGATGAGGAAATCAACGAGGGCGGACTTCATCTTGGTCTGGCCAGACTTGAAGTCGTCACCGCCGATGAAAGCACGACGCTGCTCGGCCAACTGGAGGGCACCGGGAACGAAGGTGTTCTGGGGAGAACCGTTGATGAAGGGGGTGTCCTCCAGGATGGCGGCCACAGCGAACACGGTAGAAGGAGCAACCTCCAGGTGACCGGTCTTGATCGAGTTGATCAGGTTGTCGGCAGTGTCGTTGACACCAGGGATGATATCAGCGTAGCGCTCAGTGTTGGCGGTCCACATGATCACAACCTTGTCCAAGCCGTTCTGGGCCTTGAAGTCACGGATATCCTGCTGGATCTTCTCAACGTGAGCCCAGCAAGCCTTGTCACCCTCGAGGATGTTGTCGGCGCGGTCCTCCTGGTTGGCAGCAATGAAGTCGGGGTAGTAGATACTAGGCAACGGCTTCATCTCGGCCATCTCCTTGCGGACTTGGCTCTTGAGGGCGGGCTCCAGCACCTGGGCACGGTCCATAGACTCGGCCAAGTTCAGGCTGCTGATATCCCAACCGCCAATGGCCAGATCGTTGGGGTGGACCATGGGGAGCAGGTCATGGAAGGGGATGTTGATATCCTCGCCGGTCTTGGCGTCTGTGCCCAACTTGACAGTGGAACCCATGACGATGGAACCGTAGTAGTTGGAGGCCTGCTTACCCTCGCGAGTCTCCCAGGAGATGTTGCGACGGTTAGCCAAGATACCGGCAGTGACGGTGGAACCGTTGTTTCCACCCCAACCGACCAGCATCATGCCGACCTTGCCAACCTTGCGGTTGACCTTGAAGTTGTAGTTGGTAGCCTTAGGAGTGGCAACCAGCTTGTTGTCCGCGGTGCGAGTAATCTCAGTAGTCTGATAGGCGTACTTCGACTTGATCTCGTCATCGGTGTAGACAACGTTGGGAGATTGCACAGTGAAGAGGGAAGACTCCTGGCGAGCCGACCCGTTCAGGGCACCATTGGTAGCATCCGAGCTAGCGTGAGGAGCCATTGCGTTCACAGCGAGAAGTATGTAGATTTAAAAAGTGGGTTTGTGTGAAAGCGTAGCTTTAACGGATGTAGGGTGCGCAGTCCGATGCTCCTCCACGGTTGGATGAGCGTCGGCCGTTGAACGGGTGGTGCCGGCTGGTGACGAGTTAGTGATTGCACTTCTGGAACGGCATTGGGGTTGAGGGTAGACTCACGAGTTAAGGCTTGTCGCGAAAATTGTGGCGGTTGTATAGCGACCACGTCTCAACGAGATGTGATCTGACCTGTTGAAAAGGTTTATACGAACCTAATAAACGTGACGAGAGTACTGGAAGTGTTGATAGGGAAAGAGAAGAAGAGAGAGAGAAAATGGAAGGAGGGGATTTATATGGTACTCCGCCTGTCTCCGGTCTGTCCCCCGCCTTCCCCCTTTTTCTTTTTTTTTTTCTTTTTCCTCTCTATTTTTTTTTCCTTTCTCTACGTACAAATTTCCTTAGCTTCGAGCTATTTGTTGGCATTCATCTTATTATTGGTCATGCTAAGCTATCTGGTTCACCGTCTCTTCTTTAGCCGATACCGCAGTAGAATAGTCTTTTCAACTTTTGACACAGTGTTGCCTCAGCATCGACAACATGCCACTACTATACAATCAAGCTGTACTAACTACTACACATCCCTCGTAGACCGAGGCACAAGTCATTCCATCGTGATTAGCAGCCTGAAACTTCCCATTAACCGCAATCTCCATTTTTCCCCCGAGTCATTGCCGCCTGGGGTCTCCGCTTCTGGAGTCCTCGGGAGTCCCTGGTCCGGCCACTCCTCATTTTTCCGGATGTGTCCATATCTACTGACCGAGATCACCGAGATCTTTCCAATTGGATATGCATATTTCACCTTGCATATCACTTCTCTGTCCGTAGATCAGGCTGAAGCATTACACACTAACTATGCCAATCGGATGTGAAGATTACACGTGCCTTTACTTGGACCGTGCTGCGCACATCGGAGGGGCTCCTCCGCGGGGTCAAATGGCGGTCAATCCACATTGAATCTCGACTCGAATTTGCGTTCTTATAACGATTTCTTCGCATTTTGATGTATAATCTTCTTTCAGTTGTGTGATCTCAGCTCAAGATATACCTAGGTTCGAGTAGAATATCCGTAGAGCGTCGAATTTTGCAGAACGGTGGACAGAAGCTCGGGCCTTTGGATCCATTTAGGGCTCCACTCAAAGTCACGACTCACGAGATTGAGACCAGAAGTTCAATGCTTCGACCTGATGAATGGATATCACACTATTCTGTATTCCCAGCCATGCCCTCATGATATCAAGTTTCAAGTTATCAACCTTGCGGAGCTTCATGATCCTTTCTCTCTGCCGTAATATCCCCCGGGGATTTGGCATCGTCTGATTTGTTAGGCAGCCGCTTAGCGACACCAACAGGGTCCAACCACCCCGTAGACAAGATAAATACCTCATCGATATCTTCCAGGGACAGCCCCGAGGTTTCCGGAAAGAAGAGGTAAAGGACCGGTAACATCGCAGCATTCAAACAAGCAAAGACAACAAAGTACTTCCATCCAATGGCGTTGAAGGCGATCGGCGTGACCTCCGCGATCAACACACTCAGAGCCCACCATATGGCCGAGCCGATGCCGTTGATTGTGGTGCGTAGGCTCAGAGGCGCTACCTCCGATGCGTACAGGAATGGCAATCCACCGAAACCGGTGATCATGCTGAAGTGGAAGAGGAACATGAATACCACAGCTGCGTACATGGCAACCATATTTGTCGACTGGGAACTCAGTGCAGCCACGAGGACCATAAATACTGTATTGGCCGTCGCACTTGACATCATCAAGGGTCGACGACCGAAGCCTTCGACGGTAAAGACGCAGACAATGCCACCGAAAACGCCGGACAGTTGATAGATCGCGGATAAGATTCTTGATGTGGTCGAGTTGAGATGAAGATGAGTTTCGAATATTGTCGTACCTAGTAGATCAATGAGCAAGAGAGACATGATCGGATTTTATGTAGTAGAAGACGTACTGTAGAGCGTAATGCAGTTGACCCCCGTCAATTGCAACAACACCAATCCTCCCGCTGCAAGCGAGGCACGATGGAAGATTCTTTGATGTCCCATGCGAAAGACTTGCCCAAAAGTCCCTTTTCCCGCGATAGCCAACGAGGACCCAATATCCAAAACGTCTTTCTCGACCACCTCATTATCAACCTCGGTATCTCTCAGGGCTGCCAATACCTCCCGAGCAGCAGACACCCGACCTTGACGGACCAGCCAACGAGGCGACTCAGGCAGATGCGACGCAAACGCAATCACCATTAAACACATAACGATCGGCAAACCAACAGGAACGCGCCAGCTCGCGCTGTTCGGAACATACGACATCCCAAGATCAACAAGTAGAGCCAGGGTAAGACCCATCGCCACGAAAATACCCGTCGTCCCAACATGCGCGCCACGCTTACTAGCCGGCGATATCTCCGACTGCCAGATCGGCACAGTGGCTAGCTGCCCTCCAGTGCCGAGACCTAGTATGATCCGCGATACGACCAGCTGAGCAAAGCCGAACGAGCTGGCCATCAGGAAGGCCCCGATCATTTGCACCACTGAGGCAATTATTATGGTACGGCGACGACCGAGTACATCGCCGAGTGCGATACAGGCGACGGCACCTAGCAGACCACCGGCTGCATACAGGCCTACGACAGTCCCCTGCAATGTCGACTTGTAGTGCTTTTCTGATGGGTGGGCGTTGCTCACGTCGATTTCGGGGAACTGGGCTTCGAACCAGGGGAGGGTCAGGACTCCGCCTAGTAACCCTTGGTTATAGCCCACTGACATGATTGCTGGCATCACTACGCCCAGCATGCTCACATAGTTGAGGCGAGTGCCTCGGAAGCCGAGGAAACGTGTCATATGGGTGTGCGGTGTTTGGGGTGGGAATAAGGTTATGGGATTGAATTCTACAAGGCTTGTGGATATTAAAGACTCTATTCTGTGATTGTGTCATTGCTTCGGTGTATCCGATCCGCGCATTCTTGTTGTTTCCTGGCATGCTATGCTATGTCTTGACGATCAGGACTGATGGAATGTTCTACGGTCCATTGAGGTGGTGAATAACGTCAGAGATATTCTAGGTTTCAAGTAGACACTGCATAGGTTGTCCGAAGGCTGATATATCTGCAAGGGGGTATTCTTCGTCTTGCCCAGATGTCGGATGTTCTGGCGTCGAAAGATAGTTTGATTTTGTAAGGTTAGGAAGACCTCGTTAGGAATTGTCCACCGTTTGTGGCTATAAGTTGTCATCTTTTCCTTATGCTGCAGGTGTATCGAATATACCTAGGTAGAGGTTACAAAATTAAAACTGATGCCTCCAGTTCCATGCCCGGATGCCTGGAAGTGTCCCGGATAGGCTCAACCTACTTTAGCTGAAGCCCGGTTGGCAGAGTGGGCGAATAGGTACTAGGTTGTAGTAGATGTTGGAAATATATGTCGGAATCTAGGTTGGATGGATCCATTGGAATTGACCTTCTTAACCTTGGAAATTGTGTCAGATATGCTGTGCGATTCGTCGCAGCATTTAATTATAGCAGTTTGTACCAACTATAACGAGAATTGCAGTTGATTGCAGTCGAGATATCCCCATGTTCTCACGACCGTCACAAACTGGTACCGAAATCACTGTCCCCGCAGTGTGGGGAAATTTCCGCGCAAAAGTCATGAAGAATCCAACATCTTCGCCATGCCGATTGCAAGAAACCCTCAATGCTGGTAAGCAATCTAGATAAACCCCATTTACACCTGGGCATCCCATATTAACAATTTCCAGTGATCCATGCCGTATACTCCACCATAAATGTAATGCTCTCACCCCCCATCGTGAGCTCTTCTCTAACCATCAGTAGGTGACGGACTTTCGCCACAATGCAGTCGATGCGCCCGCACAGGTCGGGAATGCAGTCGAGGTAAAAAAGAGACCAAATTTCGACAGGCAAAAGGTCGGACGACGCGGACGAAATTCCCTCGTGACCAAGTTTGGGTCCGACCACCACCTAGAGGTTGTTCTTCGAGTCTGGATTATTATGGCCGAAGCTGACATTCAACCGTTAGTTGACTTTATACTTGAGTCCGGGAATGGAGAAGCAGAGAGGTTGACTGAGGGAGCGACGGATGATCTGTCGCCTGCAAGAGATTTCCCTAGTCATGTCGGGCCTGTTTCAATACCAGACAGACCCTCTCCTAGACCCTCATATACTCCTGTTTTGCCGGAATTCGCCGGCCCAAGCAACCAGGCATATACCAGTGATAGTGGCCATTCACCACTCCCAGTGGTAGACAGACCTGAACGACCACAGCAGCGGCCATGGCCATTGAAGGACCCCCAGGAGGCACTCCTGCTGCGACATTTCGTTGACGAGGTTGCCCCATTTGTGAGTCGACATCCTTTGTTCCGAGCGATGCATCGCATTCTGATATGATGTCAAGTTCGATTGCACGGATCGCCACCAACATTTTGCAATCCATATCCCCTTTCGTGCACGCCGTTGTGAGACATTGTTCAACGCAATATTAGCCATGTCAGCTCGCCATCTAAACCGGACAAAAGATTTCGACCCTTTTGTCTCGGACCATTACTATCAAGCATGTCTGGAGAAATTGATACCTGCACTGGATGATCACGGAGTCACCATGGATGACGATTTGTTGGCTGCCACGGTCATCCTACGGCTGCTGGAAGAATTTGATGGTGAGATATCCCAATCCCTATCGGCGCGGACGGACGAGGCTAACGAAACCAGTCCCACTTGCAGGGGCTGATATTCGAGGCCATTCATTCGGCACAAAGGCTTTTATCCGTGGTCCAGCATTGATGACCACCACCCCAAGTCTACGGAAAGCTGTTTATTGGAGCGGTCTGCGCCAGGAGATTTATAATGCGCTTAGTCTCCAGCAAGCCCCCGACATTGATCTGAGTTCCCTGCATCTAAATGCCGAATTCAATCCTCTAGGTCCCGATGCAGGTGATTGTGCATGGGCGAACCAAGCTATCGCCCACTGTGCGGACGTGTTGGTGTTTTGCTTCGGGGACGGACCTCGCTCTGAGGCGGTGCATGCAGAGCTAAAGGCACAGAATCAGCAATGGAGTGAGACTCGGCCGGACTCTTTCGACCCGTATTTTGTGGGTGAAGATATGGAAGTTGGGACGAAATTCCCCGATATCCGCTTCGGATGTCCCTGGCACGGTACGTATATTGCGACCTAGACATATGAGCAGTCCCTTCTGGGAATCTTTCGGTAAATGACATTAGAGAAGCTAACCGCCTTATTCTATAGCAATCGGCAATCAATACAATCACCTTGCGCATATTCTACTCCTTGTACATGACCCAAGTCTGCCTACCATTGGACCTCTACGCAGGCGTTTTATTCAAGAAGCGGATGTAAGTGGCCGAGCTAGTCTCCAATGCATCCGCCTAGAAATTAACATAGCCCAGGATCATATCCGCCAAGGGGTTTGGACAGTATGTGGCGTTTCCCTATCCAATGCCTCTGTTCCCCCAGCCATGGTTGTCGGATGCATGGCTATCCATATCTGTAAGTAGCGGAAACCCAAGACGTCCAGCGTATGTTGTACATTGCAACTGATCAGCATCACAGGCGGTGATCGGTTCACAGACCCACATGAACAGGACCTGTTGATCCATGTTCTCACCCATACGGATTCTGTCCATGGTTGGCCAACCCATATGCTACAGCGACAGCTTCGAGAAACATGGGCGATGCGTTGACGGTATATACGTCGCTTATTGCGGGTTTAAAGAGCAAAACAATGGATGAGGACCGACCTCATATCTGGGCTGTGCTGGTGGAGAGAAGTATCTGCGGCAAATGATCGTCTTGCTCTCCCGCACGCCATTCGAAATGGACATACGACGTTGTTACACTTCGTCCCATTTTTCACCCATAACCGCGTTACACGAGCCTCCAGACCAACGTCGGATTTCACGAGTTACCCTTTGCAATTCCAAGACTCTTGGTAGAGCCGGGTACTTCTGCTTTTGGTCAAGTGTCAGGACCATGCATGATCCATCGCGTTGTTTGAGGGTAAGCAGTGGCCAGTAGTAGGGACGAGCTCGGAGGGAAATTGGCCCCGCGGATCGTCAGGGAACACGGGCGTAAACGTTGTTCTGTTTCACTACCAATGAGATAATGGAGATGCTCGGAATCGTCATCAGATGACTTCGCGTGTTCTGGGGGAAGGCGCAAGGGCTGCTTATGCAGAGTTCATTATCAACCAGATCGAGAGATGACCCCTTGATTTTATCCTGATCACATTGGGATATCGAGTGGACAATGTGATTGGCGGTGGGGGATAGGCCCGGGAGCAGGCACCAGAAATGGACCAGTTGCATTGCAAGACGGATATGCATATGTTCCCGAGAGAGCCTGTGCGGGTTGTTTGGGGCTCCACTGGCAAATTGTGGACTCAGGGGATGAGGTGCATTGCATCGGAGTTAGGGTATGGGTATACTGCAGAGGAATAGAAGAAAGAGTATGGCCAAATACAAGCAAGATAGCGCAAAAATAGAGCAGAAGTTTCTAGTAAAAGGTCACAACAAAGACTCCAAGCCTCTTAACCCACACAGTCTCCGCAAAGTAGCCCCTGAACCACACTTACGCACCCCCTTTCCACACTGGAGACGCTACTCCACTAGCGCCTCTTCCCCCCCCCCGAAGTTTGATCGTCTTCTCCTGGGGTTGTCTTTCAACTTTTTATCTTGAAGTTTTACTCAAATTCCTATATTGACTGGGGATGGCCCACTGAATTCGATGTCCTTCGCTGATGGCTGAAATGAACATGGGCGTGTTGCCCACCATCAAATGCTCCAATTGTGGGTGTAACGTCGAGATCTCCTCCATGGGGGATCACATTTGCGCTCCAAATGAATTTGGTACGGTTTTCGTCGAGATAGGATATAATACACATACTAATACTCTTCATAGCCCCCGTCGCCCTCCCATCACCACCTCCATCCGCGGGCCTAGAATCTCCAGACCGACTCTCACCAAAAGTGACCCGAGACGGGCCTCCCCCGGCCATTGACCCCTCTGCTGCAAGTATGTCTCAAATCGCCATGTGGGGAGTTGACATTTCCCACTAACCCTAGATCCAGATCGCGCATTTCTACAGCCAAATGTTCCGACACCAGCCAGCAGTGTGCATCCATCACCGCACTCGATTAGCCCACCAGCCCGATCGCCACTGCGCTCGCTGCAGCACAATGTGAATGACGACAATGAGTCTGTGATCAACTTGGACTCGGTATTCTCCTTCCCCATGCCCGGTAACAGGTCGCCAACCGAAGTGAGGACACCGAGTCCAATGACGGACATACCCAGGCATCAATTACGACCATCAGTCTCGTCGCCGGGGCTGGGACTGAGCGTCAGGCCAGAAAATATACAACTTCCACCTAGTCCATTACCGCCTTCGATGTCGCCGACTACGAATCATTACAGGGGGGATTCGGCGGTGAGCCACAGCAGCTATACGTCTTTTTCCAGTAGTCGCTATGGCGATTCCACGGCGAGATCATCATCTAATAGCTTTTCGCGTGGGTTCCGGTCATTCATGGACGAAACACCTCCAATTCCACCGGCACCTCTTCGCACTCCCAATAAGTCGTCTTTCCCCCGCGACTCGAACCTTTCAGTGGTTTCATCCCGGATCAGCGAGGAGGAAGCTAGTGGGTTCGACTTCGGCATTCCCACTGGCCATAACCCTACGACCGGACTACAAGACCTTCCGGAAGAGTCTCCCCCAGCGGACCCAGAAAATCGTGATGACTACATCACATCTCAGCCTGCACAGACTCACCTGCATCCCGCAGCAGCAGCGACAGAGTTTGGTAGCGATCCCCAAAGGAAGAATTCCAATGCCAGCACGGCAAGTGCCTTTTCTGTCACCAGCTTTGCGCGTGCTCTTGGGCTGGAGGATCAGATGATGAACCACGCAGGAAGCTCCGGCTCGTCTGATTCTTCGCCTTCCGATGCCCGCAGCGGGAGTTCCCTGTCCAGCCTCCCTTCCGATGTCAGCTTGAACAACCCCAAACCCACCGATCCACTCAATCTCGGCCCCTTGGTTCAAGAACTGCCCGCCCGGAGTCGACAAACAATCCTAGAATTACCTGGCCGTATACGGAGCACAATGGAAGATGTGCCTCCCATCCCGGCAGCGTTCTTCAGTCCCGACTCACCCACCGACCCTGCAATCAACAAAACCGGACTATCATTGATTGCAGAAAAGCAAGAAGCCCCTCCGATCCCAAAGACAGCCGAATCCACAGAATTCCTCTCACGACCACCACCACCTCAACGCGCATTCACAGCCCCCGTTCCCCAAATCCCCCAAACCCCACGAACACCAACCCGATCTGCAACACGCACCAAAGGGACCTGCAAAGGCTGCAACGAGCCAATCACCGGAAAATCAGTCTCATCCTCCGACGGCCGTCTGACAGGCCGCTACCATCGCGGCTGTTTCGTCTGCTTCGAGTGCCACTCACCCTTCCCAACCGCCGACTTCTACGTCCTCAACAACCGCCCCTTCTGCGCACAACATTATCACGAGCGCAACGGATCCCTCTGCGCCGGCTGCCACACCGGCATCGAGGGCCACTACCTGGAAACCGTCGAGCGGAATCCTGCCCGTCCAGACCGTCGTCGTTTCCACACTCAATGTCTGCAATGTCGCACTTGTCACGTCCTCCTCAAGGGCGACTACTTCGAGTGGAATGGTGAAGTGTTTTGTGAGCGCGATGCTCGCCGTGCAGCTTCCGCTTACCATCCCCCACCTCCTCCACACCCTGGTCGTCGTAGGCCTACTGTTGGCTCGTCGCCGCTGGCTCAGTCTGGTCCTTTCCCTGGTTCTTATCCACCTCCTGGTGCGAGAATGGGACCTGGACCTGGACCTGGACCGGGATTGTACCCCGGTCCTCGATTACCACCTGGTGGTGGAGGACGGTTCCCCGAACGACGGACTACAAGGCTTATGATGATTTGATAACATCGTCTTGCTCGTTTTTTAACTTCTTTTTTGAGGTTCTGAGTTGCATGTTGCATCTCTACGCCTTCTTTCACATATTCCTCATTCCTTCACATATCGCGATATACCCTCTGTGCGATCTCAACCATTTGGCTTGCGCTGGCGATGGCGTTGATCGTCCGTTTTCCCCATCGGGGCTATCTTCATCTATATCCTTTGAGAAGCTGTTTATTGGTATGTTTTGTGATTATTCTGTCATATGGGGTGGTGTACTTTGATTCTTCATCACGCCGCAATGTTTCCAATGTACTGTAACTCTCCATTGCTCTGGTGTTTGCTTGGGTTCTTTTTTGCACAGGACTTACAAGTCTAATGAACAATAATCTTGTCTTCGAATTATTAATAGTCTGAGAACTGTATCATTATCCATCAATAAACCGTAGTTCCCAGAGACAACCAATCTCTATTTCGACTTATGATCCTCAAACCCCATCCTCTCAACAGGCGTAAAGTACCTCCTTCTGAGAATCCATCCAAAACAAATAACATAAAGCGCAATAGCCAGAATCCCAAGTCGCTGTCGAAATGTAATCCGATCAACTTCACGATCTGGATGGTCCAACCCTTCCGCACACTCTTTTTCCCACTCCGAACAGACATCCCGAAACAGACCCGGCTCATCGGATATCACGCCGTCTATGCCATGTCGAATACACCAACGCATCATATTCGGTGCATTCACCGTCCATACATAGACTTGTCGTCTAGCGGCGCGCGCCTCCTCCAGGAACCCGCGACCCAAAGGCCCGATCAGGATCCTCTGATTGATGTTGAAGGAGATACCGGGAACTTGAAGCAATTGGCGCGCGTAGCTGACGTCGATGCAGACCAGTGTCACTGCGTATCGGGGCAAATACTGTGCGCGGGCGGGCAGGTAGCGTGCGGACCAGCAGCCGAGGACGACTCGGCGGTGCCAATCGGGTCCGATTGCGGGTATGGGGACTGACTCGATGGTTTTGGCGATTAGGGACATTATGGTTGAAGGGTCATTGCTGAGCTGGGGTAGTTGCTAGGTGAGTATGGAGCTGGTTCTCGGTGACCTAGATAGGGCAATCATACCTTGATATCGAGCAAGATCCAGAGATGCTCCCTACCCGGTTGTCGTAGATATTCCAGTACATCAACCAATCGGGGCATGGGTTCATGGGGTGCTTTCAAGGTTCGAAGTGTTTTCAGATATTCCCAGTCGCAGTCCTTGACTTTCTTCTTTACCCCAAAGCAGCGGAGGAGACTTGGGTCCTTTGAGAGATGAGTATGTCTCCTTGATGGTGTAGTGTGTGTGCACCTACGTGTGATAGTACGACAATCCCATCGCGGGAGATGTGGAGATCGAGCTCGAGTGCGTGAGCTCCTGCATGGATGGCTTTTTCTATTGCCAGTATGGTGTTCTCGGGATAGTGGCCTTTGAATCCTCTGTGGGCGATTGTGTGTGGGAGACGTGGAGAGGAATCGACCGGGGAGTGGAGGTAATGAGCTGCGGAAGAATGAGCCGACTTGTTCACCATGACTTGGAGGGATACGTACCGGGAAGCTCTTGTGGGTGTTCTTCCATGGTTAGTGATGTGTCGTCCATGACTGACGTTGTGATTGAAGGAGAGAGAACAAGATATTGTTGGAGTGAACAAGGCCATCGGAGTTAGGCGGAGTTAGACCCCGCGGCCATCTACCGTGGGCTGTTGCTGGTCGAACTTGCTGTTTTAATCTACGTGACAACAAAGGTGAATATCAGCGATCAATCAAAGTATCCCTCATGGTCATTCACGACCAACAATAAAAGCAAGCCAGGGAGATGGAGTTGCTCAAGAACATTCGATAACTCAGCCCTACTGGCCCCTGGCCCTGGAGAGGGCGCCTGAGTGGGGTTGTCTCCAAATTTTCTCCAACGTCATTTACAACCTGCTTCGATCTTAATTGTGACGTTTCTCTTCCTCGAATCTCTTCCTCCAGCAGTCCAGTGTAAAACAAAATGTCGGTCAAACAATGGATCACGCCCTTGAAAGGCATCGACAGTCTTAGCCAGACCGAGGTCCCAATGCCCGCAACCGGTCCCAACGAAGTATTGGTCGAGATCCGCGCAGTCTCTCTCAACTACCGTGATGTGGAAGGTACGACGCCCGCCCACATGCACATCTGTGCATAAATAATGCTGACCGACTCGCCTCAAAGTGACCAAAGGCGAGTACAAGCATCACAAAACCGCCGAACAGGATGCCACCATCGTGCCCTGCTCGGACATGTGTGGAGTTGTGACGAAAGTCGGATCTGGCGTCACAAAATGGGCAGTTGGCGACCGGGTGCTTTCGACCTTCCTGCCGGATCACCAAACCGGCCAAGTGACCGAAAAGGAACTTGGCAGGAGCTTGGGGTTGCCACAGGATGGCGTCCTGGCAACTCACCGCGTTTTCCCCGACTATGGCTTGGTGAAGGCCCCCGGCTTCATGTCTGATGAGGAGGCGGCTACTCTTCCCATTGCTTCGGTCACGGCGTGGATGTCTATCAACGGCATGCGACCGCTGGGGCAGAGCGGTGGGAAGGATGAGTATATCTTGCTACAGGGAACTGGCGGCGTGGCGATCGCTGGATTGCAGATTGCGAAGGCGGCTGGTGCCAAGGGTAGGAAATATGGCTGATCGACATGAAGAGGGGATAGAAGCTAACATTCACAATAGTTATTATCACCTCCTCGTCCGATGAGAAATTGGACCAGGCCAAAAAGCTAGGTGCCGATTTTACTATCAACTACCGCACCAATCCCAATTGGGAGGCCGAGGTGATGAAGATCACAGAGAACCACGGAGCAGACGTTATCCTGGAGGTCGGTGGCGCCAAAACTCTACGCAAGAGCTTTGATTGCATCGCCTTTGGAGGATTAATTAACTGTATCGGTTATGTCTCCGGCAAAGTAGATGCTGACGAGGACCGTCTGAATGTCAACTTGCTGGCTCTGCGTAGGACTGTGACCCTTAAGGGAATCATCAACGGCCCCAAGGATCGCTTTGAAGAGATGAACAGATTCTACGAGACGAACCAGATCCATCCTGCAGTCAACCGGGTCTTTTCCTTCGCCGAGGCCAAGGATGCATTCAGGTTCCTGGAAAGCGGCAGCCATTTCGGCAAGGTAGTCATCAAGATTCAATAGGGCTACGGAGTTAGAGATATCATAGATGTCATTGCCTCAAGTATTTCCAGAATTGGAAGAAATTCACTTCTGATCATTCCCACTTGGATTGACAAGCCCAGCCGCGACACCCAAATCCTCCCCCATCTCCTTCCCAGCCACCGTCAACCTCTGGCAATCCTGCAACACAAACAAACAACGAGCCCACTCCGTCTCGCTAGGGTTCCGCCACCCATGCATCGTAGCCCGCTGCACAGCAACATCCCCCCGTTGCATGATAACCGGCTCACTATCTTCCAGAATCATCTCAACCTGGCCTTCGAGCACGACGCCGTAATCGAGACTTTGTGTCCTGTGCATGACCGCCTGGTTATTTGGCGCGAAGTCGACAATCCGGCACACGGTTCCGCCCGGGTTCACGAGACCCAGCTTGCCTGATTGCTTCAGTGTCTCGTGTGTCTCGATGTCTGCGTCGTTGTTCAGGTCTGCGGGGAATTGGGACGTGTAGACGACGTTGAATGCCATCCCGGCTTCTTCGAGGGCGTCCCATTGGCCTGGGGTGGAGGAGTGGATCACGGCTCTTCCCGAGTCGTTGTGCCCGGTGATGTGGCGGGTTATGCCTCGTAGGGGCGAGATTTGGCCGGGATTTGATGCCATTGTTTGGAACTTTCAAGGAGATGATTGTGGGAGTAGGGATTGAGACTGTCAGAATTCGCAGGATTAAGAAATTCTGAGATCCTCGGACAGTTTTATAAGAACTCAAGGGACTTAAGGTTTGGAGTCGCCCCGAAGGATTCGGGAATGCCCCGGTGTATCTGCTGTGGGGCAAGTGCATGAAACATGGCCCTCCAGATAGCGGTCAGCTGAGTCAGAGTGACAATGGCATTGCTCCAAACCATGGGCCTGTTTGAAAGGAATGCGCCACAGGATCGATTTTATTGAAAGTTGTCGATTTGCATCTACTTTGGGCGAAATCCGCAGGCTCAGCGTTGTGACATAGCTCACTCAAGAGGAGAAAGAGAGAACATGATGGACAGTTAGGGCATCATTGAGTGTGCCGCTTACTGGAGGTGAGCCTGAGCTCCTTCAAACACTTGAGTCTTATACGGGGTGGGGTGTATTGATTGTGATCAACTAGATGTGAGTACATGGGCACCGAATGCACCAACCTTCTTATCATTACAAAAACCACCGGAACTCAGCAGATGCTGGTCCATCTCTCATCCGATCCGTCGGGATATCTCTTGCCCGGAGGACGAATCCATCACGACGGTCGCGTCGCTTATTATCCAGCCACATATAAAGACCCAGCGAAGCAGCCAGGCAAGCGCCTGTGGCTCCAAAAGCAGCAACGCTGATCAACGCGGGCATATACTTGGGCGCATCTTGCTCTCTGAACAAGTTGCTGCTGACCAGGCCCATGAGGTTGGCCAATGGCACGCCGATACTTGTCAACAGCACGCGGCGACCTTCGTGGGCTATATTGTTGTTATACCAGGTGCTGAGTAGGACAGACGGGGCGGATGTTCCCCAAGTCATCATGAAAGTTGCGAAGTAAGCGACCTGGATTTGGTTCTGGATATCATCAATGGAGAGATAGATCATGAACCCGGTGAATGTGAAGAGGAAGCCCAGAACGATGAATGGCGAGCGAAGCTTGACCCAGTCAGACATGAAAGCCAGGGCCAGAAGCATCACTGCTCCGGTCACATTGGGTGCGACTGTGTACAGGTTAGTTTTGACGGTGGGATAACCTAGTCGTCCGACGATCTGCGGCATGAAGAGTGCAACACCCTGCAGAGGCACACCGAGGCAAATCTCAATGCACAAGAAAACGTATGTGGTGGGGTGCTTGAAGATGCCAAGTGCCTCGCGGAGGCTAAACTTCTCGTTGACGACTGCACTGGAATCAACCTGGATACGGTGGAATGCCAGTGCCTTCTCCTCCTCAGACAAAAACTTGGCCTCTGCGACGCTGCGTGGGAGGTATATGAAGGCGAATATGGCGAAGAGAACAGAAACAGTCCCCTCGATTATGAACAGGTACCGCCAATTCGGAATATGCGATCCCTTGATCTGGAACACACCGAACGCAATGAGTCCAGAGAAAGCGTTTGCAATGTTCGATGCGGCGTAGAAAACAGCCAAGCGACGAGCCAGCTCGCCACGCCGGTAGAAGGTGGTCAAGTAGTAGATGACCAGCGGGAAGAATGCCGCCTCGGACATGCCGAGAAACCAGCGAAGAGCGAACATGCCGCTGAAATTATACGCTGCTGAGGACAGTATCGTCAAGGAGCCAAAGGAAAACATCAAGATTGGAAGCACGCGTGCTGGACCGAACTTCTTCCCGAGCATTGAGAACGGTGGCGCAAAGATCACGAATGGAACGAAGAAGATCGATAATAGGAGATTGTATTCATTCGGCTTGAAGTTCAAGTCTAGTGGATTCGTCCAATTAGTCTCTCTCAGTGTATGCCACTTGTCTCGAACTTCACGTACCCTTCGACATTCCGTCTGTCTCTGCATTTCCCAAATTTCCTTTGTCCAGCGCATTGAATAAGTCTTGTCGCTAGTCAGCTTCAACACTTTCCACCGTTCGACTTGAACCGCGTAGACTCACACATAATCGCCAGAATCGGCAACAGACGATAATCAAACTTCCGACATAGACGCCGTTCGGCCTGGTGATCGACGACCCGCGTCACCTCATCTATCACACCCGGGGCAGAGCCATATGATGGCAACCTGTCCGGCTCTTCAATGGTGTTCAATGTGTCTGGTTTCTTCGTTGTGTCATCTGGCGACGGCGCCGGCGCCGGCGCTGAACTTGACATATTGCAGTGACACCCGAGAACGGAATAGAGATAGAAGTCTACGAAAACCCCCGGGGATTCCCGTACGTCCCGTCAAAATTATGATCAGGAAAGTAATTCAGGAGAAGAAGAACAAAGAAATTAAGCCCCCCTTCCCTCAGATATGAGGAATGTTACATTACCTGTTATGTGCAGAGCCCATATCACGGGGATGCCACCCCCTAGCTATCATCTATGTCATTGACTCATTTTCGAGACTGGGATCTCTCTCTGCAGTTTGCTTCTGTCGTGTAGCATCCGCCAAAGCAGCCAAGCATCGACCACTGACCAGAGACGGGCCACTCATCACGAGGTGGCTTATCTTCTTCCCAGCTAGTTCCCGGCTAGTCAGGTGATAGCTTTAGCCCTTTGGAGCCTTGGAGGGATATCCTATTTTCAGGGTAGCGGAATTGTCCGCGAATACGGTGTACCCACTGACTAGCCGGGATTTATCCTTCCCCATGTCGGCGCCTAACTGTCGATCACTGGATATTTCCCCGTTTCCCCGCAATTCAGGATGGTGATGTCAACGAACTCAATCGGAATATTTCAAGCCCACGATGTCATCTTCCTTGGTCAAATAACAAATTGACGGTGTCACGCTGTTCAGGTTCGGAAAATCTTGTGCACCCTTGCTTCAACAGATCTGCACCCCAGCAAACCCAGCCCTCAGAGCCGCCTCGACGCTTTCCTGTGTTACAATAATTCCGGTCACAAAGGTTGTTGATGGGCTGGGGAAATTGACATAAGAGAGACAGACTCCAAACTCCACTGATTCGACTTGACCTCGGGACAATGGACATGATGACATCCGAGGTGCCATGACTATACCCTCTCACCGTACTCTCATGATGATGTCGAGCTCGGATTCGTCACCCGTATTCGACTACCAGGAACCAGGGCTAATCATCAGCTGCATTTAACCCAACCCCGCAATAGAACGAACAAGCTTTTATCCAAATTATCCGGGGTATGGAGATCTCCGAAGTATAAACATGTGCAGAAAGTAGAAGTTGGTTGAATCATCTTCTACTCGCCGTAACATTCGACGCCATGCCTGTATACAGTGTGTTTCGGCACACATCCATACTTCTGGTAGCTCTGAGTATAATCCAGTCAGCATTCTCCTACCCTATCCTCCAGGAACGCCATAATGGGAATTCCAAAGACTCGAACTGGGTTACCATCTGGACAACCATGCCTCAGCTAGTCGAGCCCGCCAACCTACCCCCTGTTCCATTTGTACGTTCATCACCACGAAATTGGAACAAGGTGCAAGTACTGACTGTAAAATAGAATGGATCTACCGCTGTGTTCAGCAATACAACCATTCGCCAGACCTTGCAGCTTTCTCTGCCAGCGCAGGAGATCCGCATCCGATTGTCCAACGCATTTGGCGTAAACAATCTAAAGATCAACAAGGTGACTGTGGGCCTACCAACAGAGCATCAAGTGGGAACAAGTGCTGTACAGACAAAGTCACTGAAGTCCGTTTCCTTCGATGGAAGCCCAGACGTGGAAATCCCGAACGGTGCACTGGCCGTCTCGGATCCAATCTTCTTCCCTGTGGAGGCTCAATCAGCTATCACGATAACCGTGTACCTGGAAGAGGGACAAGAAGGCCATTCAATCACTGGCCATCCGGGTAGTAGGACAACCTCATACATGACGTCCGGGGATTGGACTACCGCAAAGAACCTGACAGACTCGTCTGTCCAAAGTACGGAGCATTGGTTAGTGCCTTAGAAAATCCCGCGAACACCCAGATTGCGGTACTCTAACCTCCCATTACAGGTACTTCATCAGCGGAGTCGAGGCTCATCTCCCCTCCAAATCCAGCGGCTTCGCAATAATCGGCGACAGCATCACCGACGGCCGAGGAAGCACCACAAACGCTAACAATCGGTAAGTAACCCCATCGCCACCCCCACAATCACAATGGCAACCAAATCTAACAAAATCAGCTGGCCGGATCTCGTCCTAGCACAGATGCAAAAGCACAAGCCCACCTCGAATATCGCAATTCTCAACCAAGCAGCCGGCGGAAACCGTATTCTCCAAGACGGCCTCGGCCCGAACGTCCTCAGCCGTATCGATCGGGACGTGCTAGCACAGTCCGGAGTACGATACGCCATGATCTTCGAAGGCGTAAACGACATCGGCGTTGCCGATACCGATCCGACCACGCAAGCAGAGATTGAAAAGGGTCTCATCGCCGCCTATAAACAGATCGCGACGCGGATCCATGCTCTGGGGATTCCCTTTTTCGGGGCAACTATCACCCCGTTCGGGTCGGCAAAGGACGCTGATTATATTCAGCCTTATTCCAATGCGGAGAGGGAGAAGACGCGTCAGAATATCAATAGGTTTATTCGGGAGAGTGGCGTTTTTGACGCTGTGCTTGATTTTGATAAGGTTTTGAGAGATCCGAAGGCGCCGTCGCAGTTGGCGGAGAAATTTGACTCGGGGGATCATCTTCATCCCAATGTGGATGGATATCAGGCTTTGGCGGAGCACTTTCCTTTGCATGTCTTTGCGTGAGGGTCTATTTGCAAGTTTTTCGAAATAGATTGACGCGAGAATCTTGGAATAATGCGGAGTTTCATGTTGGCCAGGGCAATGGTACGTGCTATGGCTTTGCTCCTTAACGAATTGGATAATGATGACGATGATTATAATGATGTATTCATTTGGCCGATGTAGCCTGCTCTAAATATATGCTGCTATGCAGGAGATAAAAAAATAAAAGTCCCCTTCTCAGAATACTATGTTCACACACGACGCTTGAAACGAGGTTGAAGCCCACGCTTCTTCAGATTACCACCTTCGACAAGAGCCTGCTTGCGTCCAGGCCCAAAGTCCGGAACACCACCCAAAGACCCAAAGATATCACCAACATAATTGCTAGCCTGGACACCGTGCGCAAAAGTGTGATGCCAGCCATCCAGAATCCCCTGCACTACCTTGATTCCAGCAACATAGAGGTTCTCAATAGCCGGCCCGAAGGCGCCCTGGTCAGCCTCGAAAAGGTTGTACTCAGCCGAAGCCCCAGGATAAGGCCGATCAAAGTCCGACCCCGTGCGCATGGCAATGATACGCGAGAAATCAGTCCGCTTGTGCATTGAAGAGCGAAGCAGAGCTTCAAGGGTAGCGTTATCCTCCTGAGCAGTTGCGCAATACTCGCCCGTCCCATTCGTCCACAGCTTAGTCGTGTTCTCGAACGTGTCGCCGAGGATATTGCCACTGAAATACACATCCGTCGTCGCGACGTCGCATTCCACAACCCCAGGCGCCAAAGTGCCGGCCTTGTACTTCCCACTGGGAGTCTTGTAGTGCGCGCGATACGCCTGGGCGGTCGCGGAATCCGAGAGATTGGCCTTGCGGGCGAAGTTGGCTGCTACTGTGCGCAGGTCGGCGTTGAGCTCGAAGACCTCGGTGCCGTAGATGTTGGTCGGGTATTGGCCTGGGGAGTCGGTTCCCTGTGCGATATACCCGGTTGAAGCATTGGAGTTCAGCTCCCGGATGTCGATCTCGTACTGCAGAGCGACTTGCACGGCGTACCGGGCGAACATGGCGGATCCAATTGTGGCGGTCCTGGGACTGACACCGGCGATGCCGGCGATGAAGAAGTATGTCTGGGTTAGATCGAAGAGGGGGAGAAAGCAACGGTGCTGACGGTTGTTGCGGCGTTGATTTCGCCTTCGCCGGTGATGAGCTGGCAGATCTCGTGGTCTTTTGTGCAGTGGACTTCTGGGAATAGAGGTGAGAGACCGGGGACACTGATGTTGTGGGCCAGCAGGTTGAACTCGGGAATATTCCACCAGGCTTCAGCTTCGGGTGCGAACTTTTTGCGCGTTAACGAGATGAGCTTTATCATGAGCTACATGGTGGAGATTCTTACCATCGACACAATGAATACCTTGGGAGCGATTGTTTTATGGGGAGCCTTATCGATGTTCACGATAGCTCCTGCGCATAGTGAGCTACCGGCGAGCAGCAACGAAGCCGTCAGGGCCTGCTTGAGGTTCATGGTGAGTTGAGATGGAGTTTTAACAGTGACTCCGTTCCTGCATATGGCGGATCCTTCTATTTGTAATGCGTACACCGTAGACCTGTGAAGAATCTGCCGGCTTGCGCCCTTTCCGCTACGGCTGGATCATGCCGACAAGTGGACATATTGGTTCCAAATGAGGGCATGATCAGCATAATCGCGTGGAGCATCCCGACTGCAAGATCCCGAGTGTGCTCCTATTGGTCTTCCCTGGTGGCATCTTACTCGCTCGAGATAATGTCATTCGGTGCCTGGTACCTGATATCTCGGGTTCGAGATAAGCATTACCTATGGCATATCTGGGCATCCGATGTGGGAGCTGGGGCCCGTGACTACTAGCGTTCGGCATGTTCCTTCGGAAGAGTACCGAGATCACGCATACGCATACGGAGTACACTCACATCACATCGAGATCTTCGGTTTGCTTCACACTCGAATAGATATATAGTCCAGGTGACGAAGGGATCAGCCCAGGCACGAAGTCTATTGATTTGGATATTGATTTTGGGATCGGAGCAAACAAACACCTGACTCCTGAGGCAGCAATATGGAACTTTGGAAAATCAACATGCCAGTTCCAGGGATTCGTTCGGTTGGTACCATGTTTCAGCCGCATGGTTTGGCCAGATGTGTGCGTACCTGTGAGGCCGTGACTGTGTACTGTGTACGGCTGTACGCACTACGCAGACATCGCGAAGCGGCGAAATACTGTAGGCTAATAGTGGAGTCACATTTCGTCGTCCAATCACCGTCCATAGCGTATCTACTGTATCGGTCGGCCTACACTTGATGGCTTCCGGGATGCCATTTTCTGCTGTACGCTAACCTTCTTATAGACTAGTGTTAGGGCCCTGGCTTTTCTTCGCCGAATATCCATACAATTTCCCATCTATATTCCTCACCTTACTTTCCTCTTATCTCTTTTCTCCATCATGTCATGCTGTCTAGTGTCTACACCATTCTGCACCCGCTGTGCATCCACTGTTCCTTTCACCGGTCTCTTTAATACTTATCGCCTTGCTCGAAAACCCTCGGTTGGATCAATCCCGCGTGAGCTCTTTCTGTGTTGCTACTGAGAAGAGTAATCCCTCTACCAATACCGTGAGGGTGTCAGGTCTGGGAACCACTTCCCACTCACCGACGAAGAAATCTATGTCGGGAAAGAGTGGGCTGTTCCCTATGGTCCATTCCTTAGCTAGGAGTACAAGCCTCTTATCAACGGCGAGACATGCTTTACGATCGATGCCTCCGGTACCTTAAGCACATCTACAAAGAGACAGATTGTGCCAGCGGGGAGTTTACTTTGCATTAGACCAAAGGATGGCGGTACCTCGGCGTCACCTAGCCTAGAGTATTCGAGGTACCGCCCATTGACCAAATCCTTTGATCTCATCCAAATTAGCCTCAAGCGGTATGACCAGGCCCTTTGTAGATGTACTTGTGCAGGTACTGGATGGCATCAACTGCAGTGTATATTTCGACGTTAATATGAGCCTTGTGCTTCCTGCTCAGGAATCAATTAAAGGGAACCGTAGTTAGTGGGATGTGGTTCTGTGATCGTGACACCCTCACGGCGTTGGTAGATGGGATAGGTGGCGATTTGCATCATGGAGGATTTGATGAATTTGAAGAAGGCTCCGCAACGTGGACTGACGCACGACTTGGCCCAAACACTTGATGATTCTCAATATCGTTTAACAGCTCGTTCAGATTCATGCGAAAAACAGTCGCGATAAGGTCGGTTCGATCGCAGGAGATCTGAAGTAGAGATAGGCCGTGTTTTAGCCCTTGTGCCTATTTTATCACTATCGAGAGTCTATTCGAGAGAAATCTATTGTTTGTCTGCAGTACTACACAATATTGTTGTCTTAAAAACTGTCACCCGATCATAGTTATACGTTTATTCCTGCTTAAGTTCTTAAGTTGTTGCTTGTATGCCAAACTCACGAAGATTTGTACTACATTGTGTTGCGATATCAAGCCAGCAAGCAGCCATGAAATAGTCGACTTGAAATATCTTCAACTTCAACCTGACCTTATTTACGCCCCTCTCGCCTTCAATGGTTCAAATTCAACGTTAAACGCGGAATCCAATTAAATCTCTGGTTAGGCGTGGCCATCCATGGATGCGGGAAGGGACCAAACGTGGACATTGAGGCTCACCCAGTGACGCCCCGACTTTTCAGCCACCGTACGACAGGCAACGTTGAACGTGGGGCATGACGCATGTTAAGACAATGGCTTAGAATAGAAAATCTCCGTGACAGCCAAACGTTGATCTCCGACATTAAAAAAGCGTCCTTCAACGTCATCTGACGTCATTTTAATATGACAGCGATAGGGGCACCCAAACAATAAAACCCAAGCCCAGCACTGAAAATCTGTATACCCATTTCCTCCGCTTGAGTCTTTTCCCTCCTCGTATACAATACCAGTCACACTGCACCGAACTACACCACACCCCACCGCACTCCGAAGCGTGATACCCAGAACCACCCCAAACCAAAAACAAACCCTACACAACTCACGATGCCGTCAATGCACGAACGCATCCGCGAGGACCTCCTCAACAAAGAGCGCGCACTCTGGACAGCCCTTACATCAGCTGATCCCGCGCCCGCCATCTGGAAACTCAGCAACCCAGAAGCAGTCTACCTATTTCCGCAAATGCCCATCATCACGCTCGAAGACGAGGATGCCTTCAAGAAAGCCGTTCGGCCACCCTTCCACCGTTTCGACGGATACCAGTTCGACCAAGTCCGAGTCATTATCGTTGATTTGATGGCTGGTGTTGTCACATACAAGGTTCGCGCGATCCGAGGGAAGAAGGAATATATTGCCTCTGGGTCGACGACCTGGAGTCAAGGGTCCGATGGCGAGTGGACAGTCGCTTGTCATCAGGAGACCCTGATGGAGAGAGAATAATATGCCTGGAGCACTGCAATGGACGTCGTCGTCGTTTTCTTTTATTCTCTTCTTGCTTGCTTATTAATGTTTTTTTGCGATGCGGAGTCCAATGTGTATTTAGGTGATATGAGCGATGTATCACGAGTCAACGAATCCTTTCAATGATATGTTGCATGATTGAATTTCTACGAGGTGCATGGAATTACTTGGGATGTTGTTTCGAATTCATGTTGTAGTCGGATCGATCAGCGAAAAGGAAAACCTTCTGACGTGATGATCACTAACTAGTGTGCGTCTATCGGCTGTGATCTGCGTCGGAATCGAAATCTCATCGATACTACCGAGTACCGTCACTTACTACGTACAGGTTTGTCACTCACTTTGATCTGATTCGTGGTTTTGCAGATGCATTGCATTTCTTTTTCCATGTCTACGACTGACCTATGGAAACGCAGTGATGATGCCCTCATTGCATGCAATGATTCAATAGTGCCCGCCATGCCAAGCTGCTCGTTGCTTATTCGATCTCCTTGCGCTGCTACCTATGTTTTGTCAGGGATCGCCAAGCCCAACATCCTAGCTTCGGCTCAGCAGCAGCCGGATCATACTCGCATGATCATCAACTGGCGAAGAATTGCGCCATTAATAAGCTAGACCCGTATTCAGCTCTGCCCCACGATCAGCCCCGGAGGCTGGGAATCAGTCTGAGTGAAATTGTAGAACATTTTCCTCTATCTTGATCCGATTCTTGAACGCGAGCAACAATCACACCACGATGGGAGGCTCAGATGACAAGCAAGAACCATGGGGCCTTCGATGGCGATCGTCCACATATTTCATTGTCGCCGCAATGGCAGTCGCCTTGCTCACTGGTATGTCTTTCACTGCGTTCAAGGTCAAAAAGGCATATACTAATGCGATCCTACAGACATGTATCTCTATGGATTCCTTGTTCCGCTACTTCCTTACGTACTGGAGCATCGACTAGGACTTGATGTCTCACTCACTCAACGTATCAGCACAGCGCTGCTATCCCAAAGTGCGCTTATCATGGTCATTGCAAGTCCCTTGATCGGATCCCATGCGGATCGGTCGGGCGCCAAACGGGGCTGGCTGCTGTTCGGCCTAGGAGGTGCTCTGGTGAGCTCTTTGATCATCGCATTGGCGAGTTCATGTAAGTGACATCTCCCACTGTGTGTATGGGTTTCACATCGAGATAATTGTGCAACTAATGTCAATGTAGTGTTCACTCTCTTTGCCGGGCGTCTTTTACAGTCCGCGGCCAGTACAGTCATCTGGGTTGTAGGCTTTGCAACCCTTGCTGACAATGTCCCTGCCGACCAACTGGGCAAGATGTATGGCTTCGTAACTATCGCCGTTGCCATAGGCACATCGGGCGGTCCACTTGTGGCCGGTGTACTGTTCGATTTTGGTGGCTACTGGGTAGCCTGGTCAAGCGTACTCTTCGTCATTGTGTTCGATGTGATCCTGCGATGTCTCATGCTGGAGCAACCGCGCGGTCAGAGGGAGATCTCTCGCCCGGAGCGGGATGGTCAGGACCCAGAGAGGGATGCACTCCTGCCGCCATCAACCCCGGAGCAGCCGATAACCGGCCAAGATAGGGTTACCGAAAAGACAGGGATACATTTCTATTTATGCATGTTTGGCAACGGTCGCTTCGTCGGCGGCGTCGTGAGTTATTTTTGCTATGCCGTTTTGACCACCAGCTTCGACGCCACGCTCCCTCTCCATGTGCGTGATGTATTCGGGTGGGGGAGCCTCCCCACGGGGCTGTTGTTCGCCGCATTCCAAGGTCCGGCTATCTTTCTCGGTGTTCCTGTTGGCTGGCTGAAAGACCGGATTGGTACTCGGAACCCGACCACGATCGGTTTCGCTCTTCTGGCGCCTCTGATTTGGCTGATGGCTGTTCCCGGTGACGAACGGTTCCCCTGGGCAAGCCCGGATGGGTTTGGTGCGATCATCTACTGCGCCGCGATGCTTAGTATCGGTGTTGTGATATGTCTGCTCAATGGAGTGGGCATGATGGAAGCCACTCGTAGGTTGCTTTGGACTCGTTATGGTGAACATTGGATGATAACTGGTTTTTACAGAAGCTGTTGATGAAATCCAGGAGAAATATCCTGGTATCTTTGGCCCGAATGGAGGGTATTCCAGGGCGATATCAGTGTCTAGTATCAGCTGGACATCGGGGATGTTTGTTGGTCCCATCATCGCTGGTTATGGGACGGAAACAGTCGGGTTCTATGGAATCAATTGTGTATTGGGTCTGTGTGGTCCTGCCCATTTCTTTCAGGTTCTCGACGCTAACTGATATGACAGCGGGGATGTGCGCGCTATGTTCTTTCATCGCGTTTTGGAACTTGAAATCATCCGTGCCCCAGCGATCGACCCGTCAGAAGCGTTCTGATGTAATCTCCACGGAATGAGAGCCACGTTGAGTAACGTTGAGTTCTATTCGATGCCAGAACTGCATTGTGTTCTGTGATTGGATATTAAAAGCCGCCAAGGCTCAGGACCCAGGGGAAGAGGGAGACAGAGGAGCAGAACCCCAAGTCCCAGTTTTTAAGCTTGGTGGCGACAAAAGGACTGGAGCAGGGACCGTTAGGAGATCCTCTGGATCGATGGGGACAGTAGGCTGAACTCCGGCCGAGGTTGCCATCACTGGGATTCTTAACGCGAAACCCCAGAGAAGGAAACCCTAAAGATATAGAAGATCTCTCATAACAGAAGGTCCAATATTTTCTTACCTCTAATTACAGCTAAAGATAAACACGAACATACTGCATAAAGAATTCAGTCTCGGCTGAGTCGGCTCCTTCCTCCATTGGGCTCGACTTTTTGGAGAACACGAAACTCTCCCAATATTCAATGCCGTAAACGCCAAGCGCTGTATTCCCTACTTCGTACCTTGTAGGCGAGGTTTGTGATGAATCCAGCTCGTGGCGACTGGCGAAAGTTGCAATCTCCACTTCGGTACCATGGATCCGCCTGCGGAACCGTTCCCCGGCCTCCCGGCCGAAGGAAGAGCGAGCCTTCTAGAGTTCTAGTCCCTTAGCGGCTTTTCTAGATGCACCGTATATATTAACTGTGGGGAGAACGCAAGAGTCATGGAATTTATTCGGAAATATCTGCAGAATACATGCCGATGCCAAGAGAGACACCCTTGCAACACTTCTCCCTTCAAGCAATTAGTATACTGATTGCAGACCACCCCCAATGGCACCAATCCGACCAGTACAAAATATCGTCATCGTCGGTGCTGGAATTGCCGGCATCGCATGCGCCTTAGCCCTATCCCGAGAGCTTTCTCCATTCGTCCCGGGCTTGAAAATAACCGTCTTCGAACGACACGATGTACTATCAACCTCCGGCGGAGCTATCAACCTGACCCCCGTCGCACAAAGACATCTCGCGCAACTGGGTGTGCTGGATGAGCTGAACCGAATGGGAGCCGAAGGCGGCGCAGACGTCGATGCGATTCAGCTTTTCTCCATGCGATCGGGCCGTCCGATCGGCTCCATCAATTTCACAGACAGCAATGGGAAAGGGTTTGGCGGATACAAGGGGAGAAGAGTGATGCGCATCGCGCTATCCATTGCCATGTTAGCAGTGGCGGAGCGGACAAAGAACGTCGAGATCATCTTCGGGAAAAAGGTCGTCGGCGGCAAGGAATTCGAGGATAAAGCCGTCTTGCTCTTCCAGGACGGTTCTGAGGCGGTTGCCGATTTGGTCATCGGTTGTGATGGCGTACACTCGGCTGTTCGAACTAAATTTGTTGACATCGATCGGCCAGCTGAGTACACGGGGCTGTCTTTCTTGCAGGCGACCATTGACGCGAAGTCCATCTCTTCGCCTGTCCATTTCCGATCGTCATCGCTCAACATCTCGCGACATGGCTCATTACTGGCAAGCTACTGTGACCGCGACCGGGAGCAAATCTTCGTCGCTGCTGTCGTGCCTTTCGTCCAAGAGGCTTTGACTCACTATCGACTCGTACCCGGTCAGGACTGGGCTACCAAGGAAAGAATTCGCTCTGGCCTCCGCGAAGAACTCAAAAAGCGCTTCGGCAAGTGTTTCATCCCGTGCATCAAAGAGATGATGGATAGCAAAGCGGACTGGATGCTTTATCCTGTATATCAAGTTCGCCCTGGAGGGCGCTGGTGCATGAACCGAGTTATTCTGCTAGGGGACGCAGCACACGCGGTAAGTTTCGATTCTGAGGCGCATTATCACATGGATGAAATTTCATTTCTGACTGGGTCACACAGATGCCGCCACGTGATGAGTCGGCTGCATACGCCCTGGACGACGCTATCCTGTTCTCTCGCATCCTAGCGCGCTATCGCTCAGAGCCTCTGACGGAGGCCTTTGACGCATACGAGACATTGCGTCGGAAGACAATCGACCATGCGTTCAAAGAGTCTCGGCGTATGTGGGAGCGAAATCGAGATATGGGGTTGATCGAGGGCAGACTTAAAGAGTTGACGTTGTATCTTCATATCAAAAGCCGGGCGACCCAACGAGAGGCTGCGTGGGAGTTTGACGCTACCAAGATTCCCCTACCCACGCCGGCTACATGTGAAGAGGTGGTATCGTTGAAGACGATTTTGAGCGAGAAGACTCTCTGATGGGAAATGGCTTTTTTATGGGATTGTGATGGAGTTTGGGTTGGCTTGCATGGGGCGTGTGTATTTTTGACTGGGATACCCGGTAGTTTGCTGCCTGTTTATGTGGAAATTGATACCTTCTTGATGCTTCCATGTTGTTGCTGGATTTCCAACCCATGTAGTTCGTATATGAGTCTGCAGCTGTATGGCTAGGACGCTAGGCAATAGTGATGCTATGATCCAGCTTCTCAATTCTTACTATGCCTCTTAAGTGTTCATGGAATACGATTGCAACAAAATGTTATTCCCTCATAGTCAGACAATAAACTAAGTCACGTCCTAACTAACTCAAAGATAACTAGAGGTTTCATCCCCTCCACACATCCGACGCGTCCAGCCTAACCATGGTGAACAAGTTCACCTAGAAGGTAAGTGTCTGACCAGCAGTGCCGACAACAGCAGCCTCAACATTCGACGACCCGACCAGGCTGTAGCTATAAGGAACCGACTTCAGGGATCCCTCCAAGGCAGTGTTAGACCCACTGCCGAAGTCATTATCATTGGAGACAGCATAACCATCGTCAGTGGAGTAAAGAGGCTTCTTGCTACCAACGAAGGCATTCGACTCAACCAGAACTTGGGCACCCTGGCGCGTATTGATGCCGTCGGCGACATTGAGGAAATAGCTGTTGTAAACATGGCCGGTACCGAAGCGGAAGGAAGGAGCCCGAGAGTTGATGTTGTACCAGTAGTTGTTGTTCTGAGTGACGCGCAAGTGACCGGTGTCCTCGGCGCTGTTGCTGTCAGAGTGTCCGACCAGCGAAGCCTTGTAGTGGTCATGGATGAAGGTGTTGGATACGGTGACGTAGTCGGCGGCGTGGGTGAACTTGGGAATATCAGTGTCTGGCAACTAGTCTCATTGTATATTGCTATCAGGACTCACATCGAGCAGACCGTCATAGTAATCCTTGTCGTGATCCATGTCGGACGACACATCGCAGTGGTCAATCCATACGTTGGTTGATTTCTCTGCGCTCAGTCAGTCTCTGTCTTGTTTGTCATGATGGAGACTAGAGCGCGGTGTACTTACGAACGCCAATGGCGTCGCCGTTATCGGCAAGCACCTTCTTCACACCGAGGTTGCGGATGATAACGTTCTTTTTCTCTTTCACCAAGCTATGCGACTTTAGTATCGGGTTGAGTCAGGATTGAGAGGCTAACGTACAGACCAAACCCGGTCAAGATGGCGTTCGCATCCTTGCCGATGATGCTCGTGTTGCTTCCCACGCGCACTTGGTCAGCGGTCTTGGTGATCGGTCCGCTCACAATGACTACCTTGGCGGAATCACCGGAGACTGCGGCTGTGAATTCAGCATACGAGGAGACAGTGGTGGTTGTGCCACCTGCACCGCCATTAGTGCCTCCATTCTGGCTCGCATAGCCAGTAGCAACCTAATTCAAAGATAAGCGACTGGCTTGATCGAACATTACTGGACAATTTGTCCAGGGGTGAATTGTGCTCACGTCATTGATATTTGCGCGCTTTCCCAGCAGCTTCGCCTCGTTGCTGGTTGGAGTAGGTGCTCCTACTGCAAGGCTGGACAAGCAGCCTAACAGGGCAACTGCGATCACGTTGAGAGGAGCCATTGCGGTCACGGAAGAGACTTTCTGTGATATATAACCTTATGAATTTGATTTTCCGATGCTTGGTCGGTGTGTGTGAATCTTGATATCGAATAATGAGGACATCCAGCGGCCAAACGCAGTCCTTTATATACCACTCAGCGGTAGCATGAGGCGGTGCATGCTTCATACTCCTGGCACAATCAGTGTGCCGTCGCCCTAGCCTTCGGAGAATTTCCGTGATAAAAATTCTCTTGCAGTCGACCCGAAACAAAGATTCACAGAGGTGGGAATGAGAACACTCAATTCTCCGACGCGCCAAGTCTCAAGGTGACACTCCAGCACTCAGGAGTCTACCCGGAGAATTGCCAAGATCAGACGCATACTGTTTTCCTATCCCTGAGATCCAACGCTTGGCACATCAGCCAAGGGAGTTCCTGTCTCCTCCGATGGACGCGAAAATTGCGGAGCAGGCGACATCGGGACACCCATGCTGCATGTAGATTGCAGATGAAGATGTAGGAGGACCACCTGGATGGGTCATATTCTGCTGCGTAAGGCGGGAGCAGGTTCTTGAATTGCTTTCAGAGCACTCTGCCGAACAATTTCCACAAATGAGTTGAAACAAACCCCTGCACGAGTGACGATTGTTGCCAGGGATATTGGGCTTCGAAACAATATGGGATTCTTGGCCCGCATGAAGCATCAAGGGTGTTGAATGTCCATCAATTGACCGACTTCATGGTATATGAAATGATCCCATCGTTGTATAGAACTGCTCGTAGAACGAATACTTCGAATATGGTGACAGCCAAGGAGAAATGACGTGATCGGCCTTCAAATGTCGAGCTGGTTGACCTCCCTGGTCTTCAGATCTCAGTCAAGTGACAAGAGTCAAGAGTCAACATCCCATCCAACTGTGATCCAAATAGATGCGGAATATTCCCCGCATACAATTCAGTTCTTCACACTCTTGTGGCTGAGTAACCCCTGTTCTGCATATTGCGGGGATTGCGGGGATTCGGGGATTCGGGGAATTCACTAAAACACCATTCACATCTTCCCGAGACTAGGACCTTTCAATCGCAATAGGCGGAATGACAGGGACATTTTCATCCGTCCCGATCGTGGACTTCGCTCGTCTGAGCGATCCCGTGACGAAAGATGAGGAGCTGGCGAAGTTGCGTGAAGCAATCTTCCTTGTGGGATTCCTATACTTGACCAACACGGGATTGGAGGTGGGAGCAGCAAGACACACAATATGAGCGGCCGGATTCTAATGAGAACTCGAGATAGACCTTGATTCATCACACACATGAGGCTCTTCCTGAACTGTTTGCCTTGTCGGCAGAGGCCAAAGAAGCCTGTAACATGATTAACTCGCCCTCATTCCTCGGCTATACTCGCCTCGGTGCCGAGACCACTGCGGCACAAACAGACCTCCGCGAGGTAAGAGTCTCTCTCTGGAGATTGTCGTATTTCTTACCTGCTGATGTTCTCAACCTTTCTAGCAATTTGACTTCGGTACGCCCGGGGCGAAAGAATGGACGGAGCAGGATCCTTTCTGGCGGAGGCTCGAAGGCCCTAATCAAGTACGTTCTCTTCCCTGGACGCTTGATGTCCAACACTAACTCTCGACAGTACCCTGACTATCCAGGGGCTCAACAGCTGGTCGAGGAATATATCACAACGACCGATGCCCTGGCGCAAACATTCGTGCGCCTTGTGGCAGAAAGCTTGTCCCTTCCAGCAAACACTTTCGATGGCTTCAGGGGTAACATGAGCCGCCTCAAGTTCGTCAAGTACCCACCCGCCGCGCAGAACTCCCAGGGCGTTGGTCCTCACAAAGACTCGGCTGGACTTTTTACCTTTTTATCTCAGGATAACACAGGAGGCCTTCAGGTCCTCAACAAGAACGGACAATGGATCGATGTGCCTCCCATTGAGGGAAGTCTCGTCGTCAACATCCAACAGGGCTTCGAAGCGATCACAGGAGGGATTTGTGCAGCCACAACGCACCGTGTCATTGTAAGTCCACTTTACTATCACTGAGGATCCTTTCTGACTATCGTTACGTTAGGCACCAACATCCAAAACGCGATATAGCATTCCATTTTTCCAAGCTGCTAGACTGGACCTGACTTTAGATCAGCTCAAAGAATCGGCTGCCCACATCGTGCAACGGGTTCCCACATCTGACGACCAGAAAAAGCGCGCAGTTGATGTGCCGAGTGAATTCCTTTCACCCTTGTATTCCTGCGTGAGTGGTCTCGTAAATTTTGTGGCATATGAAGCTAACCACTTGCAGTTTGGCGAAGCTCACTTGAGAAATCGCATTATCAGCCATCCGGACGTGGGCCGACGATGGTATCCCGAGCTTTATGCAAAGTATTCTCAACAGATCTTGAAATAGTATAGGAAATAGAGACGATTCTTCCATTTGTTCACTTCAATACAGATATTTAGTCAAGTTGTTGAAATTCAATCATCTTCCACTCATAAGTGGGCTATCTCTGACTGCGATTGAAGATCATTCGTCCATGTATGCCGCCCTCACGCAGTGTGATCTGCATACTGCATGGACTATCACCTCACTTCGAGTGTTCTACGCAGTATCCCAGCGAAATAAGTACCCGTACTGGGACGAGAAGAGCATACCCTTTTCACAATCGTACTGAGAATTTTCATGAGATTCCTGGGGAGCACCCGTGGACGACTGTAGTAGGCCTTGCAATAGCACGAGTGGTATCAATTGATATCATGGGGATTGGGGAGGCACACTGAAAAATGGGTCGAGAAAGAGGGAGTGTTGTGTAGTCCCTTCTGAAGAATGGCCTCCCGGCTTTTTAACCAAAATTGGACTCTCACAGAGGGAGTGAGGTTGGGAAAAGGACTGAGAATCAAACAAAGAAACCTGGCAAGGTCAAGTTGCGTGCTCCCGTCCTTTATTTACTGTGCCAATCCCGCGGGGTAATTGCCCACCAATTCCTCCACTCCCAACCATGTCCCAGATCAATTCTGCGGCCATTGAGGCCCTTCGAAGCAGACTAAAGAATGCAACTATCTATACACCCGACTCAGAGGGTTATAAAAAAAGTTTAATCCGCTGGTCGGACACAGGAACAAAATATGCGGTATGACTATAACTTAATCAAAAAGGGCCACAGAAACTGATTCATGACAGGGAATCGTAGTCCAGCCAGTTGACGCAGCTGATATCTCAGCTGCACTACTATGGGCACAAGAGAATAGTCTTGACCTCGCCGTGAAAGGCGGAGGCCATTCAACCGCCGGCACAAGCTCGAGCGACGGCGGTCTAGTCATCGATCTGTCGCGCATGAACCAGGTGACCGTAGATGTTGCGAAGAAGATCATCACCGCGCAGGGTGGCGCTACATGGAAAGAAGTCGACGAAGCCGGTGCAGTTCACGGTCTGGCCGCCGTCGGTGGCACTGTGAACCACACTGGCGTCGGTGGACTGACCCTAGGAGGTGGTTATGGCTGGCTGAGCGGCCAGTACGGCCTCACCATTGACAATCTACTGTCTGCGACCGTGGTGTTAGCCGACGGCAACATCGTCACAGCCTCTGCGACCGAGAACACCGATCTGTTCTGGGGCCTGCGGGGCGCTGGGTATAACTTTGGTGTGGTAGTAGACTTTACCTACCAGGCCTATGAGCAGAAGGATCCGGTATTCTCTGGCATCCTTGGCTACACGCCTGATAAGCTGGAAGAAATCATGGATGCGCTCAACGAGTCACTTGCGAATCCCGACGCGCGCTTCGGGGCAATGTGCATCTTTGCCTTGGGACCTGAGGGCGCTGAACCGATGGTCCTCGTCCTCGGTTTCTTCAATGGCTCGCATGAGGAAGGAGAAGAGAAATTCGCCAGTTTCACTGCTCTGAAGCCGGTCCTGAACACCCTCGACATGATCCCGTATTCGATGGTGAACACGCTGCAAAACCCGCAGGCGACTTACGGTGATCGCAAATCTTTCAAGGGAATTTTCTACGAGCCGCCGTTGGACCCTAAGTTTGCGAGGACAATCTTCAATGACTTCATGGCGAAGATCCAGGCTGAGGAAGATCTGACGAACTCGGCCATTATTCTGGAATTTACCGACATGCGTAAGATCTGCGAAGTGCCTCTGACTGCAACGGCACTGGCAAGTCGCAATCCGACCCAGAATGGCATTATTTATCTTCGATGGACCGATCCATCCCGAGACTTGGAGCATCGGGCTTGGGCACGAGGTATCCAGGCGAAGTGGAAGGTTGAATTGGATGCGCGGACCAAACATCAGGGTGGGGAGTCGAACGTGCCTCAGTATATCAATTACGCTGAACGTGAGTTTTCCTGATCGACAAAGTCACAAAGAGTTGTTCTACAGTCGAATGTCAATACTAACGAAAAACTAGCTGGTGACTCGGTGGTCAACAATATCTATGGCGGGAATCTTGAGCGTTTGCAAGGGATCAAGGCCAAGTACGATCCTACAAACGTCTTCCATAAGATGCAACCGATTCCAATGGGCGCATCTGTGGATGAAAAGCAATAGAAGTTAGAACGCACAGGGTTTCAGACAAGACCAATGATAGTTAGCCAAATTCGCTCTTTTTGTAGCAGACAAAGCGCAGCATTCGAAAGCATGTCACGACACGATGCCAAAGGCGCAGCTCAGAGGCAATAGGTAACAGGTTCCAAGGCGGAATGGCACGGCAATATCCAGACCCGCAGGAACCCCCACCAAAGGGGGACGGACCTACATCGACGGCCTCCAATGACGTCAGATTTTGAGCATCGAGTTCGATGGCCTCTGCGAGCTTCAGGAACAGCTCATTATTATTGTTGCGACGCGAGGCGTCGCCTTACACAGTACTTACGGCCAAAACGACCTCGGAGATAATTCGGCCAGAATTATTTCCCTCCGATTGGTTGTCGTACGTTCGGTTTTGCAGTACCTATTACGGATAGTTTGTCCTTTCCGGCCCAACTTTTATCCTACCGATTTTCCCCGTCAGTGTCACCCGCTCAAGAGGTCCGCTCCTGAAGTCATCCTGCTCTTGTTGCTAAAGGATAGGCATCCCGCAAAGACTGGGCACTTCTCGCTACTCGCGCAATGCCTATTCCTTCGCAGCAAGAGCAGGATGACTTCAGGAGCCCGCTGGACGTCTTTCTAAAACGGGCGGCGGTGGAACTTTGGAACCGGGACCGTCTGCGTGAGGTGGGATCTTCAATTCTGCGTATCATGGCCTCCAATAGCAACCCCAGAGCGGCGAGAGCCGATGATGATGTTGCGGGCAACCTGGCCAACGAGCTTTTTGTCTCGATTGGTTGTCGCATCATGCTCCAGGAGAATATCTGGACGGACCGCAGGCTCGTCAATGGCCCCTTTGCAACAGTCCGGGATATCATCTGGTCGGCTACAACTGTGGATGCGTTGCACACTCGCCCCGACGCTCTTATCGTGACGGTCGATGGGTACACGAAGCCGGCCTGGAAGACGGACTACCAGGGTCGCGCGTTACTCCCAACCCTGCCCGTTACGCGCACGTTCCTGGTCGATGGGCACGAATGCCACCGCACCCAGTTTCCCATTCAATCTTGCGTACGCCATAACCGTACACAAGTCCCAGAGCGTGACGTTGGATCGCGCCGTTCTCGACATCACCGACAAAGAGTTTACCTCAGGTTTACGATATGTTGCTTTAGAAGTGGACGATGTACGGATATCGTCAAACGTAAAGGACTTGTAAAAGATATCATTTAAAACATGATACCTTTTACAAGTCCTTTACGTTTGATGATATCCGTACATCGTCCACTTCTGCTAGTATGCAGGCCCGACTTGACGATCGCGAAAACCGTCTTCCCAACCATTGGCGGCCGCCGATTGTCGATGCTTCTCCGCTATGGCCATGGTGGCAACGAGCAATGCGAGTCGAGTTCAATCAGCTCGGGATCATGGGATCCTGGGATCCTGGGAGCTGATTCCCACACCCAAGGATGACTCCAAGATCCTCACCGGGAAGTGGGTGTTTAAGCTCAAGACCAACGCAGACGGCTTCCCTCTGAAGTTCAAGGCAAGATGGGTCGCGAGAGGCTTTGAGCAGGAGAAAGGTATCGACTACCAAGACACCTACGCGAGCACCGGCAGTTACACAGCGCTGAGAGTCCTGCTCGCCGTGATCACTCAGAAGCCATTGCATACCTCGCACATCGATATCAACCTCGCATACCTCGCTTGGTCTTTCCCGATGCCGTCTTCCAGGTCTGCTGGGTAGTGCATCACGATCCTCTCCTTGAGCACAGAGTTGAGGTATGCGAGGTTGATGTCGATATGCGAGTTATGCAGTCGCTTCTGAGTGATCACGGCGAGCAGGAGTCTCAGCGTTGTGTAACTGCCCGTGCTCGCATATCGATGACTCGTCTTCTCTAACACCATCTGGATCAGACTGAGTAGGTCCAGCAGGGACTGTTGATAGAGGGACTGCGGAAAGGAGCGACTGTGGAAGGTTGTGACGTCAAATAAGTCAAATAAAGTATATACCGCGTAAATATAGGTATTCGCCTACCATCTACATGAGTCTGTTCGCTACACAGGATTTAGAATTTGCATTCACCCTGCGTTTACGCTCGAAGGGGGGATTCGCCGGGTCTCCCGTTTGCATTAATCATTGGTCGGTTCACCAGGTCATGCTTACTAAATCATGCTTGATAGGTTGGGATAGGCGGAGCTGAGCGTCGCAGTTAAAACCCAAGACCATCGGGCGGCGGGAGACCTTGTAGTATAACCTCTGGCCGCAGTTCCGCAAGTTGGGGGTCTAGCGTTTGATGACAAGAGGGACAGTGAGTTCTTCGGAGTAGGTAGGTCTATCTTCGTACAATGGAATGTTCGATGGAAATGGATTACAAGATGGCATATAACACGGAATGCACTTGTGAGGGATCAATAATGCGGTATCGTTTCATCTAATTGCAGACTGCGCAGTGGGCTACCACAGGCAGTTATAAGCACAAAAGCTGTGCAGCTCGACATTTTCCCATTCACCGGCGTTAAGAAGCATAGCAATCCCCTCATGTTCCCCGTATTCGGCATGGCGACCGCGATGTACGGACGACTGACGTGGCTATCTAACTGTAACTAGATGAAAGCAAGTTAGTATGTTGAACAAAACAAGGCCTATACCCCGGATGGGGCACGAAGGGGAAAAGCAGTAGAATCCCTCACATGTATATGCTTCACTTCGCCTTCCAAAAGGCCCAGGCAAGGACAAGTAATCCCTTTATACCAGCCGATAGCCACAAAATCGGTGAAATGGCCATCGTGACCTTAGTGACCCATCCACCGACGATGGCGCCCACAAGCGTCAACACAAAGGCAACGACACGACGGTCTCGTTTCACATTCCTGATCATGAACACCTGCGGATCAGACATCAGATCACAAAGAAGACTGGTGATGACCACGGTCGGGATTTCATTGAACCCCAAAGCACGACTTGCTACAATCTGCCCGGCGGCCTGAAAACTCAGGAGAACAATCGGCACTTCTTGGTCGAACGGGGGAACTGCCTGGGATAGTTTGCTATCCAGTTTACTGGAGACAGCACCACCTTCAATAAGGCCAGCTGTGAGCAGGATCAGACTGGCCTGTAACATGAAGGACAGCATCAGAGATCCGCGTCGCCGCGGGCCCAGGAGGGAATGTATTCGGGAGAAAACGAATGATCCTAGGATGAATGTCCCGATGGAGGTGGCTGAGCGTAACCAGCCATATGAGCGAAGGTTTTGGTGAGATGTTCCCAGTCCGACGAAGACGGTGTTTCCTACGCAATGCCTTGTTAACGGATTCAGTTGAAATACATTTGTCGGGGATATAAGAGCTTACCTGTTTGCATAGAGACGAAGGTGTTGTACGCTACAGATGTTAGTGTTGCCACGATTGAGGGGACAGGATATCGGCCTTCCCTACCTCTGTATATCGTGCTGTCCACCAGTCCGGATGTTAGGCAACAAGCGTAGAGGAGAAGTTCGGCATGCTTGGGCTCGAGTTCGGCCCTCAAGGACGAGGAGATTCCACCGAGTGCGCCTTTTTCGGGGTCCATCTTGGGCACTGTCAATTACAAGGGTATAGAGGAAAGAAAGGCGAATAGCTGAAGAAGTGCAGGAATGCGCCGAAATAAGAACCGGACAAGCAAGAGGAATCTGTTTTTTTGTAGCAATTGAAGGACGCGTCAATAAACTATGAAATTCCCAATCTTATCCCCCGCTTCCTCAGTTGAGCTCCTCGATATCATCATCTCACCTAATAAATACACATAACGGAGACAAAGTGATGATAGCGAAGCTCCGTGCATTCCGATATCTCGCAGGATTCGAAGCGAGATTGATGCTGTAGCAATCACATGTCGTGCATATCCCCCTTGTCATTTCTGGTCGACGGAGCGCAGATCGCCCGACCTCATACTGAATAATTAGTCTCCGATGCACGCCTAGAATGCCAAGGATGACTCGGTGGAATAAGTGTTGGCGAGTTGCTTGGCGGCAAAGGCGCCCTCCTTCCGACCTTCTCCCGCGAATACAAGGTTGTGGCACAATATGTTCTCATGGAGGGTTGTTGTACGACCCGTTATGCATGATTGGCACAGCCTTGTGGCAGCCAAGAGTGTCAAGTTTCTGCACACTCGGAGCGCCGATAGCACGATACCCAAACGGTTGAGGCCAAGACGGAAGGCTCGATGGCACATGGTTATGCAGGGAGAAATGTGGAATTCAACCCTCCATCTCAGATTTCAGCACATCGACATCCAACTCCGTCATAACACCAAGTACAGTACCCAGACTCTCCATGAACCCATTGACAGAAACACGTAGCATCCGGTTGGTCGTCGCATAGTAGGTAGTCTTCAGTACGGTTTTGGTCTCCTCGGGATCGTGTTTTTGCTTCTTCTCTTGCGGCTCTGATGGGGATTCCACAGCCGGAGCCTCGAGGACAAAAGTCCGTCGCACAAACGGGGATAGTTCAGCGTCAACTTCCAGAGCGCGTAGAGCGCACGACGCAAGACGATTGGTAGGTAGGGGGAGGGATATAGTGCTGCGGCAATGCATTAGCATGGCTTGGTCTAGTCGAGGTCGTGTTTGAGATCTAGTTGATGGTGGGGATAGGAGCTTACAGAGTGTAAGGAAACTCGGGATTGGTTGCTTCTATGGCAGCCATGATGTCCAAAGTTTAACTGCGGGTGGCTCGGTCTTGTAATTCCGAGAAATCTATCCTCCAAAGCAGGGGGGAATAATGAATGTGGTTGGTGAGAGGTTGACGGGGTGGAAATTGGCGATGCTGTCGGAGTCTTGGAGAGCGCCGGCGGCGGGGCCCGGCGTGATCGGCTGAGTCAGCAGCTCACCTGGGTGCGAATTTGGAGCCGCTAGATGCCACCTTTGGCACAAATGTACACAAGGTACTCCGTACCATTGCACGACCGTAAGCGTTGATTCGATACACAGCAGGCTAGTGGCGCAGTGTGCTATAATTATATTGAAATGCTGATCTTCCGGTCTGAAGACCTTGGCAAACGAAAGACTTCGTGGAACGGTACATTGGCCAAGCGACAACCCCCTTGGAGATATCACCTCATTGCAGATCTCTCTCTCAACAAGAGCACAGATGCATGAAATGGAGATTGAAATGCATCCATCTACCGACTTATTCCATATCAGATGCCGTCTTGCATGAAGACAGGGTTCGCCATGCAGATTGGGGGTCAGTTTCCCATTGATTAACCTATATCGCTCAACGCGGGGGCACTGTAACATGACATGCATAATCTGGACCCTGATTTACACATCTGAAGATATAAATTGCTCGGCGCAGTGGATCCCATTGATTGATGGAAATAGTTTCGGCGCTTGCTCCGCCTCATCCCTTTGATCCTGTGCAAATATCTCTTGCTCATGAACTCAACTCAGCTGAGGTCATCTGGGATCAGTACGACGCGACGAAAGATAAGGGCATCCTGACGCCTTGGCAGGCAGTGGAATGTTACATCACCAAGAGAGCAAGAGCTTTTTGCCTGTGGTCAATGCATCTTGTCCTTGACGACAACGGAAAGACTTCTACAATTGGGATAGTATGTGGGTGTAGCAAAAGTCGCCGGGACATAGAGGTCGGGGATATAAAGGGGAGCGATGTCTTCGAGGTTTGAAGTGTAGCACAGGAACCATAAGCATTCAAACAAGAAGCCCTATCTATATCAAACTTCCAACCATGACTATCACAATCACCGTGGAGAAGGATGGCTACTACGAGGTCAATGGGGCCCGACAGGAGCCTACCGTATCTCTTTATGTGATTCCAGCAGCTTCCAAGTTGCGTCGGATGCTGAAAGATACCAGAGACCTCATTGTATGTCCTGGTGTTTACGATGGCCTTTCCGCTCGAATTGCCATGCAGGTCGGTTTCAAGGGACTCTACATGGTAAGAACTCTGTATACGTCCCTCACATCCCTGCACGCTGACATGGTTCGCAGACTGGCGCTGGAACGACTGCATCACGTTTGGGAATGGCCGATCTTGGACTGGCTCAGCTCCATGACATGAAGACAAACGCGGAGATGATCGCAAACCTTGATCCGTTTGGTCCTCCATTGATCGCAGATATGGATACTGGCTACGGAGGTTAGTAATCCACACCTTAGTATAGAAAAGACCTTATTCTGGACATGGGGCTGACATTCTTGCAGGCCCCCTGATGGTGTCAAAGTCTGTTCAGCAATACATCCAGGCTGGTGTGGCTGGCTTCCACATTGAAGACCAAATCCAGAACAAGCGCTGTGGGCATCTCAACGGCAAGAAAGTCGTTGGCCTTGAGGAATACCTCACCCGCATACGCGCCGCCAAGCTGACCAAGGATCGCTTGCACTCAGACATTGTCCTGATTGCCCGGACCGATGCGCTCCAGCAGCATGGATACGAAGAGTGCATTCGCCGACTGAAGGCGGCTCGGGATATCGGCGCGGATGTTGGGCTGCTCGAAGGGTTTACCTCCAAAGAGCAAGCCCGGCAAGCAGTGCAGGATCTGGCACCTTGGCCTCTTCTCCTCAACATGGTAGAGAATGGAGCTAGCCCTCTCATTACCACGAAGGAGGCGGAGGAAATGGGCTTCAGAATCATGATCTTCTCATTCGCCACGATCACCCCCGCCTACATGGGTATCAAGGCGACTTTGGAGCGCCTCAAGTCAGAAGGAGTGGTCGGCGTCCCCGAAGGACTGGGACCGAAAACCATCTTCGATGTCTGTGGCTTGATGGATTCTATGAAAGTTGACACAGAATCCGGAGGTGATGGCTTCGTCGATGGTGTCTAGTGGCTAGTGTTGTTATCGTATAGGGGTGCATTAGTTTTGTATTGGACCAGCAACTGGATCTTTATAGCTAGCTAGATCAACAAGTTGCAAGCAAAGATTGGACTTTCTATACTGTATCACCCAACTCCTGCCCAAAATCCAATTCAACCAGACATTCGCTTTCCTGCGGAGATGCCTCCTCGTCGGTTGTTTCAGCCAGGGAGGCCGGCGGCGCAATTCTTTTGACAACCTCCTTCTCGACGACAGCCCATTCATTCCCCTGCAGAACTTTGTACAAACACGGCCACACACTGTACTCGACAAGTCCCCCGAGTGTTTCGTCCTCCTCGATGCTACGCATGCTTTCGTCCCGGAAGGGCGTTTGATACTTACTGCACCAGAAGACATATGTGTCTTCCTGGCATTCTAGTTTATGCTTGAACTCGATACACCGTTTGAAGATGTCCAATAGTTGCCTCTTCCGATTCGGCGTGTCAGTGAGAGTGGATGGGGCGACACACTTGTCGACTTGCTCGAGATTGTACTCGCACAGGCGTTGCAAGCTTTCCTCCTCCAGCGACAGTATGGCGGTGCTCATTGCATATCTCCAATGGCGACTAATATGTCTGGGCACTTCGATAGTTAGAACGAGCAGTGACGACAATGTTGATCTTGTGAGCACTCACAATGATGTTTAATCGTCATGTCAGCCTTACGAAGATAGTTGCTTAGACCATAATCACATCCTACAGCAAACCGGTTCCAGAAGTTGCGGAAGATTAAGCCTGAGATGGCTGATTGGGTGAATTCCAATCCCTGATCATGCGTCTCTATCGTCTCTTCTGATGTTGGCCTTCTGCCGCAGTGACTGAACACCCAACGTTCAAGGTCATGGTAGAGGAGGCACATCTCTCGCTTGATATCTTCGTCTGTGGAAGTCTCTATTCCAGATTGTAGACCTGCTAGTGATGCCACGAGTATCCGATTCTCCTTTCGAGCCGCTTCTGCTTCTTTAACAGCCTCATCATGTAGTTCAGCCCTTCTGCGTGACTGCTCTTCCGCGAGGAGCAAACCCCTTTGGAAGGACTGTGCATTCTTTTCTGCAATCTTGATTTTCTATTTGGATGTTAGGCTGAACCTGTTGTAGGCTAGATTGCAATGACAGACCTGGTGGAGGCTGTTGACGTCGTCGCACATAGCCTCATGATCTATACGACCTAGTCATGTTAATATACCCACCCTCGGTATTAGGAAGATAGACAAACCAATAGTGATAGGTCCATTTCTCACATGTGAGTCTGGAAGTGTCTCTCTTGCCTCGTCAGGCCCGGAGTTATCTAAACCCCACATGGTGTAAATATATGGTTCGGTGTGAGAAGTGAGCATTTGGTCAGAAGTGACAAGGTGAGATGATTTGGTTTTAGCTTATGGTAGACTTTCACTCGATGACAGCACAATTATCATTGCTGGTAGATTTCTCCCTCGTCCGACGCCGATTGTGGCTTCGGAACAAAGTCAATGATATCAAACTTGCGAAATGAACGAGCTTTTATCTGAAGTATTTTCCGTCAATCATTCTATCCCTTGAACGTTCATATTTCCATTCGCGAGATCTCCATATATAATTTGGGAGGTGCAAATGCAAAATGGCGATCAAAGAGGACCGACCGAAGCTCATAGTGGGTATCGACTTCGGGACAACCTTCAGCGGGTAAGAACATACTGTCTCGAACTTGTATGAGATAAGCTGTCAAGCTGACTTCCACAGTGTTGCCTGGGGGTTGGAAGATAATCCCGATAGTATTGATCTCATTCAGACATGGCCAGGTGGTGGTAACAGTGAGTCTCGTAACGGAGCTGGCAAGCTCATCAAACTGACCGTCTACCAGCCACAAGCCAGAAGGTTCCGACCCTGTGTTCATATAAGGACAACAGGCTGATATGGGGCTACCAAGCTGATCTGCCACGCTGCCCGGGAGAGCAACAACAACTCATCCGAGGAGTTAAGCTTCTGCTAGACGAAAGTCAGCAGTTTCGGTATGCACCTGCTGTCAACTCGCGGGGGATTATCAAAGATTTGAACGTGACACCACTGGAGGTCGCCGGTGACTACTTAGGCAAGCTGGTAGCCCATGCTCACGGAATCTTGAGACGGCGGTTTGGATCGGTACTGGGAACAATGGACTTGCAATACATCCTTACTGTGCCCGCTGTGTGGTCGGACAAGGGTAAGGACACTACTATGCGGGCAGCGCTTTTGACTGGTATCTCACCCACCAGCCTGACTCTCTTATCCGAGCCCGAAGCTGCTGCGGTTTGTGCCATCCGGACTATTCGACCGAATTCTATCGCGGTAAGGGACTTGCCGAACTGATAATACTGGATCATATATCTAATAAGATTACAGAAGGATGACTGTATTATTGTCTGTGATGCTGGAGGTGGAACGGTCGTGAGTATCACTTTCTCCAATGTCACCGCATGAATCACAGTAACCAGTCGTGATAGGATGTCATTACCTATCGCGTCAAGCAAACCGAGCCATTCAGAGTCGAGGAAGCCACAAAGGGAACTGGTATGTATCCTATACCTATATTTGTCTCCATGTCTGTCTAACGGTCTCCAGGTGCTTTATGTGGCTCAGTGATGTTAGACGAGAGGTTTGATGCCCTCATCAAAGAACGCGTTGAGAGATCATCAGGTCAACCTCTTCCCGATGGCCCTGCAAGAACCGCTAGACAATATTGGCAGGACTACGTCAAGCCAAGCTACTCCGGTCCTTCTGACGAGGATGATTTGTGTGAGCTAGGATATTTTATCCCATTGCCTGGGGTTTCTGGGATCTCTAACGTCGACCAAAGCAAAGGGTACTTATATCTCGATGGGTATGTATAGCGTCTGAAACCTCTTTTTCAAACTTGCCCCTTGGCACACTAACCTGGAAACAGGGGCCAGGTTCAGGGTATTTTCGACCCAATAATGAAAGAGATTGAAGATCTAGTGGCCGACCAAAAGAAAAGTGTCGAGAAAGATGGCTACACAATTAAAGTGAGTGTCAACAGAAGGAAATGCCCGACAGCATCTGAATTGATTATGCATAGGCCATTGTTCTCGTGGGAGGTCTTGGAGCCTCGGCGTATCTCTTTAAGCGCCTAGAGGCTGCATTCAGCGGCATTGAAATCATGCAGCCCCAAAATGCGTAGGTCCCAATATCTTCCTGCCAAGTCTACATACTGATACTAATTTAGGTGGTCTGCTGTTGCTCGGTATGTCTCTATGGAGGATCCTTCGCTGGTATGTTGCTTATTAAAACTAGAGGTGCTGTTATTCGAGGCCAAGAAGGCAATCAGGTAGACAGTCGCATTGCCCGATGTAGCTACGGTATCAAGACTCGGATCCCATACGATTGCAATAAGCATACAAACAATGGGACGGTTGCATGGTGTCCTTTTGAGGAGAAGTGGAAAAGGGATGGACGCATGGACTGGTTCATCCGAAAAGTGAGTATCCACGTGCCCTGGGGGTTGAAGTGTGATGGGTCATGGTAATGCAAGCATGGCCCCATGAAGTGCTGATTCGAATCGTCTTTCAGGGGGAACCAATATCCGAGTCTGAGCCGATCAAGTTTGATTTCTATCGTGTGGTTGCTACGACCAATAGCTCTCTGGTGTTTACAGAGCACTTACTTTTTTGTCTGCAACCCACAGCTCCCGGGTGGATAGACTCCAGTACGTCTCCCATGCCTTCAACATTTGCAGGACGCATTTTGCTAACTTCAAAAGCGGTTACAACGCTGTGCGAAGTAGACGCGGATCTTAGCAGAGTCCCAAGAGAACTTTTTGTGAAGAAAACGAACTCGAGGGGGCAACACTTCTACCAGATCGATTATAAGTTGGTTTTAACGCCAGCATCCGCATCGTTGCTGTTTGAACTGTATTTCAATGGCGTGTCCTATGGAAGTGTAAAATCTCGCTACTGAAGTATGGGGGCAGATGGCTAAGATAAGGTGCATTCTGCCATAGCTGGTAAAGCGAGAACAACCCGACTGGCGAGAGCCTGCCCAGGTGCTTGCTTGATGTTAGCTTTGAGATGGCGCCCAGGACAGGGATAGCTAGAACAATCAAGTCCAGATATTTGCTTATACTTGGGACTATACAAAGTAATACTAGCTAAATCCTCGTAAATCAGAACAGCAGGGCATGTTGACTAGCTACGACTGAACGAGCTTTAGCATTGCAGACGATGCACAAAATGTTGATAGCCTTTGGGCTCAGGGATACCAATTTGTTTGTTTGGATACTCAGCTTTCCTAGCCACCATTTCTCCGCCGATCCAATACCAAGTGATGCAAAGTGATTTCAGTCATCTCTGCTGCCCTTGAAAACGGCCAAACGCTGCAAGCCCGAGCCCTGCAAAGTCTCCAAAGGAGCAACAAACGCCATCTGAGCCCACGAGAAGACCTGATTTCTTCCACCATAGATGAAGACCTCGAAGCGACCGACAAAAGCACCATCCACCCACACACGGCTTCCTGCTGCCTGATTTGTAGAAATAGTAATCTGAGCTTTGCGGGGAATCTTCACAACTTCGTGGCTGGAGCTAGTCTGGTTCGTCCAAATACGTCCGGGCTGGTCTTCCTCGAAGCCATCAGACTGGGCAACAGAACGAAGAGGATATGGCCATCCATCAGAAACAAAAGTCAGTTCACCATCTGAAGACAATTCAAGCAGGGAATCAGATGACTGCAGCGAGAAGGGACCTGTGACGTCTAGTTGCAGTGTATAGTCCATGCCCTTGCTGCCGTAGCCCAGGTGTTGTCGGTCCTGGGTCGAGCGAACATCGGACGCCTTCCATGACAGTAAAGCCCCTGACCTGTGGCGTCCTTCTCCCGGTAGTCGTCGGTCGAGGTTCTGCCCTACGCCTTGCGATGCCAACTGCGCGATGGATTTGTCCAGGCTTCGTTCGTCCAAACGCGGTCCACGGTTGCCAGACCACGCCCGGGAAGCGACAACGGGGATTCCATCGCGAATCGCATAGTATGCTTCGAGTTGGGTAGTGGCATCTGGACCACTGTCATTCCAGGCAGCCAAGAGAGCACCAGGGACAGCCTTGGCATCCGGCTGTTCGGTCGTGTTCACCGGATTATGAAGCTCTGGGGTCCACTGCCACCCGGCACGGTCGGCGAAGTTGAGAACGCGGGTATTGTTGAAGAATTGGGGGTATGGGGCTGGGGTGATGGGGACGTGGTTACTTTTCAGCGACATATAGGCCCACCAATCCTCAGAGTTGATGACCTGGTAGCCGTTGCGGGCGAGAACAACAGGGTCTGATTGCCCATACTGCCAGTGTTGAATGACCACATCCTTATCGATGGTTATATTTGAGGGTTCATATGTTCCCCATATGCGCACACTTTTCCCCGACGTTTCTTTCACAAAGTGGGCCATCTCGTTCACAAACTCGACATAGTCATCCGCAAGCGTGGCGTCATACTCATCGGCGCCAATATGCACCTCCTTCGTGTGGAACCAAGGGAGGAACTCGGCCCAGATGGATTTCATCAAAGGAACGGTATCCGGATGGGTCAGGTTGAGCAAATCTTTCGAATCCAGCGCGAGCTCGGGTCTCCACTTGGTAACTGTCAAGCAGTGACCAGGACTCTCGATCTCCGGAATCACCGTCACACCTCGCTGAGCACAGTGATGCTGGAAATCATCGAACTCAGCGCGAGACAGCGTTTCGTTGGCACGCTGGACAAGAGGCCGCAGAGCCGGGTCTTCGGGGTGCAACGCGAACTGCGAGTAGACCTTGTCCCAGGTGACGTTTGGTCCGCGACTCAGTGGGTAGTTGTCGGTCGCATGGTAATGGAACTCGGACATCTTGAAAAAGGAGGCATAAGTGCACAAGTCCTTCAAGAATTCCAGCGAATACCATTTGCGACCAGCGTCCAGCAAAAACCCTCGAGTCGGATAAGCTGGGGCATCTTCCACGCGACCGGCCTTTATGGACGAGCGCGTTAAAACGAGCTGCTGGAGAAGCGTTCGCGTCCCCCACCACATGCCTCGAGCCCCAGAACCTCGGATAAACACGCGATCATCCTTGACGTCCAGCTCATATCCTTCTTCTGTTTCAAGTCCGTTCTCGTAGGTGAATTGGGCTGAGTGCTCCGAGCGACCGAGAAATATGCCCGACGCGTGTTTGGGGAATCGGTCGACGGTGCGGAGTTCCCAGGAGCTATTCGTCAGCTCCTGCAAGTCATTGCGAAACGTGTTGGCGAAGTCGGATGCCGAGGGTGGAAGCAGTGTCAGACCATTCTGGTCCTTCCAGCTTGCGAAATCTGCATCCAGATAGATTGTCCGGTCGGTCGTCTCTAACGAAAATCCTCTGTTGTGATCTGGGCCTGTTTGGTCAAAATGCACTGGGGGCAATGTCTGCACCGCAGACGCGACTGCAGCGAGGGAAACAACAATCCACTTCATATCTGGTCATTCTGACTTGTTTTGGCACGATCCGATCCTTTTATGCAAAGCAAGGGATTGCCATACTGTCACGCTTCAGATGGCAGCGTTACATCCCTATCGCGATACCAGGGGCGCGTGGGGCCCAGCATTACGGGAGTCTCCGAGTCTCTGTGGGCCATTAACATAGGACAATATTTGGCCAGAATGTAGCCATTTTTTCACGGGATTCAAGATTTGAACGCCACAGCGACTTGTGGCAGCCAAGAGATTCAGAATACTTCTAAACTACGCTATGTTCTACACAGATGGATCCTACATTCGTCGTACCTGGGCCGAAAAGGGGAGTGCGGGGAAGCGTGGAGTATTCCCGTGGGGGTGCCGTGGGGTATGTCCGAGCGATTGCAAGGTTCAGATACATATTGGATTTGGTGGACTAGTGGTGTCGCGTGTGGATTCCATCAGGATCACGGTTGCAACGTAGATTCACCACTGCGTAATCCTACGTATCATTCATTCTTCACAGCTGTGACTGCGACTTGCGAGCTGGAACGTGGAACCACGACTCAACAAAGTCCACACGGTTCCCGAAGGCTGATCCCGCGGCTTATCATTGCAATGACATGGACGAACTCGAAATTGGAGGACCACTCCTTCGGATGTGTCAATTTCATTGACAAACACAAATATTTATTTCAATTCGAGATAGCGGAAAATAACACTCGCTACCTTATATCAGAATGGAACAAGGTATACAAGAACCAGAACCTTTAGGTAGCTTGTACTACGAAGTCCCTACTGTGGGCGGCAAGGCTGGCCTGCATATGGCTGAGTGAATGGACAGAATTGAGTGAAGGTCATTACCATATCCAGCCTCCCGATTGTCCTGAAGCCGTAAGGCCCGCCACGGTAAAGGCTGGTTATGACTGAGAAGATATGCGTGGGTAGGGAGAAGGAAAGAGGAAGACACGTTTTAGAGGATGAGAGAGGACGAGAGAAGATGAGAGAGGACGAGAGAGAGGGAGAGAGTGGAAGAGGGAGAAAGAGAGAGAGGATGAGAAGTGAAGGAGGAAGAGATGTGAAGGGGGAAGAAAAAGAAAACAAGCAGAAGATGAGAGACACTCATTTATATCCTTTGCGTTGGAAGTACCTTCCTGAACAGGAATGTTCAATGGATAGGTCAAATAAGCTATCCCAAAGCTCTCCCTCTTCTAGCCAATGTAGCTCCAGCCGATATCGACAAGACAGATGAATTTAAAGAGAGTATATAGAACACCAGGGGATCGGGCAATTTGAACGCTGCGACCTAGCGTTTCTGAATGCCACACTTCTTTAGACACTCCTCAACCCTAATCAAAGTAGCACCCGGAATAGCACCCCTCACACGTTCAATATCCTCCCCAGCAATACTCTGTCCAAACGTACCGGCAATAATATCGTCAGTGAGAGAAAAGGTTTGATCAGCAACCATGGAAATCCCAAAGTCTTCAGCCGTAAGTGCTGCCGAGAAATTGGCAGGCTCACAGTCCGGATTGACTTGCGTATGGAACGATCCAGCTGGGAAAATAGTCATCATCCCGGGATAGAGATCTGTCTGGATGACTCGTTGCTTTTTATTAGAGTCAAGGACATTTCCTTCGGGAACCATCTCTGTGTGCACGTGGCCAGAGGTAAGGGCAAAAAGCTCTGTAGCGCGAGGGTGTAGGTGAAGGAATGCCATGCCGCATGCTACTCAAGTGATCAGCATCAATGAAAATAAGATATACTGACGAGATTAATTTACCTGGCAGGGAACCGAGACTGAAGGAGGTGCCATAGCCTGTAAGGGCTGGGAAGGTCTTGCGGTTGGCGAAGGGGATTCCACTCTTGCCGAAGTCAAAGACGAAGTCTTCGTCTTTGGATAGTATTTGGTAACGATCCACGGCCCTATTTATCGAATTAGATTGGTCCGCTGAAGGTTAAACCACGCACGTACGTGTCTGCGACTTGGAGGCGAGCTGTTTTGCTGAGATCGGCTGGTGCGCTTGTAGGCATAGATTGAGGTGCTGCGCTTGCTGGAGTGGCAACTGTGAGGGCAACGACTGCCACAGGGACAATGATAGACTTGGGAAGAATCATGGTGAAGATTGAATCCCAATTGGACGTCGGTTTTACAGTACTATATTGGTGATGATAGTGTTGTTTGGCTGCTGATCTTGCTGCGTGAATTATCAAGACGAACGTGGGCTAATTAGGCCATTAAATACTTGAACGGCATTGTCAAAACAGCATTGGAAATGGTTCCAAATATTCATTCCAAATACTTTCCATCTTGATGGAAGTCTGAGCCTCATTGACGGCGTACAGCCACAGGGCTTTGAACGAGGGTTTCATTTGTCCCGTTAATGGAGTCCAGCCACCAATCTCAGCTAATCAGCTTCGCCACGACGCCACGCCTATACGATGCTTTAAAGCCAGATAGAAGGCGCTGAAATAAGCTAATAGGTTAGAGAAGAGCGGTTTTTCTAGGTGAGCGTATCTGGCCCGTCTTGTTCATATTGCGCCTCGGCCGCGCGTATTAGTAATACGCCATCGTGGGAGACCTAACTAACTTACTGTACCATAGTTAGCTAACCAAGATAAGAAGATGATGAAGATCCATTCTTTAAACTCCGAGCGATCACGTCTCCCTCTTCAAACAGAATCAAATGCATCTATTGACTATTTCCCTCCCTAGTATGATTTCGGAATAATGACGTGCTAAAAGGGTCGAGAACTGGGTGTACCCGCAGCGACGAGCTACTTATTTCTGGACAGCGTCAGTCTAACAAGACCGGGCAGGTCAATAACTACTCAAGGAACGTTAAAAAAAATATATAAATAAGAGTGAAAAAGACACTCCGATAGGGGGAATCGAACCCCCGGCTGTCGTGTGAGAGACGACGATGTTAGCCACTACACCATATCGGAGGGGGACAACAAATTACCCGCTTAGGTTAGTCTTGACCCCTTAGGTTTAGCGCTCTTTGTCCTTATGCCTCCCCGTGCGTGGTTCTATATAGTCCTCTGCTCTTCCCCCCTCCATCCAACAGCCCCAATTTTGTTTTTCGCCTTCTTTCTCCTACGCCTCGCAGGTGAGGCATTATTCGTCCGATAAGATAGGCCTTCGCTAGCTTCAAAAGCAATTTATTCCGTCGACAAATAGTCGTACCTATAGAAAATATCGACTCTTAGTCCTCGACGGACACGGAAGCTATCTTACGCTAGAATTCGATCAACTTTGCGCGGATCACAATACTATACTAACTTGTATGCCAGCGCATTCCTCGCATCTTTTATAGCCTCTTGATATCGGGTGTTTCGCGGTTTTAAAGCGCTCGTACGGTACCTTAGTCGGCGACAAAGTACGGCTCGGGATCAACCATATCGACAAGCTTGACTTCCTCGTAGTATATCTATAAGCTCTTGTTAACGCATTCAAAACAGACACCGTCAAGAATAGCTTTCAGGCAGTAGGGTTAGTACTATTTGATCCTTAACAAGTGCTATCAAAGCTTAATATTCAACTTCGGACGCCGACGCCACCCGTGAGCCGTGGTAGTGACACAAGCGCTTTTTACCCACATACACCCGCGAACGTTAACGAGCTTCTAAAGCAAGCATCCTCGATCAAAGAATTTCTTAAGCGACGCTTAAATAGCCCGCCCTCGCCTTCTTAGGCCGCGTTAAACCAGCTTATTAAAAGCTGTTAAATCGCAATACAGAACGGTATACTTCTCGAGGAAGAAAACAAGCAGCTACGCGCCGCCAACGCTACACAAAGGCAAAAGCGCGCTCGTGTAAATAGATAGATAGCCCACGACGACGGTCTATCAGTACGAGAAGCATTAGAGCTAGAGGAAGCTCACAATCAGTTCTTTCAGCTAAGAACAGGACCGAGGGTAGCGCCAGCGCAGGCTACGTAAGCATCGGTTACGCGGCGCCTACCTAAATGTGGTAATTGCAGCGAGATAGGGCATAAGAAGAATGCCTGTCTAAGAAGAGATTAATCAATATAATAGCGTTGTGGTTGATATATACGTATAAAAGTGTAGGAAAAGTGGTTGGGTGGCCCACTCGCTTACATGGCACACTCGCTTGCAGACCACGTTACGAATTCTGGCCCGATACCTCAGGCATCAACTGTGCACCACGTGACCAAAGAACATCTTTTGACATATGAATCTCATCTAGAAAGCCATAACAACTCGAAGCTCTCGGCCAATGAAGTGATTTGACTTTTCTGCTACTGTTCACTCGTATATCCAAATTTTCAATTATATGTACTCTAAACTACTATTGAGAGCAACAATCTGGGCACATTTCCATGTTCTAGCCAATCCAAACCAAGTCAAAACGCCAATATCAATCAAGCCAAAAAGAAAGAACAAAGAACAAAAAAAAAAAAAAAAATATCAATAACTCTCTAATATGACAATCTATTTCAGATATCCCATGGCCTTCCAAGACGCCACATAGGCCCGCGCGATGTCGGCATTCACGGGCCCTTCAGCAGCCATGGTGGCCGAGTGCTCTTTCGCTTTCTGGGTGTCGAGGATGATGCCACCGCAGGACATGCGCTCAAAATGGCCGTCGAGGAAGTCAACTAGACGGGCAGCTGGGTTCTCGTCGGCGGACAGTGGCGAGCGGCGCACGCGCATAATCCAGTCAGCGTAGGGGATCATGTTTTGAGGAGGGATGTCGAGGGCCGACGCCAGCACCGGTGACATGTCCTCCCACGGCTGACCGACCGGGTTGTCAATATGGTAAACGGGGTAAGCTGCATCACTGTCATTTTCCAGTTTCAGCAAATCCACCATGACACTAGCGCTACGGTCGACAGGCAGCCACTGCAGGGTACCATGCAGATCGGGCCACACGCGCAAAGCTTGCGCACTCTTAACCAAGAAGGCAAAGTGCTCGACTGGGTTCCAGAAGCCGCTGCGACTGGAGCCGGCGATCTGGCCTGGGCGCGTGACGGTCGCGCGGAATAGGTGCGGGTAGCGGTGCAGTGTCTCGTCGAGCATGCGCTCGTGCACCCACTTGCCCTCGGGGTAGCCGCCGGGCATGACGGCAGCCATCGAAACACGGTCTTCCTTGATTCGCGGTCCGGCGGACGTATCCGCGTAACCGACCACACCGATCGAGGACACAAACTGGAAGCCGACGCGCGTCTTTGGCTTTCCTAGAGCTATCTCCCGCGCTAGGTCAAGCAAGTTGCGCATGGTCTGCAGCTGTGGTTCGAAGCCCTTGAGGGGCCTTGTGCCGCTCATGGGCCAGGCGTTGTGCACAATGTGGGTGGCATGCGAGACCAGCCAGGCGTATTCTTGAGTGGGCAGGCCGAGCTGCTGCTTGGAAGTGTCGGTCTCGTAGACGCGCAGCTTTTCCTGCTCGGTGGGTGACAGAGCAATGCCTCTTGACCAAAAGGCCTCGGCTTGGCGCTGATGGACTGGGACGCTGGAATGGCGGTTCACGCAGACGACAGTGGCGACATCGGGGCGCTTGGCGAGGGTCTGCACAAGGTGGGCACCCAGGCTGCCGGTGGCGCCGGTGACGATGACCACAGCAGGAGTAGAAGTAGTAGAGACGTCGATGACTGCGGAATCGAGAGCCGGCGTGGCCCAGCCGGCCGTGTAGGAGTCCACGAGTTGTTCAGCATCGGCCTCGCGGGCGGCTACGTCGCCTCTATCAATCACCTTGGTTTCCTCCACAGACGCCACAGATGCCGGGAGACGAGCTTTCCGCTCTCCAGAGGCCAGGGCAATAATAACCTTCTGGAAGGCGTTTTCGGGTCGGTTGCCGTCGGTCCAGTCGACATGGCCGAAGCCGGCGGCGTGCAGAGCGCGCTCCCAGTCTTCAGTGGGCACGACAGCGTGGGTGCGGCCGTCGTCAAAGAGCCACCAGCCTTCGAGCAGGCCGAACACAATATCCATAGACGGCACGCACTCAGTCATCTCGAGGATCATAAGGAAGCCGTCAGGGCGAAGGGCCAGGTGTACGTTTTGGGTCGACGCAGCCAAGTCGTGGGTGGCATGGATGGCGTTGCTGGCCAGAACAAGATGCTGTCCCAGGAGCTCCGCAGCCGGTGGCTTCTCGATATCATGCACAGCAAAGCGCATAAACGGGTACTGCTTGGCGAACTTGCGGCGCGCGTTGGCTACCATGGATGGCGACAGGTCAGTGAAGGTATACTCAACAGGGATGCCCAGGGACGCCAGCACCGGAGCCATCACATTCGTCGTACCCCCAGTACCGCCACCCATTTCAAGAACTTTCAGGGTCTCGCCGGGCTGAGCCACACGCCTGGATAATTGAGTGATAACCTCCGCCATCTGCTGGTAGTGCATGCGGTTGAAGCCATAGTCGCAGTACATGGCCTGGACAAGCTGGCGGCCCTCGGCGCTGCCGAAGATAACGCGGATACCGTCTGTGGTGCCACTGAGCACACCGGCCAGGTTCTTGCCGGCGTAGTAGGCCAGGCGGTCGGGGATGGCGGACTCCGGGTGCGCAGCGACCATCTCCTCGAGCAGGGCAGCGCTGTTCTTGCGCGGCACGGCTATGTGCGTGCGCGTCATTTGGCCCGTCACTGTATCGATATCAATTAGGCGCGCCTCACGCTCGAGGAAGCCGTAGACAAACTCCATCATGCGGCCGTGCTGTGGCAAGAATGCAACTCGGTCTAGCAGCTGCCCCGGTGCGGCTGTTCGCAGCGGCGACCCGAGCTGGTCAAAGGCCTCGACGACCAGGGCTGTGCAGAGTTTGCTGCTGCCGGCAAGGCTGACGCGGGCGATGCTGTCAAGCCCAAACTCGCGGATCTTATCGTCAGTCGTTAGCTTGACCTGGCCGAAGCACTCGAGGATGTCGGAGTGGGAGAGGGTCAGATTACTGGTGACTGGACCGACTGGCAGCGAGACGGGCTTAGCGAGAGCAGAAGCCTGTTCTGGGTCTGGGGTGGTGATATCGGAGGCAGTGTCGTCGTTCTCATCTGGCGGCGTAATGAGTTCTGCGGCGGAGTCGCTGTCGCTGTCATCTGAATTTTGATCGACGGCGTCTCCCCCGGCATCTCCCCCCATCTTGCTCAGCCCATTTGCGACGCAGGC